CAACTATTTTCGCTAAATGTGAATATGATGTTTTAAGTGATAAGTGCTGATGATATGTTACTTAATTGGAGATAGAAACCATTTCACACTCGCTAATTAAATGCAAATAAATGAAACTAGAGAGGTGTTATATTCTTGTAACATGCGAACTAGACAAGGGATAGAATTTGTCGAAACTCGATATCAACAATTGAAATATGCGTTTTCGTATGAACATAATGTCATCGTTATTAACCTTAATATAGAATCTTTTAGTAATATGTAAGGAAAATAATTAGCTCAATTCCAGTGCATTGCACGATTTTAGGTTTTAGTTCATTATGCCACAATAGTTCATGATTTTAGGTTTTAGACCACAATGAATACTGAAAATAATTACCCTTAAATATGCTAAAGAGAAAGTTAGAAATCAGGATGGTATAGTATTAATTATTTGATGGTAATATTTAGATAATGTTATGATCAAATTCTGTATACTGTATAACCCTAGATGTCAAACATAAGGGCCGGTCCAAATACTGAGCTTTATACGGATCGTGTGACTCCTACGTGTTAATATTTATTATTTAATAAATCAAAAAGTGACAAAAAGAATAGTACGTATTACGTATATGAACACATCAGTCCAGAGAACTGGTCCAAATGCAGCCGTCTTTTGTATCTGACCAAAGTCCATTAACTACCTCAAAAATCTTACTTTCGCTTTCACTAAAACTATTATGCTATATAGAATGTAGCCACCGTCCAATACAATCACTCATATGACTCATCATTATTCAACAAACAAAGAATTTGAGATCTATGGTTTCACGTTTTATGGAATTCGATTAGTGATTTTCTATAGCCCGTTTGAAAATTTATCACTATAAATTACAAACATGACCTCTTGGATACTTAATGGCGACTCGGAAAGACAAAAACAAAGTTGAAGGAGATTTTGGGCTCCAATCGTTTGTTATAGCCCTTTTGAAACTTTATACAGATATTCATATTCACTTTTAAATGCAAGCCCAACTGCATCAACACGTTTTTTTCTCATCCGATCAGAAAGAATATGGCCATCATGTGTTTATTATAAAATCTATCAGCTGGCTATTTTGTATACAATACGAAACCAGCACAAAGTATTTGCGTGATTTCTGAAATTTTAAAACTAGAACCTTAAAAGCATTGAAAAATTGGATAAAAGTTTCAAACAATTAAACAACTAAGTAGAAAATTTTAGCGGTGGATCCGTTGGATGGATATGCATGGCAGCATCGCGCCACTAGATTAGATCATGAACTATGAAGATTATATTTTGTTCATTTGAACGATTTAACTTTTAAGTAAATATTTGACAATTAGTGTAGTTCTCCGGTTATATAAAAATAAATTGTCTTTTGTCTACCTCCTATCGTCATAAGGCTTTACTTTCAATGCCCGCAAATAAAGCATGGTTCGAAGGATGTCATCGCACTACGATACGAGTACCCTTTTTTATTGATTATAAATGTTAAATTAATTGAACATCTTACCATATATTTACGTGGACAGTGGTTTTCACAAAACTATCGTCCGTACGTTGTTTCTTGTTTTGGAAAGATTCTACAAAACAACGCAAAATAAATAGTATCTAATAATATATATGCATGGTGCATAAGTCGAAAACATTAAATACTTACTTTCTGCATGTTAAAGTTCCGTCTACAAAACGACACAGATGCTGGATTATATAACCAAAATAGACAAAATGTGTGCTGTCTCTTACGTCTCCCTTCGAACCGTCTTGGGTGATTCTTTGTATAAAACGATATAATATGCAAAGTACGAATAATTAGTAGCTACACTAAACATGATAACTAGCTCAATTGGAACTAGATTTAATAATTACTATATTTGTAAGATTTAAAAATGATCGTCTTGATTTTGTGTGTTCGAGTATGCATGTTCTTAGCTAGAGATATACAAAAACAGTGTAATCTTGAAGATGATATTATATATCTTTCAAAATGTATATGCATACTCTGATACTCTGGATATGATATTTCCTGATGAGTTTTTCCCAATCAAGTTATTTATAATTTTATGCGACTGTAATCATGTGTATCAAGACAAACAAAAATTAATAAAAGCGAAACAAGTTGCGAAAATCTTTATCCGGTTTTGTGTGTATTAAAATAAAATATATTCCATGCAAGTAGGCCTACATGCAAGTATGCAATAAATTGCCCATGGTCAAATAGGCAAAATGACAAATCCTCTATATAATTTGTTTTGACCTTAATGCTAACAGCTCTATTGGTTAAGTGACGTACATGTAAGTGCCAAAACGCATTCATGAATATTGATATTAATTATATAACGCAAGCAGATTTCGTTCGAGTTGTGTACTTTGCACCGTTGAAACAGAGATAGATTCATGCACGCCTGCTGATTTCCTTATACTTATATACTTATTTACCTATCTTGGAAATTGATTATCAAGCCTGTATATATATTTATGCATGTAGGCACGTACTTAGACAATGCTCATGCTCATATGCATATGTACATTCAAGATCCGAGCTGGAGATTTCGCATATCTTAGCTTCAACAAACTCCATCCTTTTAAGTTTCTTTTTTCTTTTAATTTTCTATTTTGCAACTTCCTCCTTTTCATATATGCATCATAATTTTAAGACCAATATGATCTGACGTTCTTTATTTGGTTTTTATCATAGCAGATAGTGAAAAACACAACTAGATTTTGTTTTTAGATGGAATGTGAAAGAAAATAGAATGATTTGAATTAAGCGTTTTAATTCTTTTTGCATAAGGTGGAATTTGTTTTCAATATCCTTTTGTGTTTGTTCTGTATCTTCCTAGATTTTTAGTTTATTAACCGTTCTCTATTTAGTCTTCGCATGAATGAGATTTTAACCGCTGCTAATCGCGAATTTTTGTTTTTGTTTCTACATGTGTGAGTTAATAAATTTGCATTTGCATGTAGTTTACAAATCTGCAAGACCAAGTGATCAGAGCTATCTGTAAATAAGGTAAGCTGAAGATAGAAAAATGTTCCATTTATCACATTGTATTCTTGATCTTCTTATTATTGAATATAGAAGAATGAAAGACACAAATTTGTATATAAGTCTTTCATGCTATTTATATTTCTACTTCTTCTCTGACTGGTTTATATTTTTTTTTGGCTAAAGTGAAAAATGGTATTGGCATTTGCAGTTTGCGCCATGACTATTTGTTTTTTTGCCAAGTTTTTGTTTATTTGTTTTTTTGGTAAAAACGTTAGTAAGTTTTATACCATTGTTTTTATATTTTGGATCTCAAGGGAAGTAATAAGTTTTTCAGTAAAAAAATATATCATCATGTTCGTTTTTGAGGAGAACTATTACATCTGTATTACTGTATGTAATGTTGTATATATGTAGTAGAAACCAATAATTTCGGATTGTTTTTAGCGATTGTTTTTTACATGTTCAAGTTTTTCATTATCCCGACCGTATAAATTCCAGTTATAAACTATGAAGAATGTGTTGGTGTTTGTTTAGTTTGCTGCATTAGCTAATGAATATTATCAATCTAAGACCGTATTATTCATATGTAAATGTTTTCTAAGTAAAAGTTATAAGCATTTAATAAAAACATATATTTAGTAAAATCATTTGATAATCTAATTAAGTATATACGTTTGTTTATTTATTCTTGATAAAACGTTTGTTTATTTATATTACGTAGAAAAGGCATTTGCCATGTTTTTAACACTATGAATTAAAAAGTTGTTTCTTGGTCGTATTTTATTCTATAAGAAGATAAAATATATTTATTTTGCACCATTTTGTTGTTGCTGTTTTCGACAGTTTTTCATTAATTTTGTAATAACACAAATCGATACATGACGTTCATGGCCACCTGGGTCCAATTATGTACTGTTCGTATTAATCCTATCGACGTTGGCTACGGTAAGAGTTAGGCATATCGTCTAAAAATTTGTAAATGGTTAAAAAATCAGTAAATTAGCCGTGGTTAAAAGAGATAAACTGCGCCGAGAAAGATAAAGTAACCACCGTAAAAAAAAAGATGAAGATGATCGATGATCTAAAAAATTAGAAAAGAAAAAAATCCAGTTCGCGACCAGAAATTGCCGCCGAAATCGAGAGGCCGGAGCTTAGAGAGCTCAGCGACGAACGACGCGCAACGTTAATAAGTCTCTGGGGTTTACTATGTGACCTTTTGTAAGACTCCTGTAAGTATCGATAATCGATTCCATGCTATGATTGTTTTGTGCGATCTACTTTTCGCCTACCGTCGAGAAATTCGATAGACTTTGGATGCTTATAGCGGTTTGATCGACAATATAATCGGACTCCAATGTTTCGTAGGCGTTGTATGGATACATAGTTTGTGAGAAATTCGGATTTGCTGGTGAAATTCGCAGATTGATTGTCTCAATTTTGATATAAATGCGAGTCCAAGAGTTTGTTTACTGGAAATTGCTCATTATACAAAGTAGATTGTGGTTTATTCATTTGTTTAGCTGATTGAATAATGGCTTCTGCTGCTTACTTGAATCACATACATTCATGGATACTTTTTTTTCCCTTTTATCTTATTCTTCGCTCAGATTATGAACTACTTGTGTTTCTGATCTTATATAGATCACAAAAGCTCACTTTTTTTTTGTTACTGATGTGATATACAATACAAGCACCAATATATATCAAGAAACAGAGATACTACATATATAGATGTTTCTTCACTCTCTACAATTGCTTGGATAAGAACAGTATTTTCCAAATATTAGCATTATGCTTTTTATGTGATATAAACAACGGATGTTTTGTATGACGTCCTGAAAGTTTTACTCGGTTTGTTGTTATGTGATCATTTGGTGATTGTTGCGTAGAGTAGAGTAGATACAACAGGGGACTATCAAAATCCATGTGAACTAAATCGCGAGCTTAATTCAAAAGACGAGCCATGAAAATTGCCTTGTTGAATTCTGTGGTTTTGGGTCATCTTCAGGAACTGCTCTTCTTAAGTGTATCAATGAATCTTTGCTGTATAAAGTCGTTGTTGCCTGAGACGTAGTCAAGAAAATCGTTGAAACTGAATTCTCCATAAGCAGCTGTGTTGTTTTCACTGAGTAGCTCAGGTGCTGGACTTATTCTCTTGTGCAGAGGTAGACTGTGGAGACTTGCCAAAGACAGACGCTTTACATCTTTGTTCACTGTCACACGATGAACCACACTCTTGTAAATGCCGTTGCTCATCACTTCCACCTGATCTCCCAGCTGAACTATCAAAGCTCCTTCGATGTACGGTACACAGACCCAGTTGTTGTTGCGGTCCATGATCTGGAGCCCCTGGCTGCTTTGAAGTAAGATGGTGAGTGAGCCGAAGTCTGAGTGTGGTGGCATTCCCAAGGCCATTTCAGGTTCAGGGCATGCTGGATAACAGTTCACTGCCATGACTTGTGACCCTTCTTCAGTCTGTTCTTGTAAGTAACTTTTCTCCAGTCCTAAGCTTTCAGAGATAGCTTCTATTAACTGCTGGTGTAGAATGTGTGCTGCCTCTGCATATTTACCCACCTTGTCCCTAAAAGTAACAGAGAACTATATCAGTTTTTTTCACTCAAAGATCTGCTATGTTCTGTATATATTGAGATATGTTTTACTTACTTGTAGCATGGAGGATTTGATGGCCACATATCGATCCATTTTGGTAGAGGATGAGAGTAATGCTTGATGAAATCTCTCCAGTAGTGAACTTTGTCTGTTGAGTGGTTGATGCTTGTGCCATACCTTACTGGCTTATGAATATCTGCAGAGACAAGAAGCATCTTCTCCTCCACAGGTAAGTCAAAGAACTGTGTTGCTGCATCTAAGGCATCTTTAACCACCGATGATGGTATTCCATGGTTTATAACCTGGTAGAGAAGTAAAAGTTAGAACAAGAGGGCTTTTAAGTAGTGAAAACATGCATGCATGCAATTTGTATTCTCATTTAAGACTGAGATTGAGGATTTTGTCTTTTCTTTTCCTTTTTCCCTGATTATGGACTTTGTTGACATAAATGCAAGAAGACAACAACCGTCTTTCTAAGTCATATCTGAAATGTGATTGGTAGATGCGATAAGCTCACTCCAGAGCTAGTTCTAGTGACTAAGCATAGACTGAAATTTGATGAAAGTGAGACATGATCTGGATGAAAATTAACATGTACACATTTGTGATGATGCATGACTTTTTACCTGAAAGAAACCAAACTCCTTGCAGGCGATGTTTATCTCATGGATGGTGCGGGATCGAAGCAAAGGTTGGTGTAAAAGAGAGAGATCAATGAGAGGAAGTGAAGTCTCTGTGGTGCTTATGCTTGAGGTAAGAGCTGGCCTTTGAGATGGCGGAAGAACGTAACGGTCAGGCACCTGAGGCACACCTGAATTGGTAAGTGTCATTGCACTTGTAAAAGAAGATTCATCAACCAAATTCTTTTTTGTTTCCTCCATCTTTTTTCTTAGTTTGCTTTAAGAATGAAAAAAAAAATATCTGTTAGTAATCTCAGCTCTGTTTTTTGATATTATTGTCACACTTTCTTACTAAAGAGTATGCAACATGCATAGGCGTATATTTATATATGCATTTTAATACGGTGAAAATTTCATATATTAATATCCATTAAAGTCAACAGTTTTATTTTCTTCTTATTTTCCTCGTTTGCTTACGGTTTTGGAAACCACCTGTTGCTTCTGATCATCTTATACATTAAATGAAGTGAGAGAGATCAAACTCAAATTGTGGATGTGAATTTTAAAGTGAATTGACGCGTCTTTCATGAAGCATCTATACATGACTAATTTGCATCTTTTGCTTATTTTGGATTGGTTTATTGATTTAACTCGATTATTAAACCAGTGACTAACAGCTTAATGATTCGTTTCAGTGGGCAGAATCGTCCTTTTCCGTTGGGGACCAGATCAGACTACTAAAGGTTTTACCGCCATTGATAAAGGTTTTAAAGATATTTTGGTTTCCATTTTTCAGGAAAAAGAAACAGTTTTATGTGACTATGTGTGTGTGTGTGTGTTGACGTCATTTATGAGGTTGAATATCGGTCGAGATTCATGGACCGGCACTAAATAAGGATGATGTATAGTATTACTTTAATAGATGTATTCCCTATAAATTAACGGTTTTTAGCGTAATACATGTATGCGTAAATGCATCTGTACAAGAACAAGATCTATGAGTTGGTTTTTCCTCAGGTCGAAGGAAAAAAGTGGAGCTAAAATTCGTAAACTCGAGTTCCTGTGGCTTTGGAAGAGAGAGAAAGTAGTGACGTCAGTCTTTGTTTCAAATGCTCAAGTGCTTCTTTGACTTAAGCGAGTGACTTCCATGTCGGCTAGATCAAAAGGCTCTGCCGTTTTGGGCCAGATAATAAACCCCTTCCCATGGACCGCTCAAAAGCCCATCTCCATAATTTAATAGGCCGTTCATAAGCCCATTTCCATGTTTTAATCTCGGAAGTCTCTAAAGAACACAATTGATTCATTCAATTTTTTTACTATATTTTAATTTACAAAAAATAAGAATATTGATCGTAAAAATAATATTTTTTTATATTCAAATAAGAGTTGTGTAATACATTGTGTTATTTAAAACACTAGTTTTATGACATCACTTTTCAAAAGATACTAATGTTTGCTTTTAATTTTTTCTCATCAAATCCTAACATGGCTTCTAGAAGCTCCATTTCTAAATCAACAATTATCTTATTTTCCAAAGTGAATCTATCTTCATAATCAAAATCTCTTTAATTCGTTTATATTTACTCGATCTAACAGTTGTTTTGGTCAGAGATTTGATAGGGTAATGCATAGTTATTATACTATTTCATTTGTGTTCTGTCACTGACCATTTCGCTCTTACAAGTTACTTTCAAATTTGTTTTTGTTTCGTATGTATTCATCTTTCAGGAAAAAAAAAAAAATCGAATATTGTAAAGATTTGTTTAACCTAACACCATACCCATCTTTGATTATTGACAAGAACATATTAAAGTTAGTCTTAGAACATGTTAGGCATCTTCCTCCTAGCTATTATCTAATTCCCATATTTGTTACATTTTTATTTTATATACAAAAAGTTAGGATGTCTTTTCGGATTTGTTCATATTTTCTTCTGTATAACTTTCTGACCCAATGGCCTCGACGATATTATCCAAACTGTAAACTGTTGAATAATGTGAACTTAGTCAATGGTCAACACCTTGCTAATTGCATCTAAACAAACCTTCCATAATCCATCGATATATAATAGTGAGATTTAGTACACAAAAGCTTTCGTATATCCTTGGTGTGTGATTCAACACAAGTTTTAAAAGGAATTTGATTTGATAAAGTCATGTTCAAACGTACAAAAATAAAATATCTTAAACATTTACCAATCAGACATGAAGAAAAAGAAGAATAGCCGCATAAAAAATGATAAGGTGTATTTTTAAAGAAATTGTCCAGAGCGATAATTTGTTTTTTTTTAAGGAATTAGATTGATTTCTCTTTAGCTGATCGCTTGCTTCAATTTTAAGGAAATCTTGGCACCTGCAGATTCAATATCATCTTAGTTAAGGAACAAATGCAATCGTTTTTTGTTGGGTCAACTAATAAATACAAGATATGATATAATCCATGCATAGTAAGATTATTTGCATTAATTATACATATATGCAAATTAACAAACCCATGTTCTCAGCACGCTTTTAGGTAGAAAAACATAGAAACCAAATAGGAAGCAGCCACTCATTAGGTTGATGTGTTCAAATAATTTACATAAGAGAATTCGATTAAATTATCCTTTCCTCTTGTTTTTTTTGTTTGAATATAAGAACAAATAGTTGGTACGCATCATGACAATGTCCTAGAAAACAAATAAAATTATAAAAAGAGAGGATGAAGTTGTTGAATGAGTTGGCGAGGCGGCGACTTTTTCTTACATTCCCTTATAGTTAATTTTTCCACAAGTGTTATATATTAAACACCATCACCATTTCCTATCTTCACAATCTTTACAATAATATCTCTCTTCTTTAAGCTAAAATGGCAATGAACGGTTTGTCCAAGATGGTAGCAACAGCTCTTCTCCTTGTCCTCGCCATCGTCCCAGCCGCGGTGGCTGTGACGCACACCGTCGGAGGCGCTGATCAATGGGACAGTGGTGTTGACTACACAGCTTGGGTTACCGGAAAAACTTTCAGAGTTGGTGACATTCTTGGTGAGTTATAACTTACACATCAAGAAATCTTTGTGCTTAGGGTTTTCTTTCTTGATCGGTCTAATATTTGTTTATGTGAATGTTTTGAAAACACAGAGTTCAAGTATACTCCTTCACACTCAGTGAACGAGGTGAACAAGGCCGGTTACGATAGCTGTGGAGGCACACCGATCGATACTCATTCTGGTGGAGACACAAAAATTGATCTCGACACAGTAGGACCAAAGTATTTCATCTGCCCTACCTCTGGTCATTGTGCAAGTGGCATGAAGCTAGCCGTTACGGTCGTAGCCGCCTCTGGAACTCCTGACGCTCCTACGCCACCGTCTTCAACTCCGGGCACTCCTGCCACACCGGAATCACCACCGGCTGCGGGAACTCCAGCCACACCCACACCGGGTTCAGGGTCAACTCCTCCACCAAAGCCAAGTGGTGCCTCTAAGGGACTAGTGAGCTACGTTATGGTTGGAGTCTCGATGGTGTTGGGTTATGGTTTGTGGATGTAATTGGTTTAGAGAGCCAGGGTGGAGTCAGTGCTTTTGCTTTTGATGATCTTATTTGGTTTTGGTTGTAACTTGTGTGCCACGTCGTCAGCTATTTTAATCAGGTTTAATTATTTGGCATTTGATTATCGTTGTCATCATTATCACATTCACTTATTTTTGTTGTTGTAATAAATTATTTTCATTTTCCATTTCTTTTTTCCGGTCGTGTGGAACCACTCCATCATTCCTTATAACATGTTCTATTTTTCTCCATATAAATCATGTTATTGGTTTTGGAGTCGCATGTATACAGCTCTGCTCCACCACCCCCTCGTACTCTACATGACTATTGTGTACATTAATTAATTGAACTTTAACAACTATGAGAAATGATCAATTCCTAATTAAAGAATAATTGTTAAGAAAGTCTATTTCACTGGTGGCCGTTGTTAGTGCTGTATATATGGGATCACATTAAGAAAGGCAACTTGGTTTAGTTACTATTTCGATTAGCTGCAGCCTTTAATTTTAAAAACTCTCAATGTATACATCTATTGACTTTTGTTATATATTGGTTGCAAACTTACTTACCTTTAAAATTCAGTTACTCAATCTGAAATTTTGTTGACACTTTATACTAATGGCGGGTCTAGATAAAAAAAGACACAACAAGGCAAAACCGGAGAGTTATTGAAGCATTGAATTTTATATGGATTGATCCTGTCACTAAATATGATTGGCGCGCGAAAAGAATTCTTTTCAAACTAGAACCTTGGATGATCAGTTTCCTTTTTCTTTTGTTAAAGCATGATCAGATTCATGTCCGTAGTTAATCACAACTTTAATCTTTACCCATATTCTTAAATCATGAGAAAAGATGTGCTAAACACAAACCAGAAGGCAATGCCAATCAAATTTGACCCTTAATTAATATATAGAGAGTCCATTAGGGCCATAACCCAAACAATTAAGAAGAGGCAACTTTTCGCAAATTCCCTTAATCTAAAACTTATCATTAGTCGTTTTCACGCCTCTTTCTGTATAAACCATCACCATTTCCCACTCTTCAAACCAAAACATGGCAAGCAATGGTTTGTTGAAGGTGGGGGCAACCGCTCTTCTCCTAGTCATGATGGCGACAGTCCAAGCCGCGGTCGCTGTGACATACACGGTCGGAGGCGCTTCTCAATGGGACAGTGGTGTGGACTACACAAGTTGGGTAACCGGAAAGACTTTCAGGGTTGGTGACACTCTAGGTAATTTAAATTATTGGGATAGCTTATTCCACAAGAAAACTTTGACTTCTCTGAGCGTGGCTAATGTTATCTTTGTTTTAAAAACAGAGTTCAAGTACGGTCCTTCACACTCAGTGGATGTGGTTGACAAATCCGGATATGATGCCTGCGACGGATCATCCGCGTCTGAGAATCACTCCGACGGAGACACCGAAATCGAACTCAAGACTGTAGGAACAAAGTATTACATCTGTCCTACATCTGGCCACTGTGAAAGTGGCATGAAGCTAGCCGTTACGGTCCTCGCCTCCGTCTCCTCTCCAGATACCCCTCCGCCGCCTGTCACGCCTCCCGTTGCTCCTTCTCCCGCACCAGACTCGCCGCTGTCTGATGGAACACACGAAGCCGATTCGGGGTCAACCACGCCGCCTCCACATGCACCACCATCAAGGGGTGTAAATAGCGGACTAGTGAGCTACATTGCAATGTGTGTGGATAATGGATTAATGAGTTAGAGCCAGCGTGGAGCCACGTCACCCCTCTCTTTCATAGGATTTTATTTAGCATATCATTTGTTTATGATGCAATGGAACCACCATGAATTTTATCATCATAAGACCATCTCTTCACTAGTAAGTGCATCGCATGTTGTCATCTCTAAACACCTAAATAATCTTAAATCAATTTACACGTTTTAATATCTCTGTTTCACGGTTGTTATGGTCACCAAGTTTGGGAATCAGCCGGTCGTATTCGACATGATTAGTCCCTTAACCCAAAATATAGCTACTAGTCAAATGCCCACACCATCCATTATTGTTAGCAATCTTTATTTTCAAGGACGTCATTAGTAAAACGGATACAGTATAAACAGCCTAAGCAATTTTTCAATACTCAAACAAATTAAGTTTAACATCTGTAAAAGAAGACTGGAATTGAATTTGGAGATAAACCAACTGATTTATTATCCCCACACACTGACAAGATTAACCAATCGTCTTACATCAATCAACACAAAGTTACTAAAAAACCTCAACGTTGTTAGAAAACAAACCCTTTTTTAGCTACACACTCCTTTTGCAACCACAATCAAATTGAGATTACTATCTCAGCCTCTATCCCTCTCTCTCTCTCTCTCTATCTCTCTCTCTCTTTCGGTATTTTAATATAACAAGTAACAACCAACAACCACAAGAAAAGGTCAAAGAAGAAGCAGAACCGAAAGCGTTGATATATGAAATGTGAAGAGAGAGCAGAGCAGAGCAACCTCGCGTTATTGAAGTGGTTAGAAACTCTTCTTCTTCATACTAATATCATTTATAAGGCTATTGAGATAGAAGAGCGTAGGAGGGCAAGTCTTCGAGATGGGTTATGTCTTCCAGCATCAGCTCTCTCTCCAGTTGTCTCCTTGTTGATTTCATCACCGTCTGTGTCAAAAAGAATCTTATCCGTTAATATTATAAGCAAAACACAGTGTTGTTGTCTCTGTTTCTAAGTCAATAATAGTCGGATATGATTCAAGAAGATCTCATCTTACGTTGAACTCCATGTATGAGGCGCGCATTGAAAGCCATTGCTGATCCATTAGCTTGAATGCAATGCAATATAGAATGTCAAAGGCTGATTCGTTCTCTGCTTACACAGTTACGCCACAAACAACCACAGACTTATCCGAATCAGCGTCAAACTTCCAAATACAGCACCATGTGTGCAAAAGTTGCTTGTCAATTTAATAAAAAGAAAGCAGCACTGTTGAGTGATAAAGGAAACAGCACTGTGTAAGAGAGATTACCAGAAAGAAACTTCAGAAAAGTGACCCCAACAATCGTTCGTGGTTTCACTGTAAATATTTTGAAGGATGTGCTGTTAGTAAACCCTTTTGATTATCTCAAGTCCCGGTACATATTATCAGAATGACAGATAATGAGCAATTATGAGACTTCTTCTTAATGCAAGCAATAGGATTCTATAGCAATGGGCTTCCCAGTCCTATGGCTCGAGATGTCAATAGTAATTATCACAATCAATGTAGGTTATAAGTAAACTAGCGTGGCTGTATATACCTGCTTCAAGGTCAAGCATTTGGATGAGCATGAATGTAAGATTGATACCAGCAACGGCAAAGGGGTATTCCCACACAGACCGATCCCCAACCTGCTTCCTCAGAAGGTCCTGGAAAGATTTCTGCAGCATATAGACATGTGGCGTTTAAAACTAAGTGATACATATTGTGCAAGTGAAGCAGCGTCAATGTGTAATCAAGTATATATGGTTCATGAAAAGTGAAAGTTACAAAGGAAAACTAACTCATTCTTTTTCTGAAACGTTTGTGTATGTGCTATATATAACTATACCTGAAAATTCCTAGCGAAGTAGAGCAAGTTTTCAAGAGAGATGAAACCACCACCCCTGCCAGAAGCTGCACTGTGAGTCAAAGAGGATGGAAGCAAGAATTATAGCACAAAGAGGAAAGTTAGTGTTATACCTAAAATCTGTTGACGGATCTTTTCCCTGCCAACCCATCTCTTTCCACTGCTCAGATATTAATCCATGAAGCTCTTCTTCAGGAAAGGAAAGTTTCCACAGATCCCTTAGAGCTTCCTAAGAGCGAATGAACAAGCAAAAATGTAAGCATCCAAGTGATCATACAATAAAAAGAAGTGATGGTAAACTGCAGTAACCTACCACCTCCAAGTGATGGCTCAAGTAAAGTGTACCTGATGCAGAGGTATTGTGCTGTCGTACGCTACATCAATACGGTTCTGCAAACTCTGCAAGCATTCCTCCTGCAAGTCCCAAGAACAGGGTAGAAGCTATTAGCTACTTGGATAGAGTTACAACTAATCAACTACCATCTAGAGGTCAAAAACGTTATTTCAAATGTAATGAACAAGAAGAAAAATCCAACTTCAAACTCCAAAACAGTGGTGAAAAGAGCACCTGAGCAGGTGTTAGATCAAAAGTGGAATTTGCGTCACTATCTCTTCTCTGAGCACAAACACAGGAGAGACCCCGGCCTAACCAAGCTGCTGATCCAGGCACACCATCTATAACAACACAAATAAACTTCATTGTCTTGCAAGCTTCAAGATTTTCAACAGAGAAATACATCTTCTAGCTATTGTTCACAGATTTCAAGACGTAGTTATGATGTTTTATACATTGATTTCTGCCAAATACTAAGGTTTAGTTAACACCATGCTCTAGAGATGAAAGCTAAGGCATCTAATAAGTGCTACTACTCTCTCACCCTAGAAAACAAGCTGTACACATCCATAGCAGAGAATTCAGAAACCAAGCAATGCGCACAGAAAACTCAAAGCATATTTGAAGTAAACAAAGATCTGTGACACAAAATTTCACAAAAAAATGCAAGCGCAAGTGTCGATAGATAAGCTGTGAGACTGAGAGATGTAGACGCGTTTTTCTCTACGAAATGCTTAGTGATGAAATTACCAGATGGGGAATTGTAAACGCTTCCCCGTTCGAGACCCTGAGAAATCCGCCTGACTGCTACGAACGAGCCTTCTCTATCATCCATTTCAATTCTCTTTGTCGCTACTCCGATTTACCTCAGAATCTCCATTGTATCATCCTGCGAGCATCAAAATGCAGAACCAGATAACTTCATCAGCAATAGAATTCGGAAATCTCATCAAACGAAGCGGAAGTTTCGGAGTAAAACCAATCGGAACCTGATCATATACAAACGCAATGCGAATCACGAGACGTCGCACGAATGATAAAGCGAATTTTGAACAAATCAAAAGTAAAGTAGAAGGAAGAATCCAATCACCGTCGAGAACGAGAATCAACCAATCGAAACAGAAGACCGATCAACCTCGAAAACTGTTCAGAATCGTCAAGGAAACAGAGAGAATCTTGAGCGCAACGAAGCGAGAAATCAACTAGTGGTTTCGAGATCTACTGAGAGACGCTGGATTGTATCGGCGGCGATTGAGATAATCGGACTAGTAGTCAAGCATTTCAAGCGGATTGATGGAAGAAATGGAGAAAACAAAATATTCCCGTATAATTTTTTGCCGTTTTCTTGCTAATGTCTTTGATTTTTGGGGATTTGAGGGGAAAATAAAATAAAATAAAAAAATGGGGATATTTATAGTTACGTCTTTGTAACGACGGGCAGGCCTGGGGAAATACAGGTGGCAATTAGGCTGGAGGACCCGGCGCGTGCACTTCAGTCTCCATCAGCTTCCCTCATAAGTCGTACCGGAATATAGCGACTTGTGTTAGGTCATGCCGCATTTGGTTTTGGGCATTCAAAAAAGTCAAACGTCAGCTATTTAATCTGTTTTAATTGTGGATTTTTTTATCTATAGAATCATTCAAGAATTGAGTTTAGTATTTTTTGTTTTTTAAGTCATCTTTTGTCAACCAATGATTTTGTTTTCTGCACCACATTTTACTAACAGTATGCATTAATGTATCGGATTTGGAATATGGTAGATTGGTAGAACACAGATACGTGTGTTGGTTGTTGAGATGTATTTTATTAACTTTTGCATAAAATATGGATGATAAGTGATTGAGATATATGGTTGTTTCCTTCAACTAGCGATAATGTGTACATGAATGTTTATGTATCAAGTATTTCTTGTGAGTTTAGAGATCAGAATTACATATTTGCCACCATGACGCCGGTTGGCGACAAACGATTGCAATAGGCATGGGCCATATGTGTTTGATGGGTGAAGTTTAACTAAAACCGGTCTGCGTGTAATTACTCTGTTTGTTTTCTGGTCCGCGAGATCATGATATCAATCATCAACATGTGACATGTCTACAGGGAGATTTTTGTTTAGTTTCTGTTCATAACTTTTTAGAGATGTTACACTGAAAGCAAGAAAAATCAGAACTAGCTCTTTGTATATTTGATATTGCAATCTCTATACAAATTTGTAGAGCTTTAAGGTACGTGCATTGTGAACAAAACTCAAGACTGTTCACCATTATCTATACTTCGGTTGTAATTCATTATTTTGTAATATTTTTATAAGTGATATCTGGTGTCGAGATTAACGATACAAATTGGATTAGCGGAACTATATATTAATGAAACTTCGGTTCTTCTTGGATTTAAATTGTCGTAGATCCCAAAGGTTATATGAATATTGAATACCCAACAAAAAGTGAAAATCCTTTCATGCTTGGAAAGGAGCATACACCTTTACTTGAACTCAAAGCAATAGCCTGCAAGCTTTGTATGCATGTACGTGTATTATCAAGAAACCACACATACATATTATATATTCGCCTTCTATAATTTTTAAATTCGATCAAAAAGTCTCATGAAAGTTTTTAAATGTTGGTATATTATCACAATATAATCAATCTCAGACTAAACTATAAGATTGTTCTTAACCAAAGAAAAACAAGTTCATACTATTGCGTTGTCAACCTACGGTCTATAAAACCAATTTGCAACCACCAGACTATTATTTGTTCCATATTTTATATTATTATCGTTGACAATATCTTTTAATATCATCACTATGTTGTTGAAACAGTAGATTAATAGGAATGTATATAAGCTATCGTGAGTGGAGACACAACCGGTACAACCGTTGCACCAGTTGGAATTCATATCTTCTTCTGATTCTCAAATCTGACTTACCTAAAGATTTGGTAGACTGTTAGTTTATGGCATTCATGTCTGTTTTTTCCGCTGTCAAATTTATAAACTATAGTATGTTTTCTTAGTATCTAGTTACTTTTAGTTACTTTACTTTTGCTTTACGCGAAAAAAAAGAAACCCAGCTTTCCGATGACCTTTGTCTGGCCATGCTCCACTCGCCAATGCACATCATTCATGTTTTCCAACAAATTTATAATCAAAAATTAAATACTAGAGACAACGCATAATTCGAAAAAGTTAGAAAATTCGAACTTCAACCACCAATTCGAAATATTTGGCTGGTTTATAAAATTAGAGTCAGTTTACTTGTTTGTTTTATTATACAGTACTACAGTATAACACATGATGCATAGCTATATCTAATTATAATATTTTGCTTTCGTAGTTTGTGACTTTGTGTAATGATTATCCATAACTCGACTTTATATTAATGAAGGGAAAAAGAATCAATTTTTTTTTGTTGAGTTATATACTCCGATAGTTGACATTAGTGTTGGTTTTTTGTCGAAAGAGGTATATTAACATTATTTTTTAAAAATAAAGCCGAGACTGAAAGGGTCATAATTATACCTTTTTAAGCTAAATGAATAAAGAAAGTAAACTACTTTTAAAACTCCACGTGGTCCATTAACTCTGTCGGCCTTAAAGGAGACGTCGAGTACCAGTAACCTTTCAGCCAATCACAATTTACTTCCGAAAAATAAAAGATAGAAAAAGGCATTTATTATTTGGGCTGTGAAATTGAATATATTGGGCCTAAGGCCTGTAATATCGGCCCATGAAGTTCTCATCTATGTTTCAACGCGATCGAAGATTTTGTACACTTCGCTTCTCATCCTCCCTCCTCTGTTATATTCATTCTGTAGAAGAAGAAGATGCAAACGCCATTTCTCCATCTCTACAAAAGCTTCATTTCTTCTCCACCTTCATGCCAAACTCACAATCTATACTCTGGATTTCAAAATGCGCTTCTACTCCCTCCAATCTGCAATTTCCGGCGACCGAACGATCTCGTCAGGAGACGAATCGTCGCGCAAAGCTACAAACCAAACGACGGAAACAGCCGTCCTGGAAGCAAATCGAAAGCGACATTGAAGGGTAGCAAAGACAATACATGGAGCGTCGATAACGAAATCGCGGAGATTGAGAAACGTAAGCGGAAGCCAAAGGGGAAGAGGAGAGGGAAGAGATTAGCCGGAGGAAGAAAGGGCAGGATTTTGGTTTCGGCAACGATGTTAATCGAGACTGAGACTGTTCTTCAAACTCAGGTCTCGATCTATCCCTCTTCACAAATTTCTCAAATTCGTCGAAATTAGCGATTCTAAATCGAATTCGATGAAGATCCTGGGTTTGAATACTGTTTTAATTTGGGTAATTTCTCGAAATTCTCTCCGAATTGTTTCTTAGGAGCCTGTGATCAAGCCAATTTGGAGAACATTTGCGAGCAGTGTAAGTGGGATATGGAAAGGAGTAGGAGCTGTGTTCTCTCCGATAACAGCAGAGATGGAGCCGATTGAAATTGGGAAGAAGAACGAGAATCTCTACGATTGCTACACTCTTTCTCGGATTGAAGCGTCGCCGTCTCCTTCCGGAGGAGCATCTGAGATACAGAGGAGAATCAATTGGGTCACTTTGAATCCTTACGGAGAGCTTTTCCAGGTTGCTGAGAGTAAAGATGAGATATTGGTTGACCAGAGTGGTGTAGATAGCCGTTTGCCTAAGTTCGAATCTTTTAACTTGAAAGCTAGTGATGTCATGGAAGAAGACTCCATGGGAGACGAGCCTGGCCTCGTATACTTCGAGGTATCGCTCGATGTTACTCATCTTTAACATTTCCATGGAAGCTACTTGACTAAGTTCTCATTCGATTATGGACATTGTTATTGTCTTTGATACGCAGGATGGATCGTATTCGAGAGGTCCAGTGACAATCCCTGTTGGAGAGATGAGTGAATCGAACTATTACCTCACACCGACTTTCAAGTTTGAACAAGTATGCATTTTTATTGGATTTCTTATGTTTCTTCTTGCTCTAAGAGAGAAGAAGTGGCTCATTGCTCTTTCGTCTTGGTCAGTGTCTGGTGAAGGGTTGTCATAAGAGACTGAGAGTAGTGCACACAATAGAATTCGCCAATGGAGGTGCAGATATACAGATAATGAGAGTTGGTGTTTACGAAGAACAGTGGGTTAGTCCTGCAAATTACGAAGAGCAAAGGTAACGTTTTCGTCCTGTGATTCTATCTTTCTCTCTGGTATGTCATTGTCTCTGACTCTCATGTTTCAGTGACAACGACGCACCGTTGGAGTTAAAGCCATTCTCACAGAGGAAACGGACGCAACCATCAGAGCTAACAGGATCATGGAAAGTATTCGAAGTGAGTGCAACACCAATCTATGGAGAAGAAGACGTTTTCGAGATGTTAGGTGAAAGCAGTGAGACCACTCCGTATGTGTACCTGTGCACGGAAGCTTTGAAAAGAAGGAATTTACCGGAGAGTTCGGTTTCGTTTAGAGAGGAAGAGATGGTAGATATGCAAGACGTGTCGGTGATGTGGCTACCAGGTGGCGTGACTGCTTACGTGGATGTGAAGAAAGATGGAGTCTTGTGCGTTGGAGTTGGATGGTATTCAGATGAAGGGATGAATCTTGTGATGGAGAGAGATTATGGTTTGGATGGGAATCTTAAAGAAGTTCGATCCAAATCTGAAATGAAGAGACGATGGACAGACGAACACAAGTAAAAAATCTCTCTCTCTGCTCTGTTTCAGATTGATGTTTGTTTAGTTTCTTGTAAGTAACACTGTAACAGTAGCAGATACTTTGTTAAGCTATCAATAAATTTTTTTTTGGTATCATCGTGATTCGTCAACTCCGTACATTTTCCGGTGGCGGAAGTTTTCGCCGGAGAAAGAATATCGAACTTAATTGGGATATTGCTTGACAAATTGGGCCTAAAGTTCATATTAGGCCCAAACGATCCTTAAGTCCATTGGGTGTAATTTTGGAGTCAATTCAGGAAAGGGAAAAGGTAGTTTTTTTCTGTGTAAAATAAAATTAATAGTTAATGCAATCTGGAGACTTTTTCTGATTTGTATCATTTATTGTGTTATCCACGATGATATGTAGTACGAGGAATGATCAAAATTGTTTAGGTTGCTTCTGATGAGATTTGAAACGTGTTACGTGTACACTACTCAATTCTAATTCCTTAATCAATCCCTAGCCAACAAAAAAAGTGTTGATCATAAATCAAATTACGATCTCGAAGTGGTAAACTGGTAATGAAAGTTATACACTTTTTTTGTTAACCAGTCTTCTATACTAAGATTTATTCTAAGATCAATGAAAACTGATACTAAAACTTTTATGCATGAGAAGAGTGAATATATAAAATTATTTAGATATAATTAGGTTATAACCAGGTGAAAGAGCATGGCTATCTAAAATTGTATCTCAAAGAAGTAAAAACAGGAAACAAAGAAAAGCAAATGAAAGGAGAGTTGAGAGGGGAGACAAAAGTGGGAACCTACAAGAGAAGAAAAGGAGAGAGATATGCCTTAGAAATCTCACCATCATTAAATTTGGAAAATTCCTTACGGATTTGATTGAAACGTGTAATCATTGTTGCATGGAATTCATCCCCTATTATATATCTTTTCTTATTCCTCTCTTTGTCTTTGTCTCTTTTTTGCTTCAACCTATGATCTTACAACTAATTAATTAATAACCTTCTTTCATTTTCATCTTTTGATTACTCCAAATGTAATGGTTAAAACTACAAAAGTAAGAATACGACAACGTACGATAGTCGATACAAACAAACAAGAAGTCATTAGCTATTGAAACTTATTGGGCCATTTTTTCTTAATATTTGGCCATGTATATACCTGAAAACTAACAATACTCTTGGTGTCGGTAAGAAGAAAATCAATGGCAAGTGTTCCTCCTTAAGTAGATAGTTAATTACGGAGTTTAGATTGGACCAGGTAAAATAAGGTTTAGATTTAAGTTACTCCACCTCAATCATGTTTTATTGTTTTGTCAAAAAGAAGATTAAAAAATGTTATATTATATGCTTAATTAGTCATTGTTGCTTTGTGTTGCTATTATGGAGGAAGTTGGCCCGTTCTTTTCTTCGGGTGTTTTCGTGTTGTTGTGTGTACTTATCAAATTCACGATACTGTAAAAAAGCCTAATATATGCCCTATGCTCTATGTTGTTAAAAATCAGACGATTAAAATATAATGTTTCTGTGAATATGATTAGAACTGAAGCAATCAATCAATAATAAACAGCTGATTTATTTTCTTAATTTTCAACAACTGATATAGAGTTTTTGGAAATTATTAAGTTAAGCCAAGAAAAATAAATTATTGGGATTAATTAACAAACAAAAATTGTGAAGGTGGATTCGACATGATTTGGGAAGAGGTAACTTTTGTGGGTGTCGTTTCCATCATCAGCTTTAGGACACATCTTGAGATGGATGGAAGCTTTGATGTACCTCCACCATACTCAATTGCCTCCTTGACCATTCTCTCTTTAAATTGTCATGTGAAATGAAAATGTCCCAAATTTCGCAATTAATTAATATAAATCCTTGCTTTTATTTAATTTATCAGATTCTATTGATTCATTAGGTTGCTTCAGAAAGCTGATCATAATAATCAGTCCAAACTGCAAACTTTTTTTGGCCTCATTATGGGATGGTTAGGTTCAATTAATGATGCAATTAATGATGCAATTAATGTCTAATTATTAGTATATTACTTTTTAATTTTAAATAACTATTAGCCAATAAAAATCATAGAATTGTCTTGAAGTTTGCATTTTTGTTGCATTAATTAACCAAAAGTATATTTAATACTCTAAAACATTAAATAATAAGGAACAAATGAAAAAAACTAAAACATCAAATAATATGAAACGGATGGAGTACTTGCTTAAACAAATGAAAGTAAAGTCGTTAACTGTTTCCTAAGTAGACAATAAATGGTGACAGGAACATTATTATCGACTTACTTTACAATCGGTGCAAACAAAAACTCTTACTAATGAAATATGCTTTAAGAAAAGGAAAAAACTACACGAAAAACCATTCCACAAATATATATTTACGTATACATATTAGAATGTATCACATTAGACATTCTAATAATAGAGCCGAATAATATTTTGTTTTGTTCGCGATATGATTATAAAACTTAAAAACACTTCACATGAAGTTGACTGCAAAAAGACACGAATGGTACAAATGATATATGTTGAAAGGGTTTTTGACACGTGTGGGGACGTACACACGAAACCCTACCTCTTCACCATATGAAAGCAAATGAAGATAAACCGTCAAAGTATAACATACATTAATATATAGAGAAAGAATTAGTGTGATACACTATTACAAAAATTGATAAACAATAGTCAACAAAAAAAAAGAAAAAAAGAGAGATCAACAATTTAAAAATGGAAGGAGGAGGAAGAAGAGTAGTAGTCAGTAATTACGATCTACAACAAGTGACATCGTCTTCGACGACGATTCAAGAGAATATGAACTTCCTCGTTCCTTTTGAGGAAACTAATGTCTTAACCTTCTTCTCTTCTGCTTCGTCTTCCTCTTCTCTCTCTTCTCCTTCTTTCCCCATTCACAACTCTTCCTCTACTCCTACTACTCATGCACCTTTAGGGTTTTCTAATAATCTTCAGGTCTATGATCTCTCTTTCTATACATACATGCATACATGTGAGGATCTTGTTTTGTAACTATAATTGATATTAAATTCCAGTGTTTCATATGATTTTTGTAGGGTGGAGGACTCTTGGGATCAAAGGTGGTTAATGATGATCAGGAGAATTTTAGAGGAGGAATTAATAATGATGCCCATTCTAATTCTTGGTAATATAGCTCAGTAAATTCAAAGATGAATCCACTTTCCCTCTATATATAGCTAATTAAAAAGAGTTATTTATGTTTCCTATTTGTAATGTCTTCATTTTTCATCTATTTCTCTCCAATGTTTTGGGTATTCTCAGCATAATATTAATTATAATCATGTTTCTTGCCCTTGCAATTTCTTAACATCCACTAGAACGCAGATTATGTACATAGGATTAAACCAAAGGTTTCTAACATTTAAAGATACTGAATTTGCAGGTGGAGGTCAAATAGTGGGAATGGAGATATGAAGAACAAAGTAAAGATAAGGAGGAAACTAAGAGAGCCAAGATTCTGTTTCCAGACAAAAAGCGATGTCGATGTTCTCGACGATGGCTACAAATGGCGTAAATATGGTCAGAAAGTTGTCAAGAACAGCCTTCACCCCAGGTAATTAGCTAAAACCATATTAGTTTTAATGAAATTTACCAATACCTTCCGAATAACATTTGCTGCTTAATGATCATCTCGCATAATCACATCGATGGATGATTGATGGTTTGGTAAAAGCTGAGGTAGGAACTTAGTTTAGGTGTATCATAATATTCTCTCTTTAGACTGTTGCCGAACCTTAGCTCAAGTACTAGACATGACTACTTATACATCATTATACATATATATGCATACATTTTCTATCATACTTATAATATTTATCGTACGTATACAGTTTTAGTATGTATCGTACGTCCCTCGAGGGCTATCATCATTAACAATGCAGACAATATTTTCTATTTTTATTGTGCAATGTCTACACATTCTCCAACTCTTTTGGTTATGTACTATAAGGGTCACATTCATAAATTTCACATTTTTGTTCCTTCCTTTTTTGTATGGTTAACTGAATAGAAATAACTTTTGTTGTTAAATGATGTTGTTTTAAAAATAAAAGTGTGAATATATATTTATACAGGAGTTATTACAGATGCACACACAACAACTGTAGGGTGAAGAAGAGAGTGGAACGACTGTCTGAAGATTCTAGAATGGTGATTACTACTTACGAAGGTCGTCACAACCACATTCCCTCTGATGACTCCACTTCTCCTGACCATGATTGTCTCTCTTCTTTCTAATCTCTCTCTGTCTCCCTATATACATATAGACAGATATGTATATGCACATATAGATGTGTGATATATATTGCATATTTGATATTGCATGTGTTTTTTTCAAGATGTTGTATACATAAATTCTTGAATTTTTCGTTTTTAATTAGTATACATACATTATATAATGACATTGGTAGTTTTTTGGTTAAAAATTTAAGTGGTATATATACGATCATTCGGCAAAATGATTTTGAAGCAATATATATATATATATATATATATGGTGCAAGGTACGATCATTCGGAAAAATGGCTCTTATATTATATGTTACCAAAGTTGATTCTTAGAAAGAAAGAAAAAACGGCACTCACGAGTTAGAATTGGTTGACGATTAATGTTAGGATAATTATTATAATGGAATTCAAGAGTTCATAAATTTTGTTTCAAATTTGCTTTTCAACAAATGAATATTACGCTTAAGAAGAAAGCAGAGATAAAATTGTAGAGCAAACAAATACATGATCAAGGAGAGACATGTCGTAAATTTTTCACAAACGGCAGCGATAAATTAATTATGATCCTCGACTCAACGTTATAGACCTAGTCTATTATAATGTTACAAGTAGTAACTAGTAACAACACTCAAGCCAACCTCGCTACTAACTAGCACATGGTCTAGAAATAAATATAGATATATTACACATCACATATGGTGTAAATTAGGGTTGTATCTAGCTAGCTAGAAAAGCTTCTCTCTCTGGCCTAATGATGAAGATGTTACAACTCTAGATGATTGACTCATGCAGCCGGAGCATAATCATAGACTACATCATCGTCATCATCACCTTCGTTCTTGAGAGATAATGCAAATGCAGTGTAACCATTGTAGTACAGAACCAAGTCAAATAATATTGAAGACATTCTCTCTAGATAGCGCTAGTGTAAACAAAATGGTAATGAAGCCTAAAGAAAAATAAATTGATCTGATATAAACATTGAGATGGTTACTTAGTATATTTATAGATGTAAAAAGCTAATGGCGAATGGGGAACTCGTTAAAACTGAGCCAGGGCATGTGACTCGCTGCTTATAATGTGTGCCTGACACAAGTGAAGTGTGAAAAACTGAGTAAGCCACCTATTTTGTGCCCTGACACATCCGTCACCTTTTATACATTTATTGGTCCACCTCTTATTGCACTATTTGCTAACACTTCTCATTTCATTATGACATAATTTTCTTAACGGAATCATAGAACTTTTTCTCAAGTAAAAATCAAACGAAACATAAAGTTTTTTTGTTTTCTTTCGGATTTTAGTATAATTTTATCATAGGGTATTGATTCCCTCAAACAATAGCTACATCATGGCATCATGCATGGAACCTTGAGGGACAAAAAGAAAGATTTATGATCTGATGTCTAGATTTGTTTTGGTTTTATCCTCATTTCAACGTTATTATGATCAATTTTTTTTTTTATTTCATCAACATTAAAATAATTTATCTTCAACTGGATTTATGGGAAAATAAGAGAGATATGTGTAGATATCTTTTGGGGTTTATCAACAGTATTGTGGTAAAATTTTGGGATTACAGTTTACATATTCGGCTATTGGGAAAGTTGAGAGATGCGCATTAAACGGCCCATTTTAGGCCCATAAACCTCTTTAATGATTTCGAAATCTATTTTTACTGTAGACTATAATTCATTTTCCCTATTAACTCTTTCTGAGATAATGTAAATGTTAGGCCCACCAAATCTTCAACAAAAAACGACTTGGAAGAGAACAAAAATGCTTCTTTCACTGAAATTAAGCTTTCTGCATCAACTAGATTAGGACTCTACATGTATACCAGTATGAATTGAACTTCTCTCAAACGTAAATATTGTGAAGATAAAATTATGTTTTTAATCCTTTTTTATGACTATTATATAGGAACTAAAAGTAAAACTAAAGAAGAAGAAGATGGGGAGAGAGTCACATGGAGCAGCACATGGAAATTGGGTACGAAAAAGATACGAGAAGCGAGAGACACGTTACGCAGTTATTGATGATCCCCAAATGCTCCAAAAAAACACTATAGTCTCTATACTATATAGTATTAAATCATATCAAATCGTATTTATAAAAAGGTCTATTGATTCTTAGTTTTGTCACGAGACATGCTTTACTTTTTCATCACTCCAGTCCCAATTAACATCTAATATCTAACCTGTCATGTTTCGTTTTATTTGGAGCTTCAGGTACTACTAATCAAGTATACGATCAAGTACTCGCATCATAATAAAAACTCTAATAAAATAATGTGCTCATAATATAAGCATAAACCCTATATTCATCAAAACCTTGTCTACTTTTTTGTAATTCATGAATGGAAGAACTATACTTGAATTGTTAATGGGAAGATAAATATACTAACAAAAATACATCAGTGAAAATGTGTGTTACAAAACATCGAAATGTAACTCTATACAAAAGTAATAAACAGCGTATAAAAAATAACTCGATTAAAGTGATACACTTATTTGAAAAAATGTGAGAAGTCTGGACTTGTGAGGCAAATAATTGATGCAACTAAGCTCGATTAAATTTGAAACGTTACAATCGGATGATCACGCAAGTTGACATATCGTCCTGTAAAGTTAAGATCTTTTTTTATCTTTTGTTAACGTGAAATCTCTTCTTCTTTTTTTTCGTTTGCTCTTTTACTTTTGGGTTTGCTGTTCTAAGAACTTTGCTTAAATGCGTCCAAATGATCTGTCCATCTTGGCATGTTAGATTTAGATCGATCTATATTTTATTTCTAACAATCCATATATAGTTGGATTATAAAGAAAGGATTAACTGGTGTGTAACCAGATGGGAATTGATTCGCATTATTAGCAAACACATGCATTTCGTTAGATCACTATCGTGACTTTTTAAATTTAAATAAGTTCCCCCACATGTCATGTAACATGATGAGTATGGGATCCCATCTTCCCATTACAAACCAAAAAATTAAGACACACATTATCACACAATACAAATTTTCTTATAGTTCACATAATTTTCCCAAATCACATCTATAATTTGTTGTTTGTTGGTCGAAAAACACATCAATATTAATTCATATTTGCATAACACGACATTACGTTTATCTGCGTGGATTTGATATATCGTGTCTAATGGGAGTTAGTTGTGTTTCCCTCTTGTTCAAACTTAAGTTTTCAAATTCAATAACCATCATTAATCCAACTTATGAAATAAAAGCACCACTTTCCCTTTTCTTTTCCGTATTCAAATGAGTTGTTTTTATATTTATTTTGAAAATATTTTTGTTTTTTCGGTTCCACCGCCGACGGTAGAGTTAATGAAAATCCAAAAGGGACACATTCCTAAAATTTAAATTTGTTACTACAAAAAATGGCACCTACCTATTTAATTAAAAAAGACAGAAAATAAAAATGAAATAAAAAATAATAATAACTACCCAATATAACGACCAGCTTAAACACACGCCATTAACAACAGAGCAGAGCAAAAGAGAGACTATTCTTTCGTCTGATCACACCAGAGAGAAAACAAAAGTAACTTTCTGTTTTCTCTCTCTCATACACACACACAAAAAATGGCAGAGCTTGAGAATCCAGGAGTAATGCCGAAGCTAATAGCTTTCTTATCTTCGTTGCTAGAGCGAGTTGCCGAGTCCAACGATCAGACCCGGCGAGTCACGACTCAGTCACAGAGAGTCTCTGTTTTCCATGGCCTGAGTCGACCTGCCATAACGATTCAGAGCTATCTCGAGAGGATCTTCAAATACGCTAATTGTAGTCCTTCTTGCTTCGTCGTTGCTTACGTTTATCTCGACCGTTTCACTCACAGACAACCTTCACTCCCCATCAATTCCTTTAACGTTCATCGTCTCCTCATCACCAGTGTCATGGTCTCTGCTAAATTCCTCGATGATCTGTAAGTTTCTCGTCCTCACCATTGAAATCTAAACTCTTTACTCGAGGGTCGAGCTCAAAAATTCATTTTCACAGTCTAAAATTTCAAGACATCCAATCAATGCTCTGTTTCACGAATGCTCTGTTTCTTCAGTCCCCTGTTTTATGGCTGCTCTGTTTCTCTGTTTATTCCTCTGTTTTAAAGATTCAATTTTTAACTGATTTGATTCCGAATTTGGAAATTCTGATAACGGTTAATGCAACAGGTACTACAACAATGCGTATTACGCGAAAGTGGGAGGGATAAGCACGAAAGAGATGAACTTGCTGGAGCTGGATTTCTTATTCGGGTTAGGGTTCGATTTAAACGTGACGCCAAACACATTCCACGCTTACTTCTCTTATCTTCAAAAGGAAATGACTCTTCTTCAACCTCAACCTCTCTCGCTCGTTAATGTTGTCCCACCAACAAGATCTGTCATTACCTTCAACGACGATGAAGCTTCTCATCAGAAACAACAACTCGCTGTTTGATTCACATAAGATTCCAACAAAAAATCCAAAAATATCTTTTTTTTAATCAGTTTCTACCTTTTTTTAAAATGAATTGTGTAGTTGTAGATGATGTAGAGATTAGTCGGCAGGGACACTCTTTATCTTGTCTTAATCAAATCTTGATTAAGAAATTCAAAATCAAGCCAGTAAGTTCATGACCATTTCTCTCTATCTATATATATATTTTATTTATAAGTTATGTTTAGATGTGGACAGATGGGATGATTCATCTTTACAGACTGTCATGGCTAAAGAATTTTAAATGTCACTAGTAACACTAAACTTAAATAACCAAAAAAAATTGTTTGTTGGTTTTGAACGAACCAGAAAATGTTATGATTGTTTTATGTTTTTTGTTTTGTTTTGTCTGATATTCGAATTTTCACCCTTGTCAGATCACAAACATGGGTTATATCTTTAGTAACAATAATAATAACAAGAAGGTACAATAATTGGGATTTGTGAATAAGATTTGTTGTTTTGTGGTTCTTTAGAGGGAACAAAAGAACATGTGCAGAGCAGAGACAGAGTGTAAACGATAAATAAATCACAGTTAAATAGACTATTTTGAAAGAGACACTGACTTGTGAGAGCTTTTCACATAACAAAACAAAAGAAAATGCTTATACGTTTTGACTCAAATCTTATCAAATTCATACAACTCAAGAACTCAAAACAATGGAAATTAGGAGGTGGTGGTTGTAGTAGTAGAGATTCTTGATTTCTTGGCATGTTTTCGGATTAGACTCGGAATTTTCGCTACTGCGATTGGTAATACCACAGAGATCACAAGGAAGATCATGCCTAAGCCGAGACTAGGAGAAAGTGCAGCCATTGCAAATCCATAGGTCAAGGCAACAGCATTCAGAGAAACTTGCATCTCAAGGTAGAAAGGAAGACCTTTTGTGAGTAGAGAGATAAGTTCAATAGATGTGAAAAACCCTACCGAGTTTAAGAAGATGAAAATGCCGTAAGAGATCCAGTTCTGTGATCCCATTATCGTTGTTCCCGCGTGATAGATCCGTTTGGTTTTGTCTCCTTGACAGTACCCTTTGACGCAGTAATCTTCTTGCCAAACACCTCCAGGTGGACTTAGCGCGGCTTGATAAGTAGCTGTGGCTATCAGAATCGCGATAACCAGTAAGACACTACGGATATCGTTAGGTGAGATTTTCTCTTTCTTGTTCTTGAAGTAATCAAGAAATTGCTTGTGAGTCATCAGAGTTTCTTCTGATTGTGTTGTTTCGTTCTCTGTTGTTGTTTGTCTTGTGTTGTGATCTCTTGATCTTACAGCTCCTGCTTCACGGAGGATTTGATAAATCTCTGAGTCTTCTGGTTCATCTCCAATGTTAAGTAACAAATCAAGAGGTGTGAAGCCTTTGGAGTTTAAAGAGTTCACTTCAATGAAACCTCTTGGGATTGTGTTGTTGGTGCCGTAAGAGCCAAGCAACAAATCAATCACCTGCAATCCCATAAGAAGTAATTGTAAAACCGTGTTTTACAAGTAATGATCGATAGTTGGAAACCTATTACCTCGTACTGTCGTTTATGAACAGCTAAATGCAAAACCGTGTTCCCTCCATTGTCTTGCTTATTCAACACGCAAAGCTTATCAAACTCCTTAAGACATTCCAAAAGAGCAACGAACCCATCGAACTGACAGAACCTAACCGCAAGATGAAGCACTGTCTCTCCACGAGCGGTAATTACTTCAAGAGATTCTGGTTTAGCAGATACTAACTCATCAAGAACACAAACCCTTCCTCTCATAGCAGCGTAATGAAGAGGAATCTTTCTCTCTTTACCTTTGATCAAACAGATCTCACCACTCAGCTTCTCCAAAAGCTCTCTCACGATTTCAACGTGACCCATCGATGCTGCTATATGAAGAGGGGTGAATCCGTCTTTGTTCAGTTCTCTTCCGAGATTCTCTCTTAGCTTTAAGATTTCTTTGACGAAGCTCAGGTGTCCGTACATGGTGGCAACGTGTAACGGCGTTTCTTCGCCGTCGATGATTATAATTTCTAGAAGAGATGGATCGGACTCCGCTGATCGGAGTAAATACTCGACGTCTCCTTTTCGAGCAGCCTCCATTAACGGATTCTTCTCCATCTCTCTCTAATCTCTTCTGCTAAAGTCAAAACAACCCTTCTTGCAAGATTTCAACATTAAACATATAAAAATTTCAGCTTTGTCAAATGAAAGCATTTTGAGAAACAGAAAAATTCAAAACTTCCCACGTCTTCAAAAATCTATTTTTTTTTAATTAATCTCAAAAAGTCCAATTCCCACTACAAATGTGAAATAGGAAATACCATAAAATATCACTTGAGTAAGTTTGTGGTCGAAAACCCTTTGATCAACGATTTGGAGGAGAGGTAAGTAGCTACAATCGAGATAATGCAAAGCCTCATCCAATTTCTCAATGGGAAACCTTTAGTGAGCAGAGAGATCATAGCAACCGAAACCAAGTGTGTTAATTTGTAAATATTTGTGAGGTACATAATACATTAGACTTGATATTAAATTATTAATTATCAAAATTATTGTTTTTTGTTTAAGTTGTTTACATTTACGATTAAGACCTAGTTCATCATGAAGACCTTTGAGTATGACAAAAACAAATCACTTAACTAAGAACCGCATGCTCGAGAACGGTCAACGGTCACTAATTTTATGCATGATCCAACTATTCAAGCCGTATATACACATATATTGTATATGTATGATTGTAAAAAGTAGCTAAGTGATTACTACTAGATAGTATAAGTATTGTTCGAACCACAAAAGTAGCAATTTAATCAGTTTAAATACTAAATTTTATATTTTATAGCGCAAAAATTGCATGGCACAGCTCCATGTGGTTTTTTAGTTTTAGCTGTTATGCATGCTAGTCATATGTTAAGTAAATGATCGTGTTGATGTTAACAAGGACAAGAACATATGTTAACTAGCTGTTATGCATGCTAGTCATATGATCGTATTGATGTTAACAAGGACAAGAACATATGTTAACAAGGACTAGTTGTTATGCATGCTAGTCATATGTTAACTATTTTGTTTTATTTTGCTATTTTGTTTTTTTTTTTTAATTTATGTGTTTCGTTTTGTCTCTGTAAATTCGAATTAAAATGTTTTTTCCATCATGTGTAAGTTTAGAGCAAGTGTAACGAAGCAAAAATATCCTGTTTAGAGCTATTTAACCTTTGCAACGACTTCCTAACTTTTTATACAAATCATACCGTAGAAACGATCTCAAGTATAATATTCCTTACAATATAAAATCTTCCCAAATCTAAACTTCATCTTTGACTTCCAAATTTTTCAATACAATCAGGAAAGATATCAAATCCAATGTATCGAAGACCACAAATCCGAGGAACACTGAGTTACCCAATGTATCGAAGACCACAAAGATATCAAATCTAAGTTCCTTGCAGCTTACTAAGACATCTCTAAGGAGAGTTGAGGTCTTTGTCTGACACGTTGTAATACGAATTTGCCATCTTCAAGAAGGGTTACATCATCTTCCATCAAGTTAGTTGCAAGTTGCAAAAATAACCTTGTAGCAATTTTGTAACTTCGTCGAGATCAGCTTCTACCATTTTCCTGAATTTTGGAGTCGCTGTTGCGCCTTCAATTTTTGTGGTACTTTTGAAAAATAAAATTAGGATGGTAATTTTGGTACAAAAACTTATTTTGTGGAATTTTCGAGATTTGCCTTTCAATATTGAATTTAACAATCAAAAATATATAACCAAAAAGAGAAAATACACACATGCCGAAGACTACGGTGATCTTTCGATTATAAAAAGAAACACACAAAGCAAAAGCAAATATGAGAAAGAAACAACAACACACAACAGCAATAAGATTGAACTAGGATCAGCTAAGAAGAGAAATAGAGACTCTTTGCAGTCGAAAACCCTTTGATCAACGATTTGAAGAAGAGATAAAGCTCACGAAGAACCAAGATCGACGAGACTCCTAAAACCACCACCCAAAACACATCCTCATCTGGTGCTATATAGACGATTGCAATCAAATAAGTAGCCACAATCGAGATAATGCAAAGCCTCATCCAATTTCTCAGAGGGAACCCTTTAGTGAGCAGAGAGATCATAGCAACCGAAACCAAGAACCCAATCGCGTTGAAAGAAGCGTAGAGAGTGAAGTAAATTGTTCTGCTCGCCATGACTGCTTGTCCTGCTGTGCTGTTCCTCGGACCGAAAACGTTGTCTATGATTCGTGAAAGTCCTGTCGTGCTTGTTGTGTTGTTGTTCTGTGGACCAGAACCACCACCACTAGCGTCTTCACTCTTGAAAGCTCCTGGAGGCTGGAGGATTCCAGTGAACGTAAGTGTTGCTATGAGTGCTGCAACGATCATTAGTGTCTCGCGTTGTTCAAGAGTGGAGTTAGAGATCTCGTAGTGTAGAAAATTCCGTATCATACGACAAGGGAGTTTACTAGGTCGAATTGGTTTTAGGGTTTCTGCGTTTGTCTCTTGCGTTCTTTGCTTCAGCTGTCTGAAAGATTTGAACAACCCTGTACATTTCGGAAACACTTCCTCCTTCGGTTTCGATAACCACGTCGAGAATGTCTTTTGGTGTTAACCAGTTTCTGTTTTGTCTGTTTACGTCTACTCCACGGATTATTGCGTCTTCACCAAGTAACATCTCCACAATCTGTAGACAACAACAATATTAGAAATATTTGGTAGTCAATGAAATGACGCATGTGCATGTCAACTAAAACTTTTTTTGTCAACAATATTTTCTGTTGTGAAAATATTTAAATATGGTTTTAAGGCTGTAAAGATTATTAAAATATAGTTTAATACAGGTTAAAGTTTTTAAAGTAGATTCATAAGATGAGGTTTGTAAATGAAGAGTAAAGAAGAAGAAACTACTTGCCTGAAGCTGTTTCCCAAGTGTTGCAAGATGCAAGACTGTATTGCCTTCTCGGTTTTCTTGGTTAAGGATCCCCTGCGCATGCGCCATCTTACGAGTCTTGATCTCTTCCAGCAACAGCCTTGTGGCTTCCACTTGATTGTTCTTAACCGCAACATGAAGAGGGGTCTCAAGAGAAGCCGTTACTTCCATGAGTGAGTCAGGGAAAGACGAAACAAGCTCTTTCATGACATCCATTCTTCCTCTCTGTGCAGCGTAATGAAGAGGAATAAAATCCTCTCTATCCTTCAACAAGCAGATCACATCATGATTCCAAACTTTCAAGAGTTCTCTCACAACTTCTAGTTCTCCTGAGGCTGAAGCAATGTGGAGAGGGCTAAACCCTCGTTGGTTCTCCTCCAGGGCTAAACCTGGCTTGAGACTCAAGATTTTCGCCGTGAAGTCGGCTTGTCCGGAGAAGGCTGCGACATGGAGAGGATTCTCAAGAGACGACTGAGAGAGACGGTCGAGAAGCAGAGGATCTTCCTGAAAGAGCAACTCAAGTGCTGATATGTCTCCCTTAGCTGCATCAAACAATCTGTGGTCCATTTATTGCCACCTTTCTTAAGACCCAAGGAATATCCAATCTTTAAAATTAAGGTTGTCCACATTCAGACAAGGACACATCAGTTTATATAATGGAAACATCAGTGAAGAGAATGTGTGATGGTTAAGTTTCCTGGTACATCAAATACCTTCCGTGATTTTAATTACTGAATTTTTAAACTCTGAGATTCGAGAATAATTCTTTCAGTAAGATGATTAAGAACCCAATAAAGCCGAAAATCACCGAATAAGACGCCTAATTATTGGGGTGTTTCTCACTAATCAAAAGCCACTACAATAAACTAGTAAAAAGCTAGTGTAAACACTTTCACTTTCACTATCGATCAGTCCTCACATGTTTAATTTTTTAATATGAGATTCCTTTCTTCTTATGCTTAATTAACACGAGGTGTATAGCTGTAGATTCTCTTTTGACATAGCTAAAATGGCCTGGCCCATTAACTTTAAGCCCATTTGATAAATGGAGTTAATACTTAATAGTGAGATTATAATAAATCATTTGCTATGAAGAAAACTAATGCGCGCGAGAAAAAGAGAGAGTGTGTGTGTGAAAAAAAAAATCAGAAAAGGAGGAAGAAGCCAAAAAAGATAACTAAGAGCCCCAAATACGGCAAGAGCGGTTCGCAAGTCTACCCTACGCCACCTACCGACCCCGTCATTCGCGGCTCACGTTAGCCTCTAACCATGCCCACTACGGTGGTTGCTTCCATCACGAAATCAGCCGCACGTCCCTCACACCGCTTTTTCGCGCCTTTTAATTTTAATTTTATTACTTCTATTTCCACGTGTCGTCATTATCCCGACGGCGCCCCCACCACCCTCCGCCACCACCGTTTAAGGGCTTCCCCTTTATTAACCAACTCAGCTAACGTACGCGTCTGACTAACCCTTATCCTCCGCCACCCACCAATATCATGCGCCCCACCTCCACTCTCTCTCTCCCTTATCTCCTCGATATTACCTGAAGTCGCCGCCGCGAGAAGCCTCCCCATCACAGATTTCACAGCCATTTCCTCTTCAACATTTCTCTTTCTTCAGATCTCGATCTCTCCCGATCTCACCAATTCCAATCCATGTCCGATCCGGATTCTCCATTGGCTCACGAGCCAATTCCCGATCCATCGCCGGAGCGGATCCAATCGTCTCCGCCGCTTACTCACCTCCCGCCACCGTTATCCTCCTCCGCTCCAGGCGATGCCTCGGGAGAATTGAATTCCGCTACCGATCTGACGATCGCCTCAACTCCGGCGACGTCCAAGAGCTCCAGGCGGTTGCCTCCGCCGTGCTGGTCTCTCGAGGAGACGATCGCGCTCATCGACGGGTACCGAGACAAATGGTACGCTCTCAACCGTGGAAACCTCAAGGCGAATCACTGGGAGGAAGTTGCGGAATCGGTTGCGGCGAATTGCCCCGACGCGACGCCGAAGAAAACCGCGGTTCAGTGTCGCCACAAGATGGAGAAGCTCCGGAAAAGGTACCGGACCGAGATCCAGCGGGCGAGATCTGTGCCGGTGGCGAGGTTCGTATCCTCTTGGGTCCACTATAAGCGAATGGAAGCCATGGAGAATAGACCCGAGACGAAACTGGGTAACGAGAGTGGAGAAGACGAGGATCACGACGACGGCAATTACGCCGGCCGGTATCAATTCCGAGGCGGTTCGTTCAAAAACGGCGGAGGTTCAGTCGCGGCGAGGACAACGCCGAGATTTTTTAACAGGAATGGTACCGCCGGATCTGGTGGCGGCGGAGGGAGTAGCAGCAGCGGCGGAATCAGGATTCGGATTCCGACGGGAGTGAGCTTAGCACAGCCCGGCCCGAGATTTCCCGGTAAGATCGATCCGAAATACACGGCGGGTGCTAGCTCCGGCCTCGGTTTAAATCCGAAACCTGGTCGACTCGGAGCAGGATCCAACTACGGAGCTAGAGTTGTGAGAATTCCTGAAGGAGGAGGAGAAGAGAGAGGAGGGAAACGAGGGAGAGAGATGATGATGATGGCGGCGGAGGATGGTGGTGATGCTGATGATGATCCAATGGTGGAGATTGCGAGTGCGATCAAGCTACTTGGAGACTCGTTGTTGAGAACAGAGCAGACGAAGATGGAGATGACGAGAGAGATCGAAGCGATGAGGATGGAGATGGAGATGAAGAGGACGAAGATGATACTGGAGTCGCAACAACGAATAGTGGAAGCATTTGCTAAAACCATGTCGGAGAATACAGAGGAGAGGAAGAAGAAAGCGAGAAGATTATCTTCCTTAGACGCTGACTCGTGATCAAAAAGGCCTTTAAGTTATGTAATTTTCAGTTATAGATTTGTAGTAATCGCAAGAGCTTAATCCTCTGTGCTTCAGTATCTAACTATTGTATGTTGTTGAACTTATGTTAAAAAAAATGTATTAACTTATGTTCTGGTAATAAACTATTTGTCTTGCTTTCCCTTGATAGTTTTACACAGAGAATAAGATTGAATAGTGGCATTAATGGAGTAGTAACCTCTTATTGTCTTCTCTTTCAAGGTAAAAAACAGAGCAAGCATCAAATTCAAACGAAATAGAACCTTGTAACTTGGTTCTTGCTAGTTTTTTTGTTGTTGAAGAAGACCTTTATAAACTGATGGAGCAAATACAAAACACAGCTAAAATCTCTGTTCTTTATAGATATAAAGATGTCATTATTCCAGAGAGAGATTAAAAAAAGAAAAAAAGACCTCTATAGGAAGTGGAAGTGAAGCTTATCATCATCCCACTGAAAAAGAGTCAAATACAGTTGCAGTTGAAGATGCAAGCAAACCAGAAGCTTCCAACAGTCTTCACCGAGGCTATAGCTTAATCCTTTTGCAGCCAATTGCTTCGTTACTGCACAAACTTTGCATTGCCAAAGTTCCTTCCTTCCTAATTTAGCAGCTGCCAAATCTGTTTCATTTACAAATTTATCATTCAGAGGAGACGCAACTGAAATTTGCTATGGAGAAGAAACCTAAGATTACATCACTAAACTCACATTCAGTAGTATGATCCTGGACCACCACCTGGGTAACTACTACCACCCAAGCCACGGCTTGAGTAAATTGAAGAATACGAGCTACCTCCTCCTCCCTGTAAACCCAACCATGAAAAAGTTACACAACTTAACTTTCCCAAACAGAAAAGATAACAAGGATTGTTAATGCCGCTTACATCTCTTCTGGGTATGTCGCCACCATAGCTTGATGAGTACATTCCTCCTACATCGCTGCCACTATAAGAACCTGGAAAAAAAAAAAGGACCATCATGGAATTATAGCCATGTTAGTGTTGGCATCTAGATGAAGTATTGATATATGTTAAGCCACAACAGAAGTTATGAATCAAACCTCCTCCATAGTCCATTCCCTGACGACTGCTGTATGGGCCACGTGAGTCATGACTTGGCATAGGAGGATTTCGGCTGCTTCCATATCCTAGACTAGATCTAGGAGGAATCCTACACCAAACATGCAAGTAAGAAACTATAAATACACTTGAAGTAGACAAAGTTGAAGCCAGAGAGAAACAAAGGAATCCTAAGAAGAAGAACATACCGGTCCCCATACGATTCAGCATATTGAGATGGGCCAATATCATAGTCCAGGCGGGGTCTTGAATGACGAATATCGACTTCAGCATAACGGGGAGGAATGTCATCCTGAATAATAAACACTCGTTCGAATAAACAATCATATAGTTCAACGATCACGGAGCTAGTGAGCCAAATGGTCAGAGAAATTAAATAAATAAGACAGACCAATGCAGAGTATGGCCGTTTTGATCCAGGAAGAGGTTCATAAGCACGAGATCTTCCTTCACTGTAAGTTGGAGGAGGCCTTTCAAATCTCGGACTGTAAAGGTCATCCACGTACGGCCTCCTCATTTCTGTGCGAGAAGAGCTTCTAGGAAGATCTGAATAACCAGAACTACGAGGTGCATAATCATCTCTGTACGACAAATGCCTCTCCGGAGAAAGCCTAGAGCTATGCCTCTCAGGAGAAAGCCTAGAGCTATAGCTCACAGCTGGTCTACTTCTTGGAGGAGGAAGATCATCACGTCGACCATAGTCCCTCTTCAAGCTAGCCTTTGGATACGGAGGAGCTGCAAAACAATATTTGGAAGATATGATCAACAGAAAGAGAGAGAAAACGATAACTGAACATGGAAAAACAACAAGTCCCGTGGTACCTGGAGGTCTTCTGTCATATGACCTAGCAGGTGGTGACAAGGGCCTGGCTCTTGCAGGTGGTGGTAAGGGCCTGGATCTTGCAGGCGGTGGCAATGGCCTGGATCTTGCAGGAGGAGGTAGAGGTGGGCGTGGACGTCTTCCTCTTGATCCAGCGGCTCTCTTTGAACTAGGAGGTGGGGCCCGAGATCCAACGCCTCTAGCACTCCTAGAGGAAGCAAGGCTACGAGGTGGTAGACGAGCCAATGAACTCCTTCCAGACCGTCCACTCCCATGCCTAGACCGGCGGTCTGGGCGACTGGACTGTCTCGCTCTACCGGTTCTCTGAAGTGGCCTAGATAAGCGTGCTCTCACTTTTGACTGGAAAGATAGAGAGGAATTAGCAAGCAAGAAAATACTTGCGTGGACAAGGATAACACATTATAGAATATGAATACCTTGTCCTCGCCTTCGCCTAGCTCTGTGTTGTTGATGAATTTGGTACAACTCACAGCAGCGTCATGAGTATCAAAAGTTACAAAGCCAAAATCTTTCCTCCTGGCTGATGGCATAGTACGCGCAAGCTCAATTTTTTCAATTTTACCATATCTTTTCAAAAGGTCTCTAACACGCTCTTCATTCCATGACGGTAACATACCATCAATGAAGATAGTCTTAACCTGTAAAACCAGAAAATCAATGAAACTAGGTATAATAGATTCACCAACAATCAATAATCCAGTATGTCGTTAGAGGGCCAGAAGGAAAATGTATTTAGAAAGCTACCATTCAGAAACGGTAAAAAAATAAAATAAAAAACAACCCTAATGAGTGAATAGGTGGTGGCACTCACGCCTACCACTATAAACTCCTCCAACGCTCTAAAGAAGACATGGTAGGATGGAAGTTGCAACAAATAAATGATCCTGCATTGTGAGTACCTGCGCCATTATCTCATCTTCCGGATCTAAGAAGGAATCTGCAAAAGAAACCTTTGCAGGCTTCTCAACTCCAAACATCACATCTTTCTTGAGGAGGCGTTTGTGAGCATCCATGGCCTCTGAGCGAGATGAGAATTCCAAAAACGCACACCCACGATTCATGCTGACATTGTTGCTGTCCTCTACCAAAGCTATAGCATCCATATTCTCAACGCCGTATTGTTTCAGCTTCTCCCTCAGCTGAAACAACAGCAAAGGCCCAATGGTCAAGATTACCACGAACTGTGGAATTGGGTTTTAATTGACATATCTACGGACAGCCGAATACTTACAGCTTCTAGTGTCCAGGTCTTGGATATGTTACTAATGTAGAGGGTATCATTATCTTGGCTTGCAGTTACACCACACTTTTTACCGTTGATCTGCAGTCCCAATGACCAAGAGCATTGATATACAATGTAAAGCTACACAAACTCTCCATCAAATACTAAAGTGTAGACGATTTACCATTGGGTTTTTAAGCTCTTTAACAGCTCGTTTTGCCTGTTCCACAGTTGCAAAACGCAGGAAAGCATACCCTTTGCTCTTCTTTGTTTGCGGATTCTTCATAATCCTAATCTCAGTCACCTCGCCCACGTGGCCAAAAACTTTCTTCAAGTCCTCCTCCGTAGCACCTCTGTCCAAGCTTTCAACGAAAATCTCAAGCTCCTTACGCTTACGTCTCTCTTGGAGAACATCCTGATGCTCTTCTTCTTCCACATCAACAGTTTCTCCACGCTTGGCTTCTTCAACAACATGCTCATCCTCACCTTCACTCTCAAGCTCCTCAGCAAACTCACCAGCTTCGTCCTCCAAGACTTCCATCTCCTCCTCCTCCACTTCGTCGTCCCCCTCAGGTTCCAACTCCTCATACTCCTCTTCCACTTCTCTCTCTTCAAACTCCTCCCCATCATACTCTTCAGCCTCATACTCTGGTTCATTGTCATCCAAATCCAATCTCTCATCTTTTTCGAAATCATCCACAGATTCCTTTACCTCAGTCTCCTCTGCGAGTAAAAGCGAGTAAAACATCTACACTATTCCATGTAGCCTAAAGCTTGTTTCAGAGATAACAACCCCAGAAGACTCGTCTATCTCCAAAATAAATGAGAAGACTTTAACCCAAAATTGATCATCCAAATTAAAATATAAACATTCTATTGTCAGATATATGTTAGAAGGACTAAGCCACGAACTCTCGTTAAAGCTAACACGACAATCCCAAAAACGAGGCAAATTTCAAAAACGACTGATTTAAATTTAGGCTCAAAGAATCTTACTTTTGGACAATTCGACGTTATCCGGATCTGCTGCAGCTTCAGCATGATCGAGCGAATCCGATGGCTTCGTCAAATTCAATGGAGTCTCTACCTCCTTCGCTTCCACAGCATCGGAGCCAGATAGGTCTCCGATATTAACGGATTCTTCATGGGCGGATTCTGTCGGCAGATTCTGCGCCTTGAGGGCCGATCTAGTAAGCCTCCCGCCTCTTCTAGCGGCGCCTCCCCTTTTCAATGCCTTCGGTGGCATGTTGTTCACCAATCAGACCAATTCAACCTAATTCGAAGAACAGAGATCAGAATTAAGCCACACGATTATCACGATCGATCAAATCCTAGCTCCGCGGATCAACAATTGAATGAAATCTGAGGAGATAGAGAAGAAACCCTAATTGGCGGAGAGATGAGAGCCTGAGCTTGTTGGATTAAATAAAAATAAATTAAATTAAATAAAGATACTCGATAAAACATAAATAAAAGACGTGGCGATCAAGCTTTTTTACTTCGGTCTTGTCCGAAAAAAAGGAAAAATATAGGCAAAATGGGCTTAAGGCCCAAATAAAGACCATAAGCCCCAATGTGAAGAAGGTACTTACGTACCGGTTGTACCGGTTTAGACATAAAATCGCCGGATTGTATTCGATCGTAAAACCGGTTTATATATTAGTCTTGAATCTTGATCTTGGAGATTGCAACTCAAAGAGACAAGTATTGATCATTTACATTTTATACATAGCTTATAAGTAAGTAACTAAATGGTTACAACAACACACTCTCTGCTACAATAACGAAGCATACTAATCTGCAGATTTTCATCTGCAAAGAGTCACACTAAGAAAATTAAAAAGAAAGCAAGACAGAGATTTGAGTAAGTCAAAGAAGCTTGAGATCAAAGAGCATGGCAGAAACCAAAATTTCTCTTTTGTTTCTTGCTCTTTAAAGGAGGCTGTAAAACTACTTTTATCGCTGCATCAAACACCGCCTTAACATTCTGCAAGATCATCATCATTATCATCATCATCACAACAAGTCTTTCTTTAGCAGATTGAGCTATAAAAAGATTTGAGTCAAGTGTAAAAGTAACCTGTTGTGTTTTTGAGCTGCACTCTATGTATGTTAATGCTCCTATCTCTTTTCTTAGTTCTTGACCCTAAAAAAGAAATAATCTTTTGGAGTTATATAAAAAAGATTCTTCACTTAGTTATGGTCATTCATTTGAAGTAGAATATTAAGGAAACATACTTGTTCGGTGGAGATTGTGCAAGCACCTGGAAAATTCATTGGAAACTGCTTGTCTTCTCTTAGATCTGCAATAGCAAGAGTTTAATCTTACATATTAAACCTATTACACTTAATGATGAGACTCCTAACACTTTTAAGACATAATGGATTCATGAGTAATTTCTTCAACCTAGTTTAGTTCCAACGAGAACAATAGGCACGTTCGGGGCATAATGTCGCAGCTCAGGGACCCACTGCGAAAGAAAATCGATCCACAAGCCAATGAGATGGTGTGAATGTGATGAAGTTATTACATTGAAGTGAAACTGAAGGAGAAAAGAAAGAAGAAAGTGTTAACCTTTTTAGAAACGTTCTCAAAGCTAGGCCTGCTAATAAGAGAGAAGGTGAGAATGAAAACATCTGCTCCTCTGTAACTCAGTGGTCTAAGCCTATTGTAATCTTCTTGACCTGTAAATATAATAAAACACCACAAAATTCCATAATTGGTCTAAATCTCTTTTGATAGTGAAATCAAGAACCAAAGCAATTTTGCATCATATGACTAGCAGATCAATAAGCCTCACTGTAAAGATTCAACTTTTTTTTGTTTACTACTTTGGAAACTACAAGATAAGAGGGAAATAAAGTCAAAAGTAACATTTTTGTGAAAGGGTCGAAATTGACACATTGTTGAGGATAATAATAAATCTAAAGACAAGAACAATTTTTAACAGAGTAAAAACATTTTACCAGCAGTGTCCCAGAGACCCAGATTGACAGTTTTGCCACCGACTAAAACATTTGCACTGAAATTGTCAAACACTGTCGGAACATAATCCTGTAACAACGAGAACAGCATTCACCACAATGCCCAAAAGCCATTAGAAAGAAAAAGGAAATCTAAGAGAAAGGGAGAGAGATGGATACAGTGGGAAAAGTGTTGCTGGTGTAAGAGATAAGAAGACAAGTTTTGCCTACAGCTCCATCGCCAACAGTGACGCACTTTATAAATGTTGTAGCTGCTGTTGTCGGTGTTGCTACTGTTGCTGAAGCCACTGAAGCTGACATTGATTGATAAAACTCTCTGTTTTTTCCTCTTCTCTCTCTCTCTCTTTCTTTCTGTGCTTCTTTCTGGTTAAGTGAAGAAAGAGGAGGAGAATTTCAAATGAAAAGCTGCAAGATTTTTGGAAAGAGTGGAAAATAAAGGAGTCAACTTTAATTTGAGCTGTCAGAGAGGCAAAAGCCTAAAAGTCACTATTTTAACTCCTTTTAATTTTGGTGGGTTTTGTTTGTTTTCCGTTTTAGACTTGCTTTATTTCATCTTTCGTCCAAAATTCTTATGTCCCCGTTTCCTCAATATAACGAAAAAAAATCAAAGCTCCATGACTTTTCCAACAATAGAATACAAAGTAGAATAAGTGTAGTTTACATGTTCAATATGGTTTGGTGTGTAGTCATTAGTCACTACTCAACTCAGTTTATGTCATAAATGAATTGAAGTTGTAAAAAAAACAATTAGAATAACCGATTTAGTTTTTCGATTATAAAGTTTAGACAATGGATCGACCACCAAACAGCTCATCATGAACAAGAAGCAAATGCAAGTCAATTATTACTACAGTGTCCATACAAAAATAGAAAAAAAGTTAACTTTATTATTCCTTTCTTCCTAAGACATGACTAAGAGTCTCTATGATACATAATCATAGTTAAATCGTACTAAGATGATCAGAGAGAGCCACAAAACAAATATTTCCTTCTCAAGAAGGCCCAATAAGGAAAGAAAAGCCCATTTGTAATAACAGAAATATAAAAAAAAATGAAAAATCAAAGAGAAGAAAACAAACAGTAGAGATTAGAGACGGAGAAGAAACCACAGGGGAAAAGCAGAGCACTCTTTACCTCTTTTCTCTCTTCTCTCTACTCTGTGATCAACAAAATTAAATTAAATTAAAAAAAACCCTAGATTTCTCCGCCTCTCTCGTTTGTGTGATGATAAGAAAGTCCGAGACTTTGAGAATCTAAGCTCAATTAATCTTCCTGGGGGGAGGGGAATCGAATCGAGTTATGTACAAGGATCGGAGTGGAGGAGGAATAATGGGTGGTGGTGGATCGTCGAGATCGGAGATCCTCGGTGGAGCTATTGATCGGAAACGGATCAACGATGCTTTAGACAAACACCTCAAGAAATCTTCGCCTTCCACATCTAGGGCTTTCACTACTTCCAAAGACAAAGATTCTTCCTTCCCTTCGACTTCCTCTGCTAAATCTCAGCTCCATTCTCGCTCACCTGAAGGTTTGTGCTTTGCTTTTTAAAAATCTCAGCTCAATTTAGAGAAAGTTATGATTTTTGGGTTTGGGTCTTAATTTGGCAGTTGAATCTGACACGGATAGCGAAGGATCGGATGTGAGTGGCTCGGAAGGTGACGACGACACGTCGTGGATCTCGTGGTTCTGTAATTTGAGAGGGAACGAGTTCTTCTGTGAAGTGGATGAAGATTATATACAAGACGATTTCAATCTCTGTGGATTGAGTGGTCAAGTTCCTTACTATGAGTATGCGCTTGATCTTATACTAGACGTTGAGTCATCAAACGGTAAGTGTGAATTGTGAAAACGTCCATTTGAGTAAAGTTAGGTTTTTTTTTTACTTTTGCCTTACTAATTTGAGGGAATGAGTGTTTTTGGGGGAATTTAGGAGATATGTTTACTGAAGAACAGAATGAGATGGTGGAATCAGCTGCTGAGATGTTGTATGGTCTCATTCATGTTCGTTACATTCTCACAACCAAAGGAATGGCTGCTATGGTAAGTAGTGAAAAAGAGAGATCTTTTCATCTTTTAGTTTCTTGTTTCTCCATTGATCTTTTTTCGTGAATGAACCTCTCTCTCTCTCTCTCTTTGTAGTTGGAGAAGTACAAGAACTATGATTTCGGGAGGTGCCCGAGAGTGTTTTGCTGCGGGCAGTCTTGTCTTCCGGTGGGGCAATCTGATGTCCCGAGGTCGAGCACGGTGAAGATTTACTGCCCGAAATGCGAGGATATTTACTACCCTCGATCTAAATACCAAGGCAGTATCCTTTATTCCTTTTATAAAGCATTGAAGCATTCTGTTATTGGTTTTTGGTTTGGACATTTGTTTGCTGCTGGAAGATAGACGAAAGAGTTGTTTTTGTCTACTTGTCTTAGTGTGTTTTTTGTTTCCTTAATGATCATTGCAGACATTGATGGAGCTTACTTTGGGACTACATTCCCTCATTTGTTTCTCATGGCCTATGGGAACATCAAGCCGCAGAAGGCGACTCAGAGCTACGTTCCTAAAATCTTTGGGTTTAAGGTACACCACAAGCAGTGATGATACTCTCTCCTCTCTCACCAGTGTCCAGTGAGTTGATGGATGACAAAATCTCGGTGGCTGAGAAGAGAAGAGCTATAGCTTATAGTTGGAGGATGAGAAGAGCTATAGCTTATAAGGAAAAGGTGGAAACTTTGAGTTATTGTGTATGTAATCTCGGGAGTTGTCAGGAGAAAAACTGATCTTATATAGAACATGGGTTGGGGAAATTCTTTACCTGTGGGGGGAGATTCAATTAAAATCATTTATAGATATGGTTTGGGTTTTGCTTCAACTGTTTGTGTATAATTTGCTGAGAATTTATGTGTCTTTTTCCTGAGTTTTATGATTTTTCAACTCATCTTTATTCTCGTGAATCATGACTCCATAAAAATAAACTATCACATGAAAATTAGAACGGAAACACAGTAACAAACTATGAGAAAAGAGATCGTTGCCATTCTTGAAGCGTGGAGATTTACACTAAGAACGAGTGTACATAATAAATATCTGATGATGTACTTTTTTCATAGAAAGTGGGAAGTGTCGACATTCAGTTCAACAATGGCTTACGTAGAGAAGGTGGCAAGTGTGAATCAGCACTTAAAAGCCCATTTTGGGCCCAAAAGATCTCTCCTTTTCACTCATGTTGAACCGCCGGAGTTTAAAATTAGACGTCGGATAGTGCATAGCGCAAAGAACAATCAGAAGATTTGTTTTCACGACCAAAAAAATCAGAAGATTTGTTTTTCTTTCAAGAAATTGTAATTTAACTCCGGATTAGTGAAATTTCTTTGCTTCTGAGAACTTGACAAGACCAGTTTGAATAAAATTATGTCGATTTATAAGCTTAGATCATAGGGAAGACAAAAAAAGATTGAATTTAGAACATAGTATGCTCTGTTTCTTGTGGAACATCAAACAAAATTTAAACCCCAGAGAACAAAACTAATTACACAGCCAAAACGATGGCCATCTAGCTCTGTCTCTCTCTCTCTCTCCCTCACCCAAACTCCCACATTCATTTACATAAAAACCAGATCCACAAAGTTCTCAGATTCCGTTTCCCTTTTGCATCTCCGATCCAGTAAAAGATAACAGAAACAGAGCAAAACTTTGCAGGTTTTTTAAGAGGGTTTTTTAAAAGGATATAGCTTTTTAGAACAAAAAAGGGTATATATAGAAAAAAGCTATTTGCTTGATTTTTTCTTATGTAAATAGAAAATTTCTACTATCATCATCATGCCACCACCAGAGTTCCCGTCCGTACGGCTTTTCCGGCGGCGGAATCTTTCCCTGCTTCTGATGATTTTTTCCGGAGCGATCTCGCGGAAATTTTCCAGCTTTTCTCTTTCGCTTCATCGGACTCAATCTGTTCTTCTCTACACTCTTTGCTACAAAACGCCTTGTCCCCTCTGTAAAATTACCCAAAAATCAAAAATCAATAACAATTACCCAAAATCAAAAATCAATAACAATTAAACGCATGTAATGAAATTTAAAGGCAAACACTTAAGATATTATAGATAAAAGCAGATCCAGAATCAGATTTGTTTAAGTACCTGTACATGAAGATATCGGTGTTGAGACCGAGTGGTTTACGGCAGAGAGAGCAGGATTCTAGAAAGTGTGGCTCTTCGCAACCCAAATAACCGGAGTAATATGAAGCCATTGCTAATATTAATCTTTTAGAAAATCAAACGAAATCGACTGCAGAAGCAGATTCGAGATTCAGAGCTCGGAGAGAAGAAGAAGTAAGAAGGAAGGAAGGAGGAGGAGGAGAAAGCTTGTTGATTTGGTGTCCATATATAAAGCCGGTTATCGGACTTTTTGGTTGACTAGAGTGAATCACCTGTGCCGTGGACCACTATAGTTTCTGTGGTGTACGTTACATCTTGACCGTTCGTCGATGCCTTTAGCTCCATCTGGAAAGATCTATACGTTAAAGTTCAATAATTCATTACTTTAACTTTGTTCTTGTCTTTTTGTGTCAGGTAAAATTACTAGATTCTGTTTCTGGTTTATTTTACCGCGGAAATACACTGAATCAAACTCTTTGTCCGTACCAGTTATTTGTTTATGTTTAACGAATTTCAAGTAAGTTTTATTTTATTTTTTCATTTCTCCGGCACAAAAGTTCATACAAAAAAATTTAAATCTTTGATATATCGTGGAGCAATTAAGAATACTAGTAGTATCTTATTTTTTAGCAATACAATAATTTGGGTGGATCTCGTTCGACGAGAGGAATCAAACAAGTCTTGCGTTTGTGAGATTCGTTGGCCACAATAACATGCAAAACGCATGATTGATGGACCTTTCCCAAATATAAAATTAATAACATTTAATGAAAGTTTATAAATTTTGATTTTTATATAGTATTACTGATATTTTAGGTTTTTAAACTGTTCCCGTGTGTTTGTGAATGTACGTAATGCGTTCATAGGATTCATCTCCCCTGGACAATGTTTCATTCCATGTGTGTGAATTTATAATCGCTTCTCATTTGTTTATTGCTTTACTTGTTTAATTAATTCCTCTTATGGACAGTAACGTTTTTTAGTTACTATACTATAAGTGAATCATTTTGTTTGTATTTTTATTGAGACAAAACATCTTTATACACGTGTTAAGTTCCATGTGAAAGGAAATCCAGAAATGACATTGGCTGAAATTAAATCTCTTTCAAAAGTAAATATTTTATTTATTCTTACATTATTCTGGAATTTACAAGAGATTATCTAGTCAGTTGGAAATTCTGTAAAAAACATTGCCATTTGCCATAGATTTCTGTTCAAAAGTAAAAAGCAAATTCCAAAATACGATCTATCAAGTAGTCAAAAAGTGAATGTACTTTGAGTTTCTATATGAAAGTCATACGTTACATTCACTTACCATTATACTTGTAATAAAACGAGCAAAAGCGTGACCGACCTATTTTGTTCGACGTAATAAACTTGATGTCACCATAGTCCGATTCTCGTTTATCATTTTTAAATGCGTACCGATACGTGTCCCATATGTGAACTTCAAACTTCTACATATAAAAATTCCAATACCGACTTAGAATTAAAAACATTGTAACGTACGATTTTGAGTCATATAATAATATTTCATGTTGGAATTTCAATTAATAACACAAACATCAGACTTTGGACTTTTTCAAATCAATGGTAAGAAAACACTTCTATCATACAAATAGTACTAGTTTTTTTTTAATGTATTTGATAAGATCACGTCAAGCACTCAATGTTTCTGAGTAAGCAATGACTCACATTACAAACGGCAAACCAATAATATAAACTTTCTATAAAAAACGTATACAAAAAAAAACAAAACAAAAGCGTAATAATACATACAAAAAGAAAGTTGTATCATGATCAATAATAATAAAGTTCCAAAAAAGAAGGTGGCCAGGATCAGGACCACACAACTTGTCATCTGTCGATACAACAAGGCCTTCGAGTGGGGAAAAACGGGTCCCACAAGAAGTTTGGGAATATCAAACGAGGAGCTGACTAGACAAAGGACTAATTAGTTACGGGTCCCACACTCACCTCTCAAAGGCCCAATTATCAACGTCCTTGTCTCTCGGGCCCATGACAGCTGCCCTTGTACCCCGTTTTCCCTACCTTTTATTTTTTCTTTTTCAATTTTTATTTCTTACACACCTGCCGTTGACACGTGTGGTGATCCTCGCTCGTGCGCCAGCTAAGCTGGGAGTTTGTGCTACGTGGCGGCGCTTAAGATTGCATGAGGAATTAATTCTGTTGTTTTAATTCCTACGGTCAGGATTTGATCTAAGAGAATCCTTGGATGTATCGTATAGCCGTTGATTTTATTGCCGAATGATCTCAGCCAAAGATCAATTTTCGATTGTCTAAGGTGATTGATTGGTTCTCCCGCAAACGCAGCGTTTGCGGTTTGCGGTTCTTAGCGTTTTATAACAATCACGACAACCGCTTTCAACCGCTCTATACCACTCTGTACCGCTCTATATCGCTGGAAATCAAAAGCTCCTTTCCGCAAGCGTTTGCGGTTGCGGGCGGTTGCGGTTTGAAAAAAAAAAAAAAAACATAATATCTCCAAATTTGGAATAAGGGTATATTTTTTTGAAAAATACCATAATTATGTTTAAAAATTTCGAAAATACCTAAATTTTTTCTGTTTTGAAAAATACACTTTTAAAATGTAAAAAGTCTGTTTTGACGTGATTTAAACAAAAAATAATAAATAATTACAAATTAAAAACGAAAATTTAAAAAAATAATAGAATTAATAAGTTTTTTTTCAATAAATACAGTATATGTTAAATTGAAACAAATTTTAATATTTTGGACCTTTATGTAAACAACTTAACCTCATACACATTCCAACCAAATGAAACTTTAAATAAATTAAAACTTTACATATTTTAAAGTTTATAAATTATTAAAAATTTAAAAATGGAGAAATATATCTTTCATTTTTAATGTTTATCTTTGAAAAATTTAAATATTTTTGAAACTTTATATAAACAACTTTAATCTCACCCCATTTAAACTTTATATAAATAATCTTATATTTTTATTGATTTTTAAAAAAAAATCTAAACAGGTAATTAGGATGGTTTAGTATGTAAAATGATACAAAATTATTATCAAATCTTAATATTTTATATTTCTTATTTGAATTTCGTTTTTATTAAATTAGTTAAAAAGTTCAAATTAGGAATAATCATTTTCACATATAAAAAGTGTATTTTTCAAAACCAAAAAAAATAAGGGTAGTTTTCAAATTAAAAATTAATCAAAGAATATATTTAAAAAAAATCTATTAATAATATGGTTATAAATGTTTTAAATAATTATATATTATTTTATTTTAGTAACTTTTGGTTAAACCGCTCTTGCACCCGCTGGTTAACCAGTCAAAAATATCCCGCAAACGCAACCGCTATGAATTGCTATACCAGTCGTACAAACAGCTTTTAATCGCAAACTCCCGCTTCCGCAAACTCCCGCAACCGCAAACTCCCGCAACCGCAACCGCAGCGTTTAAACCAGTCAGGTCCTAACTCTAGGCTCTAGCCACTAGCTACTTCCTTTTAGGCGGTTGAAAAGGTAGGAAAGATTATTTCTGGTTGAACCGGGTTTAAACGTTACAATCACTTAAGCCAGTAATGCAGTACCATGTGTACAACTACACGTAACTTCAAAGAATGGGCTGTAACGTGGCCCAAATCAGGCCCATATTATCGGGTTTTGTAATTAACGGTCCGTAACGTTTTCAGTCTATCGGTGCCGAGATGGAACGCCGGAAGAGCAATGACCGACGAATTCTGCTCTGCTTCTTCGCCGTGGCCACCGCAGTGAAACTTCTTCTCATTCCGTCGTACCGGAGCACTGATTTCGAGGTTCACCGTAACTGGCTCGCGATCACACACTCTCTTCCTCTCTCAAAATGGTACTTCGACGAGACAAGCCCATGGACACTAGATTATCCTCCCTTCTTCGCATACTTCGAACGCTTCCTATCGATTTTCGCGGGTCTAGTCGATCCCAGAATCGTAGATCTCCAATCAGGACTCGATTACAGCGCCGATTCTGTAATCTACTTCCAACGGATCAGCGTGATCGTCTCGGATCTATGTCTTCTCTTCGGTGTTTATAGATTGACTCGGAAACTGGATCCGATTAAGCGAAATCTGATCTGCGCGTTGGTGATTTGGTCTCCTGGGCTGTTGATCGTAGATCACATTCATTTTCAGTATAACGGATTTCTACTTGGCTGGTTGTTGCTTTCGATTTCGTTTTTGCAAGATGGGAGAGATCTGCTGGGTGGGTTCTTATTCGCCGTTCTGCTTTGCTTCAAGCATTTGTTCGCCGTTGCTGCTCCGGTTTACTTCGTTTACCTCCTCAGGCATTATTGCTGGTCCGGTTTAGCTACCGGTTTCCGACGGCTTGTAACTATTGGTGCGGTGGTTGTGGCGGTTTTTGCCGCCGCCTTTGGACCTTTTATCTACTATGGACAGGTTAGTGTAAGCTCTTCTTTCTTTCATGGACAATGTTGATAAATATACCCAAATTCTTCAGCGTTCTAGTTAGAGATTCTCTTGTTCTTGATGTCTAGAAGATTGTAACTCATTTGTTAGTGATTGATTTGGGGAAAAGTGTTAGAATTTGTTGGAGAAAGCCAATGCCAATGTTTAAACTAATGGAAATGTATAATCAGTGAGCCTCTGTATAGAAAATCAGACCTTTTTTCGTGAATTAGAGCTATTGAGAACGCATTCTTATGGTGGTAGTGTTGTTTCAGATGAAGCAAGTCATGAGGCGAATGTTTCCTTTCGGGAGAGGACTGTGCCATGCATACTGGGCACCTAACTTTTGGGTTTTCTACATAATACTCGACAAAGGACTTGCCTTTTCGCTACGAAAGCTCGGATTCGAAATCCAGATTCCTTCCGCTTCTTTCACTGGTGGATTAGTCGGGGATTCTTCTCCGTTTGCAGTTCTTCCTCAGGTATTGTCAATGATCAGATTCTTGTTGTCTATTATACCTCTGTATGTTCTGCTCTGACTTGTTTTCTTTGGATTGGTTTCAATGACACAGATCACTCCATTGATAACATTTGCAATGGTATTACTCGCTGTAACTCCGTGTCTCCTCAAGGCGTGGCAAAAACCACAGCCTGGGCTTGTTGCTAGATGGATAGCTTATGCAAATACATGCGGGTTTCTGTTTGGATGGCACGTCCATGAGAAAGCATCGCTTCACTTCACCATCCCACTTGCAATCGTCGCAGTGCAGAGCCTCGAAGATGCTAAACACTACTTTCTTGTTTCCATAGGTATGTATATAAGAAACTCCTTTACAAGAACAATCAATGATTCCAATGTGCTGATATGTATTTCTCCTGCAGTGTCTTGCTATTCGCTCTTTCCACTTTTATACGAGCCGCAGGAATACCCGATCAAGGTTCTGCTGCTGTTATTGCACTCAATGGTAATGTGGCTCGGCTTTGCGGCTCAACACGCAGATGAGAAGAAGGCTCTTAAGAAGAAGAAGGAAGCTGGTGAGATCAAGAGCAAGTTTGAGATTGGATGTGTTGAGAAGAGCTATCTAATGGGTTTGGTGGTAGTAGAGATAGTGTCTCAGTTCTTGCATCCGTATTTTCTAGGTGACAGATTTGCATTTATGCCTTTGATGTTGATCTCAACGTATTGTGCCGTTGGTATCATGTACTCTTGGATTTGGCAGCTCCAGAGGATCCTCACATGACATGACAGAGATTCTTGATTCTGCTTCTAGTAACTTAACACTTGTAATTTTTAGTTTTCAATGATAGCTACTACTTGATTTCTCTTTCAGACCAAAAGACGACTGGGTCTTATAATAGTTAAGGTTAAACGGATAAACCATTAATGGGCCGTGATATTGGCCCAAATAAAAGCATAAGAACCAACGAGAAACCTCCTCGAGCCGAAGTTGGTAACGGAGGAAGAAGATCTCTGCTGCTTCTGCTAAAAAACCTTATCTTGCAATGGCTTCCACTTTCGTTTCTCTACCAAAACCCTTCTTTGCTTTTCCGGTCAAAACCATTTCTCCTCCTTCAGCTAATCAGAAGCTTCTCGGTACTGAGACAAATCTGAAACTTGTTATGAAATGCTTTTCTGGTTCTCCGATAATGATTTTTGTTTTTCCGACATGTGTCTCCAGGGACTCGAAGAGGTTGTCTTAGAATCAAAGCGATTTCAACGAAATGGGAACCGACAAAGGTACTGCCTTTTTTCCGGTGAAGTTTAATCGAAAGTGTATTCATTACGATGTCTTAATTCGTGGATTGTTGAAATGATCAATTGTAGGTTGTTCCTCAAGCTGACAGGGTTCTTGTTCGTCTTGAAGAGCTTGCTCAGGTCTATCTCTTAGCTTCTCTATTATCTGAAATGTCATGATTCACAAATTAAATTAAACTGTAGTTGATTAGTCGTAAATTGCAATTCAATTGCATAAACAATGGATTATTGAGATCATTTGGTTGATGTGATTGTGCAGACAACCACAGGTGGAGTATTGTTGCCTAAAGCAGCTGTAAAGTTTGAGAGGTACCTAACAGGAGAGGTAAGGCCTTTGCTTCGTATGTTATAATGTATATAGGGATCATATATGACTTGAGAATCTTTGAGTATGGTTTTAATTGAGATTATGAAACCATCATATTATTTATAGGTCGTCGCTGTTGGTTCTGAGGTTGGAGAACAAGTTGGCCCTGGAAAGAAGGTAAGTTTCTTCTCTTAACTCGTAAGTGATAATCTTCATCATCCATTGTAAACTAGTGTGAATGTTCTTCATTTGTTTTCATTTGCCTTTTCACAGGTTCTCTTCTCTGACGTGAGCGCTTACGAGGTTAGTTAAATTAGCTTCTCTTCGACTGCAATGAATTTTGATCATAGTTCTTGTGTTGGATTTTGAATCTTGAGTTTATTATTGATCTTGATCAGGTCGATTTGGGAACCGGTGCTAGGCACTGCTTTTGTAAAGAGAGCGACTTGTTGGCCCTCGTCGAGTGAAGATAATCTTGTCACGTTTCTTGAAGGTTTTAGATATTCCTTGTAATTTTCTTTTTTCAGACAGACATTTCTTTCTTGTTTGTCACAGAAATCGTTTTGAGACAGTAGTCATAAGACTCAGAGGCAAAAAAGATCTTCCAAAGATAAACTAAACTTGTTTTTGCCATTTCTAGCATCTTCTGATACAAATGTTAAAAGGGGAAAGGACACTAAAATCAAAACTCAAAAACTCGTAGCTCGATCATGCCTTCTTTTCTCTTGGGAGAATACCAAGCCACGACCTTTCCCGATTCAAGAAGCCTCAAGGAGTAATTCAAACTGTAAATCAGATCTTCCATTTGTGCACCAAACTTTCCTCCACCAACCTGAAACTGCGAGTCTACTTTGAAAACAATCGGACCAGCTACCTGCAACATAGTAGCACAAGAAAACAAACTGATACACACGAAAGACATACACTTTTGATCTTTGGAGAGAAGCTAATAATTACCTGTTGCTGGAATATCAGGTTGAGTCTTGGAGCCCACAACGTGTCATCTGATTTGTTACTTGAAGATCTTCTAACAGCATGGAAGATTCTTTTAGCAAGAGCAGAAGCTGAGGAAACGTCAAGACGAGCATCTACTCGTGTTAGATCGCCATACAGCTTACTAAACCGGCCTTTCTGGAACGTGTAACAAGCAGAACCAAACAAGTCTGCGCTTATTGGACTCCTCTTCTTCCCATTAACCAACATCCCTCGTCCTGTAATCCAAGCCGCCAAGCTACTACCTAGAGAGTGTGTAAAGTAACATTGAGTGAGAACTCACCAATTCAAATCCAAGATTCAAGAAAAAAACGAAAGAGAGACTCGTTTAAGACGAAACAGTTACCTATGATTCCTGAAATTGCTGCATGAGGCTCTTTGAGACGTATATCGTAAGGCAGGAAAACAGGTGTGTCTTCGGCTTCTTCTTCTTCTGTTTCCTCTTGTGGCCTCCACAAGTCTCTGTTAGCCTTGTATGAAACTGCAGCCTTAGCGCATAAACCAGGCAACAAAGAAGTGGGAGCATCACCACCACCACTCTCAGCAGCAGCAGCATTCACAGGCTTTGGATTACCCCTGCCATTGTGCACACCAAACCGGTATCTAAGCCCGGATTCTGGAGCTAGAGACGAGACGTCGAAGGATAACGATTCAGGAACATCCCAGAAACGTCCTTTATGATCCAAAAACAAGTCAGGCCAAGCTGCTTCCACAGTGAGATCATGCTTCTCAAGCTGAAAAGAGTTAAAAAGAGTGCTTTAAACATACAAAGAATCATCCATCATGAGTGTGTAGATAGATGCGTACCGGATGAACAAACATCAACTTCTTTCGGAGTCCGGCTTTATCTCCAAGCCGCTCAGCGCTAAGCAAGAGAGAAGAAGAAGAGCCTAACGCAATCTGAGTCCATAAACCAATTGAGTAAAGGGATTTGTCAACAATGTGTTTCGTTGTATCCTTGAGAAGCTGGAGATCCCATTCCTCTGAATTGGTTATATCTTCTTTGATATCAGCAAAGAGCTTCCTTGGTTTGAATTGCCCTACCAATCCTAGCCACCTACACACAAATTCGAGTGATAATGCCAAATCAATCTCTCAATTTTGCTTTCCTATTTCACCAATTTGATTATCCACTCACGCAAAAACCAGAAGTCAAAGTGATTTTCTCCATTAGAGGTTAAGAGGAATTACCAGTTGGAAGAGGAAGGGCTGAGCAAGAGAGAGTTGAGGGAGAAAGAGCCGAGTCTCTTCTCGGGAGAAGGAGAAAAGGAAGGGATGATTCCGAGAGGGAAGCCTTCGCGGAGGAGAGAGAGCTGCTGAATCCGGTGAGAGCGGCTGGCTCGTGCACCGTCGACGGGAAATGGCTCGCCGGGAACAGAACGGGCCGTGCCTTCTAAGGTCTGCGGCGAAGAAATGTTCTGGTCCCAAAATACTGAATCAATTGCTGAGTTGAGATTCGCCATTTTTCTTTCTTCTTCTGCTTTCTTCTTCTCCTTCCTTATCTCTCCTGTCAACGAAACAGAGGTTTAAGCTTTAGCATGGGCCTTCTCTTTTACTGTTATGGCCTTTTTCATAAGTTACAATGGGCCTTTCCCGTAATGAGCAAATTATGTAATTCTTATATTCGTAACAGACCGGGATTAAACCGAACCGGATAATCTTATTCTGGATGTTTAAATGTTACACTGATATAAAAACACACTTTACGAACTCTGTTTTTGATCTCAGAGAGCTCTTGTGAGTTACAGGTCTGATACTTAATCTCTGTTTCAAATCCCAGCAACTAATTTATGTTTAAACATCGATTCAATTGACAGCAATAACAACAATAGGACTTGTAACAAAATGAATGCCATCACTCCATGTGAGACCTCCAAAGATGTACCCTTTTGCAGTCCATTTGGGTTTCAGTGTAATGTTAAAGCTTTTAACTTGACCAACGCTCTCAAACACCAACTCACTTGGCTCGACGCTTACCGTCACTCCATATGGCTCCCGGACACTTGCCCTATACGTGCCTGCGGATCCTACGTTCGTTAGCTTTCGGATCACAGTCACGGAACCGGCAGGTACAGTGATGGATGGATAGTTTAAATCCATCACACTCGCTTCCTTGGGGCATTTGTAGGAATTATGAGCCTCCGAGAAGAGCTTGATCTTTGTTTCGTTGTATCCTGTTGCGCAGAGGAAGTCCAAGTAGTCTTCAAATGTCAAGTCATAGACCAGTCCTGGTTCTCCTGCACTGTTTGGTCTTATGTGCCCCGATCCATAGTTGAACGAGTTAGCCTCCACGTACGACCCGTTGAGGATTGGACTTCCCCTGTTGTCTAGTGTACTTGCTGCATGCACACGCAATGTATATCAGAGAGAGAGAGAGAGAGAGAGAGAGAGAGAGAGAGAGAGAGTGGTTGGATAAAGCACATGTATACGTACCGGTGGTCATGATTGCAGATTTGATTGCAGCTGGACTCCATGACGGGTACATTGTCTTAAGAAGACCCGCAAGACCCGCAACATGAGGGCAGGACATGGAAGTTCCAGATTCTATGTGGAAAGTCATGCGGGGATCAGATTGCAAGCCACTAGGACTCTCTTCTCTTATGTATGCGGCTATGATGTAGTCCCCTGGAGCTGTTACGTCAGGCTTTCAAGTAAAAACATTCTACATCAGTATCATGATCAAGAAGAAGAAAGGATATAATAGGAGACAGATAGATAAAGAAAAAAACACCTTGAGTATTCCAGGTGTAACAGTGTTTGGTCCTTGAGAAGAGTAATTAGTCATGTATGGTGCCGGCTTGATACCCAATGCTGCTTCCGGTGTAGTAAGTGTTGCCATAGGCTCCAAACTGTACAAAATGATTCAGACCTTAGTAAACCAGTGACTAATTAAGCAACTAGCTACTCTTATCATCATGGGACTAATTAAGAGTCATAACTTACTAAGTCGAGTTAGCGTAAGAGAAGACAGCTTGCCCTTCGTTGAAATTGATATGTGTAGCGGGAAGAATATGAAGATCCGCGGAGATATCATTCCCTGACGCCTCATCATTGCAGAGAATCATAGCAACAGCACCAGCTAGAGATGCTTGCCTCCCTTTCTCCACTGTCTCTGTATTATAGTCATTCAGGCAGACCATCATCTTACTATTGGCCTTTTCCGGATCTAGCTTACCTTCTTTGCAAAGCCTCCTGCATTAATGTCAACAAATTATATATACTCCAAGTCAACAAAATGATCATCGAGATGGAGGAATTCGAATGCTTCAACTTACGCATCTGCTGCTGATGCATTGGGAAGCTTAGCTTGAGCACCGGTGATGAGGCTGTACAGTTTCCCTACTGGCAGCAATGGTTTCGACATGCTTAAACCCTTGAAGCGTTCACCGTTTGCAAGCTGCACAAATGACTGGAACTCCCGATCAAGCGTGCTTGCTGCTACTGTGAGTATCCAAGGGGCAACGTTCGAGAGAGAAGCAGGATCCGGGCCAGAGTTTCCAGCGGAACTGACCACCGTGATGCCGTGTCTAACGGCGTGCAGGGAGCCAATGGCGATGCCGTCTTCGAAATAATCATGAGGCTCAGCACTACCAATAGAGAGGGAGAGGATATCAACGCCGTCCTGGATTGCCATGTCAAAGGCAGCCAAGACATCAGCATCAAAGCACTCGTTTCCATCCGGTGCAGGAGGCCAGCAGACCTTGTAAGAGGCTACTCTAGACAATGGAGAGCCTCCTTTCGCTGTCCCGTTGCCTACACCGAATACGCTCGCATTAGCGACAAACCGGCCTCCCGCGGTCCAGAGTGTGTGTGTCCCGTGGCCGTCATGGTCGCATGCCGAGTCGTTAACTTTGATACCCGTTGACGCCTTGTAACCTTCGTTAAAAGATCTTGCTCCTATTAATTTCCTGTTGCAACGGACGTTTTCGGCAGTCTCGCAAATTCCTTTCCATCGAGAAGGAACAGGTCCAAGTCCATCTTCCCTAAAGCTTTGGGATTCGGACCAAAACACCTGATGCCACAAGATAGTTGGCTTTAGTGTTGTTAAATCAGGAAGAGGGAGCAGAGAAAGTGATGTTCCAACCAGTGTCAAGGTTGCCGATGATTGTGTCTTCACCAAACCTTGCTTTTGACCACAGGGAGCTTGAAGGGATCACACCATTCCTCTCCATCTGCATGAACTCCATGAATGTGTTGTGTGCAACTTATTGCCTTTGTCTGGAAACACTGAGATCACAGTTGGATGCTCTGCATTCATTGAAACACAACAGAGGAATTAGATTCTCTTAAGTAACTCAAGAGAGAGAGAGAGAGAGAGAGAGATTTGAAATTACTTGAAATCTCAGCGGCTTCTTCTTCTTCAAGAATAGCTGCAAAGCCGTTGATGTATCTTTTGTACGAGTAAAAGATTGCGTCTCTAGCCTTCTCATGACTGTCAGATGCCATGGAGATCATCAGATCAAACAAACACTAAGAATATAGCCATGAAGCACACAAATATCGACGTCAAGTCATATATACCTTCCCAAAACGGATGCGAGCAACTGATTATGATATTCAGCAACACGGTCAAGGGCTGAGGGAGATATTTCGATGCCATGGGAATGAGATCCCAAGTAAACTATGTAGGACTACGAACAAAAGAAAACAGTCTAGTTAATATATATATATATGTATACAAGCTTTACATTACGTTAAAAGAACACTGTAAAAGATTACATACCTTTCTCGCAGCCAAAAGAGGGCACAAAGACGCGATAAAATCAACATTGCAAGTACAATCTTCGCCATCGTTTGTAACTTCGGATCTGTGCAGAAAATAGAGAACATAAATATGATCGTAATGGGATTTTAAACTAAAGGGATATGGACTGGAATGAAATGGGACGTATCTGATGACAGATATATTTATAGATACATCAAGACTCAACGGAAAAATATCGGAAGAATATAAATCAATTATAAGTAGAGAAGAGTGTCACGTATTCTTTTTGTAAAACCACAACTTTTTTGCTGTATTTTTGTTGTTTTGCGGTGGTTTAACCCTCCCCTTCAACAATAATTTAGACTCTAACTGATGGTTACTAGAAGTGGAAACTTGTAGGAGATAGTCATGAAAACTATGTACCTCTCTTTAAAGCAGGGATGAATAATGTCCGTTCTTTTCATCGTCTTCATAGGCTAACCACTCCTTTGCTAGTTTCTGAAAACTTTCCTAGAGCACTTATTTTCTCAGCCAACAACCATTTTAAGTTTCTCTCTTGTGGACTCTTCTTTTCATTTGCTTTTTCCCCTTTTGAATCATATAATTGCAACACCTGTAATCTTTTAATTAACGAGCGTAACTGTTAGTTTGGAGGAAGGAAAGCCTGAAATGGGCCTTTAACTAGGCCTTAATTGAAACTCTAGACACAGAGCATGGAAAGATTTTTTTTTCAAGGAAAAATCATTACACTTGTATATGATCTGAGCAATTTCCAAGGGGTTTGTTTAGGCAGGGCATCAACATATCACAAAACTCAGGCAGGGCGTCAACATAATAACTAAACTCTACTCTTTTCCACTACAGAGACATATCAGCTATAATGACATGAAAAAGCGCAACATTAGCAGATTGTTTGAGCTTTACTTTCCATTGGCACTCTCACTTCATTTTAGCTCAAATGATTACAAAAAGTAACAAGTAACTCAGAAAAAGCGTCAAAAGTTACAAAAGATTCAATCGACAAGGAGTTTTGAAGGAACTCAGAAACTTAAACTGTTAAAAAAGAGTCAACAAATGCTCTTCAAACAGAACTTAACTTATTTGCCAATCCCATTATCATCAAGAGATAAGAGAAACTCACACAAACAAAAAAAAAGGAAACAGAAGGAGAAACACTTGAGGAGCAGAGAGATTTTAGCTAGACATTGGATGATTGTAAACGTATTCAATGGCTAGAGGGCAAGAATCACCTGTTTATACGCATAGTTGAAACATTTGTACAACTTCAAACAAGAAAAATGCTCCTTTAACATTACAATCATGAATGAAAAATCCATAAGATTTGACCAGAGCAATCAAATTCATCACAGTAACAGCAAATCTGAAGCAGTATCGTCTGATAATAAGCAACTTCCTATACCATTGAGATCCAAAACCCTAAATTTACCCCCAAAAAACACTAAAAATCTGAAGCAGTAGCATCGTTTCACATACCATTTGGTGTGTATTCCTACTAAACCAATACGAATCAACATATTGTCCATTGACAGAGATTATAGGCAAAAAAATGAACCACGATTTGATCCCATAAATTTAAGGTCTAAGCCGAATATGATTATTGAGCTAAATCAGACGCATTTTTAACGAAGATCGAACTGACCTTAGCGGGATCGACTTTGGGGAAGCTCTTGACAACATCGAGAACTCTGTCGACGACAGCCTCCTTGATGAGATGATCATCGTGCGAAGACAGAGAACGGATCGACCCAAGGAATCCAATTTGAGACTGATTCGATCCCGTCACTGTTAGGTTTTGCACCGGAACCCTCAGGTGACGAAGAATTGCAGTTCTCAGTGACATTTTCGTCTTCTTCGAACATCCCAGCAACGTCCTTTATGATCCAAATACAGGTCAGGCTGTTAGGGTTGTAACGAAGAAGACGAAATGAGAAGAGAAAAGTTTGATTATTCAACATTAACTTTCGTTCCCGTTACAAATCGAGTTCCGGTTTACCAATCTAGATAACCGAACTACAATTGAGATGTGGTTTAATTATAAACCAACGTTCATCTTTAATATCCCCCCAAAAAAAACACGACTTGTTTTGCCATTTTTAGAATCTTCTCATACAGTTGTTGGAGTTAGCTCGATCATGCCAAGGAGCATACCAAGCCACGGCTTTTCCGGTTTCAAGAAGCCTCAAGGAGACGAGGAGTAATTCAAATTAGTTTGGCATGATTTGTATTTTAAATTTACCATTTTTACTTTATTAGTTTATTAAAATTAGTTTTCAAAAATAAAAATTGAAATGTGATATGACAATATTTTATTGTAACATAATCTTCTAAAAATATATATTGCAAGATACACTTCTTTAAATGTCAGATTTTATTCCACATATTTTTATTATTCATCATTATCACATTCCAAGATAATAAATATGTTGACAATAAAAATTGAAATGTGATATGACAATATTTTATTGTACATAAGATATAAATGGAACATAATCTTCCAAAAAAAAATATTGCAAGATACACTTCTTTAAATGTCAGATTTTATTCCACATATTTTTATCATTCATCATTATCACATTCCAAGATAATAAATATGTTGACAATAAAAATTGAAATGTGATATGACAATATTTTATTGTACATAAGATATAAATGGAACATAATCTTCCAAAAAAAAAATATTGCAAGATACACTTCTTTAAATGTCAGATTTTATTCCACATATTTTTATTATTCATCATTATCACATTCCAAGATAACAAATATGTTGACAATAAAAATTGAAATGTGATATGACAATATTTTATGGTACATAAGATATAAATGGAACATAATCTTCCAAAAATATATATTGCCAGATAAACTTCTTTAAATGTCAGATTTTATTCCACATATTTTTATTATTCATCATTATCACATTCCAAGATAACAAATATGTTGACAATAAAAATTGAAATGTGATATGACAATATTTTATTGTACATAAGATATAAATGGAACATAATCTTCTAAAACTATATATTGCAAGATACACTTCTTTAAATGTCAGATTTTATTCCACATATTATTCCTCATTTTCACAAGATAATAAATATGTTGACAATAAAAATTGAAATGTGATATGACAATATTTTATTATACATAAGATATAAATGGAACATAATCTTCTAAAAATATATATTGCAAGATACACTTCTTTAAATGTCAGATTTTATTCCACATATTTTTATTATTCATCATTTTCACATTCCAAGATAATTATGTTGACTAGATAATCAATTAATCTTGGGAGATTTGTGATTATACACAGAAAAGAGGGAAGGTTTGTCCATATACACATTTTCATATTTTTACTTATTTTTGCCTTTAATACCCTTTATATATTTAAAAATATGAAATAGTTTATTTTAGAAACCCAAAATATTTCTAAAAATCAGATAAATGATTTTCAGACTTGTTAAAATATTTTCACAATTGTTTTTCAAAAATATGATTTTTAAAAAATATATTGAAGTTTTCTTCTACCAGCTCTGAAATGCAAAGTAGAATATGTATTCTACACGTTTTTATTACATCTACTGGAGCTAGAATTCGATATCTACCATTTATACACACATCTTCCATCCATAGAACACGAGTTCTATAATATATATATACTCTACTATTAGTAGCATATCACTTCTACCTATTACTCTATGTTCTGCGATTTTGTAAATTTGGTAGAAGATATGTTCTACCAAAAACAAAGTTTTCTACATGTTCTAGAATTTGTTGTCTACGAGAAACACATCCTTCTATGCAGGCGTAGATTTCGTATTCTGTTACACACATTATCTCTTACCATCCGTAGAGTTCAATTTCTACTAAAAACCACTTTTCTACCATGTTGGTAGAGGTCGTGTTCTTCTAGAAATCAGTCTTCTACCAAATGTAGAAATCGTCTTCTGCCGGAAATCTTAGAGAATATTAACAAATATGTTTTTGAATATTTTGTTTCCTTTTTCTTCTCCAACCTTCTCCCACGACGCAATTGTGGCAACTTCTTCTCCATTCTCATCTTCTTAGCCGTCTCATCTTCATCTTCTTCTTCTCCTATACACATAACTTACTAGTTTCTCTTATTCCTCTTAGTTACTATGTTGCAGAGGAGGACAGAGAGGAGTAGGTTGAATGAAATCCCAGACGGCAACGACGGAGGATTATGTGACGAAAGAGACGCCGGAGGATTATGTGACGGAAGCGGCAACGACGGAGAAGAAGAAAATCGGAGAAGAATAATGTACAGAAGAGAAGAAGAGAATGTCGAGAAGAGAAAGAAATGTCGGAGAAGAAGAAGAGAAGAGGAGAGATGTCAGGAAAGAAAAAAAAATTGTTTTCTTTTGTTTAACCAAAAATCTTACAATTAAAAACTTTAAACAATTTGAAGGGTAATTTAGGATTATAAGTTTAGAAAATGTGTAGTGAGACAAAAATCTCACAAAAATGTATATTGAGACAAAGTCTTTCCTATTCTTGTGGTTTTTGCCAATTTTCTCATTAATCTTTATCTTATGTTCACTATAAAATGATGTCTCATCACACTAACTTTCACAACTTAATTCCAACATCAATACCTATTTATTTTCTCTAAATTTCTTTTTGCGCTTAACCAACTACTAGGAGAGAATATGAAGAACATTGTACAATTGACCTCTATTCTCTTCTTTTTAGTGTTATTGCTTGCTGCACCAGGTATAATATTTTTCCAAAATATTAAGTTATAGTTTACTTCTCTTATTTAATTCAATACATTGTTTTTTATACATAGACTAGTTAGTTTACAATATGATGATAATGATATAATTATTTCTACAACCCAATCTCGTACTTTGCAGTGGGTTTATGCAGTAAAATAAATATTATATGTGATATTAAAAATTAGATCATTTTTGTTTTTAAAACACAATATATAAAGAATATATCAAAATGAAATTGAAGAATTTTTTAGTTTGGTTTGTATTATTGTGATGAATTCATAAACTTTTGTTATAGCTAATTAGATTTTACATAAAACTTGATGCGCTGGAATCAATTAAAAGATAGCTGTTGTTAAGATACTTTTTTTATTACTTATTGTATTTCTCGTTGCAAATTTGAATTGTCATTGAATAAAAGAAAATAATATTATTTTTACAGATATGAAGATGGTTCAGGGGCAGAAAATGTGTTATCAAAAAAGTCTTAAATTTAAAGGAATGTGCATGAGGACGAAAACTTGCAAACAAGTATGTATTAGCGAAGGTTTCCTTGATGGTCAATGTGGAGGAATCAGTAATGAATGCCTTTGCATGAAACCTTGTCTTGTTACTAGTCAAACCAAAAATTGAGTAATGAGAATAGCTATTTAAAGATTCTATAGTTATGTAAGTTAATAAAAGAGTAAAGTACAATTCATGTACTTATAAGATTATGGTTACAAACAATACTCCATATTTTATGGGCTTTTATTTTCATCGAATTAAAATATAATTAAACATTAAATCATCAATATATATCATTCTTTAAAACTAACATTGTTATTCTCTAGGGTATTCATGATCTTGATTGATTGAATAAAATATAGAGGAAAGAAATAAGTGAAGATTGTGAATAAACTAGAAAATCTTGTTATTTGGTTGCTGTTGCAATGTAATAGAAAAATCAATCCCGGTTCGGTTTAATCCCGATTATAACAAGAAGATCTAGTCAAAGAAAACTAAATCAAAACTCAAACACTCGAAGCCATATAAGATATAACTTTTTGTTCCAGTGCATTCTTGTAAGTTGTGTTTGATCACACCATCTTTTTCCATTTGCATGAACTCTCATGAATGAGTTGTGAGCAACTTCTTGCCCTTGTCTGGAAACACAGAGATCACACTCGGATGGTCTGCATTCATTCAAACACACCAGAGGAAGTAGGACGTATCATATAACAAATGTATTTATAGATACATCAAGACTCAACGGAAATATCGGAAGAATATAAATAAACACAAGTAGAAAAGAGTGTCACAAATTCTTTTTGTAAAATACAGCTTTTTTGTTTGCTGTATTTTTGTTGTGTTGTGTGGTAGTTAAAAGGAAAAATTGGCAAAGTGGGCACATTTCAAGTTTTTAATTGGGAAAAGAGGCAACACCAAGTTTATATTGGTTAAAGAGGCAATTCTTGTGGACCCCGCTTGAGAAATAACAAAAGGACCCTTTAGAGAATAAGATTATTTCAACTATGCCATTGAGTGTGGACCCCGCCTAAGAAATAACAAGAGGACCATATTTTAATTCTCTTTTACTTTTGTTTTCATTTATTTTCTAACACTTTTAATATCAATTACTTTTTACTTTATTATTCAACTTTTTCTCTCAAAAATTTATCAATTTTCATTTTTAAGTTTTGAAAACTCTAAATTTTTTAATAACTAAAGATTTTGATTTTGGTTTTGGCTTTTGGATTTTGATTTTTGATTTTGTTGTAGATTTTAGTTTTAAAAAAAAATTAATAGTAACTATTTTAATTTTTGGTTTTCATCTACAATTATTTTTCAAAACGTTTTCATTTTAATCTTATGTGTTTTACATTACTAAATTAATAAATAATATTGTATTAATAAAAAAACATGTTATATAATAAATTTAAGTTGAACAAACTCATTATAGCACATTATTGTAGAGATATTCAGATAAATGGAGATGATTTTTTTTTCTTTTAAATTACTAAAGTAAATTTGTAAAATGTACTAATAAACAAAGATTAGTTTTTATAGAAATAATTATTTCCACAAAATTAGAGAAAAAATCATAAATCATGATAATGTTTTTTATTTTCTCTCATGCTATCACTATTTTTCCCCTTTCATACCATATTTACATTCATATCATAAACTTTAAAAAAAATTATAATTTATATATTTGGGTCTGGGTTTAGTATTTTGGGTGTAGGGTTTAGTATTTATGATTTAGAGTTTAGTATTAAAGGTTTAGAGTTTAGTTTTGATTGTTCAATTAAGTTATAACTCTTAAAAGGATTTATTATTTCAATATTTGAGTTTGAATTTTGGATTTAGGGTTTAGTATTTAAGGGTTAGGGTTTAGTATTGAAGGTTTAGGGTTTAGTTTTAATGTTTTAGGGTTTAGTTTTGATGGTTTGAATTTAGGATTTAGGGTTTAGTATTTAGTTTGAATGGGTTTAGTTTTAATATTATTATTTACATTGTTTGTTTGATTTTGTTTCTTATTATATCACAAATGACATATTTTTCTATATTATTATGTTTCTATTATGTGAATCACAAATTTTGATGATATGGCAAAAATAATTTTCTTTATATTTACTTTTTCAACACTTTCTCTCTCCAACGAAAATAAAGTTTAGAAAAGTGGACCCATTCTTTTTCCTTTCAACTCTCTATCTCTCTCATAGACACAAGGTTAATTTTGTATTTAAAAAATTTTCTCTCTCCAATTTGCCTCTTTTCCCAATATCAAACATGGTGTTGCCTCTTTTCACAATAAAAGCTTAAAAACTGCCTACTTTCAAAATTAACCCTAGTTAAAACATCCCCTTCATCAATAAAATGTATATAGAAGTAAGAACAGTGATGGTTACTAGAAGTGGAACCACTCCTAATCTAACCACTCCTTCGCTAGTTTCTGAAAAATTTAGCAAGATCACTTATTTTCTCAGCAAACTAGCATCTTTAGAGTTTTCTCTCTATTGGCAAAAGGTACAAAGACTTATCTTTTCTTTTGCTTTTTCCCCTTTTGAATCATATAGTTGCAACGCTTGTGATCTTTTAATCAACGCGCTGAGTGTAATCACTGTTGTGAGCAGCATTTGACATGAATTCTATTATTGCATTGGTATATTTTCTAGGTTTCTGACATTTCACTTGTTGAAAATCACTTTTGTCTGCTTTCTATTGTTGGTAATGAACTCTGTTGCATGATGAAAATGCCAGCAGTTACTATCCTTGGAAGATTAAGAACATTTACATAGCACTGGACTTCTTAGATTAGATTTGAGAAAGAAAATGATTTAAGCCATTTACAAGACTAATCTTGACAAATTTCATGCCAAAGAACCCCTAAACCCAACCAAAACATCTCTTTCCATTGGCACCGTTGCTTCATTTTATTTGGTTCGAGCCCTTCATACTAGTTTTGGCTCTCCATTTTATATCACGTAATAAGTAACTTAAAAAGGTGCCAAATTACAAAATATTCAACCGATAAAGAGTTTTCAAAGGAACTCAGAAACTTAAACTGTTTAAAACGAGTCAACAAATGCTCTTCAAACAGAACTGGATTTATTCGCCAATCCAATCATCAAGAGATAAGAGAACCTCATACAAACAAAAAGAAAACAGAAGGAGAAACATTTGAGGAGCAGAGAGCTTTTAGCTAGACATTGGATGATTGTAAACGTATTCAATGGCTAGAGGGCAAGAATCAATCTTATCAGCTTCTTTGTCTGGGATCTCCAGCTTGAACTCTTCTTCGATAGCCATCACTATCTCCACTGTGTCCAAACTATCTAACCCCAAATCCTTCTGGAAATGAACATCCGGAGTCACCTGTAGATACAATATAGTTCAAACATTACAATCATGAATGCAAAATCCATAAGATTGACTAAGAGCAATCAAAATTCATCACAGTAACAGCAAATCCGAAGCAGCAGCTTCTCATAACAAGCAATTTACTAGATCACTGAGATCAACAACCCTAAATTTACAAACAATGCAGCATCGTTTCACGTACATTTAAATCATAAGATTGTCCATTGACCGAGATTCAAGTCACAAAATGACTACCGTTCCCAATAATGTGTAAAAGGAATCACGATTTGATACCATAGATATGAGTATTGAGCTAAATTAGACGCATTTTTTACGAAGATCGGAACTGACCTTAGCGGGATCGACTTTGGGGAAGCTCTTGACAACATCGAGAACTCTATCGACGACAGCCTCCTTGCTGAGATGATCATCATGCGAAGACAGAGAACGGATCGAGCCAAGGAATCCAATTTGAGACTGATTGAATCCCGTCGCTGTTAGGCTTTGCACCGGAACCCTAAGGTGACGAAGAATTGCAGTTCTCAGTGCCATTTTCGTCTCTCCGAGCTCGAGATTTAGGGATTTGATGAGACACGACGACGAAAGAGTAAAGATGTGCTTAGAGGCGAAATGTTCAGGTTAACGAGAAAGCACGTGCTTGTCACGTGTGTCCCGCAGCTATAAGCCCAGCCCAAAACTATGGTAGGCCCATAATTGTTTTTAAAATTTTTTAATCTGCATTTAACTTCTTATGTATTGTAAATTATCCCCAAGAGTTTCTAATTGTTGCTAAATAAACCCATCGGTCTTCTTTTTGTTTCCACCAGCTAACGAATAATAAAATCACAGTAATACAGTATTTGATTTGCAATTCCAGAGCGACGGATCTCTCTCTCCGGCTAATATCGGAAACTCTTCTCAGCGAGATCTCGACGTTTCTCGGATCCTCGCAGCTAGATCTTGAGAAATCATGGCTCCGGTCTCGGCACTCGCCAAGTATAAGCTGGTTTTCTTAGGAGATCAATCCGTCGGGAAGACCAGTATCATCACTCGATTCATGTACGATAAATTCGACAATACTTACCAGGTAAATTCGTTTTTTCCGATCTACGTATTATCACCTCGACGATGCACGACGTTGGCTAGTTTTCGAGGATTGTGAAAATCCAGGTTTTGGTTGATATTGAGATCCATTTGACGGGATTTTGTGTTTTCAGCTAGTTTCTGATTCGTTTTCCTGATCTCGCGTTCGATTATGTGTAATTGTGCGTGATCTGATTAGTCGATCCTGTTTAATCTATGGGACGTAACAATCAGCATGGTTGATTTCGTGATTTTGGCTTTGTGATCGCTCACTTTCGTTTGTTCTTCTTTACTCGAAAGTTTAGTACATTGGAAGATCGTAGTAACGGTAGCCAAAATTAACTTGTTTCCTTGATCTTGCTATCATTGTTTATCTTATCGAAGTAGTTCTCAGTTGATGAACAAACGCGTCTGATCTCGATTTGTAGATATGATAATTACGTTTAAGCTTCTAACACTAATTGGATTATACTTGCTCTTCATCATTATACTTAGATGCTCAATATCTTCTTTCTGCAAAGTGATTGAGCATAATTGCTATAATTGATGCTCAATATCTATATTTGCTTTGCTCGTCTTGATTGTAGATGTGATCAATTGATGAACAAATACTTTCTCAGTGGTTTATGTTGTTTTCATAATCATTCAGGCCACAATTGGTATTGATTTTCTATCAAAGACAATGTACCTAGAAGATCGAACTGCCAGACTCCAGCTGTGGTAAAGATCTGAAAACCTATTTCAATAACGTTTCAGATCATTCATAATCTGATAAATGAACATTGAGAGCTGAAATGTATGAACAGGGATACAGCAGGGCAAGAGAGATTCAGGAGTCTTATTCCGAGCTATATCAGGGATTCTTCTGTTGCTGTTATTGTCTACGATGTTGCAAGTATGTGTACCTTTTCTCTTTTTTCTGCTTACTTAACTTCTCAAACACATTTGCGATGTAGCAGCTGTGATATTCAGTAATCTATTGAGTAAATGCGTTTTGGTTTCTTTCATATCTTGATCGTTATTTTGTTTTCCATTGACATATAGGCAGGCAATCTTTCCTAAACACTACTAAGTGGATCGATGAGGTTAGAACAGAGCGTGGTAGTGATGTCATAGTTGTGCTTGTGGGAAATAAAACCGACCTTGTGGACAAAAGGTAATAATGATCTACTATCTCTTCATCCTTCACACTTTTCTTGTTAAATATTGATGTGCAAATTACTGTTCAGTAGCAATTGAAAACTGAAACTTTGGTTTAAACACGGTCTGCTTTTTTGTAAATATGTTTGCGAGACGAATGAGTGAGTGTCTTACTGTACAAAAGCACTAACAATTGTTAAACCACTTTTATGGTGGCATTGAGTGTGTTCCCAAACGACCCAACAGAATAATAAATGGAAAATCATTTGCTGCTCAACTGTATATAATCAAAAGGGATTCTTTATAGTCAACACGCTTTTTGACACTTAATGGATCTCCTACTATCTTGCCACTGAGCCAATGGGGCCTTCCTAATTAAATTGTTTGTTATCTCAGGCAAGTGTCAATAGAGGAAGCAGAAGCCAAGGCTCGTGAGCTTAATGTCATGTTTATCGAAACCAGTGCCAAAGCCGGTTTCAACATTAAGGTAACAAAGATCTTCGGAGACTGCTCCACCTAAACCCGAACCTTGTTTAGATCCATCATAATCCTGTTTTTGATTGGTAGGCGCTCTTCCGGAAGATAGCAGCAGCTTTGCCAGGAATGGAAACATTGTCGTCGACAAAGCAAGAGGATATGGTTGATGTCAATCTCAAGTCTTCCAATGCAAATGCATCTTTGGCTCAGCAGCAAGCAGGAGGATGCTCTTGTTAACAAAATCGATAGAGAACAAAATTACACCAAAAAAAAAGAGACCTCGAGGCTTCGTATGATCAGATCCGTTATTATCTTCCATCTGTATAATTTTTGCCTGTTTTTTTTTTTTTTTTACTTCTATCAGATTGGTTAAAAGAGACTTTGTTTTAGTTACTATGGTTTGTCCCTCCCTAACTTTGAACTTTTGTGGTCTTTGGAGTTTCAACTGCTCTGCTTCAGTACTTTTGTTGTTTTTAACTCTTTTTATTCGAAACTGTGATTTGTAGTCTGTCTATGGATTGAAATTGAATTATAAAAATCTGAGCTACGTAATGAACACACTTTTAAGTTTCTTCCTTCCATGTGAAGACGACAGGTGCATAGAGAAGGAAGCATAGAATTCTATATAAGTATTTTTTTGACCCGTAAAGAAACAGATAGAGATTATTAAGTTCGAACACATGTCTTTTGGTCAGACCACTTTAATGAGCTAATGAAATTCAAAGTCTCAATGTTCACTTGTTATATAACCTTGATGATTTTTTTCTTTTTATAATTTCGTCCCGAAAAATATAATTTCTTTTTATAGGTGTAAAGATCTGGTGGATTGATGCAGTTGGAAACATTGGTTTGTTGGGTCTAACTCTGTAGTATATACCAAACAATGTGTTTAATCCGCAGTTATTATTTCCGAAGAAAATATATAGGAGAATAGTAGTGTTACATTGACTTAAATTTGGCCGCTTATGTGCGATGACAACAACTAACATTTCTGTTCGCAGGGTCAACGTTTTATGTTCACAAGTAGACGAACAAATACTTTTCAGTGATTTAGAAAACTTGTTATTTTATTAAACAATATGCTATTACCTACCTATTCGATAGAAACATTTAGGTTACTTGCAATGATAATCTCATGTTATTATCATGATGCGTAACAATGTACGACTGTATTTCTTTCCTTGCACCTGAGAGTAGCGTGGTGTTTAATTGTCTAAGTATCTCGCTAGTATTTTAAAACCTTAAGTTGTTGAAAGTTCTTTATCTAATGACACTTCATAAATAAGATATCTAGAAAATTGCAACTATATAGTACCAACTATGTATAAGTGATACTTGTGTTTCTTTTTTTTTATTTAAATTCCAACCCTCTAACACATACTATTCGCAATAATGGCCATAATTAAAGAAACAGAGACCTTCTCCAAAAAAGAAAAAAATAAAAACAGAATGAGTAACTTGAAATGAATGAAGGTGTGTAGGTGAGAGGAGATGAGAGAGCCACGAAAGAACACTAATTTTCGCCTCAAACTTCACTCATTAAATGCCAACTTCCCTTTTATGACCGTTGATGCTGTAAGCTGACGACGAAATATCAATTTTACAATTAAACCCATAGAAGAATGATAGTGTAATTTCTTTATATTCATTCACGGCTAATGGACCCCATCGAATTTAAATATAGTTGGACCAGCTCGTTTCTTCTTATTAAACTCGGAGTCTCTCTCAGGTCTACTCTTTAAAACCTTTGAAACTCTCCTAGATGGTACTTGGATCTTTAAAAAGTCGTCGATCTCTCGTCGAAATTTTAGACCTATGGTATTGGATCTATATGCCCTTTTCTTCTAGCTTTGCCTTTTTTAACTTTGATGTGTCGAGTGTGACTATTAAATTGGATTTGTGAATGGTTAATTTGACTTTCCCATTTCTAGGTGAAGTGATGAATTTTTTTTTAAAAAGTTTGTCAGATTTTGTTTTTCTAGATTAAGGGAAACACAAGGGTATGTCATATGTGACACATTTATTACTCACAAAGAGGATTGATTTTAGATTTCAAAACTTAGAAAAAATTACTATTCTGACATGACATCATGGTCTATTGAGTCATAGGTTTCTTCTTCTTCTTCTAAAATCTGTCATTTTGTTTTGTACACCCAAAAAAATTCATCAAACAAATAAACACACGACATTGTTCTTCTAATCTCCTTAAAAAATAAAAATATTTGCCCCTTTCATATACAACAATGAGAACAACATTATCATAAATATACTATGACCCAAAAAGGAAAAAAATTCACTCTTTATCTGTTGGTATAGTAAAGCCACCATATAACTTTCATATGAATCTTGTGAAGGCTAATTTAGGAAATTTCCTATAGAACGGTCAGATTTATGACCCACACAACAACAAAAAAATCAACGGCGATGATCAAGTCTTCCTAAATCCACAAGCTTCTTAGACCGGTTCGCGCAAAAAGACGCCGCCGTCGAAATGTGAGGCTTCGCCGGTGATTTTAGCTCACCGGAGTNTACACTACTAAGTGGATCGATGAGGTTAGAACAGAGCGTGGTAGTGATGTCATAGTTGTGCTTGTGGGAAATAAAACCGACCTTGTGGACAAAAGGTAATAATGATCTACTATCTCTTCATCCTTCACACTTTTCTTGTTAAATATTGATGTGCAAATTACTGTTCAGTAGCAATTGAAAACTGAAACTTTGGTTTAAACACGGTCTGCTTTTTTGTAAATATGTTTGCGAGACGAATGAGTGAGTGTCTTACTGTACAAAAGCACTAACAATTGTTAAACCACTTTTATGGTGGCATTGAGTGTGTTCCCAAACGACCCAACAGAATAATAAATGGAAAATCATTTGCTGCTCAACTGTATATAATCAAAAGGGATTCTTTATAGTCAACACGCTTTTTGACACTTAATGGATCTCCTACTATCTTGCCACTGAGCCAATGGGGCCTTCCTAATTAAATTGTTTGTTATCTCAGGCAAGTGTCAATAGAGGAAGCAGAAGCCAAGGCTCGTGAGCTTAATGTCATGTTTATCGAAACCAGTGCCAAAGCCGGTTTCAACATTAAGGTAACAAAGATCTTCGGAGACTGCTCCACCTAAACCCGAACCTTGTTTAGATCCATCATAATCCTGTTTTTGATTGGTAGGCGCTCTTCCGGAAGATAGCAGCAGCTTTGCCAGGAATGGAAACATTGTCGTCGACAAAGCAAGAGGATATGGTTGATGTCAATCTCAAGTCTTCCAATGCAAATGCATCTTTGGCTCAGCAGCAAGCAGGAGGATGCTCTTGTTAACAAAATCGATAGAGAACAAAATTACACCAAAAAAAAAGAGACCTCGAGGCTTCGTATGATCAGATCCGTTATTATCTTCCATCTGTATAATTTTTGCCTGTTTTTTTTTTTTTTTTACTTCTATCAGATTGGTTAAAAGAGACTTTGTTTTAGTTACTATGGTTTGTCCCTCCCTAACTTTGAACTTTTGTGGTCTTTGGAGTTTCAACTGCTCTGCTTCAGTACTTTTGTTGTTTTTAACTCTTTTTATTCGAAACTGTGATTTGTAGTCTGTCTATGGATTGAAATTGAATTATAAAAATCTGAGCTACGTAATGAACACACTTTTAAGTTTCTTCCTTCCATGTGAAGACGACAGGTGCATAGAGAAGGAAGCATAGAATTCTATATAAGTATTTTTTTGACCCGTAAAGAAACAGATAGAGATTATTAAGTTCGAACACATGTCTTTTGGTCAGACCACTTTAATGAGCTAATGAAATTCAAAGTCTCAATGTTCACTTGTTATATAACCTTGATGATTTTTTTCTTTTTATAATTTCGTCCCGAAAAATATAATTTCTTTTTATAGGTGTAAAGATCTGGTGGATTGATGCAGTTGGAAACATTGGTTTGTTGGGTCTAACTCTGTAGTATATACCAAACAATGTGTTTAATCCGCAGTTATTATTTCCGAAGAAAATATATAGGAGAATAGTAGTGTTACATTGACTTAAATTTGGCCGCTTATGTGCGATGACAACAACTAACATTTCTGTTCGCAGGGTCAACGTTTTATGTTCACAAGTAGACGAACAAATACTTTTCAGTGATTTAGAAAACTTGTTATTTTATTAAACAATATGCTATTACCTACCTATTCGATAGAAACATTTAGGTTACTTGCAATGATAATCTCATGTTATTATCATGATGCGTAACAATGTACGACTGTATTTCTTTCCTTGCACCTGAGAGTAGCGTGGTGTTTAATTGTCTAAGTATCTCGCTAGTATTTTAAAACCTTAAGTTGTTGAAAGTTCTTTATCTAATGACACTTCATAAATAAGATATCTAGAAAATTGCAACTATATAGTACCAACTATGTATAAGTGATACTTGTGTTTCTTTTTTTTTATTTAAATTCCAACCCTCTAACACATACTATTCGCAATAATGGCCATAATTAAAGAAACAGAGACCTTCTCCAAAAAAGAAAAAAATAAAAACAGAATGAGTAACTTGAAATGAATGAAGGTGTGTAGGTGAGAGGAGATGAGAGAGCCACGAAAGAACACTAATTTTCGCCTCAAACTTCACTCATTAAATGCCAACTTCCCTTTTATGACCGTTGATGCTGTAAGCTGACGACGAAATATCAATTTTACAATTAAACCCATAGAAGAATGATAGTGTAATTTCTTTATATTCATTCACGGCTAATGGACCCCATCGAATTTAAATATAGTTGGACCAGCTCGTTTCTTCTTATTAAACTCGGAGTCTCTCTCAGGTCTACTCTTTAAAACCTTTGAAACTCTCCTAGATGGTACTTGGATCTTTAAAAAGTCGTCGATCTCTCGTCGAAATTTTAGACCTATGGTATTGGATCTATATGCCCTTTTCTTCTAGCTTTGCCTTTTTTAACTTTGATGTGTCGAGTGTGACTATTAAATTGGATTTGTGAATGGTTAATTTGACTTTCCCATTTCTAGGTGAAGTGATGAATTTTTTTTTAAAAAGTTTGTCAGATTTTGTTTTTCTAGATTAAGGGAAACACAAGGGTATGTCATATGTGACACATTTATTACTCACAAAGAGGATTGATTTTAGATTTCAAAACTTAGAAAAAATTACTATTCTGACATGACATCATGGTCTATTGAGTCATAGGTTTCTTCTTCTTCTTCTAAAATCTGTCATTTTGTTTTGTACACCCAAAAAAATTCATCAAACAAATAAACACACGACATTGTTCTTCTAATCTCCTTAAAAAATAAAAATATTTGCCCCTTTCATATACAACAATGAGAACAACATTATCATAAATATACTATGACCCAAAAAGGAAAAAAATTCACTCTTTATCTGTTGGTATAGTAAAGCCACCATATAACTTTCATATGAATCTTGTGAAGGCTAATTTAGGAAATTTCCTATAGAACGGTCAGATTTATGACCCACACAACAACAAAAAAATCAACGGCGATGATCAAGTCTTCCTAAATCCACAAGCTTCTTAGACCGGTTCGCGCAAAAAGACGCCGCCGTCGAAATGTGAGGCTTCGCCGGTGATTTTAGCTCACCGGAGTAACCAAAATCCGGCGGAAATTTCCCTTTCCAATTAGAAGAACAGTTAGGTTTAGCTCTCACTAGCGGACTCAAGCAAAAAGCCATCCCAGATACGCTCTTCCCAATCGTCGCCGTCTTTCTCCTTCCCGGAGTTCCAAACGCCGGCGTTCTTCTCTGTCTCCCAGGTGTCTCCTCTCCTGATTCACGCTCGCAATCCGTCGCGGATGCATTTTCCGCCGGCGACATTCCTCTGCAATATCTCTGTTTAGGTCGATTTCGACGATGGTGATCGGATTCCGCGGCGATCAAATCCTCGATGTAGCAAGTAGTAGTGGTCGATTGCTTTTTCGATCGAACGGAGAGAACCTTCGAGAGCCACGACCGTGACGACGAAGAAGACGACGGCGGAGAGAACGTTGACGCGTCGCAGGAATCTCGAGACGAGAATTTCGTTCGCGAGCCGTAGTCGTCAGATCTCGTTCTGAAGAAGTTGGAGAATCGAGATAAGCCGCTCTTTTTCTTTTTGAACGATCGGCCGGAATCGAAGACTTTTTCCGATGATCTTTCTCCTCCGCCGTACGATTGATCCGCGGTGGAGCCCAGCTGTGGCGTGGCGAAGAAGAGGCTATTGGAAGAAGCTAACGAGTCTCCGGCGTCGGATTTTCTAGGAGCAACGTATGGAGAAACAGAGCGAGGGAAAACCAGAGGAGGAGGAGAAATACGCGAATGATGATGATGAAGATGGTCGTTGTCGTCGTTTTCAGACGCGGCGGTTGAAGCGGCGAGAGATAAAAGGCGTTCACGGAGACAAGAAGCACAAACGCCGATAGTGCTACTGAAATCGACTGTGTGTCTCTTACACCTCATCGGAAAAAAAAAAATTGAAAAATTAGAAAACCTCTGCGAGAAACTTCAATTTCTGAGAATTATGGGAAGAAGAAGAAGATCTGGTGAATAAAAATGATATTTTTGTCTTCTTCTGACTCTGAAGTTTTCTCTTTAAGAGAGAGAGAGAGGATCTATCTCGCCGGAGTAAATGGAAATGTTCAGATTTGGTATTAAGAATAATGAAGAAATAGGAAATACAAATTCGATTAATAAAGGCGTGACACGTTAGCGTTTGGTTTAATTACATTGTTTTTGGCTGCAATGATGATGATGATTATACTTATGGTTAAAGATAATCATCCACTTTTTAATTAACGTCACTATAGCTCTTTTTTTTTTGGGTGTGTGCTTTGTAGTGGGGAGATGAACATTTCATAGATTTCATGATTCGTATTGTCGTTGACATTGCTTTATTGATCATTGTCAAAACAAACATCACTTCATTCGCAAATGGGTTTATGTGATGATTAGCTTATTAGTTTTAAAACAACTTTTTGAAAAACTAAACGTCCTCTTAATTTGACTCATTAAAACCATATGTTTAAACTAACCATATTTAGGACATATCGTATGTCAACGATAAATGAAAATTCCAAGTGAAAATACCAAATATAGTTCTTGGTGGTTTCCTTTTTGTTTTGTATGACAACACGTTTAAATTTTGTGCATATATGGTTATCATTAAGTGTGTGTGTGCGTTGATTTTGGAATTACTTATGATAGAATTATGCAAAATCATACCTTTTTCGCAATGATACGGTATGAATCCAATCCACACATACATAGAAAGTAATCCTCTTTCGTTGAATTTGCAATGATAATTCGTAGTGGTGATTGCGAAAGAGGAAGAACAAGAACAAAAATACAAGTATACAAATACATTACTGTTTTTGAATATTAACTTTGTTGAATGTATGTACATTTTTTCTTAAAAAGTGAAAGACAAGCATGTGACGGCAAACAAAAGAGATGGGTGCTCGTGGATGGCGTCGTCGTTTTATGTATCCCACACGCTTGTTCGTCCGTTTCTTCTTAGGTTAGCCACGTGGCCTTTCACCCTTCACTTTCAGTCCTTTGCTTTCTCTGTCGCTGGATTTAAAAGCCTTTTGGCTTCTTCAGAATGGGCCACTTTCTCTATTATTGGGCTTCATTTTCAATTTACTATTTTGTTTTCTAGATTTAGAGAAACACAAGAGGTATGTGTAAATTCATTCTCTATCACTCTTCATGTGAACCTTGTGAAGAGAGCCATTTAGTAGAACGGTTAGGTTTAGCTTTATTGCGTCTCAGTGATATGCAAAAAAAAAACATCGATTGTTCAAGATGATTGCCAACTCTTGAGATAAGTTAAGCTCAAGAGTATGCAACGAAGTGTCATTCTTCAACAACCAAATAACACCACCAACCTTTCAAAGCAAGAAACAAAGACAATATTGTTTTGAAAATATATTGACAGAAATAGCAAATATTATTTTACCTTTTCAACGTATTCATTCAAACTTATGGAGTAAAATTTATGTTGAACATAATGGAAGGATATTTTAAAGGTTTAACAACATAAACATGTAGATTTATTATTATTATTATTTAATTCAAAAATATAAAGAATTAAGGTAATATTTGCTTATTTAGTATACTTGAATCTTGAACTATAGTATAAAACTTGAAACTCTTACCAAAATAATGAAATTAAATTATATTTTTTGCTTGAATCACCTATAAATTTTGTTTTCCTAAAGTCTTGGATTTATCGACGTAAAAGGTAAAATATCAACAATTAAATGATTTGAGTCAATCTTTTTAAAAAAAAAATTAATTGAATGGGTTTGGTTGGTTTATCATAATGTAAACGCTTCTTCTCTGTTTTTTTCTCGTTTCATTCTCTCGTCTGGTCCCTTTGTATTCATCTCAAAGTCTGACGAAATTGTAGCATCCACTCTTCTTCTTCTCCTAAACTCAAACCGTCTCTCGATTTGTTTTATTTATCTAATTTCTTCGACGAATAGGCAAGGTAACGACAAATGGAGAGTTTGATCGGGTTGGTAAACAGGATACAAAGAGCATGCACTTCGCTCGGCGATTATGGCGGCGGTAATAACGCTCTCTCTTCTCTCTGGGAAGCTCTTCCTACAGTCGCCGTCGTCGGTGGCCAGGTTTTTGTCTCATCCGTTAACTCTCGACTTAGGTTTTTCTCGTAGCTTCGTCTTATTATTGGTTCATGAGTGTAGAGTTCTGGGAAATCTTCGGTTCTGGAGAGCATTGTCGGGAGAGATTTTCTGCCTAGAGGATCCGGTTTTGTGATTTTAACCTAAATGTTTCGATTTTTTCATTTTCTTTCACATTTGACTATGATTCTTAAGCGAGAATTTGTTTCTGTAGGTATTGTTACGAGGAGGCCATTGGTGTTACAGCTTCATAAGACGGAAAATGGAACAGAGGACTACGCTGAGTTTCTCCATATTTCCAATAGGAGATTCACCAATTTCTGTATGTTACCTTTTTATAATATGTCTGAAATGTGTCTTTATGCTATAATGAATATATTCATGTTGGTTGATATCGAAATGTAATTCGTTTTGGAAGCTTTGGTTCGAAAGGAGATTGAGGATGAGACTGATAGAATCACTGGGAAGAACAAACAGATATCTCCAGTTCCTATTCACCTCAGTATCTTCTCTCCCAATGGTCGGTTATTTGGATTTCTCTTCTAATGATCTTGTTTTTAACGTTTCTCTTGATCCAACTAATTTTGTATTCATTTATTGAAACAGTTGTGAATCTTACACTCATTGATTTACCTGGTTTGACTAAAGTTGCTGTTGGTATGTTTTATTTGGCTCTCTACTTCTTTTGGATCTCCTTTTGTTATTTATGACTTGGTAACATTGTAAACTTTGTTTCTAGATGGACAGCCGGAAACTATTGTTGAAGATATTGAATCCATGGTTCGCTCATACGTCTCAAAGGTGAGTATTGCTACATATGTTGTTACACTCACTTTTCTTGTAGTTTGATAGTTTTGATTATGTGTTATTTTATCAGTGTTGACTTTTGAGTGAGCTACTTATTGTTTTGTTGACAGCCAAACTGTCTTATACTAGCAATATCTCCTGCTAACCAAGACATAGCCACATCGGATGCGATCAAGCTCGCCAAAGAAGTGGATCCAACAGGTTTGTTTCTTGTGTTTCATCAATGAACTATAGTGGATTGGGAAAAAACATATATATCTTATTTCTCATTGTCTTAGGTGATAGAACATTTGGAGTTCTCACAAAGTTAGACTTGATGGACAAGGGAACTAATGCATTGGATGTAAGTGTCTCCCCAAGTCTCGCTCTTTTCTTCTTTACTATGATTGATATTTGATAAAAATATTGAAATGCTTTCTTGGAATAATTAAGGTAATCGAAGGAAGATCATACAGGCTGCAACATCCATGGGTTGGGATAGTGAACCGTTCACAAGCAGATATTAACAAGAATATTGATATGATGGTTGCAAGAAGGCAAGAGCGTGAATACTTCGAAACCAGTCCCGACTATTCTCACTTAGCTAGTAAAATGGGTTCAGAATATCTTGCAAAGCTTCTCTCTAAGGTTTCACCACAATCAAACCCTTATTTATACACAAGTTATAATGATCAGCTTCGTCATGTGGTCTTGGTTTTGTTCTTTTTCAGCTCTTGGAATCTGTTATAAGGGCTCGTATCCCAAATATCCTATCCTTAATAACCAGAAGCATCGAAGAACTCGAAAGAGAGCTAGACCACTTGGGCAGGCCTGTCGCAATTGATGCTGGAGTGAGTATACATTACATATATTTCAATGAAAAAACTATATAATATAAATGTTTCTGCCGTATATATGCTGAAATTTGTGTCACACAGGCTCAACTATACACAATCTTGGGAATGTGTCGTGCATTCGAAAAGATATTCAAAGAGCATTTGGATGGCGGGTAAAATTAAACACCATTTTTTGTGAATCTTTTCTTGTAATGATGGATTTACTTTTTCTAAACTTTGATTAATTAGTAAGACACATCTATTATTAGGCGTCCTGGAGGAGCTCGTATCTATGGAATATTTGACTACCAACTTCCAGCAGCTATCAAGAAGCTTCCTTTTGATCATCATCTTTCCTTGGAAAATGTCAAGAGAATCGTCTCAGAATCCGAAGGCTACCAACCTCACTTGATCGCACCTGAATTAGGTTATCGTCGTCTCATTGAAAGATCACTAAATCATTTTAGAGGTCCAGCTGAAGCTTCTGTGAACGCTGTATGTTCTCTTATATATATACCTCTTTATTCACTTTCATCAATTTTCAGACCGTAACTGAGTTGTGACGTGTAACAGGTTCACTTTGTCTTAAAAGAGCTTGTAAGAAAATCCATCGCAGAAACTGAGGAGCTAAAAAGGTTCCCATCGCTACAAATCGAGCTAACCGCTGCAGCGAACGCATCTTTAGAGAAGTTTCGTGAAGAAAGCATGAAGTCTGTTCTAAGACTTGTCGACATGGAAGCTTCGTATCTGACGGTTGACTTCTTTCGCAAGCTAACACAAGAAAGCCAATCTCAACCGTCGCTTTCTTCTTCACCAACAACAACAACAACAGACGCATACGGGGAAGGACATTGGAGAAAGATAGCTTCGAATGTGGCTGCTTACATCAGAATGGTGGCAGAGACGCTTGTGAACACCATTCCTAAGTCCGTTGTTCATTGTCAGGTCAGACAGGCGAAACTCTCTTTGCTCAGTTACTTGTACACACAAATCAGTCAGTGTCAGGTTTGTTCTCTTACTTAATTAACTCTGGTTTAATTCGGTTCGGTTTTGGTTATTGAGGATTGGTTGGGTCATTGTGTTTCCGCAGGGGAAAAAGCTGGGGCAGTTGCTAGATGAGAATCCGGCATTGTTGGAAAGGAGGCTACAGTGTGCAAAGAGGCTCGAGCTTTACAAGAAGGCTAGAGATGAAATTGATGCAGCGGTTTGGGCTCGTTGATTAAGCTTATAACTGTCCCTTTTGTGATTAATGGGTGGTTTAATCGGTTTATTTTGCACATACTATTTTGCACATACTTGTTGTGGTTATAAAATAAATTTGGTCAAAATTCGGATTGTGGATTGGTAATATACAATCTTTTCATTGGAAATTGGGAATCAAATAATCCTTATCTTCCTAAGATTCATTTCACTCCATTATGCACCAAATTTAGCTAAACCGTAAACGAAGTTTGTAGACCGTTTAACGAAAATTGGGAGATTATGAGCTATCCTAAAGTTCATGACGTTTTACAAAAGGGACGATAGACTACGTGCCGTTTTGTTTGCTCGTTTCGTAGTTTGGGCTTCTTAATGATTTGGGCCTTGGGCCATGAGATCTGTTAAGCTGGGAGAGAATCAAAACATAACGCGCCAAAAAATGGCTGAAACAAGGCGCGAAACTCTGTTCACAGGGAAGACTGAAGAGCCCTAGCGAAAAAAGCGCGAGCTCCGATTCCACCATTTAGGACTCCGTCACGATTCATCGGTGCGAATTAAATCTTCGTCGTCGCTCCAATTTCATCTAGGACTCTGTAATTTTGGTATAAACCATAGAAATGGAAGGAAATGGAGGAGCCGAAGCAGTGATAAATCTGGAAACTGGATCTTCGTTGCCGATTTCGTATCACCCCTGTTTTGGGCCTCACGAGGATCTACTCCTTCTCGAAGCCGATAACAATCTCATCTCAGATATCTTCAACAATCGGTACGATTCGAAACTTTTCGCTCTGAATTTTTTAATTAATTGGATCAGTTTCGGTTCAAGAGCTTCTCAAATTCGTGTTTCAGAGTAACATTGAGAGGACTTGCTGATGAAGACGCTGTTCTTTGCACCAAATCCAAAACTTACGCCGTCAAATTCGTCGGCAATTCCAATTCCATGTTCTTAATCCCTCCGGCAAACTTCCCCGGAGATAACGATAACGATAAAGTATCATCATCGGTCATCAAAATCGCTTCTGGTAACATGGAGCTCGTTGAGGTTTCTCCAAGACTTGACAAACTCAAGAACCTTCTCTTGGAGAATCCTTATGGTGCTAGTGAAGTGGACGAGGACGACGAATTCGGAAAGAGAGATGTAGCAAAGTTGTACACGTGGAGAGATTTGGTTAACGTGATTCAAGCGAGCGATGAGGAGTTACGAACCGGTTTACAGAGTCTCTCCGCTATTGAGATCGATGGTTACTGGAGAGTTGTGGACGAGAGTTACCTAGACATGATGCTGAGGATGCTGATTCACAACTGCGTGCTTAAAGATTGGTCTTTTGATGATCTTGACGAAGACGAAGTTGTGGATTCTTTGGTAGCTGATGAGTTCTCTAGAGACCTCGCGAGTCACTGCTTGCGTGAGTTTGGGTGTAAGGTGGAGGAAGGTGGTGAGAAGTGGAAGCTGGAGGAGAAGATTGTGTGTTTGCATTTTGCTAGACAGGTGCTGAGAGATGAGAAGATGAGAGTGGAGAGTTTCATGGAGGAGTGGAAGAAGAAGATTCCTGATGGGATTGAAGGGAGGTTTGAGATGCTTGAAGGTGAGGTTTTGACTGAGAAGATTGGGATTGAGACGAGGGTTTATGTGTTCAGTGTGCGTTCGCTGCCGTCGACTCCAGAGGAAAGGTTCTCTGTGTTGTTTAAGCATAGACCGAAATGGGAGTGGAAAGACTTGGAGCCTTACTTGAGGTAAGAAAGAAATGTTGTGATGAGGTTTTAGAAGATTGGTTTTTGAATTTATGAAGTGATTTGTGGGTTTGTTAATGGTGATTTGCAGGGATCTTCAGGTTCCGAGACTTTCAATGGAAGGTTTGCTTTTGAAGTACACACGGAGAGCACAACCTAGAGCTGATTCACAACCTGTCTTTAGTGCAAGATAGTTTCTCTTTTTTGCTAACGCTTTTGTCTTTGTTTTGTGTTATTTGATGTTATGAAATTTAATGGTCATAAATCACCTTTTTCTCTCTATTTTAATACATTAAAAGATAAGGTTAGTACATGAGATTATGTAATGTCACTTCTGTGAAGTGGTTTTTGGGTTTTTGGATTCAGCATTTAACAAACTATATTAATTGGATGGACCCAAAATTGAACAAACTTGGCCTGATTGTCTTTATGACCATCTCATAGTTATGTACAAAACGTTATACTGTAGGAGTATGTCCAAAAAAAGAATGAAAAACGTTTTAATTGACTACGTTTTATGATTCGTTTGTAAGTTTCTTTGAAATGTAGCAGAGGAAAAATGGACTACGTTTAGTCACAGAAAAATGGACTACGTTAAATGTGTCGACTGTTGAGGGTATTATTCTTTTCATTTTTATATTCTTTGGTAGGGTTTGTTGAACCTGCTTTTGATTATTATAACTATAAACGAGCTTTGTAAGTTGATAAACTAATTAGTCTAAGCCAACCTTGATTCTTTCTCTAATTTTAGCATCGTTTAATAATCGTAGAATCGAGAATTTCGAATGACTAAGCGCGACCATTTGAAATATTTTAATGATTAGATTAAGTAAGTCAAAATCCAAGGAGCATTCGATCAAAATTGACAATTTTTAGTACACCTGCGAATATTAATTAATTAAAATAAATAGCATGTGCTTGGAAACTACAACACATAACATCACCACCGTTCATTAAATCCAGACAAACCAAAATGTTTGAATTGAGACCGTCCGTTTCATCAAGATAAACCTTTATATACACACCTTACACACAAACAGAGCTTCCTTTACTTCCGAGTTGTGCCAAAATCGCATAACATTTTTATCTTCTTCTCAATAATGTTCGCCGAATCTGTGATTGGATTCTCTCAGTTGATCGCCGAATCCGTCGTTATCGCCTCCGTCGTCGTCTTCACTCTCCGTCTCTGCCTTAGATTCGTTTACTTCCTCGCCAGCCGTCCATGGCGTCGGTACCGTACATTCACGGTTTGCCGCCGGAGATGGGGGAAGAGAACGGCGGAGGAAGACCATTCACCGCCGTACTGTGCGGTTTGTCTCCAGGACGCAGCGGAGGGAGAGAAGATGAGGCGGTTAACGGCGTGCAGCCACTGTTTCCACGCCGATTGCATAGACCCGTGGCTTGAGAAACGGTCCACGTGTCCTCTGTGCAGAGCTGAAGTCCCGCCGGTGCCGTCGGGAAATCCTCTGTTAGCGTTAATTTTTCCTCCCGGCGTGATCGAGTTGTTCACCAAAGGAACCTTCGTATCCGATGCTTAGCTTTAGCCTTTAGCTCTGTCGTCGTCATCACTTTCGTTTTTTTTTTGTCGGAATCATTTTCATTTAATTAATTTGTTTATTCAGAGACGTAACGTTAGTCGCGTTAATGAGTAATTAATGTATTCATGCTACATGTCTCTCTCACAACAAAAAAATAGCAACTATTTTTCCCAAGTTGGCCAAAATACATTTACACGACTTCTACTTTCAAATTATTTAAAATTTTACACATATATGTAAAATGTTAATGTCATGCTGTGGTAAATTATCGATATTATGAATTAATTGAATCGATTTGTTATTTGTAAAACTGTATTTTCTTTGTTCTTTGACAAAACAAAAAGTTGTTTTAATTTCGTTTAAACCCTTGTTCAATGATGATCCACTAAGTCACCAACAAATACTAGAGAATGACAGTATGTGCCCATTAAAGTTCTACACTCGTAGGAATTTTATGTTTTTCTTCACCTTTACAATTTTCTTACCCACTCCATCTAAAACCCACCACCCAAAAAAGGTTGCTCAAATTTTCCAACAAGTGGTTTTAGAGTATACCAAATGATGGTTCGGCGAACAATATAAAAGAGGTAAAATACATTTTTTTTGTGTGTGGTAAACTATCAAAATCGCTGACAATTTAAACATTTCTCGAAGACCAAAGTTAGGTTATAGGAGGAATTCATGGAGTATCATATTATTCTCTCTACATAGTGTGTCTCTATTGTTCTTCTAGATTGAATTATATACATTTTTATAAAAAGAGCTAAAATACAAACTATTTGTATGAATAAATGTAGTTTCATATGTCGACATAGTGAGTCTCTATTGTTCTTCTAGATTGAAGATATGTATTTGTATGGTGTTAGATTAATTAATCGTAGTATTATGTAACTTTTGCATATTACTTACGAACAAATTTAGTTTTAGACAATTTTCATTCGACTCAATCATACACTGAAATTGTCTTGACTTATTGCGAACCTTTCTTTCAATTATCCATTAATAACCACTCACTTTAGTCATCGTTTAAGTTGCCTCCACACAAATAGCATCAAGCAACGGTGTCAATGATATGACAAGAGAATTTCGTCTTTTTGTAATAGAACTAAATTTGATTTTTTTTTTCCTTTCTCTTGTCATCTTGTATAACCTAAGTTTCTTGAATCCATACTTTACAGTTGTTACAAAAGTTCGGTGTTGATCAAGTTTCTCCATCAACGTCGGCTAAAAAAGACAGAACGACATGATCATATATAAGTGAACTCTTGAATGTCTTAATCCATCGGCGAACTCATAATTTTTCAGTTAACAATTAACCTACCACCACTTGAAATTATGATGAAACCCATGAACTCAATAAATGCGAGTGCCGATGATGTATAGTTTGTACGACAATTGTAGGCTAGTAACTTATTATTCACGGATTCAACGTGTTATCACGTGGCAAAAATTATGAAATTCGTACTCACATTTGAACCTGCCGGAAAAGAAAATCAGGACACGACTCTTCTTCTTCTACAAGCAAAGACTACTACCACATATATATAGATGTACAATTTTTTTAGTGTTAACTAACCAAACAGTTACTATTTTTAAATCCTGATTCTTATAAAGTATTTGGAGCGAAAGATAGATGGGCAGACAATCATGGGTTCGATCGATCCCTTTTGAAAAGATTCACTCTTGGAACGTGAATCAAGTAACACTTCGTCTATATTTTCTACACTATATTTCTCGTGTTAAAGTATGCGGGATATTTATTTATCTTTAAGTATTTTATATATTTTTACGTTAAGAATAGTTTTACTGATCATGAAAGAAAAATAGTAGGATAAGTACGTTTGCAGTTGCACACTCATAATTTTGAATCCGGCGCCATAATTTTTTTTTTTTAAAATTCAGATAATTGATTATATAGTAATTATGCAAATTTGGTAACCCGTTTTCTATTAACCAATCACAATAATCTTTTAAATTGTTTAGAATCGAATCAGAAATAATATATTTCCTTAGTTCCTCTTATGATTCGTGATAATGTTTCTGGTACCGCTCATAGATGCATCCTCTACAGAGTGAGAAGTGGATCACGTATATCATCAATTCAAAGGATACTTTATATATATAAGGAAGTATATTTTAAACCCTTTATCAAAATTTTTTTATAAGGAAGAATATTTGACAGATAAAAATATATAAGGAAGAAAATATGTATGTATTGTTTGTATTNGAGCTTCTCAAATTCGTGTTTCAGAGTAACATTGAGAGGACTTGCTGATGAAGACGCTGTTCTTTGCACCAAATCCAAAACTTACGCCGTCAAATTCGTCGGCAATTCCAATTCCATGTTCTTAATCCCTCCGGCAAACTTCCCCGGAGATAACGATAACGATAAAGTATCATCATCGGTCATCAAAATCGCTTCTGGTAACATGGAGCTCGTTGAGGTTTCTCCAAGACTTGACAAACTCAAGAACCTTCTCTTGGAGAATCCTTATGGTGCTAGTGAAGTGGACGAGGACGACGAATTCGGAAAGAGAGATGTAGCAAAGTTGTACACGTGGAGAGATTTGGTTAACGTGATTCAAGCGAGCGATGAGGAGTTACGAACCGGTTTACAGAGTCTCTCCGCTATTGAGATCGATGGTTACTGGAGAGTTGTGGACGAGAGTTACCTAGACATGATGCTGAGGATGCTGATTCACAACTGCGTGCTTAAAGATTGGTCTTTTGATGATCTTGACGAAGACGAAGTTGTGGATTCTTTGGTAGCTGATGAGTTCTCTAGAGACCTCGCGAGTCACTGCTTGCGTGAGTTTGGGTGTAAGGTGGAGGAAGGTGGTGAGAAGTGGAAGCTGGAGGAGAAGATTGTGTGTTTGCATTTTGCTAGACAGGTGCTGAGAGATGAGAAGATGAGAGTGGAGAGTTTCATGGAGGAGTGGAAGAAGAAGATTCCTGATGGGATTGAAGGGAGGTTTGAGATGCTTGAAGGTGAGGTTTTGACTGAGAAGATTGGGATTGAGACGAGGGTTTATGTGTTCAGTGTGCGTTCGCTGCCGTCGACTCCAGAGGAAAGGTTCTCTGTGTTGTTTAAGCATAGACCGAAATGGGAGTGGAAAGACTTGGAGCCTTACTTGAGGTAAGAAAGAAATGTTGTGATGAGGTTTTAGAAGATTGGTTTTTGAATTTATGAAGTGATTTGTGGGTTTGTTAATGGTGATTTGCAGGGATCTTCAGGTTCCGAGACTTTCAATGGAAGGTTTGCTTTTGAAGTACACACGGAGAGCACAACCTAGAGCTGATTCACAACCTGTCTTTAGTGCAAGATAGTTTCTCTTTTTTGCTAACGCTTTTGTCTTTGTTTTGTGTTATTTGATGTTATGAAATTTAATGGTCATAAATCACCTTTTTCTCTCTATTTTAATACATTAAAAGATAAGGTTAGTACATGAGATTATGTAATGTCACTTCTGTGAAGTGGTTTTTGGGTTTTTGGATTCAGCATTTAACAAACTATATTAATTGGATGGACCCAAAATTGAACAAACTTGGCCTGATTGTCTTTATGACCATCTCATAGTTATGTACAAAACGTTATACTGTAGGAGTATGTCCAAAAAAAGAATGAAAAACGTTTTAATTGACTACGTTTTATGATTCGTTTGTAAGTTTCTTTGAAATGTAGCAGAGGAAAAATGGACTACGTTTAGTCACAGAAAAATGGACTACGTTAAATGTGTCGACTGTTGAGGGTATTATTCTTTTCATTTTTATATTCTTTGGTAGGGTTTGTTGAACCTGCTTTTGATTATTATAACTATAAACGAGCTTTGTAAGTTGATAAACTAATTAGTCTAAGCCAACCTTGATTCTTTCTCTAATTTTAGCATCGTTTAATAATCGTAGAATCGAGAATTTCGAATGACTAAGCGCGACCATTTGAAATATTTTAATGATTAGATTAAGTAAGTCAAAATCCAAGGAGCATTCGATCAAAATTGACAATTTTTAGTACACCTGCGAATATTAATTAATTAAAATAAATAGCATGTGCTTGGAAACTACAACACATAACATCACCACCGTTCATTAAATCCAGACAAACCAAAATGTTTGAATTGAGACCGTCCGTTTCATCAAGATAAACCTTTATATACACACCTTACACACAAACAGAGCTTCCTTTACTTCCGAGTTGTGCCAAAATCGCATAACATTTTTATCTTCTTCTCAATAATGTTCGCCGAATCTGTGATTGGATTCTCTCAGTTGATCGCCGAATCCGTCGTTATCGCCTCCGTCGTCGTCTTCACTCTCCGTCTCTGCCTTAGATTCGTTTACTTCCTCGCCAGCCGTCCATGGCGTCGGTACCGTACATTCACGGTTTGCCGCCGGAGATGGGGGAAGAGAACGGCGGAGGAAGACCATTCACCGCCGTACTGTGCGGTTTGTCTCCAGGACGCAGCGGAGGGAGAGAAGATGAGGCGGTTAACGGCGTGCAGCCACTGTTTCCACGCCGATTGCATAGACCCGTGGCTTGAGAAACGGTCCACGTGTCCTCTGTGCAGAGCTGAAGTCCCGCCGGTGCCGTCGGGAAATCCTCTGTTAGCGTTAATTTTTCCTCCCGGCGTGATCGAGTTGTTCACCAAAGGAACCTTCGTATCCGATGCTTAGCTTTAGCCTTTAGCTCTGTCGTCGTCATCACTTTCGTTTTTTTTTTGTCGGAATCATTTTCATTTAATTAATTTGTTTATTCAGAGACGTAACGTTAGTCGCGTTAATGAGTAATTAATGTATTCATGCTACATGTCTCTCTCACAACAAAAAAATAGCAACTATTTTTCCCAAGTTGGCCAAAATACATTTACACGACTTCTACTTTCAAATTATTTAAAATTTTACACATATATGTAAAATGTTAATGTCATGCTGTGGTAAATTATCGATATTATGAATTAATTGAATCGATTTGTTATTTGTAAAACTGTATTTTCTTTGTTCTTTGACAAAACAAAAAGTTGTTTTAATTTCGTTTAAACCCTTGTTCAATGATGATCCACTAAGTCACCAACAAATACTAGAGAATGACAGTATGTGCCCATTAAAGTTCTACACTCGTAGGAATTTTATGTTTTTCTTCACCTTTACAATTTTCTTACCCACTCCATCTAAAACCCACCACCCAAAAAAGGTTGCTCAAATTTTCCAACAAGTGGTTTTAGAGTATACCAAATGATGGTTCGGCGAACAATATAAAAGAGGTAAAATACATTTTTTTTGTGTGTGGTAAACTATCAAAATCGCTGACAATTTAAACATTTCTCGAAGACCAAAGTTAGGTTATAGGAGGAATTCATGGAGTATCATATTATTCTCTCTACATAGTGTGTCTCTATTGTTCTTCTAGATTGAATTATATACATTTTTATAAAAAGAGCTAAAATACAAACTATTTGTATGAATAAATGTAGTTTCATATGTCGACATAGTGAGTCTCTATTGTTCTTCTAGATTGAAGATATGTATTTGTATGGTGTTAGATTAATTAATCGTAGTATTATGTAACTTTTGCATATTACTTACGAACAAATTTAGTTTTAGACAATTTTCATTCGACTCAATCATACACTGAAATTGTCTTGACTTATTGCGAACCTTTCTTTCAATTATCCATTAATAACCACTCACTTTAGTCATCGTTTAAGTTGCCTCCACACAAATAGCATCAAGCAACGGTGTCAATGATATGACAAGAGAATTTCGTCTTTTTGTAATAGAACTAAATTTGATTTTTTTTTTCCTTTCTCTTGTCATCTTGTATAACCTAAGTTTCTTGAATCCATACTTTACAGTTGTTACAAAAGTTCGGTGTTGATCAAGTTTCTCCATCAACGTCGGCTAAAAAAGACAGAACGACATGATCATATATAAGTGAACTCTTGAATGTCTTAATCCATCGGCGAACTCATAATTTTTCAGTTAACAATTAACCTACCACCACTTGAAATTATGATGAAACCCATGAACTCAATAAATGCGAGTGCCGATGATGTATAGTTTGTACGACAATTGTAGGCTAGTAACTTATTATTCACGGATTCAACGTGTTATCACGTGGCAAAAATTATGAAATTCGTACTCACATTTGAACCTGCCGGAAAAGAAAATCAGGACACGACTCTTCTTCTTCTACAAGCAAAGACTACTACCACATATATATAGATGTACAATTTTTTTAGTGTTAACTAACCAAACAGTTACTATTTTTAAATCCTGATTCTTATAAAGTATTTGGAGCGAAAGATAGATGGGCAGACAATCATGGGTTCGATCGATCCCTTTTGAAAAGATTCACTCTTGGAACGTGAATCAAGTAACACTTCGTCTATATTTTCTACACTATATTTCTCGTGTTAAAGTATGCGGGATATTTATTTATCTTTAAGTATTTTATATATTTTTACGTTAAGAATAGTTTTACTGATCATGAAAGAAAAATAGTAGGATAAGTACGTTTGCAGTTGCACACTCATAATTTTGAATCCGGCGCCATAATTTTTTTTTTTTAAAATTCAGATAATTGATTATATAGTAATTATGCAAATTTGGTAACCCGTTTTCTATTAACCAATCACAATAATCTTTTAAATTGTTTAGAATCGAATCAGAAATAATATATTTCCTTAGTTCCTCTTATGATTCGTGATAATGTTTCTGGTACCGCTCATAGATGCATCCTCTACAGAGTGAGAAGTGGATCACGTATATCATCAATTCAAAGGATACTTTATATATATAAGGAAGTATATTTTAAACCCTTTATCAAAATTTTTTTATAAGGAAGAATATTTGACAGATAAAAATATATAAGGAAGAAAATATGTATGTATTGTTTGTATTGCTTATTTTTTTTTTTTGGGTCAAATCTTATAGCATATATATATAGATATGAAATAAATATACACACATATCATTATGCTTCCTCACAATCAAATATATATATATACGCACAAGCATTGTTATTAAATCAAGTGTGCTTTGTTTTATGTTAGAAAAAACGATTACAACCATGTCTTGTGTGTTAGTAGATAGATCATTACAATGCTTCCTCACAATCAAATATATATATATACGCACAAGCATTGTTATTAAATCAAGTGTGCTTTGTTTTATGTTAGAAAAAACGATTACAACCATGTCTTGTGTGTTAGTAGATAGATCATTACAATGCTTCCTCACAATCAAAAGCATTTGCATAGGGTTATTGTTATTGTCGATGGCTCGTGGAGCTGTGTCTACAAATTATGGAGATGCTCTCACAAAGAGTCTTTTGTATTTCGAAGCTCAACGCTCTGGAAAATTGCCTTCGAACCAAAGAGTTATTTGGAGAGGAGATTCTGCACTTAGAGACGGTTCTGATGCTCATGTAATTCCATTTTTTCCCATCTTTATTATTTACCATTTTTTTGTGTGTGGTGAAGAATATTTATCAATTGAAGTATAATATTTCATTTGCTAATTTTCCAAAATAGATTGATCTCACCGGAGGGTATTACGATGCCGGAGACAATATGAAGTTTGGAATTCCTATGGCGTTCATGACCACGATGCTAGCTTGGAGCAGTGTAGAGATGGAAACGCAGCTTAAAGCTCATGAAGAGCACGAAAACGTCCTCGCGGCTCTTAAGTGGGCCACAGACTATATCATTAAGGCCCATACTGAGCCCAATGTTCTGTACGGACAAGTTGGCGAGGGAAACTCGGACCACGCGTGCTGGATGAGACCGGAGGATATGACCACACCGCGTCCTTCATACCGCATTGATGCTCAGCATCCAGGTTCTGACCTGGCTGGTGAGACAGCAGCAGCGATGGCTGCAGCTTCTTTGGCATTTGCGTCATCTGATGCAGCTTACGCCAAAACACTCATTGGTCACGCAAAAGATCTGTTTGAATTCGGCAAATGTTACACCGGTAAATATCACTTATCCATTACTAACGCGGCTGGGTTTTACCAGAGCAGCGGTTACGAAGATGAGTTGTTGTGGGCTGCGGCTTGGCTTCACCGAGCCACCGGAGACGAGATTTATCTTGATTACCTAACTCATGCTTCTAGTAGTGGAGGTGCGAGGTCCGAATTCTCATGGGACGATAAGTTCTTGGGGGCACAAGTCTTGGTTGCCAAGGTAGGTTATGTGAATTCAATTCCCTAGAGAGATCTTACGTCCATACCCTAACTTTCGCTACAAGAAAACTAACATTTAAGAAACTTTTTTTGTTGTTGTTGCAAATGTTAGCTTGTGTTTGAAGGAAAAGTGAAGAATGAAGGGAAGGTCTCGGAGTACAAGAGCATGGCGGAGCAGTTTATCTGCAATTGTGCTCAAAAGGGTTTCAGTAACGATAAGAAGTCTCCTGGAGGTTTGCTATGGTTCTTGCCATGGGACAACTTCCAATACACAGGAACAGCTTCTTTCGTCTTAGTCACTTATGGTAAATACCTTGAAGCTGCAAAAGCCTCCGTTCAATGCCCCAAAGGTGTCCTTCAGGCTTCTGATCTTCTCGACCTCGCTAGGGCCCAGGTTAGGAGAGCATCGGTTTTTTTTTGTTCTCTCGAGTTTATTTATAAGAATTTATGACAAGAAAAAGTTGGTTCGATATATTGTTTGTGTTACCAGGTAGACTACATGCTTGGGTCAAACCCCAAGAACATTAGCTATATGGTTGGATTCGGTACCAACTATCCACAAAGACCACACCATAGAGCAGCCTCTATAGTGTCAATCAAGGAAGATCCTAGACCGGTGACATGCAACGAAGGGTATCAAGCTTGGTACAACAATCCTAACCCGAATCCTAATGTTTTGGTTGGAGCAATTGTAGGTGGACCGGACGACAACGATGTTTTCCAAGATCAACGGTCTGATTATCAGCACGCTGAGCCCGATACCGTCACGGTTGCTCCTTTTGTCGGTGTTTTGGCTGCCATTGCATGACCTTAATTACATCTTTCTAGTTGTTTCTGGTTAATTACTTTCTTTGTACCTCATTTTTCCCTTGACGTTCGAGAGACCAACACTTTTGGTCTAACTGTAAAACACATTATACATTTATTATAATAGTACTGCCAGCCTTTGAGTTATACATACTAATATTGTCAGAGCAAATTTGAGTTCCTACACAAGCTAACCAAATGTATATATTTTCTAATACAGAATGCAATTTTTTTCTTTCTAAAACATAAACATGTATATTATAATCAAATCTGAGGACATTCATCATACAAGATTATTGACATGTTTTTCATGATTAGATCTCTTTTATAAATTTTTGATATATCATATATATGCAAAAATATAAAAATATAAGTTAAAACGCCATATTTTTTTCTCAGGTAGGCTTACATATATATAGTAGTTAGTCTAATATAATAATCTATTTAAAGTTTTTTGTTTGAAAAGCCCAATTTTTATCTTCACAAAATAGGTTGGATGCTTTGGTTATTGATTTATTTTGAATTTTTAAAAGATAGCCTCCTTAATTTTGGTTCTTATGTTAATCCATATCTACCAGTCTATTAATAACATCTAACTACTATTTTCACATCCTGATCTATATCTTGTAGGATAAATGATAAAAATATATAACATTCGGTGAGTTTTAGGCTAACTAATAAAAGTATGCAAATGATCCTTAAATATTAGCCATGGATTCCATCTAATAGATACTCTATAAGTAGTTGAATATCAACACAAGTCAAAAGTAATAAAAAATAACAATGTCTCTTTTGAAAAATGAAGCTCCACAAGTCTTATGTTGGACAAGTATTGTCTTATTGTTAATGTCGATGGCTCGTGGAGCTGTCTCTACAAATTATGTAGAAGCTCTCACAAAGAGTCTTTTGTATTTCGAAGCTCAACGCTCTGGAGTATTGCCTTCGGGCCAAAGGGTCAAATGGAGAGGAGATTCTGCACTTAGAGACGGTTCTGATGCTCATGTAATTTGAATCTCAAAACTCATTTTCTCTCTTTTTTTTGTTTGCTGCTAAATATTGAAAAATAGAAATAGGTAAAACATTTGCTAATAATTGTAAAAATAGGTTGATCTCACCGGAGGTTACTACGACGCCGGAGACAACATGAAGTTTGGATTTCCTCTGGCGTTCATGACGACAATGCTAGCTTGGAGCAGTATAGAGATGTCATCGCAGCTTGATACCCATAAGGAGCACGACAACGTCCTCGTGGCTCTCAAATGGGCCACAGACTTTCTCATCAAAGCCCATCCCGAGCCAAATGTCCTCTACGGACAAGTTGGCGATGGAAACTCCGACCACGCGTGCTGGATGAGACCCGAAGATATGACCACACCACGTCCTTCATACCGCATTGATGCTCAGCATCCAGGTGCTGACCTGGCTGGCGAAACAGCAGCAGCTATGGCTGCAGCTTCTTTAGCCTTCGCGCCATCTAATGCATCTTACGCAAAGACACTCATTGGTCACGCAAAAGATCTCTTTGAATTCGCTAAGTCTCACCCTGGGGTTTACCAAAGCTCCATTCCTAACGCCGGTGAATTCTACAAGAGCAGCGGATACGAAGATGAGCTGTTTTGGGCCGCGGCTTGGCTCCACCGTGCCACCAACGAGCAAGTTTATCTCGATTATTTAACTCAAACATATGGTACCGGAGGTCCTAGGACTGTTTTCGGATGGGATGATAAGTTTTTGGGTGCACAAGTCTTGGTTGCCAAGGTAGGTCATGTCTATTTTGAACACATACCAATAACTTATATGACAAGAAACAAAAGTAACACAAAATTTATGGAAATTGCAGCTTGCACTTGAAGGGAAAGTGAAGAGCGATGGGAAGATCGGAGAGTTCAAGAGTATGGCGGAGCAGTTTATCTGCAACTGTGCTCAAAAGGGTTCCAACAATGTCAAGAAGACTCCTGGAGGTTTGCTCTGGTTCTTGCCGTGGAACAACCTCCAATACACAGCCACCGCCACCTTCGTCCTCTCTGCGTATTCTAAATATCTTGAAGCCGCAAAAGCCTCAATCCAGTGTCCCAATGGCGCTCTTCAAGCTTCTGATCTTCACAGCTTAGCTCGTGCACAAGTAGACTATATACTTGGGTCGAACCCCAAGAATATGAGCTACATGGTTGGAGTTGGGACCAATTATCCTCAAAGACCACACCATAGAGGAGCCTCTATTGTGTCAATCCACACGAACAACGCTCACGTGGCGTGCTCTGATGGGTTCAACGCATGGTTTAACAACCCTGCACCAAACCCTAATGTTCTAATTGGAGCAGTCGTGGGAGGACCCGACGAGAACGATGCTTATGGAGATCAAAGGAATGATTTCCAGCACAGCGAGCCTGCGCCGGTCACCGTTGCTCCACTTGTTGGTGCTTTGGCCGCCATGGCTTGATCATTTGTAAATTTGTATATCGTTTGTAGACCTCGTTATCTTCATATGATAATGATAACTCTTAGTTTTGTAGTCAATGTAAAGTTCAAAACTGCCGAGAGGTCTAATTGTAATCTGGCTTGAAAATAAAGTAAATTTTGTATTTCAAAATGTCCGTAAGATTTCTTAAAAGTAACGAAAAGTTGGCTCTTTTTAATCTTCGTCTCTACAAAAGTGTTCCAATTTGAACATTCACACTCAAAGTCTCAACATTTACAGCAACAAAAGAATTTGTACAATATCAAGAAAAATTCATACTACTGAGAGGCTAAGTAGATTCTTCACCGGTGTTGCATCAATCAATCGATCCCCAATGTCGAAAATGGCTCAATAGCTCCCTGAGAATTCCAAAAAATCAAATCAGAGACCAAATATTATTTCTCTTAAAACAAAGAAGTGCATGTGAAGTAATGTCTTAAAGCCACTCACAGAGCAATCATCATGAACACGCCAAATGGTCTCCCCAAGAAGGTTTGCAACTGAGAGAACAGTAAGCTGAGGAAAATAGTTCTTCTCTGACAGTGGAATTGTGTTTGTTATGATCACCTCTTGAAACAGTCCGCTCGATAGTCTACTTATTGCAGGAGGGCTGTTTCCACACAGAGACGCAAATGAATGATGAATATATATATAAAGCCTCTCTTCACATTTCCAAAATATTTCATACACACACTTACCTAAAAACGGCATGAGTGGTGCATGCGTATACTTCTTTTGCCCCTTCTTGGTGTAACAGAGCCGCACCTTTGCTTATGGTTCCTAATTTCATACAACATAATGGATTAGTGTGTACTGTTTACGGATTTATATGAAGATGAAGACTTATATATGTAACTCACCCGCTGTGTCAATCATGTCATCCACCATTATAGCTACTTTCCCTTTAACATCCCCAATCAAGTTCATCACCTACATGAATCAGATTCTAATATCTCAAATCCAGTTTCGGTTCAAATGTATTTGCCAATCAAGTTCATGTTTTGTCTTTACCTCTGCAACATTGTGACCATGACGTCTTTTATCAACAATTGCTAAAGGAGCATCAGATAACTTCTTGGCAAAAGCACGAGCCCTTGCCACGCCACCAACATCAGGTGAAACAACTACCAAATCTGCAGCGGATATGGCTTTGCTTGCTAGGTAATCAAGTATCACAGGCTGTTCATGAATGTTAAAGCAAGTATCAGGGACTATAAGAAAATCCATGTGCTTTGAGGAATCATTTAAGATAGGAACAGTTTTTTCACCTGGCCATAAACATGATCGACTGGAATGTCAAAGTAGCCCATAGACTGTCCTGAGTGAAGATCACAGGCAAGGACACGGTCTGCACCAGACTGCGTTATCAAATTGGCCACAAGCTTTGCTGCAATCGATTCACGTCCTTGAGTCTGCAAGAAGTCATATGAAAACTCTGTTTAGCCATTAGCCACAGGAATGAGACCATAGACAAACTCAAATTTGATTACTTCTGGATACTAACTACCTAAAGATCTTATCCATTGACTTCAAGAGAAAGATTCTACAGTTTCCAGGAAAAGGACTTGCCTTTCGATCAGCTCGAGCATAGCCAAAGTAAGGAATCACAGCAGTGATGGTTTTGGCTGATGCTCTCCGGCAAGCATCAATCATAACGAGCAGCTCCATGAGATTCTCATTTGCAGGTGGGCATGTAGGCTGCACAAGAAACACATCGCATCCCCTTACGCTCTCTTGCAGCTGAACATAGATCTCACCATCAGCAAACCGTTTGATCTTGATTTTCCCAAGCTCCAGACCCAAATAGCAAGAAATCTCCTGTATCCGCCACAAATCATCCAATGAACAAACAAACAACAAGATCCAGAAGTTTACTAGAAATCAGTTTCTTCCTAATCGTGTACGAAGAAATTGAGCAAATTCCAGTTTCAAGCTAATATCCCAAGTAAAATCAGTTTCTCGCTAGTCGTTCATGGAGGAGAAGAAGAAATTTCCAATTCAAGAGCTAAGCTAATCATTTTGCAATTGAATCCGAACCTGAGCCAAGGCGGGATTAGCAGTGCCGGAGAATATACGGAGGCGCGTGGTGTTCTTGTAAATCGCATCTTCCAAATGTGACTTCGAGAAAAGAGGAGTCGCGGGAACGGTGTCGCCTGTAAGCAGATGGAAACCGGCGGAGTTGACGTCGTCGAACTTGAACGAATCCGCCGCGTTACATCTCTTTTTGTTTTACCAAAACCAATCGGAGAAGAAGATTCAATTAGATGCGAGCGAAGACTGTAAGACTACTGATTACCAAATAGAGAGAGATAGAGAAGGCTTACAACAGGAAATCGAAATGAAGAAGGGCTACGAATCAGAGAAGAAGAACGCCGGAGATTTAGGGCCGGCAAAGAAGGCGACGGTTGAACAAGAGACGCCATGTGGTTTTCGCCTAAATTGATCGAACACGGAAAATGGGCGAGAGATGGATCCGGAGAGATTTTAGGGTTTTTCAAAGAAGCTTGTAAACAGTAAAAACAGTTTTTCTTGGTCTTCTTCTACTGCCGATATGAAAATGACAGAGTATTTTGGTTTTAGTTTTTTCATATAACCCTACTGTTAAATCCCTCTCGAAATCATATACTAGGAGGCAAGTTTTACGTTTATTTATTCTTTTGAGCATTTGCTTTTGTGAAAAGGAACTGTATATCTCCAAATTATTTATTACTAGACAAGTTTCCAGTTTCTTTTTTATAGTAAGGATTTGATTTGAGAGATCAGAAACTGTATGCAGAAAAAATTATACGGAGACAATTTTTCCATTTTTAATTAAGAGGATTTCGTATGTGGAAAAGGGATAATATCCTAAATTTTTTGTTAAGAGGATTTGCTTTTGTGGAAAAGGAATAATATCCTAATCTTACTAGGAGACAGTTTTTATTTTGTGATCCGTCCATATATAAGAAAAAATCACACAAGAAACAAAATCTCAAGCAAATCAGAATTAGAGATACGGATCAAAAGACAAAAAAAACGAAGACGAAGGAGAGAAATATGGATCTTCCGGAGGAAGTAGTGGTAAATATAATCGCAAGGTTACCTATGCAAAGTATCGTTAGGTTCAGGTTGGTGTGTAGAGAATGGAAATCGCTTACGGAATCTGCATTCTTCCGAGATCTCTACCATAGCACCTCCAATTCAACCTCTTGTAATTGGTCCATCCTTTACGGAGATTATAGGTCGTTACGTCCTAGTTTGAAGCAAGTGAAACTCGATTTACCATCATCGCATGGTAATAATAACCCTTCTTTTCCATTTTGTTTTACTCCAACCAATAATGAGATCAAAAAGATTACGGTTGTGGCTTCCACTGATGGATTGGTTTTGCTGCGTCTCTATGAGGAGGACAAGAAGATGATACGTTACTACATTGGGAATCCCGTGCTACCGCAATGGATTCAACTCCCTCCTCCTCCTCCTCCTAAAGTGGATTATATGCCATTCACTGATTCAGGACTTGTGACAAGAATGCACAACAATGTTGCCCTCTTAGGTTACAAGGTGGTTCGGATATTTTCCCAAGCACTCTTGTTCACTTCTCGAACATGGAGGTTTGAGACATATTCATCAGATACGGGTCAATGGAGTATTACACAAGTCTGTCGTCCTGGAGCTGCACTTTCTCGCATTGACACATCCAATCCCGTTACTTTGAATGGGAAACTTCACTGGCTTGACCACTTGGGCTGTATTTTTGTCCATGATTTCTTCTCTCACGATGACCAAGTTCGAGCCATAAGCCTACCCGAGAAGTTGCAATGCGGTCCAGATACATGCCGTAAGATAATCTTCACCACCTCACAAGGATACTGTGTGCTCGTTGATGCCCAGCTGATAGAAGAGGTCAACAGCTATAACGTTAGGATTTGGAGGCTCAACAGTGATTGTTGGAGCTGGGGAAAAGCATGGGAAATCAACATGGCTAGCGTAGGGCTTGGTAGTAGCTGTGTTCCAATGGCAATCAACTATTTCGATATCGACGTCATCTACCTATGGGACTCAGAAGAAAAATGTTTCCTCGCTTTTAATCGCCGGACACTCGCAAAATCTTATGGAGCTCGTAAAGCTGATACTTTCTCCTCCTCCAAGCCATTTTCCTGCCTTTCGCAATTTGTTCCCTCCTTGCATGTTGTACCTACGTAGAAACCCAAGATGTTATTGAATCTAATATTTTGTAAATATTCCTCTGTGATATTTTGTAATATTTGTTTTCCTCAATGCATTATGGTTTTTCTCTGTTTTCTAGCGTTTTCAACTTATTAACCAATTATCATGTATTTTGATATTCTGTAATTTTTTTTTTGTAGAATTGGCTAATGGCTTCTATAAGAAGTTCTTTTATTGACTCGTCATATTCGGGCAGCGCAAAATTGACACTTTTGGTCCTTGTGTTAATAAAAATAAACTAAAAATCCATCAAATAAGAATAAGCTCGGTTTAACCAGATAATGATTTAATAGTGTCTCAACTATTTATCCCAGGTACTACAATATGGGATGAATCAAAGCTTCAACAATTAGTCTGTCAGGAAGATATTCCACTAATCAAAAAGCTTCGCCCTAGTCTTGTCAGGAAGATATTCCACTAATCAAAAAGCTTCGCCCTAGTCTTCAAAGGATTCCAGATTCTTTTTACTGGGTCCACACCAAAGATGGTGACTATTCAATCAAGTCAGGCTATAATCTACTAAGGCAGCATCATGAGATAAGCAATTTTGACCTCCATCACTCAGAGACTCGGGATCTCTATCAAAAGCTGTGGAATCTCTCCTTACCTCCAAAGCTAAAGATCTTCTGGTGGAAAGTTATTCATAATGGACTTCCAGTAGCTGAAACACTTTTGAAAAGAAAAATCAAGGTAGATCAACAATGTTTATTCTGTGGTGAGAATATAGAAACTATCAACCATCTCCTTTTTCAATGCAGAATATCAAGAGAGATATGGAGTCTATCACCTATTCAAAATCCTTCAGGTGATACCCTACTTAATAATTCTCTTCATCAAAATATTAGGGAATGGTTGGCACTGAATAAACATGAGAAATCGCCATTATTCCTCTTTATTGGTTCGAAAATATGGAATATGAGGAATGATTTGCTCTTTAAAAATAAAAGATGGTCTATCCCTTTGCTCATCCATAGGGCATTAATTGATCTTAAGCTCTGGAAAGAAGCCATAAGTTCAGGAGATAATATGAATAATAGTACCCACATAGGAGGCAGAGAGAATAGCAGAGAGAAAAGCCAATCCACTAATCATCATCTTTGTTTTGTAGATGGTTCATGGGTCAATGATAAGGAAAGAGCAGGTATTGCATGGATTCTTCAGAGTAATTATGGTCATCCTATACTACAAGGTTCGGCTTCTATTGATCCAATAGCCAGTCCTCAAGAAACTGAAGCCTTGGCACTAAAGGAAGCGGTACTGCAACTAAAAAAGTTAGGCTTCATGAAAATTCGATTTATGGGTGATTGTAAGGTACTCTACACTCAGCTCCATAAGTTACAAAAGACCCAAGTTCATACAAAAAGCTATTCAAATGAGTTAAGTGCTTATACAGGTGATATTCTCACTTTCGTAGGAACTAGTTCTTCCTATGAATTTCAGGACATTCCAAGAGAGCAAAATGCAACAGCAGATGCCTTAGCAAAAAAAGCAAGACAAAGTTCTAGTGCCTATATTATAAAGTGGTTATGATGTTTAATGTTATGTAAGGTTATATAGTCATATGTGTGTTTGCTTATATCAAAAACTCTATGTATTTAACTTAACAAGCACTGTAATATTCTCGTTATTAATAAAATTAGTTTGCCGACAAAAAAAAAAAAAAAGGCTCGGTTTAACCAGAGAAAATACGTACAAGGTTTCGTAGGAAATTTTCACTTACACTTATTTATTAACCAACGATTAAAATTCAAAAACAATTATCACTTTTGTGTCTCCAAAAATTCAAGAGCTTTGCTTGCTCAAACAGTTTTTTCATGGAGAGTAAAAGGAAGGAGCTGGGAGGAAAGGAAACGGTGCAGCAGAAGCATAAGCCACGGGAGCTTGAGAAGCACGTTTCTTCTTTCGCCTCTGAGTTTTTATCACTTCACCGGTTGCTGAATTTGACAAACCGGCTTCTGCTACGAGTGGCTGCTGGTTATCATTGGAGACGCGGTGTAGAAGCAAACCGGACATGAAAACAGGCAGGAAGAGAAGACTGGCGTGAAACATCTTCCTAGCCTTTGGCATCGTTCGGTCTCGGTAGAATGAAAACGCTGTAGCAGCGATTGCTAGTGTGAGAAGTGTTGATTCTACGCAAAACCAGCTCGATGTCAATCCCCCTGGTCGGTCACGAACAACCAAAAATCAGAAACTGCAAGTCTATGAACTCTTTCTCAAAACAGAAAGATGAAATCTACAGCAAGACTCACAGTCATAGGCGATGAAACCGAGAGGGACCATGTAAAAGCAGTTCCTAAGCGCCACTGCTGCTAGTCTCTTCCCTGAAGGATCAAAGAGCGACAACATCTTGTAACTGCAAAACAATGTCATAAGGCACAGATTGAGAACTTTTCCGGTTCAAGGAAATGTTCTACGGCACTGAGATCATTCCGAGGAACTAAACACTTTCAAGACCAACACTAAATGGGAGAAAACATTCAAAAACCTCATCTAATATGAATGAAAGTACGTTTGTCATAACCTCAGAGAAACTAAACACATTCAAAGATCAACACTAAATGGGAGGAGACATTCTAATCTAATCTCATATCTCATAAGAAAGAAACCATATTTGTCTTACCCTCCAGCTGCATAATCATTGCGGCAGAGGTGTGCAAGGGCCATGAAATGAGGAATCTGCCAAAAGTAAAGAGCTGCTGGAAGTATCATCGAATTCCATGAGATCTGACCAGATGCTGCAGCCCACCTGAGAAGAAAACCCCAAACTATATAAGCAAAAATCTGGCGAAAGATGATTCCAAACACCAACGAAAGAGACATGAACTAAGTAAAAAAGAACAAGTTTTTTACCCAAGCAAAGGTGGGATGGCACCAACAACAGCACCAACCCAAGTATTGATAGGGTGAAGTTGCTTCAACGGAGTGTAAACAAATGCGTAGAGGACGAGATTGGCAGATGCAAGTCCAGCAGCCATCATATTAGTCTGCAATAACCTTGTCGTGAGAGAAGCAATAGATTAGATTCATAACCTCTCTCTCTCTCTCTTTATCACTGAGGGCATCAACACACACAAAAGAAAACAAACAGTCACCTTGCTAGCCAACAAACAAGCACCAGAAGCCCCAGCTATAGTTGCCCACGCAACAGCATGTGGAACACTAATCCTTCCTGATGGCAACGGCCTTTGCATCGTTCTCTTCATCTTCGCATCATTGCTTATCTCAAATATCTATTAAAACATCAAGCAAACAAAAGATCAACTACATGTACACAACTAGGATTCGAAGGAGATCATACACTATCTAAAACTCCAAAATGGAAACCTGATTCAAGGAATTAGCAGAAGCAGCAATCAACATGGTGCCAGCACAAGTGTAACAGAGCCCAGGGAAGCTAATTGCAGCATTTCCAGTACCCAGAATGTATCCAGTGCCAGAAGTCGCAACCACAAGCATGCTGCAAATTCAATTTATCACACAAAATGATGAATCTTCTAGCCCCGAAAACAATACCCTTAATTTAAAAATTGGATTTTTTGAATTTTGAATCCAGCAATACCTGAGTCGAGCTTTGGAAAGCTCCCAATAACAACGAGCGTAGTGGTGTCCTAATCCAGCAGCAGACGCGAATCTCGACGAAATCTCACCGCCGGGAGTTGTAGCGGAGGCGGCGGCGGCGGAGATAGTATTCGCATCGGATCTGATTCCAGAAATCGCTAGCTTCGCAGCAGTTGATTCCGCTGAAAGCGGAGGCTGGGAGAAACTGTTAACGGCGCATAATTCGCGGGACCAGAGAATCGGACTAGGATTTGGCAACGGAGAAGAAGCAGAGATCCTCGAAGAGAGACGAGATACGACGGATCTTCGCCACATCGTATCCACTGATAACGCTCGGTCGTATGAATCACTATGCGTTGATGGAGATCGAGAGACACTTCTTCATCGTATAACCCAGATTGATTGATTGCTTTCAGGTATCGAATCGAGCCACGGTGACGAAATGAGAAAAATTGACGGCACTATAAAATTTAGATAATTTAAATATTATCAGAAAGTTCGGGGGTTATTGAATAAATAAAATAAAGTACCAACTAATGGAAATGGACCATGGTTGTTCAATTGTTTCTTCTTTGACCCATGAATCCATAAACTTCACTACTAAAACAGAGGTCTAAGTGAAAACAACTCTTTTCTACTAATATTCAATTTGATTCAAAGATATAATCATGAACTTCACTGTTAAAACAAGAGAAACACGAAGAATAAGCCATGACATGTTCAAACATCTAGACAAAAGTAATGCTGTTAAGCATGATCACATGTATGTATGAAGTATATGTGGTTATGTGAGCAATTATTTAACCATATATTCCGACTTCATAAGAGTCATCAATATATGCGACCCAAACATAATTACACCAATCTAAACCCAAATTCAATTAAATGACCAAACATAATTACACTATGTTTAATTTCAGGGAATTTCTTGGTGTTAAAGATTAGAGAAAATAATGTTGTTGAATGGGATCATAATATTCATACGGTATATCTTGAATAGGTTCCAGAATATGCCATGACATATACAGGAGGAACATCACCAAATTGAGTCTTGTCATTCTGCATATGTTTCTCATTTCCATAATCACCTTAACTATTTCCTTTGTAGACCATTTGGACGTCTGTGGTGGGATGAAACGGTGCAAATTGTGGTCACGAAAGCAGAATCACATAAGCAGGTTAGTCTTTAGTTCATTTTGAGATCCTCTTCAAGAGAATCATTTTACTCTTTAATCCATAGAATTTAGCTCCAAGATTGCAAAATGGAGAATTAGTAGATTTGTTAGGCATGTGCATCTAACATTGAATATAATCTAGAATCTAGAGAGTACTCAGTGATAAAACTAATCATTTAACATTGAGTAGAAGCTAATGAGTAAACTTAACATATATTTTATTTAACTAACAAACTTTTTTCCTTAAAACAATTCATTATAAGTGAAAACAACTCTTTTTGGCTGGTCTTATTACGCCCAATTTTAACTCCCACACAAATTAACCAAACATCTTTTTTAACCGATTGAGATTAATTATGAAGTTCAGATAATAGGGATTCAATTTGATCCAAAGATGTAATCATGTTACTGTAGAAAATTATAGTATTATGCATCAAATCATCAAATTTAGGGTTTTTTTGTTTTTATCAAGTTAACATCAATAGAGTTATTGAGTTAGACTAGAAGTTCAAGAGAAAAATAAATTGTAGTTCGAGTTACATGTAGAAAACAAGATAACAGATTAAAAAAAAAAAAAAAGCAAAACGGTAGAATCAAGGAAAAGAAGATGGTTGTCATTATTCATCAATGAGAGAATTCAACATCTGTCTGAATTCAGGAATCCTTTTTGCCTCCACAGCCATCACTAGACCCATCAGCTGATAATTCTTCATCTGCCATAAATCGCCATTAAAACCAAATATCACACATCAACAACAATTGAAATAACAAAAAAAGTATCTTCAATTGTTTATAGTCTGTAGAGAGAAGCTTACTTCTTGAGAAGTCACTAGCTGTGAGCGCATAGGGTATGTGAAAGACCAAGAACTGAGCTGCAAATGCAATTAAACCAACAAAATGTTCAGAGAATGTTTTTTCTTTTCTCACAGGAAGTCTGAATAAGTACTGTATTGTGAGAGAATAAGTTACCTCGAGAAAAAGTTCATCTTCAGGCTTAAGAAATACTGTTTCCTCAATCTCTTCTTCACCACGACGAGGCTTTCTCTGCTTAGGATTCTTCAACTACATAGCCAAGAATCCATACCACATTGAGATCAGATTCAAGAACAAAACAAAACAAAATCTTAATGTAAACACAGAATTACCTTGTAAATCTTGGTGACTATAAGATATGTCTTGAACCGGAATGATTTTCGAAGCTCCTCTGTAGGCTATATAAACAAAAGAACATAAAACTGATCAATGTGTATTGCTCACAAGAAGTTACCTAAAAGTATGTTTCAAAAGATCAGACTCAAACCTCATCTTCAGTGGCCCATGAGACTTCATCAAACGTTCCATCGTACAGAGGAGGAAGAAGCTGTGGAGGAAGATTCATCACTCTCTGAGACACCAACAAACCAACATCTCTTGCTTTCTTCTCCAAGAGCATTTGTAACTCACTAGCTACACTCTTCTCCGAGCAGATTTTAACAAGAAACTCTTTCAACTGTCTAAAGCATTTGTTGTCCTTGTATCTCCCCAAGTTGAGAGCAGTGACAACAGCAAACACAGACTCGTCTTCATCATCTGCTACTTTCACAACCGTTCCTACTGTTGTCTGTTCCAATATCAAATCAACAAAGCTTGTCAAATCCCACTCCTTGTCATCGAGATAGTGTTGCAACAGGATCTTCACTCCGTTAAAGTCTTTAGCTTTAGGATCAAAGAACTCAAAATCCGCTTGGACATCTTCTCCTTGAGAGTCTTCTTCATCAGAGGAGTCTGAAAGTTCTTCCTTTTTCGCCTTTTTAGATAAATTTGGGAGCTTTTCATCTACAAAGATTTAGAATGATTCCGTCACTACAATGTTTTCCGAATTCCTAAATTCTCAATTCAAAGGTTTTTACTTTTTTTACTCACCAAAAGTAATCTCTTCAGAGCATTGACAGTCTTGAGGATGAGGCAATTTACGCTTAGCCGTTGAAGAAGCGAAAGCAAACCGCATAAACGGTGAAAATGCTAAAGGTTGAGGCTTTGACAATCTTCTTCCTGATGGTCTCCGAGACATCTATTCAGAAATTCACAGGTAACACAATTTCAGACTAATTCACTAAATCCAATGAAAACGCTCAAAAAAACAAAATATGTCCTGCTCTATGAATTGAGTTCAAGGAACTGTAAATTTTGAAACATACGGAGCTAATGATAAAATTTATGAGTTCCATATTCAGAAAAAGAAACCGGACCTGGAAACGCTTCCCGATAACAGCGAGCAGAAGCTAAAAAACCCTTTTGATCAGACACGAACACGAGCTACACACGATCCAATAGCTCTCTGTCTCTGAAAACCCAAAACCTTTGAACACGACTTGTTCGACTTCGGTCTATGAGAGTGGGGAAGAACAAACGACATCGTTTAGCCAAAAAATAAACCCTAGGGTACAAACGGCGTCGTTTCCGGTCACTAAAAAATCAACTAACGGCGTCGTTTAAGGCACAATGCTATTTGGATCCATTATTAAATATTTGATTTGTAGAGAATATTAACGATTTAGACCAAAGTAGAAGAATCGAAGAAATGAAAAATGAAGAATTTCAGGACATACATTATGTAACTGCTTGCTTTATTTATAGAACAAGTACAACTATAATCGTATACAACTCTGTAATATATAATTACACAGTCCAAATAAATCGAATCAAAGAATCATATCATATCCCCCTCACTATTCTACTTCCCACGTATATTTCGTCAAACATGTAAAAAAAAAACCTCCGTTACAAGAAGAAAAAAAGAATAATATATACTCTAAAAATGATCAAGATTAAAAACGAGCTAAAAAGAATATTGCACGAACCACCATGAATCGTCTTGGAGGCTTAAGCTTCTGACTGTTGTTGTTGTTGTTGTCTATCTGAGCACATACACTCAGGAACAGGATGCTTTGTAACATCTTTACCAGCTTTGCTCATCCTCAACTCCGGCTGTCCAAAAGACTCTCGATGAAGATCCTTCACAATTCTATTAAAATCCGACTCAGGGAGCGACGAGTTCATGAAATAAGGAAGCATCTGTCTCTTATTAGGAGTGATATACTTCTTGTGACCAGCGTAAGCTCTCTCCCCTTGCAACGCGTGTCCCATGTTCCCTCCATGAGACGGTATAAAAACATCGCTCTTCTCACACACAATGTAGTCGATCGCAGCCATAACCGAAGCTTTCTTGGCGAACGGCTCGAGCTCTCCAGGCAAAGCAAGGTCATGCTTGTTGTAGAAATGAGGGAAGGATTTAGTCAACGGATCCAAAACCTCTTTCCCACCTAGAGGCTCTCCTCCTGCCCAATAGATTCTCGCGTCTTTAGGAGCTTCCAATGCCTTAAGCAGCCTCGTGACTTCGAGAGCGGTTAAAGGGCAGAGACCGGCGAGTTTGCGCTCGTGGTAAGTCATGTTTGACCGTCCGGTTAGTAGCTCCGGGTGGCTTTCTCTTTCGCTGTTGACGATCTCGTCGTACTCGGGGGTTAAACCGGGAAGACAACCGGTTCTGACCCAAACGTCTTTCTCCATTCTTAGATGAAGCGAGAGGTATTGTTGTCCTTCGTTGCGCATGCGTGAAGCTAGCTTGTTTCCGAGCTCGAGGATCCTCGGCGAGAATCTTAGCGCTTGGAAAGCTACTTTGCATCGGAGCTTTTGAAGATCGGAAGGAAGGTCCTTGGAGAGTCTTGAATCGAGTCCACGGAGAAGTAGAACTCTTTCTCTGTTTATCTGCAGAAACAGAGCAAAACAGAGCAAAACAGAGTTAGTCGTAATCCTGAAACCAATTAGATTGTTTGTGAGGAAGAATCAATCTTTCTTACTCGCTTCAGGTAATGAGCACGAATCCATTGAGGAGAAGCGTGAAGTGGAGTCCTTTTTTCTTCGACAGGTCTCGTCATGACATGTGTTGAAGGCAGAGACGAGACTATATGAACATCGTCTGCTAAAACGCTTTTGAAGTGCTCCAAATCGAAAATATCGGCGAATTCACTGAAATTGTAACAAATAAACGAAAACGCAATTAGATCACTTTTCGTTTCAAATCAAAATCTGAATTTTTTTAAGTAAAGTTTATACCTTTCGTCTCCCCAAATGACATTAACCTGCAAAACAGGGACAACGAGAGAAGCGCCAAGGATCCTAGCGATGACAACTGCATCAACAATCTGATTCCTTTGCTGATTCATCCCACCGGAGACGACGACAAGCAGATACTTCCATCTGTTCTTCAGAATCGAATTGCTATCTCTCCGATACTGACCGCTAAATCCAAGACACGGCTTAAACCCTAACCCGTCGGGCTGTTTCCAGAAATCACCTTCCGTCGTGAACAAAGACTCGTTTTTTCCGCCTTCTGATTGGATAATCTCACTCGAATTCGAATACCCAGAAGTCGATTTCGATTCGGAGAAACCCAGATTGGATTCGGCTCTGTTTTCTCCGTCGAAGATTAGTGGTTGACTCGTTGAACAAGGAGAGAAAGGGAGAGAGATTGGGTCAAAGTTGAATCCGAGTTTCAACATACCGAAGAGTGAGAAGAGGAAGAGAGTAAAGAACCAGATTCTAGGGTTTCTGTAGCTGAATCTGTTGGTGCATTTTGATGATTTCTTTGGGGAAACAAGAAGGGATTGTAGAGAGGAAGAAGAAAGAGAGTTAATTATCTGAGACGGGACTGAGATGTATGAAACTTTCTTCTTGCTGCTGCTGCTGCTGTTTTTCGATAACGCCATTTTTTTCAGATGAAACGATGAGAGAAAGGACGAGTCTTTTGAAGAAATCTTGGAAAGAAAAGAGAGGTTTTTGAGTTTGCTTCTTGCGGCTTCGCCGATGAACAAGGGAGAGACAAACAAAAGAAAAACGTGTGAGAGAGAAAAAGAGAGAGAGAGAGAGAGATGGGCGGCGGGAACGCGAAGTCTGATCAAAGTCTGCAACGCGTTCTTAAAGGAAGAGAGAGAGAGAAGAAATAAGAGACGACCACATGGCTTTTTTGAATTTGTTAAACTTGTTTGTTTACTTAATTAAAAACAAATTTGTAAAATGTTTTGACTTTAAAGCTTAAACTCTTTCTTAACTTTGGTGCTTGATTACTTACTAGTATAGAAAAATTAACCTAAGTGATTACGAGGATATTTAATGCGTTTTTACTTTACTTTATGAAGTATGAACAATAAAGTCATTGGATGTAAGGTTTTGGTGGGTCGATGATCCATAGTGAACTTTTCTGGACAATTTTAAAAACCTATCAAAATATATGGAAAAACAAAATAAAATGTATACGTGTGTGATCGTGGTGTGCTAAATGTGTTTTATGAGATAATGCGAATGATGATGATACAATCGTTTTCTTTTACTAAGAGATTATAGATTTAATAATCTTCAGTTTTTCAGCGTTGAAGCTGACTAATCACATAAGTAGTTTCTAGTATTTATTTCGATTAACAAGGAAAAATAGAATTCTGAAACGAATAGAGACACAAAATTATGTAAATATGCTTTGCGTACACCAACAACGATGAAAGTGTCTTGTTGTGATACGGCCAGCTGTTTCCTTGCATCATTTGGACTTCGAAGAACAAAAAACTTAAATAAAGTTCGCACACGACAGCCTGTGAGTATACTTCTCCTAATAAACCTATATACCTAAACATTAAAGAATTACTATTCAAAGTATTTTATCTGTATACTATTAAAAAAAAAAAAAAACATTTCTTCTGGCTCCTCGAATATACCCTAGCTAAAATGATTGCTAATAATAATACTCCAAGTTTGGTCAACAGTTTCATTATCGACAAATATAGGTTTTAACTTAAGAACAAAGATTGCAAACTAGGCATGAAAATGGAAATTAGTACGACATCTTGCAAATATGTTAAGCTAATCGCAAGGTCACAAATCACAATCACATGTTATTAAGGTACAAAATTTGTTATTCTTTCTTTTTGTTTCCAATGTTGTTGAATTACATTGCAAGTTATCCAACTCTTTATCCTAGTGGATGCCAGCTGGAATCCACTTGACACATCAGTATTCGCTTCCATCTAGGATTTCAGACGTCTTGTCATTTGACACATGCATTTCTTGAGAGGAGTGTAGTCGAGAAATAGGAAAATCACTCTCTGTTTTATTTGTTTGATATAATCAATCTCTAATAAGAATATTAGAGTGTAAAAAGTTGTATGGCTTTACTAATTATTTGGTTAAATGTATGTATTTTAAGCGACAGAGTACTTTTCCTTTCAATTCGTGAAACTACACGTGATGACTAAGTAAGTACTAACTACCAGTACCACACGAGTATTTTATTGTTTTGTATTCGAAAGTTGATGAAATTTAACTCTTGTTACAGAATAAAAAAGTGTATACGAATTACGAATAGAGACTTGGAACAAACGGTGCAGAATAAATGGTTGATTTTGTTTGACTCTTACACTTTGTATCGATCGATTTTTTGACAACCTCAATTATTCTTTACACCCTTAAGGCTTTTAAGTGTGAGAGTCTTGAGAAGAAAAAACGAGCCGGAGTTTTTTCATAAAAATATTCTAAGTTAGCACTTAGCAATTTGTTAACATCATCTGATGTAGAAGTTTGGAAAGTTCAAAGATACAATAGTATTATTATTATCCTTTAGCAAAAAAGAAAAATACAATTGTATTATTGTATATGTCGTGTGGACTTGGTTATTCTAGTTTGGTTACTGAAAACGAAATTAAATTAATTATATGGATAATTGGGTATATCATTGTTTGGCCTTGCTAGATCTGTCTGTCCTCAGTGTCTGACCATCCATTTTAAGTATATATAATTTGCTCATCGATCTATATAATTATATTTAAAAATGGTGTAGAATTAATTAAGAATATACATCTAATATATGAAGCCAATACGACCCACGTTTTGAGACTTTGACCAAGTTAGCAATGTGCTAACGAAGATTATTTTTCTCATGCAACTATTGAAAATAATACTTGCTTATTAGACTAGCTTAGTGGATGGAGACTCAGTCGTTCAAAAAAAAAAAGTGGATGGAGACTCATGGAGAGGTATGAAATAATTAATCTTTGTGTCTCATATTTGGCGGTATAATGAAGTCTTAAGTATAATCCAACTCCAACAGTGCGATGAACAGTTCATCACGAACATAATTCCTTTCGTTTTTTAAAAATTAAAGTTTTGGTTTATTAACAGTACGATTAGTTTATACGTTGTGATGTGAGAGAGGTAGACGAATTATGAGTTCATGCTTCTTCGTCTTATCCAAATGACATTATTCGAAGTTGAGGAAAATAATAGTTAAACGTATTCAGAGAATCTTACGATTATTTAACATTCAATGGAATTTTTGGGTACCATATAATTGTTGGAGTTTCAGAATGTCATCACGTTGCACCACTTCCTCAATTTACAACAAAATGCGAATCTTACCGTAAGAATATATCATTTGTTTAATCTAAATTTCATGTGCTACTGTGTTACTAGATCTGCCCTCATGTTCCTCTTTTACCGTTATCGTATTCAATGAATATACACAGAGAAATTTATTTGTAAATTAAAACAACTGAGTGTTGTATATCTTGAGATTCTGCTAATCCCAAGTCCCACCGAATTTTTTATCGGGCAGAATAAAATATTCTCGAAGTAATTATGAATGTTACTATTAATCTAGTTTACGTTATACATACAAGAATAAATAAATAAAGAACTAGTTCAATAATTTGAAAGAATTTGTGTCAACCCTTTTTGACGGCAATGCAGTTGGGCATGTTATAATTCTACACATCATTTGCGTAGTCAATTGAAGATATATGTGGACATGTTGTACATTATTCGGTCTTATCTTTTATACACGAAAAATGTTTGTTAGACAATTGGTTTCTTTAATATTTCTGGATTTTTTTTTTAAAGATACATTACATTGTATTAAGAACACTACAAGAAAACATGACTAAATCCTACCAGAATTCTTACGAAAATATTGGTAGGAAAAGTTTATTACCATTTGTTTACGAAACTATGACGAAAAATAAAAATGGTAGGAAAGTGGTAAATAATTTTCTACGGATTAAAGTCGTCAGAAAATGATCAAAAACATTCTACCCATTTTCTACCAAATTAATGTTCGTAGGAAATTTGGTAAAAAAGTTGTAGGAAATTGGTTGATATATTTTGATTGTTAAAAATGTAGGAAATTCGTTAAAACTTTTTAACCACTTTTCTACCAAATTGCTTTCGTAGGTTATAGATAATAATTTAAAATATAAAACTTATGTGGTAAGAATTTGGTAAGTAATTTCTTACTAATTTCCTACGAATCACATAGTTAAATATCAATAAATGGTAAACGATTGGTAGAAAAAAAAACAAAAACGAGCCACACTTAACAATAAACCCAATAAATTCTAGAATGGATCTGTAAAAGAATAAAATGAGGCCCAAATTTAACATTCTCTACAATCTTCTATTTTTTCTCTAAGGCATGAAACCTAGCCTCCCTTCTTCTGTACAACCCTTTTGCTGTAAAATTCATCTTCACAGTGGTCAGGTGTGTCAAGAGGAGGAAGACATTTCATAAGAGAAAAAGCTTTTCGTCTATTGTTGTGGAGGAAATCGAGTTGTTGTCACCGCCACCGTCTCCGGCGAGGTTATCGTCAATGCCGCATACGGCAACGGCAGTTGGTGGAAGGAAATGCGGTGGTGAAGAGATAGGTGAAAGATTGTAAGAGATTGATGATGGAGATGATTGTGGAGAAGATGTTTGAAGTAGCAGATCTTGAGGAGATGGAAGGTAAAAAATATTTCTTACAAGATCTTATCTTATCTATTTTAATTTTGTGAAAGTTCTTCATTTTAATTCAAAATCAGTTCTGATTATTTTCAGATTTGAATTTTGAAATCAGGTTAACATGCCAAAATCTGAAGGGAATAACATCAATTGGACCAACCCAAGATGATTCCAATCAATTCAAGACGATTCAGTTCAAGAAGCGGAGGAAGAGATCTAGCCCAGAAACAACTATTCCAAAGTTTAGATTATGATTTATTTCTTGTTTATGATTTTTTTTTTTGATCAACGGTTTCTTGTTTATGATTTATTTTAGATTTTTTGGCTTTGTTTTCTGTATTGTTAAAATATTTTGATGTAAATATATTTATTTGAAATTTGAATTGTTATTAAGCTTTTAATTATACATTTAAATTTCGTAATAACTTTTATTTATAAAAAAAAACATTTGGAAAAAAAAAATCATTATTATTTTAATTATTTGTAAAATGTAGAATCGTAGGAATATGGTAAGAAAACTTTTTTCTACGGACAGATTTGGTCAAATATCGGTAAAAAATTTCCTTTAAATTACTTACCAAATTCCTACCAAAAGTTTTAACGAAATTTTCTACCAACTATTTCGTAGGAATTATGCCTAATATGTTACGATATTCCTACCATTTTGGTTTTTCTACGGAAGAAATCCTACGGTGTATTTTCGTAAGAAAATGGTAAAAACTAGCCTATTTCTACCAATTTATTACCATATGTTCCGTAGGAAAACATCATGTTTTCTTGTAGTGGAAACTGGATCAAAACAAGAAACCAAATTAACCACATTCAGTTCTAAGATGTTTATGATTTTGATTGATAATTAACATTGTTAAACTGTAAAGATAGTTTTACAAATCATGGGGGCATTGACAGCATGATCATTAACAAGAAGTTGATTTGACTTAGTAGTGGCATTACAATTTTTCTATCACTAAATTTGCAAAACTGCACAATAATCTAAGATAACTCGCAATTTCGACATTATTGAAATATATGACTTGAAATTTTTAACAAGATCACTGTACACTAAAACATATATATATATTTATGGACTTGAAAACTAAACATCGATTGAACAAACCGAATAGAATGGGAACTAAAACTAATTTATTTTTTCCCAAAAACTTAGGAAATTATTGTTATAGAAAATATATTAATCTAACTAGTGCATATCAAGTCTGAGAGCAATGATCACTCGCTAAGCTAGTACAATGTCGCTGTCTCAACAACATCATTGTATACTGATTACAGAAAATTCCAGAGGTTTTAATTAGTGAACTATAGAGAACAGAAAACTCGAACCCTAATGAGTCAGCAATAAGGACGATTGGACGAAGCTATCTTATTGGTTTAACGACTCCTACAATGCATAACTAATATAATTCTTGTTCTTCATTTGGTGAAAGTATTAGGTGTGTTTTTCGGATATGATTTAAATTTCATAAGCGGCCATTTGGTCATCTATTCCACCTGCATGCTGAATTTACTATATATAAAGGAATATTTAGGAACAATCGTTACTTTAAGGTAATTAGATATAGTTTTACACAATAAAAAACTTCAAATTGATGAAAAATGAAGATACAAAGAGATGAAACTGATAGTTGGTACATCAACTTAATTAGTTAATTAGGATTATTAGTTTGCAAATAACTTATTGGGTTTAGTTTCATTTAAGTATACTAGTATAGTAAGGAACTTAGAATAGTATTATTTTCCCCTGGCCTAGCCTGATGCGCTGAAGGCATTTACGATGGAACATATCGATGACAACCAGGAGCTGAACCACCGTTAAGACTTGTTTTTTTCTGCTTCAAATCAGTCCTCTCTTATTATAACTTCATCCTAATATTTAAATGATTTGGCCAAGAAAATCATTAAGTTAGGACTGTGGTTTCATAAGTTGGTTGATGACTTATTCAAGTCGGCAAGTTCTACTTACTGCCACTAGTAGAAATGATTAATATTTCGATAGACATCAAAACTCGAAAGATATTAAGGGTTTCACGTAGTAATTACTTAGAAGATCACTAGATGACCTCAAGAACAATTTCTATTATAAGAAAAATAGAAAATATTGCTCATATTCAGTTAATGAATATGACCAATTGGGATTCTACTACGTGCCATCAGATCAGATAAAAGGTATAGAACTTTGCTTTGTATGGAGAAAGTGTATATATTGCTGCTTGCTTAGTTATTAATTAAGATGACAATTCATAATTTCTTGTCTACTGAAATCTAACATAATCTATAAGAGGAATATATTCTTTTACATTAAGTAGTTCAAGGTCAAGTCGACAAAGTCGTTGTTATTTTAACATCGAAATAGTAATAACGTCATTATTTTAACTAAGATTTTGATGTTGATATTATCGAGTAACCGAAATACATGTACGGCATATATATTATTGTGTTCATTCCAACTTCCAAGTTGCGTTTCCATCGTGATTAGAAACAAGATACATAATATCTGATAGAAGAATATATATGTCTAAATCCAAATATGACCATGCAATAATCATGATTTCCCCTCCATTACAAAAAACATTATGATGATGCAATAATTTTTTTAGTTAAAGATGATGATGCAATTATAATGCTTAGAGTTTCAAATCTTGATATATATCATTGATTTCATTTTTTTTTCTTCCAAATTCCAATTATGGAATATAAATACCAGAGGTCTAGAGAGGATTATTGGCTTCAAATATTGCAATCATAGTTGAGAATGGAGATGTTTGTCTCATTGTTTGCGTATGAAACACTAAAGTACTTGCGTGTTTACTTTCTTCTGTGGAATTTTGGAACTGTGTCATGTGGCACTTTAAGATTTGCATAGTTTTTGGAGATAACACATGCTTAATATAGAGTTTTATGGAGGTGACGACTGAAACAATTAAACTAAAAATATACTTTAACATATACTACAAGCTAGTATAGATTAAAAAGGTGGAAAGGTACTCAAAACTTGATAATGAAGTAAACACGATCTCTAGGTACTCATACAATAGTGTTATGTAATAAATAAATGTGATAAGGCCTTCCACTAAATCCAAAATCCAAAGATTCAATTTGATCGAAATTTTATATAAATAAATATCGTAATTTCATAATGAAGAGACGTTGATGGTCCAAGTTTCAGTGAACTCTTTTAAAGATGTGAAAACATGATGGGACCATCCTCATGTGAGAAAAACTGAGCATTCTCTTCTCTTATCCCCATCAGAAGGAGATCACTTTCACAGGTTTTGTGTATTATATAAATAACATAGAAATCTATGGATTATTGATGAGAAAATCACGAAAATTCAACTAGAAAATTTGTCTAATTGATGGCCAATACAATCCCTACAAGGTGCCTTGTTAAGCAGGCAAACGTTATTAATGTTATAAACAAGTTTTATACAAAATGGACCATTCAGATACAAGCTTGGTTCTTTTGGTCTCATTCTCAATACGCCAATCATATGAGAACGAAAGACATTAACAGACGCTGATCGGCCAAACTTAGTGGCGGCCTATCACGTCACCATCATCGATCGTTTTCCGATTTTTTTGTTCTTTCCAGTTTTACCCTTATGGAGGCAGAGGCTTGATTTGTATTTGTATACGCAATATGGTCAACGGAGAGAGAAGTGCATCATGAACGAGGAAACAAGTAAAAGAAAAAGAGAAAAAGAGAAAAATAAAAAACAAAGGTGCCCCAAACTTTGATGGCTCACATGACAGAGTTTCACATATGGGTTCATGGCCCATTTAAAGCGGACGACAATGTCTTATCCATAGTTATTATTAGACTAGGATCCTGGACTATGTCGATAATTTTAGTTTATCTTATCATCTTAATCTCTAGGGGCATTAATATGGGTCTCCTTTGCTTGTTTTGATAAGTATTTAGGGTTTTTTCTTTTTAATAGTTATAGTAGACCCTGTTTGTTTCGTTTTTGTTGGTAGCAATAGTAGCGACTAGTGAATACGAACAAATGTCAATGATTTCTTCGTTGCTTGAAAATAAAAGCTCAAAAGCGAAAGAAGATAAGAAGAAGAGAGTAAGAAAGAGAGAAGGGAACAAGAAGAATGGAGGTTGGTCAAAAAAAAAAAAAAACAAGAAGAATGGAGGTTTTGCAGAGAGGGAACAAACACTAGAATTATGGCATGTGACCTTTGTCTTCTCTTTACTTCCCATGTGCTATCTTTATTGCATTACAGTATTTGTAACCGCCTTTTTGCTACAGAGTTTTTAAATAATCCCAGTTTTATAAATTATAATCCTGATCTGATTTCAGTTAGTTCAAAGCTAATGACCGTTGTCCAAAATCAAAATTTTCGTATATTGCTAATTTATGTCATTCTGTGCTCAGCAATAATTATTCTTCGTAATGTGCTCAGCGGTAAGTATTCTTCGTAATGGGCTCCAAATTCTAGGGCCATTAGTGTTTCAAAGGTAGATGTTTCGAATCTTTTTTTGCTAAGAATGTTAATTTCATTAAAATGATAGAAAGGTTTTACAACAAAAGATAAAAACCCTATACAGATGGTTCCTTGGCAAAAAAGAGATAAAAAACAAGGAAGCACAAAAGACTCTAAAAGATTACTAGATTAATTTAACCACATACATATAAGGTTTCGGAATTTCTTCCTTGACCTTCTTGCGTTTATGGTGTTAATGATCTGCCGGTCAATGTCTTTGAAGACTGAAATCGGCTGGATCCAGGCTCCATTGTGAAGAAAATTGTTTCTCTGCTTCGAATCTGATCACGACTTGGATCAGTTTTTTATGTATAATCGATACAAAGATGTCAGTCCCTAAAAATCTTACTATAATTCGATTCTTGAAAAGATAGTTTTAGAAAGGAGACAAACTTTTTTCTTGCGATACAAAACTTAAAAAGATAATTCCAACATATGGCTATTAACCTTATTACATTATACTTGCTTAGCTTCAAAATTCTGAAATCTTAGCCCTTTTCTTAATCCTTTTCGCTTGCGATTTTTCCGTCACATCTTCATCTTTTATCTTCAGGAACTCCTTGAACCACATGGCCGACATTTTGGGATAACGTTGAAGATCATTTTCGTAGTCTACGTAGAACAATCCGTATCGTATTTCATATCCGCAATTCCATTCACAATTATCCATTAATGACCATGCAAAATATCCATCTACTTGGACCCCGTCCTCGCTACAAAAAACATTTCATTTTTTAATTGTTTAAATCAGTAAATGTATCTCGACGGAATTGATAAATATTTCTTATTCTTTTCTTTTTAAAAGAAAATAATGGGTTTGTAAGAGCAAAAATTAACAATTGAGCTTACTATATGGCTTGGTGAAGGTTGCTAATATGTCTCTTGTGGTAATCTGTCCTCTTCATATCCATCATTTCGTAGAGTTTTGATTTATTTTTTTCATATGCATCACAGTGTCCTGGTCATATAAATTTAGCAATTATTTTTAGTATCAATCATTAAAGCATTTTGATAGGGATCAGAGAAGCATTTTAATTACCATTTTCGGTGATTATAAACTTAGGGTTTCCGTATTTAATTTTGGCATAATTCAATACTTTTCGTAGTCCTTGAGGATACATCAAGTTCCACTCCACTCCACCCTAAGAAAAGCAAGAATTTTTTTTTGAAATATAAATATACGTAATATTGTTAGTACGTAATAATATAAGTTACAGAAGTGTGAAATAATTTTAAAACTAACCTGTGCACCGATGGCCTTGCCAGCCTTATTTTGTTCTGTTTTGTAATATACAAGAAATATAGAAAAGCTTGTGAGTCAAGGAATCGACAAACCAAACCCTAAGACGGAAATTCTCAAGGTATTTAAAAACTAATGATAAGAAACTTCGTTAATTTTCTTTGATTGACTAGTCAAATTACTTTTCCATTCAACATGTTGGTCTGATCTCCAAAAGGGCTTCTCTGTATCTACGTCAACAACGTTTTTAGCGTAAACAGCACTGTAGTAGTTAATTCCAATAAAGTCGAAAGATCCTTTTAACTTTCTTGATTGGCTTTCGGTAAAAGACGGTAATCTCTTCCCTACTATTTTCTTCATCACTTCAGGGTAGTCTCCGTACACCGTAGGGTTCATGTGCCTACAATAAAAAAGAATATATGTGTGTTAATTTTTGTTTTCTCATTGAACTTGAATTTCTTTTAAACTACTATATGAATAATAATGACTGATTTACTTGAACGTACCATCCAAACATAAACTCCATAGCTCGCTCGGCTGCTTCAATATCTTCGTCACAAGTTAAATCATATGGCTCGTACCACAAAGGACAGTGCGCCATACCAATCTTACCATCTTTACACTGAATACAAATATGGATTAGTTAATTTTAGACACATATCCATCACAAGTTAAATATTAAAAAATTAGTAATTCATACATTATGGCAATTCCTGAAAGCTTCAACAGCTTCCGCATGAGCCAAGAGTAGATTATGACTAACAATATAAACCTCATGACCAGACTTTCCAGCCACGGCTGCATCGTTCATGTACTTTGAGGCACGTCCTGGTGCTTTTCTTCCCGCATCGTAACCACCTACACTATAGACCCATGGTTCATTTATCGTCAACCATAGCTTCACTCGGTCTCCGAATTCTTCAAAGCATATGTTCGCGAAATCACGGAAATCATTTCTGCATAGTACAAATATCCATATTTGCACATATCTTAGCATATTATAAAATACAAATTTAAGTCAAAGTAATATTATGGAGATGTTTAATGTTTAGCTTACGCAATATTTTCACTTAAAAAACCGCCATATTCTTCTTCTAGAGTTTGAGGAGTATCCCAATGAAACAAAGTTGCGAGAGGTGTGATTCCTATCGATGTTTAATGATGTCAGAAGAGTTAGATTAACCGATTTTATTATTGGACTATATTATACGAGTGAAGGATTATATATCTACCGTTGGCTAGTAGTTCATCAATGAGCTCATTGTAGAATCTGATTCCTTCCTTGTTCACTCCCTTGCTTAGTTTACCATCTTGTAATTTAGAACATGATAATCATTTTAGAGATATACATATTTGATGTTTTTCATTAATCAGAAACTAATGAAGAAGTTACAAGAAATATGGGTTTTTGTTTGATTAACGAGCTATAGCTTACCAGGTAATATCCGGACCCAGGAGATAGAGAATCTAAAAGCATCCATGTTTATATCCTTCATGCTTTGAATATCCTCCTGTTGCATATATATAATTCAGTTTAGAATATTTCTTAGATGATTATAAATTGACGTAAACACAATCAAAATAATTAATGGGTATCAAAACTATTGTACCCACCTTGTAACGATGATAGAAATCGACAGTCTCGGCCGCATTAGAGTTACAATTTCTCTCTGAAAAAAAAAAAATCAAATAAAATTTTAACAGATTGTTGAAGATTGGTGGATCAGTCATCAATTAAAGGGATGTCGAAGGTATATACAAAACCTGGATACTTGCGAGAAAAGGTATCCCACACACTTTCTCCTCGGGAGCCTTCATTCACAGCTCCTTCATACTTATATCACCAAAAAAACAACTTTGAGTGGATCGATCTTATGTTTCCATACATGTATATATGCAATGCATTCGCACATGAATCCGGATTTTTTTTTTGAAAATATATGCAAACAATTTTTGCATCGAGTCTTCATTTAAATTGAGATGGTCCTACACAGTACACATTACACATATATATTTCGACATGGTTATGTGTACTAGCTTACTTGATAAGCCGATGAAGCAGTTCCAAACATGAAACCCTTGGGGAAATCAGCTCGTCCTAGTGAATTCATTTTGTCGACACAACTCTTCTTTCCTCTGTTAAAAGTTTGTATAAAAACACAATGCTTAAATTTTTTTAAAGCTGCATGCTCATTCAAACGCAATTACATATATATACAGAAAATCATGATACACATATTGTATAGCTCCTCTCTCAGAGGATTCATGCACTTACTGTGTCATTGTTTACGATGAAGATCTCTCAAGATACAGTGAGTTTTCACTTAAAGCCGACCTGTTTGATCTGAGAAGCTGGCTCTTTAGATCTGCACACACAAACACAGACAGGTATTATATATAATACCATGTAACGTTAAATTTACTAAATTTTGGTTTGGTATCTAACTTCCTATTAAGCTTGCATGAACAAGGATCTAGAAAATGTTGAAACAAGAAAAAAAAAATTATACCAATACTGAAGATCTTTTGTTCGTGTAGTAAACTATGTGATAGGGGCAGCTATTTATAGACATCAGAGGAACTTTTGAAACACCGATTTTTTTTTCTCAACGTCAACGTCAACTAGGCAGTGTTTTTTTCTTTGTCTTTGATTTGTATGCATTGTTTTGTCTACGTAAAGAATACAGATAAGAACATGTCTTAAATATTTTTACCTCTAGGATTTAAATTGTTATGTGACGCAGAATCTATTTCAATAACATGTTATCTATTTTATATGAATATCTATCTACTTTAATATTATATACTTCTGTCGTATAAGCTTGCGATATATGTTATTCTAGAATTCTCTCTGACTGCTACTCCACAAAATTTTAGAAAGATGTGGTTTTATTAAAGAATCTTAGCCAAAAAATACTTATAAGAATCAGATCAACACTAATACACGTACTAACGATTTTCCTTTTTTTTTTAAGTACTCAGTGGAAGGACACTGTTGTTTAAAGAACGTGAAAAACTGCAAATACTTGGACATTTGGACTTGTCACAGTTGGACTTGTCTCGGTGTACTTTTGTGTTGAAAAATTTCCTGGTAGTTGTTTTTTTGAGCAAAACATCTATGTTGGTTTCTCTCTTCTCTCTTACAGGAAATTTCCAAGCTGTTGCATCACACGATGATATATTATGGTTTTGCTCAAATTAGAAATGATGAATTTATTATGAAATCTGTCAAACGATTTCATAAATGACTTTAAATGTCCAATTTTACCTCTGTCACAAAAATGTAAATAGAAATTTCTACCTGCATTACAATTTACAATCATGATGGATCCTTAACATATGGGGGGGGGGGGGGGATGCCAAACATTGTATGTACACAATTTTAGAAAATTTCGATAAATTATCTATAGTAATCTATAATAATTCGTTTACTTTAGAAATTATATCATGGGGAGGAACATTAAATATTTGGTCGATCGACCACTAAACTAGTTAAACACCTTCAACAGTTAAAGTTTCGTCTAGAAGACAAAGTTGGTATAATTCTATTCTCTTATATCAAATACTTGAATATTAATAATTACCATATATAGTAACTAAAAGTCTTAAAACTAACTATATAAATCTAGCGATAGACTTTTCACTGTGGCTATAATCTTCAGTATTCGTGTACACCAGCCACATTAATGGACCAAATTAGCGATAGACTTTTCATTGTTCAATTTCGTAATTTGTTTTTTTTATTTGATCAGGAAAGTTCTAAAGCTTTGGTCCATATATATGTTTCCTAGACTTTTCACCATGTTTTTTTATCAATTTTTCCAACCGATCGAAACTATATGAATAGGTTTACTATAACAAATGAGTGTTGAGTTTAAGAGAAATTAAGGTCAATAGATTTACTAGTTTATTATGCTTACTAATCACTTAGATTACAAATAAGAAGTAACTCTAGGCGCTTTGTTAATAAAAAAAAAAAACTCTCGATCTTTGCTAAAGCCTTGAAAGAGAATGATTGTCTCAACATTTGAGTACTCTCAATTCCATAGTTTGTTTATACTATGATCTTTATCTTGAACCTGCAGTATAATATTATGGGTACTGTCGTACTGAAACTAAACAACTAACACACTGAAACTAAACAACTACATAAAACAACTAACACCTTTTTATTTGCTTTTCGGCGGCTACAAACGTTACAATACCGGTAAATGAAAGTCATAAAAGTTGGATTAGTGTTACTATTTTGTGACAATAATTTGACTAGACTGTCTCTTATAAGAACTTTACGTAATTCTCTAGTTTTAATTAGAAATACTCTGCATCATTTCTTGACAGGAAAATAGTTGCTTTAGGTTATATTTTAAGGAAAAGGTGAAAAACATATATTGAGTTTGTCCATTTTATCAATATATTGAAATTACAGCTTTTGAATTTTACTCTAATCGTACGGTTAAATGACATCGTAAATTAGAAATCTTTAACATCTTAATTACGATATCAAATTTTTAAAACTCATTTTCGTCCTAATTGAAGATAAGTTAGATCCTTGACCATCATGGTAACAGATGTGAAAGTGAAATACCGAAACGAATCTAAAAAAATAAGCCAGAAAAGTCACAGTCTCACTTCCTTTATCTAGCCAAGTATTCACGTTGCTCGGAGTTAGAACTTGAATATTCTTTGAAGCTTTATTTTGTATTTTAACCTTTTTGCGCCTGTTGATCATGCTTATAAAGGTTAATTAATTATATAAAATAAATACGCTATACGAATTACTGAAACCAAGCAGTAATCAACTAATCATCAGATTTTCTATTAATTTTCATGTTTAAACTAAAAACCGTTAATGTTTTTGCGAATACTTGAAGTTTAAATACAAAAGATATTATGTCGATGCAGAATAAATAATGGATATCTTTGATTTTTCTTTTCTTTTAAATATCTCATTATGCCGATGCATGGTCTTCAACTCTCAACTATTTGTTACATAATGTTTTTTACGAGGCCAGGTACAATGACGTAAGACCTTTAACAAAAAAAAAAAACAATGACGTAAGATTTGTAACCAAAATTACAGAGGCTAACGAATTTTAATGACGATAAATAAAAAAGCATTGGACTTGTCAAACGTTGTTTGTACGTTACCACACTTTGCACATATCGTTTTAGACTACCAACTTGGAAGTTGGAACACGAGTGATAGTGAAAACGTACATTTTGCTTCCTTATTTCGCTGCACAAAAGAAATGAAGAATAGTATTGTACTACTCATTATTTGGTCTGACTCGAATCTAATTCTTTGTAGAATGAAGAATAGTATTACTAGTCATTATTTGGTCTGTCTCGTATCCAATTCTTTGTGGAATGAAGAATAGTATTACTACTCAGTACTCACTATTTGGTCTTTCTCGTATCTAATTCGTGGAAACTCTTCTCGCCCTCATTTTTATGGGTTAAACGTCTTTCTATTGAATTTCATGTGAAAAAAAAAAAAATTTACAGCAGTCCATTAGGCTCAGTGGACGAGTTTTAAGGATTACTTAATGGGCCGACCTTTGAAGCCCATAATGATCTTACCCAACAGAAGACCTCTTGGCTCTTGCTATATTAAAGACTCTCTCTCAATCTTTCTCAACCATAAGTACCATTCCACAATCACCAAAAAAAAAAAAGTACCATTGTAGTTCCACGATTTATTTTGTGAAAATAATGAGTAGAACGAGAGAAATCATCCTTAGGCCTTAAATCAAACAAATTCCCATAAACAAACACAAAGACATGAATGTTTACAAATCATAAACACTATTTTTCAACAAACTGCAACACTTTTCGGTTTATGCAGAGAGGGAACAAACACTAGAATTATGGCATCGATACAAATATGTCAATATAATCCATGGAAGTCTTATTATAATTCGATCCTTGATCTATGACAAGTTCCCATTTCTCGAAAATATCTTAAACACATAGTCACATAGACTCCAAAAATACAGTTAGTTGTTCACAGATGAAGTCATTTGTGAACATGATCGACTTGAAACATTATATCACACAACACAACAACGATGTCTCATCCACTTTGCATCTCCGAGAAGCCTATATATTCAAATGTTTCAGCATTAATCTTTTGTCAAGCTACAGGTAATTATAAACAGTTTGATAGCATTTAAGAAGTATATGTGAGAAATTGTATTCAAGAAAAAAATGTTGACCACCAATAGCAACGCGAGCATGGCACTCGGGATTTAGAAGGGGATCGATAGTGAATGAGGTTTTGTATAAAAGATAGATGATTCTCATAAACGATATTTGGTGAACGAAAAAAACTATCCATCAACAATTTTTTTTTTAACCGACTCATCTCTTATTTTCTGATTTTATTTTTCAAAAGTAATTAAGAAAAAGAAAAACGTTAATTCATGTCTACGTTAACTTCGAAAATATTTATTCTTAAACAATGTTTGCAAAAGTATCTAGTTTACTACAGTAATGGTAACTGGCAAATCTCCATATTTATAAAAGGAAAAAAATCTTATAAATTGACATAATAATATTATACTTTAAAAAATCGGTTTGGAAAAAAATCTACCCAAATTGTAGGAAATTGATTCGACCGACTCCTATTTTGTTTAGAAATTATGGTAATCTCTCGAACATTCCTGGATTTATCTTATATATACTAGGTAGCAAACCCGCGCGTCCAACGCGCTCAATTAAATTTCTTTTTAGAAAATTAAAATAAATTAATAATATTTTATGCCAAATTAAATCTGTATTTATAAAATACATTAGATAGCATTTTTTATTTATATATATACATTATTTAAAAAATATATAATATGAATTATATGATTCATTCTCGGTTAATTTACATTATTATATTAGAATGTCCATTTTGTAAGCATATTTGAAGTTTATAACCAAGGGTTTTTATTTATAAGAATGGAGTAACTAAGATATACAATAGCTTGAAGTGAAAATGATATCCTGCTCTTTACAGCCAAGTTCTTGCATAATTGATGAAAGCCAATACGAAAAGCTATATTTGCAGTTCATAATTTAAAAAGTTCACAATTTTTTTTACCTGGTTGAAGTGATAAATGTGTCTAAATTCAGAGCCATTCCGCCAATACCACTACTTTCCAAAACGTTACACAAAAAATGTTTTCCAATAAAGACATAATAAGGATATGAATCTGATCAAAGTCATTTGAAGAGTGTTAAAACTCATTTTTATTCTCTCTAACGAAAATGCCTTCTTGAAACCTAACACGGTCACATCACTTTTGGAGTAATACTCAGTCCCCTCAATTATTTTTGTTCTACAAACAAAAATTCAAAGAGGAGAAAAAATCAGATTAAACATTAAGAACAAGAACAAGAGAGAAATTAAGAGATAGAAAGAGAACATGTTGCTTACAATTTTCCCCATCTAGCGATAGAAATTTGTGTCTTTGCCTCCACATTGTTCTCGTTAACAAAAGGGAAAACATTTTTTTTTCGTTCCATAACAAAGAGAACATTTTGCTGACCAAAAAGTGTATGCTTAGTCTTTTAGCCGAGAAACGACATCACATAATGCCCATGTGTTTTAAATATTTATTCATCTTAACGTGGAAGTGAAGCCCATATACAATGCCTCCTTGCTTTGCAATCATATCATCACCATCCCGTTGTCTCGATATGGCCGAGAATAAAGCCCCAATATGATGAGTTTTTGAACTAAGGAGGTTGTCGATGAGAGCACCATATATCTTTCTCTTTTGCATCCATTCGTTCCGTCATGCTATTCAGGGATCCCACCATATCATCAATGAGATTTAATCCAAAACGATGATAATATGAACGTTGGAGGAATTGGGTTTTAACAAACTGTCCAAAGAATTACAATTAAACTAATCCAAATTCTGGAAAAGGCACATGACACAAAATGAAAAGGAAAAAGACAACCAAAAACATCTGAAAATGTTATCTTCGTCAAGCTTTTTTAGCATTTACACAAACTGCAACTTATATGGTCAATTACATGAACCAGCGTAACGGTTCGTAACGATACGTAACTATTCGTATTGGTACGTTACTTTTCATATATAATTGAATACCCACTCAAACTTAAGTCATGACTTGCACCTTTTAGGTACAACGTTGAGTTTCAATCATGGCTTCAAATTCCTAATAAGTTTAACTATGATATCCTTTTCCATTTTCCGTTTATAAATCTATCAATTCATATATATAAGACGAAGAGAGGAAAGAGGAGAAATGGTGGCTGCAGACGAAGACAAGGCCAAGCGACATTGAAACCGATACCAATGAAAGAAAAGAAAAACTGATTAAATTGGTGGTATATCAAAGTTGTAATTGTTTGCTAATTTCTATTTAAGTGAGAAGTCATAATGATTGGTGAAAGTCATTTCTCTTCATTGGCATCTCAAGAGGAAGAAACACAATGATTTACAAGATGATTCATAAGAGCTGCAACGTTTCGATTGTGTGGCTATCTGGTTAGAAAGCAAATCTACCCTTCACCGTTCAATCTTAATACAATACATTAATTGTTAGACTGAAGTTTCTTTTTCCTACATTAATAAGCGACATCAGCAAACATTCATATCCGGTAGATTACCAAATCAAAATAAATATAACCGTAAAGTACTCCGCAATCTCAATAACTTCCAATCCAAGTAAACATTAAAACATACATTATACATCTCCTCTTTTTACCATCGTTTGATTTCTCGTGAGGAGAATGCCCACTCCAGTGTTCATACATTAACAAATTCGCTTTTACACCATTTCGGTTTTGCCGATGTGGTAAGCTAGTACGGTTGTGTAGCGATTGGGAGCAGTTATTACTTCCATGATACTCCATTTTTATCGAATCTTCATTTTCCCACTTTCACGCAACTTGGTCCTGTTCGTTAAAAGAATCATTCTTCATGATTAACCTTTTCGATTTCGCCTCTTTTGAAGCAAAACAACAAACTCCAAAAAAATCCAAAGAACAATTCGACGTAAGTAGAAATGAGAAATTGACATAAACAAACTTGAAAGCTGTTCAGGGTAGGAGGCGTAGAAAACGGGAACGGCTAATCAACGATTAAGACCACCATTGGAACGAATGAGAGATTGTGTATCGTCAGTCACAGTGGAATCAAAAAACGAAAATATGGTGTTCGAAAATTCTCAGTCGAATCAAGAAATGATAATATAGGGTTTGAAAATCCGAAGAACAATATGAATCAGGAAGGTGTAGATAAAAAAAAAATGAAGAAGCCACAATAAGATTGACCGGAAGAGCAACAAAGATGACAAAGTATAGGAGGAGACAAATCTGAAAATCACGCCTTTAATGAAAGGTTATGTGGTGTAAGATCACAACATCGTTACTGTGAGAAATTTGGAATGTAAAGATGATCTACAAATACTGCAGCGAATATATATAATTTCCGAAAAGATGCATTCATGGTTTCTAATAGTCGTGTTTGTTCGCAGAGCAAAAGAGAGACCCTTCCTGAATGCAGCCCTAATAATTGATTACACCTTTTCGGCAATCTTATGGCGTTTAGATGTTGAAGTTTTTCTGAATCAAGTTTGACCGTTGCTTACATTAAGTAGATTGAATCTAAACCGTTAAATTTGTTTTTATTTTCCTAAAAAAAATGCTGACGTCATCAATAACTAAAACTGATTTTTCGAATTAATCGTGACCGTTGATCAGATTAATTAGATAACTTTTAAACCGTTGGATGAGTTTTTATTTTCCTACAAAAAAATACTGACGTTAGCGATTCCAAAAAGTGAGTTTGCTATTATATATTGATATGTGAATCAACATCACAGCGAAAATCAGACGCTTCAACCTATCTTATATCTCAGAAAACCCTAATCGTCGTCCTCTTCTCTCTTCTCTCCGCTTTTCAACTGTGGTGGTCTTTCTCAGACTGCTAAACCTATCCCCTACACAAAACCGTCACCATGGCTGCTACTGCTACTTCAGAAACCAGTTTCTTGGCTCTCATCAATAAGCGTCTCCGTGCCCTCCGCAAGAAACAGAAACGAATCACTGAGATGGAAGAATTGATCTCTCAGGGTGAAACCCTAGACAAGGATCAACAGGAACTCCTCGGCTCGACCCAGTTGTGCTCGTCCGCATCGAAGAGGTCGAAAAGCTCCGTAATCCTCTCTCCGTCGCCGCCGTTGCTGCTCAGAAGGATCCTTCTCTCTCATTGCTCCAAACCTCTGAAAGAGACGTCTTGGCTGTCATGGACAAGCGTCTCCGTGCCCTCCGCAAGAAACACAAACGAATCACTCAGATGGAAGAGTCGATCTCTCAGGGTAAAACCCCAGACAAGGAGCAAAAGGAAGTCCTCCGCTCAAAACCAGTCGTCCTTGTCCTCATCCAAGAGCTCGAAAAGCTCCAAAATCTCCGTACTCCTCTCTCCCCCGCGGTCTCAGAAGAAATCAGCCTCGCTACTCAGCCCAACCTCCAAGACACAGCTTCCTCTGATACTGATCCTGTAGCTGTTGCATAGTACGTATTAGTCTGAGTGGTTTTGTTATGACACTGGAATATGTGTCCTTGTGTTTGGTTTTTGAGTTCCTTGTTTTAAAAGTTATCAATCCCAAAATCAATACCATGACCTTTTTTTTTATATATCTTTTATGTTTTGCTATTTCAATATGGTTCACCACCGATCAGATTTATCTTCCTATCAGATCAGATTAATTTATCAAAATTTTCCTAAAGAAAAAATGCATTGTTTCGCCGATCTCTCTTGTACAACCATCGTCACCTCTTCCATCACCCAGTCCAATGTTTACAAAAATGCATTAGGGCCTTAGATCAAACAAGTTCCCACAAACAAACATAAAAGAATGTTTACAAATCATACATAATTCTTCTTCAACAAATTGCAATACTTTTCTGTTTTTTGTTGTTGTTTCTAAAAGTGTTTATGCAAACTAACTCAAAAGATATAAAGAACTCTCTCTTCTTTATTGATTTAGAAACTCTCTCAAAACTAAATCTCTTTCTTGAGTCTTATGGAACACCTCTCCATAGACCTCTTTATATAGATATTAGCTTCTCCTAATACTATAAGGACTACAAACAAGAATGGATATTCTCCTATTCCTAACTACTTTTAGAAATAGCTTATTTCCTTTTTCTTCTTATTTGGTTGCTTGCTCTTCAAGCTTCGGAATTTCCAACATTCACCCCCGCAATTCCAACTTGAACTTCGGGAACCTTGATTGCTTCAACTCCAATTAGACTCCTCATTTCTTGAACTTGATCCTTGCTAATGGTTTAGTAAGGATGTTCGCCTTTTGTTCCGCGCCTGGAACATGCTCCACTTCGATGTGATCATTCTCCACACATTCACGAATAAAGTGATACTTCTTGAGAATGTGCTTGCTCCTTCCATGAAACACCGGGTTCTTCGTCAAAGCTAAGACTGATTTGTTATCGATCCTTAGAGTAATCTTCTTATCCAAACTCTGTATTTCTTTCAATAACTCTTTAAGCCATATAGCTTGTTTTGCAGCTTCTGTGGCTGCCATAAACTCAGCTTCACATGAGGAGAGAGCGACTGTGGGCTGCTTCTGCGACGTCCAAGTAATCGGCGATGAGCCTAGGTAGAACACGTGTCCCGACGTGCTTCTCCCGTCGTCGACATCAATGTTGTGGCTGCTATCACTATAGCCAATGATCTCTCTTGATCCGTTTTTCTTAAAAAACAACCCCATGTTCGTTGTTCCTTTTATGTATCTCAATACATGTTTGATGGCTTGCCCATGCGACTCTCTTGGACTCTGCATGTATCGACTTAGGACTCCGACTGAGAACGCTAAGTCTGGTCTTGTATGAACAAGATACCTCAAGCATCCTATCGCTCGTCTATACTCCGTTGCGTTGATTTCTTTTTCACTCTCTGCTTTTGATATCTTCAAATTCGACTCCATTGGTACGTGAGTTGAATTGCACGTATCCATCTTAGTATCCAAGAGGATTCCTTTTGCATATCCTTCTTGCTTGATCTTGATCCCGTCAGCTCCTTGGATCACTTCTATACCAAGATAATATGTTAACTTCCCAAGATCTGACATCTCGAACCTCCTTGACATATCTTCTTTGAATTGATCAATGATTTTTCGTGAAGACCCTGTCACAAAAAGATCATCAACATAGATAGCAATTATCAATAAGTCCTTGTCGTTTTTCTTGAGATAAACAGAGGTTTCCTTCAAGCATCTCTCGAAGTTCATTGCTTTGAGGACTTGATCGAGCTTCATATTCCACGCTCTTGGGGCTTGGCGTAGGCCATATAAGGCTTTGTAAAGCCTATAAACTCGATTCTCTTCTCCTTTCTTTGCAAAACCATCTGGCTGGCTAACATAAACCACCTCGTTTAAGTCACCATTAAGGAAAGCCGTCTTGACATCTAGATGATGAATTTCCCAACCTCTTGTTGCTGCAAAGGCTATGAGTAATCGTATGGTTTCGATTCTTGCCACTGGTGCGAATGCGTCTTCGAAATCCACTCCTTGTTCTTGTACATAACCTTTGGCCACAAGTCTCGCCTTGTTCTTGTTTAGAGATCCATCTGCCTTCTTTTTGATTTTAAAGTTCCACTTTAACCCTATAATCTTTACACCAGCCGGTTTGTCAACAAGCTCCCATGTGTTGTTTCTTACAATAGAGTCTAGCTCACTTTCCATTGCATCAACCCACTCTCTTGAGCTTGCGGCTTCATAGTAGTTCTCTGGTTCGCCATCTACTGTGAGTAATAGCTTCACGCTTTCAATATCGGCCAGTAGCACATAATCATTAAGATATCTTGGCTTGTTTATCGCACGGCCATATCTTGTTACCACATGTTGAGGTTCAGCTTCTTGATCCACGTCTTGATCGTCATTAACTCCTTCTTCCTCATCTTGGTCTACATGATCTTCATTGTTGTTTTGCTCGTGCTCTGATACCAATTAAAGGGCTTTTCAAGCCCGTGTCCAACCGTCTAACTAGTATGATATTGTCCGCTTTGGGTTCCTGTATCTTAACCTTCACGGATTTGTTATTGGGCTTATTCCCAAAAGGCCTCATACTAGTTAGGTTGGACACTACTTATATATTAGACACTTCTTTGTCTAACTTTCCGATGTGGGGCTTGGATTGATATCCAACATTCTCCCTTTCAAGCCAAGGACCATATAATCTTGTGGCTCCTCCACCTTCTTGTGGCCTTTTTAGCGAAACTTGGCTCCCTTCTTGTGCTGCCGTACTACTTTACGGGAACTCTGCACTCTGGGCATCCCTTATCGCAAGGTCTAGCTTGAGGGCTTTCTTCCCACATCTTTTTGTAGTGCCAACATTCACAGGTCCACTTCTTTGGATCTAGGCTCTGATACCAAATAAAAGTGTTTATGCAAACTAACTCAAAAGATATAAAGAACTCTCTCTTCTTTATTGATTTAGAAACTCTCTCAAAACTAAATCTCTTTCTTGAGTCTTATGGAACAACTCTCCATAGACCTCTTTATATAGATATTAACTTCTCCTAATTCTATAAGGACTACAAACAAGAATGGATATTCTCCTATTCCTAACTACTTTTAGAAATAGCTTATTTCCTTTTTCTTCTTGTTTGGTTGCTTGCTCTTCAAGCTTCGGAATTTCCAACAGTTTCCCGTACACTTTTTTATTTCAATTACTCGATCTTTTGAAAAACAGAGAAGTGCCAACAGTTGCCGTGACAACGAACAAGCTCCCTAAAACAGCGGGTAAAGCACCACTGTCTTTGATCGAATGCAAAAAATGACTGTCTTGAACAGAACAGAGCAGCTGCTTCCCGTAACTCTCTTTCTTCACTTCCTTGGTAGACACGGAACAAGACTCTTCTTCTTCTTCTTGATCAAACTTCAAGAACTCTTTCAACCATAAAGCAGACATTTTCGGGTATCTTCTAAGCCCATCCTTGTAATCAATGTAATACAAACCATATCTCACACCATATCCACTGTTCCACTCGAAGTTATCTAGCAATGACCATACATAATAGCCTTCCACTCTTACCCCATCCTCGCTGTCAAAATCAAGACAAAAAAATATCATTTAAGGATTTTCGATGATAGGAATGCTTCATCCAAAATATATGAGTCTAATTTGTTTTGGAAGATAACTTAAAAAAACTTACAAAATGGCTTGATGAATCGCATGGATGTGTCCTTCTATGTATTCCAATCTCTCTGTGTCGATTGAAGGATTGTACATAAACAGATTCTGGCTCTGATCCGCTACTTCACCATACCCTGATCGAGATGATCAATAGAAAATGTTAAGCATGAGAGATCTATAGAGATACAGAGACGAATACAAAGTAAAAAAAAATCTTGAATGTGTTTATACCGTTCTCGGTGATGAGAATCCGAGGATTATCATAACTGTTTTTCATATACTTTAAAATGTTTCTGAGTCCTGTTGGATATGTGAAACTCCACTCTGATCCTCCTTGTTTCGCTATTTGTTTCCCATCTATGTTGGTTTCTACAAAATGTGTTAGTAGGGAGCCCTAAGTTAGTCACAAAGTTTCCATCTTCATCATCATCACCATTATAATCATCAAAAGACATACTCATCCAATCTACGCGTTGATCAGTTCTCCAAGTGGGTTGCGTAGGATCCACTTCTTTGATACTCTTTACGAAAAGCGAGCTGTAGTAGTTTATACCAACGTAGTCGCAAGATCCTATCAGTTTCTTGGATTGTTCTGGTGTAAAACTCGGTAGTCGATCTCCGCATGATTTCTTCATCGTTTCTGGATAGTCTCCATACACTGTCGGATGATGATGCCTGCAAGAAACACCGCCACAAGAATACAATCAAGATCTTTAATGAATCTCAAAACTGAAAAAGACTAACTCAGTTTCATTTTTATAAGATTTCTTTTGAGATTAAAGTTTTTTAACTGAATGTGAATCACTTACCAACCAATCATGAAGTCCATAGCTCGATCACATCCTTCTACATCATCTGGATCGGTTGGATCATAAGGCTCGTACCAAAGCGGATTATGCGCAATTCCTATTTGTCCATTTTTAATCTGCATAGTTTATTCAAATCAGATCGCCACAAGCACACAAAATTAGAAGGTGAATTTTTAAACTATCTATTTATAGAAAGTTTTAACTCTCTACGTACATTGTCACACTTCCTAAACACTTCAACTGCTTCAGCGTGCGCAAGAAGCAAGTTATGGCTCACTATATACGCCTCGTATCCGGACATTCCAGCCACACTAGCTCCATTCACATACTTTGAGCACCGACCTGGCGCTTTCCTCCCTGTGTCATAACCCGCGACACTGTAGACCCATGGCTCATTCAGTGTGCACCACAGGCTCACTCTATCCCCAAATCTCTCGAAACAGAGACTCGCATAGTCTCTAAAGTCATCTCTGTATATACACATCACCTAACATGAATCTCTTGAATCGATACATCCATCATATATATTTGAAAATCAAATAAAGTGTATATTTCTTACATAATCTGCTCGCTTAGAAAACCGCCATATTCATCTTCAAGATCCTGAGGTGTGTCCCAATGAAAGATAGTAACAAGAGGAGTAATTTCATTGGCTAGGAGTTCATCTATAACGTCATTGTAAAACTTTATTCCTTCTTCACTAACTCCTCTCTCCCTTTTTCCATCTGATTTTGGTATTTCACAAAATCAATCAGAGATAATCTTATAATTATCGACTAATTAAGGTTTCAGAAACGGTGATATACTTACAAGGTAGTACTCGTGGCCAAGCAATGGAAAGCCTAAAAGAATCCATGTTTATATCTTTCATTCTCTTGATATCTTCCTGTACAAGAAATTAATCACAGATGTTAGGTTTTGTAACTAATTACCGTAGGAAGCAAGAAATCGAAAAACGAAGAATAAGATAGAAAGTAGTACCTTGTAGCGATGGAAGAAATCGACGGCGACGTTTCCGTCACTAGAATCACTGATTCTGTGAGGAAATCTGTTGGAGAAATGATCCCACATGCTTTGACCTCTCGCACCTTCAGTGACAGCTCCTTCATACTACACACACACTCAAAAAACACAAACTGAAGTAAATATCATTTGATCTTGTGATGTTTTTTTGTTGTTTTTACTCAGTTCTTGATTTGTTTTATATTATTTACCTGGTAAGAAGAAGAAGCAGTTCCAAAGAGAAAGCCTTTTGGAAAGCTAGCTCTACCTTTTGACATCGATGTGGGATATGTTCTTTGAAGACTGCAGAGTGATTTCAAACATTTAAAATTGTCTAAAATATTTATTGCGAAAATGTTAAGAAATTTCCTTACGGTATGAATCTTGGATTGTTTGAGATAGCATAAAAGGGAAAAAAAAAAACAGAGCACTCACTGTGTCATCTTAAATCAGTTTTGTCGTGTCTGAAACTAACGATGTTCTTGATTTCTGCTGAAGAATATTGATTCGAAAGATCCTAGAGAAGAAAAGATAAAATGGTGATAAGAGGTAGATCTTGAAATAATTGGTCTCTCTGGTAATAGATCTTGAGATAAAGCCTTAGCTAGAGTGATAAGATATATAAATGCGTGATTGAGAGACAGGGAATGAGAAGTCAAAATGGGGTTACAAAACCTATTAATGGAGCAATATTTTTTTTATAAAACTAATGGAGCAATCACACGATTCACACCAGTAAATAAAAAGGATCGTAATTAATCACACCAATACCATATCGAGTAGACTACATTACGAAAAATGAAGAAGATCAGGACTGAATTCAATTCAGGGGGACCCAGTCAGCTACACCTACCTAATCGATAGAATGAATTTATAATTTTCAACTTTTTTTTGCTTTTTAACTTAACTTTCCACTAATATTAGCATGCATCATCATGCATGCACAACGTTAAAGTTTTGTCAATATTTTAGTTGCTTTTCAGTTTCTGCGCCTAATGATGTTCTTATCATCAGAAGCAACATTTTCAGTTGTTTTTTTTTCTGAACAAAAGCTTTCTAAACATTTTCAGTTGTTACAAAATGATGATATCGTAGAGTCCTCGTTCTATAGTTCTATATATTGGGTACATGTTGATTAGAACAAAATGTAAATTATTTATGATAAATTGATATTTGTAAAACAAGATAAAACCCTAGAAAAATCAAAACTTCGTAGATTATCGGGCGGATTCAATTATTGTTTGATGAACTGATCCAAATGTTGTTGGGACCGAGGCGTGGAGGAGCGTCGTCGTCGTTGACTTTGAACTGTGTATCGTGGACTTCGTCGTGGATAGTATGAGCGGACCTACTTAACAAATTAGAAGCAGTCTTAACGATGACGTGGCGTTGAAATGGGTCAAATTTGTCGTCGGTTTTTGTTTTTTTAAAGACGATTGGACAAAAGGCACCATCATTAATCTGATTAAAGTGATCAGTTGATCACTGATTAGAGGAACTTGTACTCGGAATTATTTCGTCTGTAAGAGACTAAGAGTTATCGATTTGTTCTTTGTTACCCTACTAATTAACGTAATTGTATTGTAGAGTACCTTGTTGATGTTCCAAAGAAGAAACATCAACAAACAGAATTCTAGGGCACCTAATTTTTTGTTTAGTAAAAGTACTCGTAAGATCTTGTCATTGAGAGCTTTGTTAGATGACAATATCTGTCATTTTCTTTACACATTCCTAAGTATGTCACTGTTAGAAAATTTACGGCGACAATAATAAAAGGGGAATAACATTCGTTCAAAGTTAGTCAAATTGTTTTGACTTTTGACAAAAAAATCAAATCTAACAAGAAGAAATATTTGATTCAGAAATATAATTAAAAAGTTCGACATTATTTAGCAAAAATTATAATTAACTGGGATAATAATGGCCCACCTCATGTGATAATAAAAAAAAAATTAACGCGCTGCCCTTGCGCGTGACACACTCGCCCTTCAAAACGTCCGTTAATAAGCCAGTTAGACGTCCGTTAATAAACGTCCGTTCGTTAGTAAACGTCAGTTTGTCTCTATTCATTACTGTTAAGCCCGCTAACCGAAGCTTTTAGAGAAGGGTTTGCTATTCGTTAATAAAGAAAATAATAGCCCAGCCCAAACATTATGACCTATTTGATGGGTCAAGCCCAATACAGATTCACAATTTAGCAAACGAAACAAAATTATAAGGAGTTCAAAATCTGACCAAAACAACAATCACGAAGACAATACAGATTCACAATTTAACAAACGAAGCAAAACTAAGAACAACTCAAATCTGACCAAAACACAATCACGAACACATCTCCACTAAGATCTATAGAGTCTCTCGTCCACAAAAGGTTTCTCTAGAATCCCAAAGAATTTTGTGGTCCGAACAAGAAACCATACTGATCATTAGGATTCTCCAAAGGGCAAAGATCTTTCTCTTTTTCTTCTCCTTTAGTCTCGTGACATTGATACGTGGAAATGTATATCCTTATTATGGTAAAAAACTCTTTTTTGCATGTAAAACTCTCTAGAACGCTTACAGCTTTCACGTTCAAATGAAAACGTGACAGTTTCCTGTTACGATTTTTTATGAAAGCGTGACCGTCGATGTAACATTCATTACAATCCAAACCCCTTTGGTTTAATATTTAATTGCTTATATTCTTTAGTGGAGGTGGTATTGGAATTAAGATGTCGTTTGTTTTTTGTATTAATATGCTTATCTGAATTTGGATGGTGATATTCAACGGACATTTTCATTCAATAAATTTTCTTCCTAGCTAAATGGGCAATTTATCATTGAAATCTAGAGGGAAAATCTAATTTTAATATTTGAAGAATTTTATACCCACAATTTTTTCTCTAGAGTCCAAAAGAAGTATGCGAACCAAACAATAAATCCAGCCGATTATAAGGGATCTCGAAAGTGCAACGATCGCTCTCTTCTTCTTCTCTTCTCGATGTGTTCGTCATGAGATAGATAATTGAGCCAACAGATGTCTCGAAAGCCTCTGAATTGTCGAGAGTCTTGTTACTTCCTTCCTTACGTGATCTCTCACGTGACACATCCCTTACTTCTTCCTCCTCCATGCTTTCTTCGCTACTCTTTACGACTAGTCTATCGAGAAACTGCTTGAACCAATAGACAGAGTCTTTGGCATACCGCTCGAGATTGTTATCGTAGTCAACATAATACAAACCAAATCTAGTGGAATATCCATGCTCCCACTCGAAGTTGTCTAGTAACGACCACGTGTAATATCCTCGTACGTCACATCCATCCTCTCTGTTATAATAATGCATGGAAAAATATTCATTAAACTTTTTTTTAATATAAAAAAGTTGTTTGCGTTTAAAACGATCGAAATCTATTTGTAAGAAATTGTGGACCAGCATTTACATTATAGCCTTGTGGAGTTGTCGGAGATGGTCCTCAAGGTACTTTATCCTAAATGTGTCGTTCAGAATCTCCTCTCGTGATTTTGTACCGTCATCGAAGTCATTAACTCCTATAAAAAGATTAGCAAATAAAATTAGTAAAAATGCGGCTTTTATTGTTTACGTCAAAAGAAAAAATTTCTTGTGTAATGGATTTTTTTTTTAATATAAAAAAAATCTCACCGTTCTCTTTTATATAAACTATAGGGTTATTGTATTTGTCTTTGATGTAGTTAAGAGTTTTTCGTAACCCTTCAGGTACTGATAGGATTATGCCTCGTTCTTCCTGTGTGTGGCAAAAAAAAAAAACCATGAATATTCTTAAAATCTATGTGACGTTGCTATGGCAATTTTTATTCTTAACTAGTTAAAAAGTTACGTACCATTGGTCCCATAAGGTGATTACTGTGATTTGTTACTGTTAAAAAACACATAGACATAAAAACTAGTTTAGGAATTTATTGGATTTCAGTAATAAAAACAAAATTATATATTCGTAAAATATGAATATTAAAATTAGCATTCTTACTTCTCCATTCGAACTGTTGATCAGTTTTGAATCGAGGTCGTGCAGGGTCGACGTAAGGAAGATGAGCAACGTAGCGACCGGTATAATAGTTTATTCCAATGAAATCCGATGAGTTTCTCAACATTTTGGATTGTTCAGTGGTGAAAGAAGGTAATTTGTTTCCGGCTTGCTTCTTCATTTTTTCTGGATAATCTCCGTGGATAACTGGATCTAAATACCTGATAAACACATTAAAAAAAGGATAAATAACTTATTTTATGATTTCAAGAATATTAACATGTTTTGCGTTTTCTCATCTGAAGTATATAACAGCTTACCAGTCTAGTTCAAGGGCAAGAGCTCGTTTAACAGCTTCCTTGTCAGCAGGAGAAGTAGAGTCATAAGGTTCAAACCACATAGGCGATAACACTATCCCAATCTTACTGTCTTGTGAAATCTGTCGCACAAAAAAAGAAGAAGATTAATATATATATATATATAATTATAATTATAATTAATGAAAATAATCAAAATATTTAAATTAGAAGCTTCTGTATATGGACCTTGTTACTTTTCCGGAACTCTTGTACAGCTGCGGCATGAGCAAGAAGAAGATGATGCGATGCAATGTAAGGCTCAATAGCCGAATCACCGGCTTGACACCGACTATTCACCCATTTCGAGCACCTTCCAACCGCTTTGTTGCCAGTATCATAGGCCGAGATACTAAAGATTTTAGGCTCATTGATAGTTGTCCACATTTTAACCTTCTCTCCAAATTCTTCAAAACATACTTTCGAAAAATCTCGGAAATCTTCACTGTTTAAACAGAATTGAAAAAAAAAATTATTATTGAATTCAAATGGTTAATTCTATATGTAATATTATATTATGTTCGCTTACACTATTTGAGGGCTTAAAAAACCACCATACTCGTCTTCAAGAGCTTGAGGATGGTCCCAATGATAGAGAGACACCGAAGGTTCGATGCCTACATATACATATATTTTATATTTATTCAGCAGCTTGTTTACTATAAGACAATGTAACGTATATTATATTTCATTTTTGTTAAGGTTTATATCAATTAATTAGTCAAGTTACCATTAGCAACAAGCTCGTCGATGAGAGCGTTGTAGAATTGTACACCTTCTTTGTTTACTCCATCCTTTACCTTTCCACCTTTAAAGTAATACGGAAAATTAGAAAATCCACCAGAATACTGACTGATCTAAATAATAGTTACAACTTACAACTATATTATAAAAATAATAATGTAGAAATTTACTTACTGGGTATTAATCTAGCCCACGAAATCGAAAATCGGAAAGCGTCCATGTTTAGGTCTTTCATCAACTTGATGTCATCCTGGTTTATATAATTTTTTGGTCATTTAACTCTAAAATAACAAAAAATATGATTATCGAACTTTGAAATAACAAAGAAACAATGTGGTACCTTATAACGATGGTAAAAATCGACTGCTACATCTGCGTTCTGCATACTGGTTCTTTCTGCATTTGGAAATTTTAAAAATCATTATAAATTAAACCTATATGTGTATATATATATATATTCCATTATAAATATAAATATAAATAATAGAGACCTGGAAAAGTGTGGCTGAAGTAATCCCATATAGTTGGAGATTTTCCACCTTCACTTGTTGCACCTTCGTACTGCATAACGGACAAATTGACCAGCTTAGACACAGTTGAAGCGAAAATATAGAACCATTCGTAGAAATTATAGAATACTCAGTATTTACAAAACATACACAAAAGATGAAGAATAAAATCAACAACGTCATCCTAGCTAATTACAAAACAAAATTATAAGACACCTGACTTATTATATCCTCTTATAATACATAGAGGTATATACGGATCTTCGATTTCGCAGCATTTGCCAACGTCACACAACTAGAAAAAGAGATCGACTGCACTACTTCATATTACCAACTGAAATGTTACCTGAAAGGCCGATGCAGCAGTTCCAAAAACAAAATTATCAGGAAAACTACGACGATCGAGTACTTTGGATTCAAGAGGAAGAGATGTAATCTTCTTTGACAACCATGAGATTATCAAAAGGAGGATAAAAAAATGCACCTTCATATTTTTTTTGTTTTTTGGATCCTGAAAGTTATGTTTATCTTTAAAGTGATATAATCTGCGATTTGTAGATATTACAATATGTGTTTCTCTTTGCATATATATAGAGCTTAGTCGCGTGACGTTGGACTACGTGACGTGGAAAGGGTACATCCTTAGATATCAATATGTATGAATCAGTATCACAAAAGTGACTTCATTAGGATCAGGAATAAATAATTATTTACGTTTAACTTTCCCTCGTACTAAAATATGGTAATTAAGAAAGGAAGAGAATTCAGTTTTAGTTTCCCTTTTTATTTTACCCTCCAAATTGGACCGTATTCCTAGTTACTATTCATCTTCATCTTTGAATGTGGTCGTGATTACTGCTTTATTCAGTCCTATACAAAATGTACGTATACAAAAATGTTTGTGTCTGGACAAGTGGAGCCTGAATGTGGTCTCAATATCAACAGTATTCAGTGTCCTGGTGAAAACTCTCTCGCGTGAAATTAAACTATCTGGAATGCTTACAACTTTCACGTTCAAAAAGCTGACCTATCTTTTTGTACAGACTTTGATGAAATCTTAGCCGTTGATGTAATATACTCCAAATTCAAGCCAAACACTTTTTTTTGTCTAATTCTTTTTGGTGTTAGATTGGAATTGTAGTTTTTTTTTTTTTTAATCCCAATTAGGAATTGGAGATTTTCGTTACTGAGATGTAAAACAACCTTACAATATACTCTCTCCGTTTCAAATTAGTTGTTGTTTTAGCAAAATGTATCTGCAAATATTTGGACGTATCTGGACGTGTTTTGCATTGCAGATACGTCCAAATATTTGCAGATACATTTTGCCAAAACGACAACTAATTTGAAACGGAGGGAGTATTCTTTTGATATTTTTTTCTTCTAGAACTAGTATCTAAAATTTTGTAATATACGCTTGGGAAAAACTCCAAAGTCCAATACAACAAAAAACCAGAGATTAATTCCATGTGAAAATGCAAATATATAGTATAAAAATGTACATAATCTTACATTTAAATGCCTAAATATTGTTCTTTTATTTTGCATGTGGACTCGACTAGTTTGGAGACGTGAGGAGCTGTACGGATATGGCCGTAATCATGTCTTCGTTCTTCGGTTCATACTTCGGAGTAGTAGTAACTAGAAGTGAATCTGTAAACACAATTAATTTTTAACAAAGCTTGGGCATAATATTTTTCAAATTGGGAAAGTTTCACCCATTGGGCCCAGCTGTGAACATGATTTTTGCTAATGGCTCAGATAATATAAAGTTAATCTTATGTCACGTGAACTATCAAAGCAATGCATGTCATGTTGTGTTTAACTATTAATTAGATCCATATATATATGGTCGCATGGTTTTAAAAAAAAGTGGTCGCATGGTTGCCTTATTTGACTTCTTGTAATTTGATTTTTGTTCCCATTAGTTGCTAAGTAAAATGGTGGTTGTTTGTTCCTGTGCGATGATGCATAAGAGGGCAGTTGCGTTTAAACTCTTTCTCCTTTAGCCGAAAGGCGCGAGGAAAAGTTTATCTCGTATCGGATATAATTTTTTTTTCCAAAGAGATAATCAGATAAGCATTGAATATTCACCATTTTACTCAGTATAGAAAATTCAAAAGTGGATATGTTGCAGATAAAATGGCAAGTGATCGTGATTCGTGAAGATTACTAACCATATAGATACGTAAAGAATGGGACTGGAACCACCACTCGAACGTTAGGCCACTAAACAACTACTAATTCATATTTATTGGATACTTTATTTGAAGAGTTCTATTATTTGAATGTGCTGAATAGAAATAATATTCCTCCTACATCGAAGCGAATAATTGAGTTGTTACACAGTATTCTTACTGTCAACTTCACACATGGTATCATTAACAATGTATTGCATTACTATCATTTCCGATATGGACCAATATGTTTTTGTTACATAGTATTGATTTACTGTCAACCTCACACATGGTATCATTAACAATGTATTGCATTACTATCATTTCCGATTTGGACCAATATGTGTTTGTTACATAGTATTGTCTTACTGTCAACTTCACACATGCTATCATGAACAATGTATTGCTTTACTATCATTTCCGATTTAGACCAATATGTGTTTGTTACATAGTATTGCTTTACTATCATTAACAATGGGACCAATATGTTTTTGTTTTCTCTCCTTGGCTTCTAGCTTTAAAGTTATGCATGTCTTGTGCATTGTAAAACAAAAACAAAAACCCCAAAAAAAAAATGAAAACTCTTTAACAAAAAAAAGAAAATGAGACCAATCAAAATTTCCAAAGAACCCAACTCATAGTACCACTATTTTTCATCGTTATAAACCATGAGATTATCAAAATTAAGGAGGATGAAAGAGTGCTCCTTCTCAGCCATTTTGTTGTTCAAAATTTAAATACTTTTTTGAACTCCATGCGACTATTGTTTTGGGTGTTCTGTACTTTTACTTTATTTTTTTAACATAGAGTTTTCAGTTTAAATCAACTACCCAGCCAGCCTAGCCCAGGCCACTGATTATGAAGGCCACTGATTATGAAATAAGCCCAACTACTAAACCAAACCAGCTGGGATTAAACCAGGCACCTACAATCGAACCGGATTGTCTGTATATTCCTTGGTTCTGTATATTTGTTAGTATACACTATAGACGACTATACACTCACTAGACAGTACAAAAAACCTATAACGTTTGGTAGAGTAACAATCGGGTCCGATGTATAAACAACAAAAACCATTTGCTCATTATTTCCAAAAGAAAAAAATAGTAATAAACCTCTCAGAGTAACGGAGATATAAATAAATTAGAATTATACAAATCTCATCAATTGCTTTTCTTTTCATTCAACAACTTTCTAAACCATTGAGCCGATTTTTTGGGGTATCTCTTACCTCCATCCTTGAAATCAACGTAAACCAACCCAAACCGGACCGTGTATCCCATTGCCCATTCGAAGTTGTCTAACAACGACCACGCGAAAAATCCCTTCACATTGGCTCCAACCCTATTTGATCATTTAACAAAAGAATACATGTGTTTGTTTATGTCGCCAACTATATACAAAACTGATTTTTAAAGTTAGAGATCAAAGGGAATTATTATTTGCTTACGAGATAGCGTCTTGAACCATCTCGAGATGTCGAGCGTAGTAATCGATTCTGTCGCCGTCTTGAAGGAAGATTTTGTTGGTACTAAATTCATCTCTCCCTACAAAGATTCATATATAAATAACTTTAGAATACGAAGAGAGTCATCTTCAAATATCATATACATATCAACAATCAAAGTTGTCGATGTTGTCAATTACCATTTTCGGTTATGTACATGACCGGATCCTTGAACTTGTATTTAGCATAGAGGACAAGATCACGAATTCCTTTTGGGTATATCAAAAGCCAATCCGATGCAGCCTGAAAAAAATAAACGGTATTTAGATTAGCAGTTTAGGTTTTGAGATAAGCCTAATTTAATTTTTTTTTATAACAAATGTAATCTGAATTTCGGTCAGCCAATTATTTTAACAAAAAAAAGTCATAGACTATTTATAGCCGTTGTGTGAGATTAGTCTAGTACCTTGGGACCGATGGGAACACCTTCTCTTTCACCTGATAAGAATAAAAACATATTTTTTGGACTTTGTAAATTTTACGATAATGTAGTTTATAATGTTTAAGAGAAATTTTGGATGATGCGAAAAACGGACCTGTGACGCTGGCACAAGGATCAGAGAACATTGTGAAGTTTTTGGTGGTGCAAGGGACATCCTTTGAGTAAGAAGAAGAGTAATAATTGATACCAATAAAATCATACGATCCCTTAAGCATCTTAGATTGTTGTGCAGTGAATGTAGGCAAGCGACCGCCTTTTACATTGTTGACCATGTCGACCGGGTATTTACCGGTCACAAGTGGCTCCATGAAGTAGTCAAATGTGAAGGCCATGGATCTTGCCGCTGCTGACCTATCTTCAGCTGATTCTGTATAGGGCAAGTTCCAGCCTGCGTTCAAAGCGATACCTACTTGTCCTTTTTGAGACGCCTGTTGAACAACATGTTAAGATCAGATTTGTCATAATGCGAACTTGATATACAGTTGATTTTTGGTAACTTGACGATCAAGAAACAGAGGAATGTTTATTTTATTTTTTTGGTTTCTTGCTGACCTGGTATTTTTCTCTGTAGACTTTGACGGCGGCTCCGTGAGCAAGGATGAGGTTGTGGCCGACGATATAAGGCTCAATACCTCCATCTCCGCCAGCACAATTAGGGTTAGTGAATTTTGAGCATCTTCCTGGAGCCATTGAACCTGAAACATACCCTTGTTGCACCACTGTCAATGGCTCGTTCAATGTCATCCAATGCTTCACTCTGTCTCCAAAACTCTTAAAGCAAATATCCGCATAATCGCGGAAGTCATTCCTATTTCATTACAAACAAACAAAAAAAAAAGAAATCAGAATTTTGGTTGGTTAGTACGTAATCTGTCATGTTAATTGTGATGGCCACAAAATTTTATTTTTCTTTTGATATTACAAATGATACAAATTTATTTTTAAAGATTTTGGAGGACTTACACAATCTCTGCGCCACGGAATCCACCGTAGGCATCTTCAAGGCCTTGTGGTGTGTCCCAGTGGAACATTGTAGCAAAAGGCTTGATTCCTATATATACAATATAATTACATCAGTGCTTGCTTTCGTTTTGTTTTTAACTAAATTAAGCATATCCTAATTTAGGGGAAGAAGAAAGATTGGTTGGTACTTAGTCGCTATCTCTCTAAGATTACTTTCATAAAGCCAGAAGGTTCCTTTTAAAGTGTAATAACTAAATCAGTGACTAAAGTGTAATGTTTCCAAATCTATACAAATCAAACGAGACAAATGATTTGGATGGTATACAAATTTGGCCTCATCGAGTTGGAGAGCATTAAATGATTGTTTCCATGATCATGTATGATATAAAAATCTAAGTATATAAGTATGACTATAACTATAACACTACAAAATAAATCTGAAATCTAATACTCTCTCCGTTTCAAATTAGTTGTCGTTTTGGCAAAATGTATATGCAAATATTTGGACGTATCTGCAATGCAAAACACGTCCAGATACGTCCAAATATTTGCAGATACATTTTGCCAAAACGACAACTAATTTGAAACGGAGGGAGTATATCACAAGTAGAAAGTAATAATTTTTAACAAAATATAATAAACATAAGTCCAAGTCTGAAAACATTGCTAAGCTTAAAGCCATACGAAAAGAGAGCGTTACTTTGGCCTCTTTTTCAAATAAGATTTTGTCTTGTTACCTTTGGACAAAAGCTCATTGATCAAATTGTTGTAATAGTCAATACCAGCCTGGTTGATTCCTCCTTTTAGATTCCCACCTAAGTAAGAGACAACTCATTCATATTATTATTATTGACACTGTAAACAATCAAATATATGAATGTGAACATCATCAAAGAGAAGAAGAACTTACGAGGCAAGATTCTAGACCACGAGATTGAAAATCTGTAAGCATTGAAGCCAATTTGATGCAATAGAGCCACGTCTTCCTGTAATCCAATTTTTATTTATTTTAATAAATGATATAATCAAAGAATGTGACCGATGTCGATGGAAACAAGAAGATTAAAGCTTGGCATATCCTTTTTAATACTACCAAAAAGAGAGAGAGGACACTTACCTTGTACAGATGGTAAGAGTTATCTGCAACAGATCCATTGCTACCATCCTTTATCTTTTCTGAAAATGAACAATTCATTAAAGAAAAAAATTATTCGAGTTGATAAAAACTATGTTCTCATAACATAATCAAAAACATAGTAGTTGAGCTCTCTTTCTTCTTTTTGGTAATTCACATTTTGATTTTTACAAATCTCATCATTCATTAAGGATCAACCCATGCATCTTTCATAAGAACAGATTCACACATAGTATATACGAAATTCACGGATCTTGGATCTAAGATATTCATATAGATCCTAAAAACATTGGGAAGTTTTTATAAAAACAAAACCTGGGTATTTTTCAGAGAAGGTGTCCCAGATACTTGGTCCTCTACCATCTTCATGAGCAGCTCCCTCTACCTGCAAAGTGTTAAACAAAAACCCATAAATTCTCTAATCATTGATCAGAAAACATGATTAATTAGAAGAAACCATAAAAAAATTATACCTGGTAAGCAGAGGTTGCAGACCCAAAAATGAAATCTGCTGGAAAATCACTTCTTTTTAATTTAGGTGTTGAAGACTTGTTCTGGGCAAGAACTTCATTGCAGGCCAATACAATGAGCACTAGTAAAGAAAGATATTTAGTTCTCATTTTTTTTTTTTTTTCTTTTGATTATCAAATCTTGTGTTTCTGTTAAGAAGATGAATTTAGTGGAGATTTATATAGGAAGAGAATCGTCTTTGCATTGGGTCTGAGAATCTATATATAGAGTAATTTGAGAGAGAGAGAGAAAACGTATGATAAAATTTTCAACTTCTAGTTGTTTCTTATTCAGTGAAAGAAAAAAAATCAACTAACCGTATCTAGTTATCTTTCAAAATAGGAAAAAAATAGTAAAATCTACTTGTTTTTCTTTTCAATTTTGCAATTTTTTTTGGTAACAATCGGCATCGATTATCTAATTCTTTATCTAAAGCTGAGTCATTAGAAAGAAAAAAAAAAAAAGCAACCCAAGCATCATTGCACGTCGTTTAGACATTTGCGGGATGTGCTAATTTCTGAAGGAAACGTGAAGACGTGTGAGAATTTAGAAGTCCATTTTCGTCATTTTGCGCTAAACACCATTTGATTCAATATTAACAAACATCTTGTAACGGCTATTAATTCAAATTCTGATTAATTACTTTGGATTCTGTCCTTTTAAACGTTGTTCCAAAATATATTTCTTCTTGTTGTCAGCCTTGTTTCAAAATATCATTAAATATAGTTCTTTTGTTTTCTAAAGCGTATTTTGGTTGGTGTGAGTCTGGAACACGTTGAGAAATGAGAATAGACTACATGTCGGTCAAAATAGTTATATAAGTATCATCATATCAAACCTAACACAATATTTCTGTAATTAATTAAGACTCTCCCTCATGTCAATGTTTTGGTTTAGGGCCAGGGGAGTAATATGAAATAAATTATTGAAAGCAAAAAAAGAAACAAACATAATTATCATCAAATATTCAAAATCTTACAAATACTCCAGATTATAATTTATCAAAAATATCTTCTGCACTTTATGAAACTTTAGCAAGAAAAAACTTGATTAATTTATGGATCCTTTTACTAATATAGCTTATTCAGACGCATGCTGGGCCACCAAAGCGAACGGCTCAATAATATACTAAGTCTCCAAATGGGCCCTAATACTATGACCCATCTTACAAAACGTATGGGCTTCGTAGCAAAGCCTCCGACAGAATCTGCATTTCCAGATTTTTCTAAATATTTTTAAACGTAAGAGAAAATACAAATCTCTACGAAAAGCCAAAACGACGGTGTTTGATTCCCTCGTTACCATTTGATGAGGATGAAACTCAAATTGGGAAATTGATTTCTCAACAAATTTGGTTTTATTCATTTTCCATAATAATTTGCGTATCACAGTCTGTCTCTCTCTGTTTTCTTATTAAGGAAATAGGAGTCATAAGCAATCCTCAAATCTGTAAATCTTAGCTGAATCACTCCCAGTGGAGCTCCGAGGAAGTTGCGGAGAAAGAAAAATCAAAAAGTCTTTTCTCTTTCACAAAACTCTTGAAGAACCAAAATTCGAGTCTCCTTCTAGTCAAATTGAAATCAACACTCGAAATTGGTGCTTCGTGTGTGTGTTTTCTCTTGATTCTCCGTCTCGCTTCACCAATTTCACCTCCAAAGCTTAGACTTTTGATGAATCGGAGTTAAAGCTTCGTCATGGACTACGAATCGTTCGATAGCAGCGGTTAGTTCCCAGCATTGTGTGTTGTTGTTCTCTCTCGTCTTCTTTATTAGGGTTTAACGAAATCACAGAAATTTTGAGATTTCTTTGCCTAAGTACTGTTACACATTGTGCTTTTTGCTGGATTTGTGTTAACTATCGCATTTGATTTCAGATTTTTGGGTGTTCTTAAGATGAAATTTAGGGCAAATTTTTGTTACTTAGCAATGTAGAAAATTGTAGGTTACTGCTGCAAATCACTGAAAGACAATAGCTTTGACCTAAACATTTCTAGTTTGATCTTAAAGCTGAAATCTTTTGAATGTAATCTGTGAAAGTGATTGATCACAGAAGTTTGATTGTTGCTTCCCGGTGGTGTATACAGGGACAGATGATGATATGCCTCCTGTTCATAGCGTTGCAAGAGGAGGACGTGTGACTGGTAACGGAAGACCATCGAATCTTCCTCCATCTTATCCAAAGATGTATGATGAGGTAGCTGCTGATATGGAAGCTCAGATTCACCAGATTGAGAAGGAAGCGTACATTGCTGTTCTAAGAGCCTTTAAAGCTCAAGCAGATGCAATCACATGGGTATATTACTTGAAACTCTCTTTTCTATGTTAGTTTCTGTTTAGGTAAAACAATGACATCTTTCTATGTTGTTTCAGGAAAAGGAAAGTCTAATTACTGAACTCCGTAAAGAGCTGAGGTTATCGAATGAAGAGCATAGAGAGCTTCTAGGTCGTGTTAATGCAGATGAAATAATAAGAAGGATAAGGCAAGAGTTTAAAAATCTGAGCATTTATTTGATTGAGCGAGTGTTAAAAGTTTCTTTCTTTATAGATCGATAACATTGATTGTTTCGGTTATTAGGGAATGGAGACAATCTGGAGGCATGCAACCAAGTATGCGCAATGCTGCTCAAGCTGTTCACGATCCACTGCCAAGCCCTTCTGTTTCAGTTTCTATGAAGAAGCACAAAGCAAACCAGCCAATTCCTTCTCAACCATTCGCTGGTCCTTCAGCTTCTTTTCATCCTCAAGCAGCTGATCCTACTCACCCGTTTGCTTCATCGACTGCTAAACGAGGATCTCTTCTGAATGCCAAGGGCAAAAAGCATAAACAAGTGAGTCATAAAAAGCATAAGCAAATTTGGATTTTTTTTTTTTCTAATCAGATATTACTCTCTTGAACAAGTTATTTCTGCATGCTTCTAGGCTTTTCCTGGTTCGTCTTCCGCAAAACCCGTCTCATACCATTCTTCAGAACAACCTCCACCTCCACGAGGACTAATCTTGAACAGATTACCACCATCTGGTCCTGCCAGTTCAAGTGAGCCCACGAATGGAACCGATCCCGAATCTGTTGTGGGAAGAAGAGTTAGAACAAAGTGGCCTGAAGACAATACATTTTACGAGGCTCTCATCACCAAGTATAGTCCAGTTGAGGTGTGTGGCTACTTCAACTTGGCATTAAGTGTCTCTTTTCATAAACTAAGAAGTTTCGTTAAGCATGTATTTGATATTTCCTAAATCTTTAATGTTAGGGTCGTCATGCTTTAGTGTATGACATTGGAACACCTAATGAGACATGGGAATGGGTTAGGCTCTCAGAGGTAATCACTTTTTGTTTACGAGTTGTCTTTTTAAGTTTCCTTGTTAGTTTGTAACCAAGATGTTTAATTCTTTGACAGATATCTCCTGGGGATATTGAGTGGATAGGAGAGGATCCTGGGATTGGTAATCGCTATGGTCATAACGGACAAGGTCATGGACTGAACAAGACAACAGGACCTAGTGGTGTTCCACAACGGGGAAGCAATTTGGCGGCGAAGAACAGTGTGAGAAAGGATTTCAGAACACCACAGAATGGAACTGGGAAAAGGAAACATCCTGATATACGAATCCGTCAAACAAATATCCTGATTAGAGAGGTTGGTTGGTATTACATTACTTGATCACAGCTTGAGTTTAACATGTGCAGTAATGGTTATTGATTGTGGTTTCTGATAGGTGGAGAGAGTTCTTGGCTCACACAATCCAGATCCTCAAGAAGTTGAAAGGGCCAAGAGAGTTTTAGAGGTTTGATTGCTACAACAAAAATGATCCTTTTTCTCCTTTTGTTTTTCTGTGTTTATATATAAGAAAGTCTCAAATGATATATTATTTGACCTTCGAATATAGGAGCAAGAGCATGCGCTTGTGGATGCAATAGCAAAGCTTGGAGATATTTCCGATGGAGAAAACGGCAAGTGTTTTAGTTTAATATATACAGCATTTAGTACTCGGTGATATTACTCCTTTTGATAAAAGATGAATCATAATGCCTTAACTGAAACATTCCTTGTCTGGTATTTTGTGCAGAAGGTGGCTTTCATCGGTAACTTGTGTTTGAATCAAGCAGTTTTGCCAAAGCACAGTGCAATGCAGTCCATGAGGAGCCAGTGAAGAAGGGAGCATTTGTTGAGATCGAAGGTCAGAGTCTCAACTTCTTTGATGTTGCCCTTTTTTTGGGCATCTGACTGTAATTTTTGCTGACGCTAGAGATTAGCTCTACCCGAATGTTTGTTTTGTTGGATATATGTTCAATGGAATGGTTTGTAGAAGACTCAAACGGTGGAAATAAGCAAAAATATATCAAAGGAATTGAATATTACTGATCCCAGAAAGCCAAAATACACTTTCCCTAATCCATAACTATGAGAATATGACTTCTAATGTTAGAACAAAGAAAAAAGAAAAAAATACCACAGCATATTTCTATGGATATACAATAACTTAAGCTCTTAGCAAAGGCAACTAAAGGGGAAGAAGATGTTTTTTCAATTCTCTCATCTTCTGCTTCTTTTCTTTGGCTGTTTATCATCTTTTCCCGTGCTTCCACTTTCCCTACCTCGTTTTCCAGAAGCAGTGGCAGTCGCAACAGCGTCTACTGTTTTCTTCTGCGGTCTCCCTCTTTTCACCGGAGTAGTCTCTACCTCGGCCTTCTTTTTACCCACACTGCTTCTAAGTTCTCTTGGTTTCGTTTTGGTCTCTTTCTTACCGCTCTTGTTTTGTTCTTTGACTTCCTTTTGCGGAGAGTTCTTCTTTAATCTCTTCAAGAAATCAGCCACACTCTTCTTCTTATCTGATGAAACCACCGCCTTCTTCTCTGTTTTACCTGTCTCTTGCTTGCTACTGTTATTAGTATTGTCATTTGCTTTCACCTCCGTCTGTTTACGTTTGTTCTTCCCTTTGCCCATCTTGGTACTGTTAGCCATAGCTGCAGCTGCAGCAGCAGCGACAGCTTTGCTGCTTCTTCTCGAGCTTCTTGCCCCCGTCACAATGTTCTCTTTCTCCTCTGATTGCTTCTCTTCTTTCGTCTCCTCTTTTTGGCTAAAGCTTGACGAAGATGGAGAGGCCTTAGCTGAAACTAAACTCCTCTTCTTACAAACGACAAGAGGACCCGAAGATTTCTGTCTTGAGAGAGACGAGTCTGATGTTTCAGCATCTCCTTTGACACTACTATTCATAGCCGATCCCTCCCGGTTCATCAACCTGGGAGCAGATCTTCCGGTCTCTTTCCTCATTTCTTGAGAAACAACGGTTCTCAGTTCGTGAGCAGCCATTGACTCTGATGAAGATGAAGGAAAGAAGATAATGGCGTTTGTGAAGAGAAGCTGTAGATCTCTGTAGAAAGAGAGGCTTGAAGAATCATATGATCCTTTCTTCAACTTTCTGTGTATTGTTTCAATGTCCAAATGTTGCTTAACCAAGCTCTTGTAATCCTTGGCGTCCTGCGTTTTTAATGGAAATATGAGGTTAGAAATTATTAATAGGCCTAATTGGGCCCAATCAAAAGCCTAAACATAAATGGGCTTAAAGGAAACTTGAAATGTTATCGGTAAGACACGATAAACCCATGCTATACCAAACTCTGCCACGTGTCTTAGATTGTTTGCCTAGAAAGAACAACGATGGACCACGAAAGAAGTGGGTTTTAGTTAAATACTCTAATTCTTTTTTTTTTTTCCCTCTCTCCATATTTTATATACGTTCCCCCAAAATCCTCCAATGAAATTCAAATATGGACGTTAATATAAGATAACACAAATGTAAAGATTCCATATGGAATACAGAATATCTCTTCAAAATATTAAGGATTTCTTAACTATTACAGGTTACCAGAACTTTAGTAAGAAGATTTCGTTTTTATACTTCCCAATATTTTTGTTTCTCTGATTTAAATGAAACGATATATTACTAATCCATATTGTAATGTGTAGTTACTAGTTAGGTGTATAAACAAGCTCTAATTTTCACGACGTAAAAGAAATGAAAAAGAGAACAGAAACGCGTAACAATGAATGAATTAATTTAAGATTATCAAGTAAAAAATCGAAATTCGAAGAAAATAAGGAAAAATAAGATATTTGCATACCTGGCTCCGAAGCCGGCGTTCGAACAAAGATCCACGCGGATGGGACCGAATCAGATCAATAAGTCCAATCAACGGCTGTGATTTACTCACCGCCGATCTGATCTCGCCGTCGCCTTCCCCGTAATTATTCTTACTGCCGCCGCTACGTTTCCGTCGTTTCTGTTTCCACTTCCTCTCCGACGTCCCCGATTCGCCTAACTCGTCCGAGTGACTCACTTCCGATCCTCTACTAACCGATCCTTCCTCCATCGCCTCCGCCTTGTAAACCGGATCGGGATTCGGATTATTATCACCCGAGTCATCGCGAGCCTGGCTCGGTTCGTCCACGACAACTCTCTCGTCTTCTCCGGCTGTTTTCCCCCCGGAAGTAGTCGAGTTCGACTCGTTCATCGACCTGTTTTCCCGGTCAGACTCCTCCGCCGTCGAAACCACCTTCTCACGGTGTTCAGATTCTAAACCGTCGTTCCCCGATCTCTCTCCTTTCCTCTCGTCATCCAGATCTGGTTTCAGGTGTCCTTCTCTCTCCTCCTCTAATTTCTTAACCTTCAACTGAAGCGATCTAGAACACCAAAGAGAAAACAATCAACAACGGAGAAAAAAATCACAGATCCGTCCTATTAATCGACGGAGAGAGAGACAGAGATTCCTTCTTCCATACAGTATCGAAACGTCATATTGTTGAACCTCACGCCGGAGCTCCGCCACACGAAGGCTACGTAGCTGTTCAACCCAAGGAATATTCCCGATCCTCTCTTCATCTCCTCCGTCCTCCGCCTCCGCCGCCGCATCGCTCTCACCGCCGGCGGATTCCTGAAACCGACGCTTGAGATCTCGGTACTTCTGCTTACAATTATTAGCGGAGACGAAGACGGCGGATATAGAGCTCCGGGATCGAACCTCCGTCGCGACGGAGTCCCAATCACCGAATCCGTGTCGCTTAACGGCGCATGCCAATAACAGCTCCTCCCACGTGCCCCATGCTTGGCTCTTGTGCTTGTTCAGATTAGTGTTATCATCATCGTCGTCGTCTACGATATGATTGTGATTGTTGTAATCATCACTGCGAATATAGTTGGTGTTGTTGTTGATAGTATCGTTATCGTCGTTCATGCTATAAGATCTTGCTGCCTCTTCCTTCGTCATCCTTCCATAATCTTTTTAAGAGTCTCTCTCGCTTCGCTTCTCTCTCACAAACAAAAACGCTCGCAGTTTTAGGGATTTTTATCCTTTTTATTATTAAATTTTTTATGTTTAGTTTATATTGTTGCTTTCTTGTCTTCCTCGCTCGCTTATTGTTTCGTGCTTTTTTTCTCTCATCTTCTTATTAAAATACTGTGTTTTTTCTGTATATATGATTTTTTTTGGGGAACGACATGTGTAGTAATTAATTAGGGAATTCCAATTTAAATCAAACCAAGATATTTGAGTTTAATTTTTTTCCTATACATCCAAGCAATGAGATCTATACATGTACGACTAATACCAATTCAAACAAATATCTTGAAAACGGATTTATAAACATAGTAGATCTGTGTAATAGAGAATTGAATTCGTATTCAACCCAACTATTTTCGGTTGTCTGTTTTTTTTTTTTTTTAATTCAAAATAAAATAAATCAATATTAAACAGAGAAGGGGATTAAGGAACCCTAATTACCGAAAGGTACAATGAGTAAAAACAATAAAATAACCCTAATTTTTTAATCGCTGCTTTTATTCTTTGACCCTTTCCCTTTTTGGACCAGTAGATTTAGAGGCCAACGATTTCTTATGGGTTATACAACTTTGAAAACCATGAGCGAGCCCAGTCCGATTAGCCTTCGGTCCATCTCGGAAAGAAAGATATGGAGTCATTTACAGGAATGCCCCTCTTTAGTTACTAGAAATGGAATGTCGTTTTCCATTGTGTTGTTGGTGATAGTTTGGTCGGACTACTTTTACGAAACAAACAACCATGCTCGTGTGCACACTCGTGCGGTATATTGTATGTTACATGATTCTATATCAAAATACCTCGTGTTTCATGGGCCTCAATATTAAAGCCCTTCCAGGCCCATGAATTTACATAGCAGTATACTGTATGTATATTGTTAGGTACCACCAAATTTGTAACGCTTATTACAGAAAGTCCTTACAGAAACGAAGAATCATATGTGTTATAGAGTCTCAATTTCCTTTTCCATCAAATTTGTAATTAACAACTAACATAAATGTAGATACAGCAAGTAACCGTTGTTTCTGGCCAGATTTTTGGGTGAGAAAAGTCAACATTTGCTCCATTGGCCATTGACAGTCCTTTCAAACACACGTGGTTGCCTCCTTGGGAAGGTTTTGCTCCACTCTGGATACTTCAGTAAATAGTCCCAAATCCTGAAAAACATAAAACGGAATTATGAATCATCTCTCTGTGTAAGTGCGAATCTGTTATGTTCAGAAAAAAATATAACAAACCTTCTTTCATTGTCTATGAAATCTGGACCTTCAGCAGAAGGTGAAGTAGAACAATTAGTGAGGATTTCTTCATCAGGAAGCTGATTAAGTTGCCAAACAATTCTAATCAACCGCATTGTCCTGTATACACCAAACAATGAAACACAAAAAGAATGAGCAAGAAAAAATATTATACAAGAAGAAGCGTTTTGGTTTCTCACCAGCGGCATGGTGCGATGATGAATCTATCAGTTTTTGTGTCATATGTGTCAATTAACTTCCCATTCCAGCTAGAATCTTCGAATGATGCTGAAACTCGAACTCGCCGAACAATCTCATCGGGACATCTAGAAGTTCTGTTGAAACTGGCTGGAGAAACTGATCCCGTTGAGGTATTCACCTGATAAAAAAAAAGGTTTCTCACTAACATCCTAAGACAACAAGAAAAGGGAAAATGGTGAAGAAACGTCAGAGAAAAAGTAGACTAACCAGGCATCCATTAAAAATGGGGCACGTGTTAGCTTGTGCATCTAACTTTGTATTGTGCCCAAGAATAAACATGGTTTTGATGTGAAAGTTTTCTCTTCTCTTCTGCAAAGTTTCTACTAATTTGCAACACAGAGGAAATGAGTGACCCTCTGGTTCTGTGTAGTCACCATTCTGCATTTAACAACAATCAAACACATTTAGCTCAAGACCATTCTACAGCTGATTACTAACTAGACTGAGAAATATTGTTTAATCCTTATGCATACTTTTATGTCGACATCTTCATAACCACCAACCATATGTACCTGCATACAAATCAATGGACATATTCAAAATGACGAATTTGATTAACATAACCTCAGACACTTAATACTCTAAAGAAGAGAGAGAGATTAATACATCTAACTCGGCATCAACGTCATCCTCTAAAAGCAATGACAACATCTGGTTTATCCCCAAGTCCACAACTTTTGGTGAATCCATGTGTGCAATAGAGGTGCTGCAGTTTCAGATGATCACAAATTATACACTAAAGTCGATTTCACCATTATTCTTTTAAAAGAGCATATAGATAGGATCAGTTCTTACAATCCAGATCTTCTGTTGCGGATAACAAGGCCTACGCAAGTTGTTGATTCATCGGTGCCAACAAACTTCTCATCAATAAACAATTGAAAAGAAAAAAATATTAGTGAAACAAGAACAAAAAAACCATTTAAGATGAGATTGGTGTGGCAACAACATACATCAACAAACGCTGGATTCACAACAGCATATTCTCTTTGGAATATGTAAACATATCTGTCTTTTTGTGAGCTCTCTGAGTCTCTTTCGACGAAAGAAATATTTCGTTCTTCGAGATTCTTGAAAGAATCGGAAGCTAAGATGATCTCAGGATGACTCATTACATCAAGAAGCAAGCTGCTTCCCTGTTTCATCAAATAAATTTTGGTTAGCCATTTTTTTTCAAAAGAGTAATCAAAACATTCAGCTTCCTTCTATTTGTAGCAATTGCAGAATCGCAAACGAGACAACTAAATTTGAAAGTTCCACATTCCCACCGTATAAGCAAATCTTAGTTAAAACCACTAACTAGAGATTCGTGAGAGCTATTCTCATCTGGATGCGAAGAAGAAACGTACCTGCGATGAAGAAGAGTTATTCTCATCTGGAAATCGCACTCCACCGACGTAGATCATGATCGCCGGCGAGAGAGAGAGAGAGAGAGCTTCGACGGCGGTGATGAGATGACAAGCGATCGCCGATGACTTTGACGAGAAAAGCGTTGACAAAGCAGCGTTTAAAGGATTTTAATTCAAAATTGCGTTTTAACTTTTAAGGAACTAAAGTACAAAAACTGCATGCTGTTTTCGTTTCCTGCCGTAAAACATCCTGACGTTCTGCGAATTAATTAATTTATTTTCAGTACGTCAGTAGCTTTCTGCGAATTGCGAATCTATCCAGAATGTTTTTCCTCTGACAAATCTACCCAATAGATTAAAGAAACATTTGTTCATTACTGTTTTTCATTATGATGTTAAACTGAATCTTGAAACTAAACACTTGAAGAAATATAAATTATTTTTACCAAAAAGAGAAATAAAACTATGATATCCAAAGTTTCAGAGGCTAACAGAAATTACAAGATACACAGAATGTACAGACATACATTCAGAGAAAACCTCATGAGGACAAGACAATGGTTACATGAGCTTTTGCAATGCCAGAGATTCAGTAAACTGTGTTTCATTTACCTCAGCCTCCTTCTAGACCTGGTCCTAGGTCCACTCTCTACATCATCTGTTCTTCTCCTAGACGACGAAGCAGAAGTAACCACTTCAGTCGGATTCACAGTTTGGCTAGACCCCGGAACAGCAAACTCTCTAGACGACGACGAAGCTGCAGCAGAGCCAAGCCTAAACGAAATCGTTTGAGAAACATTGTTGCTTCTCTGAAGAGAAGAAGGTCTCACCGCTGGCGAAGGACCACCAATCTCAGCAATACGTAAAGACCTACGACGGTTGTTTGTTCTCAAACTAGTTGTTGTAGCAGTTGCATCAACAAAACTATCAACATCGAAAACATCATCATCTTCCGGTGTCTCCGAGGTATCAACTACAAGACCTGGGAAAGAAGCAAACGGTGGTAATAACCTCAACGGTCCAAAAGACTGATGTTGTTGTTGTTGACCACCATTGGTTACGATGGTGGCTAAACCGAACTCATCAGCTTGTAAACCAATGGAATCAATAGTTCTCCTAATATGCTCGATTGTTTCGTGAACCGGTATGAAAGGAATCGACCGGTTTATGATCTTTTGACGAACGCTTTCGACTCGTTTCGCGTTGGGTCTCGGAGGTAGACGAAGACCGCAGTCTTCCATCTTCGGTTTAGTGTCAGAGCAAGAATCGTCATCGCTGTTGCCGTAAATCGGAATCACCTCGGTGTCGGTGACTTCACCGTCGCAGACAGGACATTCTTTGATGTTTAGGTAGATGAGAGGAAGCTGGTAGAAGCATCCCCAGCAGAACAAGTGACCACAGCAAGTCAGAATCGGAGCTTCGGCTTTCTCTAAACATATGTTGCAGTCAAAGTATCCACCGGGAACAGAGCTTGTCTTCTCCATGTTCAATGCCTTTGCTATCAGATGAGTCTTGTTGTTGTTGTCTCTGTTTTCGAAAAGTCTCTCTCTAGATCGCTCGTGTATCACTCCGGCGGTTGAGGTTGAATCTCTGTGTTCGTTAGCCGGTGACAAAGCCGGTGTTGCTGTTGTTGTTGTTTCTCGGTCTCTGAGTCTTGAGACGATTGATTCGAGCTGTCTTATGCGTTCTTCGATCCTCTCGTGAGCGGTTTCGAGCTCGTTTAACCATGGAGAGATCTCTGTGATTAAACCGGTCGGAGGAGTAGAATCAGAAGATGGGGCTTGGTTTAAATCAAGATCCATTGTCTCTCCTTGAACACCACTCGACATTACAGCTCAAAATTACCAAAGAATATCCTTTTTGCGCAGATCAAGACACCCAACGGAGATTCTGCAAATCGGTTAAGATCAATTCACTTTTCCGATCCATAGAGATGATAGATCCCACCGATTCTTCCGAAATTGAAAAGCTCAAGCTCCAATTCCGCAACTAAGCAACGCATGCATCTATAACAGAACCTAAAGAATCAACTTCCGAGCTAATTTTCCGAATCGGGAAATTCTCAACAAAATGATTTCACGAAACAGATGATTGACTGGACGATCGAAGGAAACGGAGAAATTAATGGAGTTTGTAGAGAGAGAGAGAGAGAGAGAGAGAGAGAGAGAGAGAGCAGACCTGAGAGAGAGATGGAGATCAAAAGAAGAGGTGGATGACGTTGATCTCGAGGGCGGTGGCCATGATCGGTGGTGGTGGTAGCGAGAGAGAACCGATAAATCAATAGAGAGGTAGAAGAAGTAGGTCTGCTGGACATTTAAACCAAACTAATGTTCTTTAGGACATGATTGTCTTGTTTTTTTTAATCTGAACGTTTAAGGTTTGCGGTTGCGTTGTTAGATTTATTATTATTGTCAGAAAATATATTAGGTTTTTGGCGGTTTGCTCTAATATTTATTGAAATGTAACGCAAACGCAAATACAAAATTCGAAAAGAAACAATTAAACCCAGACTCTATACAGTATCACTATTTTAGTACTATCATTAAATTTTTACATCCTTGCCCAATCAAGTTAGTAATTACTAATTAGTAACATCATCAATTTTCATATCTTAGATAAATTTGTCATTAACGTTTTTTTGGCTACTTTATTAAAGTGAATATTGTTCTCTTCTCCTAAAAACAGTTTACATTTTAATTATTTTCCCTAAATTAAGTATAGAAAAAGAGGGAATATCTCATTAAAAAAAAATCTCTTCATATCTTTTACAAAATCCCATAAGAATCTGGTGATATCATCAATTCTCATATCTTTGATCATTTCAATGTTAAGTAAATAATTAGTTTTACTAAAAAAATGTATTTAACAAGGTAATTTTTAATTTAGTAAAAGAAAGATATAAGGAAGCAAAATGAAAAACACTACTTTCCAAAATATTATACTAATAATAACTAGCATAAAAACAGTTCATTAAATTTGTATATATAATTTAATGCCTATAGTCAGACTTCCATTGCTTTTATATAAAAAAAAAAAAAAAATGTCTCCGACCAGACGGATAAAGTTATTAGGAACACAAAGGTTACTTCAAAGCCCGCAGAACAACGTAAAAAGCAATGAAGGATCAAATCCAGCAAACACCGAGGGGTCAACAGAAGCAAAAACCGACGGATCAAACCCAAGAATACCAGAAGACAAAGATAAACTGAATCCACTAATTAACCGGTCCACCACCGCCCATTGCCAATGGTCCGAGAGAGACTTGGCTTGGATCTTGAGGCGTATTTGCTACAAGATTGTTAATCATCTCATTAATCATCGGTGTAATCGCAAGACTCGTCGTCGTCGGCACCACCAAAGGATAAGGGTTATTAAGAACCGGGCTAGCAACATTAACAAACTGTGGTTGCATCCGGTTTAGACCATGTTGGGCCAAATTTGTTGGAGCAGTAGCTAACTTTCTTCTAGCGCACAACAAATGAGCATCGAATCCACCGCACTCTTTGCAGCTATAGAGCCACGAATCAGACCCAAGACCTCCGCACACGCTGCAGCGAAAGCTGCTAACCGGCGCAGCAGATCTTGATCCGGATCCCCGCGGTGGTAGCATAGAAAACGTTAGAGAAAGTTGGTGGTGAGGGTGAGATTGGTGCGTGACTCGAGAAGGCATGTTGGCACAAACCGTGTGAAGATCGATCCCGCAGTCTCCGCAATGGTAAGCGAAACCATCACCGTCTTTTCCGCACGCGTCGCACCGGAATTTTCCTTCTTGGTATTTGGGAGTTGGGATTAGAGAGAGGAGATGGTTTTTGTCGAAAGGGTGTCTGATTTTTTGAGGTAGTTCGGAACATTTTAGGTGGATGTGGAAATTGCATGGTTTGCATGTGTATGAAGGAAGATTGAGGAGTTTTAGCTTGCAAGCCACGCAAGAATAAGAAGAATGATCTTGAGGATTGAGAGATGAGTGGAACAATAGATGTGGATGACTGAAATGTCGGATTGAGTCCTCTGGTTTTGGCCTCCCATGGTTTTGGTGCACACAACTTGTTCAAAGAGGCTTTTCAGAGTTAAAAAATGTAGTTTGGTATGAAAATAAATAAATGGCTTGGGTTGATTTCTTCAGAAGACTTAGTTTTGCGGTAGTCATTTGTCACTGTTTTACGTGGATCCTACTCTTTCAGTCGACGACTTCGAAAGTCAACGGTTAGACTTAGATTGTTTCATCAAGTCGTCATCACCCACTTGGATTGTATGGGAATCTCAATTATTCATGAAGACTAGTGTTTTGTCACTACTTCATAATTTCGTGTTCAAATTTTCCACCTCTAATATCAATCGTCTTCTATATATTAAGCTACAACTTGGTGACTAAACAAAACCAAAGCCATAAATATTTAGCCGAGAAATAGAACCACAATTTATAACTCTTTAACTTTTCTTCCACTTACACAACCAATTCTAGACAGTGAGGCACGATGGCTTCAACAAAACCGGTTAATCGACCATCGATGAGGCACCCGAGTCACAACCATCCTCTGCGCGTCTTCAAAGCTCAGGAAGAAGATGAGATCATATGCTCTGGTTGCGAGCTTGAGCTAACCGGACAAGCTTTCAAGTGTACAAAGTCCGACTGCGATTACTTCTTGCACAAGTCATGTATTGATCTACCCCGTGAAATCAATCACAAGTCTCACCCTGACCACCCTTTAACCCTGCTTCATTCTTCACCATATGATCAGGCTTACACGTGCGACGCATGCGGTCAGTACGGATCTGCTTTCACTTACCATTGCTCTGAGTGCCAGTACGATGTTCATGTGGGATGTGCGTTTATCCCCGAGACCGTCGAGCGCGAAGATCATGAACATGCACTCACCCTAATTTACAACACGCCGTGTAAAGGTCGTGAGGATGGTGTGACGTTCATGTGTGATGCTTGTGAAGAAACTATGTCCGAGAATCTTTGGGTTTATTATTGCAAAGAATGTGATTATGGAACCCATGTGCATTCTTGCGCGGTTTATGAAAAACATGAGCCAAAGAAAGAAAGAGGAGGAGAAGAAGCGATATTGGAAGCTTTGAGGATGGAGTCGTTGAATAATGCTCGACAAGAGTTGCAGAACATGCGTATTAGGAATAAAATCAATAATTCTGTGATTCATTTTGGTGATGAACCTGAGCGGAGATATTATTGGGTGAGAAAATGAGTGATCATTTTCTTTTACACTAAGCTAGTCGATGTTATTTCTTTAATAAAATTTAAAATTTTCATGTGAGTGATTGTAAGTTTTCTTCCATTGAGTATTTTATCTTGAATTGATATACACGATAATAACAAGCTGATTAGTTATATATTGCCTTGATTAAGTATTAACCAAGTTGTATTCACCAAAAAAAAAGTATTAACCAAGTTGTTGTATACTAACACGAAGTACATTTTTTTTTACTCGCATACCATCACTAGTTTTTTTTTTCCTCTCATACCATTTTTTCACATAAATTTCAAATTAACTTTAAATTTTCAGAACTAAATCCTAAACCTTCAAACTAAACTTTTTTTTTTTTTTTGTCTACAGCCTCTCTATCTACAGCAACTCGGGGATCCAAGCTGGTGATACAGAGTTTACATAGTACACATCAGTAGGTAGGGCTCGAGCACTTCGTGCTAGCTTGTCTGCCTTCGTGTCCTTCAAACTAAACTCAAACCTTAAATACTAAATCCAAACCCAAAATATTTAAATGATAAATCATTTTAAAGTTTGTGGTATGAATGGAAAAATGGTAATAAGAGAAAGAAAAAACTAATGATGGTATAAAAGGAAAAATAAACTTCTGCTTGTTGGATCATGCGGTTTCACTAATTAATAACGTTTTGTAAAGAAGACCTTTGACATTTGGTTCTGTTACCGGCTATCAATTAGTGAATAAGAGCATATCTACAAGTCATCATCAACACAAGCTGTATTGATAAATCCTTAAATAGGCTCTTCAAGTAACATTCGTGGTTCACGTCGATATATCTCACCAACCAAGTCGAAGGCTAATCGTAACACAACCCAACACACGACATGCATCGATTTACAAATAAGATCTAAGGGTTTCAAAGCTAGAATTTCTCTATGACTATGTATGTATTTAGTCACTGGTGAAGTTTAGACGTAAATTTGTAATTTCTAGTTTCTTTTCTCGAAGTCGTAGTGTCGTATTCAGATGACTTGGAGACGATATGCATTAGAGTCCCCAGCCTACTTATTTGACTTCACATCTCTAACTATGTCAACTCATCTGTTTGTATACATTTTCAGCTTGATAATTTAATATTTATTATTTCCACCTCTTGACTTTGAATCCCTAATGAGATTTAATCTCTTAGACATATATAGATCGTATAATCATATTAACGTTTAGTGTCATTATTGTCCCAATGTAGATAATATGTAAGCTACAACTTGGTAAATTGTCAAACTAAAACACATCACTACTCCACCCTAAAGAAGACTCATGATCACAAGTCCTCTTACTATGTTCACTATAAATACTTTGAACCCTTAGCTTAACAAGAACCACAAAACAATCAATAACCACAAACACACAAAAAAAGATTTTAGCTATAATGCCTTCAGGAAAACCATCGGTGAGGCACCCGAGCCACAGCCATCCGTTGCGCGGCCACAAAGCCCAAGTTGAAGAAGAGATCATCTGCTCTGGCTGCGACCTAGACGTGGTAGGTGCAGCATTCAAGTGCACAAAGTCGGACTGCGATTACTTCTTGCACAAGTCATGTTTCGACCTTCCTCGTGAGACCCGTCACAAGTCTCACCCGGATCACCCTTTGACCCTACTGTATTCCCCAACTTATGAGTCGTCAGCTTACTCGTGTGACGCGTGCGGTGAGGATGGATCAGGGTTCGCTTACAACTGCTCTATCTGCAAATGGGATTTGCATGTCGGATGTGCATTTATGCCTGAGTTGGTGGAGCGTGAAGGACACGCGCATCCGCTCAAATTGCTCTACGGTACTCCTTGCAAGAACGGTTCGGTCTTCAGCTGCGATGTTTGTCAAGAAACTATGCCGGATAATCTATGGTTGTATTACTGCAAGAAATGTGATTATGGAACGCATTTACATTCTTGCGCGGTGGAGGAAAAGGAAGAGCCCAAGAGAGGAGGAGGAAACGGAAGAGGAAGTACTAGTAATGGTGGGAATAAAGGAGGAAGGGGCTCGGCAGCTTCGGAGTTAGCTGCAATGTTGAAAGCTCAGAGGGATATGGAGAAGATGCAGATTGAGTTACATTTGCAGATGCAGAGAGCTAAGATTGATAAGAAATCGAGAAAATCGATTCTCAACTCCATCTAGAAATGTGAAAAACTTTGTTGATCATCAGATTCATCGTCCTCCACATATGCATATGTTTCTCTCAAGATCTTGAAGCTCTACAACTTGTTTCATGTGTTTATTTTGGTTCTTGTTTTTTTTTCTTTAATTTAGTTTGTTGCAAGGTTTCACTTTCATGTTATTTTCCTTTGAATAATTGTTGAAGTATCTGAAATTATATATACAGATATCGTCAACTTTATTTGTTCTAGTCGTTACTTCGTTATACATCACTGTCTCAAATTATTTGGAAAGCTTTAGGATATTACATGGGGTTGCTGATAGGTTGTGAATAATCTTATTCGTGGATATTGGTAGACACTAGACCACGAGAAGCATTGACCTACTAAAATGAATAAAAGCTTAGCATTGACCTACAAAATCAAACAAATTAACAAATAAATAACACTTTTTGTCGTTTTATTTTCCTTTTTAAACAATGAAAAACCGAAGAATAAAGATAGATTTGATGTTACCATTCTTCCAGTTCCAGTCAACGACTTCCGAAAGTCAATGTTCAGATTTTTCATCAAGTCTTTACCCACTTGGATTGTATGAAAATCTCAACTCATGAAGAATATTGATTTGTCACTACTCAATAGTTTCGTGTCCAATTTTTTTTACCTATATAGTGTCAATCGTCTTCCTATATATTTTTTTTTAGTGAATGTAAAATTATCGTCTTCTATATTAAACTACAACTTGATGAATAATCAAAACCTAACTAAGACTTATTTAGCCAAAATAGTATAAAAACAAGTTTATTAGTATAATGGCTTAAATAACCATTTATATATAGTAGCTTGAAAAGAAAAGAAAAAAAATTAAGAAGAAATTTTATATTGCGACTTGAAAAACATACACAAAAGTTTACAACAAAATTCACACAAATAAACAACAACAACAAAAAACAAGAAAGAAAGAGTTCTATCATGTTGGTGTTTTATTTTGGAACCGAAATTTCCCAAAGAAAGCAATAATCACACAGATTGAGAAATATACTCCTCCCTTATTAATTACCAATAGTATCTCCGCTTTGGTTGATCCCAAAGATCAAGCGCAGCCTCATTCGCATCATTCCTAATACGTGCTTCTAGCTGCAAAGCCGCCATCTCGTCCCGAGTCTTCATCAACGACTTTATCCTAGAAGCTGGAGAGCTCATGTCTCCTTCTTCTTCTTCTTCCTCCTCCTCTTCATTTGATTCTTGATCTTCCTCTGCCACACATGAGAGTACATGTGTTCCATAATCACATTCCTTGCAGTAATACACCCATAGATCTTCTGAAACAGTGTCTTCACAAGCGCTGCAAATGAAGATCGTGTCTTCACGACCTTTACATGATGTGCAATAAAGAAGAGTGAGCGGATGCTCATGATCTTCACGATCTATAGTTTCAGGGAGCAAAGCACATCCAACATGAAGATTGTAGTTGCAGCTAGAGCAGTGGTAAGTGAATCCAGATCCGTATTGGTCACATGCAGCGCACGTGTAGACGGATTGGTCATCAGGTGGGGAATGAAGCAAGGTCAGAGGGTGGTCAGGATGAGACTTGTGATGACTCTCACCAGGTAGGTCGAAACATGACTTGTGCAAGAAGTAATCGCATTCCGACTTTGTACACTTGAAAGCTTGCTCGGTCAGCTGGAGCTCGCATCCAGAGCAAACGGTCTCATCTTCTTCTTTGGGTTTAAAGACACGCAATGGATGGTTGTGACTCGGGTGCCTCACGGATGGGCGATTAGCCGGTTTGGCCTTCGGTTTGCTTGAAGACATATAGAAATGTTCTTGGTTTTGGTTGTTTTGTGGGAGAAGGATTTGGTGATATATATACCAAAAACTGCTGAGGATTTGTGATTTATATTTTAAGTGCGTTTAGTTTGATTGATTATTAAGTATTAACCAAGTTGTTGTATCATGCGATTTTACTAATTAATAATGTTTTGTAAAGAAGACCTTTGACATTTGGGATGCAAAAGTTAAGAGATAGTTATTCTGAGACGCGTTTTGGCTTTTATTATTCTGAGACAAAGATAACTTGTAGAGATTATGGGTCTAATAAAGTCAATGCTTCTGGCATTGGTGGACATTCGGTTCTGTTACCAAGTAATTTATTAGTGAATAAGAGCAGATTTACATGTCATCATTAGCACAAGTTGTTTTGACAAATCCTTAGTTAGGCTCTTCAAGTGACATTCCTCGTCAATATTTCTCACCAAGTCGAAGGCTAAAATAACACAACCCAACACACGACATGCATCAGTTCTCAAATAAGATTTAAGGGTTTAAAAACTAGCATTTCTCTATGACTATGTATATATATACACTCATACAAATCGACTGTTTCCACGTAAATTTGTAACTTCTGTCTTATTTTCTCCAAGTCATAGTGTCTTATATTCAGATGACTTTGAGGCGATATACATAAGAGAGACAACCTACTTATTTGACCTCACATCTTTAACTACGTCAACTCATTTGCTTGTATACATTTTCAGCTTGATAATTCAATATTTTAGAATCTTTAACTACAATTGGCTATTTAATCGAATATGTAAGTAAAATATTCAAACTAGTCCCGTGATGGATGGGTGCAAGAAGAATAGTTCCACCTCTTGACTTTGAATCCCAAATGAGAATTAATCTCTTATATACATATATATATAGATCATATAATCATATTAGCGCGTAGTGACATTATTGTCCCAGTTAGATAATATATAAGCTACAACTTGGTAAATAGTCAAACCAAAACACATCACTACTCCACCCTAAAGAAGACTCATTATCACAAGTCGTCTTACTATTTTCATTATAAATACTTTGAAACCCTTAGCTTAACAAGAAAATCACAAAGCAATAAAAAATCTTCAATTACAAGAGAAAAAAAAAGATTTTAGCTATAATGGCTTCAAGAAAACCATCGGTGAGGCATCCGAGCCACAGCCATCCGTTGCGCGGTCACAAAGCTCAAGTTGAAGAAGAGATCATCTGCTCTGGATGTGACCTAGACCTGGTAGGTGCAGCATTTAAATGCACAAAATCTGAATGCGATTACTTCTTGCACAAGTCATGTTTCGATCTTCCTCGTGAGACCCGTCACAAGTCTCACCCGGATCACCCTTTGACCCTACTGTATGCCCCACCTTATGAGTCCTCGACTTACACGTGTGACGCGTGCGGTGAGTATGGATCAGGGTTCGTTTACAACTGCTCTATCTGCCAATGCGATTTGCATGTCGGATGTGTATCCATGCCTGAGTTGGTGGAGCGTGAAGGACACGCGCATCCGCTCACATTGCTTTACCGTACTCCTTACCAGAACGGTTTGGTGTTCAACTGCGATGTTTGTCAAGAAACTGTGCCGGATAATTTATGGTCGTATTACTGCAAGGAATGTGATTATGGAGCGCATTTACATTCTTGCGCGGTGGAGGAAGAGGAAGAGGAAGAGGTAGAGCCAGAGCCAAAGCCAAAGAGAGGAGGAGGAAACGGAAGAGGAAGTACAAGCAGTGGTGGGAATAATGGAGGAAGGGGCTCAGCGAAGTCGGAGTTAGCTGCAATGTTGGAAGCTCAAAGGGAGATGGAGAAGATGCAGATTGAGTTACATTTGGAGATGCAAAGAGCTAAGATTGCAAGGAAATCGAGAAAGGCGATTCTCAAGTTGATCTAAAAAAATGATAAAAGCTTGTTGATCATGAGATCCATCGTCCTCCACTTATATGCATATGTTTCTCATAAGATCTTGAACCTCTAAAACTTGTTTCTTGCGTTTATTTCGGTTCTTGTTTTTTCCTTGATTTAGTTTGTTGCAAGGTTTCACTTTCATGTTATTTTCTTTTGAATAATTATTTAATTTTTCTGAAACTAAAGAATCATAGATTCAACTTTATTTGTTCTAGTCGTTATACATGACCGTCTCAAATTATTTGGAAAAACTTTATAAAATAGGATGTTACTGATAAGGTATGTAAAGAGGTGAATGATATTCATAGTAGAGCCTCTAGTTATATACAGGCTAGAGAGAACATATACATGGTAAGAGAATATACGATAGAGTAAATGACAAGATATACAAAGAGGAAAGAGAGAAATCAAGGGGATACGGTCAATATCTTTACACGCCCCTCAAGACGGAGCACCCTTGGTGAGTCCGATCTTGCGACACATATCTTGGAAGTGAGCTCGAGTAACCGGTTTGGTGAGGAGGTCTGCAAGCTGATCGTCAGATGAAACATGTTGAACTCGAATAGTGCCATCTTGAACTCGTTCACGAACAAAGTGATAGTCCAATGCAGGATGTTTCATCCTTGAATGGAAGACAGGATTAGCACTAAGGTAAGTCGCTCCTTTGTTGTCACAATAAATGGCTGGTGTTGATGTAGGTTTGATTCCAATCTCTCGTAGAAGAGATAAGACCCAGCACATTTCCGCAGTTGTTGCAGCAACAGAGGGATACTCTGCTTCGGTGGAAGATCTTGAAACACCCTTTTGCTTTTTCGAAGACCAAGCAATCGGATGGCGACCAATATAGACAATGTAGGCACCAGTGGATGAGTAATCATCACCATCGCCTCCCCAATCAGCATCCGTAAAAGCATGAAGTGAGAGAGCATTTCTCGCCGGAAGGAAGAGACCACGATGTATAGTACCAGCGAGGTAACGAAGAACCCGTTTGGCGGCATGCCAGTGATCCGTTGTTGGTTTATGCATGAACTGCGACAGCTTGTTAACAGCAAATGATATATCCGGTCTCGTCAAAGAGAGATACTGCAAGCTCCCAATGACTGCACGAAACTCCTTAGCATCAGGAAGAGGATCACCACTTGTTAGAGTAAGCTTTGTGGTCGGACACATCGGCGTCGGCACCGGTTTCGCATCAGTCATCTTAGTCCGATGCAGCAAATCTGCAATATAACGAGTTTGTGTGAGTAAGAGTCCAGAGAGAGAGCGTTGAACTTCTATACCTAGAAAATAAGATAGTTCCCCCAAATCTTTAAGAGAAAAACGAGAGGAGAGAGAGTTGAAAAATTTGTTGAGGTGGTCGACATTGTTGCCCGTAATGACCATGTCATCAACATAGACCAACATATAGAGACAGACGCCTCCATGATTGTAGATAAACAGGGACGCATCAGACAGAGAGTTGTGGAAGCCGTATTGAAGAAGGAACGTGCGGAGTTCATTGTACCAAGCCCTAGGGGCTTGTTTAAGACCATAGACCGCTTTATTCAACTTCCAAACAGCAGTCGGATTCTCTGGTGATGCAAATCCTGGTGGTTGTGCCATATAAACCTCTTCATCAAGCTTCCCTTGTAAAAAGGCATTGTTCACGTCAAGTTGACGAAGAGGCCAATCACGTGTGACTGCAACACTCAGCACAATACGTATCGTTGCAGGCTTCACGACCGGGCTGAAAGTGTCATGGAAATCAATTCCTGGACGTTGGGAAAAACCTTGAGCCACAAGTCTCGCCTTAAACCTGTCAACAGCACATTAGGTAAACGTTTAATTGTAAAGATCCATGTAGAACCTACAATATTAGAAGCAACATCAGGAGAAGATAAATCAAAAGTATGATTTCGTATTTGAGATTCAATCTCCTCTAGCATAGCTTTACACCATCGTGGATCCTTTAAGGCTTCAGCAACTGAGGTGGGGATATATTCTGTCAATGGTAGTACAGCTGCTCGAAGATTGAGTTTGTTGACTGGTTTTCGCTGTCTTGTACTTGTACGTAACTGAACCAGAGGCTGAGGAGGAGCTTGTTGCAACACAACATTCTCTGTTGGAGCTGATGTTGAGACAGATTTCTCACTCGACTCAGTCGTAGTACGCTCCTCGGACACCGATGCTTCCAATAACGGTGGAGCTGGGGCAATCGGAGAAACAGGGGTGTTGGTCTCTGTTGGTGGTATCGGTGGCGGAGGAACAGTGTGAGTAATTGGTGGCGGTATTGGCGGCTGAGTGGTGATGGGAATAGACATTACTGCTGGATATGATGATTGAGGAAGATCAATCTCAGCGGAGGACTCCTCTGTGGTTAAGTTACCTGCAATATTAAATGGAAAAACATATTCGTGGAAGACAACATGACGTGAGACATAAACGAGAGAAGTATTACGATCTAGACAAAAATAAGCACTTTGAGTATTAGAGTAGCCTAGAAACACACATGGTGTGGAACGAGAATCTAGTTTATGAGAAGCATAGGGCCGTAGCCAAGGAAAACAGAGACAACCAAACACTCTTAATTTTTGAAAATTTGGATCTTCTCCAAAAATGCATTGAAAAGGCGATTTGAGTGAAAGTGTTGGTGTGGGCATACGGTTTATTAAGTACACAGCCGTTGCAAAGGCATATGTCCAATATGACCGAGGCATAGAAGCATGAGACAAGAGAGCAAGTCCCGTTTCGACAATATGTCGATGTCTCCGTTCCGCAAGCCCATTGTGTTCCGGCATATGTGGAGGAGTGGTGAGATGTGATATGCCATGACTTGACAAAAAATGTGCAAGACCAATGTACTCACCACCATTATCCGTATACAGAGTTTTAAGTTTGGTTTGAAATTTATTTTCAACCAAAGCTTTAAACTTTGTGAAAACCTCAGAAACTTGAGATTTTTGTTTGAGAGGATACAACCACATATATCTCGTATAATGATCAACAAAGAGAACATAATACTTAAATTCGTCTATGGAAATCAATGGTGAAGTCCACACATCAGAGAAAATTATATCTAAAGGATGTGTAGAGTGAATCGTAGATGTTAAAAAAGGAAGCTTATGCATTTTATTGATGGAACAAGCATTACAAGGCTTATCCATTAAAACATTTGATGAAATAGGTAAATCAAAACTAGAAATAATGTTTTTCAAAATCGTAAAAGCAGGGTGTCCTAGACGAGAATGCCAATCAGACATAAACTTTTTTATTGTAGAAGCAAAAGCAAGAGACGGAGGTTTTGTAGATCGAGAGATCGGCCATTCATAAGTGCCATCTTTAGGCTTGCCTTCCAGACGAAGTGCTCCCGTCTGTAGGTCTCTCACCTGGAAATAAGTAGGTGTAAAAGTAACAGCCACACCATTAGTGTTACATAATTGAAAAACAAAGATAAGATTTTTAGCAAGAGAAGGGACACATAAAACATTATTTAAGAAGAAAGGACGAGTGTATGTAGGTATAGAAAAAGAACCCATATGAGAGATTTGAAGACCGGAGTTGTCACCAAGCATCACTGCATCACCTCCTTGATAAGGATTGTGAAAAGATAGGTTACTAAGGTCGGATGTCATGTGATGGGAAGCACCAGAATCAATCAACCATGTGGAGGGGTCGACATCATTGCAGGATTTGCTCGTGGCTGCCATGGCTGTGGAGATGATTGCCACGGCTGCGGAGATGATTGCCACGGCTGTGGTGATGGAGATCCACGGACCATGCAAAACTCAGGACAATACTTTGCACTGTGACCGGTTGTCCACATGCTTGGCATCTGCCTTTGTACGGTTGACGATTCTGACTAGGAGGCGCATTGCCGCGATACACTTGAGTCTGGTTTCCACGATTTGGCTGACTTTGATTGGTCCTCCATTGTTGTCGTGGACGAGCTTCTGTGGCATTGGCAACAATAGGCGCAATTGATGTTGCCTCAGAACACATAAGCATAGCCTCTCGATTCAATAGCCGTTCATGTAGCTCGGTGTATGAGATTGTAGTATCACGACCATTGATGGCATCAATCTCTGGTTTGTAATCCTCACTGAGACCATCTAAGATTTGTTCAGTGAGGTCTTCAGGATCCATGGGTTTGCCTAGAAGCGATAGATCATCTGCCTTGGCCTTGATCAAACGGAGATATTCTGAAATCGTCTTTGTGCCTTTGACACACGACTTGATCTGGAACTTGAGTTGGCGGATATGACCACGAGTTGGATTACCAAACGTGGTTGCAAGGAGGCTCCATACTTCAGCAGTGGTGGTAGCACTAGACACCACAGATTGAACGGGAAGCGAGATAGCGCCGATGAGTGCACTGTAGAGAAGTCGATCTTGTCGGCGCCACGGAGCAAAGGCGGGATTAGGACTTGATACATCATTGACCGTGATGGTGGCAGAGGGAGTATCGGCTGATTCCTCAAGAAAAGACTGGAGTTCGTGTCCTTCAAGTAAGGCCCGCACTTGCTTACTCCACATGAGATAGTTAACGTTTGTGAGTTTTGTCACGCTGGACATATTCACGTAGATGAGAGTAGTTTGAGGGTTTTGTGCGTTATACACAGAAACGTTTTCAGCAGAGGTTGCAGACATAGCAACTAAGTTTAAGAGAAACAGAGATATGAAAAAAAAAAAACAGAGTATCGTAGAAAGAAGAAGAAGAAGAAGAGAATAAGGAAGCGGAGAAAAAAAAAAGAAGGTAGGAGCGTTATAGCTCTGATACCATGTTAAGGTATGTAAAGAGGTGAATATTATTCATGGTAGAGCCTCTAGTTATATACATGCTAGAGAGAACATATACATGGTAAGAGAATATATGATAGAGTAAATGACAAGATATACAAAAAAGAAAGAGAGAAATCAAGGGGATACGGTCAATATCTTTACAGTTACAAGGGGTCGTTGATATAGGTTGTGGATAAACCTAGACGTGGAAGTTGGTAGACACTAGACGACGATAAGCATTGACCTGCACAATCTAAAACGAATAAAAGCTTTAGCATTGACCTGCACCACAATCTAAAACGAATAAAAGAGTTGTGTTTTGTCTCATTGTTAAAGTAAAAGTCAATTTTGTTTATCTTTTCGGACCGATTAATAAATACGAAAATATCAAAAAACGTCATAAAACCACGTCAGAGATCTGAATAAAGTAAAAACAAACGATCGTCGCGTGGGACTGACGCGCGTCTGTTCCGAGATCCCTCGTGTCACGTGTTTAGTACTTGTGTAAAGTTACCGAATTAATTCAGAGTAAAAACCCACAGATGATACGATCTTTAATAATACGATTAAGAAAAGGCAAGAGAGAAGGGAGAAAGAGTCGATGGCGGAGGGGAAACCAGACGAGCAGCTCTTCCAGCTTCTTTCGGGTCTTCTACAACAGGTTTCGATTTGTGAAATCTCAAATTCGATCCCAATTCGTTATGATGAGGGGAAATTCATTTTGATTTTGGTTTCTCTTTCCCCAAAATTTCTGTGATTGTACGACTCTATGTTCGTCGAATTTCACTCTCTCCCAATTTCTGTTTAGTTTTAAGGATCTTAAAATCGGAAGAGCTTTTGATCTAGTAAAACCCCTTTGATTATACCGATTGTGTTGCTCAGAATATGTAATGTAATTGTCATTTGTTACTGCGTTGGATTTGGTGCCTCGTGCTGATCCAATTACGCTTTTGATCAGGTGGAGTCATTGACGAACACAGAAGAAGTAGAGTTACGTTCTAAGATCGAAGCTCTTGGTTTAGAAGTCACCAAAGTGCCATCAAAGTCTACTCAACACCTCAATGACGTGTGTGGCCAACTCCACTTTTTGTTTCATTTCCGATACACATTCTAACGTAAATCTGAGGTTTTGTGTGTGTGATTTGATGTTGCTTTTCAGGTGGAGATAGCAAAGGAATTGGATAAGTTGTCAGCGAAATTAGACGATGTGGATGAGATGATCTCATCAGCAATTGCCTCTGATCCGCAAGTGAAGACGCTTCTTAGCGGCACAGCTGATGTTTGGTTGCCTGTTATCACTGCCAATTCCCAGGAGAGACTTAACTTCACCGCCTCTCTTGCTGATGATGTTGATGATCATCTTCCTAATAAAGAAGACAACACCAGCAACAAGAACAGCTCATAAATCATAATCCTCCTTGCAAAAACCTATTTTCGGTTGATATACTCAGTAGCATTGTTTTCTTTTACTTTTCTAAGTCTTGTTACTTTCTCGATCCAGTGTGTACGTCAATCAAGTGTACGTCAATCAAAAATGTTATAAATTCGTTATCGATATTTTGAATTCATGAGGTTTATGGAAATTAAAGAATACAGCTGTTTATTTATTTCATCACGAGTTTTTCCGGAATGCAAATGTGCACACTGCGAAGTGTTTTCTCATGGGGAATCAAATGAAATCTCGAAAGAACAATTTCTACATAAACAACGTTTCTTTCTTCTGTCAACAGAAAGGTAAGAAAAAAGGCTATTCAGGTGTGGAAGATAATGGCTTGAGAAGACTCTGGACTCTCAGGTAGTGGCTTAAGCAGATGAAGCTTTCTTGCAGAAGGCATCAAGCCAGTCCATTGTGACACTCTTTGGCCTCTCAAGTGCCAGTCCAAGAGCACGGTCCCATATTAGCTGAGAGCAGATACCAAGACTCCTTGAGACACCAAAGAGCACCGTGTAGTACCTATAAAACGTCACAAATCTTATATTTGAGTACTAGCCTTAAGGCTCTCAATGATGCTTAAAACGACGAGTCGTCTGCTTCTTACCTTGCTTCGGTTAGACCATAGTGGTTCAGCAACACTCCACTGTGAGCATCAACATTTGGCCATGGGTTCTTCACCTGTAACCAAGCCATCACAGGATTCAAAAATTCGGTTTTCTTGTTTTTTTCTCATTGGAGAAATGATCACCATGGTAAACGAGAAAAGGATAGAAATATTACCTTTCCAAGTTCGGTAAGAACAGGAGGCACAACTTCATAAAGCTTGGACACCTATAAGATGAAGGTTTTGTTAAACCACTGCACAATGCTAGTATATTTTAAGAGCCTAAAAGTGAAAAAACAAAAAAGTACCAGCTGGAAAAGAGGGTCATCAGGTAAATGCTTCAAGGCAAACTCTCTTTGGCATTCATATCTTGGGTCAGTTTTGCGAAGAACACCATGTCCATATCCGGGAACAACCTGTAGACGAATCAAGACTTTGTCAATTAACAATTTGTAAAGTTCCATGAGAAATTAAGTATTATGTTGTTGGCTGGCAGCGACAAAGCAAATGAAAGTTGTGTGTTTTACCTTGCCACTGTTTAATGTTTTCCAGACATATTCTTTCAACTGCTCTTTCGATATGTTTTCTCCACATTCCTCCACAACTGATTTGATCCAAAGTAAAACTTCCTGTTGCAACAAGACAAAAATAAAAAAAGGAACTAAGATTCTGTTCCCTCTAAATAAAACTCCATCACACGCTTCATTGATAATATACAACAGAGACAACTCATGAAGCTCTGCCATCGGTTGAACAATATAAGATTTATTGAGGATATAGACAAGAGAGAGTACCTGATTAGCCAAACCATGGAGTGGCCCAGCTAAACCGTTTAATGCAGCTGCAAATGACAGATATGGATCTGAAAGTGCACTTCCAACCTAAAGAGAAAGTATAAGCAGCAAAAGATGAAGGTCAATCCTAAGCAAAGGTGTATAAGAATTTCAGAACTGCATGTGGAACAGTCGCATCAAGAAACCACAAAATTCGTAGTTGACATGGAGAGACTATGAGCATACATACCAGGTGACCAGTGTGAGCACTAACGTTTCCACCTTCGTGGTCACTAAAACCAAAAACAAGTAGAAAATAGAAATTAACATGTTAATATTTGAAGTTTTGGAAACAATTACAAAAATGTCAAGAACGTTTAGTTAGGAGACATGTATGGTATGGAAGAAGAAATCAGTACAGACCTGTGGATAGTAATGTAAAGCCTCATGAGCTCTTTCATTTTCTCATCATCAAATCCCAGCATATGGGAAAAATTAGCACCATAATCCAAAGATTTATCTGAGGGAATGGAATTGCCATTCTTATACATCCTGCAATGATTTAATGTAAAGGTAAATACGAAGCAAAAACAACATATGACAAACTTTTCCAATAAAGGGTAAACAATCAGTACCAAAATCCAGAAGCTGCAAGAAACATGAAAAATAGGACAAAAATTATAAAATTTTCACTAACCTCCGATAAACATACGCAGCTACAACAGGAACACGAGCAATCAGGTTGAGTGAGTCCTCGTATGTTGGCTCCCAGAACCTGGACGGAAAGATCGTTTTATGATTCATGCTAATATGAAATTCTATCAAGTACTAAACCAGAAACTCCAAGAGCATACTTTGACTTGTGAATTCCACTCTCATATGCCTTTTGGAACTCACTTTGCACCTGGATATCAGGTAAAGAAAATTATCATTCTGCTGAAAATTGACCACTAATAGGAAGTTTGTTTTTGTAAACAAATCACAAGAAGAACAAGCAAATAACAATGGGAGTTTAAAGATCCACACCTGGAGGGCCATAACGCCGCTAGCAAATTGAGTCATTGGGTGAGCTGTGGAAGGCAGGGCATCGATGGCATTGTACACATAATCTGCATAAAAATTGAGTAAAAGTCAAGAATGAGTAAAAGTGTAACACAAAAACCACCAAGAAAGAAAGAATAAAATCATTTATGTTAAATATTTCTTTGAAACATTAATGTCCAACAAGTTTGGATGATCCAATAAACAGAGCTAGAAGATGAAAATCCAAACCTGGCACAGCAGCACGGTTCGCCAAGTCTTTTGAAAGTGCTTCAACTTGCTCTTTGCTAGGTACCTATACAAAAAAGGGGGTAAAAAAGGTTATTTTACTGAGGGAAACTAATCGTCTGGACATGCCCGTGACCAGCTAATAAAAATGTACACAAAAGGCATACCTTTCCAGTTAAAAGAAGCCACAAAAGACCCTCGGGCAATGGTTCTCCTCCGGACTGGGCAGCAGGTAATACTTTCTGGCACTCAGGAATCGACAAGCCCCTGAAGCGTATTCCCTGAAATAATGACAAGAGCATTGAGCGGGAAGGAAGAGCATTCGATATATTCCTATCTAGGATCTAACCAAGTAACTGTAACTATATACAAATATTGGTCAGTACCTCTTCCGGGTCAAGCAATGAGGTTTCCCAGAGCAATCCAGTCATCCCTCTCATACCACCAATTACCTTTATAAGAAAGGGGACTACAATTAGTTACTGAAGGGAAGGCTCATATAAACAAACCAAATACATAAATCATCATGCTTTTACCATATCAACAGTGATGTTTCCCAGTTGGACCTTTCCATGTTCAGACTTCAGTTTCTTCAGACGGTCCTGAAAATTGGAAGGCTTATCAGGAAAGATGGAACTAGAGAAAGCAAAAGAGATTCACTGCAAGTAGCCTGCCTTAACTTAGAAACAATCTCAACCAACGTTCAGTCAAAAATAATGTCAATCACAAATTTTACCTGCTGTTCTGGGATTAACTCTTGCAGCTGCGACTTCAGGTCCTGCACAGCCACCAATTTAAACAAAATGAACAAACATAGCCATTCTCTCAATCAGACTTCCGCTATGAATAAACCAAATTTATAATTCAGGTTTCTAATCACTAGGATCCATCTGAAAACTACAAGATCACATTCATCAACAAAGTGAACATGAAACAGAGGAGATAATTACCAGGTCGGTAGAGCTCTGCATTTGAATCCATCTGACCGAATTGCTGAGCGAAGATTGTTGCCCCTGTTTATATATACAGATCCGATCAGCATCAAACGAAGCAACCAAAACACAAATTTCCAAATGAGATATAAAGAGAAACACTCACAACGCGAGACCTCAGCCTAGATAAGGCCGATACGCTGCGGAAAAACACCATTCTCCAAAACTTATAACCTGTGACAGTATCAACCAAACCAAATATTGTTTTCAAAATCAACGTCGATCCATGAAAACTCAAAACTAATCAACACTCAGAGAATCAGCGAATCAGAAACAAAAAGGAGCTACAGACGAACAAAGGCTTATCACCGATTCTCTAATAATACAACGGAACTCAGTATTCGATTCGATCGGCGGAAGCCAATTCACCGGAATGATGGAAGAAAACCGAAGACTAGTTCTCCGGCAATTATGGAAGAACAAAAAGGCGAAGAACTAACCAGAGATTCGAGAGCTTGACGGCGATCGAGAAGAGAAAAAGGCGAAAATGATTTGCTGCGTGTGATGTGCAAAATGATCTTATATAAATGGCGAAAGGCGAGCAAATGACATTTATCCCCACAAAGAATCTGCACTTTCCATATGTCAGCTGGTTTATGCAGAAAACTCCAATTTTGACCTTCAACAACTTTGAGAAGGCAAACCAAACTAAACCGGGACACGGAATCAAACGCCTAAAAAGTCAGGTTTGGCCTTTCGGCTTAAATCATCATGAGATTGTCAACTTCAGTGTACCGGTGCGGTTATTCTCGGTTCAGATCGAGTTCCTTAAATATTTCTTTTATGTTAAGAAAAGGTTATGATATGTGCGGTTTGAAGCAGCACGAACGTTTCCAGACCTAGAAAAGTCAGGTTTGAAATTGTCTTTTTTTTCATCTGTCTTATGCAAACCAAAACTAATTAGAATTGAAAAAATAATCCCAATGCTTGAAAATTTAGACTAATCAATAACTAGGAGCTTGTACCAACTAAGAACCAAGTCTAACTTTCTATGTAGTAATAAGAATCACTAAAGTGGACGAATTACTACTTACCGATTATGTGTATTTTAATTTAGGTGAATCTCATAAAACGATGGTGTACGTAGTTTAGGCAAATTTTGTTGTAACAGTTTTTAGCTTATTTCTTGATCTCTTGATGAATCAGTTTATAGCGATTCCTAGGCCTGATTTTACACATTTATTTTCTATTTGGATCCTGGATACTAAATAATGTGGTATGCTATTCGGTAACAACGCTTACAGATTAGTGGTAGCTTTAGTTAATAAGAGGTCAGACTTCAGGATTCAGATAATCTACTTTCCAGTTTAAAAGTTTCGTATAGTTCTAGATTATTCTTAAATCTCGAACTTTTCACGCTATAATTATCCGTACATAGTCACATACAAAACATATTTTTGAATGAACTTGATCTCTTTCATTTATAACACTAATAAACTAGCTTAATTTGGCAACTCCACAAACACACATGTTCTTCTCGTGCGGCCCTTATTTTCTCAACTTTTGACCTTTGTTTCGGGGAACATATTTCTACTCCAACTTTAGTAGAAAAAAAAGTATTAATATGTAATGCATTCAATTCAATTGAAGTATCTTTAACAATCGAACACTAGTCAATCTCTGGTCTAATAATCATACAAACTTTTCCCCAAAAAAGACAGCAAAAATCACATATACACACACCAAAGAATTAGTACACATCAAATAAATATCACATCAATGAAGTTACATATCAAAATGACTAGGGTTTTTAGACCGACGATGACATTTTGATTAGATACAGTCACTCCTTCGCCGAGAAGGGCTGCACATAATAAACTCTTCGTTGCAACTCTCAACCTTGGCAAAGTCAGTCCACCAATAGTTTCAGTTTCTCATCATACCCATCAAGTTATATACAACTATTTGCCTTCGTTACCAAAAAAATGACCTCCTTCGTTTTGCTTTCAGGCTTCAAACGATAAGAAGACCTCACCAAACGAATGCGATTGCAATATCACAGAAACCCTATAAATTAAACTCTTGTTAATTAGGACGAATTCTGACCCTTTGTATCGAAGTTGTTGTTGTTGTTGTTGTTGTCGAAAATGAAACCTTCAACTTGTGAAGAAGAAGATGATCTCATGGGAAACGAAGAGAAGTAATCTTCTCCAACATCTTGAATCAGACCTTCTAGATCAAAGTAAGTATTTGTGTTCGAAGTGCTCTGATCACCGGATCCCCATTCTTCTTTCACCTGATGGTTTCCTCCGTTGGCCAATAAACCGGTGAAACCCGAAAGCCTGTTAACCGGCTGATGATCTCCGCTAACCGGTTCTTGGGACGTCGGAATTCTTGGTCTGGCTCTCCTTTTACCGGTTTTGGCCTCTCCCGCCGCCGGTTTTCCGGTTAGACTCTGGACGAGTGAACGGAAGTTCTTGACGTCGGTCTTGATTACTTCCGGTGCGAATATATGGATTATGCGAATCTTGGGCTTGATCTTGGCTATTACTTGTGAGTTCTTGTTCATGGAAACCCTGGAACTCGAACCTTCGTTAAAACTTTGATGATATTGAGTAATCTCCATCGATCATTCAAATTAGAAACCCAAAAGAAATAAATGATTTGATATTTTTTGTTTTTGGTGAGAAGTGTTGTTAGAACAAAAATTATTGGTATATCGTGGAATAATACTGCGGCGGTTGGGTGATTGTATATATAGATAGTTAATATAGATCTTAGCATATAGGATTGTTGGTAAGTCAAAAACATTAAATTAACAACAAGCTTGAATATGAAAATGATAAAGAAGGTTTTGGACGAAACAGCGATGGACCTGCCCTCCATGACACACAGCAACAACTTGATTTAAATAAAGGTCTAAGTGCATATATCATACAGTATTATTTACATGAGAAGTACATTACATTATTTTATTTTATTATTTTTACAGTCGGGATAAAATGATAAGTTTATGATTTGTGATTCACCAACTGATCAAGAAATCTAAACTATAGTAATTATAAAATATCATAAAATTTAATACGCAGTGGCATAGATAGCGTAAGCCATCTTTGGTCACCAATTTGTTTTTGTTTTTTCCTTTGGATGTGTAAAAGTGTTAATTGTCGGCATGTTTGCTCTTTTCTAGTTTCTGGGATTTGGGTTTCCTATACTTTCTATAGGAAACTAATTAATTATGTTTGTTTCCTATACATGTACAAAAATAGTAGTATTTTACAAGTATATTTGCCTAACTTCTATAATAATTCATGGCCGCCTCTAAATGTTCAAATGGTAAATAATTGGATTATACTCTTTTGGCTGATTACATCGTATGTAAAATCTAACTTTGGCATAACTTGTAACAATATTAGTATATGGAAATTCTAATCTTATGCAATTTTATTATCGATTTCTTTAGTTCGTGGGGTCAAAATCTGACTCAGGAAACTGTCACTTGAAAACTAACTTAGTTGTTTTATGCTTCGGTAGTTCGGTTTGATGATGCAACCTATATCATATTTCTTAGATGTTTTAAATGAATATATTACTGTACAATGGTAAACGTGAAGATTCTATTAGATTTAGATCATTAGTTTCACATCATCTTGTTAATTAGGTTGAAATCAGATTTGATAAAACCAAAACAGTTACCTTCTTACCAATTGAACTAACCAGCCCCACTTAAGTAGTTTGTAATGTCCATGTAGTTAGTTATTCTACCTATGTGTTTAGACACTTACATACACATGATCTCATTCATCTACACATGTCTGAGGTGTCGACGCAGATATATGCCATGGTGTGCTTAAAAAAACAAAACAAAAAACTGTTTTCTCGTTGGTTTATTATTTAATTAACTAATTATTTAAAGTTTTGCACAGAGAAGCAGACGCACGAAAGAATTGTTTTCTATAAAGAACAAAATGACATACAAACCTCTACAAATGAAAAAGTTGCAAGCACATAAAATAATAGTTGACTTCTGTTCGCCAAAGAAGCAAACAAGAGCGACAGGATGGATTTAACCTCCGTTGACTTTACTTAAGCTGTATATTCTGTCTTTTATCAAAAAATGATTTAGATCGTATGTCGATTGTCGACATGTCTTAGAAAACTTACCCACAAGGCCACAAACACTATTTCTTTTTCTTTTGGGTGCAAATGTGAAGATAACACTATTTTATTTGTCTAGTCGTTACAACAAATTACAGCAAAAATGCTTATCCTTTTTTTTTTTTTTTTGTTAAAGGATCTTCATACAAATTAAACTATAAAAAAATTCTTGAACTCAACCACCTATGCAGTCCACCTGTTGTTGCAGTTTTGGCCTAAGTGTGAAGATTTTGCTCTAGCTAGTTGGTGGTTTTGACCCTGATTAGTTAATTCTAGTAAACAATATATAGCCTATGATTATAGGGAGAAGCTAAATTAGCTTTCACAAGTGATAGTTATTCTATTTATACAAACGTCAACCGATTTAGAAGTCAAACTTATTTAAATCCAGCTACTGTATAAAACAAACACATATTTGATTTTGGCTCTTTTGGTTATATAAATCTCAGAGATTCGATACTTGTGCAGATAAATAGCTGTACGTATTTGTTTAATTAGGTGAATAACATAAACTTTGGGGGCGAAATTTTTGTGGTCATTTATAATCTAATGCTCTTACGCGGACTTGGAGACTTGTTCTACGCGAACTGTTGAAAAACAAAATCTATGCACACGATAATATATACACAGGCCATGAATCCATCGATTTAAATATGTAGAGAGAGTGGAGTTCATTACTTTGTTTTCACTCAATATACACATTTAGAAATTTCTTGACACAATTATCGGTTCTCTACTAATATGTGTGTTTGGGCTACTTTAGCTAAATGGGCTTAAACGTCATTCCAATAATTTCAAAAAGAACTTCATTTTATTTAACGTAATAAATATCTTACAAATTCGAATCATTACAAAAAGTCGCTTTGGCCGAGTGGTTAAGGCGTGTGCCTGCTAAGTACATGGGGTTACCCCGCGAGAGTTCGAATCTCTCAGGCGACGTATTTTTTGTTTTTTTCTCAAATTATTGCCAATTCCTAAAATTCATTGTCCTTTGATTCTTTCCTTAATCTAGATTATTATCACACATTTCCCCAAACTTATCTTCCGATTTCTTCAACTACTGTAATAAACTTCCGATTCAGTTATCCAAATTTGCATCACACTAATTCAAATTTCTTCACAAGTTTTTATTATTCATATTATTATCATATACTCGCTTTAATTATATGAAAGACAACATGAGGATGTGACCACAAAAGTGACAGAGACAGTTAAAGATCCCAAAACCATCCATCAACATCATCATCACTAAACCTTCCCGAGCTTAGAAGCTTCCAGATCCGCCGCTTTCTTCAGAATATTATCTTCGTCGTCATCTAAAACCATCCTTATCGGGCAAAACCCGAGCCCGTCGGCGATCGCCAGCACGATCTTCTTCATCTCCGACCTAAACTCCTCCAGATCCACGGAACCGCTCTGATCCGTATCGAACTTCTCGAAGATCGAGTCGTAGAGCTTCGTCAGCTCCTCCTGAGGTGTCACCACCTCGACGCCGAAGTGCGAATCCAGCAGTCTCATCGATTCCAACGCCTTCCGCAGCTCCGATCTCGATAAAACGCCGTCGTCGTTGGAATCCAGAGCCTTGAACTGCTCGTCTACAGTCTTCTTGAATTGCTCCTCGTCCTCCACAAACGACCGTACGGTCGATCCATCGATCACTACGACTCCCATTTTCTCCGGTTTTTGATTTTGTTTTTCCGGTTTAGTTTTGAAATAAGATTGTGATGATGATTAATGTTGGCGTATAGTATAGGCATAGCTGGTTAAGTCGGTGAAGATAAGAATCTTTTTTGGGCCGTATTTAATCTCATCTCGTGTATTGGGCTTTTATGTTTGTACCGGCCCAAACATTTTCTCTTCTTCTCCTTATGTAAGACGCTGCGTATTATAATCTGACCCAAATGACGATGCATGCAAAAGTTAAAATCATTTAATTGAATAAGAATAGAGTTTGACCCGCGCCCAGCACGGGGAGATGGTTTCTGAATTTGTATTTTTTAATTAAAAATGTATATTTAACTATTTCAAAATTTTATGTGACAGATTTTTTTACCTTGTTAAGGTTTTTATCTTCGTTTATAATGTGGAAATTAAACATTTTAAAAATTATAAACAAATTAAAACATTGATCATAGACATAGATTAAATATGCTAGACTATAGATTAAATATGCTAGACTTCAGCAAAATACATAAAACAAATCAAATGAGTATATTTTATAAGATAAGAAGATAAGAAGTTTTAGGTGTTTACACGGATTAGAACTAACTTTTTTTATTTCTTTTAAAACTAAAACATGTTTTATTATAATTCCAAAACAATCCAACCAATAAAAGATCAATCTTGCAAAATCCAAATTGTCAAAATAACAAAAGTATAAGTAATTTTGTACTGAAAAATTGAAACAAATGGAGCAATATTCAAATTTTTGATCAAAATTAAATACATTTATAAAAAATATTATTTTATTTGATTTCATTATACAGTTTAACTAAAAAATCATATAAAATATTTTAAAAAATTACATTTAGATACCTACTCTCCTACTTACATGGTTGCATATCATCTATTTTTTATAATATATTTTTACACCTACACACAACAACATATTGGGAATTTTAATAGTTTTAGTGATTATTTTGTTTTTAAAAATTCAAATCATAGCATATATAGAAAAAGTTTTAGATTTTATTTATTAGATTTTTTGTATTGTGTCAATTTTTTATTTTATAAAATAAAGTTAAACAAAGATGAAAGGAGATATAGAATGATTTAAAAAAAATATAATGATAGCATTAAATTGAATCTCATATTTTCCTTATTTACTAATTTTCGTAATTGTCAATTAAGGAAAGAGAATGATGATTCTTTTATTAATAATTTCATATATGATTAATCTAACTATACATATTTGATTCTCTAACCAAAAATATGAATGACAATGTTTGTAATTAGTCTAGTAAACTAATCCTTATTTTATAAATAACATGAGAAGCTCCCTAATGATGACACATCAGCATGACATTCTTGTTAATAACACATCAACTAAAGGTTATTTTTAAAGTGTTTTCTCTTTTAATATATTAGGGATCTATAGTGGACTCCAAACTGAAGTACTATTAAAGTAAATCTTATGTCCGAAACGAATCCATAGCTTTAGGACCAGACCAGGTCGGCAAAAAGCCTGTGGGAAAATCTAAAGGAATGTTACTTTTTAACAGTAGACTCAGTCAAGTGAAAATCTATAGGAATGTTACTTTTTAACAGTAGAGTCAAGTGACGTCACAGATGACGCTATGGATTCGCAGGTTGTAGGTTTCACAAGGCTTAGACTGCGACAAGTGTCAACGCACACAAAAGTGAAGTCGGTCAGTCACTGAGCCGATATTCCCACTTACTCTGAGTGGGTTGGTGAAGTGGTCCCTTTTCTCTTCTCCACTTTTCTTCTTATGCATTCCCACAATTCATTTATATGATTTGTAATTTAAATGAGTTTAAAACGATTTTTGTTTTTTTTTTAAATTGCTGTACTGAAATAGTGAGCTGCTATTTAAGAGATCAAATTTCGAAAATAATTAGATGGTCATAAATAAGATATATGTAAAACTGAAAATCCTATAAAGAAACCGGATTTATCAACAAAACAAAAGTTGAAATTGGTGTAAAAAATAGTCTTGTTAGTAAATTTTATTTATACACCGGGCGTATGGAGATCATAATGTTGACATTTGGAATACTTGTTCGCGTTCCCATATATGTATGACAGAGTCACATATAGGACTTAATAAAGAAAAAATAAAGTAAAAGAACAATGCATACCATCTTCACAAATTAAGGAAAAAAGCAAAAAAACTTCGATGAGCTTTTCGACACGACAACGCATACAATCATCACATAACTTAATAAAGAAAAGGAAAAAAAAGAAAACCATAAAAGTGTTAATATTGCTATATAAACTGTAACGAGTGCACCAACAAGATTGAGGAATACATTTTTTTTTTTGAACAAAAGAGATTGAGAAATTAAATTGGGAATAAGAAAATGGAGTCTTGGATTATTAGTCTAGTGCTAGCAACAGCTTTAGTAACGGCGTCGACGATGGTGGCTGCTGGAGAAGACAAGGCAAAAGACAAGGAAGAATGTACGGAGCAGCTGGTGGGTATGGCCACGTGTCTTCCTTACGTACAAGGACAGGCAAAGTCTCCGACGCCGGATTGTTGCTCCGGCCTCAAACAAGTTCTCAACACCAACAAGAAGTGTCTTTGTGTGATCATCCAAGACAGGAATGATCCTGATTTGGGTCTCCAGATCAATGTCTCTCTCGCTCTCGCTCTTCCTTCTGTTTGTCACGCCACTGCTGACGTCACTAAGTGCCCTGGTTCGTATCTTAATTTCATGATATAACATAATGTATGTTCTATTTGTGGTTGGATTGATGAAATCGCTTTTTGTCCGGACCTATTGGTTAGTTGGATTCTCATTCTTTTTTTTTTTTTTATATTTTGAAAGTTTGTGCTATGTGCTAAGGGCACAAGTGCTAACTAAATCTTACTCCCTCTATCCCATATTATAAGCTATTTTGGCATAATGTATCTGTAATTTTCTGGATGTATCTGGATGTGTTTCCATCCAAATACATCAAAAAAATTGCAGATACATTATGCCAAAACAGCTTATAATATGGAACAGAGGGAGTAAGTTTTTATGATATATATAAATCTACCATTGGTTATAGAGTTATAGTGGACGACTTTAAATCATGTAAGTTCTGAAGTTTTGGATGACATTATATTTCTAGTTGTAAGCTATCGTTATTGATTTGAAACGTTATATTTCTAGTTTTATCGCCATTGATGTTATGTACATGTAAGAAAATAAAAACCAGAGTATAGATAGCAAGTTTTGAAAACTGATTATAGATTACGATTAGCAAATTCATAAACTTTTTTGGAATGAGTGTTTCAGCTTTGCTTCACTTGGACCCAAAGTCTCCAGAAGCCCAAGTGTTCTACCAGCTAACCAACGGTTCAAACAAAACTGGCCTAGCCTCTGCTCCCACTGGCTCGGCCGCTGGGCCCACCATCATATCTCCGACCGCAGGATCCGGTGATGGTAACAATAGTGGTCGGACTAGCTCTTTGCCAGGCAAAAGTCACGCTCATAGCTACTCTAAACAATGGCAACGGCTCGAAGTTGTTGCCCATTTCTTCATAATTATGTATATTTTTGTACTCGTATAAAATAATGGAAAGTAAAAAGTACGTAACACTGAATTGTGAAACTGTGGTGACTTTGATTATTTCTGTTACGGTTTTGATTGATGTATTTAGTTCCATTTCGTGATAACTCTTTTGGAATCTTCATCACATTTATTTGAAATATATTCTAATCTTTTACTTTGATACCCACGTAACGGTATATTCGGGTAATCAGTTTTTTCTTTGACACTTTGATAACAAATGAAAATGTTAAGCTTATCTGCTATCGACCAGTAGGCAGTAATGGCATTATTATATTTTTTTAAAACAACAGTAACACTAGTACACACCACCAGACTCTATGTTTGATATATGCAAATGAATGATATTTTTTTTCAGAAGTTGGAAAAGGAATTTAACAAAAGAAAAAGAGGTCGACCAAAAAAAAGAACAACAGAACAAAAAGATAATAATTGAAACTTGACTTGCCAAAACAAAAAAAGGCTGAGTCGTCGTCGTCTTAACAAAATGATGATAAAAGCTAGTCTTGTCATACACCAATTGCGCGTATGGAGATCAGATACTGATGTCGACATTTGAGATCTATTGTTCTCACATTTTGCTTTACTAAAAAAAAAAAATAGATCAAACCAGAATAACAAAATCAAAATGGAACCATGGAGGATTACTCTAATGGCGATAGCAATATGTTTAACAATGGTGGTGGTTGCTGGAGAAGATAAGGCGATAGATAAGGAAGCCTGTAAGGAACAACGTCTGGGTATGGCCACGTGTCTTCCTTACATGAAAGGACAAGCAAAATCTCCGATGCCAGACTGTTGCTCCAGCGTCAAACAGATTATAAATTCCGATAAGAATTGTATTTGTGTGTTCATCCAAGACAGGAATGATCCTGACTTGGGTCTCCAGAAACAGATCAATAACTCGATCACTCTCACCCTTCCTTCCATTTGTCACGTCACTTTTAACGTTAACGTCTCTAAGTGCCCTGGTTCGTACTTCGTACCTTAATCACCTCTCCACAATTTCACGACATTACAAAATATTTGCTGTTTGTGGTTGGATTTCTGAAAATTCTAGCATCTATTGGTTAACTGGATGCTACGTGTTGTTGTCTACAATTAGAAAGTTATTGCTCACTAACATGTTAATTATACAATGTACTGTATAAGATATGATATATGAAAATCATGAATGGATTAACTTTTTTCTTTTGCATATTTTTAATGATAATTTCATCATGAAAGTAAGTTTTTCTTTTCTTGCTGGAGAACTTTTTGTTCATTTTCTGTTACTATTTATTCCAAGAGTAACACTGTAGATTATACGTATTATTTACACACATTTATTAAAAAAGCTTATTTGTGATTATGATAGAAATAAAGTAAAATTATCAAACCACATAATTTTTTTTGGGAATGGGGGTTTCAGCTTTGCTTCACTTGGACCCAAATTCTCCAGAAGCCCAAGTGTTTTATGCGATAGCTCAAGCTGTTAACAAAATCAGCCCAGCCTCTGCTCCCACCAGCATGTCTCCGACCTCAGGATCCGACGATGATCACAACAGTAGTTGGAGGACCTCTTGGCCAGGCATCAAGAACCGAGCTCAAATCTTTCGAAAACGATGGATGGTGCTCGAAGTTGTTGCCCATTTCTTCGTAATTTTGTATATTTTTATCCAATGATGAGTGAACAAGTATGAAATGTTATATTTCTGATAACTGCGGTGACGTTAATTCCGTGAAGTTACTGTTTCGTGTGGAATCTTCTCAAACTCTTTTTTGTATGACGCAAAATAAGACACGAGTAACTGTTTTTATATGTGTCTGGTCTTTTTTCCAATTTTATTTTTGAAAATATTTTTACTGAAAAAACAAAACCAGAAATTTATCCATTAAGGAGATGACCATAAATGTTAAATTTGTAGTATGTCACACAGAAAATCAATTTAAAAACTCAACTAGATTTCGAAGGATCTGTCGCAACCATTTTCTCTCAAGAAAATCCATAAACCTCCCATGACCAAATCCACACAGCAATCACATGACCGCACAATTCCCGATTTTATCATCTTTACTCTCTTCACGATCGTTTAGATTTTTCTATTATTTTGTTTTCCTTTTGTGACCGGTTGAATTTTTATACTATTCTTCTTTGGTCCATTAGTCATTAATAGTCATTGTTATTCAATTCAAAATCTCGAAATTCTAGAAAAAGAATGACTTCTTTACGCGAGATATTATGCTAAACTTTAGCGTTTAATATAATTTGGGTAATTTGCAAGAGATCATCATTAATACATGTACTAAACTACTAATACAACGAAATGTAAGTTTCTCGTTAAACTCCTTCTCTTCTCTTATACCCATTTCTTTTGGGTAATCTCTCTCTAATCTCCTACTGTATTAGATAAAAAAAGGGTCTAATTCAAATTCAATTCTGGGATCGGAAGTATCTTCTGTTTCACTCTAAAGGTACCAAAGTTTGTTCCTTTCTCCTCCTCTTCCTCAATTTCTTGAACCTGAAAAGATACTTTTATTCAAGGTTTTGGGTATAATTCAAAATTCTTGATGGTTCTTCAGTGCACGCTTTTGCAGGTTCGAATTGTAGAGAACCAAGAAAAAACAAAGTTTAGTCCTTTGGAAACGATTGGTTGATGACGTCATCGGAAATTGTCGGAGAGAATGATGATGATCATCAATTCACAAAACCACTTGGAAGATTGTCTGTCTTCTTCTATGGAGTTGGGCATATGCTTAACGACATCACTGCTTCTTGTTGGTTCACTTACCTCCTCTTGTTTTTAACCCAAATTGGTCTCTCCCCAAGGTCAAACATTCTCCTCAAAACTTTTTGTAAAATTTTCTTCACCTAAATCTCCAGTAGCGACATTATCATTTAGCTTATTTTTGTTCTTGTTCTTGTTGTTGTGCTATAGGGATGCTGCAATTGTCATGCTCTCTGGTCAAGTTGCTGATGGTTTTGCTACTGTCTTCGTTGGTGAATTGGTAATTTCTATTTTCTTGGTTCTTGAATTTTCAGTCACACAAAAATCTGTTCTAAGCTCTCTTAGTCTCATGTTAATGCTTGAAATGCTTGAAGCAAGAATACACAATATACACTATCTCACATCTCTCTGTCTTCTTTGACATGACACAGATTGATAGATTTGGGCATTTCAAAATCTGGCATGCAGCAGGATCTTTATTAGTGGCTATCTCATTTTCCTCTGTTTTTGGAGGTTGCTTGCCATGTTCAATCTTCCACAGTGACTCTTTAACGTTCGAAACCGTATCATACAGCATGTTTGCAGCTATCTTCAATATTGGATGGGCTGCTACTCAGGTCTCCCACATGTAGGCACACAATCTTCTCTTTCTCTTACGTTCCATCTTTCTCTCAAGTGATCATTTTCATGAAATCTTGTGTTCTTTAGGGCTATGGTCAATTGCATTACACTGAATTCAACAAGCAGAGTAGCTCTAACAAGCTCCCGTAACGCATTTAGCATGGTCAGCTCTTTTCCCTTAGCTCTAAAGAAAATGTCTTTTCTTGGTTTGTTCTTAAATTTTTCATCTACTTTCAGGTTGCTAATTTAGGGTTATACGGAATTGCTTTGATTGTGTTTGGTGTAAGCAAGGCAGATACAAAAGCAAATACAGAACTACAGGTTTGTGATTTTATTGACTTGTTATGAAAGTTGATATATGATTCTAAGTCTTTTTCTTTAACTCTGCAGTATCGTTGGATTGCTTATTCATGCATCACCGTAGGCTGCTGCTTTGTGGTCATATTTCTCATGGGGACAAAGGAACCACGGCTGCGGATTAATCCAAGAGAAAGTAACCGAGCAAGAATACCATGGGCTTATTGGTTCCGCAAGATTCTGTATTATCAAGTCGCTATGGTTTATCTCCTCACTCGACTTGTGTTAAATGTTTCACAGGTTAGTTTTCTGTATCTTTTCTTGCTTCTTTTCTTGTATTGGAATCAATACTAAACACTTTGACAATTTACAGGCATATCTTGCATTCTTTGTTATTGATGACTTGAAAATGGCTCAATCCGCTAAAGCTCTGGTAAGAACATCTGCCATAAGGTTCCGTCTCCATGAATGATCATCAAACTTGTCTGATTATATGTTTTTTTTTTTTTTTAAATTTCAGATTCCTGCAATAATCTACATTTGCAGCTTCATTGTATCGGTTATGCTTCAGGTTCCAACAAGTTTTAAACGCATTCCTCTGTTTTCGTCTCCAAAACTTTTTCTTTTCAACTAAGTTCTTGTAAAATGTAGGAGATTCCATGGAATGGAAAACGTCTCAAAGCCTACTATTGTGCCGGTGGTATTATTTGGATATTCTGTGGTATATCAGTCCTTTTATTGCCAAGAAGTATTAACTCTTTCATGTATGTGATCTCTGTCTTTATCGGCATCGCAAATGCATTGATTCTGGTAAGTAAGACATTTCCTCTCTTCTAGTATATGATGTGTTGTTACAAGGAAACCTAAGAAAAACTGTCTTTTAATCATAATCACAATTTTTTTTACAGGTGACAGCAATTAGCATGCAGAGTGTGTTAATTGGTTCAGAAGTTGGTGGATGTGCTTTTGTTTGTGGATCTTTGAGCTTCTTAGACAAAATGTCATGTGGACTTGCTTTATATATTCTTCAGTCACACCAAAGTAAGTTTTTTTTACCACCTTGCTAAATAGTAAATACTAGCTTTAATCAGTCAACTAACAGTTTTCATTTGGACTAATGGTGTAGGTGCTTCACCACAAGTGGATGTAAACATGAAACAAAGTTTATATTTTTCGGTGACAAGATATGGATTAGGACTTGTTCCAGCTGTATGTTCTTTTATTGGCGTCCTTGTCACTTATTTCATGGAACTTGATAGCACGATTCTTAAGCCATTGTGTCAACCTCTACTACTAGAATGAGTCAGACAGGAAAGATCTGGAGATAGCTTCTAGTTGTTGGTAAACACATGGCACAAAAATGGTTTATTAATTTATACCATATTGTATTGTTTTTAGTTCACAAGGATTAAGTATAGATCACACATAGGAAGCATTTGTACCAGAAATACTTAAGTTTGAAAAAAATTAATGCAAAGTTGATTTTTTTCTGTTATTGTACACTCTTATTCACTGCTTTAGCCTCATATTGAGTCTTGTTATTTTCTTAAATACGTGCCCAATGTTATGTAATTTTATTGTGATACAAATATACACAAGATACAAAGAATGTGATAAAAGTACAAACAAAGAATCAAACCAAACAGTCTAAAGAAGAAAAATCAAACTTCGTCAGTTTTCATCACCAGACCAATTTCCCTTGAGTTTAGGCCCAGTAGGCCCATCTTCACCATACACTTCATCAGGAATCTTCCTCGAAAAGTTAACAAAAGCCTTTTTCAAAGGCCCAGGCAAAAGCCTCGCAATCCTCTTCACATCGTCATCAACGCTATAATCAATTTTCGGTCCCCATTTCCTGAGATAATTCACCCACGGCGGCTCCGCCACTCCTCCTCCGTCGTCTCCGTCTCCATACTCCGCCGCAATCACCTCGTACCCCGATCCCGTATCAACCACCTTCTTACTCTTCGCCGTATCGTTCCTTATCCCAACCCCGTCGTCTCCTTGTAACACCAGCCCAGGTTTCGCATACATCGCGTGCCCGTGAAGCGACGCGTACGCCACAGGCTTGTTGCTTCCTCCTCCTCCTCCTCCGAACTCCAAATCGCAAGCGTCGATCCAAACTCCTCCGCTATGCTGCGACAGAAACATTTTCCATAGCTCTCCGTTGAAATTGCTGATCCGTAGCGTCGCGTGTTCCCAATCCCCAATGTGTTCGCCGATTTTCCCCAATGGTAAGTTCACGAATTTGACTTTGGCTTTTGCTGGGCCATTGAAAGGGTAAAAAATCCAGATCGCTACGTCTGTGAACGTTGCTCCGAGCATCGGTTTGATGTGGAGATACACTTTTGCGCTCTGTAACTCTCCTTTCTTCACTCTCTCTTTCTCCTTTTTGTCCACCGGAAGATCTATCCAGTACGATCCGTCGTTTGATCCGCCTTGCGGAAGATTCGAACCGTTAGATTCGATAGAGACTGGTTTCGATTCCTCGCCTCTCTTGTATAACAAAGCTCCGTTGCTGAAGTACCAATTGACAGAGGAAGGTAGATATTCTTCGTCTGGATGGAAGTAGATCAACGGAGAATAAGTCTGGAACAAGACTCCGATTTGGGACCCATTTGGCATTGCGGAGAAGTCGAATTTGGTGTTCTTCAAGCAAGATAAAGGTAAAGGAGAGGCATTTTGGGTTTGATGATAAGTGAATGTACCAACAGAGACTCCTGTAGCTTGTGTGCCTCTTGTGGCTGGTCTAAGGCTCGAGACGTTGGCTCCGTTTGATGATTCCCATATCAATGTATCTGCTTGACATTGTTCGGTGAAATCGGATCTAACGCAGCGTAGTTTGTCGAGAGGAGGCTTTTGTGAGGAGTTTGTGACTATTAGACCAACGGCTTGATATCCATCAGGAGGCAATGGTTGCCAGAAGTAGCCAGGACCGTCTTGTTTGATGTTGAGTGACTCTGTGTTTGCTACGAGTGTGTAGTCTAGAGGTGGTTTCAAGGTGTTGTTTGAGAGGTCTCTAGCTGTGAGCACCCAGCCGAATAGTCGACGGTTGTTTGGTTGAGCGTAGTACCCGAGGATTGAGTAACCGGACGGGATTGATGATGGTTCGAAGAATGTAGCTCCGAGATTGTCTGGTCCTCCTTCGTAAGTGGACCAGACTTTGTTAAAGGTTGAGACTTGACTTACCTCGAGACCTCCCAAGTCAATGGTTCGTCTCGCAAACCCTCCACCTTGAGGGAAAGTAGGCAATGGTGAAGGAAACTTGAAGGAGGTTTCGATGGGAAGTGCTTTGAGTATCTTCTCTGATACATGTTCAAGAGGAGGATCCGAGGATGAAATACAGTTTCCCATTTTTTGTGGTAGTGATCACACACACATACAGGAAGATTTGATTCAGAGATAATTCAACAGAGGAAATTTGAAGTCATGGGTTTTTATAAATATTTGCTTTAGGTCCATCAAGGATATGACCTAAGCAAGAGAAGCCAAAGAGGCAGAGAGGATAAATGTAAAGCATATTCTTCATTTTGTGAATAAGAAAAACGCAAACGCAAACGTAGAAGTCAAAGCTGCCTCGATCTAACTGAAGGTGTCGTGCAAGGTTTTATACTAAATATACATAAAATTTATAACATACTTCTATGTTCTTTTATCTGGAACTTACTTATCGTGCAAGGTATCACTTTAAGCTGATGACAAGTGACAACGACTTCTTACAGTTTATCTTGTAACAAAAAAAAAACGTGCTGCTGTTTCTTAACTATATAAAATTGTTATGCCATTCTTAATTTCAAATGCAAAACCATTTGTTGAAGTAGCTAAATGTAGAGCCATGTAACATGCCGTAGTTTCGTGTAGTTGGCAAACATATCCCCGGGAAATATTAACTGATTTTATTTGTATTTATAATTTTAATATATAGTCAATGTACAGGAACATGACATTATGGAGGAAAAAGGTAATTTCATAGGCATTGAGGGTTACGTCCTGGTCCACCATAGAAAATATAAGTTCCCCACCTCTGGCTAGAGCCAATCCTGAGGTTATAGCATTCAGGACGGGTCACGGTAGCTTCAAGACTTTGCGGAAATGGTGATATCGGATTATTATATGTATTGATGAACTTCAAGTTATTGATATAAGCAGCCTTCTTAAACCCGTTCTCTGCGAAATGGCCACTCCCCATTTGTGTATGCGTGTGTGTCCCTCCTCCTCTAGCATAATATACAATCTCACCTCCCCATGCGATCTTACGTGCTGAGTGTGCTAGCTTTGGGACTATAGAGCTAGGCCAGTACCCGACTAGTTGTGTCTCAAAGATCAGCCACCAAAGTCCGGTGTATGGATCCTTAAAACAAGTTTAAGCTTAATTATTAGATTAACCCTCTTTGTGAAACTGTTTGTTTCGTATTTGATAAATTATACCTTCTGGATTGTTAATTCGAAATCATATTGGTCACCATTGTAAGTCGAGAATGTGTTGAGAGCTGCACCAAGGGAAATGTCTCTGTTCACTTGAACGAAGCCAGGGCAGTCGAGGTTGTAGCAACCGGTTTCTCCGTATGTATCACTCTATTTTATGATAAAAAACAAAAAAAAAGATTATTACAATGTCTTTAATCCACAAAAATTAAAAGATTGATAAGTAAAAGGAAGCTTGCCGTCCAATAGCCGAAAAGTCTTGGATTATTGTCACCGTACAAAGCATACAAGATCTATTATAAAGAGTCAAAAAAAAAAAAAAAAAAAAAAAATCCATTAAAATTTGTAAGAACGACAAAATTAAGAAATAAGACAAGACAACTATTAAAAAGGGACACTACTAGTTACCTGCCAACCAGACTCCAAAGTGTTCAAACCAGTGACCCGTTCTCCATTGACGACCCATGTTTGAGCCAAACTAAACTCTCTCGTCGTTAGAACATTCGGTTTCCATATACTTATACGGCTCTTACTGCCATGGAATCGACCATGGTCGACTTGCACACATGCATGCTACAATTAAATATGCATGGTCCAATTATGGTTAAATGTCTGATTAAGGTCTATTAAAATATTGAAATGTATGATACACACCTCAAAAAAAAAAAAATGATACACACCTCATGAACTTCCTGTGTCTGAGCACCGTCGTGGTGAAAAATAGTTGGTGGGCTCTTTCTTCCATAGTTTTCGATGGAATCTGATCTCAAAAGATCATCTCTTGTTGTTCTTCTGATGGGAATGGTGTTCTCAGGACATTCACCTTTTGTGCGCCACAGTTGATGTATAGCATCTGTCTTGCTACCTCTAGCATTGTCCCTTATGTGTTACTTTTTGGCCTCATCTTTTTGAAAGAACGGTGCAACACATGAATTAAACGTCGTAGAGGTATATAATATGAGTTCATTCAAAGGAGGAATAAAATCAAATAACAAAATATTACAAAACCTGAATGGTGTGGTTTTTAAGTAAAGGATGATCAAAAGCCGGTTGGTCGTTGATCCGTACACAATCAATTATATCTCCGTCTGGGCTCTATTCAATGTAAAATGTTAACGCACGTACCACATAAAAATAGTAAATTAGAGGTAAATTATTTTTGTTAATACATACATGGACGGATTTAACGGCGGGTTTGTTGAGTTGCTTCAACCGTATTTCGATTTTCTGCTCGTAGCGATCGGAAAGTGTGCTCTTTCCGGCCAAAGTACCGACTACGAATGGAACGGTTACACAGAGAAGGAGGAAAATCACGATCTGATGAAGCATCATTGCTAATTAAGCGGGGGTTACGATTAATATTAAAATATTTAGTATGTCTTAAACTTTGGAAACAATTGTTGGAAGATACTGGGAAATGGCACAACACACATGGTATATATATGGGGTGTGTTGTTTGTAATATTTTGAAACATGTAAGAAATACTTGAACATTTACCTTTATTTATTTCCTTATATGAAAACAACCTAAAACAATCTTCAAATAGGAATAAGTAAACACAGAGAAGGAGGAAAATCACGATCTGATGAAGCATCATTGCTAATTAAGCGGGGGTTACGATTAATATTAAAATATTTAGTATGTCTTAAACTTTGGAAACAATTGTTGGAAGATACTGGGAAATGGCACAACACACATGGTATATATATGGGGTGTGTTGTTTGTAATATTTTGAAACATGTAAGAAATACTTGAACATTTACCTTTATTTATTTCCTTATATGAAAACAACCTAAAACAATCTTCAAATAGGAATAAGTAATAATTTACAGTTGGCTTTGTCTAGACAAATAAAGAAAGCTTGTATCAGTAATCTAAATTCTGATATGAAACTTTAATTTTTGTATTATTTAATACTTTAAATTTTAAATTCTGATATGTAACTTTACTGAAGAAAAGGCTGTTTATTAAAAACTAAATCAACCATATAAAATGTAAAAGTGGATAGTATATTTCTTTTGTCAACGCGTGGATGATATAATAAAATCCATAATATTATAAATCACTTTAAAATCACATATAATTGCAGTAGTAAATATATTTAAGTTTGGATCAGTGTTAAAAGTCCATTAAAAATATTTAGTTTGTTAAAAGATAAAACAACCAAATAATCTATAATATGTAGATATGAATTTTTGGTTTTTTGTCAACGCGTCAATAGTAATAAATAAATGAACAATAAGTCAATTTAAAATCACATAATAATTAAGTGGTAAATATATTCAATTCTTCATTGTTAAAAGTTCACTAATAATATTTAGTTAATTGATCACAAAATGTAGCTTCAAAGTGATTGAAAATCATATTAATCAACCACTCAAAAGTAAATCAACTGTAAATAAATCTAATTTCCAGATTTAAGTCTACAAATTTGATGATCATCCAAAACAATATTTCATTATTGCATGGATTACATAAACTCATTAACTTACAAAAGATAGTTCAAATTTAGGTCTAATTTGTAAATTTCTTTAAACACTAAACCTAATATAACTAAATGTAATATACTGACATATTTGTATGCATATGTAAAAAGTATCAAAACAAAATAATTAACAGCTTTTTCCAAAAGTATGTTTAATAGAAAGATAAATTATATTTCATTAAAGAAATGTGGTAAAACAGATTCCATTAGTAGCATATGGATAAAGTCCTTGGAACAATTATCCAGAGATATTAATCTAAGCTCCAAATTCCCCAAATTTCCATCTAATACTAATCAAGAACATGTGAAAGAGAACCCAAAAAAAAAACAATATTTTCTCTCTCATGGATGCACACTTAAGCCATAAAATCAATCCAAAACACACCAAAGGCATAACTATAATAAATATATGCAGAAATAGAGAGGAGCATCATAGTTTACATAACTTAGAGAACATAATCATATAGTTTTCCTTTTTGTGCTTTCAAAGAGGCTTGTTGCTTTTGCACCTCAACAATGTTGTGTTGCACCTCGACAAAGTTGTGTTGGAACTCTTGTTTCGCTTTGGCTCTTTGGTAGATTCATCTGTCATCTTCTTCTCGGGTTCCTCCGATATGTCTCCTTGTCCATCTTTGGTATCTCTCATCTTCTTCTCGGGTTCCTCCGACGTGTTTCCTTGTCCAGCTTTGACAGATAACACCTCGTCGATCTTTGATAAAATCTCTCCAACATGGAACCCGTGCTCCTCTAGCGCGACAAATGTCTTTTTGTAGTGCATTAACTTGCTTACGGGAGCTTCATTGTCCAGATTCCGTACTATGTCCGAGTATTCGGAATAACCCATCATGAGACCGACCGCAATCGATTCACGAATAAACTCAAGATTGTGGTCGTACGCCTTAAGCAATGGAAGGAAATGAGGACGTTGTGGTGTAATTCTAAATGCCTCCATCGTCTCAAACTCTTTCCAATAAGGCGACCTCTTCGCAAAAGGTAAAACAATTTCCTCAACTGCAGAGGAATTCCAAAAAAACAAAGACAGAATGCTTTTTAGTATCTTATATCTAAAGGTGAGACAAGTAAATAAGATTCAAGAGTTAACAAGACAAACCAGACTCGTTGAGTTGTGAACTCGTATTCTCTTGTTCTACTCTTTTCCTCTTACCACTAACATCTGTCTGAAGCATCTGTGCATATAAACATATATATAAAAGCGTTAAATAAGCATATCAATTCCCAATCATCATGAGGATTACATAGTCTGCGAATCACTTCACTTTGTGTTTACGGATCGAAGAAGAATTCACTTTACCCGATCTTCGCCTCCCAACCTAGAGCATACTTGGATTTCAATTTCAACTTTCTCCATAGCCGACGACGACGACACAGACCCTAGAATTCGCTTTCACTTCTTCCTGGTAGCCCTCTAAATAAATAAACAAAACATCCTTGTTTTTCTTTTCTATTTTCATAAGGAATGGAAAAAAGCCAAAAATGGAAACTTTCACACAAAAAAACCCTCTGTTATCAACATGACAAGTCAAGTCCTTGACGTCCAGTCGCTAAGCAGGGACATTTTACCACGACTTAATCCAAATCAGAGCAGTAATGTTTTTTTTTTGTTCAACGTGATCGGCCAATTTAGTGGATTACAGACTACCGAATTGGTCATCTGAATAGCGTATTCCAAACCCTGAAGATATTATCAAACATGTACATATTCTTATTCAAATAACATAGATATGTGAAATCTGTGAACAGTTTTACACACATTTGTTTTTTATGAAAGGACACATAATATCAAAGGACAAGCAACTATGATGACGTGGATATTATCTTTTGTTATACCACGACTATCACATTCTTATTTAAATTACACATGTGAAATCCTCAAACGTCAAAAGGTTTGCCACACGGATCCAAATCAAAGACAGTTGCCGTTTCGACCAGGACCACCATAGAAGAAATGAGTCCCCCAATCAGGATTTCCGCCATTTCCTGCTTTGACGTTGTAACAATTGCCATTACTAGCAAATGGATAAAGTCCTTGTGGTTCTCTCAGAGTATTGGTTCCATCAATAGCTCGCTTTCTTATACCATTCGTCTGCGAAATGCCCACTTCCCATATCCGTGTTCGTGTGTCTCCCACCGCTCATTTGGTTTACAATCTCACCTCCCCATTGGACTCTCACAGCTCTATCACGTAAGGAAGTAAACAACGAGCCAGGCCAGTATCCCACAAGCTCTTCACCGATCATTAGCCACCAGTTTCCACTATCCTAAATATTCTCATTAATTATTAGTACTTGTATCTTTAATTATATCCTAAATGAGATTCATTGAGTAGATGTAATTGTAAGAGAAAATATTAGTATAATTTTAACAAAAACATTTTTGGGTATTTGCCCCCACTCAAATTTTTTTCTTTCTTTCTCAAGCTGTTACAAAGTGGATGAAATATAAAAGCTATGTTAATTATAATTAACTAGTACCTTCCATATAAGCATAGGGAGGCCGTACTGAGCACCGTCGTATTGTGTGACGTGAGAGAAGGATCCGCCAACAGTTATCAGCCTGCTCCTCTGAACAAAACCTGGGCAGTCATTGTTGTAGCATCCTGTGGTTTGGTATGTATCCCTCTATTTCCGAATATAATTCCATATATGATGATTAGCTTTTAGTATGTTATTGGCCGGTCACGCTTACACGTATATAAATATATATATAGAAAAGAGGAACTTACCGTCCAGTAAACAAATAATCTAAGATTATAGTCACCATATTTTGCTGGATAAACCTATAAATCAAGGCAAACAAAAGGTAGAGTTAATTGAAAACAAAAAATTCATATGAAGAACTAAATGTAATTAAAGATTAAGATCCAAAGAAATACAAGACCTGCACACCAGCTTCAATTGTGTTAAGATTAGAGCCACCTCCAGACCAAAGCCTAGTCTGAGCCAAGCTGAACTCATTGGGAACTTCAACTTCTGGTCTCCAAATGTTCATTACAAATTGTGTCCCGTAAAAATTTCCGTTTCTCGAATCCATGATCGCATACTAAACGGGCTCCAAAATAGATGACATGTTATTTGTGTTTTATGATAATAAGTATTACGTACAAGAGAGTAATAACACAAGGACAATGCCTAAAGCTGTACCTCATGGCCTCCAGGGGTGCTTTGATGAGTCTTTTTTCCGAAATCATCAATGGATTTTCCTCGTAAGATATCTTCTTTCTTTAGTCTTCTTATAGGAACAGTGTTTTCCGGACACTCTCCATTCTTGTGCCACGTCTGAGTTAAAGCCTTTGCCTCTTTCTTGATGTACGTAGAATCCCTTTTCGGGATAAAACTTGGTTTCATCTACGTGCGAAAACTTCCTGTTTTAACATGATCATGCATCTATAAACCAAAACAGAGATCGTAAAATAATTAGACAAACCTGGATGGTGTGGTTTATAAGCAGAGGATGATCAAAAGCTGGTTGACTAGTTATTGGGATACAGTCTATTATATCTCCATCTTCACTCTGTAAGAAAGATTATAGCGAACTTTAAACATTTGTGTCAATTTATCACATGCTGCAAATCTTATATGTGACAACAAATTAAATAAAAACTTTGTTTCTTAACACCTGATGGTAAATATGTATTTCTATTAGTTTTAAACAAGTGTAGGAAAGATGACCTATAGTCTATACCAATATACAAACTGCAATATCCAATTTCTCTACTTTTAAATTTATATTCTCACGCATAACACCTAACAACTTTAAATATATAAAGTAATACCTTAATAGATTTAATAGGAGGTTTGTTGAGTCGTTTCAAAAGTTTTTGTACGTTGATCTTCTGTTGATCGGAGTACTCCTTTCCATAGACATTAGGAGAGATTATCACCATTATCACCACAAGAGCTACCGCAAAGCTGGCCATGCCCATCGTATGGATACTTATGATCTTAAGAAGACTTTTAGATAGTACTAGTATTCTTTGAAATTTTATAATTTTTACTAACTACTCTTTGGAATTTATATAGAGGAGTAGATTGCTCATATAATTTATTAATTAAGATAGTAGTGCTTAAAGACCTTACCATCTTTCTATTAAATTTTCTGTTGTTACAACTTACAATGATAAAAAAATGAAAATCGGTGAAAATTGACCCATGACTTAAACATTATTCGGGATGGACGCAAAGTGGATACAATATTTGTGCTACGTTTAATTCATTCCATTTCATTTGTTCAGTACTTTTTCGATATGCATCCACTAGAAACTATATTCGCTTTGATTCCATAACTATCGTAACCACTAATTAGTCTTGTGATAGGTTTTTTCTAAATTAGTGCTTGAAGACTTTCTCGTCGTGTGTTAGAATTTTCCTCAAATTAGTGCTGAATGACTTTATCATCGATCTTGCGATAGATTTTCCAGCGGTAAAACTATAGAAGTCAAGAAAACAAATATACCATCATGCCGTAGAATGCTGTCTAACTCAGCGAGCATTAATTAGGAGTCAAATTTGATTTTTGTGTTGGAAGAGTGACATTATTATAAATTAATGTTTTGCTTAGCAATAAGCCAACTCAAGCGAAAGAAATCAAATTTTTTTTTATATATATGATATCGATTTAAGATTTTAGCCTTTTTGGTGAAGATACAGATCATAGCCATTTTTAACAAAGCAAATTGAAAGAAAAAGAAAAGGTAAAATAACATGTTTTCATCCCACGTAGACAACAAAGAAATAGATTCACGAAACCAACACGAAAAGAAAAGGAGAAAAGGAGAACAGTAGAAAACAGAAGAGAATCAATCTTCATCACCTAACCAATTCCGCTTCAGCTTCGGACCAGTTGGTCCTTCCTCTCCAAATACCTCATTAGGCAATCCTTTAATCGCACTCCTAAACACAGTCTTAAGTCTCTCTCCAACCATCATCTTCTCCACACCTCTTATCTCATTTTCATGACCATAATCAATCTTTGGTCCCCAATGTCTCAGATAATTCAACCAAGCCGGCTCCTCAACTTCTCCTCCTCCCAAATACTCAGCCGAAACAACTTTAAACCTAACCGCCGTATCAATCACTTTTTCACTCTTTCCGGTATCGTTCCTAATCCCTACATTGCCTTTGCCTTGCAACACAAGTCCCGGTTTCGAGTACATTGCGTGTCCGTTCAAAGAAGAGTAAGCCACAGGTTTGTTACCACCGCCTTGAAACTCGATCTCCGAAAGATCGATCCAGCTTCCTCGGCTGTGCTGCGACAGGTACATCCTATGTAGCTTGCCGCTGAAGTTACTTATACGGAGAGTGAAATGTTCCCAATCTCCAATGTGTTCGCCGATTTTCCCCAACGGGATTGTGCCGAGCTTGAGCTTGGCTCGTGACGGGCCATTGAAGGGATAAAACATCCACACGGCTATGTCTGTGAAGGTTCCGCCGAAAACGGGTTTAACGTGCAAATACACTTCCATGCTCTGTAAATTTCCGCCTTTGACTCGTTCTCTTGCGTCAGAAGCAACCGGTAGGTCTAACCAGTAAAGACCGTCGTTGGATTCTCCTTGGGGAAGGTTTGCACCGTTTGGTTCGATTGGAACCGGGTTTGATTCTTCGCCTTTCTTGTAAAGCAAGGCACCGTTGCTGAAGAACCAATCTACAGAAGACGGTAGATACTTCTCATCTTTGTGGAAATAGATCCAAGGAGCGTAAGCTTGAAACAAAGCATCGATCTGGAGCTTGCTTGGCATACAAGAAGAGTCGAATTTGTTGTTTTTCAAACAAGCTAGGGTTGGATTTGAAGAGTTTGCTAAGAACGTCCCAACGCTGACTCCAGAAGCTTGTGTTCCTCTGTTAAGGGGTTTAGAACTCGAAACGCTAAACCCATTAGTTTCCCATATCTGAGCATCAGACTCGGATTGATCGGTCAGATCGGAACGGACACAACGGATCTTGTCTAGAGGAGGTTTCTCGGCCGAGGTTGTCACGATAAGACCCGTTGCATTGTAACCTTCAGGAGGTACAGGCTGCCAAAAGTATCCAGTTTCGCCTCCATTGTTTGCTACCTTTGTGGATTTGCCGCTCCAAAGAAGAAGATAATCCACCGGTGGTTTTAAAGAGTCGCCGGAGAGGTCTTTCCCGACAAGTGTCCATCCAAAAAGCTTGCGGTTATTGGGTTGAGCGTAGAATCCTAGAACCGAAAAGCCTTCTGGTACTGAAGACGGCTCAAAGAAAGTAGCTCCAAGATTATCTTGTCCTCCTTCGTATACAGTCCACACTTTTTTAAATGTTGTTACTTGGGAAACTTCAAGACCTCCCAAATCTATTCTTCCTTTCGCAAATCCTCCTCCTGTTAAAGCACAACAAGATTCATAAACATCCGTAAAACAGAGAAAAAAACAGAGGATGAACAGAAAGAAAAATCAAAACATGAACCTGAAGGCCAAGATGGTAATGGAGAAGGAAGATCGAAGGTAGAGTCAATCGGTAGAGATGGTGATGAACTTTGAGCAGAGAAAATGTTGCCCATTTTTGATACTAAAGAATCCAAAAAAAAAAGACAAATGATGACTTTGTGATTTGTGTGTTGTGTCGTGGTAAAGACAGGCTTGGAAGGAAGTGGGGACAAAATCAATGTTGTTAGATCAACCACATTCACAAAATTTCAAAGATTAGGTCTTATCTAGAGAGAAACTCAGCACATGTCAGGTATTTATTGTGAAACGAAAAGTCATCGCAAATCGCTGTTAGGTTGTTTAGCCTTTGATTTGATCCTTATAGTTTATAATATAATTTGATCAATGTTTTGCACGTTATTACGTGTATCACTTCTCTTGCGAATCTTGATATTCTTTGGTTTCTTTAAGAGATTTCTTAAAATTATTTGTCACGAATAGTATAATCATTACAAAATACTGTATATACACATTTAAACTCTCTCTTTACAATTATATGTCCATGTATTGTTCTTCGGTAAGACACGTTATGTAAAAGTCTAACATTGATAAAAAAAATTGTCAACAAGAATTATACGTTTTTCTTTGTCATTGTGGTATTGTTTATAACGGATCCATGCGTTGTATTCCATAGACAGAGTTAATGGTTATGTGAATAAGCCGTTCATAATTTTCTTCCGTCCAACGATTCCACAATGGTCAAAGAATAACGTATACGGTTTAGTTTACATGTATTGAACGTGCATCTTTTACATTTTATTTTTCTTCTAATTTAATCTAAATCAGCTGTGTTTCTTGTTAACTTTCAACAAACATGTTTTTTATTATTCTCAAATTATTTCGATTCTTGGAAGCTGCCAACAGACTCTTGATTTCAATTATTGTAGATAGCAACATCTCTCACGACGTGGATTTTTCTCTTATTATATGTATATATATATACATGTTTTTATTTTATTTTATTATCATCCGGAACTAACACACAAACCACTAGACTATATGCCTCTCTCATACATTCTTATTCAAATATAAACATGTATGTGAAATCCTCAAAAGCTTTGAACACAAAGAACCAAATCATGGACACTTAACGTTTCTACCAGGGCCTCCATAGAAGAAATGAATCCCCCAAGAAGTTCCACCATTTCCTGTCTTCACATTGTAACAGTTGTGTTTATCAGCAAACAAGTAAAGACTCTTTGGTTCTCTCAAAGTATTGGCTCCATCAACTATCAGAACATTCCTGAAATAGCTTGCTTTAGTAAACCCTTCGTCTGCGAAATGCCCACTTCCCATATCAGTGGTCGTGTGTCTCCCTCCGGTCCTTGAGTTAATGATTTCGCCTCCCCATTCAACTCTTGTAGCTTCTCTTCCTAGAGAAGTGAACAACGAGCTAGGCCAGTAACCTATAACGTCTTTGTCATTGATCTTTAGCCACCAGTTTCCTGTTTTTTGGTCCTGATGATTGCGAATTATCCATTCCCGGGTTAGGTTAGATGGAGATGTAACTTGAGAGAAAATGTGATACCTTGCGATTCAAGTTACTTTGGATATATGGTAAATTGGAACTATCATTCTATCAAGTATCAACTATGTTATTACCTTCCATATGAGTATGGAGAGATCGTACTGAGTTCCACGGTAACGTGACACGGTGGTGAAGGATCCACCTACGGTATATCGATTACTTGTCTGAACAAATCCTGAGCAGAGAAGGTTGTAACATCCTGTTTTTCGGTATCCATCGCGCTATTTCAAAAAAAAAAACATTTCATAATGATTAGAGTCTAATGTGTTTTTACATAAGGAATAAATTTGCATTAATTTACATAAAAAGAGAACATACCGTCCAGTAAACAAAGAATCTAGGATTATTATCATTGTATAGTTCTGGATAAACCTATAAGTTTAGTACGGAAAAAAAGATAGTGTTCGTTAAGTTTTTGAAAAATTAAGATAAAGATGTAGTCAAGAAGGAACCAAACCTGCCAACCAGCTTCAATGGAGTTAAGACTTGAGCCATTTCCGGACACCACCCAAGTCTGAGCCAAGCTAAACTCTTTGGGAATCTGAACATACGGTTTCCACAAATTTATCGCAACTTCTGTCCCATAAAACTTTCCATTCCTAGCACTCATGACTGCGTACTAAAGCCAATCCAAAAGAAAGGAAAAGGGTAAGCCACAACACAGTAGCAATGGCCGGCAATACATATATGTGTGTGCATGTTGTTGTTGTTACCTGATGACCTAATGTTGGATCAAAGGTTGTAGTTCTTGGGATGCTTTGATGAGACTTTCTCCCAAAAGTCTTGATCGATCTCGGTCTTAAGAGATCTTCTTTCTTTGTTCTTCTGATTGGAACAGTGTTTTTGGGACATTCTCCGTTCTTGTGCCAAACCTGAGTTATAGCCTTCGCTTCTTTCTTGGTGTACGTAGAGTCATGTTCCGGGTTGAAACTTGGTCTCATCTACGTGCATACACTTGTGTCGCAAGTAATTATAAAAGAAGATATGATTATAAACAATAGAGGGACTTGAAATGAAAAAACACAAACAAACCTGTATCGTATGATCTTTCAGTAAAGGATGATCAAAAGCGGGTTGGTTAGTGATAGGAACACAATCTATGACATCTCCATCTTCACTCTGTTAGGAAAATATTAAAGCCAAGAAGAATTGAATTCGTACTTATATAAGTGTTTGTCATGAAATTTGTATAAGATACCTCAATGGACTTAAGAGCAGGTTTGTTGAGTCGCTTCAAATGTCTAAGTATATTAACTGCCCGATGGTTGGAGAACTTATTTCCATCAACGCAAATAGTTATTGTCACCATCAGAGCTACCATAAAACCGGCCATTCTCATCATGGTTATTATAGCAAAAAAAAAAATTGTTAAAGACCTTTCATATAGAACTCATTGGCTTTTAGAGGAGGAGATTGCTTATATACATCTATAGCTTTGGTTATCCCATACAATTTTTACGAAAACTATAATTAAAGTGGCATTTTACCAAACGATATATATGTAATATGTAACGTAGTCTTCGACGTTATCTTTCTCGATTAAAAATACCATTAGTTTTTTTTTTCATGTTATAAAAGATTATCATTTGTTAGTCTGCCATGAACCATTCCGCGTGAAGTCACGAGCCTGTAATTGCATCAGTTCATTATTATTCTTTACAGGAATTTCTTATATGATTGGTACATTCGTTCTTTACTTATAACTTTCTTACTATTATGTTAAATACTCGTCAACGCAATCGAAGTCAACTCTCTTGTGGTTTCTGGACCCACATTATTTCGTTGACTTTTATAGAGGCCGTCGTGTTATGTCATTAGATGTAAATTGTAATCCGCATAGATAAAATTCTAAATTCAGTTTTAATTTTATCTTAAGATTTTTACCCTCTAAATTGCAAAGTCTAACTTTCTTGGGCTAGAAAAAAATGATAAGTTTATAGTAAGAAGTTGATGTTTTGGTGACAGTATAAAAAGTTGATTTTGTTGATCAAGAACTAAATCATTATTGCAAGACAATTGAAAAGCCGCCGATTACAAAACAAAAAAAATCATCCCACTCAACAAATACGAAAAGTTGATTCGTGTCTGAAATGAAGAAGTTGCAAGCCAAATTACTCGCATCTTTTTTCCGCTATCTCACAAATTCCACCAATTAAGCTAAATGTATGACACCATATAGATCATGCTACTTTGAGTTAGTGACAACTATTATATGATACAGTCTTACATTTATTTATTAGTGAATTTTGACCAATAATGGAAACTGTTACTTGACTGATTAGTGGAAAGATCGATCCAAAAGTCCCATCTCCATGTTTTGTTATTTATAGACAAAGCAATAATAACACAGGTCATTCTTACAAAAAAATAGTACCACTCACTCATATACAAAAACAAATACTAATGTGATCATATAGATTTCAGTATACACATGGGACCATGTTCTTTATATTAATTATATTTTCTTTCACTCCATGGAAACAGAGAAGCACTCTGAAACATACATTAGACAAACCCTAAAAAGTAAAAAAACACTCTTGAAATCTGAAACGAATATACTTAAGAATGTGTATATAGATTTATATGTTTTATACAATTGATTTTAATTTGGAATGATCTTCAACTTTGTAGACAGATCTTTCAAGGGCAATCAGGGTTACGACCAGGACCACCATAGTAGAAGTGACTTCCCCAAGAACCTCCATCACCACTTTTGACATTGTAACAGTTGTCTTGATCAGTAAAGACTTGAATATTCTCAGGGTTTCTCAACTCGTTAGAACCATCAACAACTTGGACGTTCTTGAAGTAACTTGCTTTACCCCAACCTTCCTCTGCGAACCTTCCACTTCCCATCTGAGTGGTGGTGTGTTGTCCTTCCTCTGACTCTGAGTTAACCACTTCTCCTCCCCATTCGATCATCGATGCACTTTCTGATAAGTAAGAGAAGAGTGATGCTGGCCAATATCCCATTATGTATTTCTCTCCAAATTGTAGCCACCAATGCCCTTCTTTTGGGTCCTGACAACAACAAAAAAAAAAATCATATTTTTCATTAAATTCTATATACTATATAGTACTGACAGCTAAATTATTCATATTTCTACATCTAGCTTTAGTGTAATCAAGAATTCAAGATTTGGGAGCTAAAAAGCATCTAGCTTTTCAGAGATTGTGAAGATGGAATCATGGAAAAAGTTTGGATTTTTTTGTTGTTATTTACAATACCTTCCAGATAAGTATGGTAATGTCATATTGAGAGTTTCCGTAGCTGGATAAAGGAGAGATTGAGCCACCCATTGCGATCTCTCTGTTGACTTGAACAAATCCTGAGCACAGATGATTGTAGCAGCCTGTGCCTTGGTATGCATCACTCTGTTTTTTGACAGGGGAGACACAAAAAAATTAATGATTCTTCAATAAAACACACACAAAAAAAGATAAATAAAAGTCAGAGCCTTACAGTCCAATAAGTGAAGAGTCTGGTGTGAGAATCACCATACAGTTGTGGACTCACCTGTGAACACACACACAAATCTTTTGAATCAGAAACAAGTTTCAAGAAGAAGAGGCTTTTTCAAGAACGTAAACATACCTGCCATCCAGCTTCTATACTATTAAGATCAGAGTTGAAATTGCCACCCAAAACCCAAATCTGAGCCAAGCTAAACTCATTAGGCATTTCAACATCCGGTTTCCACACATTAATCTTGGCTTTAGCTCCGTAGAAAACCCCATCTTCCACATACATTATCGCGTGCTAAAAGCAAAAGACAGAGCAAAAGATTGAAAAAATTGGTTAATAAACACAAGAAAAAAATGGTCAAAACTAACTTCAAATACACAAATGAGATATATTTTACCTGGTGACCGTTTTGTGTAAGGACACTAGCTGGGTCGTAAGATTTCGGTTTAGGGATGCTTTTCTGATTCTTCATACCGAATCTCTCGACGGAGCTCGCTCTGTAAAGATCTCGCTTTCTCGTTCTTCTTATCGGAATCGTGTTCTCTGGGCATTTCCCATTCACATGCCAAAGCTGACTTATAGTAGAACCATCCTTCTGATTCTTGCCCTTCGACGAAACTTTACTCTCACTAAACACACTCTCTGGGTTGAAACTTGGCGTCATCTATAGAAACAATGTCAGAATTCGAACTACAGAGAGTCGGACAAAAAAGAAAGAAGAAGAAACAGAACCTGAACAGAGTGATTAACGAGCAGAGGATGAGCAAGAGCTGGTTGGTCGGTGACTGGGACACAATCAATAATATCTCCATCTGGGCTCTGTTTAAAACCATAAAATCATTCAGCCCAGAAGATAAAAATCGAAACTTTTTTTCTGGGTTTTGCTCTGTGAACGAACATACCTTAATCGATTTGAGAGCTGGCTTGTTGAGTCGTTTCAAGTGTTTACGGATTTTGAGATCGGTGAACTTATTTCCACCGGCGACGAGTGAAGGAGTGAGAATCGCCACCGTCATTACAAGAGCCAAGAAGAAACTAACCTTTGTATAATTAGCAGCCATGGTTAAAAGAAACCCAGAAAAGGTTTAAGCTTTCTCTTTCTCTCCTACAGAAAGAGAAACTTTGGGGGAAGGGAAGATGAGAAGGGTTTTTTTTTTGTTTGTGGGTTTTTTTGGATTGAAGTGGATTGCGTTTAATTCTGGGCACTAATAACACTTTGGCGAAACCATCATAAAGGGACGATTTTTAAATAGAGACAAGTGAATTTGGATTCTATTGCGTAAGATTGGTTGCTTTCTTTTCTCTGTTAAATTTTTTCTGTCAGAATCTTTTTCTGGAATAATTCGAAGGTAGATTTTTTTTTTTTTTTTAAATATTGCTTTATCTTGTTTTACTGTCAACTTTATTGAAAAAGGAAAATTTACTGAAATAGAACATTCGACTCCTTTGACGCCATTAATGGTTTATTGGGATTTCAAATTTTATTTGTTCCCAAGTTTAAAACTTTTATTTGAAGAAATGACTTTAAAACTTTTCCCGTGTAATAATGACAAGAGAAAAGGTTAAATTAATCGTACCCATGATAAAATCAAAACTATATAGACAAACCCAAACAAACAAAACAAAACATAGTGTTGTGTTGTGTATCATTGAAAAGCTTAAAATGAAAATCACTTTTTATATTTTTGTTTTTTCACTGCCTAATCATGCCCCAACACACAAACCAATGTCATAGGCTCATAGCATCTAACAATGACAATTGACATTTTTACAGTAGTGAGTCTAGTCCGTATCCACAAAATTACGATCTACTTATCCAACTTCTTATTGTACCACAACCTTAAATCTATCAGACATATGTACACACACTTTTTGTAGTATAACTTAGACCTTAAACATATATTGATATTGGCACCACATAGATGGATAATATTTAATTACTGAGTCAACTATTTCGTGCATATGTTCCACTATCTACAATATATGATCACTATATATATTTTTTGTAGTGTAGAGAGATTAGAAAGGAAAGGCGGTGATTGGGTGGGAGAGAGAGCACCCACAATGTGAGAGAACAGTGTAAAGTCAAAAAGTCAAAAACTGAAGCCACTAATTGTCGGTTAATATTATTAGGCGACAAACAAATGACAAAAATACATAATACATCGTCTGAAATCCCAATCAATATTCCCACACCTTTCCTTTTCCATTCTGTTACATCTCCAACTCCATTTCCCACTCTGTATTTCCTCTTCTTTCTATTTCTTTTTCCCTTTAAAATATCAAAGCCGGTTCGTGTGTCCTATGCCATTAATTTCTTATTGGCCAAAACACACCAATTGTCTATTTTGGTTGTGAATTCTTACAAATCTTCTATTCTAATAAATTCATTAATATATTCATATGGTTTTGTATTCATTTTTCTTTATGTGCACCGCTACAAATTATATTTCAGATTTATATGCAAATTGCATAAACCGTCCGTACTAAAATCAGATTTTACTAAAAGCAATAAATATCAAAGAAATTTACAAAAACCAATGTTAGGTGATGTTTCAACGATTTATAGCTCAACCATATGTGGTTTGACTTTTCCAAATGAATTTCAGTTCAATTTTTGGTTTAACCGTGTAATTGTAATTGTCGAAAACAAATAAAAGGTGAAATACACGCACAATGTCAAAAAAAAATCATGAACGGTGGTATCCGCATCACAAATTACATTACATTACAGTATTCACGCATTCGCTATGAAAAAAAAAAAACAATTCAAACACTCGAAAATTAAACATTCCCCTTTTATGCTAACATCTTTATTTGCTGAGTATATAATTTAACATTTACGTTAAATAAATGGGGATCCTTAACACAATTAAGTGATAAAGTGTATCTTGTGTTAAGCATTCCTTATCGGGAAATAAATTTCACAGAAAAAGAAAAAAGACAATGACATCACTGTACAAATTACGCAACACGTGAACTATCTATCTTTCCAAACTTCTACCCCCGAATTGCCGAATCTTTGAAAAAACAAAAGGGGTAAAAAAAATCACAAATTGCTCTTTTTAGTTTCAACTCTTATTATACAGTTTATACGGCTATAATTCAGCGGACTATCAAATTTGAATCTGAATGGATAGTTGGATACAACATCGTCACTAGCATACACAAAGGTCAACAACTTTCAATTGGTCAAACTTTAATCATATAATCCCTGGACCAAAATAAACTTTTTTTCTTACACGAAAAGATAGACAAAAGAAAACAAAATAAACGAAAATGATTCAAAAATACAAAAAAAAAGAGTGGCCTCATCTCGTGGTTTCTATAAAAGTGCCAAAGCGGAATCTTGGAGTTTTATGCTTAACTACCATGTCACGGGTTTTGCTTGATTCACTCTATACCTCATTTCAAACGTCCCACTAGTTGTTTTATCATCATCACACACACACACACTACCAAAGTGGACTGGACCACCACCCTAAAATGGACTCTATCCGATGGGCCTATGACTATAAGGCCCACATATTGTGAAATAAAAATGATATACTCTGGGAATCAAAAACATACATAAATGTAAAAAGAAAAATCAAAAATGATAAAATTTAGACCAAACTTTTGTTACATTCAAAGATACAAAGACACAAACATTGTTCTGTTGTGTTGGAACAGTAATTGGATCATCAATCAACGGCGAAACGCATTGCCTTCAGCTTCAGATCCACGCTGTGAATAGTAGCTTCTGCGACGAACACTTTCTTCAATCGTTGAGCTTCCACCTTTCTCAACTCCATAGACATTTTTGCTTGCATCGTCCAGAAAGTTTTTCCCAGTAGATACTTTGTTCTTATCAGCTTCCACTGCATCTTTCTCATCAGCCTTCTTCAACCTTCTCCATCTTTGTTCCTCATGCACCTCTGCATCCATTTGCATCTGCTTAAATCTTGCAGCTCTCTCTTCTTCTGATAGTTTAGACCCACCTTTCCTTCGTCTGTTCTGGAACTCGTTCTCTCTGGAGGGATGTTTCTCAGTCTCTATATCATCACTCTTCCTTTTTCTCTCCTCTTGACCATAACTCTTGAGATTCTCCCTCTCCAAGCGGTTGGTGGGAGACCGATTCCGATATGTCTCACTGGCTGGAGGCTCTCTACGACTGTCTCTTCTTTTGGAATCATCCTCCAAATCTGACCTTCGTCTCTCATAGTGCTTATCATGACTTCTTGACTCATCCATATCTGACCTCCGTCTCTCATAGTGCCTATCATGACTTTTTGACTCATCCTCCAAATCTGACCTCCGTCTCTCATAGTGTTTGTCATGACTTTCTCTTCTTTTGGACTCATCATCCAATTCTGATCTTCGTCTCTCATAGCGCTGACCACGGCTGTCTCTTCTATTTGGCTCATCCTCAAAATCTGACCTTGTTCTCTCAGAGTGTTTGTCATGAGTGCCAGATGTCTTGTGACGGTTGGATCTTCTTCCGTTATCCTCCTCACCAGAATCTTCCTCAGAATCAGAGTGCCGTCTGGATGAAGATTGCTTGCGATGCTTTCCACTTTTACGCTTCTTCTTGCGCTCCTTTGAGTCACCATCTTTATCCTTTCCCTTCTCTTCCACCTGCGAAGTACAAAACTCTCCAACATGTCAGTAGCTGTAGAATGTATAAAATTTCAATTGCAAGCACAGTACAAAAACCATCCATGTAAATGAACAAAAGAGAGGAACTTACAGATTTGCGGATAAGAGCCATCTTGACAGGATTGTTCTTGATTCTGGCAAGAGCTTCCTGCTCACGCTGCCTGATGAGAAGCAACGGGTCAGAGTGAAGTTTCCTCCAAGAATCATTAGCAGATTGCGCCTTCTCCTCAAACAGTGCACCAGGAGCCGACTGATCTGGCTTCTCGTTGGTACCAGCTTCAGCTTGGGCTAAAGGCTGCTCTTCTTTCTGAAAAGAAACGCCATGCCCTGAGCTACTCGCATTCCCTTTCCCTACAGCTAATCCTGACTCGTACAGAAACTCCAATCTCTCTTGCCTCCTACAACACAAGATCATAAAAAAAAATCGATTTTTAGAACGACCCAATACCTCAGATCACCGATTACAATCGGAATCAGTAAAAAAAAAAATTCCATTTCATAAGATACAAACTCTAATCCCTAACCCTAATTCTGAAATTAGATAGCACATAAATCAAAATTGGGATTTGAGTCGTGGAGAAGAAGAGGAAAAACTTACGGGACGAGACCGGCTTGTTCCTGAAGAGCGCGAAACTCAGAACGCTCTCTCTCCTGGACGATCTGGAGACGGAGCTCCTCGAGCTTCTTCTGCTCGGCCTCTTGTTTCTGCTCAGCCTTCCACACGGTCTCGATGTTACGGAGACTCCCCGTATGCCATCCCTTCTTGTTCAGAAATTTCATCCCCATGGTGACTCCTCTTTTGTTTGTTCCTCCTCCTCCTTCTCTCTTCTTCTTCCTATCGCTTCAAAGTTACGGTTTCCTTCGTTCTTCGTTTTCAATCTGAATCTCGCCGGGGATTATAATTATCTTTTGCTCCGCCGCCTAAACGCAGAATGAATTGAGATTGAATCAGAACCGTCCGTTTTTAAACGCTTTATAACATAATTTTGGGCCTTATCTAGATTAATGGGCCTCGGGCGATACTTTAACTACAACATTAACTATCTGGAGGTTTTGCTTGGTTGGTTAAGTTCAGTGAAATTCACAGTTGTTGAAATTTGTCCGTACTTGAATCATCAACATCTGTTCTGCAAAATTTTGGTTACAACAATGCCAAGGACAAAGGATTGTATTTATCTACAGTTTCAATTGTTATATCAAGCATACAAAAAGCCAGCTATTGGGTCTAAACCAAAAATAAAAAAGCCTAGTGAGAGCAAAGATCATTAGAGATTGTGTTGTATTAAGAAAAAGTTGGGATTTATCATTTATCTACGCTTCAAAGGTGAAGAAGATAGCTTGCGATGCAATTTACACTCTACGCATATGTTTTCTTTTGTACTCCATCGTCTCCTCTCCATCTTTATCATTTCGCTTTTCTTTCACCTGTAAAGAATAAAACACACTCCAACATGTCAGTGTGACTGAATAAACGAAATAATCCAGTAATTGCAATCGCTCAGTGAGACACAAGCCAAGACACAAGATTGAAGTAAAGAAGAAGGGAAAGGAACTTACAGATTTGCGAGCTTCAAGCTCTTGCTGCCTGATGAGAAGCAAAGGGTCAGAGTGAGATTTACGCCACGAATCATTGGCAAAGTGTGTCTTATCATCAAACAAGGCACCAGGAACTGACTGCTTCTGCTTCTTGTTATTGCTACGCTGATGTTGATTCTGAAACCTAACACCATGTCTATTGGCATTCTCTGTAGCTACTGCTGCTGCTGGCACTGGATCATACATGAACTCCAATCTCTCTGGCCTATTCCTACAAGAAGAAAACAAACACAACTTTATAACGAGACACGACTTCAGATCACCGTCTCAGTTTACAATCAACATCCAAATTTTAACTTCTAAGGTTAAAAACACAGACAGTAAGATATACTAACTGGTGAGCTTTAAAGGAACAAAAGGAATGAGAATGAAAGGAATGAAGAGGAATAAAATTTAGGGAACTTATTCCTGCAGTTTTTTTATAAGGAATATTTTAACACTAAAAGTCTTTAATTAATATGGAATGAAGGGGAATAATATAAGATACACATTCTTTATGAATGAGAGGGAACTTATTTATCCCCCTCATTCCTTGGTTACCAGTTGGATAATATTCCCAATCAAAAGATTAACGATTAAGGTAGAGAATTAGAAAACTTACGGAACGAGACCGGACTGTTCCATCATAGCGTGAAACTCAGAACGTTCCTTCTCTTGCTGGATTTGGAGACGAATCTCCTCAAGCCTTTTCTCTTCAGCTTCCTGCTTCTGCTCAGCTTTCCATACTTTCTCAATGTTACGGAGACTTCCCGTGTGCCATCCCTTCTTGTTCAGAAACTTCAACGCCATTGTGCTTTCTTCTGATCGCTTTCAGAGTTGTTTGCGTTCAACAAAATCCGTCTAGGTTTTATATATAATTCCTCAGCCTTAACGAACACGGAATAGGAAGTCAGAACCGTCTATGAAGTGGGCCTGTTGTTGACCTATCGCGATAGGATTCCCGGTTTACTTTGGTTTAATCCAGTGAAGTGGTCAATGTAGTTTGTTTTGTTGTTGAGAGTTTGAATTGAGAAAGGAATTATTTGTTCTTATCATCAAAGTTACAGGGCAATACATTGTTCAGACAAAGCTCAGGTATTACAAGACAAACTGGTTTATCTACACTTTCAATCGTTACTTGAGGAGGTATGTAAGAAATCAGCTTATGAGTTTGAAACCAAACCGACTAGTTTCAGCTTCAAAGCTTGTGTGCTACACAGTGGAGAGTATGCTTAGTGTGGCTTGCTTCAGAATCATTTTTGGACCATATTGTGATAACTTTCCAGGCAAAAAGATAATCAAACTGAAGTTGTGCTCTCCTGCAGTTCACACTTCTTGTGGTGCTGAATAAGCTGACTTCTAAGATAGCATTCTTCAATCTGCAGAAGAAAAAGACAGTTTAGACTTCAGAAACTTAAAAGAAACACAACGGGTTATGTCAAAATGTATGTATGTATGTACAAATTTATATATACATGTAATGAGTGTGTTTTGAGCAGTGCGATTCCACAATCTTCAACTGATGCTTTTTCTCTGCTGCTTACTCTCGCTAGCTCCGACATCAAAGTCTCCATCTCTTGTGTCTGCAAAGCGCATCAAAAACGTGTTGTTTCAGTTTCAAAATTTGCTTCTGTAAGTAAGAACATATTTAAGATTGTTCATGTTTGTGTATTTTGCTAACCTTAGGCAAAAAATGTCCAATGTTTTGCACAATGCCTTCCATAGACTTTGAAGCGACAGCAAGTGCTTCTGCTAACTCTCTAGTCTCAACCTGGTTTAGACAAGCAAAATTTCAAGTGTTTAGTGCAAAATGTATAAGAAATGGGAACAAGGATCTTCGTACGTACTTGAACAAAAAAAAGACAACATATAGTATTACCTTAATATCAACATCGAGAGGGAGCCGCAAAGAAGCATTCACTAGAGCATCAGTTGTTTCGGATAGAGAAGTTGAGTACTCTTCTTCAATGGCATTCCATTGTTCCAAACAAGGAATCTGCATACAGTTAAATTATGACCACCAATCATTACGAATTCTGTACATATAATCTCAAACTTTCGTGGATGTAAAAGAATATTGCGAGATATAAGATAACTCGAATCTGCCTTACTTGAGACTCCGCAATCTCCTTAACAGCTTTTACTCTCAATAATCTTTGTAACTCTGTGCGTTTCTTCTGTACAGAGTCTGAGAGCTCTGACATTTTTAAGCCAAGTGAATAAAACATCCTCTGCAAGAAATTAGAACTCACCATTAGAGAGATAGAGACTATTGCTTGTTCATATTAACTTAAACGGCTAAACCACAGTCACAATCATACTGATCAATCTACCAAACACATAATTGTTTCAAGAGTAATAAAAATCACAACAAATTCATCTTTAAGTTCCAAACATACTCTTAATAAGATTAGCAAAGCTATCAAATTTACTGATTCTTAGAGTTGAAGATCGAAAATTTACCTCGGCTTGAGCTTTCTGAGACTGTGTTTTGACCTCAGCGTTTGCGTTGGCAAATCTCCATTGTAAGTAGCGGTTGTGGAGCAGTTTCAGAGAGTGAGCATCCGCTTGTTGCCCCAAGACTTTCCTCTGCTTCTTTGTATCGGCTTGATTCTTCGAATTAGGAGCCACCGGAGGCAAAGACACACCAACTCCATTTTTAAGCGACATTGAAGCTCTTAACGACGACGAATCGTCGCTAAGAGATCGACGGAGAGGAGAAGCGGCGGGAGTGTTGCTGAATATTTTTGCGTGGCTCCTCAGATCCGAGCTGTTGAATTTCTCTCCTTCGCCGTCTGTGGAGACGGATAATCGGAGAAGCCTAGTCGCGGCGGAGGAGGTGAGCAATCGCTGCTGGTTAAGTCGCGATTTAGACGGCGGAGGCAGCATCGGCGTCGGGGTGTCGAGACGGTGACCGTTCTCTTTCAGCGGCTTCGATTGATTCTCCCGCCGCTTTGGGCTTTTTCCGCCGTGTTGTTGTTGAAGAGGGAAAGGCGAGTCTAGGCTCCGCGCCGTCTCGGAAGGGCGGTTCTCGTCGCCGTCTGCCATTTTCAACTGCCGTCTAGACTTCTGAGCAGAAATCGGGCGCTGATTCTGGGGATGATGGTGCCTCGGCGAATTTGAAGTCAACAGATGGAGATCTCCGGCGGAGGAGGAAGATGAAGACGACGAAGATGAAGAAACGGGAGACATGAATCTAGAGCTGACTTCTCTCACCCTAGGCCGCCGCGTCGATGGTGGAGGAAGCGGCGGCGGAGCAGTTATCGCCGGTGTCGATGGGCGCTCTGGAATAGATCGGAATGTTGTCGCCTCCATTACAAATCGAATTTGTTCACAATCTCTCCTCCGCAATGTCACCGGAGACTCTACAAGATATCAGAACCCCCAAAATTCGTTCCGAATAGAAATGATTCAAATCGAATTGCAGTTTTTTTAAACCCTAAATCGAAGAGGAGAAGAAGATTAAGAGAAGAGACAATGAGAGAACTAGCCGTTGAGCATTCGTGAAACGATAACTTTTATTTTTCCTTTTTCTAATCAAATCTTTCATCTCTTTGTCAATTTAAATTTAATCAGATATGCTTGTGGGCTTTGATTTAATGTGACCCAAAAGAAAAGGCTCGGTTGTATACACTTTAAATGAAAGATTGATCTTCTGGTTTTCTCGAGTTTGACCTTATTATTAAAGACAAGAATCAATGTTCTAAAAACACTGATTAATCTCAGCCCCCTTAGTCAGTGGTTGGCAGGTTTACTAATAGCTTTACCAAGAGGTCTGAGTTTCAATCCCCAAAAGATACAATCTTGTTAGGCCAACTTGCAAATAGATTATTTCCAAATGAGTCGATTACTAAAATGGGCAGAATTTGTAAATTATTTTGGTTCTCACAAATGTTTTTAGTTGTTTTGTTTTGTTCTCAAGATTGTCTAGAAAAATTTGGTCGTTTTTCTTAACGCTTACTCAATACATTTTTATGTTTTTTTTATAACAAATAAACTTTATTAGCAAATCACAGATTTTTCCCTCCCACCCATCATCAAACTTCACTTCAAATATTTTACGTCATCCTTATTCATGCAAAAGTAACCATGCAGCAATCATCTTCAAGATTACTCATAACTATTACCTCCCACCACATATCAAACTTCAAAACTTCCACTTGCAAACCACGTTCAAACTCTTCTAATCATGTTGTGTGTTTGATTGAGGTAGAAAGAAATCAGTTATGTGATTCTGGCATAATTGAGTTAAGACTTGTAAATGACTTATAAGTTTTTATGTATTGTATATCCTATGATTTTGCTCTGATAATGAACACTTTTACGAAACTTGGTTTCTGTGGGATATTTGTAGTCATGTCCTCCTCCACTAGGTCACGTGAAAGAAAACTACATTTTTTCAGCTTAAACATACAATCTTGCATATGTTTTTGTTTCCAAATGAGTCGATTACTAAAATGGGATAAACGGATTTTGCTTCTTGCATATGTTTCTGTTGTATTAATTGACTTCTCGAGACTGTATTATAAAGTTTGGTTTCTTCTTCGGTCGTTTTTCTTAACGTTTTCTTATGCTCAAAAGTCAAAACACTGTTTACAAATAGCTTTATTAGCAAATCAAATATGAAATGATAACAAGATGTAGAAAAAAACCAAATCCCAATATTTTAAGCGAAAAAGTAGAAAAAAGCAAATTGTGAAAGCAATAGGACATCGGTTGAATTTTCTCAAAGATCAGCAAAGACTCCAAATATGTCGCCGTTGATGTAGTCGTTCTCTACCAAACTCACCAAATAGTAGCTGTTCTTCACCTGCATTTCCAAATCGAAAACGTCCATTAGTCATGAGCAACAATAACTAATCCGATCAGATCACAAACAAGGTTTTTGTTTTCTTGTTTGTTAAGTTACCTCCTCGAGCAAGTTTCTGGAAGGATCAGCTTCTGGGTACAAGTTAGCCCAGCTTCTTGACCAAGTCTCAAATGCTTCATCTTTCCAGACTTTGAAGCTCGCGGGATCAACAATGGTTGGTTGAATGATCTCCTTAGCCGGGAAGACTCCCCAAGTAACAGCATTCACATCGGTTTGGGCAGTGTTTGAGACCCAGGTATCTCCTTTGTTCACAGCAATGTAAGTTATAGATGGCAAAGTTTTGCATTTCGTAACAACTGCACCTAGCTTCTCCTTTGAGCAGAAGAACTCTAGGTAAGCCTTTTGGTATACATATCCACCTGGACCTCCCCATCCTGCAAATCATATCCAAGCCAAATCAAATACAAGCCAAAGAATCGATGAGTCTTAAGAAGCTTCAAACTGAAATTATCTCTCACCAACAGTTGAGGAATCGGATTTCTCAGCATTGACTGATGGTTGGCTGTTGATGGTCAAGAAGCCTTTGGAGTTGATTTTCACCAGCTGCTCGTTTATGATCTTTGTCTCTGGCTGGAGTCCGTCTAACTCAGACCATGGACTGCTTTTTAAGTTTCCACTGCAGAGCTCCTTGAATTTCTGTTATTGTCACAGATTTTTGCAAAGATTATTGTAAGCGTCTGCCTTTTTTTACAGGTGATGAGAGTGAATGAAACAATTGTATATGTTCAGTAGTGTAAGAAATGTTCTCTACCTCCTGAATATCTTCAACGCTTTTCAATGGAACAACCCATTCTTGCTGAAGCTTCTTGTCACGTGCTTTTGGACGTGAGAACTGACACCAACAACAAGTATAAAGTTCAGAAGCATTCAGTGGGTAATGAGAAGCTCACGAGAAGATGTTACATTTAACTATCTCAAGCAAAATCTATGAACTCCTGTGAGAGAGTTGCGCAATTACCTGATGGTCCGTGAGTGCACCATACGAAGCACTGCGTGAATCACCCCACCTGCCTCGTGGGAAATCTTCCCAGGCTTTTGTTCTAGAAATGTAGCTCTTTGGACGGTTTGCCCTTCAAAAGAACAAAAGAAAGCACAAAGTCTTATATTCTCTGCTGATTCAGATATGTGCCTGGCCATAAACAAGAGAAACCAATTGCGGAGGAGGTTACCAGAAAATGGGACGAACATCTTCCTTAGTACGGAAAACATTTGCAGGGCGTCTCCATGGTAGAGAGCGAGAAATTTTGGACTCGTCAATCATACCAAGGTTCTGCAACACCACCACGATAATTAAGATACTCCAGTATATCTATATATGATGCTTAAGTAGTACAAAAGGGATGTAGTAGAAAATGAGGACCAACCATCAGTATTGCAAGAGCTGATTTCTCCATGTTCAGTGTGTAGAGATGAAGAGACTTGATCCCATGAGCCAAAATCTTCTTACACATCTCTGTTCCAAGGTGAATACCATAGGCTTTCACAGCTTCTTCATTATCCTTGATTGGCTCCAACGCAGCCATGACCTCAACTGGTATCTATAACACGGAGCGGAATATTAAAAAATCATCATTAGTATATGATACTATCACCATCATACCAATGTATATGTTAATTCTTCCTTTTTCTAACAAAAAGCACCACAGATCAAGCAATTCCCTTTACATACACTTATTCGAATCCATAAATCTTAAGCTTGAAAACCAACACCATGGAGAGTCAACAGCAATAGCATTATTCATTTGCAGGGATTGATGTGAAAGATCAAAATTTACCTTGGTCTTGCAGAAACCAGTCATACGCAAGAACCCTTTGTAGTTATTAATCGGCATAATTCCAGGAACAATGGGGCAGTTTATCCCAATTTGGCGACAATCATTCACAAATTTGAGGAAAATGTCAGTGTCATAGAACAGCTGAGTAACAATCAGATCTGCACCAGCATCAACCTGATTCACGACGATCCAAATTCAATTACACATTCTAAAACCATAATAACAGTGACGATACAATTGAGGAAAAGCAACAAGACCTTCTTCTTAAGGTACTCAAGATCACTCTGATAAGCTTCATTCGTGGCTAAGCCATTATCGTTAATGACATCAGGATGAGCCTCTGAAATTTCGAAAAACACAAAATCCAATTCAGCTCCAAGCAAAATCACACCAACGAGGAAGAGAGAAAGCTAGAGACAGAGAGAAAGAAGACGATACCAGGATAACCAGCAACGGTGATTCCAAAGTAATCACCATACTTGCTCCGAATGTGATTGACGAGATCCAAAGCGCAACCGAATCCGCCTTCGACCTGGACGAATTTGTCCTGACCATGAGGCGGATCTCCTCTAAGCGCAAGCACGTTCTGAATCCCATTAGATCTAATCGTCTCGAGCGCGTGATCGATCTGATCGACCGGCATGTTAGTGCAGGTGAGATGCATCATGCTCTCGACGCAAACGACGTTCTGCATCCTCGAGGCGATGTCGAGGGTGAGATCGGCGGTGGATCCACCAGCTCCCCAGGTGATGTCGCAGAAAGTGGGACCGTAAGCGACCATCCGATCCATCCGCTCGAAGAGATTGTCGACTCCATCCTCCGTCTTCGGCGGGAAGAACTCGAAGGAAAACGCCGTTTTGCCTTCGTCGGCCAGCGACTGGATTTTGTCGATCACCTTCATCTTCCTTCCCTGATTCCAAGTGAGCTCAGATCGAGATTTCGAAATGAGAGAAAAAAAGGCAAGTTGTGATTGGATCTTCTGCTCACTGCTTTATACTAAAACTGAGAGATCCCAACAAGTTAGGTGGTTCACTGACTTACCTTACCACGTCCACTTCCTTGCACCATTTTTCTTTTATTGAGCCACTTAGTGTAAAATTAAATTTTAATCCTTATTGATGATTAGTCGAGTTACATAGCTAAAAAGCATAGAGTATATTAATCTACATAACTAATAAACTTGGACAACTCAGTTTTGACACGTGGCACTCTCTTTTTTTTTTTTTTTTTTCCTAACACCAAAACGACGTCGTTTTGCGCTTTATTTTTTTTTTTTCGTCTTACACCAAAACGACGTCGTTTTCGTATTAAAAAAAAAAAAATCTAAATCAAAATTATGTGTAATGCTGTTCGTTTTGATGGGCTTGATTATTTATCGGACCTCTTCGTTTCCATGGTAGCTTTAAATGGGCTTACTGGCTAATTAGCTCATTTCATTTCCTTTTAAAAAGGATTGCAATTATTATTATCTATGAGTCTGTAGGATAATAATCAATCTATAATGATTGTTAGTATAAGGAAAATTAGAAGAACTCAACTCCAGTCGATAAATTATTGTATAAAAGAACAAAAAACATATGAAACTATTCACTATGAGTCTATATAAGATTTCACGTAAATAACAACTAAATTTTAAAACTATATGAAAAAAAACAAAATGCAAAACTTACAGAATCTAATATATTCGAGTAAAAAACAAATGATATATTCGAATCTAATGTTCTGAATAATTAAATTAAAAATATTTGGTTTAATAAACCCGCGCATTGCGCGGGTTCTCTCCTAGTTTTTCCCTAATAATATTCTAATTTAAATATTTTCTAAGGAGACAACATGAGTTGCATAATTATTAAAAAGAATTTTACCAACCACAAAGTATATACAGTCACTATCTCTCCCCAACCCCCTCTCTGCTTTTGAGTAGGTGAGGCATAACCAGAACCACAGACCCACGTCACCACCTACCATTTATATCGCATATCCATCACCAGTCACCGGCGAGTGGGTTTCACTCGCAAAAAATGAAACTGGTCAGATTGTGCGTGCTTGGCTTTTGTCGGCGGCACCGACACAGATGCACACGGACTTATCTTTTTTCTCAGCACGTGCTAACGGAACATACCGGTCTTTTGATTACAAATTCTAAAAGGTAGACCGGATATGAGATGACCGGTTCTTACAAATTCAATTACATAATCATCAATTTGAGATTTTCATAACTTTGTGATACAACAACCGTACAAATTCAATTACATAATCATCAATTTGAGATTTTCATGAAAAGAAGAAACTGAAGAGAGTACAAATGTACTTACAGCTTACAAGTAGATATATCATATCTTATACAAATATTATATAATGGTACAACACAGGTAAAGTTAGATGCAAGAACAATGTCACTGCACCGATCCCTGACCAAAACCGAAACACCCGTTTCTTCGGTTACTTCAGTTTATCAAGGCATATTTATTCGGGTTTCTCAACTTTTGTTTCCAAAGAAATCTGCAGAAATTTTAGCAGCAAAGGTTATTTAATACCCCATGCTTCTTGATCACCTGAATGCAATGTTAAGCAGTTACAATCTCCCAGTCTTCTCTTGACATGTCGATAAACTCGGTAATACCATCCTCGAACATCACCTGGACCAAGTTAAAAAGACATTAACAGAGTTCTTAGTTGAGAAGAATTTTGCTTAAGTTCTGACAAAAACAAGAATTGGTTTCATTTGTATTACCGAGTGCTTTCTTGAATACTCATCAAAATGTCTAATGAGGCCAAAACACCTGAAAATTTCCAAATTACACGTTACAGAAAAGTCTATACAATAGGTCATAAAAACTAATCCGTGAGACCGAAACTATATACCTATCACTCGTGGGGCGAGATAACCTGATCACCACACCAACGCAATTGCGAGGACATATTTGGCCTTGACTAATTTTGTTCCATGATTTTCCTTCATGTATAGCTTCATTTTGATGCACCTAACCAAAAGTTGGAACGAATAAGACCTCATTACTCCCAAAATGAAACTATGCCATTGCAAAGACAAGATCTATATTTGAATAAATCTTTTCATATAAAATTTCAACATACCTTGGGCAGTGTCCCGGACACTTCACATGCCACTATATCAAAAGCTTCTTCAGAGGCTAACTTAGGCTTGCTAGGTTTCACACCAAGCTTCCTTCTGCAACCTACGGCCCCACAATGGCAATCTTGATCTGCACCAAACTGAACAAACCTGCTCTATTTCTTAGTGCATAACTCAACAGATTACGAACTTGGGAAACCATGAAATATGAGTTTTAATGCAAACTAGGATCTTACTGATAGTCATAAGTCAAATGCTCTCCTTTGCTTATGTCAGAGGTGGCAAAAATTCCAATTCTTGTCTCGCCGTCAATTATCCTAATAGCAACCAAATGATGACTTTGCTCTCAACTTATACATAAGAAGCATAAAACAAGCAATAAAGGTGACAAAAAACACAAACCATTTCTGCATCTGAGTATTAGGATTGCAACTATGATTGATATATCTCGACTTATTCCCCTTGTGTGTAGCATCAATCACCATATCTCTGTTTATCTCACACAAGTAGAAATTCGTCTCGCCGCAGTGTTTCATCTTCCAAAGCCTCTCTTCACAAGTCTTATCATCTATCACTATATTTAGCAACAACACAACTTTAGCAACAGTCGCAGAGGAAAAAAAAAACATAAACAAAATAGTCACCACATTACATATTCACATCACCTTCTCCAACATATTCAATGATAAACTCTCCTTGCTTGATTTCTTCTTCTGCTATAATCCCTGATCCGCATTTTTCTGTCTACAAGAAACAACTCATATACCAACCAAACCAACAATTTCAACTAATCTGATTAAACCATTCTATATATTACCTGAATCAACTTCATTTTCTTGACACGACGATGTTGGAACGGCTTATTGCTACACTCACTCCCACACTTGCAACTAGACGAACAGCTTGAGAATAGCATCCTACAATCAATGAAATGTTACTAAATCAAGCAGATAGATGTTACTAAATGTTACTAAATCAAGGCTTACCCGCAATGGCAATTACTTCCACAAACAGATTCAGGGGACAAGGAGGAACAAGAACAGAATATTCCATCATCCTCACTCCTTCTTTTGACTCTCTTCGTCAAGTATATATCTTATTAACTAAGTTTAAGGCGAAAACAAATCAAATGAAGTGAAATTTAAACAAAAAAAAAATGTGTGATTGAAGATTTGCGGAAAAGGATACTCCGCCGGATGAAGATGTAAGGAGCAGCAGGTTTCTCTTTGTTCAACCAATCCGGCAATTCGAAATCCTCCGATTCTCCGATTTGTTTCAGCAGTTTGTTGAACACTTGCCCAATTTGATTGACCGGAATCTGAGAAAAAACATCTTGAAATTTCAGAAATGGCAACTTACAAGGAAGAGGAGATTCTTCTCGGACGAACCTTTTTGGCGGCGGGCATGATGACCGGAGACCGGATATGGAAAATAGAGCAAATTTTTGAAATTTGACCAAATTGACTCTGATGAAGTTAATTGTGGATACTTCTCCCTCCTGTTTAACAACACGAATAATTCGAAATTGCTTCTAAGTGATGTTGTTGTTGAACAAAGGAGGAAGAAGGAAGAAGGAGAGAGTAACAATTGCGGATCTGAGTGAGTAAGAGAAGACAGAGGATGAAGAAAGAGCGGCAGTTCTTTTTTTATTTTATCTTTTTCTTCTTTGATAATTGCGCCTCTTAAAAAACAAATTAACAAATTAATCTTGCGCCTCTCAAAATTGTTAAAGAATCGTATTGGGTTACGATGGGCTTTTGTATGCAATCCAAATATTTTACCAGGCCCAAATTAAATGCCCTATATTAATATGTGTGGTGGTGTGGCTTGGTAAGCACGACATCATTTTGGTCAAGCAAAACTACACACTATAAAATCTTCTCACAGAAAAAAATCATATACGCTAGTTATAATATTCAAACAAATAACCTTGAACATGCCTGAACTTAATGTATTTGCTTGCTCCCAACTTCAAACCTAGAAAATCTTCTCACAGAAGATATGATTCTCTTAATTTAACATGTTAAGGTACAGTAATTTTATAAATGAGTTGACGAAGGTTTAGATATACTTACAACTGATCGAGTGCGTTACATCGTTGAGTATTATAATGTAAAATTGGGTAATGGTAACGTAGTTGGCGTTTTGAGATCTACAATCACACTTTTGAACCCTAAAAGCATAGAAATATCTCCTCTATAAACACTCCTAAAGAGTCAACGAGAGTTTCTCATTCCACTGCAAAAATAAAAGAAGAAGAAGAAAGATGACTCATTCTTTTGTGAAGTCTGCTTTTGTCCTCACTCTTCTCTTTGCTATTGCCGTTGCGGTTACTGGTAACTACTAAAGAGTTTCTTATACGATAGTTTTCAAGTTATAGACCTTGATTATAGAAATGTAGAACTTTTTATTACAACATAAACAAACCCGTGTGGTGTGGTTAGCAGGAAACAGATTGTATCCGAAGCATGAGCGGAGTGGTGAACAAGTTGAAGGTAGCTACACCAAAGCTGATCAAGAAGATGGCAACTCCGTCCTCAAATCTGCCTTGTCACTAAAGAAAGGTAGGCGAGACCTTCTATTAAATTTCTTTTCCAGTTTATTGCATAATCTTCATTACCAATGGTTGTTCAAAAAAAAAAAAAAATCATAAACAATGAATCATCTGATTTTTGTTTTTACAATTATTGACCTACTGTTTTATGATTCTCGGCAGGACCACTAACCTCCACATGTGCGGTCATACTTTACGGGGTGAGCTGTGACAATTGTGAGAGCGAATGCAAAGAACAGCTGGGCAGAGAGCAATGGGGTCAATGTGTGGAAGGGTGGCCATACCGCGACTGCAAGTGCTCCGTTGAGTGTTTATAACAATCTGCATGTAGTGATGTTCCTTTGTAAGGAGTGTATGGGTCCGCCTATATGCTTGCTCCGTGTCTTTGATGTTTTTCTATTTTATTAAGTTTGATAAGTACTGTTGTATACGTTTGTTTCTTTTGTTTGAGTTCGTTGTTATGTATGACTGTTTCTGTAGTTCAATGAGTTGAAGATCGCGCTTCGTGCAAATCATTTATCTTTTAAAGATCTTCTTTAACCGTGACTCCGAGAGTATATATCTAATTAACGAGTAAACAATAACGTGTCAATGAATAGATGTAGACAAGTTCATGTGACTAGCCCTTTTTTCTAAAAAAGCTAGAACACAAAAAAGTTCATGTGACTAAAGCACATTTGCAACTAATTTTCACTATGTTAACCCACTCGTGCTTTCTTCTTTAAACTGAAGTTTATCCGAAACAAACAAAAAAACGAGCTTGGATTCATTAGTAGCATCAATCTCGTCTCGTGACCTCGACCAAGATGACTATAAATTCACCATAAACTTCTGTTTAATTTACCCACAAAAAAACAAAAAAAAATCTGTTTATTTTAAGCATGTTTAAGGTTAAAGCCAAGGAGTTCTAAAATAATGGAGACCAGAACAAACAAAACCTCAAAATGTAATTGTTTGACTTTTTGATCTCGTTTTAATGAAAAATAAAAATAAATAAACAACTGAATGCGTTACACGGTGAGGATAATAAAATGTAAAATCGTGTCGTCATCACATACCTTTATGCTGTATTATTATTTTTACTAACATTATTATCATGGCATAAGTATGAAATTATTCAGGATATTCGATATGCAATCCAAATATTTGATCATATCGGAGTGACCAGTGTGAGTCTCTTCTATACTGCTACACTTGAGGAACTGAATATGCAAGAACCAGTTTTGGATGAAACAGATACAAAGGTTAACATTTTTGTCTTTGATCGAGTTTCTCATTTACGAGATCAAGTATTCATTTTCTTGATTTGGTAATAATTATTTCCTTTGTCTTTGTTTCCACCTGACAACCAACCACAACTTATGCATGGACATCATCTCTTAACAAAGACCCCACAAAGAGTGATCCTCAGCTGAGACATGCACAAAATGAATTTGCTGCAATGCAAAATAATCCAGAAAATTTTAGAGGTGTGTATACTTGATTTTTTTTTTTTTTGTGGAACAAAGGTGTGTGGGTGTGTGTGTGTGTGTGTGTGTGTGTGTGTGTATACTTTCATCACAAAAGAACTATGCTCTATGCAATCATTTATAAGGTTCCGATGCTCATGCTCGATGAAAGAAGCCTTCTTTCGGCTTGAAGGAATTATATGTGTGGTGGTGCTTGGTAGGCACGAGATCATTATTCATTATGGTCAAGTAAAAAAGAATTAGACTTGTTATCTAGACATTTTACGTTCTGACCCAAGAAGTCGAGGACCAGCGTTCAAGCAAAGGAAGAGGTGATTATGTCATGGTGATACTTATAAACCAAGCAGATAAGATGATGACCTGTATTTGAAGTTGGGAGCGAGCAAATACATTAAGTTGAGGCATGACCTTTTAAATCAAGCAAGTTATAATATTCAAACAAAGAACCTTGAACATGCCTCAACTTAATGTATTTGCTTGCTCCCAACTTTCAAACCTAGAAAATCTTCTCACAGAATATATGATTCTCTTAATTTAACATGTTAAGGTATAATAATTGTAAAAATGGGTTGACGAAGGTTTAGATATACTTAAAACTGATCGAGTGCGTTACACGTTGAGTATTATAATGTAAAATTGGGTAATGGTAACGTAGTTGGCGTTTTGAGATCTACAATCACATTTTTGAACCCTAAAAGCATAGAAATATCTCCTCTATAAACACTCCTTAAGAGTCGACGAGAGTATCTCATTCCACTGCAAAAAAAAATAAAAGAAGAAGAAGAAGAAAGATGACTTATTCTTTTGTGAAGTCTGCTTTTGTCCTCACTCTTCTCTTTGCTATTGCCGTTGCGGTTACTGGTAATTAACTAATTACTAAAGAGTTTCTTAAATGATAGTTTTCAAGTTATAGATCTTGATTATAAAATGAATAACTTTTATTATAAGACAAACAAATCCGTGTGGTGTGGTTAGCAGGAAACAGATTGTATCCGAAGCCTGAGCTGAATGGAGAACAAGTTGAAGGTAGCTACACCAAAGCCGATGGCCACTCCGTCCTCAAATCTGCCTTGTCACTAAAGAAAGGTAGGCGGATCACCTTCTATTAAATTTCTTTTCCAGTTTATTGCATAATCTTCATCAGCAATGAATCATCTTATATTTATTTTAATCACTGAAAGATAAATTGAATCCGCTTTGGCCGTATATATCTCTTTTAACAATTGTTAACATACTGTTTTATGATACTCGGCAGGACCACTAACCTCCACATGTTCGTTCGACATGGAGAAGGTCGAGTATTGTGACGAATGTGACATGAAATGCAAAGAACTAGTTAGCCAAGGTTATTGGGGTCGATGTAGGGACACATGGATCTTTTTTACCGTCTGCACGTGCTACTATGAATGTTAATATTAGTACTATATTGTACTAATAAAGAACAATCTGGCGTGATGGTCCTTTTATGTATTGGTCCCGTAACTCGAAGCCTATATGCTTGCTCCGTGCCTTTTCTGTTGAATTATGTTTTAGTAAGTATTGTTGACTTGCTGTGTACGTTTGTTTCTTTTGCTTGAGTTCGTTGTTATGTATATGATTTGTTTCTGTTGTTCAATGAGTTGAAGATTGCGCTTTGTGAAAATAATTTATCTTTGAAAAAATCTTTAACCGTGAGTATGTATCTAATTAACGAGTTAATTACTTCATCAATTAACGTGTCAATGCAAAGATGTAGACAAGTTCATGTGACTAGCTCTTTTTCAAAAAAAAAAAGTTCATGTGGCTAAGCACATTTGCAACTAATTGTCACTATATTAACCATTCGTGCTTTCTCTTTAAACTGAAGTTTATCCGAAACAAACAAAAAAAACCGAGCTTGAATTCATTGATAGCATCAATCTCGTCTCGTGACTTCGACCAAGATGACTATAATTTCACCATAAACTTCTGTTTATTAAAGCCTAAGGTTAAACCCAGGGAAGTCTAAAATAATGGAGGTCAGAAATCAGAATAAACAAAACCTCAAAATTTTGTTTTGACTTTTTTTATCTCGTTATAATGAAAAAAAAAACAAAAAAAAACAACTGAATGCGTTACACGTTGAGGATTATAAAATGTAAAATATCGTGTCGTAATCACATACCTTTATTTTTTACTAACATTATATTATCATGGCCTAAATCATGGCATAAGGATGAAATTATTCAGGATATTCGAAATGTTTTTGCTTCCTAATCATAAACGTCTTGTCGACTATCTTAAAAAAACAATATAAAAAATAAAAAATAACCCTGATTATGTTAAATTTAGTTGATAATAATTAAATATACATAGATGTCATTAATTGGAAGCGAGAGCTATTAACAATTCACATCGAGAGAGAGAAAGAGATTCGCCATTGAGATTGTGTCCCAAAACCTCCAAAGGAGTCACACGTTCTTCTTCGTTGTTCCTATGCTTTAAGCTATCTTAGACGGGACGTAGAAGCGAAGCAGATTGAACACGAATTCGATCTCCTCTCTTCTTCCCCTTTCGTTTTCCTCGTCCGCGGTTTCCATCTCTGATCGATTTCTCAGGTGATCCTTAAGCTTTTGGTAGTAATTCGGAGCTCTGAGAATTCCTTAGCTAGATTAGACGATGAAGTTGTGTACAATTGGGTTTTGATAAAAACGAGCTCGATTTTAAGTTGACTGATTGCTGTTGATTATTTGATCATTCTCGATTACCGTAGATCCGTGAGCTGAAACTTCCTCAGGCTCTTAAATTTTCTGTCTTGGATTTTGTCTTTTGTGATTTTTCTGAGAATTTTCTTCAATTAGGAGAAGATGCATGTGGAATCTAAATGCCTATATCATGTGAAAAATTGTCTTTTGAAGAATGTTTGATGTTAATTTGGTTTCTTCTATGCTTAAAATTGCAGATAAGGTTCCTCAGGGGTTTAGGTAGCTTCTATGAGACGGGCACGTTGCAATTGGTGCTTCATGTCTAGGTAAATGAAGGCTTTATGCGATAGATTTGCTCCTCAACAATCAAGCAAGAGTGAAAAGCGTGATAATCCCCCACCATCTCTAGTTTCAGATTCAGGATCTAGTGATCATCATAATAAGTCCAAGTTTCCCTATTGGTCAAACGTGTTTGCGCCTTCTTCTTCTTCTTCCTCAGTTTCTCAGTCTTCATCTTCAGCTTCTGCGCATAAGCAAGTCTCCACCGCTCGTAATGGTTGGACAGCGCTTGTGAAAAAGGCGTATATGGCTAGTGGCGCGATTAGGAGGTTCCAGGAGCGTGTTTTAGGTCCAAATAGGACTGGTCTTCCAAGCACTACAAGCGACGTATGGCTCTTGGGTGTATGTTATAAGATATCTGAGGATGAAGCCTCGAAGGAAACGGATGATGGTAGTGTGATGGCTGCGTTGCAACAAGATTTTTCATCCAGAATACTGTTGACATATCGTAGAGGTTTGTATATTCAACTACAGATTCAAGTGCAAGATAGAGTTTGTTTTCGCATGATATTCACCGGTTTTAGCATTACAGGTTTTCAAGCCATTGGAGAGACGACATATACCAGCGATGTAAACTGGGGTTGCATGATTCGGAGCAGCCAGATGCTTTTTGCTCAGGTGTGAAGGAAGAATATTTTCTTTTGGGCGTTAGGTTTTGATGTTTGTAACATGTTTTAACAAAGCTGAAATATTTGCAGGCGTTGCTTTTCCACAGGCTGGGGAGGTCTTGGAGGTCCAAGAAATCCGAGGTTAGCTCAATGTAGCAGAAATATTCATCACTAGGAACAGAAACTCATGACTGATTGATTTGAAAATGCAGGCGCTTGAACAAGAATACTTAGAGACCTTGGAACCGTTTGGTGATTCCGAGGCTTCAGCTTTCTCCATTCACAATCTTATACTAGTTGGAGAGTCATACGGTCTCGCTGCTGGTTCATGGGTAGGACCATACGCGATTTGCCGGTCGTGGGAATCATTAGCGTGCAAGAAGAGAAAACAGACTGATTCTAGTCAGCAGACGCTTCATATGGCTGTTCACATCGTTTCTGGCAGCGAGGATGGAGAGAGAGGTGGAGCTCCAATACTCTGTATAGAAGATGCCACCAAATCTTGTTTAGAGTTTTCGAAAGGAAACGCTGAGTGGACACCGATTCTCCTTTTGGTCCCGCTGGTTCTTGGACTTGACAGAGTGAACCCCAGGTTTGCGATTGTGAAGTTGACTGCTTTCCTTTTCTTGTTTGTAATTGGTCTTTTTGACACATTGCTAAACTTGATTGATAGGTACATTCCATCACTCGTAGCCACATTCACTTTCCCTCAAAGCTTGGGGATTTTGGGTGGCAAACCAGGTGCCTCAACGTACATTGTTGGTGTTCAAGACGATAAAGGCTTCTACCTTGACCCACACGAAGTCCAACAGGTTTCATTTTCGTTCCTTTGAATCAGTTGCCATAAGATCTCTTTTTCCTGTTAGGATGATCTGATGTTAATCATTCACTGATTGAGAGTTATCGTTTGATGATTTGGTTATAGGTGGTCACAGTGAACAAGGAAACTAAAGATGTTGACACATCCTCCTATCATTGCAAGTGAGTTTCAAGCTAATCAATCTATCTTTTGCCTGGTTCATTTTTTATCTTGTTCCTTACTTTTGTTCTTCAATCTGTGTCAGTGTACTTCGTTATATTCCTTTGGAATCACTTGACCCATCTCTAGCCCTCGGATTCTATTGCCGCGACAAAGGTATTTTTTTATTACTACATTCTCTGAAACCAAAAGTTTAAAGCCAGTAGTATTCTAACTTGGTAAAACTCTTTCCCTGATCATCATCAACAGATGATTTCGACGATTTCTGTCTCCGAGCATCGAAACTAGCAGAAGAATCAAACGGTGCTCCGTTGTTCACCGTGACTCAAACCCACAGCTTGATTATCCACAGCAGTTGCGAGTTTGTAGAGAACACCGAAGACGACGAACGTGAAGATGACTGGCAATTGCTCTGATCATCATCAAACATTTTACAATCTTTAAGTGACAATTCTTTTTCCTTTTGTATTCGTTTTTTAAGTGTTTGGTGTAAATTTCATCAAATCACAATACAAATGTTGTACTATAAATCCCGTTTATCAAAAGCCATTTTGTGATAATATCTTTGGATTTTCAAACATATATTGAAGCATGTGAAAATGGTAATGTTGAGAAACCGGAAGGTATGTCTTGGACATGACTCCATTTTCCGATATCCTTCTCCGTCGTCTTCATCATCACTCCTTTGCCTTCACTCTCTGTTCTCCCGCCGATCATTACCACCGCGTCACCTCCTAAGCTTCCGGCGAAAATTGAGCTTCCAGTCATCGGAAACTGTATCATTTCAAGTTCCAAATTCCATTTTCTCGAATCGTCTTTAGTTTCGGATTTACGCTCGCTCTGTAATTCACCGTCTGTGAAACACCTTAACCCGGAGGAGCAGTCTCCGGCGGTGCGACCTCTGGGGCTAGTATCCGGAAATCGCCAGATGTCTTCCATTTTGGACCAGGAATTTGTAGCCGGATCGTAAATTTCTGCATCGGATTGAAATCTCCCCTGAGATTCCGTCCCGTAACCGCTCAATACGCAAAATCCGAGATCCGTTCCCACGGCGAATCCTTGACATTCGTCTCTTCCTTCCGTCATCGGCGGAATCATCGACCACTCGTCCTTCTCCACGTCGTAAACCTCCGCCGAGCGTAAGGCGTTCTTCTGATCGTCGTGACCTCCGGCGACGTACACTTTCGTCGAGCCGATTGAAGCGCAGGCGAAGAACGACCGCGATTCATTCATCGGCGCTCCTCGTCTCCACCTCCTTCCGCTTCCTTCTCCGGCGAATTCGAGCACGTAAACGTCTTTCACCGGCTGTAACGTCTCCGGATCCCAGCCGCCGATGAGCAGAATCTTCCCGGCGTCCTGAATCACGACGCACTCGCAGAAAAGCGGGATCTGCTGCTGCTCCGGGAAGGCAACGTGATTCCACGTCGACATCGCTGCGTTGTAAACGCTTAACCCAAACCGCGGCGTCCCGGAAACGCGCGGCTGCTGCGACTCATCCTCCAATTTCTTCTCACCCTCCTCGTCCACAAATGTCTGACTCTCCTCAACCGCTTTAGACGCTGGAGTTGGCGGCGGCGTCAGCGGTTGAACAAGACAGAGAAGAAGCTCTGCTTTGCCACATCTCCGGCGCTCTCGGATGAAGGAAGAGTCGGAAAGTAAGCTTCGCCATGAACGGCAAACGGACTTCATGGCGGATTGAAATTGGTACGGAACTCTGACCAGACACTCAATAGCTAATTCCGACGGTAAACCGGGAATTAGATCGTGACAGTTCTGGAACGCTTTTGCGATTGCCACAGCTTTCTTTTTCGACATTTCCATAATCATCGAACATAAAAAGAAAAAACAGATCACAGATGGTTGGATAAGTATCACTGTATCAGAGAATCTTCTTAAATAGAGCAAAGTCTTTAAGTGTTTGTAAAAGAAAAATAAAATTGTGCTTTGAGTGAGTTTGAAGTAACTCTAAAGGTGGCAGAGCCTTTATATAGGGAGAGGAAGGAGAAGGAAGAAAGTGTTTAAGGTTAAATTTACGCGACAATTAGTTCAGAGTTTAATTAATTAGCAGCTTTTTTACTTTATATTTTCTGATAACAAATTAAGATTGGTATATGCTGCAAAACGCAAACGCAGCTCACGTATGTTTCTAATGAGAACAAATTCTCTTTTTTCGGTTAACAAATTCTCTTTTTTTTGTTCTACTATAGTATTTTATTCAGTATCATAACATCAATGTGTAAAAAAAAACTGCAAAGGACACATTTCTGTACATAACTTTAGCTTGTTGTAAAGCTAATGTAACGTGTTTAAATCATTCCCTTTTCGTTTCACTCCGGCGTTTCGGTTATCTTGATTTGATTACCTTTATAAGGAATGAATATTGTAATGTAATCTATAAGCTCAGGTGTAGTTCGTGAAGACGGTTTGCCTTTTAAACTTACTTTATAAAGAAAGAAAGAAAAAAATTCAAGAAACCAAGCAAGCTTCTAGAAGCTTTATTAAGACGGTTAACACTGCAACTAGAGCAACTGATATACCCCATAAAATGTTGAAGATATCCCATTTGAATATCTCATATTTTTCATTTGCATTTATCTACATGAAAATAGTTTCTGTTGTACCTTGTAGAGATGGTTGAAGTTAGGTAACTTTTTATTGGGTTAAGTGAAGTTAGGTAAGTTGGTATAATTTTTATATCAATTGATAGTTTGATTGATACTGTGACCACACTGTTTGTTTTACGCTTTTATTACCACACTAAACTATAATAGTACCTTGAACTAATAACTTTTTAATTAGTTTATCAGGTAGATTACTGTTTCCTTTTCAATGTCACCCAACAATCTAGTCGTGTTGACTCGATTTTCCTTAGAAGTTAGAAGGAATGGCTTTTGAAACGGAATATATAACCTCTTTGATAAAGTTCATGAAGAACAGTGAGCTTTTCACCATCGCTTTTCCATTTTCTAAAAGAATAATAAATACTTTAAAATTAAAGATAACTACCAAGCTAGCTAGCTTCTAGAAGCTTTAGAAAGACAAATAATAGTATGATACTGTAACAAGGAGTGAGTCGTACTCGGTGACGCAACCGTCAACCGATATAGTGAGCTGTTATACTAAATTTAAATAGATGAGACATTTTCATTTCTACCTTGCATTGTGCACGCACTATCAAACAAATTCTTCCACGAATAGTCCATATGGATTCTTTCTTTTTTGCCAAAATTATTATATAATCAATTCCCTAAGATTTTTATTATACTTATCTGTTTGTACACGTATAAGTTTATCACATGTATAGAATGTTGTGAGGGAACATACATTCGAATATGAAACAATTAACAATAATTTTGATTAGAAGGCTAAGGGTTATCAGTTATGCAATGTACCGACGTAATTACGTAAAGGTATGTCTCGCGGACTTACGGCCTCACACAAGTCGTCTCGTTTCGACCAGATCATATGTTTTTCTGTTATTTGTAATCTGATATTTAATTTTGGTTTGTTTATGAAACTACACCTGCTACTTATCCCATGAATTTCATATCATAAGATTAACCTTGAGGTGTAACTACAAGAACGAGAAGCTATAACTCAATTTCACAATGGATGATTTAACAAGTAGCAAATTCGTTGTCTAGATAGATTATTAATTTAGATCATTCTGTGCAATACAAAAATCTTGCTGTACCTATCAAGTATTCAAGATTGTACTGCCAGCTGATAGAGAGGAAATATTTTGTATGCATGCATGCGAAATCATCATTAGTTAGATATATTTATATGCCCTCGTTTAAATGAATATGTTTTGTTTCATTCTCATAAGTCATAACCAATGTCATTTAAGCTGGTTTTTAACTTGATAAACAAGAAGATTTTTATATAAAAAAAAACTTGATAACCGTTACTATTATTTCCACGAAAAGGAAAATTAAACTTGAGATAGATACAAAATTGGTGTTGTTCATATGCAGGAAAAGGGGCAGATGCATGCAGAGAGTAATAGTGACTTAGAAAGATTTTCCTAAGTAAATCTTATTATATGTGGTTTTTCCAAGGGAGATGTGGTGTGTTTGATTTGGTTCTAAGCGATATGAACATGGCCAAAAAAAGCAACAAGAAATAAGTGGATGAACATGGGAAAGGAGAATCATAATGGGGTCGGACATTGATAGAGGCTGGTCCATTTCCCATCATCGCATTTTCCCCTCCTTGTCTTCTTCTTTTCTTTTGTCAACTGTCATTTTTTATTATCATTTCGTATGTCTCAGTCTTCATAGCAAAAAAAAAGAAATGTATCAATATTCTCTCTGTAATCTTCTGTATTTTTTGAATCATCAATAGTTATTTTCGAGTGAACACTAAACAATCCCTGACTCGTCGGTGATTTCGTACCGTAGGTTTTCGTTGAATAGTTTATGAATTGTTTGTGTCGCATATTTCTCTCTCGCTTCATGTCAACAATGCTGTTAATAAGCTTGAAAGTCAACCTTGCGATAGTGTTCTTATTAGCTATTTGTCGACAATAATAAACGGATCATTTTCATATTTCATATTAAATAATTTAACAACGACAGTACGTAGTAGAAAACTTTGAAATCACCACGAAATCTAAGAGGTTATGTATCAATGAAGGTTGATTGATTAAAGACTAAGATGAAGTGGATTGGTCTCCAATTATTCGATAGACATATTGGTTTCATGAAAATGAAAGTAAAGGTACAAAAGTAATAATTAAAAGACAAAAAAAGAGGATAAGGGTTCTAGAAGAGCATTAGATATTTTTCCCTTTTGGGGTGTTGTCTTCTTGATGGGAGAGGAAAGAAGTGGGCCGAAACTGGCAAGCACTTCTCGTGTATACGTCTTTCTTTCTTTACGGTTACTAAAGTTTCTCTCTTTCTTTTCTTCTAGAAGACCATTTTATAACATATCTCTAAACTATTCGTGTGTTTTATAACTTTTTTTTTTGAATGACAACTACACTAACTAAAAATGCATATGTGAACTGACTTTTAAAATATAACCGAGATACCTTGATCTTTTGGCTTGGGACGTAGATATGAAAACTCGGTTCTTGACCTATACACACAAGAGAAAGACATAATTATCGAATCCTCGCTGCATTTGATAATACTATTTAAATATTACCGAGATACCTTGAGCTCTTGACTAATACTCCCTCTGTCCCATATTATAAGCAGTTGAGCAAAATGAATCTGAAAAAAAAGTGGATGTATCTGGATGAATTATCCAGATACATCCACTTTTTTTCAGATTCATTTTGCCCAACTGCTTATAATATGGGACAGAGGGAGTATTATTTAAATAATACAATACAAATATTCCCATCATTTGGAATAATAAACAAAAATTGTTGAGGATAAGTAAATTATAGTGTAGACTGTAGATACATTAGTGAAAGTAATATTACCACAATCAGCATTTGAAGTGTTTAAAAGTCTTATAGTCACATCCCAAACGAATCAATCCCTACGTAGAAAACAAAATGTTTGGAGAAATTATAAGATGGGAGAAACAAATTGTCGTTGTCAGTGAAACATCAAGCTGATAACAAAATTGAAAGAGCTTGTAATCATAATAATGGGCCACATTAGCTAGATTTTATTTGGCCAGCGTCTTTGTTATCTAAATTTCGACTTCTCCAGCCCAACATAGGCCCATTTAAGAGAAACTGCTGGCGAGAACCAAAAAAAATAGGGTTACGAAATAAACCCTAAGCCCATTTTGACTTATTTGTGTTTCTTCTCTTCTATCACTCTGCGCCGCGCGCTCTTTCTGTTCTCTCTCTCACTCAGATTTCCTCTCCCTCTCAAAGTAAGCTCCTTCGATCTTCCTCGTTTAGTTTCGATTTCTTGTTTCCAATAGCTGTTCCTTTTCTGAGGTTTGTATAGCATTTGAGATCGACAAGCCTGATTAGTCTCGTTCTGTTGTAGAAATTCCACTTATTTAGATTAGTCGATAAAATCCAATCTAGCTATAGAGTCTTGTGCAGTCTGGTTGATTGAGGTGACGTTGAAAAAAATCCCTAATTTCGAATCACCATTGCTGTCAAACTGATTGCAAACACTAAAAACAAGTCCTTTGTGTCATGCTGTCTAGTTTCAGTCATTTGATAGATGATAATAATCTGTTTAATTTCCTCCTTGATAATTGTATTGCTCAAAGTTGAATTTTTTGTTTATTGTTTGGGACTTGTTAGCTTATTGTGTTGTGGAATTGAATGTAGGAGAAATGGCCGAATCGAAGGTAGCTGTTCCAGAGTCCCATCTGAAGAAGATCAAGAGGGAAGAGGAATGGGCATTGGCCAAGAAAACGGAAGCTGAGGCTGCCAAGAAGAAGAGTGTTGAGACCCGCAAGCTCATCTTCAAGAGAACCGAGCAGTATTACAAAGAATACGCTGAGAAGGTATGATCTATCTGAAACACCTCTGTTGCCTTTGCTTACTAAGAATTTTCCTTTGATTGTTGTTTGTGTAATGAGTTGTTCTTTCTCTTCCATTGTTTTAGGACAATGAGCTGATCCGTTTGAAGCGTGAGGCTAAGTTGAAGGGAGGCTTCTACGTTGACCCTGAGGCTAAGCTTCTCTTTATCATCCGTATCCGTGGGTATGTGTTTTTTCTTCTCCTTGTATATGTGTGTGTTACAGTAGTCAACGCAGAGAGCTTTCTGTTGTTTTCTTACATGGTTGCTTTATCATTTTGCAGTATCAATGCTATTGACCCAAAAACCAAGAAGATTCTTCAGCTCCTCCGTTTGAGACAAGTAAGTCCAAAGCTTCATACTTTCATCTAATAACAGACATTGTATTAGCTTATAGGTTATATGATTATCGATAGATAGTTGCCAGATTATTATCTTTTAGAAGATGTTATCAAGAAGTTAACTTGTGGTATACATTTGTGCAGATCTTCAACGGTGTGTTCCTGAAGGTGAACAAGGCAACAATCAACATGTTGCGTCGTGTTGAGCCTTACGTGACTTACGGGTAAGTCATCTGATTTCTCTACCTCTCTCTTTTGTCTATGATAAGCACAAGAAAATGTTCTTAAGTGAGTGAATGGTTGTATCTTTGTTGCAGATACCCAAACCTGAAGAGTGTTAGGGAGCTGATCTACAAGAGAGGATACGGAAAGCTAAACCACCAGAGGATAGCACTCACCGACAACTCGATCGTCGATGCGGCTCTAGGAAAGCATGAGATCATCTGCGTGGAGGATCTGATCCACGAGATCATGACTGTTGGACCTCACTTCAAAGAAGCCAACAACTTCCTTTGGCCATTCCAGTTGAAGGCACCACTCGGTGGCCTCAAGAAGAAGAGGAACCACTACGTCGAAGGTGGTGACGCTGGAAACCGTGAGAACTTCATCAACGAGCTTGTCAGGAGGATGAATTGATGGTGATCAAGGCTCTTCCTTTCCTTCGTCTTTGACTCTTTCCCCCATTTTCATAGATTTTGGGATCTTTGTTTCTGTTTTTTTGTGTTACATTCAAGTGGTTAGAGACGTGTGTTTTTTATCTGAGATAGGGTTTTTGATTATTCAGCTACTTTGTGCCTTCTTCTAAACAAATTGTTCTTGAATCCTTTTTTATTAAAAAAACTTTATGTTTCCCTGATTTTTCAAAGAACAACCCAACTCTAAGAAATCTCCGGTTTAGACCGGTGTTGGATAGTTTCAGTAGTAGCGCGTTTCAAATCAATGTGTGGCTTTAACCGAAATCGTAAATGGGAATGGGATCAAATATGTTAACCTATCAATAATGTATCTGTTCCATTGTAAATTTGTTGGTTTCATGCAAGGATTAATGTAATGTGCAAAGAATACTATCATGTGATCCCAATTATTATTTCAAAGCATTTCGTTGTTTTTTTGTTGTTGGTAAAATGTTAACTCAAAGTATTTCGTTGACTTTACGTATATAAAGTTTTTTTAAAACTCAATCTTACAAGTTTTGTTTGAACGATAATTATGTGGTCAATTACTTTATTAGCCGTTTAATCTTTAATACACTCTCGTTTAATCGATAGGACGCTTAATTTAGTCAACTATAGTATTCTTTGCACATTTGACATTACATTAACTCTTGGAGTCTCTATAACATTAGTATATATAATATATCGTATTGTATTAGTATATATGAAATATATCGTTGTAATCATTCCATATTCATGCCTCTCCTCTATTTTATTTATGTTTTACTTATATTTTACTTAAATTTTGCTTAATTTTTGCTTAATTTTGTTTAAAATTATACTGAAATCATGATATATTTTGTAAAACACAAATTATGTTGATACAATAAATACATCATGATATAGAGATAACATTATAGGGGATAACATAAATTCATTCAAACTCTTTCATTTATAAATTTATTTTTAGAATCTATCAAACATGAATAATATGATGGATTTCTCGGGAATTTTGCTGCGGTACATCATTCTCCTATTGCTCGCAAGAGTTGGTCTGACTATTAAGATAATGTTCTGATCATCATTCTAAACTTTTAGGGGAAAAAACCAGTTTTCTCAACTCATATAATTTTAACAAACTGAAATGAGAATTACATATGGTAAATTATTAAGCCTAAGATAACGGTGTCCGCATATGAAACACATATAATTCGAAAAATAAAATCTTAATTTATTTTGAACTTATATACACGAGAATCAGCAAGATTTAAACTTAAATAATATACAACAAAATGATTTTGATAAGGTTACCAACAACAACAATGTAAAATATTATCCAGAGTGACGGATACAATGCGAGTGGATGCTACAATATTCTTCAGTGTCCTGGTTTTATACAAACCAGTAACCACATTGTTATCAGAGGTTCAATTTCTCCAGTCTCTACTACATTCGACTGCAGCCAATATGATATCATAATTTCCGTATGGAATGTTAGTTGGTTTACTTTACTTTTCCCATATTTTTTTTACTTCTCCAAATAAATACTTTCTCATTCTAAATAATACATGTTAGAAAACTCCTTATCAAAAAATAAATATATAATACATGTTTTAGAAGAAAAAAATTGTTTCAAAAATTAGATATTGATTTCTAGGTGTAGTTTGTGCTTTTTTTTACTTAATTTACTCTTCTAATTTATATTATTTCAAGAAACTTTAAGTAATAGCTAAGTAATAATGTGCAAAGTAATAGTTTAATGTATGCTAATGTATGTATGCTGACACCACATACATACACATCATATCCAATGTATTATATTTATATGTATGAATATTTACAGAATGTGACACCTCTTCTTTATATAATGAGTTAATGACACGTTCCAAGGAATAAAATCGCTGTTTTGAAAACCGAAATATATAAAAACAAATAGTTTGGTCAACTGTGTGGGACAATATTACAAATTGCACCAAACAATGGATCAAGAAAATCAAGAACCACACCGGAGCGAAAATGGCGGGAGGAGGGACGACCTTAGAGTACACACCAACTTGGGTGGTGGCTCTCGTCTGCTCCGTCATTGTCTCTCTCTCTTTCGCCGTCGAACGTCTCCTCCACCGTGCCGGAAAGGTTATATTTATATATACAGTATTTACATCATTATATGTATAGCTTCATATATATCAATATATACACATGTTGAATGCAGCACTTTAAGAAGAACAATCAGAAGCAGCTTTTCGGGGCATTGCAAAAGATCAAAGAAGGTGACTTCATGTTTTAGCCCCTTATGTAATTTGTTTTTTGTAGATTGGTCCCTTAATCTTGTGTATTGCAAGAACTCCCCTCATTGATAATTATTTCTAACAAGATTCTTGAAAATAAACCTCGATCAATTTGGATCGTTTGGATCGAATTGGCAACAGAACTTATGCTGCTAGGGTTCATATCGTTGCTACTATCAGTAAGCCAATCTAAAATAGCAAAGATTTGCATACCGAAAGACTTGAGTGAAAAGTTTCTGCCTTGTAAGAAACCAAAGGCTGATAAGTCCATTGAAGACTCCTCTCATTTCCAGTTCAGCTTCACCGGTCGTCATCTCCTCGCCGGAGACTCCGCTGCCGGAGAATATTGCTCCCTAAAGGTATAACATTCGTTTAAAAAAATCGGTCAAACCAAACAATAATATCTTACTTGTCTTGCACGCTTTTAGCATACCTTACTTTCTCAAAAAATATATGATTGGATTTGAAGACGTGCTTACAAGTAACACATATTGCACTATTATCACATAATAACTGAATTACTTTTTCTTTTCTTGGGTTGGATTTTTGTGGTAATGTTTTAAATTCAGGGAAAGGCTCCATTAATGTCAGTATCAGCGCTGCATGAGCTTCATATCTTCATCTTCGTCTTAGCTGTTGCTCACATTATTTTCTGCCTCTTGACCATTCTTTTTGGTACCATGAAGGTATATATACTTTTCAATTTTAAAAATTACTAGATAAGCTCTAACACAAAACTCTAAAACCAGAGCTCACACCATACTATTCAGTTGCCAACTTATATAAACATATTAAGCTTTTTATAATGTCTAATGACCATAACACGACGTTATGGCATAGATAATGCAATGGAGAAATTGGGAGGATCAAGTTAGAGAAAAGAATTACGATGCAGACGAAGGTATAATACAATTACGATAACATTAAAAAAAAAATGACACTCGGAAAAAGATCATTATAATGTTTCAAGAATTAAGTCATTAATCCGTTTTATATACACAGTGATACAGAAGAAATATACAGCTGTCCAAGAACACGATTTCATCAGGGGACGATTTCTTGGAGTTGGAAAAGCTGATGCTTGCTTTGGATGGTTGGTGAGTGTCTTTTTATGTTCCTTTTCTAATAAGTTATCTTAATTTAGCAAGACAAGTTCGTTTGTATGTATAATATTTAAAGTTTTGTTTGAGTGTGTCTCTTGTCCATTGCAGCATTCGTTTACGAAGCAGTTTCTTGCTTCAGTCAATAAATCGGATTACATCACTATGAGGCTAGGCTTCATCACGGTAATAATAATATATATAACTCGGATTTTGATTTTGTTCTTGTAATAATAAAATTTCTCTCTAAAGACAAATTTTCTTCCACCTTCTCTTTATAGACTCATTGCAAGACCAACAAAAAGTTCAATTTCCATAAGTATTTGATGCGTGCTCTCAATTCCGATTTCAAGAAAGTTGTTGGTATCAGGTAAAAACATTTCAGCTGGCTTTTCTTAAACAATACCTTGTTCAAGTAAGTGTTTCTTGATTCTCTTCTAATAATATAAAAAACAAATTTGCAGTTGGTATCTTTGGGTGTTTGTGGTTCTCTTCTTGCTTCTAAACATTGCTGGTGAGCTGAAATATTTCAACTTCGATCCAAACAGTGTTTTCGGTTGAATGATCTCATTGAAACCATCTTTCTTGCAGCATGGCATGTTTACTTCTGGCTAGCTTTTATTCCTTTGATCGTAAGTATAGTCTCTGAACAAACTTTCTCCATTTCTATGCATTCAAATCCCATCTTGATCAACCCGATTTTTTCCACAGCTTTTGCTTGCCGTGGGGACGAAGTTAGAGCATATCATTACAGATTTGGCTCATGAAGTGGCAGAGAAACACGTTGCAGTGGAAGGAGATTTGGTAGTACGACCATCGGATGATTTGTTCTGGTTTAAAAGTCCACGGCTAGTTCTCTTCTTGATCCATTTCATTCTCTTCCAAAACTCCTTCGAATTGGCATTTATCTTCTTTATCTTCGTAAGCACTCTTACTCTTTACCATAATGGAATCTAAACAAAGAACAAAAAAAGATTGATACAATTGTGACAAACAACAGGCTCAATATGGTTTTGATTCTTGCATCATGGGACAAGTCAAGTTCATAATCCCAAGACTCGTCATCGGGTAAGATATAAAGCTTCATATATCTTCTTGATCTTGAAATGTAGAATCTTTGACTCTGTTTTTTTTTGTATTCTCTTTAGGGTATTGGTTCAGCTTCTATGCAGTTACAGCACTTTACCTCTCTATGCCCTAGTCACTCAGGTATAGAGTTTGCATCTCCTAATCCTTTTCTCGTTTTCTTGAGTTCTCTGACATAAACTCAAAGCCAAACTTTTCTTGTGCTTGAAAAAAAGATGGGAAGTTCATTCAAAGGTGCAATATTCAACGATCAGATGCAGAACCAGATTGTTGAATGGGCAAAGTCTGCTAAAAAGGGAGTGAAGAAAGGCTCAGTTCATGCAGGTACCAGTCATGATGACAGTCCAACCACTCTAGCCACTCCTTCACCACGGTCTGTTCAGTTGCAGTCGTTGCTAGGCAGAGGCGTTGCACAACAAAATCAGCATTCTAACGGAAAACCAGAGATTGTTGAGGAAGAAGATTCATAAACAAAAGCTTCCACTCTGTTTCAGATTGTTGATGAAGACAAAAACAATTCTTGGACTTCGTATAGTATACGAAACTGATTTAACGGTGTTGTGAGAAGTATACAGAGCAGAGATACTGATTCTCTGCCAATTTGATCAAACAACAATATGATTCTCTCTGATATTCCACATATATATGTTTGCTTGATGAACAACTTAATATTTATTGTGAGGAACGATTGAGACAAAGATTGTTCAACACGAAAGAGCATTCTTATACAACAGAAACCACCACGAAATCCAACATTTTGTTTTTCAGAAAGAAACAGACACACAAGGTAACGATAACCATATGATGAGATTGGTCCCGATTCTGTATTCTCACAAACAACATAAAAGAGGAAAGGGAGAGAGAGAAACGGTGACATCATTTGGTGATTACAAAGGAGAGCTTGCATCATTCATCATCCTCTGCAGCACTAGCTGCGTTAAGATCCACACTTAGATCCAATTCCTGCAAACAAACAAAAAAAGTGGTCACTTCACTGGCTCATTGAGCTAAACAAAAACCTATATATATCTGTGATTCAAGAATCAATACCTTTCCGGTGATCAATTTATACATGTTCAACACATCAACAACAGTTGTATCAAAGTGTGTGGTAGCATCATAACTCTGTTTTAACACATGAAACAAGAGTTGTCTTAGAAATTTAAACCAGCCAAGTTTAAGATGCTCGTCAGATACGCATAACTAGACTAAACTAACCGTTGATATGAAGCAGTTGTCCAAAGTGGGTTCGTTGACAGGCTCGTATCTATCATAGACGTCGAAGAACAGCTCATCAACAGGACCAAGAAGGTCGATTCCAGGCTGCAGCTCAGTTTGGGGGTTATCAGTTTCTGCGTCTGTTGACACAAAAGCTATGAACTTTCCCTTTGGAGCAACGTTGTGCGAGTACGAACAACAGAAGACATACCTGTCATTTTACAATCAAACATGTAGTCTTGAGCCAGAGAAACAAACATATATCAACCGACTCAAATGTTTAAGAGAAGAGAACTCACATGTCTGATTTGCGGCCCAATTGCTTTTGCGGTAGGATGACTTGCACTGAGTGAGAATCATTTGTGTTTGGAATAGGGTGGCTCATAATCGCAATCGCCCTTGCAACCTTACCAATCTTCCTGACCTGTTTGAATTGGATTATCATAAAAAAGTAGAAAACATATCAAAATGATAGATTTCTCCTCCTATGAAGAAGCAATATACAGCTAAATGTTACTGTAAAGATCAAAAGATCTGTGGCTTTGCAGTCATTACCTTGTTGGGCAGGTAAGAAGGATCGCAGACAACTTTCTTGCATTTGGCTGTCTCTCCCTCGGATGTAACACCACAAACCTTACCTTCCTCGTCAAACTCTACCTGTTATCAAAGCAATGGCGTCACAATTTTCCTTCCTGTAAGCTATATGAAGTGCACAAAAGATGAGGAAGCCAAGGACATACCTTGCACTCAGGTTTGTTCAACATGTAAGTCCCACCATAGACAGCACTAAGTCGTGCAAATGCCTGATACCAGGAAGAGAAGAAAAAGAAGTTCAAAGGGAATCCAGAAACTATAATCCAATACATCAAAATAGTTGCAACAACCAAATGAAGCATGTCTTACCTGAGGCAATTCTCCCAACCCATAGAGAGGATAGATATATGGTGAACCTCCTTGGAAACGTGCAAGGGACTCTGCGTAGAGCTAATATAAAATTCAAGCAACAATGTCAGAAAACGGACTAGCTCAGAGCAAAAATTAAGACTTTAAAAACCTAAGGATCCAAACTTCAAAGTCTAAAGAGAGCAATTCACCTTCATTCTCATTACAGTATCATAGGCAGGTTGATGGAGATGGTTATCATTACTGTGAAGTGCCACTGCATGACCAATAAAGTCAATAGTGTTTTCATCAAGACCGAATTTCCTGCCAAAGTGTTATCTAATAAGTTAGCAGCAGATCGTGACAACAACATAATGCAGAAGGCAATAGAACATTATCTTACGCAATCAGATCCTTTGTAGAAACTCTCTTCAAATCCACTCCATCATGTGTTTTCGGGTCCGCCTCATCGTAATTTTGAACATAACCGAAAAACTTCCCAGCTCGGCGCTTCTCAAAAATACCCATAAGAGAAGATTTGAGGGCCTCCACTGGAGTTGCTGGCACTTTTTGAACCTGTAGGATACTAACAGTTAAAGAAACTAGAAGAAACATAAAAAGTTAAACTGTAATTAAATCTGCTGCCAGGCTACAGTGAAAAAGCTTGTACCTTGCCTTTGACAAAAACATAGCTTCCATCAACAGCTTTGAAAGACAAGTACTTTGTCACATCTGTGTGAATAAGGACACGAACAAGCTTGCCATTTGCCATCATAAACTGGTCCACCACAACAAGAGAGAGAGAGAGAACAGTTACTAACTTCGTATTAGTAAAAAATAAGCTATGAAGGATCATAAGACTAGCTAAAGATCATTACTTTAGGCATCATGTCAACATTGTAGTCTCTGCTAGACCCTAAATGAGCAGGAGCCTTTTCTTCTCCCCTGAACTTCTTCCACAGCTGTAAAAACAAAAGCAACATCAATTACACTAAGCCACCAAAAAATTGGCCATAGAATTTCAGTACACATCTTTTCACGGAGAATAGACCTGATTGAGATTAAGCGATGTTGACTCTCCACCGTAGTAGTCATTCCTGTCCATGTGAAGTACCTATTGCAAATAGAGGTAAAGTTACATCATTAGTCAATCAGTATGATGATGATTACTCAGAATTGGTTTCAAGACAATGTAAGCCTAATCCCATAAAAGATTCTCTACATTCTCAATAACCAAATTCATCAAACTCATGGCTAAGCTCAAAAGGCAATCGCTTGAAATTGAAGTGAAAAAGATTAAACATTTCCAAGAGTTTTCTCACATCCGCACATAATCCATAGTCAGATCGGAAACCCGAGCTAAAAATCATGCAATCATGTTACGAATTCAAGTTCAAAATCTCGAATTGACCTTGGATCAAGCAACATCGGGAAATAAAGCATGGACTTTTACAAAACAAAAGGACGACTTTGAGAAAAATAGAGGAGGAAAGAGACCTTAAGACCATCGACGGAGAGAAGACCACTAAGGATGCACTCTTTGAGACCAGTACCGAGAACAATAGCATCGTACTCTTCATCCATGGCTGATCGCGGAAGACTCGCTGAGAAAAGAGAAGAAAGGGAGAGACTTTTGGTATGCGACCGTCGAGAAAGATCGGTGTTTGCGTCTATATATCAAAATATTTAAGAAAAACAAAATCCAAAGATGCTTGCTTTGTCAAATGGGTAATAGTAATACTCTGTCGAATAAAAATCTCTTTTTTAAAAGCTTTTTTCTCATTTTTAGTTATCTTCTTAATCATTTTTCTCTTTTTCAAGTATGAAATGGATAAATCACAAATTTAAAAGGGTAGACAAATGGATTAAATCTCTGTAATTTTGTTAACTTAGCATAGTTGTCCAAACAACTCAGTTTGCATTTCACTGAATTTTTCTTTAGGTAAATAACAATTTGATTAAACAAAATAAAGAAGAAAATGTCATTTTGTATCTTAAAGAAAAAAAAATATATATATTTTTGAAACAGATGTTCTTCGTCTTCTCCAAATCTGAGAGTAGAAAAGAAATTTGGCATTTTTCACAGTAAATAAAATTCTGTAATCTCTATATTATATATATAAAAAATTACAGAAATCAAGGCGCAGGGTTTCTCTCAACCTCATTTTCCTCTGTCTCTCTCTCATAACCTCTCAATGAAAATCTCGTCCAGGTTCGCTCCTCTCCCATCTCCCTTTCTCAATCCCCATCTACCAGTACATTTGTATTTGCAAATTTGCGATTTCGATGTTAAAGTTTCCGTTTTTCCGCGAATCAAATTGGGTTTTTGCTGTCAGTTTCTTCTTTCCGTCCTAGGTTTTGTTCTTGATCTCGGATTCACTTTTCAGGGCTGAATTCAGAAGCGAAACGCGTGGAGGATTTTCCCTGATGACAGTTTCTGGGTCGGGCATGAATTCCGATGAGGATCAGTGACGGGTTTTGATTTAGGCGTTGAGTTTTTTAGATTTCGATGCTTCTCTTGTCTACGTATTGGAAACATTCAGACTCTAGTGATTCTATATCATTTTTTCTGGGCTTAAGGGACGAAATCTCTAGTCTTTTTCTGCAATTCATTGGGTTTGATTTCTTGTGCTCTTTGGAGCAATCTGGAGTAGCTGATTGCGCAAGTGGATACAAAGTCTGGAACTTTTTTGGATTCTTGAGAGGTTTTTGAGCTGTTCATCTGGGAATTTTGGTGTTGATGGAGAATCAGAGCGTGAGTGATGATGAATTGTTGTACCCTGATGAGCCTGAGGAGATCATTGCTCAATCTTCAGAGGGAAAAGGCGAAGGGAGTGATGTGGTTTTTGCAAGAGAGGGACCTCTGATAGTCATAGCTAGTACTGAGCCTAGCAAATGCTTTGGTTGTAGTGAAAAGAAACTGAAATGTCTTGAGAAGGTGAATCTAGGGAAAGAGAAGAAGCTTAATAGACAGGACAGAATCGAGCTGGGACGTCTCTTCCAAAGTGCTATTAGCTCACAGGACTGGGAGATTTCCGAGAGACTGATTCAGCTGGCTGATCTACAGACTCTGAATGATTTGCTGTGTATTAGTCTAGATTCCATTTGGTTCTTGAGAACAGAGCACGAGTTACGTGGAATCACAGGGTTGATTTCACAGATCGTATGTCACGGTGCTCATGACTATACTAGAGCTACGCTTAGGACTTCGTTTCTTGCTTCATGTGTCTCATCTTGCCAGAGCCGGACACTGAGTCTTGCTGATACTGTAACTGTAATGGCTCAAAGGTACACATTTTGATTCTCTCATACCATGTTTGATTCCCCTTTCTCATAATTATAACAATTGAGTTGCATGAGCCTCTCTCCAGGTTGCATGAGCGTCTCCAAGAGTGTAGTGGTGATGAGGTTCTTAAAGCAGAAGCTAGTGCCAAAGTTCAAAAGTTTACTGAATGGGCACTCAAATGTATAGGTTTTCACTCAAGATGCCAAGGCCCTAGAGATAAAGCTAACCAAGACTCAGCCGTTGAGATCCAGCTCCAGCTTTCTGCTTTCAAGATGTTCTTAGATCTTGCAGGAAACCATCTGTCAGGAAAGGATTTCACAGAAGCCTTTGATGCTGCTTGCTTCCCGCTTACGCTGTTCTCTACTTCGTTTAATCCTGGATGGGCTTCGGGAATCTCAGCTACCATCATACATGGATTGCTGGGTATGTTGGTGGAAGGAGGTGCAGATAATGTGAATCAGTGCTTTCTTGAAGCTTCTCGTTTTGGAAGCACAGAGCTTGTGCGCATCTTGTTGCAGGTAACTACTTTAATCCTTATGATTGCTTGCAAGTTTCTCTGTGCACTCTTAAGTCTTAACTTTCTGTTCCTTGCTGCAGATTGCTCAAAGGAATAGCTTAGACGTGGATGTTGACTTAGCCTTGGGGTTTGCTTCACATTATAGTAAGATTGAAACGATGGACTGCCTTGTGGAAGAAGGTCATGCCATTGCTTTCTTAGGTCCCTTGATGAGAGCCGCAGAGAGAGGCTGTGTGCAAGTTGTGGAATGGTTTGTGAAAAGAGGCTGTCGTGAGATGGAGCTATGCTTGGCTCTCACAGCCGCCACTTCTAGCAGCCAGGTCAAGATCGCTGCTTATCTCCTTCCTCATGTTCCAAGACCTGTCCTCACTGCGCTCAGCATCGAAATCCTCAAAGCAGCCGGTGAAAGAAGCGGTGGTTCACTCCACGGAGTAGAGTTTCTCTTAAAATCAGATTTCCTCAGTGATCCTGTAGCCACTTATTCGGTTGCAGACACCATTGCAAAGTCAGAAGACGAGTCTGTTCCTTCAGAGCTGAAATCGTTTCTCCAAGAACATTGGTCAGAGGCTGCATTCAACCAAGGATTGAGAGAAAGCCGAGAGAACTTCATGAATTTCATGAGGGTTTTGAAGCTTGGAGAGTCTGCTATATGCTTGAAGGATCTTCCAGCACCATTGAGAGTTGCAATTGCTTACATGCCGCTGTATAGAGAGTGCGTGAAAGCGGGTGGGAGGTTGCTCTCGCAGAGGTTAAGAGGACAGCTCGTGGAAGCTGTGACGCTGCTTCAAGGCTTCGATGTGGAGATAGAAGATGTAAACAAAGGTCATCATCATAAGCTCATGGCTGTTTTGGAGCATCACCTACCTCTTTTTTTGGTCAAAGCTTCTTCACACTGACCAATATTGGATCCAGCTACTGAGAGTTATCTTAAAATAGTTGCAAAAAATAAGAGCTGAGAAACAATCATATTCTGGATCCAGAACCATGTTTTGAGGTGATTAAAAAAGTTGGTTTTTGTACAAACTTCATATGAGAATGTCTTTGTCCATGTCTCTTTTCATATCTCTTATGCATCCTCAACCATTGGAGATAATTGAAACCATTTTATATCATTTCAAGTTTTCAACCATAAATCAAATGAAAACACTATAATCTATTGCCTCTGTCTCTTTAGGTCATTAAAGAGAAAATCATGAATAGTTCTGCAATAAACATAACAAGTTTTACAAATGAAATAACTAATTATACAAAATCTCTTACTCTGTAAATAACAAATTAACCATAGACAAAAAAAACTTCCATTTCTTCAATTTAAGAAAACGTTCCTCTTTTTTTTGTGTTACATGTAAGAGGAAGAAGATACATGTTTGGCATTAGAAGAAGGCATTAAAGCAAGAACCATAAGCAAAACCATAATCCCAATTGGGATCAGAAGCAGCATAAACGGAGGAGGAGGCAATGGAGGAAGTATCAACGGCAAGATCAAGAGAGATGCTGTGAGACCAACAAGCACAACCATTGACTCTAAACTGAAGTAACTCGCTGAGATTAGCCTTCTCGGACTGTTCTGAGACGACAATGTCCGAAAGTATTCTTGCTTACTCATCATCGGAGCTTGGGTTGATCCACGAAAACTCATGTCTTTTCGGTTATCTCTTCTCATGTCCATGTTTTTGTTGCTTGAACAACGGTCTTGAATGTTTATAATGTCGTTTTGTAGACTGGAGATCTCACGAATCATCTAAACGAGAGGTTTTTTCTTGAGGTTTGATCTGAAAAATCAGATCGATGTCCGAAGAAACAGAGCTTTACCCAAATGCGAAACAGAGTTTTGTTTCGTTCGTCAATGTAGCTTGTTTGAAGAAGTCTGGTGATGAAATTACACAGAAACTCGAGGTGATTCACGGGGATCCTCAATTGATACTTCGAAATGCACACAAAATCCGAGGCTTTAGAAAGATTGATCTCGGCGTTATCACTCAGAACTAAAAAAGACTTAAACTTTGTCGTTCCCGGTAGAGAAGATTTGATTGTTGCTCACGAAAGGCTGCAGAGAGAAATTTGTCGACGTTTTGATCAGTAAATCGTTATGGTTCGTAGACGGAACAGAGCAAAAAGCAGAGAAGCGAAACAGAGGAAATTTTACAGAGAACAAATCAGAAAACTGAGATAAAGCTATTACCTTTAAGCCGTGATACGAGCCAGGCTCTTACAGAGAGAAGAAGGTTTAACGTTACAAAGTCGAAATCTGAGCTGAAGCTTAAATCTAGAGGAAGCCGGAGAGAAAGGTTGAAACTTTTCTTTGTAAGGAAAATATTAGAAGAAGAAATAAAAGTGGGTGTGGTTTGATATGGAATTTGGTATAAAAACTGGTAAAAGATATAATGAAAGAAGACAAGTAGCAAAATAAAAAGAAAGAAGAAATAAATAATCTTTGGGATTAGACTGTGGAATCAGAGAAGAAACAGGAAAGAGAGGAAGGTTCAGTGAATTTACAGATTTTTTTTCTCCAAAAGACAATAATTTAAAAATCTTCTCTTTTAGGGGTGACAAGTGTGAGAAGCAAGTTGCTGATTCTGGAAGGTGTGAAAATTGAAATCTATTTGAAAAAAAAAATTAGAATACTTTGCTTCACAATCACAGTTGGTTCTTCTCCCCTAGACACACACTTTCTCTCTCTTCTTCCTTTGTGTTGATGATGACGTAGTCTGAAATTTTATTTGAGGTAAGCCTCTGTTTGAAGTGGAGGTTTACTATTTTTTTGAAGATTTGTTTTGGAATTATTCGTTGGTGTTTTGATTAAACGAATCTACACTTTAAAACATTGTTCGTCTACTCTAGTCTACTTTTTTAGTTGACAGAAGATATAAAGCAGTCGTGATTTTTCCTTTCTGAGTTGTATAAGCTTTAGGGGGATGTATTATTTTTAATTAGATTTTTAATGGAGAAAGTATATATTACAATGGTATTATCGTCCAAGGTTGTAATCTATTGAAACTATGGACGCAAAACCGTAGTAAACAAAGAACTGAAATCATCTGCACTAATGGTGAATACAATTGAGGATGACAATGATTAATAGATTGAATGCAGTGAGTTACAAATGTAATTTGAAAATATATATTCAAAACTTATCGAAGAGAATGTATATATAAGTCATATAATACACATTTCCCACCTAATAATAATGTTGTCTATGTTTATCGACCAATTAGGACCCATATTGTTATTATTCTCGTCGGCATTTCATGTGGTGGATATATCATATATATCATACATAATCGTGTTCCTAGTGGGACAGTTGGTCCAATATGTATTTTTTTCTCAAGGTTTTGTGTGTTCTAAAATCGTTTCTATTATATTGTGTTTTTGCCCATATCTTTTAGTTTAAAAGCAATGCATATGCTTCAAGCTAGTTATACAATTTTGTGAGATACTTTTCTGTATTTTTACGTAAATGCAAACTACTTTTGGTTGCATGATTAATGAGGGACATGCTATTTTTCGTAAGCAGCTCGTTTTTGGCCTTTCGGGTATTAACCAGTTAACAGGTTGCCAATACGTTACTTATTTATCCAAATTCAATGAATCACATTCATAACATCAACTAGGTCAATTATGCTATAACTATTTTCGTATGTGTGTTGTCAACCACTAGCTAACTAAATGACATAATGGCTGAAGCATAAAAAATTACAACATTACCTCCTTTTATAAGCAAAAACCAAACTTAAACATAAAAAGACACGATGCATGCCGACTTATAGATGTATAAGCTTTTATCGTAAGTTGTAGCTATTAGGGTTATAAAAAATATCAGAGAGATTCAGAGTGATATCTTCGCGGCCGATACTTAGAGATATTCATGTTTATCTTGTAGATATGTAGATGATCCGATATCTTTAGTTTTATGATCTTATAGTTAGGATCGATGCAACTCACTCCTATATAAATATATATGTATGTATAATATACTGTGTCTCCTATCGAAATATATTAAAAAACGTTTTATGTGGTTGAGAATTAGAATTTTGCTATCTCACGATTTCCTCTGAATCGATCAGATCACATATCTTTACTGTTTTTACATCAGCATTTTTTTAATCGGAAACTAAAGCTTGTATTGAGAAAAGGTTTAATTTTCTGAATATATTATGATAATACATTTTATGTATAAAAATACAGAAAAATTTCATAGAAGAAAACGAGATTAGAACAATGTAGAATTTAGATTGAAATAAAAAGATAATAGTTGACAAAAAAACGGAAATAAATAGATAACAACAAATGGGTACGTAGTATAGAGACTCCGTAGTGTATTTGGAGTCTATTCAAGATCACCAGTCTCGATGTCAGTCCAGGGCATACAGTATGCAATCCAAATTCGTATAAAATACCGTATTTTATCATTATACAAATGTATACAGAGAGGGCAATCTCTTGTCCAAATCAGAAAGATTTTTATTCGTCGAATCGTAGGCAAAACCGGGAAAGATATACGAACTCATTTTTTAAGGGGTGAAAAAACAAGAGGATTCTATTTAGAATCTTGAGGAAATCAGAAGAAAATAAATATGGTGGGAAGGGAAGATAAAGAAATGGCAACCCATGCATGATTGCCTTGAACATCGCAAACTCTTTCCTTAGATTGCATGTCTAGTGGTAGTGGACCTGCAACAATATTCAAACCTATAATAATAAGTTGCATAATACATAGACATAATTAATGAGATGAAATTATTGTCACAATAACGAGTTTCTATGATATGCCCACAGTTTCATCACACACTTGAGCTTTTAAAATGATTAATCCTTTAATATACAGTGAGATTAAAGACTATCCTTTAATAATTTTGGTGGTATTACGTAGAGATGTATTGAAAAGAATTTTTTGGAGTACAGTGGTATGAGATGATTAACAAAGAAAATGGTGAAAGATAAATTAAATTAAATATCCAATGATTTCAAAAGGTATGTAATGTGGATGGAACGGCACATGTCACTGTCACGTGGATCGTTCCCAACGTTCAATGCATATCTCCACCAACTTGTCTTATTAATATTCCTCGTACAACTCTCCATAAGCTCTTCTACGTTAATACATTTTCATTTTCTCTTTTCTTCTACTTAATTGTCTCTTAACCCAAATTCCACAAATTATTGTTTTATGTATTTATAACTAATTAATACCGCTAAGAAATGGTATAAACATCCATTTAGAATACTCGTTGTTTAGACGGTACTGGTTATAAGGCACTACGACCGCGGATCTTCACCTAATCCCTATAATTATATTCAATCATATGCATTAATTAATCAACTCTACCGTGTCATAGATAAAGCTAGAGTATTTATTTTGTGGGGTATAAAGATAAGAATATATGGGGACATATACTTTTGTCGATTTTGTTCCAGCTTTGTAATGAAGTCTGAGCAAAGATATGTGACCAGACTCAAAAGGGAATTCAAAGTAGACAACAGAAAAAAAAAAAAAAAAACAATTCATGCATCTGCTGGTAAGGTTATTTGATTCATTGCATGTATCTTTATGTTTCACCTCCCTTGATGTAAAAGATAAGAATATTTTTTCTTAAAAGCTAACCATAAAGTTTAAAGTTATCTTGTTATATCATTTTTAATATAAAACTGTTGCACATGTCGTAAAAACAAACTGCGGGCCAAAAATTTACAATATTCTTCTCACTTTTTCTTAATGCAATGTTTTCTACTATCAGATTATATTTAGAGGAGTAGGACCCCAAGATGGTGAGCATGGTGGCTGCTCTGTTGTCTGTTACATCTCATTTTCAATCTTCAAATTATGTGTGCTCCCTTCACTATTTCACTTTAAAAAAAAATCAAAACCATTTTGTCCTCAATTTTCAAAAACCCTTATACACTTTGTAAATAGCTGGTTGCTTTGACTTAGGAAAAATGTCAAATTGGCTTTCTACATTTTCTAAGTTGGAATAAAATCAAGAAGTATAAAAGCTACGAAAATTCAAAGAAAAAAAAGGCATCTTAATTTTACATGCCTGCAAATGTAAATATTGGACAGTGATCAAGTATGTATGTTCTTTTTGATAAAAAAAAGTCAGTACATACTTATATTTTTATTATTAACAAGAGTATATATGTTACCTGAAAAACTTAATCATCAATTAAGCAACCCTTTTAAAAAGTAGTCAAATGTCTAGTGCTCTCCAACTCTAATATGTTATAGAAAATCTCAAAACACCAACTTAAAATTCGAGCTTTAAGAAGATTTTGAACAACCCAAAACGCACGCAAAATGTCGACGAATATATATTGTCTGGTTCAAAGCTCAAGTTGACAAAAAGAAAAAAAGGTTCAAAGTTGAAATGAAAAAGAAATAGTTTTTCGATGCCGGGCATAAAAAGTTTTTGAGGGTAATTACTAATTAGTCAAAAAAGACATTTACTTTGTTTGAATGTTTTTGTCGTGGAGATTGATTCAGTGCATTTGCTCCAACCTTTTGACTCTTTCTTTAATTCCCTTTAACCATTTTTTTTATTCTCTGTCTTTTATCTAATCCCTTTCCTCGATCCAACCTTGCTACTACAACAGTCTTTCGACTGATTAGGACACTTGAAACTCAATTTATTATAACGCTGTCACGGACTCACGATGAAAACGTTCTGATTTCGATTTAATTAAAAACAAAAAGAGAAAACACGTAACAACAACAAGAACATTCGTTTCAACTTCATCCAACATAGATCAAAGATCCACCAATTTTATTAAGCTTAAAACTCTCAAAAAGACTCAATAATGTCACAAAACCACCTTTTAGAGGTTTTACATTAGAGAAACAAAACAAAGCATTTGAAGAAAAAGATCATAAACTGCTTCATCAAATCATATCTTGGCTTCTCGAGCCGCCAATCGCTTCTTCTTCTTCTTGACACTAGCAGATTTGTAACCACCTTTGCAAGGTTTCCCCCAAGGACTAACCGAAGTCCTTCCTCTGCTTCCACTACTCTTGCTCTTCCCTTCACCACCACCGTGTGGATGATCACACGGATTCATCGCCACTCCTCTCACTGTAGGCCTTATTCCCCTCCACCTGTTCTGTCCTGCTTTATACAGCTTCTTCACTCCGTGAGACGGGTTCGACACCGTCCCAATCGTAGCACGGCATCTGGCGTTGAGCCACCTGGTGTCCCCTGATGGAAGCTTTATCAAGCACTTGCCTTTAGCTGGCTCCAAGATCTTCAAGATCTTGGCGTTTGTTCCTGCGGCTCTGACCATCTTGGCGCCTTGCCCTGGGTTCATCTCGATGTTGTGGATGATTGTTCCTATCCGCATCATGCCTAGCGGCATGGAGCTTCCTATCATCGTGTTGATGTCCATGTGGGACATCTTTTCTTCCATTTCCGCCACCATTGTTCTGTCTCGTGCATCAGCATATCCTGCTGAAATAACCAACAAAAATACATTAGAGGCGTTGAAAATGTTTCATCTTTCACAAAACAAAACGCTCCCAAAACACCGCAAAAGCTAGATGATATCTCAATGTATGATCTTCCTAACCAAGTTTGAAGTCATGTATAATCAACTCAACACAGTCTTAATAGACAGCCTTACATGACCAGACAATCCCAAGTCCCATAAAGTGCCAACAAGCATGTGTTTAGTGTACTTGATTCATCATTTTGTATGCACTCATAAAGAATCTAGCACCGAGATGAAGAGATGAATGAATTCTAAAGGGGCTAAACATTGATCTTGTTATTGTTACAGAAACAGATCATGAATAAGGCTTATGTAATTCAATAAGAACTCAACCGTAAGGCGTAAGAGTATCTAAGTTTCTGTAACAATAAGGCTTATGCAATACTGATTCCTAAAGGATTCACCATCCTATAACCTATGATTATTAATTTTCCTTCTTTGCCACAAAACTCACTGAAGAACCTGATTCCATTCTAGCAGCAATTTTCATTGTTCAAGCAGAAAGTTTGAATTTTGGTTTTTCTGAAACTGCGTCATATAATGGCCATATATATCCAGATTTAGGAGACTTGTATTACTCATGCTCGTATTTGACTTACCTGTGGAGAAACTGCGAAATGCTGGACGAACAACGCCTTTAAGTAAAGAAGACGAAGCAGCAGCTCGAGCTCTGCATAGCGCCACAAGAGCCGACATTGATTGACTCTGCGTTTTTTCAAAATCTAGCTTAAAACCTATCAAACAAACAACGATATTAACTCGATCAACTCGACGCAGATACCTAAACCGACACAAAATCACAAATATTTTCGATTCCCAAATCTAAAACACTTTCCTGAGTCATTTCTACGAGTCGTGGATTGCAATAGATAGAGAATGATTGGTTTCAGGTTTCAATTGAGATCGCGAGACAAACCTCAGAGATGCAAAATGGGATCCCTGCAAAATGCTTCCAACGAATTCGAGTGTGAGAGAGAGAACGCGGCTCTGATAGAGAGAGGAGGAGGCTAAAGCCTAAATGTTCGATTTGGTATTTGGTAAACCGGCTCTGATAGAAAGTCTAATGGTTTATTAAAACCGGTTATCGCTGCCCGGTCCGACCGTGCCTCCCTACAATAATCCAGCCTTAATTATTGTAAATAGGGATTGTAATTAACATTCATACTTAGTTACTTACATTCGGAATTTCGAATCAGATGTTACTATTTAATAAAATCAGATGTTACAAAAAAAATCTTGGTTATGTTAAATCAGTTGATGTTTTTAACATGTTAATTATGGATCAACACATTTTAGTTAAGACCATTGCGTTTAGGTTCATACATGTTTTAACCTAGATCAAATGTAATCGACAATCACCGTGCGAATTATGCAATAACCAGTTCCACTATCAACGCGTATCCATTTCTTCTACATAATTCTTTATCAATTTAGTACACTTTATGTACATAGTGTAAAATTGGCTTGTAAGAAAGTTGAAGAAGTTCAAGAATCTCACGTATAACTAACATACACTTAAAAATCATATGTAAAAATCATTGGCCAAAGAACATGAAAGAACTTGCAAAAACTATGTAAAAAACAATAGAATCTGACATTTTTCAGAAAAGATGGATACACTTTTTCCATAATTGTCAATAGCAACATCACTAAGTATATTGGTCAAAGTTAAAGTTTCAGGAACCAATCCTCTCTGAACTTTAGCTTCAAATTTCCACAAATAACTTCCATGTTTCGTACCACAATGTCGTCTAACTGAATTTCACAGAAAAAACAACATATCTAATTTGGTATCAGAAGAAAACTTTTAAAATTCTCACATTGTCAAACTCTTCTAAACTGGTTGTGAATGTGTTAATTTTTGCAACCTTCTCCAATGCAAGATAAGAAGAAATCCGGTGAAGACTCAACGTTGGCTATGCAGGTAACAAAATCAAATAAATTATAAGAGAAAAACACTAGTACATACATTCACATCACTCATGGCAATATTGACCTCCAAACCAATATCTTTCTTCATGGTCACATAAATTTCATGTGCAGCCAGCTATGCACATGAGGAATATTGTCTTCAGTCACATGTAGGCAAAATAATACAGTCTGAATTATTGTAATTAACATCCATACTTGCATTCGGATTATAGAACATCTTGGTTATGTTAAATCAGTTGATGTTTTTTAACATGTTAATTATGGATGAACACATTTTACTAAAGGCCATTGCGTTTAAGTTCATACATGTTTTAGCCTAGATCATATGTAATCGACAATCACCATGCGAATTATGCAATAACCAATTCGACAGGATAGGGATGCATTCCCAAACCGGTAAGATAAGCAATCGAACCGGACCACAATCATATAAGAAGTCCAGAAAATAAAAGACAGCTCAATTCAAAAAGTCTGATCCATCAGTTATCAAAAGCACAAACCAAACAAGTCTTTCATTCAACTTATAAATATTCTTAAAGACGATGGAGAGAGATTCATCAGTACATAGCCACTCTTCCCCTTGAGCTCTCTTCCTTTACTCCTGCAAGAAAATATAGTCAAGACTTGTAAGCAAAAACGATCAAAACAATGTTACAAATCCATAAGCGCAAAAAAAAGAGAAAGAAGATTATAATAGCAACCTCATTCATCATCATCATCATTATCATCATCCTTCTTAATACGAGTCTCACCACCTTCCTTGATAATAGGAAGCTTCATAGCACCAAACGGCGTATCAACATCAACATTCCCTTTGATAGTGTATCCAGTGCCTTTACCACGGATCATATCCCAAAGCGCAGAGCCAAAGTCCTTTGGCCTGAACGTAATCGGAACATTAACCAACCCACTTCCGTTCTTGTCAAGCTTGATCGAGTCAGTGATCTCTGCTTTCCCAATACTCACATCAGACAACCAAACCTCACAGTCCAAGTCATTAAGCCCCAAGTCGAAATCATTCAGGTTCTCAAGCCTCACATGAAGAATCGCCACCGTCTCTTCCAAAGAAAACTTCTGGAACTGAATCTTCTCAATGTCAACATCAGGCTTCTTAGGGATAGGAATCTCTCCACGCTTCTCCATCGGCAATGTAAGTCTTCCCAAGACAGGAACGTCAACGATGAGATCAACTTTGATCCTGTAAGGTATGATCATCCCAGGGTTAATGTCGTTGTAAGTGCTCTTGATGTCATCGTAGATCAAAGTCAATGGTATCTTCACAGTCTCTTCTCCATGAGCCTTGAGTGTTCCTGCATCAGGGATCAAACCAGAAACAAGCTTCCTCCCGTCGCTTTCGACCAAGTAGTTGATGTCGATGAGAGGGATAGGGACTGGATTGGGGTTCTTGACAAGAACATCTACAACGATGTCTGCTCTCTCGAGGTTGATCTTGGGGATGTGGATTGCAGAGACGTCAGCGGTTGGCTTCCCAAACCCGATTGTTTCTTCGATTTTCTCACCAATGTCATGAATGAAATCTTTCACCTTGTCCAAGAATCCACCTTCTTCTTTTTCTACTTTTTCTTCGTCTTTAGCCTTCTGGCTTCTATCCACGATTTCAACTTTGTTCTCGTCCACGACGTCCAATTTGCTCTCTGATGTCGACATAGCTAAGAAGCAACATGACATCATTTCAAAGGTCAGTTTTAGTGCCACAGAGACAAAAGCTTATGAGTATCAATGGACAAAAAGCAGAACAATGGCTTAAAAGTCGAAGCAAACAGTTTTTTTTTATCACAAGTTGTTATATAGATCATATTATCTGGAAATGAAAAGGAATGTTTTTTTTCACCAAAACACAATCAAGAACTCGCATGACAGTAGATCATATCAACTAAATGGTAAAATTGAACAATGACAACATCCTATTGCTATAGATCTCTGAAGTAAGCAACAATGATCAGATCTTGTGAATCGAGTGGATACAATTGGAAAACAAAGACAAAGGCAGATCCAAATATTCGATCTAGACATGATAGAGCTAAGAGCCTAAGATCATGAGAAATGTCAAAGAGATCGGGGAAAACAAAAGGTCAGAATTATGAAAAAAACTCGTTCTGATTTCAATGTTTCGATCAGATCACTAAGGATCAACACAAGAACTACAATGATCAGAAGAAACACATGGCAGATTTGAAGTTACCTGGGGAGTTGGATGAATGTGAGTTCACAGAGAGAGAGAGATGGTGCTTAAAGAAAGAGTCACAGAATGATTGAAATCTGTGGAACCGGTTGGTTCGTTGAACTATATAAGTATTAAGCTATTAACTAGTTAATGTGACGCGTAGTCTTCGCGTACCGACAAAAATCTTCGTCGTGTAAGGTCACACTATTGGCCTTTAAAGTTGAAACACTCCTTAGAAATTCACTTCGACACCTCAAATTTCAAGATATTATGACAAAGAGGATGACATTTTTGATTGGTGCAGAAAAACCCACTCGCCCCCAAAATTCGGAGGAATTCATTATTACAAAGCGTCTAAATATTTGTTCACCAAGGTAAAAAAACATTTTGACAAATCTTTGAAGTACAATTTCGGAGATTTGGAATGTAACCGAATGCGATACAGGAAGAAGTTCTCATACGTGATCATTGCTTCATCAATGGAAGGAGCAGAGCTATTTCAGGTGGTGCTCAAACAACGACGCCATCTCGAGCTGCAGAAGAAAAAACAGAGAAAATTTCAAGACTTTACGGAAGAGACACGAACTTGAGTGGTGACAAATATGACCACACTTGCTTAATTGCAGGATCAGGAATTTCTACATCTTGTTTCAAGAATAAAGGATTGATCATAATGATACTTACCGCCGTCAAAGCTGTTTCAGCTCCCTTATTCCCGGCTTTGCCACCAGATCGATTCAGAGCCTAGTGTTTCAGTTAAACCACAATATTAACAAATTCAGTGTTTATACATTCTGATGATATAAAGCTATTCTTGCAGAACACAAATCTAACCTGATCCATGTCCTCGCATGTCAGTACTCCAAAGATGCATGGAACACCTGCAAATTGGGAATCAAAAGCTTTACTGCTACTGCAAAGCTAAACTATTTCAAGAGAAGATGACATGGGACTACTTTGATGTTATGGGAACCTAGTTCTCTACAATCCCAAGAGAGGCAAAAATGAAGCAGAGGTTGGAAGTGTAAAAACAATTCTCTCTCTGTTTTCAAATCAATGTAACATACGTGTGTGTGGTGAGACTAAAATGAATATGGAGATGTACCTGAGTTTATGCCAGCAGAAAGTACTCCGGAGGCAGCTGAGTTGGCAACAGCATCATAATGTGTGGTATCTCCTCTTATCTAACCACAACAGGGACACAAATTATATCAAAATCCGACTCTAAACACGTTTGTCAGCAACATAATCAGATGGCCTGAGAAGTGTTTTCATACCACAGCGCCGATACACAAAACGGCATTGAATTTTCCTGATTTCCCAAGATTTTGTGCAACAACACCTATCTCAAAGCTACCAGGAACCCATATCACCTGATCACAAAAGAGTGTCATTAGCTTCAGTTGCACTAGAGAAACTATATTGCTCCACGAGGATGTAAAGCTCTGATCTTAGTATTGTGATTTAACAGGAAAAAGATTTTACTTCGATGTCTTCTTCTCTGACTGCATACTTCTTGAAAGTCTCAATTGCTCCTTCCAAAAGCAACTTTGTCACTACCTCATTGAAACGAGCTACAACCTTGAAAAAACAACATTGAGAGAAAAAAATGAAAAGAAGCTCACTGAAAATGAGCTTAAACTTTCCATTTCACTGGAAATCATCTAAATCCAAACAAAGTCACCGAATCTGAGCAATGAATAAATCTGCCATTCTCTATATCTATCACTGAGACAATCTATCAAAATCAAAACAAACCCAGTAAAAAGTAAGAAGGCTATGCGGAGAACTCACGATGGCGAATCTAAGACCTTCCCCTCTGATCAGGGACCCAGTGACATGGCGAACAGCGGCCGTCTGTACGAATGAAGAGCGTAGCTCCTTCTCTACAGCGAGTGTTGACGGAAAACCTAATACGTAAAGCTTAACATCTCATCACCGGATTATTGCGAAAATCGATTTCAGAAGTTGCGGAGAAGTAAGCTTACCGGATGCGGATGAGGAGAATGAGAGGTTATTGGATTTCTTCACAGAAGAGCCACCGTGAATGTAACAGGCGGATGAAGATTGACGCGAATGGAGCTGAGGGCGTGCCGTCGGTGTTAGGCGGAGGCACGGCGGCGATGCTAACGACTCCATCGGGATTCTCTGAGATGGTCTTCGCTCAGGTTAGGAGTGAGACTGAGAAGGATCGTGTTAGTAAACCAAGTTTCAATTTAGAGCTCTTATTGGATCAAGGCTTCCGGTTAAACCATCAACAATTCCGGTTTTATTGAATCCAATAGTTTTGGTTTAGAGATTTCCGGTTTGACGAAAAGGGGTAAAGCTAAACCCTATATCCGAATCTCTCGCCGGCCGGAATTTCCAGACAAAATTGAAAGATTTGAACGGAACAAAACTTTCGTCTCCTGGGAAAGGAAAATCCTTGAATCATTTGATATGGCTACGAACGGGTACTGTTTCGAAGCTTTCGAATTTTAACATCTGAATTATGGTTTGATTGATGGAGATGATAAGAGAATCTACTGAAATAAACGTATTTTTGTGTTTTGTAATCACAGTTTAATGGCGTCTTCCAGTGTGTTTCTTCACCGCCCAGACGTCCGGCGTCTCGCATTTGCTTCTAGAACGAATCAGACGGCAGGAAAATGCGGTAAAGGCCGTGTTAGTTTCCTTAACATTGGGGGGACACGTCGTCCTCAGGTGGTTTTATCCATGACGGCGACGGCGGATTCCGGTGAGGAGGCCGTGAAGTCCGTTTTGCCTGGAAATGGCATTTCCATCATGGTATAGTATGATCAAAAAGTTGTGAGATTTGAATTCCTGGAAATGCATATCAATCATAGTTAGAAATGTAGAAATGTCAAAGTGTGTCCCTTTTCTTCGATCAAGTTTAAAGTTTTGAAATGTGGAATGTACAGGTGAATGGATGCAGTGGCAAAATGGGGAAAGCTGTGATCAAAGCAGCAGACTCTGCAGGAGTAAATATCGTTCCGATGTCGTTTGGATCTGCGGCTGAGGCTGGCCAGAAAGTTTTGGTCTGTGGAAAGGAGATCACTGTGCACGGTCCTACCGAAAGAGAGAAAGTTCTTGCTTCGGTGTTTGAGAAGCACCCGGAGCTAATTGTTGTCGACTACACAATCCCATCTGCAGTAAATGGTAAGGCCCACAATCTCTCAGAGTATTCTGGATTTGTCTGTCTGTTGTTTGTTGATTTCAAGTTTGGGATTTTTGTTGTTGTTGCAAAATGTTAGATAATGCGGAGCTGTATAGCAAAGTAGGTGTTCCTTTCGTCATGGGAACAACTGGTGGAGACAGGAACAAACTGTATGAAACTGTTGAGGAAGCAAAGAATTATGCTGTGATTTCCCCTCAGATGGGTAAACAGGTATGTGTTCTCGGATGTTTCTGGTAGTAAATATTGTGAATTTAAGATCCTTTAGCTCATATCTTTGATGGTCTGTTAGGTTGTTGCATTTCTTGCGGCTATGGAGATCATGGCTGAGCAGTTTCCGGGAGCCTTCTCTGGTTATTCCTTGGATGTACTTTTCTTACTATTCTTATACATTCAAATGCATTTTGTTTTGTCTCTGTTGGTTTTATATTGCTTCTTGTTAAGTTCTAATCAACCTTAAAAATCTATATGTAGGTGATGGAGTCTCATCAAGCTAGCAAATTGGATGCATCAGGAACAGCAAAAGCTGTTATTTCTTGCTTCCAGGATTTGGGTGTGTCTTACGACATGGATCAGGTGCAATTGCTCGTCCGTTATTGTTTAAATCTCGGCCACATCTTATTTTTTACTCGGAATATGAATTTTTACAACTTTTTTTGTGGTAGATACAATTGATTCGGGATCCAAAACAGCAAATCGAGATGGTTGGTGTTCCTGAAGAGCATGTCTCTGGCCACGCTTTCCACCTTTATCACTTGACATCACCCGATGAAACGTAATGCAACATCTAAGACATTTTATTGATAACTTTGAATCTCTATTGTGAAAGTTTGTCTGTTCAATAACTAGCTGCCTTGTCTTTGTTTTTCTTTTGCAGTGTCTCCTTTGAGTTCCAGCACAATGTCTGTGGCAGATCAATATACGCTGAGGGTACTGTTGATGCCGTGCTTTTCCTTGCTAAAAAGGTTCGAAAACATTCTCCTTTCGCTCACAATGATTGACAGTACGAATTGAATCTCAATATTCTCTGAGTCTCACCTCTGTCTCTTGTTGTTTCAAATGCAGATTCGACTGAAAGCAGAGCAGCGGATCTACAACATGATCGATGTTTTGAGAGAGGGAAACATGCGTTGAGCTTCCAGGAATTTGAAGTTTTGGTTCTAGAACAGCTGAGATAGCTCACTTCTTCTGCCTTTAGGACAGGCTTATGAAACTACCAGGGTTTACAACTGGTTGTAGCTCTCCTTTGGTGTATACAGGAGCTTAGCATTGTCTTGTTCATGTTGACCTTCTTAACTTAAATATTATTCTTCTTTCTGGATCATTGAAGTCTTGTATGATAAAGAATATATTTGCATCATCATCACCACATAAAGTTGAACTCTTTCCGATAACTTTTTCAGTGTACATGTTCAAAATAAGTCAAATTGAAAAAGGTGTCACACACTCGCACTGTATCTCTATTTAATGGAGCAATTTCATGAAAATGTCAACCGTAATTGTGTTTTCTAATGGTACAAAGAGCGTAAAAACCTCAACTTTTATTTACCTATGAAAGGACTTTTCTCTCTCCTCTTCTAATCGCAAAACCCTTTCAGAGTTTCAGGCGAGAAAGAGAGCATCTTTTCTCATTTCCATTTGATTTGATTTTTTCTTTTAGCACAGTCGTAATCCTCTTCGACTCCAGTCTACTGGGTTTCTCTCCAAAATGAGCTACCTTCTTCACAGGAGGAACAAGTTCTTATCTTTGATCAGAAGACAGTACCTGATCCTCCCGACTCTCTCCTCCGAAACTAAAACCCTTCGAAACCCAGATCCTCACATCCCCCAATTTCAAAACCCTTCTTCGATTTTCACTAAATCTCACTCCTATGCAACCCAATCCTCCAAGTTCCCGGAGTACGAGATGCCCACAGTCACATGGGGAGTCGTACAAGGGAAGAAAGAGAAGCTCGTGAATCGCGTCAAAATCTGCGATTACCTCAAGGGTTTAGGCATAATCACCGACGAATTGGAGAGCATCGAGCTACCTTCCACAATCGAAGTCATGTGCGAGCGCGTCGAGTTTCTACAGAAGCTCGGATTAACAATTGACGACATCAATGAGTATCCTTTGATGCTAGGCTGCAGCGTGCGTAAGAATCTGATCCCAGTCTTAGCTTACTTAGAGAAAATCGGAATCTCTAGGTCGAAATTGGGTGAATTCGTTAAGAACTATCCTCAGGTTCTCCACGCTAGTGTAGTCGTTGAGCTTGCTCCTGTGGTTAAGTTTCTTAGAGGGCTCGATGTTGAGAAGCAAGATCTTGGCTATGTGTTGATGAAGTATCCAGAGCTGCTAGGGTTTAAGCTCGAAGGCACAATGAGCACATCGGTTGCTTATTTGGTGAGCATTGGTGTGAGTCCTAGAGACATTGGTCCAATGGTGACACAGTATCCTTACCTTTTAGGGATGAGAGTTGGAACCATGATCAAACCTCTTGTGGAGTACCTAATCTCAATCGGTTTGCCTAAGAAAATCGTTGCTAGGATGCTGGAGAAGCGTGCTTACATCATCGGATACAACCTAGAGGAGACTGTTAAACCGAACGTTGATTGCTTGATTAGCTTTGGTGTCAGGAGAGAGGTGTTGGCTTTGGTTATAGCACAGTATCCTCAGATTCTTGGTTTACCGGTGAAGGCAAAGATGTCTACGCAACAGTACTTCTTTAGCTTGAAGCTCAAGATTGATCCTGAAGGGTTCGCTCGTGTGGTTGAGAGAATGCCGCAGATTGTTAGCCTTAAGCAGAACGTGATAATGAAACCTGTTGAGTTTCTGTTGGGGAGAGGGTTTCAGGTGGAGGACGTGGCGAGGATGGTTGTGAGATGTCCTCAGATTCTTTGTTCGAAAGTGGAGCTCATGAAGAACAGTTACTACTTTTACAAGACGGAGATGGGGAGACCGATGAAGGATCTTGTGGAGTATCCTGAGTATTTTACGTATAGCTTGGAGTCGAGGATTAAGCCGAGGTATCAGAAGCTACAGGGTAAAGGGATTAGGAGTTCTTTGAATTGGTTTCTTAATTGTAGTGACCAGAGGTTTGAGGAGCGGCTTGAAGGTAACTTTATTGATCCGGATAGTGAAGAAGGTCCGGTGTTTGATATGGGTGGGAAGTTGGAAATGCCTGGCGGTGGTGGTGAGATTGTGTCTGATGCGGATGAAGAAGATGAGAGTGATGATGACGTTCTCTATAGACGCACTGTCACTTTGTAGAATTAAAAAGTTGTTAGCTTTGTCGATCTATTATACTTTCTTTGTGTTCTTTGGTCTCTGTTCAATTGATTTCTAATCAAAGTTTGATTTGGTTTTCAGATTTTTAAGTCATGTGATTTCTAATACAGTTGATTATCCTAAATTTACTATTTAACAAATAAGGGAAAGTTCACTATTTACATTTTATAGAAAGAAAGAAAAAAATCGTATAATAAAGTCAGAAGAAAAGGAATTCATATTGGAGAATATCTGAGAAAAGATGTGGAGGAAAGAAAGTATTAAAGTCGATCTTCAAAATAGTAAAACGCAATTCGATCTATCTAGTTCCCGAACTATTGGAAGAAATTTTCCTCCCACTACGCTTGAAATCAATCCTCATAACCGTCTTAAAACAATGGAAATCGGAATCTCTAGATCTTTAATCATATTTCTAATTAATTTCTAATCATATTTTGATTTGGTTTTCAGATTTTTAAGTCATGTGTTTTCTATTGAAAGATGTTGAAACAACAATGCTCTTTTAAAAGAAGAACCCAAACACGCAAGAATATAGCAAACACGGATTATCAAGAATCAAAATTTGAAATAGATTAAAGGAAGAACTAAATTTGGAGTGTCCAAAATATGCACTTTACATTTGTTTTGTTTTCTTGACTCTTGGGCTAAGGTTATTTTAAAATATTCATAACGAATAGGGGAAGTGGTCTTCAGCTTCATCATCCCAATGACAAACAGAGTGAGACCACGATGTAAGAAATTTGGGAAGAATCCAGAGGACTAAAGAGATAGCAGTGACAAGCAAGCTGCGTTGAATTTTAAGACAAACAAGCCTCAGAAATAGAACATTCGATTTGTGTTTAGCAACGTGTCTGTGTTTTTAAATCTAAACATTCCTATTACAGTAATTAAATAATCCTATGTGTGTGTTGTTAATTCTAAACATTCATTTTCTTTTTCTCTTATTAGGTCCTTTTCTAATTGGTATTATCTGTATTAATTATTTGATTTGATATTTTTTATTTTTAAATCTTAATTCGTCGTTTGTGGCATCGTCACGGTGATTGTAGTGAACCGATGTTTTTATTCTTATTCTTCTTCTTTTGATTTTTGTTTTTTGTATATTTTTCTTCGATCTATTCTCCTTTATTTACGTTTTTTTTCTTCTTTGGTTTCTGCTTCATCTTTACTCTTTATCATTTTTCACTTCAGTTTTTTTATCCGGTGGTTTCTTATTCTGTTATTTATTTTGTTTCTTCATCTCTGATCATCTACTGTTTACTTTTTGTCTTTATTCTTTATATCTTCGTCTTCAGTTTTATGTTTCTTCTTATTTTTTTGTACTCGTCTCGTTCTTCTTCTTCTGTTTTTTTCTATGATTAGTTCATACGGCCATTATTGTTAGCGTTTTGCTATGGGTTTTTTTAGCTTTTTTTTTTCTTACTATTCTCCTTTGGAAAATTTTCACAAATTTATCTCTTTCATAAATAATTTTATTGTAATCCTCTTTAATTTAATCTTATGTAGAATAATTTTTTCACCATCTAATACACTTAACCAAACTTAAAAACGAAACAGATTTATAGAAACAAAATTAGTTAAAGATGGTACAATTACATATTGACAAATATAATGATCAATGTTTAACAATAATACTAATAATTTAATTGATGTGATCATAGTGACTAAGTATTTCCATTGAAAATAGTAGGTTTTCCTAGAGTTTGTTTCTTTCAGCTTTTTTCTTATGTATTGGTTATTTTTCCCATTTAATTCTCCATGATTATATTTTTGGTAAATATGTTTAGTGTAAGTCTCTTTAATCTTATATAGAAAATATTTTCACTATCTAATAAATCTAACCAAACCTAAAAAATGAAAATGTACCTCTGAGTAAATTGTAGTTAGAGAACCTATTATTTAGGTTGGATTACTAAAGGAATAAAAATTATTTGAAGAAATGCTAATCGTTATTTTTATTTTTATTTTTCATTCTTGAATATAATTTTTTTTAAATTATTTATTCTTCTTCAATCTCTCCTGCTGTAATTAAGTCTAAGTAAATTTTTGGTGTTAATAAAAACTTATAAATATATTTTTTTTATCTTTATCATATCTCGATCCAAATTACAGTTATAAAATTTGAAAAAATTCATAGTGTTAGATAATAAAATAATCCAACACGTGTGTATCTCTATGATCTAAACATTGTCTAAACAAGAACATTCCGTTTTAGTACTCCCCCCCCCCACACTCCAATCAATCTTTTTATCAATCTTTACAAAAAGATCTAAACATTCCTTTTTAAAAAGAACACACTCCAATCAATCTTTACAAAAAGAACACATTGATGAATATGCGTTATCACAGACCCGGGCTTGCGCAATTTAATGTGGCTCTTATTTAGCTTTCGATGTTTAAACAAAATCTGTAGAACCATAGCTGGTTCAATGAAGGTGAGTGCTCTGTTATATAATAATGCTTATACTCGCTCGTCCATAGAAGGGTAGAAGCAAAGGAATGGTGAGGAAAGCTCTTTACAAAATAAGTAATCAAATTTTATAACGTTTTAAAAATAGAAGTACCTGTTTTGTAAATAGCGCATTAGTAGCGTTTGTAAACAAAATAAGTTATCAAATTAGTAGTGAGTCATCATTAGTAGAGAGAGTATAGTAATATAAACAAAAGACTAATTGAATTAAACAGTGTTATTATGCATCTCTATCATCGGAACAACATTCTGAGCTCCTCAAGTCTCGCCGACAGGACTTCTTCGTCGGTCAAAGCTCCGCCTTTCTTACCTCAACAGGTTCCATCTTCACATGCGTATCACTCGTCTCTTGTGTCACTAAGTGATTAAGAGAGTCTGGTTCTACTTCAATAACTTCAGGGGTATCCAAGTTCTCTAGTTTCCCAGTGTAGATTGTTCCTTCAGTCTCCATTTTCCTTCTTTAAGAAGACAAAAAGAGACCAATCTAGTTGACCAAGTTTCATGTTTTGTCAAGAAACCTAGAGTATTGTAAAAGGTTTTCTTATTGAATTGAATGTTAAGGCCTCGCCTTATATACACATCGATAGACCTAACTACACATCGATAGACCTAACCACAATAGTTATTTACTAAAGCAGGACATAAGAGTAAGATAATTACATAATAGGTACTCTTATCCCTAATATGTTTTCTTGCGACAATCCATGAATCTCACTCTGATCATCTCATCTTCCTTTTCGGGCACATCTCATCTTCCTCTTGATCTTCTAACCTTGTACCTAAATCATCAGGCTCTTCCTCTTCCTTGACCCTAACTTCTTCTTGAGCAACCAGCAGATTCGCCACCATCACAAACAGTAACAGATTCGCCACCAGTTACCTCGTAGCCGTAGACTGAAAATCATCCGATTTAGACCTATTTTAGTCGATAATCCTCCCCAGGATTTGCTCGTTTGATTGAGCTGAGATTCGGACTCAAGTGCGACAAGAGAGGATCCGTCGCTAAAATCGGGAGTAGCTGCAGCGATCTTACCATCATCGTAACTCCAAACAGCTTCGGGTTCGGTCCTCTCTCTGTTTAAATCTGAGTAAATCATTTTCATTTTTTTTTATTTAAAAAAAGGAACTCAAAGAGTGAGACTGTGAGAGTGAGAGTGTTCTTCTTCTAACTTTACCAACTTTCAGTTAAGTTTTTTTTACTCAAGTAAAAAAAGTCAGTTCCGGTTCAGTTTCTCAAATAGTTTATTGGGTTGCAGCGGTTGATCGATTCGGACGTAGAAGCAGCTGCAAACGTGTAATTGAGAACGCCGATCGTATGATCTACTAAATCACAGTGTCTATGTTACGATGGAATAATTTCCTCTGCTTACATTGAGAACATTTTCAGGCTGCTTGTGGTGAGTTAAAGAACACTCGGATGTTCTTGAAGCTACTCGAAGCGGTGCTCAAAACAGGGAACCGAATGAACATAGGAACCAATAGAGGCGACGCGCACGCTTTCAAGCTTGACACGCTCTTGAAGCTTGTAGATATCAAAGGCGCCGATGGGAAGACCAACCTGTTGCATTTTGTTGTTCAAGAAATCATAAAATCCGAAGGAGCTCGCGTGGTTTCTTCTTCTCCGAACCAAAGCCCTGTGTCAGCATTCCAAGACGAGCTAGAGCTGAAGAAACTTGGGTTGCAAGTTGTTTCAGGTCTCAGCTCTCAGCTGATAAACGTCAAGAAAGGAGCTGCAATGGATACTGACTCACTCAGCTTAGAAACATCGGAGATAGCCAACGGGATAACGAAAGTCAAGGAGGTGGTTGCTGAGGTGAAGCAAGAGACAGGTGTGGAGAGATTCTTGGACTCGATGGAGTCGTTCTTGAACAAAGCCGAGGAAGAGATCACGGAGATGCAGTCCCAAGGAAGCAATGTGATGAAGATGGTTAAAGAAGTAACTGAGTATTTCCATGGGAACTCGGAAACTCATCCTTCTCGCATTTTCGCTGTGGTCAGAGACTTTCTGACGATTCTTGATCAAGTGTGTGAAGAAGTTGGTCGTGTGAACGAGAGAACAGTGTACCGGTCCGTAGCGCCGTCGAACCAGACCGTCACGCCGCTTTTTCAAAGTGAAAACGGTTGATTTCGTGTTTTAAAGAAACATGTATCTATATTTTAATATATATATGACCTGAAACTAAAGGAGAAGAGTTATGATAAAATGACAAAGTAAAAAACGAGAGGAAAAAGTTGACAGCCCTAACCTGGTCCTCTTCTCCTAAAGTCACTTCGACATTTTTAATGTTTGCTACCTCCTCCACGTCAAGATAGGAAGCAATTTCCCCAAGCTTAAAATCAATTTTACGAGGCAGAGCTGAGGTGCTAGGAAAAAAATGCATTTGAATATCCGCTATTAGGAGATGGGAAAACCCAATGGGTTGAACCTACAAAGAAAACAAAACACATCAACAAAAGTAAATAATAGACCCCAAATAACAAAATCAAATAAAAGCAGAGACATAGAGACATACTTTCACGAGATCCAGCTTGAGCTCAACTCCGAGAAAACTGTGTTCTTCAAGTGAATTTGATCTCCGGGAAGTCAAAGTGGTGTTCACCTGAAGTCCTGCGCAGATATGCTCACGGGAAACACCGCCGTCTTGGCCTTCAACACAGATGGCAGTGAGCCGACCTAGTATGAAGTTGACCTGCAAGAAAGTTGAAGAAGTTTGAGATTAATACACTCAAAATCATTACCCAAAGAAGACCATGAAAGAAAAAAAAAAAAAAAGTAGAAAATTACATTGTCCAAAAAAGATGGATACATGGTGAGCTGAGTTAGTGTGAAATATACCTGCAAGAAATCTTCTCAATAATGCAGTGCATACTCGCAATAGACATTTGAAATAAACAACAAAGTCAGAAACTGACCTCTATTAAAAATTTGGTTTTTCCTTTCATCTATTTCAGCTTGAATCAATTTTTACACTAAGAGATATATGCTGAAATAGTTGACAAAAAAAAGATATATGCTGAAATAGATGAAAAGAAAAACTAAATTTGAAGTGCACAAGAATGGTATTTTACATTTTTTGTCAACTCTTGCCTGAAGTTACTTTTGACATTTTGGCACTTTTACATAGTTTAAACAATAAATGACCTTACCTGTCCAATCGTGGTGGACAACAAATGGCCAAAATAATTATTTCGAATATCAGTTTCTTCTCTTCTGAATCACTTGGAAGATAGAAGTATCTCTCAATAACTTCTTTCATTGGTCGAGACAACATGATTTTGATGCTAGAATCTCCACCTGTTTTCGAAATAGTTAACAAATAAATATATAAGTTTACCGCTAGTATTTACAATTATTTTAAACCAAATCATCTCGTTGAATCTCACAAAACCCATAATTAAAAAGAAATATACTTTCTTCTAAACAATAAACACTAAACTATTGTAAATCCAAACATTTTTTCGATGCCAAAACAATATTATTTATTTATTAATTAGATCCATTTTGTTGTGAACATGCAAACTGAAAAAAAAATGTTATTCAATAACAAAGTTTTATGTAAACCGCTAATATTCTGTATCCAATAATTACAGTTAGTTAGTTACATTGACGTCATAATAAAAGAATTTTCATTTAATAAATTCCGCTACATTTCATTTCACTTTGTATTTATGTTTAAATTACTTGAATTTAAGACACATTTCATGTAATGTATAATGTATTTATGAATTTTCATGTTTATTTGATGCCGCTAAAGATTTTCTTATATCCATTAAAGAAAAATTGTCTTAACTTCAAAACTAAATAGAAAATTTCTCTTTCTTCTTTGCCCATTTGATTTGATTATTTTTCTCTTCAAAATAGTCAATATTAATCTCTTGGGTTTCTCTAGATTGAGATATCTGACGTGGCTGGTGATTCATCAGTACCGTTAACAGACACCATACAAGTTTTATTTCGAATTTGACCCATACAAGTTTTCGTTTTATCATTAAGACCAAGTAAATATACATTTACACAACAAACACCCCCTACTGTATAAACTTTACGTACGTGTGTATATCAACATCAGAAGATCACAAGATACCGAATATCTACATGAATTGATATCACAAATCTATGTAATTCAAATGAACAACAACACGAAACAAAATGAAACATTTTCTTGAATTGATATAACTTATTGACCTGAGATGCAAGAAAACAACCGATGGCTCTTGTATCTCACGAGTTGACCTTCCCGCGGAGGAGAACAACCCTTCTCCGGACCGTTTCTTTTGGTTTCCCGAGTTGATAACGATGAGAAATCTCCGAGGGACCAGGCACGGCGATGGTGACCGTCGACGTTCGTTGCGATATTGTCGGAGACGAAGTCGTAAGACTCACGAGTTGTGGCGGAGGAGGAGAGACACTCGTAACGACGGCGAGTTAGATTCTTCTTCACGGCTCTAAACGCCATTGGTATTAAACCATCCATTGGTATTAGATTCTTCTTCTTTCTCTACTTCTTTTGTGAATCTCTAGAGATGAAGAAAAGGTTTTGTTGTTTATTGGTGTTGATTTTTGGGTTTGGTGCTTAGTTACCTTCTCTTTTCTTCTTTTACATATTTCTTTCTTTATACAAGCAATCTCTAATTAATTCCTTTTATTTTTGGATTGTTTCTCCCATTTGATTTCTATGTCAATTTTTAATTGTTGAGTCCTTTTATATTATGTTTGGAATTCCACAGCTACACCAAAAAAATTATGAAAGAAATGTGTTTATTACGTTGGTGTTTTGATACCTGATCATGGAGTAATTTTTTTTCTTATGTAGATAATTGATGTAAGCATTTCAAAAGTTTTATAGCATGTCACAAACATGCATCTATCACAACTTTGAATATTTGAGATTAAAATGATCTGGATTAAAAATGTTTGGACGACATAACCATATATGATCCTTTATTTTGTCAACGAGAAACAGATGATTAAGATCAAACTTAAAACAGTAAAATCATGAACGTTTTGATTAAAAAATGTATAAAAAGGGTTTGTGACTGAGACATAGAAAAAGTCCAACCCATCTCTTCCTTTTAAAAATGGTTTGGCTGTTGGACACGTTATCATCCATCTGATCTTTGACTCAGTGTTTGTGCATAGCCAAAATCCAAAAGAGTTTTTGTTTAGGTTTATGTCCAATAAAACATTTTATATTTTTCCCTGAAGAAACGCATTCAAGATAACCTGATCACTCTTGTGGAAAAGAATGATATTTGAATAAGTAAGCTGGTTTTATAATAAGGAAATCCATGAAAATAGTTTTAGATAGTAATAGATATGTCAAGTTACACGAGCTGAATGTTGAAAATGTTGATTTCCCTTCTTGGAATAAAAAAAACTTGTTAATTGAAGCAACATGGCATTTTGCTTAACGAACCAAGCTTTACGCTTCGGGTCGGATTCTTGTAAAGTTGTAATCCACTATGACCATTATTTAAAAGCATAATGTATAACCTATGCTTAGTGGATTAATTTAAAAACTCGAACACCACTTTCTCTCCTTCCATTTTGTCGACTCTACATCCGATCATCAAGTTACTGTGATTTGAACGATCTTTGAAAATACAATTCAATAATATATCTTGTTTGGAAGCTGTCTTGACTATGACCTCTCACAACATTCAGAAGTCAATGAGCCGGAGCCGAATCCGACACGACAAGAAATTATGTTTAAGTTCGCACTTTAAACAATCGAATTTGCTACATGCATGTGTTTATCAAATTCTAGCAAAGATGACTTTCTCTGATGCACATCCCATTACGAGATTAATTGTTTGGTGAATTTTAAAATTCCGCTTATCAAATTTTCAATACTATAAGTTACAAATTAAACTCTACAAGATTTATTTTTAAAAACCGAAATAAATATTATTTGAAGAATGATTGATCTTAAAACATAAGAAAAATATATATTAATTTTTAAATCATCTAAACATAGCGAATAAACTCATGTAATGTATGATGCGAATCTGAGATGTACGTATGGCGAAGGAAAGTATTGATACTTTAACATTGTTGTTGGACTTTGTTTCAAGTCACAACATCAAAAGATGCTCTTCCACTGATTTCCCCCCAAAAAAAAAGAAGATTAAAAATAGTATATGAAGCTAAAGACGGTTGCGTTCTTGGAGAATGATAGATGCATATATAGACGTAAATTAATTAACAATTAAGAAGTTTACTAAATAAGAGTGACGACAAAGCTAATGATGCTTCTTACGCTTAACAAACACAAACCGTATTCAATTAACCAAAAGCAACATTTTTATTCGATGATGGGAATAAATAAAAAAACTCAGCTTTCAACATCCAATCTTGTTGTAAACTTGACATTTCAGAAAAATATTACAACAGTAAGAAACATTCCAACTTCTACATATGTTAACTTCAATCCAAATCCAAATATTTTACCGTTAAAATGTAGAAAAAGCAAATTTTATTGTGAGAAAATGTAAATACAGATTGTAAATAATTTTTCAATTTCCGCTCTTTAGTTTTTAACTATCAAGCTAGACCATAACCATTTGATATTCTAATATCAGTCTTACGATTAAAGAAACCTAAAGTACTTAAATATCCACTTATAAACATCTTAATACAACTAAGAAAAATTTAGCTAGCAAGTAAAAAGAGAAACTAAATTACCCACCAAACGTATGAATAACTAAACTAAGAGAGTTTCATTTACACCAGAAACGTTGAATCACTTCATCTTTGATATCAATATACATCAAACACTTGAAATCCACAGTTCTCTTGCTCAAAGCCTCCAAATGTACTTGACCTCTCAGTTTAGCTCCGATCTTGAGGATTATAAGCCCTCTCTTTATATCATTCTTCAAAACAGATGATGATCCCTGATTCTCTTTGTAACTCACTTCTGCCTTAACCTCTCTTCTTATGGCAGTATATGGAGCCACTCGTTGTCCATTAATCTTCATTTCACCAACAAGACGACCGTTGTACAAGACATCTCCATTACTAGTTGGAAACTCAAAGAACCCAAAGTTAGGATTCTCGATTCTGATTTCCATAGCTAGTGTTGCGTTGAAATAAGGCGATGATGATGATAATGTATCGTTGTACACAAGGTTTCTTAAAGCCACGGATGTAAGGCTTGCTTTAAGTGGCTTAGCTATGAGATAGAAACCGATGCTGATGAAGACGAAGAGAAGAATGCAAAGCCCTACGAGGGTGAAGATGATGGTATTACCGGTGATATCACTCTGTTCCGGTTGGTAAATTGCGTGAGCTTCATCAACATCTTTGCTCTTTCTTCCATATGTTTTCTCAGCATAGCCTGACATTTCTTCCTCGAGATGATAATTATTACAAGTAACAATATGCTTTTAGTATTGTTAAGGAGGAACTAGATGATAACAAGAACTTATATATTATTGCATCTATCAATCAGCAAAACCAATTCCAAGAAGAAATGGTTTAATATGTGGAAAATGGAAAAATATGACATATGTGGCTCTTGATCAGCAATGACACTTAAAGATGATGTGTGGTTTCCGAAATAAGTAAGAGATGCTTAAAAGGAGCATTTTTATCTTTTGTTTTTCTCCTTAAGGACTTTGTTTTTTTTTTTGTTTTTTGTTTTTTTTTCTTTCTCCTAGACCTGATGCAAAGGAAAGGTATCAAGAAAAGTTTTAAACTTTTTAAGTATCAAACTTTTCTTGTAAGATACTGTGTTAGGGTCACTGACTTGTAAGTTATTTCAAACTCCTGCAACAAGGTGTCTTTCTCTAGAAAGATAAAACGGCATTACAAGGTTCGTATAGGAAGATATGTTTGATGCCTTAGGAAAAACAATTGTGTGAGTTTGAGCTTTGAGATAGTAAGTCTTAAATTTTGGTTTATCTTTATAATGTACTGTTTATACATTTCAAAGCTAACTAGCATCCTAGAAGAAGTTTTGCCTTGAATTAAAGTATAGTTTGTCTTGTAATATTTTGTGTGAATATTGGAGATAGACCATTCAGGTTTTGTGGTTATTCATTTTCATTTTCATTTTCATTTCCATTAAGCTCTCTTTGAAACACTAACGCATGATGGACTAATGGAAGATCTATAGGCCAAAAACATGAGAATATAAATAAAGTTGAGAGGGTGAGAAAGCATGAAAAAACAGAGAGAACACTTACATGTAGTAGTGTTCTATCTGTTTGTTGAATGTTTTATGAGTGAATGGTCCTAAACCAGGAAGGAGTGAGGCTGCCAGAGCATGACCTAGCTTGGGTTTTAAGCAATATGTTTCCACAATTTCATCTCTTAACCAAAGATAGATCATGCTGGCAGCTTCACTTGTTCCCTTGTGAACTTGTCTTGTATTTGAGTATATATAAATATAATTATGCATGAAACGGAAGAAAGTGAGCAATGAAGGTGGAAACATGGAGAATTTGGAAGTGCACACGTGAAGGCAACGGAGGAAGTAAACAAGACATGAACACTTGAAGAGAGGAAGAGAGAAGAGAGATGATGCTACATGTATGGTAAAGAGGGGTTATAGATATTTATAGAAAGAGATGCATGAGACAGGATTTGAGGGAGAGATGTTTAAAAAATTTAAAGAGATGGTTGGGGTAAAAAGGAGAGAGACACCAAGAATTAAAGAAGCCTGAAACAACAATGAATTAAAAGAAGCATCATATAATGCATACAGCTAAGAGAGAAACAGAGAAAGAGAGACAAAATCAATAGGGCTATGAAGAGATTAGAGCCTTGGCCCTGCATACCTATATTTCCACCACCTGTGACCCTAAATATACTCCTTTATTGTGATACATCTCTTTCTTTCTATAATCTCACCCTCTCTCTCACGTACACACAGTGTCGTACCTTATTTTAAATCTTGACCATTTCTTTTGTTTTCATTGAAGAAGCTTTCCCCATTAGTTTGACTCATAATGCATTAGTTTGACTCCAACCTTAGGTTTTGCATTAACCACCCTCCTATGTTTTCTGCATTAAAAACACCATGCAAATATATGGTAGGTGTGGGTTTAATAGAAAATACAATCGCAAGAAAGATGACATTTACTCTCAAAGTGCTTACAAGGTCTCTTTAGACGACTCTATCTCTATCCCTAGCTTCATGTCTAGGTCTCTGCCTCCTGCTTTTAAATATTGATATGCCTTTAATTTCTTAAAATTTTCCTCTTTTTCAGGTCTCCTACCTTGAATTCCCTTGCACTCTCTCTTTTTCCATGCAAAACAAAGGGGGATGACTTCTAACTGGAACAACATTAATGTCCCACATTTTATGTATAAAGAACACTAAAGTATTTCAATATCCACTTATATAAACATCTTATTACAACTTAAGCAAAAGTTAGAAAGTAAAAACAGAGACGTTAAATAACCCTAAAAACGTATGAGTAACTAAACTAAGATTAAGAGTTTCATTTACACCAGAAACGTTGAATCACTTCATCTCTCAGGTTAATATACATCAAACACTTCAAATCCACACTTCTCTTGTTCAAAACCTCCAACTGTACTAGACCTCTCAGTTTAGCTCCGATCTGGAGGATTATTAGCCCTCTCTTTATATCATTCCTCAAAGCAGATGATGATCCCTGATTGTCTCTGTAACTCACTTCTGCCTTAACCTCTCTTCTTATGCCACTATACGAAGCCACTCGCTGTTCGCTAATCTTCATTTCACCAACAAGACGACCGTTGTAAAAGACATCTCCTTTACTTGTTGGAAACTCAAAGAAGCCGAAATTAGGATTCTCAACTCTGATTTCCATAGCTAGTGTTGCGTTGAAATAAGGCGATGATGATGATGATCTTGATGATGTTGTATCGCTGTACGCAAGGTTTCTTAAAGCCACGGATGTTAGGCTTGCGTGAGGCGGCTTGACTATGAAAAAGAAGCCGATGCTGATGAAGAGGAAGAGAAGAATGCAAAGCCCTACAAGGGTGAAGATGATGGTATTGCCGATGACATCACTCTGTTTCGGTTTGTTAACTGCGTGAGCTTCATCAACAACTTTGCTCTTTCTTCCATATGTTTTCTCACCATAGCTTGACATTTCTTCCTCAAGATGGTTACAACTTCAGTATTGTTGAGAGGAACTAGATAATAACAAGAACATATATATATTTCTAGCATCAACCAGCAAAACCGATTCCAAGAAGAAATGCTTTTAATATGTGGAAAGTGGAAAAATATGAATAGGCTTCTTGATCAGCATGACACTACAAGAAGCCTTTTTGATCTTTGTTTGTCCTTAAAGACTTTGCTTTTTCTTTTCTTCTCCAACACCTGATGCAAAGAAAGGTATCAGGGAAAGTTTAAACTTTAAAGTATCAAACTTTATTTGTAAGATACTGAAAGTCTGAAACAAATATGTACTTTCCTGGAAGAAACCAAAAAGACAAGAATATAGCAATCCTGATCGTCGTGTGAAACCTTCTCTTGTATTTTGAGAACAGAGCAAACAGAACATTCAGTTATTTACCGAAAGACTATAGAATCTTAGATATCAGGAAAGGTATCAGGAAAAGGTAGAGGAAAGGTATCAGGAAAAGTTTCAAGTATCAATCTTTTATTTTAAGATACTGAAACAACTTGAAGTTGAGTGGCTTATCAAAAGACTGTAATTGTAAATGAATTCAAATATTCTCATAAAAAAAAATTGATGTTTATAGTGGAAAATGTGAAGAAAACAAGAGAAACAAAACACAACAACAGAAGGAAATTTCCTTCAGTTTCCTGCTAACGTGGACCTACTCCTACTTACAAAAGAAACCAATATGCTAAAAACACTATTCGTCTATGAAGTTAATTCTTGTAACACTCCATCCAATTTGAATCCTCAGAACAAACCAGACCACCACCATCAGTGCTTATTGACTCCGCAGCAGAGCACGGAAGCATTTCTCTTTCTTTTCTTGCAGGAGCATCACCTCTCTGAAACTGTGAAAGATCAATGGAATCAGTAGACGTGACCAAAGACTCAAACTTGAAACTTGCACTGCTCGGTTCTCGTGATGAAGCCTGCCTCCTTGGTGACAATCTAGCTGACTCAAGAGCCGTTGTCAGTGACTCCATATCTGAACAAACCTCAAGTTTCTTTTGGAATTCACCTTGAGAACTCAAGAGTGCCAAATAACTGTCAAAGCTTGAGTTGGATTCTGGTGTTTGAATCACATTCTCGCTTCCCAGCGTATCAACAGATAGTGGAGACGACAGTTTGTCTCCTTTCAAATCCTCACAAGGATCTAGCTCACAGGACGAAAGTTGCATGAATCTCCTGAACCGAGAAAGCTCATTAGGAGAAAGAGAAGAACTTGTTCTCCTCACCGTCTCTTTACATAGATTCACAGGTGAAAGACTTTTGCCGCTGGTAATGTTGCATAAATCTGAAGAGGTACTAGACAATGGCGAAGGAGTCTCATGGTCACCAACACACTCAACAACTTGCTGCAACTGAGAGAAACCATCATCATAAGTCACACTCTCAGTTTCTTTCTCCTCATCACAAGGAGATAAAAGCCATTGCACTGATGCATCAGCAGGCAAAGGCATCATAGAGATGTTACCAAAGTCTACTTCATCAAAATCATCCAGTATCTTGGCGTTAACAGCCTCAAAACCATTTTCACCAACAGTGAGAATCCCTTTAGGTTTGCACTTCCTCTTATCACTAACACCAGAGAGTAAATGACCAGCAGCATAACAAGCTTGAGATTGAGCTGATGCTAACAGATTCATAGACGATGATGATCCACATTGTATCTCTGGAGATATCGACGCTTGAACAGGTGGTGTCCTGTCTTCATAACTGCTACTTACTCTACCATCATCATCCCTAGCTTCTTCACCGTTGCTGCTTCTATAAATCAAATCAGACCCGGTTCCTAATTTGGAAATAGGAGTGATCTGAGCAATGCTATCATCTACCCTAATCGTAGTCTGGCTATCTTTTAGCTCAACCTCTCTAGAAACAGAAGATTGCTTCTTCAAAATCGAAGCTTTCTCCGGTTTCATGGTGATCTTACTACCAGTGAGTCTCTTTCCAGATAAAGGATTCGTCTTCAATCTCTGAGGCTTATCAGTAGCTGTGGGTTTCAGCTTCGTCTCCTCCAGAGACCTTGGTTTCTTTCTAATTAAGGGTTTGCTCACTACTGGAGCAGATTTGGGGGTTTTAGCTACTGATCTCACAGGTCTGTTACTGCTACCGGTTTGAGGGAAAACTCCTAACGAAGAAGAAGACGATGAGAAAGAATGAGAGAGCAAGAACCTGTGACAACCGTTGGAGGCTTCACCGGAAGTTGACCCAGAACCAGAACCACTGCCATTGCTACAACTGCTGCTTCTGGAGCTTCTTGTAGTGAAACCTCTCAACGGGTTCACCGGAAGTCTCTCCCTTTTTAGGTTTCTCTCCTTCTTCGCCGGCGGCTGCGGCTGCGGCTGAGACTGCGACTGAGGGAGTTTCTTAGTTTGGGCATTTGAAGAAGACGTTACGCGGTTCATTTCCCGGACATTCGACAAATAACCCTAAATCTCTCTTTACTGTTTACTCTCAGTCTCAAAGTCTCCGATCTGCTTGATCTGATATTTCAAAACGATTTCTTTTTTTGGCGGAGGCGCAGAGGACAAACATAAAATGAAAAAGATCAAAACTTTTGACGGAGAGGCTTTTGCTTTGTCTTTTTCGTATAATTACCCGAATAAACCCTCAACTTTTATATTCAGCTCTCACGGAAGTAAGGGTAAATCAGTCATTCATGTTAAAAAGAAGAACACTTTCTTCTCCGACTGAGTTTAACGGCTAATCGTTACCGAATTGATTTATTCTCCTTTTTTCTTAAGAGTTGAGAGAGAGATGGGAAGAAGTCCGATGAACGCGGTTTTACTTGACGAATCTGTGTTGTTCGGTACAGAGAGTGAAGATTCTTCGCTTAGACTTCGAGAATCAGTGCCGTCTCTTCTCCGGCTGCTTCGTTATTCCATGATCCGAACGGTACCGATTGATTGAACAGATATCTCAAATTCCAATCCATGATTCCTCCTGCATTGCATGCACAAGTTCTAGATTTGTGTTCAATTCAGTGATAATTGTGAATTGTCCTGGAAAGCTGTGAAATGATTCTTCAACTGAATTTCGATTTTGCTCTGAATTTAGATCTAATTAGGGGAATTGAGTCTGCTCCTGTTCTTTTTGTGATCACTGATCATTCGTATATTGATTTTTCTTTCTGTACAGTAATGAAATTTGGATTATTCATTCGCAGGGGATATCATATGAGCTTGATCTTCCGGAAAATAAGGTTTGAGCTTACTAATTCAACTCGAGTCCATGAATGTGATATTTTCTTCTGTGTTTAAGCAAATGATTTTGTTCAAGTCTAACTTGTGGTTAGCTTGATTCGTCTTTTTATCTTAAAGGTGGATATACTGAGGAAAACGGCAGCTGAATACTCCATCGATTGCTTACCTTTAGAGACCTCTCTCACAAGTGTTACCTTTGGTGATACTCTCAAAGCATGGTATAGTGATGGCTGTATTCTCTATGTTGCTTCAAGCAGAAAAGAAGAGACACTTCGTGAACTATCTCCTGACCAGCTAGTTGTCGTACTCGGTTAGTGATGAAGATAAAAAACTTCAAAAAACTTCTGAAACTCTCACTAATAGTGGAAAAGGATAGGCCTTTCCTTTAAAGTTTGATACTTTTTTGTTTGTTGGGTTTCTAGATGATGTAGAAGGGGATTCAAGTGAGGATCCTAACATGCTTCATATCCGTAGTCTCGAAGAGCTGCCAATGACTATTTGCTGCATTAACAAAAAGGTACTGCTTGACTTTAGGTGTTGGTTTAAACTAGAAAACGCTTTGAGCTGAGATCTAAGCACCCTTTGAATGTTACCTCTCAAAACAGGCAATGGGAGATGGTGCTGCAATAGTTGCTTACACCATGAAGCCATCTCGCGTAGAGGACTTTGCCAAGGTAAGAACCATGTGTGAAAGAAATCCGACTGTGAAACATTAGACTTATAGTGATCATTGCTTACTTTCTGACTCATTGTATGCTGATTTTGTTTAGAGGGGTGCTTTACCAATGTATCCTACATCCAATGGGTTGATATTTCTACCTCTCGTGTTTGAGTTGCCTCTTTCATCTCAACTCAAACACGCTGATCTCATTTTCCACAAAGCAACTGATGAAATCAAGTCCGTTCAACTCAACTGCTCCGACGACTCAGAATCATCTGTTGCAGTTACATTCTCCACCGGCATGGAGGAACTGCGCAAGTAAGTTTTTCAACTCTTTGTAGCACTCTGTTGTATCAGAGAAAGTGATAGAGAGGTACTACAAATATGAGAAACCTTACTATAAGGTACTTGCAGGTATATGGAACATCAAACTGCTTGTGCCGTAATCGACCCTCTTCAACATATATATCCTGTCCTGGACCGACTCAAGATGCAACATATTCTTCTTGGATTAGATGATCTTAAAGCAGCAGGACGAAAGATAAGAGGCGCCTGCTTTCTCAAGGTCTTACATCCTCTCATTTTCATTCACTCATCAATCTTCTCTATGCTTCAAATTTGTCAAAGTATCTGTTGAGACCAAGATAATATCAGAGTCCCATATCTGCAGATTGACAGCTATAGTGAACCGGACCTGGCACAAAACTTGTCAAGAGCTGGACTCTCTCTTCCATGTATTGTGAAACCTCAGGTTGCCTGTGGTGTTGCTGATGCTCACAGCATGGTGAATATCTAACATCTTCCTTGTCGTTTTCGTATCTTTGGATTTTCTGTAGCGAAACAAAAGATTTCCTCATTTTCATCTGTTTCTTTCTCTCAGGCCATTGTCTTCCGAGTAGAGGATTTTAAGGATTTGAACACTCCTGTTCCTGCCATTATCCAAGTAAAGTCACAACGTAAACCTTAAACACCCAATTCCAAGGGAACACTACTAAATCACACTTGTCAATAATTGATTTGTAGGAGTATGTGGACCATTCATCCAGGATTTTCAAGTTTTACGTCTTGGGAGAGAAGATCTTCCACGCGGTCAAGAAATCAATCCCTAGTTCTTCAATTCTGAGGAAATCAGCTGAACAAAACGGTCTCCGACCAATTCTCTTCGACAGGTAGATAGATTTCATAACCAGTTCCTCCATGGATACATAGCCTTTCACTTGCTAAAGAGATCGTAACTTACATTGTTCCATTTTTACCTCCATAGCTTGAAATCTTTACCAATCGGTTCCGCAAACCAAAATCCGGTAGACGAGATTGATCTTGAACTGGTTACAGAAGCAGCCAAGTGGCTCAGAAAGAAGCTTGATCTCACAATCTTCGGCTTTGACGTCGTTGTAAGTATATTCATCCAATCACAAGAAGACGCTTTATATATTAGACATGTTTAACTCGAGTACTTAATGCTTTGTCTCTTTTGCTGAGATTTTCCACAGATTCAAGAAGGAACAAGAGATCACGTGATCGTAGACTTGAACTACTTACCGTCGTTTAAAGAAGTCCCCGACAACATCGCAGTGCCTTCCTTCTGGGATGCAATCAGAAACAGGTTCGACCAACATGTCTAAAGACACCATTGACTCCGACATTGTGTGAAGCAAGCTCTTCTGTCTGTTTTCTTTTTCTTGAATGATGACTATGAGCAGACCTGAAGCTGGTTTAATGCTTAATAATTGTAGAAATCAAAATTGTAATTTTAAGGACCAGCAAATTGAAAGTTTTTGTTGACTCGATAAGAGCAAGCCTTGGTCTCTCTATAAAAACAGAGAAAGCGACGACCTCTGAGAGCCGAGAACATCTCTCCAAAGAAAAAAGGAAGACTCTTTGCCTTTTTCTGGTCTCTTCCCCTTCTCCGGGGATCTGCTCTCCTCTCTCTCTCTCTCTATCATCTCCAAGAAGAATTCCCACTTCAATTCCTCCAGAAAAAACCCTAATTTTGCCTGGGAATTCTTCAATCTATCACTGTTTTAACTTCAATCAAAATCGTTTATCCATGGCTGATCGGCAAACCCTAGATTCTTCCTCTACTCTCCCCGATGATCTCTCTCACTCCCACTCTACTTCTTCTACTTCATCAGATCCGTCGCTACTGAGGTCTCTCTCCTCAAGCCGACTCAACGCCGGAGCTCCCGAGTTCGTTCCTGGTCGGACTACTCCTCCGCTGACGCCGCAACAACAACCGTCGCGGATGATCATCCCGCCTCCTCCGCCGCACGGTATGCTTCACATGTACCACCACCAACCTCCGTTCAATGTCCCGGTTCTCGGTCCTGTTCCAATCCAGCCTCACTTGGTTCCTCACCATCGCTTTCATCACCAGAACCGTCATCAGAACCAGCAGTATGTCCCGGTGCACCGTAACCACGGCCACCAGGAGTATCAGCAGCGTGGCGGTGTCGGCGGTGAGCAGCAGGAGCAACCGGATTTGGTTGTGAAGAAGAGCGATCGGAGAGATCATAAGAGAGAAGCTAAGATCGATCAGACGACGGAGACTGGAGCTTCTGTTGCTATCGATTCGAAAACTGGTTTGCCGGAGGATACTATTCAGAAGATAGTGAAGCAGGTGAGCTCTCAATCTCTTTGAAACGGATCGTTCATGTGAAATGATGCTTTATGAAATTTGTATTTAGATTCAGAACATGATCTTATCCAAATCACTGTGTCACTGTGTCAGGTTGAATACTATTTCAGCGACTTGAACTTGGCTACTACAGATCATCTGATCAGATTCATTGGCAAGGATCCCGAAGGATATGGTAAGATATATGTTGAAGCTTTTGTTCTCTCTCTCCTTTGCTCTCCCTCGTGAGCTTGTTTTGCACAAGTAAAGTGAAGCTCGTTACTCTAAAGTGTAATCTTTTTGTTCTAATCCGTAATGGGTTTCATGTGATTTCAGTGCCAATACATGTGGTTGCATCTTTCAAGAAGGTTAAAGCTGTCGTTAGTGGTAATTCTCAGCTTGCCGCGGTGCTACAGAACTCAGCAAAGCTTGTGAGTTTCTTCTTTATGTTCATTTGTGTTTTTTATCAATATTTTTCTTATGATGGTCTAACTAGAGAGTCATCTAACACAGGTTGTTAGTGAAGATGGAAAGAAAGTGAGACGCATAAATCCGATTACCGAGTCTGCCATTGAAGAACTCCAGGTACTTGTTCTCGAATTATATTTCTGTATACATGTTTTGAAAATTTTATGAAAAAGGATTATGTGTTGATTGTAATCTGACAAATATGTATCATATCCAGTCTCGGATAGTGATTGCTGAGAATCTACCTGAGGACCATTGCTATCAAAACCTGATGAAGATTTTCTCAACTGTTGGAAGGTACTACTGTTTAGAGTGTACTTCTAATATTTCCAGACCAACCACCCATGTTGTGTCTTTCTAAATACTCGAGTTATATTGTCAGTGTGAAGAACATCCGTACCTGCCAGCCACAGAACACTGGGGGTGGTGCTCCACCAGCAGCAAGATCAGCCAAAAGCGATGGTACGCTTTTCAGTAACAAGGTAACTAGATGGATCCATACGGTTTTGTTCATCACCTTTAATTCTAGATTAACCGGATGCAAAGTTGACGTCTCTCTCTTTTTACATATTCTTATATAGGTCCATGCTTTTGTCGAGTATGAGATGGTTGAGCTAGCCGAGAAAGCTGTAAAGCCTCACGTTACTCACATTTTCAAACTATGTAATACATACCCTCATACGCTGATATGATAAATTGAAGCCATGATGCTACTTACTTGTACAGGTTGCCGAACTTAATGAAGCAGGAAACTGGAGGAACAGTCTTAAGGTTCGGTTTATGCTAAAACATCAGGTACATGATTGTAAACATCACTTAGATGTCGGTATGTCATTGGTTTAGATTAAGGTCTGTGTAAGTTGATGCTGGTTCCACTTGGTTGATGTGTTTTGATTCTATCATACAGACAAAGGAGTCAAAACAGAGTCAAGGACGAGGAAGAAAAGGACATGATGCAGAAGTAGAACATGAGGAAGATGACGCCACGACATCGGAGCAGCAGCAGCCGATTGAGAAACTATCCGAAGAGTGTTCCGGGGAATGGGATACACATGTGCAAGAGCAGACGACTGTAAGTAACACCACATACATTATTTGATGTCTGCATTGTTCTCCATGGATGAAGATTTCTTAACTTTACCGCATAGCAGGGAGAGGAGCAAGGGAATGAGAAAGGAGTTGGCCAGAGAAAAGGGCGTAACCGAGGTAGAGGAAAGGGACGAGGAAGAGGTCAACCACACCAGAACCAAAACCAAAACCAGAGCCAAAACCAGAACCAGAACCACAACCAGAATCACAATGGGCGTGGGAATCATCATCAATATCAACATCAACACCATCACCATCATCAAGTGGGAACACCACCTTCAAACAATCAAATGAACAACAATATGGATCAACCAGGGATGGGGAAGCAGCAACCACCTGGACCACGAATGCCTGATGGGACTAGAGGATTCCCGATGGGACGTGGAAAGCCGGTCATTGTTCAGGCAGACTGATCCAGAGCTGTTTTGCAAAGAGGTGATTTGAGGATTGTGAAGTTCTAAAAAGGAGAGAGAGAGACAGAGAGATAGAGAGAGAGCCCTTTATCTTTCCCATGGGAATGGTTAGTTTTGTCACAAATACATCTTTTAAATGACCCTTCCCTTTACCTTACAAGAACAAAGCAAAGCAAGACCTTTTTCCTTACAAGTTTCTCTAAAAACCTTTACAATGAAATAATATGACATTTTCTTCTTACTTAGCTTCACTAGTTTGTGTTGAAAACACTTAAAAATCATCTAATTTTGGAGCTTATTTACAAAAACGACTACATATAAAGTCATAAAAAGACTATCAACCTAATCAACACTAAATGCTTTATATTTTAAGAATAAAGTAGTAAACGAATGAAAACAAAAAAATACTAAAAATAAAGAAGAGAAGTGAGTCGTAAGGAAAACAACAACAACCGTCCGTTTCATGCTCTTTCTTTCCTTCTGCACACTTAAATCTCGAGTTGCGACTTTGTGATAGATTCTCCCAAAATCCATTTCAATGGCGGATCCATCTCTTCGAAACCCTAGCCTCATCATGTCCCATCCTCCTCCTCCTCCTTCTTCTCCTTCTCCTTCTACTTCGCCGACTCCTCAATCAGGAACCACCTCGGAACCACCGCAGCCATCTAAGCCGCCTTGCTACCTCTTACCCTTTCTCAAGAACGTCAACAGACCGAAACTCCGAGTGACGTCTGAATTCGACAGCGACAGTCTCCAATTCGTGAACAAAGTGTCTTGCAAGCTGTTCGATAACCTCGCGAAGCTCAAGCTCTCGTTCCAGAACAACTCCCAGCGCGAGGTCTCACAGCCTCAGGTCTCTCTCACTTCCAAATACCTCTCCGTTCTCTATGATCTCGAGGAGAAGAACACTTTCGTCAAGAGCACCGTCGACGTCTCCCCGCGCCTCCAGCTCCGAGCTCTTCACAATGTCAAGGTAACTTCGATTTCTTCTCTACTTGTTGCCAAATTATCACCGTTTGGCTACATTTGATTGATAATTGGACTAAAAATTGTGAAATTTATGTGCTTTAGTCTACTTTTTGTTACTTTTTATCATGATTTTGATTTCATTTCCTATTGTGCATCGATTGAAATCGAAACGAACATGTGAGAGCTGTGTAACTAACTATCAGTAGCTATTGAAACTTAACATCTCCTTGATTTATGCTGGTTGCTACTAATGTATTTTATCGATTTACAGTGTCGTTGAGGTTAAGTTTAACTGTATGATAAATTGTAGGCACAACAAGGAGAGGTTGCTATGGAGGCAAATCTGGCTGAGCCTGGCTATTCACTCGAGCTTGCATCACCGGTTCCTCTTGGTTACGTGAGTGCCATCTCTTACATTGTCTATTTAGTGTGTGTGTGTGTGTGTGTGTGTGTGCATTTGTTATAGTTTTACTTGATCATCAATTACAGGGAAATGGTCTTCTTGCTTGGTTGTGACTACTTTGCAATTTGTTGCCTGACGGGTTTTCTCTTTTCCTTGCAGCCAAGAGCGACTCTTAAGTTCCCACTTGGCGAAGTTTCGATACAAGAAAAAGAAGAGGAAGAGGAAGAGAAGAGCAACAAAAGAGTGTTATCTGTTAACGGGATCCTCAAACGTCAAGTCATGAGTGGTGTTTGTACCGCTCTATACACTGATGAAGAGTTGAGGCTTAAATATGCTTATAAGGTTTGCCTTCTATGCGCTTTTTGTGTTTATCATTCCTTGCAATCGTTTGGATGTGACATCAAAGGCTTTACTTTTTTGTTTCCATTTCAGGATGATGCATTGTCTTTCATCCCAAGCATTTCCCTTCCTTCCAACGCTGCTTCATTTGCATTCAAGCGCCGGTTTAGCCCTTCAGATAAGTTGAGGTTAGTGGTTTCTTCCTCTCTCTCTTTTGGTAGAACCATCTCATCTTCTGCTACATTATGATGGATGATCCACTACTGCTATGCAGCTACTGGTACAACCTTGATTCAAACATGTGGAGTGCTGTGTACAAACGCACGTATGGTAAAGACTACAAATTCAAAGCTGGCTATGACTCTGAAGTACGCCTTGGCTGGGCATCTCTCTGGGTAAATCTTCCTCAAACTTTTACTTTTTACTTTTTTACTCTCGCTTAAGCCCCAAGCCGAGTCATGTGATCAAAATGTATGGCAGGTCGGGGATGAAGATGGAAAGGTAAAAACGACGCCGATGAAGATGAAAGTGCAGTTCATGCTTCAAGTTCCACAAGATGACATCAAAACTTCAGTCTTGATGTTCCGAGTCAAGAAAAGATGGGACATTTGATGAGAAAAATCTCCAAATTCGTCTCATTTTACACTTACGTAATCTCTCTCTGTAAACTCCATAAATTGGCTTCTTTTCCATCATATTCATACACTTTTTTAGTTCTTTTTGCAAAAAAAAAGTTGAAGGGAAAAAATACAAAGATTAGAGAATAACCTTCTCTTATTGCAAATTTGCAATTGTATTTTCAATAGAGACATGTTGACACGTGTAAGGATATCAGTGTGAGATTAAATAAAAAGTTACATCGCTTTTTAAGAGTTTTTAACCCATAATAACAAAAAGTCAATTTAAGCCACTAATTTTCATTGGACTTACAGCTGCAAAAAATGGAATATTCTCCAACGAAAAAGAAAATAAAAGTAATAAAAATTTAATCTTTTGGTTCGTTGTTTTGTTTGTGCTTCGTCTGTCTGTGTGTGTTTATCTTCTTCTTCTTCTTCTCAAATCCGACGGAAGAAAATTGGAGTCCCGACTAAATCGAGCTGTGAAGGAAATTCTCATCCTTCTTCAAATAGCTGCGGAGAGACGAGGATTTGATTGATAATCCATTGAGAAGAAGACGACAGTGTTGAGAGAGAGATGAGTTCGTCTCTACCTCTGAGGCTCCTTCTGCCTCTTACCACATCCCTGAATCCTCCTCCTTCTCCGGATTTTCACGCTCCTTCGCCGCTCAGATCGCACAACTCCAATTTCAATCGCCGATCCTCTTCGACTACTGCCTCTTGTTCTTCTCAGTGGCAGCTTTTCCCTCGGCGAACACAGCGATTCAGATCCTATTCCCCGTCTATTCCCATGGTACTTCTCAGATTCCCTCGCTGATTGCTTTTGCTAATTCTCTCTGACTCAATATATGCCAAATGCCTTGTTTGATCAATTTCGGGAAATGGTGAAATTCGTTAGAATGGTCGATTCATTGTTTCAGCAAGACTGTATTTAGGCATTTATATAATTCATACCTTAAAGTGTTAGTATTTTGCTAGTCGCATTGATTGATTCTCATCGCTTTCGTCTTCAATAGTAGTAGTTAGGTGAGCTCCAGTTTTAATGGCTATTACTGACTTATCCGTAAGATACAGAAACTTCGATGATTGTATCTGTATCTCTGAGCCTTTAGTGTTCATAAGCCTACATTGTATCTGACCATGGACCGCAATGTCTTCTCATGATGAAGAGTTTGTTGGAAATGAGACGATTTTTTTTTGTACTCTGATATATAGCGATGCGTCTCGTTTCTGTTTCTAACTCTGATAAATAAGAAAGCTGTTTTCTTTTGATTCAGTGAAATTTTGCTCACATTTTCTTGGCCTTGAAAGCATGTTGCTCTGCTTCTTGAAATTTAGCTTTGATTTGTAAAAAAGATATCGGTTTCTTGAAATGGCGTTCCATGATTGATAGGCACATAAGCTTAAGATTTGTACTTGAGTGTTTGAACTTGTCTTATTTTCGGCTGTTCGTTAATGATATACTATGAGGAGCTCTAATTTTTCTGTGTGATGAGTATAGTGTTTTCCTGAACACGCAAGAGATCAAGGCAACGCTGATATACAGAGAAATAAAGATGACAACATTACATGTGGGCTTGAATCAGATGAAGATTCCGGGGGGCTCCGTATCCCAACTCAGGCTCAGGCTATAGTTGAAGGACCTGGTTCAGTTGCAGTTTCAGAGCTAAAACCTGCCGTTGATGTAGATTACATTCAAGTAAGCCTAGCTTCTCTGTAAATTCACCGTAACTAAGCTCTTAATCAATCTTTTAGTCTTAGGCTGTAACATTGGCAGATTTTGAAATATCAGAGTGTATGTTGAATCTACAGGAGCTATTGGCGATACAGCAACAAGGACCTAGATCAATTGGCTTCTTTGGGACAAGGAATATGGGTTTCATGCATCAAGAACTGATTGAGATACTTAGCTACGCCATGGTTATCACGGTAAGACATTTGAGCTTCATCTTATGTGGTTTGGGTCCAATCTTTTCTTCGAAAAAATATCTTCTCTGACAATTCGGTTCTTGCAGAAAAATCATATATATACTTCAGGTGCATCTGGAACCAATGCGGCGGTTATCAGGGGTGCACTGAGAGCAGAGAGACCAGAGCTGCTTACAGTGATCTTGCCCCAAAGCTTGAAAAAACAACCTCCTGAGAGCCAGGAACTGTTGTCAAAAGTAAGCAAAACTGAAACTCTGCTAAAAGAATGGATTCCAATTTTACATCTGAAACCACTTCGGTATGTAATTCACAGGTACAAAACGTGGTGGAAAAGCCACACAACGACCATTTGCCATTATTAGAAGCCAGCAGGTTCGTGTTGTAGACTTTCAATCATTCATCATCATTGGTCTTCAAGAATGAAACTGAGATATTCTTTATTGGTTTGCAGGCTGTGTAATATGGACATAATATCACAGGTTCAGCAAGTGATATGCTTTGCGTTTCATGACAGTAAGCTTCTCATGGAGACGTGTCAAGAAGCTAAAAACCTCCGCAAGATCGTCACTCTCTTCTACCTAGACTGATCCACTCACTGTTTTTCTTCGTCTTAAGTCTGTTGTAAATTATGAAACGTCATCAAAATCATACACTGAACATACATATTCTTTTGTTATCATCTTTCTTCTACATTTTTTTGATTACCACATTTGTATGATTTTTCCTCAACTATTTATAAGATCATACCAATCAAAAGATTGTTCTTTGCATCGTTTCTGTAACTCCGTATATAAATTGGCATGAAACCCTCACACATATATGCTTTAACGCTCATAGTGTCACAGGTGAGAGATAGATAATAAATGCGCCGGAGGATGACGACGTTGACGTCGTCCACGTGATTGTTGCCGGGGAGTTCACGTGCGGTCCATGTGAGCCTACGTGTCGTCCATGTGAGGCCAGCCGGGGAGTTCATGTGTGTCCATGTGACGACTTCATCAGGTTAATCATCAGTTAATCAGTATAAGTAAACCTAATTAGCTCCATCCCAGATTCATTTCTACCTTTAGTCATCGCAGATTCGTTTGTGGGGTCAGACATCCTTGGTTGACTTGATCCAATGGAAAACGGCGGTAAAGCTCCGGCGAAGCAATGTGCTTTTGATACCTTCCGACGGCTGGTGAAGGAGGATTCCTCTGGTAAAGAATTCTTCTTCTCGCAGATCAGTTTTCTTCTACTAATTTTGCCTGAATCAGTTCTTGAATGTGTGTTTCTTGGCACATTGAATAATTAGGAGGATGGGAGAAGAGTTGGGAAGTAGGAGCCACTCCATGGGACTTGGGAAAAGCAACTCCGATCATCGCCCATCTCGTCAAGACTGGAACTTTGCCTAATGGCAGAGCTCTTGTTCCTGGTTGTGGAACCGTATGTCTTTTGTCTGTTTCCTATTTGTCACCACTTTAAAGTCAAACTAAAGTCAAACTTCTTGCACTCGACACTGATGCCACTTTCTTGTTTTAAGTTTTGCTTCTGCTAGAGAACTATGACCATTTATTTATCTTCTCCAACCATGACCTGAATGTTACCTTACAAATAGTTGTTGTTTGTGGTTTTGACAGGGTTATGATGTGGTGGAAATGGCCTCCCCTGATCGTTATGTCGTTGGACTAGATCTATCCAAAACTGCGATTGACCAATCAACAAAGGTGTGACTAGTCTCATCTCCTCATATACAATGTAGAGCCTCTGCGTTATTTATTGAACTAGGCTGATTTTGAGTCAGAGTCTTCTTGTCTCATTAGAACATATTTTGTCTGATCATCTCATCACACAGCTATTTGCCTCATTGCCCAATGCAAAACACTTCTCCTTCGTAGCTGAAGACTTCTTCACTTGGGACCCAGCTGAAAAGTTCGATCTCATTTTCGACTATACGTATGTGTATCATCTTAATATCACTCTGTTTCTGATTTTGATACAAATATATAGACGTTACGTTAGCTTATGTATCTGCATCATTTGGCAGTTTCTTCTGTGCAATTGAACCAAGCATGAGACCTCAATGGGCAGAGCAAATGGATAAACTTCTGAATCCTGGTGGAGAGCTTCTTACATTGATGTTTCCTGTAAGAAACCACAACATCTCTCTTATTCTTTGATCCACCATTGATGCTGAAACCTGAAAAAAAAACAATGATGTCTTGTGCAGCTTAATGAGCTTTCTGGAAATCCTCCTTACAAAGCAGACGTGGAAGAGTAAGTTTCTCTCCTGTTATTATCTCTATTACATCACTTAAAGAGACTTACCAATTCATTACTCTGTAACCTCTGATTGTGTAGTTACGAGAAGTTTCTGATTCCATTGGGGTATGAAGCAACCTCCATTGTGGATAACGAACTTGCTATACCATCACGCAAGGTAAAAAACATCAAAACGAACTTTTTAATTTGGATAAGCCTTTAAAGATGATGATAATGCGATGGAGACTTGAAATTGGTGAATGTTAGTTATAAGTTATACCTTTGGAATCAATTTCAGGGAAACGAGAAGGTTGGAAGATGGAAGAAGCCTTCCACCATTACCTCCACCTTGTGATGATGTTTAGTCTTCATCACAGAACCTCATATGATTCCCCATCTTTGATGTTTTTCTGTTTTAAATAAATGTTTTGGATTTGGACTATTGAAAGGGACATGGAACCTGAAAGAAATAAGTGTGTACACACACATATTTATATGATGTGTTATATGTATTTGCAATATTTGAACATTTCTCAAATTTTTAATAAAAGTCCAAAGTATAGTTGGCTTTGTGCTCGTCAAAGTAAAATAATTTTCTTGGTTCTCTTATGTATTCCAGAAGGTTGAAAAAGTCTTGTTGTCTTTATCCATTCGCCATGGCTTATTCAGTCCATCTGTCACAGATATTTCGTAACCAGATTATTCCAATATGTTTACTTTTCGTTTTCTTGGCTTTGAACTATCTTTTGTTATGTATAAGCAGATTATTATTATATATATAAAGTTGCATGACTGATTATAAAACTCATGCAACGAAGAGAAATAACACAAAGTTTGATTATACAATTACCCTTAACGTTTGAATTCTGAGCGCAGTGATCTACCGATATGGATATCAAAGTGCCTTATGGTAGAAAACCTACACTGTTTTATTTTTCGCAGTGATTTTAAAGAGCATAACGGTTATGACGTTGATAATGTTTTTGAATATTTGTGTTGTTTATTTTGTAGGTAAATGGGAAAGGCTATGGGTAGAGGGACACACAAAGTGGGATTTAGGAGAAGCAACTCCAATTGTTGTTCATCTTTGTGAAACGGGTTCTTTGCCTAATGGAAGAGCTTTGATTCCTGGATGTGGAACCGTAAGTTGTGTTTTTGAGTTCTTAGATTCTGTTTTTGTACGATTTCCATTTTGTCTGAAAAGTGGTTTGGATAGGGTTATGATGTGGTTGTGATGGCAAACCCTGACCGTCATGTTGTTGGACTCGATATTTCAAAAACCTCAATAGAAAGATCGACAAAGGTAAAAGGATTTATTCTGATTTTTCTCAGCTAAATTCTTGAAAAAAATCCCTTTTTTTCAATAGAAAATATGATGTTTAATATCTCAAAATGCAGATGTTCTCTTCATTGCCTAACTCAAAACATTTCTCCTTCTTGAAAGAAGACTTCTTCACTTGGGAGCCAACCGAAAAATTCGACCTCATTTTCGACTACAAGTACCAACTAACAATATTCACCTTTTTTAACTTCAAAAACGATGTTTTGATTTCTTGGCTCATAATAATATGAAACGAATTTGATATATTATATGTCGGCAATTTCTGATGATTGACACAGCTTCTTCTGTGCCTTTCAACCTAAAGTTCGACCTCTATGGGCTAAGCGCATGCATGAACTTCTAAACCCCGGAGGAGAGCTTATCACATTGATGTTTCCTGTAAGACAAAAATTATAAAAACATTTTGTTCGTCATACGAATTTTATATCGCGTTTTTAAAATGTTTTGTGTTTTTGGATATGTTGTGTTATGCAGTTAGATGATCGTTTTGGTGGACCTTCTCCTTATCCAGTATCAGTCTCAGCGTATAAATCTTCATCTTCTTTTATAAATCTTTCATAACTCTTAGAACTCCTTTAATGTGTTACGTTGGTTAGAAAAATCAAACCTTTTGAAATGTTTTTGTAGCTATGAGGAGCTTTTGGTTCCCTTAGGATTTGAGGTAATCTCTATTGTGGATAACGATCTTGCTCCTGGTCCACGCAAGGTAAAAACAAAAATTAATTCAACGTCATCACTTAGATTCATTGTGAAACAAGAAAGATTTTTAACAAGTGGAAATTTGAAACTAATTTTCAGGGAACTGAAAAAGTTGGCAGATGGAAGAAGAAGTCAATGTGATGATTCCTCAATACCATCACACATTCTCATGGCTCCATACATCAGCAAAGATTTACATAATTACATTCTTTGGGTCTCCTATATAGTCAGAATCAGAATGTATTATTTACACGTCTAAATAAATGGGTCTAAATAAATAAAGTGTCCTTGACCGTCTTATGAATTTTGTAGTAATTGAATGTGTGTATTTTAATGAGAAGCAGTGTCGAATTTCTCATCCATAATTTTCCATGCGCTGAAATAGGCACACCTAAGAGAGTGTGCAACACAATCCACACTTCATATTTTGTCGTTGTGTTAAATGAAACGAGAAACGACGATGTCGTGTTCACTTTCTTAAAAGTCGCAAGATACGTTACTCTTTTCACTGTCTTTATCTTTGGGTCTTTGAAATTTTGTGGTCTTCTCTTTATTTTCCTCAGAAAGAGTCACACCAGCGATGATTTTGAAGCAAATGTTCAGTGGAAATATTATAATACCCAATCCAATAATATCTTATAGTATTTATTTATTTCGATTTTTTGGATAATAATAGAGTGGCCCACTGAGGCCAGCCGGAGAGTTCACGTGCGTCAATGCTCATTACCTTAATCAGTTTCAAGTGAAAAAATAAAATAGTAAATTACTCGTTGGTTTTTTACCCAAAAACTCAAAAAGATGAAAAAACAACCAAAATGTTGATTATAAACCTAATTAGCTGCATGCAAGCCTCCATCCCAGATTCCCAGATTCATTTCTCCTCATTCTACCTTTAGCCGTCACTGACTCCTTTTGTGGGGTCAGACATCCTTCGCTGACTTGATCCAATGGAAAACGGCGGTAAATCTCCGGCGACCCAATGTGATTTTGATCAATTTCTTGTCTTAATTTTGCCTGAATCATTTCTTGAATGTGTTAACTTTCTGTCAAATTGACTAAGGACATTGGGAGAAGTGTTGGGAAGCAGGAGACACTCCATGGGACTTGGGAACACCAACGCCGATCATCGCCCATCTCGTCAAGACTGGTTCTTTGCCCAACGGCAGAGCTCTTGTTCCTGGTTGTGGAACCGTATGTCTTTTGTCTGTTTCCTATTTGTCACCACTTTAAAGTCAAACTAAAGTCAAAACTTCTTTGACTTGACACTGATGCCACTTTCTTCTATTAAATTTGCTTCTCTTAGAGAACTATGAGTCTATGACCATTTATTTATCTTCTCCAACCATGGCCTTGATGTTACCTTACAAATAGTTGTTGTCTGTGGTTTTGACAGGGTTATGATGTGGTTGAAATGGCCTCCCCTGATCGTTATGTCGTTGGGCTAGATCTATCAAAAACTGCGGTTGAGCGATCAACAAAGGTTTGATTAGTCTCATCTCCTCATATATGTAGTTGTAAACTTGTAGAGCCTGAATTTTGAGACAAGAGTTTTTGCCTCGTTAGATATTTGGTCTTGTTGTAACACATTTTAATTAATCTCACTCATCACAGCTATTTGCCTCATCGCCCAATGCAAAACACTTCTCTTTCTTGGCTGGAGACTTCTTCACTTGGGAGCCAGCTGAAAAATTCGATCTCATTTTCGACTATACGTATGTGTCTAAATCTTAATCTGTTCTATACAAAAACGTTACGTTGGATTTGACCATTTCTTGCTCGCAGTTTCTTCTGTGCAATTGAACCAAGCATGAGACCTCAATGGGCAGAGAAAATGGATAAACTTCTGAATCCCGGTGGAGAGCTTCTTACATTGATGTGTCCTGTAAGAAACCATAACATCATTCTCTTATTCTTTGAATCATTAATGCTGAAACCTGAAAAAACAATGCTGTCTTGTGCAGCTTAATGACATTTCTGGAAACCCTCCTTACCAATCAGCCGTGGCCGAGTAAATGTGTTCTCTTGTTATCTCTATTACATCACTTAAAATAGCCTTACGAATCTTTACTCTGTAACCTCTCAATGTGCAGCTACGAGAAGTGTCTGATTCCATTGGGGTTTGAAGCGACCTCCATTGTGGATAACGAGCTTTCTGTACCATCACGCAAGGTAAAAAAAATATCAAAACGAACTTTTTTAATTTGAATAAGCCCTTAAAAAAGATGATAATTCGATGGAGATTATAAATAATGAATGTTAATTATAACGTTACCTTTTGGAATCAATTTCAGGGAAACGAGAAGGTTGGAAGATGGAAGAAGCCATCCACATTAAACTCCACCTTGGCACCTTGTGATGATGTTTAGTATTTCATTACAGAACATCATATGATTCCTATCTTTGATGTTTTTCTGTTTTAAATAAATGCTTTGGATTTGGATCATTGAAAGAGCGAGACATGGAACCTGAAAGAAATAAGTTTGTACACACATATTTTTATGTGTAATGTATTTGCAACATTCTAACATTTCTCAAATTTTTTAATAAAAGGTCAAAGTAAAAGAATTTTCTTGGTGCTTATGTAATCCAGAAGATTGAAAAAGTCCTGCTGACTTTATCCATTCGTCATTGCTGATTCAGTCCATCGGTCAGAGATATTTCAATATTTTTTTACTTTTTGTTTTCTTGGCTTTGAATTATCTTTTGTTATGTCGGAGAAAATTATAAGCAGATTCGGCTATATATCTATAAAGTTGCATGTCTGATTATAAAACTCATGCAACGAAGAAGAAATAACAAAAAGTTTGATCATACGAGCGCAGTGACCTACCGATGGATATCAAAGAGCCTCATGGTAAAAAACCTAAACTGTTTTATTTTCCGCAATGATTTTAAAGAGCATAACGGTTATGACGTTGATAATGTTTTTGCATGTTTGTGTTGTTTTTTTGTGTGTTTAGGTGGATGGGAAAAGTTATGGGAAGAGGGACGCACACTGTGGGATTTAGGAGAAGCAACTCCAATTGTCGTTCATCTTTGTGAAACGGCTTCTTTGCCTAATGGAAGAGCTTTGATTCCTGGATGTGGAACCGTAAGTTGTGTTTTGAGTTCTTATTAGATTCTGTTTTTGTAAGATCTCCATTTTGTGTGAAATGTTGCTTTGGATAGGGTTATGATGTGGTTGTGATGGCAAATCCTGAACGTCATGTTGTTGGACTCGATTTTTCAAGAACCTCAGTAGAAAGATCAAGAAAGGTAGTGGAATAGTTCTCAGCTGAATCCTTGACGAATCTTCTTAAAGAAAATGTGATGTTTGAAATCTCAAAATGCAGATGTTCTCTTCATTGCCTAATTCAAAACATTTCTCCTTCTTGGAAGAAGACTTCTTCACTTGGGAGCCAACTGAAAAGTTCGATCTTATTTTCGACTACAAGTACTATACTTGTCTCCCTTTTTAACTTCTTTGAAATGATGTTTTGAGTTCTTGGCTCACATGAAAAGATTCTGATATATATGCACTTCTGATGATTCACACAGCTTCTTTTGTGCCTTTGAACCTAAAGTTCGACCTCTATGGGCTAAGCGTATGCAACAACTTCTGAAACCCGGAGGAGAGCTAATCACGTTGATATTTCCTGTAAGACAAAAAACATGAAAACATTTCTATCTCGTCATCATACAAACTATGTATAGCGTTTTTGAACTGTTTTATGTTTTCGATATATTGTGTTATGTATAGTTAGATGATCGTCTAGGTGGACCTCCTCCGTATCCAGTATCAGTCTCAGCGTATAAATCTTCATCTTCTCTTCTCTCTCAGTCTATCATAACTCTTAATTAAACTCCCTTAATGTGTCACTTTGGTTAAAAAAAATCAAACCTCTCTAAATGTTTTTGTAGCTATGAGGAGCTTTTGGTTCCCTTGGGATTTGAGGTAATCTCTATTGTGGATAACGAACTTGCTCCAGGTCCACGCAAGGTACAACAAACAATTCAACTTCATCACTTGACTAGTTTCATTGTGAATCCATGAAAGATTTAAAAAACAAAATTGTGAAAATATTTTTCAGGGTATTGAAAAAGTTGGCAGATGGAAGAAGAATTAGTCATTGCGATGATTCCTCAATACCATCACACATTATCATGGCTCCATACATCAGCAAAAGACTTACATTCTTTGGGTCTTCTATAGTCAGAACAGATTCAGAATGTATTATTTACACGTCTAAATAAATGGGTCTAATTAAATAAAGTGTCCTTGACTGTCTGTCTTATGAATTTTGTAGTAATTAAATGTGTGTATTTTCATGAGAAGCAGTGTCGAATTTCTCATCCATGTTTTGAAATTGGCACACCTACAAAAGAGAATGAGACGTGTGTGCAATACAGTTCCACACTTTAGTAATTTAAGCTCTTAAAAAACGTGACGTCAAAAAAAAAGATTTTAAAAGAAGCAAAGATACTTTCTCTGTCAGTCTGTCACTGTCTTTATCTTTGCGTCTATTAAATTTTGTGGCCTTCTCTTTCTTGTCCTCAGAAAGAGTCAACCAGCGATGATTTTGAAGCAAATGTTCAGTGGAATTATTACTCATTTTAAAATATTTATTTGGATATTTTGGATAATAATAGAGTGAAGAAACTAGGGCCACTGATTCCACTTGCTCATTCGATGGATAACACTGCGTCGTCATTTATGGTCTTTCGAAATTTATTTAACTTTCGTACATCATATAACTGAATGTGTGTTTCATACTTTCATTATATATGTATCTAGGATACTTGATAATTCAGTGTTTCTGATGAAATGGATAACGAGAAGATTATCATATTAACTTATACGCATGGTGAAAGCTAATGGTCAGTTTTCTTTCAAGAACCAATCGAAAATAATTTATCAGTATTACATAAGCCGTTGATAATCTTCCAATTAACCTTATCACTCAGAAGTCCTTTTTTTTAATCCTTCTTCATGTTAATTGATTCGTTCAGAGTTCAGTTATCATAAAAGGCAAAGAGTTTAGAATATCTACGTGTTCCAATGTACAATTTCTAGAAGTATATGCGTGTTCAATTGAGGCAACACACATAGAGTGGGCAGAGACACTAGTGAGGGTTAGCACGATATACAAAACTTTTATTCAATTATTGTCCTTTTTGTTAAAATGAGTGCCTTATTATTTAACCCAAAAAAAATAATATATTTATTGATATAATTTGCTGGCCTCTGTAGAGTATAAATACATAGCATATGCTTAGAGCTTCCACAACCTCAAGACCCACACAAAAAAAGAGCTTGAGATAAATCCTAAAAATGGCTGAAGAGCAACAAAACTCAAGTTTCAACAATGGTGAAAACATCATTACTCCTGAAGAAGTTGCTTCGTTCCTGCCGAAAACTGTTGAAGAAGGTAATCCAAATAGTCGCTATGATCATTGTCAGATAAGTCACACTAAACTGAAATCATATACTGTATATGCATTTTTTTTCATATACTTGTTAATTTTTTAGAATTTGGAATGTCGAGAAAACAAAGAGTAATACAAATGTAAATCAGGTGGATGGGAGAAATGTTGGGAAGAACAGATAACACCATGGGACCTTGGAAGAGCCACACCTCTCATTCTCCAACTTGTTGACTCTTCCTCTCTCCCTCTTGGCCGTGCTCTTGTCCCCGGCTGCGGCGGAGTATGTCTTCTTCTTATTCTTCTCTCTCTCTTTTTTTTTCTTTCAAGAAATCATAGAAATTTTATCCAAAAGCAAAAGATCTAATTCTAGTATCAAATAGTCCGATTAATTAGTTAAGAATGTAGCTATAGATAATGCTCTTTCCAAATACACCCAATACTTTAGGATATAAACCTTTTTTTTGTACTGTAGTATTTTTGAAAATTGTCCATTATAATGTTTTTGGTTTTTCTTCAAGTCATCTACTTGAGTTATAGCCATTTTTAATGAGTCCTCTACTTTATATATTGTAATGTTATGAACGTACGTTACGTGAGTAGGGTCACGACGTTGTTGCGATGGCAAGCCCCGAACGTTTCGTTGTAGGATTGGATATTTCCGAAACCGCCCTCAAGAAAGCTACTGAGGTTAATCATCTTCTGAATATTATATTCAAATTCGTCTTAACAATGTGAAACAATTATTAATTACTTCTGGGATCACCATGTAGACTTACGGTTCCTCACCTAAGGCCAAGTACTTTGAGTTCGTGAAGGAAGACGTATTCACATGGCGTCCTAACGAATTGTTCGACTTCATCTTCGATTACGTGTGAGTTTAATCAACTAATCATATAACATAATGCTATAAGTAATTAGTAATTAAAATCTAATTAACTAATATAAAATAACAGGTTCTTCTGTGCCATTGAACCGGAGATGAGATCTCCATGGGCTAAGTCTATGCATGAACTCTTAAAACCCGACGGCGAACTCATAACTCTCATGTATCCGGTAATTATTTTCATTAATATTCCATAAATTTAATCAAATAACCATAGAAAACGTATCATTTCATGTTTTGTGTTCTGTAAATTAGATTACCGACCACGAGGGTGGACCTCCCTACAAAGTAGATGTCTCAACGTACGTAATTAGTCTCTCACTTTGTCTTATATATATTGATGAGTACTTAACTATTAGCTTAGTTAACTAAAATGTTAATCGTATGTGTGTTTCTTGAGTTTTAGCTACGAAGATGTTCTGGTTCCGGCAGGATTTAAGGTTGTGTCCATCGAGGAGAATCCATACGCCATTGCCACTCGTAAGGTATACATATATACACTCACATTGCAATATATTTCATATCAAAGTATAAATTGAAGTTATATGTGTTTGGTTTGGTGTATATACATAACACAATGTTTTTTTTTGGCTAAACTATTACTTTTTTTATTAATTGAACTTACTTTAATTACAGTTTAAAAACAAAACTGATTTTTCCTTTAAATTGCAGGGCAAAGAGAAGCTTGGGAGGTGGAAGAAGATCAATTGATGATCCATGAAAGAGATAAAATGATTATCCACTACTCTATCCAGAATATATTTTAATATTATATGAACTTTGTACGTTTCACTGTGATAATTATTCGTATGTTTATGAATTATATTGGTCTGTTTCTGTTTTACTTTTATCCAAATCACAGTCACACACTGACACACTCAGACTAACACTTAATTAAATAAAATAAAATAATTCAATTAAGGCTAATTACTTAAAAGTTAAAACCAATTGAGAAATTGGAATGGAGAAGATGGCGCGTATTGCAGAGAAATCTCCGATGAAAGATGGAGGAGAGGAAGAGAAACAAACTCTCTCCTCGTCGCCATGTTTCTCCCGAACACTCCGCTCCATCTCTCTCTCTCTTTCTCTTCTTACATTTTCTTCATCTCCCTTTTTCTCTTTCCTCTCCTCTCATTTCTCCTCCTTTTCCCTAATCTTCCGCCATGGAAATCAACCACCACCCCTCCGAGGAACACGATGACGACAAAGACGCTCTCTCCGCCATGAGCGCCATTCCTCCTCCTCGCAAAATCCACTCCTACAGCCACCAGCTCCGCGCCTCCGGTCAAAAAGGCCACCACCGTCAGCGCCAGCATAGCCTCGACGATATTCCCAAAATCACCGAGGCCCTCTCCGGTTGCGGTATCTCCGGCGATTCTTCCGATGACGAGTTCTACCCTTACGCCACCACCACCAATTCCTCGTCGTTCCCTTTCACCGGAGACACCGGCGATTCCGACGATTACTTGATTACACACCAGCCTGAGATCGGAGAGGATTTTCAGCCGCTTCCGGAATTCGTCGGATCCGGAGGCGGCGTTGGTATGTTCAAAGTCCCCACGCGATCTCCGTTGCACTCGGCGCGTCCTCCTTGCTTAGAGCTAAGGCCTCATCCACTGAGAGAGACTCAAGTCGGGAGATTCCTGAGGAACATAGCTTGCACGGGAACGCAATTGTGGGCTGGGCAAGAGAGCGGCGTTAGATTCTGGAACTTCGACGACGCGTTCGAGCCAGGGTGTGGTCTAGGCGGCCACGTACGGAGAGGAGACGAAGACGCTGCGCCGTTTCACGAGTCGGCTAGTACTGCGCCCACCACTTGTTTGATGGCTGACAATGGGAATAGGCTCGTTTGGAGTGGTCACAAAGACGGTAAGATCCGGTCTTGGTCGATGGATCCTTCATCTGAGAATGACGATGATGATACTCCTTTCAAAGAAGGCCTCTCTTGGCAAGCTCACAAGGGTCCGGTCAATTCTGTAATCATGAGCTCTTATGGTAAAATCTCTCTCTCTCAGATACTATCACAATCTTATTGCCCTTGTGTGATGCATTGAATCTGAAATCCATAGGTTGTAATTGTGAAATCCAGGTGATTTGTGGTCATGTTCAGAAGGTGGTGTGATCAAGATATGGACTTGGGAGTCTATGGAGAAGTCACTTTCGCTTAGGTTAGAGGAGAAACATATGGCTGCTTTGTTGGTGGAGAGGTCAGGGATTGATCTCAGGGCTCAAGTTACTGTTAATGGTAGCTGTAGTATATCTTCCTCTGAAGTTAAATCTTTGTTAGCTGATAATGTAAGATCTAGAGTATGGGCTGCTCAGCTTCAAACCTTCTCCTTATGGTGAGTATTGAATGATACACAAAGGTAAACAAAAAAAGTGATGCCTCTGTCTTCTCTGTTGTTGTTTTGCTGAAAGGGTCGATTTTTTTTTTTCAGGGATGCTCGCACGAAAGAGTTACTGCAAGTCTTCAACACAGAAGGTCTGACTGAAAACAAGGTTGAAATGCCATCGGAGAAGGATCAGCCTGCAGAGGATGAGATGAAGGTGAAAATTGCTTCCACTTCGAAGAAGGAGAAGTCGCATGGATTCTTGCAACGCTCAAGGAATGCTATAATGGGAGCTGCAGATGCTGTTCGAAGGGTTGCAACAAGAGGAGGAGGAGCATCTGAAGATGCCAAGAGAACAGAAGCTATGGTATTGGCTGGGGATGGCATGATTTGGACCGGGTGCACAAATGGATTGCTTATACAGTGGGACGGAAATGGAAACCGGCTGCAAGATTTCCGTCACCATCAGTGTGCTGTATTGTGTTTCTGCACTTTTGGGGAGAGAATATACATTGGTTATGTTAGTGGTCACATCCAGATAATTGATCTTGAAGGCAATCTAATCGCGGGTTGGGTTGCGCATAATAACGCAGTGATAAAGATGGCATCAGCGGATGGCTACATTTTCAGCTTAGCCACTCACGGTGGTATACGTGGATGGCATGTGATTTCTCCTGGGCCTCTTGACGGGATAATAAGGTCGGAACTGTCTGAAAAGGAACGGACATATGCGCAGACAGATAGTGTTAGGATTCTGATCGGTTCATGGAATGTTGGCCAGGGAAAAGCTTCCCATGATGCGCTTATGTCTTGGTTAGGCTCTGTAGCATCAGATGTTGGTATTCTTGTTGTAGGCTTACAAGAAGTAGAGATGGGTGCTGGGTTTTTAGCAATGTCAGCAGCTAAAGAATCAGTGAGACGATATCTGATTTCTTTTTCTTCTTTCTTAATGCGTTATTTATGCTGCTTTTAATCTCTTTTTTGTGTCTATATTAGGTAGGAGGAAACGAAGGGAGTTCGATAGGGCAGTATTGGATAGACACAATAGGGAAGACGTTAGACGAAAAAGCAGTTTTTGAACGCATGGGATCGAGACAGTTAGCTGGTTTGCTCATATCACTTTGGTGAGTCGAAAGATTCCATGAGACACCTTATATTCAGTAGAAAAAGTATCTGTACTGAAATGTTTTGATTTCAATTCAGGGTGAGGAAGAACCTGAGAACACATGTAGGCGATATTGATGTTGCAGCGGTTCCATGTGGTTTTGGGCGCGCAATTGGAAACAAGGTATATATTTTTTGTCTTGAGATTGAGAAGGAAAGTCAAAACCTTTGCTTCTAGCATTTTGTTTCATTATGTCCAACAATATGGAAAATTATGATTTCTGAAAAAGCGGTATCTTACTTGATTTACTTTTGTATGTGTCAAACTAGGGAGGTGTAGGTTTAAGAATTAGGGTCTTTGATCGGATTATGTGCTTCATCAACTGTCACTTGGCCGCACATCTAGAAGCTGTAAACCGCAGAAATGCTGATTTTGATCACATCTACAAAACAATGTCCTTTTCCCGGTCATCAAATGCTCATAATGCACCAGCCGGTATATCTCTACGCCCACTTTTCACCTCTCTTCTCTATGACTAAGGCATTTATCTGTATACACCTCATGGCTTTTAACTTTTGCAGCTGGTGTGACTACCGGTTCTCATACCACAAAGAGTGCAAATGTAAGCCCCTTACGGATCAATTATTTTATTCCTGCCTTGAGGTGTGAGTTTCTTGCTTACCTTAGACCCATCACACTTTCTGCAGAATGTAAATGTCAACACGGAAGAGACGAAACAGGACCTAGCAGAGGCGGACATGGTTGTATTTTTCGGTGATTTCAACTACAGGCTCTTTGGTATATCATACGATGAAGCTAGGGACTTTGTCTCACAAAGAAGCTTCGATTGGCTTAGAGAAAAAGATCAGCTCAGGGCAGAGATGAAAGCTGGAAAAGTTTTCCAAGGAATGCGTGAAGCCATCATCACTTTCCCTCCAACTTATAAATTTGAAAGACACCGGCCTGGCTTAGGAGGTACATAAACAACATATATTAATATATACAAGTGTTGTAGTATATGAAATGTTAAATTTTATTGTCACTCCTTTTGTCCTCAGGGTATGATTCAGGGGAGAAAAAGCGGATTCCTGCATGGTGTGATAGAGTAATATACAGAGACACACGCACGAGTCCAGAATCTGAATGTAGTCTGGACTGTCCAGTCGTTGCTTCGATTATGCTGTAAGCTTTTCTTTCCACATTACAGAGATTCAAACTCTTAGCTTCTCAAGAGTCTTTAAACAATTTCGTTATGAACAGGTATGATGCTTGTATGGATGTGACAGAGAGCGATCACAAACCGGTCCGTTGCAAATTCCATGTGAAGATAGAGCATGTTGATAGATCAGTAAGGAGACAAGAGTTTGGGAGAATCATCAAGACGAACGAGAAAGTCAGAGCGTTGCTTAACGACCTACGTTATGTACCAGAGACGGTTGTTAGCAGCAACAGCGTTGTTCTCCAGAACCAAGACACCTTCGTGCTTCGCATCACCAACAAATGCGTCAAGCAGAACGCCGTTTTCAGGATCTTATGTGAAGGACAGAGTACGGTGAGAGAAGACGAAGATAACACGATGGAGTTACAATCTCTAGGCTCGTTTGGTTTCCCACGGTGGCTCGAGGTATTAAACCATCAAAGTCCTTAACCGTACTTTGGTCAAGACTCTCACAGCTTGTTAAGATGATTCGGTCTTCCTTTTTGTCAGGTGATGCCAGCAGCAGGAACTATAAAACCGGATAGTTGTGTGGAGATATCGGTTCACCATGAGGAGTTCCATACACTGGAGGAGTTTGTAGATGGGATTCCTCAGAATTGGTGGTGTGAGGACACACGAGATAAAGAAGCAATACTTGTGGTGAATGTGCAAGGAAGCTGTTCGACTGAGACTGTGTGCCACAGGGTCCACGTTCGTCACTGCTTCTCGGCTAAGGCTCTTAGGATCGAAGCCAATCAATCCAACTCCAAATCCAGTAGTTTGAAGAAAAACGAAGGAGACTCTAAATCTAAGAGTAGTAAGAAGAACGATGAAGACTCTGGCTCCAAGTCTCATAAGAAGAGCGATGGAGATTCTGGCTCCAAGTCGCACAAGAAGAGCGATGGAGACTCTGGTTCCAAGTCTCACAAGAAGAACGATAAAGATTCTGGCTCAAAGTCTCATAAGAAGAACGATGGAGAATCCAGCTCAAAGTCTCATAAGAAAAGTGAAGGAGATTCAAGCTCCAAGTCTGAGAAGAAGAGCGATGGAGATTCAAGCTCAAAATCTCATAAGAAGAGCGATAAGGATTCTGGCTCAAAGTCTCAGAAGAAGAACGATGGAGATTCTAGCTGCAAGTCTCATAAGAAGAGCGATGAAGAGTCAAGCTCCAAATCACAGAAGAAGAACGATGGAGATTCAAGCTCTTACAAGTCTCAGAGTGGGAAGAAGAGTGAAGGAGACTCGAGCTCCTACAAATCACAGAGTGGGAAGAAGAACAGTAGTAACTCGTCGACGGGAGAGGAGAGCCGGAATGGCCACGACAAACGTTGACTTTTTTTTGTTACAAATACGAACCTACTTTAAAGCACTGTAGAATATATAAATGCTCAATTGTTTGTATTTTCCATTAAAATACCAACTTAATTTTGTACTCTTTAAATTCATTCATTTTTAACATTCAAAATGTTTTTTGAGTCTCTCTACTGATAAGCCTAACAAGAACAATGATTTTTCTATTGAAGTTTTTGTGATTTTTGTTAACTAGTGCTATTCATAGCCTTCAAAATCCCAATCCGCAGCACATAAGTCAACAAAAAGCTCTTGGAATAGAAGGTTAATCAAAGTCAACCAATGATAATTTTTCATGCCACAAAACATGTAACATGGGAAACAAATGTTGTAATTTGAGAAATTGTTTTCCAAAAAAATAATGAGAGATGGCCCTGAGTCCCTGACATTCTTGGGGTCCAATTCTAAAATTAAATTTGGGTCTTAAGATTGAGTTTTTTTTTTTCTTTCTTTCTAAGTAAAAAAAAAAATTAAACTCTTAAATTTTCAAAAAAAAACTTCAACAAAATTGTTTGAAGTATGATGAATTGATGATTGACGATAATCGTTATCAATGACTCTTAGTCTCAACTCTTAAACAATTTTTTTGTGCATCTCTTGCGCAGAAGAGAGCACACAAGAATAATAATTGGTTTATAAGTAAAATGTCTTATGGTCTAATGAAAGAGGCATTATGATCTAGTTCGATCACATTAATGTCTTTTTGTTTTCACTTTTTCAAATCACAGTTTAGATTAACACCATAAAAAACAACATCACGTATATTGTAAAAATAATACTTTGATTTGAATAATTTTTTTCAACTATTCATAGTTTATAAATAAATCTTAACAAAAATGAACTATGGAGTCTATTTACATGTCTCTCACATTCTTCATCAAATGCTTAGGAGGCTCATGCAAGACGAAACACGCCACAACCAACTTGAATATCGTCCAACGAGGCTCAATGTGTTTTTGCTAGTCACTGGAGATCATGTCTTCAATAAAGTGATGATGGATCTTAAAGAAATGGGGATTACGGTTCTGCTTGCCCGTCCTGAAGATGTAGAACAAGCAGATGCAAATTTTGGAGAAGGATTCAACGCAGTGTGGTTTGTGGAGTGAGAAAACGGGAGCGTCTTATCTATATGCTTGTTAATTTTTTTACTCTTCTTGAAACAATTGAACCCCCAACTCATGGATGTAGAGAGTGAGTTCTCTCATTATCAATTTGCTGTTTAGACTTTTGATTACAAGTCGGAATTCAGACGTTGGTGAATGCTTTGTTACAGTTTCATTCTTGAAATTTAAACTTTTCATCTAATTTTTAAAAATTCAAAACTGTTTTACAAAAGAAACTGAAAAGTTGTCGTGGATATTTGCGGATATTGCCCTTTCAACTTTCATAAACGCAGAAATACCCCGAACATTATGATAGATTCCTAAATCACCGTCCAAGTCCCCTAATCGATGGCAAACTAAATAGATATCATGAAATATACTTTTCTTATTAAACAAAAAATCGTACACATAGGTTTTCTATAATTTTCTTGGAAAATTTAAGGTTTCAACTCTCAATTATTAACAAGTAACATTTCAACAAAATGTTTTAAAAAAAACATATTTACCGAAAACAATAGTTATTGGAGTTATAGGTTCGCCACTACTGCCTTTTCCAAGAACCTGCCTACAAATTACCGTAAATTGAAATAAAAAAATATGTTGACCATTGCTCACAATTCTGTCATAATTTTATGACTAAACCGGTTTTAGTACCAAACCGGGATATCAAATTCTCATGTTTCTATGACACAAATTCTCATATTTATTTAATTATTACACACCCTGTCTATAGGTAGTTAAGTACGGCTTATTCATGTTGAACTATGAGTCTATGACCAAGTGCAATAAATACATACCTGAACAATGATATTGTGCGTCGTAAACATACCTTAATTCTTGTGTTTTCTTAAATTGTAGCAAAATACACCAAACTAGTCAACTAATACATACATATATATATCCATCTTATTACTCAAGAGATAATGTAATATTCGTATACACTACAAGAAATAAGTTAGATGGCGTCGGATCATTAACGTCACTCCGTAAACTGACTTGAACATTTTTAAATGGAAGAAGGTTTTGTTAACCGACTTAAACTTTGAAAGTAATTTAGCTTTTGAGCCATCGACAAAGGCCCATGATCAATTATTTACCTCACGCTTTTTCTTTTCTTTTCTTTTTTCCTCTTTTTCAGCTCTCGTGCTTTCAATTAGCAGAAAATTGGAATCGATTTCAAAGGCAAAAAAGAACTTCAATTCCTTTTTCTCGATCGTCGAATCAGAAATTTGCAATATGATTATTATTAAGAACTAGTTAATTCAGCTTGTCAATATGATTATTCAGTTTGTAAGTTCTTAAACACAAACTGAAAAAGAAACTGTTTGATATGCTTATGTGATGTTTTCTCTAGTCAATGGTTTCTGATCTGGACGGAGTTAAACAAGAGAGGCAAGCGATTTCAGCTAGGATTGATTGATGAGCTAAGTGAAAAAGATTATAGCTTCAAAAGGGACAAAGCTTTTTCAAACATTCAAGAAACCAAGACGCAACGTGATGAGAGGGTACTTTGATGAACTTTATTATGTTCAAGACATCATATATTTGAATAATATAACATTCATCAACCTTCTACAGGGAGGAAGCGCAAAATTTAACATCAACCTTCATCAAACATCAAGTGTCTCTAGTAACCAGGTAATAATAATAATAAATTAATTAAAAAAAAAAAAAATCAAAAATCAAATTTGTCTCTTGGTGTTCATTGTCTCTCCTCTGGCTTTAGCTGCAGCCTTGAGAATAACATTTTCCTGAATGAAGCAGACGTTTTGATTTACATGACTAGCTTCTCTGATCTGTTTATACATTTTCTCTTTGGAATTTAACAAAATTTTGAAACCTAATGTAATCTCTTAAATGACCCAGAACACACATGTGATTGATCAGCAAAGAAGGAAATAGCAAGTTGGAAAGCAACGAAGGATCCAAGGTGGAGAGTACCAATCGACGTTTGAAACATTACATGTTCTTATAGTTTATAAGAGATAAAGTTGATGAACTTTTATATGGTCTGAGTTTGAAACTAATATGTTGATGTAATCACTTTATTGAACTTTATCGAACGCTATTGTAGCAATTGTAGATCTACTAGATTAAAAGCCAACCAAGGCAACTAAAGCGCGGGTAAGACAGTTAAGGAGAATTGAATTCACCATACCAAATTCAGCTAACGCCTTCGACTATGAGTACTAGAATTAACAGTCGCGTCGGTATTTCCTTCTTGCATGTCATTCCAATACCAATAAGCAGTTGATTCTTCGGCCACCTTTGATTCTCTTCCATCCATAACAACTGAGAGTATTTTATAACCATGTTCTCTTAAATCCCTAGTTGCATACGTAAAGTCCTTGTCCGCGGTAGCAACTAAGACAACGCTGTAACGTCCTTCTTGATCAGCATGGCTCAGCATATGACCCAACAATATCCTATCGGCAATTTCCTTCACTATTTTCAGGCGATGATAACTTTGTTCACCTCTTGGTCCGAAGTGCGATTTAGCGGAGAAGCATTGAAGCCACATTTTCGGAGCTCTTTCGTAGTGAACCTTACAGTCCGGAGTCTCGATATCTCCAACTCTGTTGCTGAAACCTGCTTCATCTTTATCAATAATTTTTTGAAGGATGATGAATGGATGATTAACGATAGCCGTTATCAATGAAAGTTAGTCTCAATTCTTAAACAATTTTCTTGTGCATCTCTTGTGTAAAAGAGAGCACACAAGAATAATAATTGGTTTATAAGTAAAATGTCTTATGGGCTAATGAAAGATGCATTATGGTCTACTTCGGATCACACTAATGTCTTTTTGTTTTCACTTTTTCAAATCACAGTTTAGATTAACACCATCAAAAACAACATCACATATATTGTAAAAATGGTATTTTGGTTTGAATAAATTTTTCAACTGTTCATATTTTATGAATAAATCTTAACAAAAATGAACTATGGAGTCTGAATAACATGTCTTCTCACCTTCTTCATCATTTTAGCATATATGAATATATTCTTCAAAAAGAATCTTGGATCCAATCTTTTCAAAGATTGGTTCAATCTCTGAACCGAAGTTCTATCATCCTAGAGTATAGGCAAGCTCTCAGCATCCCATATCATCGCTGGAGGTGCACTAGGCTTGTCTTGTGATATCAGTGTTTCTACTAATTTAAATTTTTCAAAAAGTGTACTAGCATGTTTATGCGAAGAGCTACAATAAGAACATATCAGCTAAATTTTTTGGCGCTGTTGAATGGTTTATACCAGCTTTAAACTACACATTTTCTAATATGAACATTGATTAAGGTTTAAATTTTAGGGTTTATGATTTAGTACTTATATTTAAAGTTATTTTACTGAATGAAAAAAATATAGTTTTGAAAATAGACATCATATTTTGAAAATAAATACCCTAACATGTGTAAACAACTAATAATGAGTAGTGATCTTAATTTCAATACATTAACAGAAATTCATATGAATATTTTTTTTACCAGATAGTACAAATGAAAGTTTCATGATATACATATACAAATTTAGACGCATGACAAACAAAACAACCCGATCACGGACGCAAATAATACTCTTCGTCTACGACGGTGTAATGTCATCGAAACACTTTTCCCTCTTTAAATTCATGAGAAATCAAAGACAACCTTGTGGCATCACCACACCAGCTTTAACTCCTCTAATATTCTTACACGTGGAAGTAGCAGATCGGCCGTTGAACGTTAGCTTAATATCGTGCAATCTAATCGCTTGACACGGATTACTTCGGCTGCAATCAAACGTTAAAGCTTGTTGAGACCGCGACGTTCCTTGAATGTTTCTATAAACAACCTCACTAATCTTCACTCCAGAACCCTACAAATTTATATACACCAATCAGATTAGTTATCTATACATAATCACATTGTATTAGTATAGTATAGGTTTGATTTCGATTAAATTGTACCTGTTTGGGACAACCTTGATGAGTCGGACAATAATTCTGATCGACAATGATTGGATTCTGAACATTCTTCATGACCAAATTCTGAAACAAAACATTCCTTACAAAACCTGTGCTTTGCCTAGCCCACGTCTTGATCCGAACACCATTATCCGAACCCGAGAAAACAGAGTTTATCAACGTTATGTTCTGTACTCCAGCTTCGTTAGCATCTCTCCCTAGACTCCCAATACTGCCACAAAGCATTATCATAGTAATTAATCAGTCTACTATCGAAAATATTTAAATCTTGCACTCCAAGTTATCTATTTAATTGTCCAAACCTGATTCCATGGCCTGGACCGCAGTTGAGTTTAGACATGTAGAGGTTACGAGTTCCGGGGCCGATAGAGATACAATCATCTCCGGTTTGAAACGTGCTATCGGTCACGGTAACACCAGCAGAAGCTTGGACGTGGAGGCCGTCTGTGTTGGGACTTTGGTCTGGAGCCACTAGCTTTACTCTCCGGACAACTACATTGTTGCAGCTGTTTATCACCATATGTGTTGCTTGGCTGTTTATTGACGTTAAACCGCTCACTACGACGTCATTTGCCCAATTAAACGTTATTGACTGCAACAACAACAACAACAACATCATCACCAATGTTAATGATTAAAAAAAATGCATAAAAAAGTTTAGTTAAAAAAATAGGTTTTGTTTCTTACTCGGGCGCCATCAGGACAACTCTTTCCGGATTTTCGACAAGCCCAAAAAGAAGCACCTCTAGCATCTAATGTTCCTCCGTTGATCGTGATCCGGTTAACTTGTACGAACAATATCCAATAACCGGAGTTTCCAAGACCGCGGTAATCCGAAGGAGCTACAATGGTTCCGTATATCTGAAAAGTGATTCTACTGCGGCACGGACCGCGAAACACCACCGGTTTTAGAAAGAAGATTCCTCTCGGGACCGTTACAGTAACACTTGCAGCTGAACGGCAAGCAGCTTGCCACGCGCCGAGGAAGGCTTTTGTTGAGTCGGTTCGACCATCCGGTTTAGCACCGAAGCTGACGACATTGTAGTTGTTAGCAGCCATTGATGATCTCATCAGCAAGAAGGTTGAGAAAAACACCAGCAAGACAGTTACAAGGTGATTATTATCCATTTATGTTTCTTACAAAGAGAGAGTGATAAATCTTTGTAGATTTTTGGATTTTGAGAGTATTTATGTTTGTGTTTGTGGCGAAGTGTGATGGTGAAGGCAAAGGAAACGGTTATGACGGGTATATATATATATATATATATATATATATATTGCGGTATGAATGAATACGTTGACATTTTTGAATAAAAATGCTAATGATTGTTTGATGATGAAGTAGTTTATAATAATTAATTAATGATATGTACGGTTCCGCATAATCGCATGTGATGATAAGCAGTTGTGAATTCCTTAGGCAAATAATGTTGATCTACAAAACGAGTAAGCATGTGATCCATGTTCACTTGTATAATTTTACATGGATTATTAATTCTAACTGAGAATATGATATACTACAATTAATAATTAAATGGTAAAAGCAAAATAAACAAATAAAATTGTGCTAGTGGCCGGCGCGCGGTGGACTTTCTCTTGTTCTTCAGTTAAATAATATTTAATCTAAATGTTAAATGAAAAAGAGAACCAATGGATCAAGTTTATCTATAGCATAATCTATGGCATGTGACATGGAGTCATGGAGATGTTATATTCAAGCGTAGTCGTAAAAGCAGAAAAGCCTCCGAATCCTACGGCCAGGAGTAGCATTAGTCAACAAAAAAAGCTCTTGGAATAAAAGAAGGGTTTAGTGAAAGTCAACCATGATAACTTATCACGGCACAAGAAACATGTAACATGGGATGTAATGTTGCGGCCATTACGGAAAAAAAAAAGGTTCTAATCTTTAACTCTAAATATCACTCTATATGTAATGTTGATTTCCAGATTCTCTTACTTTTATCGTGGTTTCTCGCCGCATACATCCGTTTCTCCAGTATGAATTGTCGCTTTTCCATGAAGATAATGCCAAATTGCCAATGGTGCTGATCAAAACCCTGAACGGACTCCCCTTTTTTTAAGTTGGCACAAAGAAAACTAATATGTGCACATCTTAATTGTGAGATTAACTTTCTTAGCCATCTTTTTGTTTAAACATCACTATATTGAATTAAACCCAAGATGGTTATGTTCATACTAAAAGCAACATGTTTAACTTGTGTTATTTGAGTAGGAACATAGTTTGGAAAAACAAATCTTGGACATTTGCTATCCTTAGACATATTTACTTTCTGGTTTTTAAAAGTCAAGTTGTTTATGAGTTGGGCTGGTCAAAAAAGTTATAAAATCAAGTTGTTTATGGCTAATTTTGTTATGGTAAAAAAGTTATCATGTGTGTTATTTTTTGTTTGGGTCAAAATGTGCTACTTTTTGACTAAAATTTTATAAGTAAATAAATTAAAAGGTTATGTTATATTTTTAACTTTATTTTGTTAACTTATTTTTGCAAATTTGACCATGAAAATTACCTTTTACATATATTTTTGTATATATATATAGCCAATTTTACTAAATAAAAATCATCAAGACCAAAAATCAGCACACACAAAAATCATAGTAAAAATGCATTGTAGCATGAAATCGTTTATTACATTTGTTTTCACTATCCTTTTCATCATATCTATTGCTTATGGTCGTACAACAATTACTAAGACTCTAGGTACTCGTTAAGTCTTATACCACATAATAAAATTAAGTAGATGATTTTATTTTTTATTTTAATGAATATCAATATTAACGTAATGATATTTTTGTTTTCTTATATGTAGATTCTGCAACAAATGAGAGGTATCATTGCTATTTGGAACATGAATCATGCGAGAGTTATGGGGAGATTGCTTGTTTTGAATTTTGTAGATCCCAGTATTATTTTAATGGCAAGTGTGCTGGTGGTAATAAATGTTGTTGTTCGGGTGATATAGAAAAGAATAATTTGGCTCCAAGATGAATGTTCTAATCAAATAATAATATCATTTTTTTATATAAAAAAAGAACATCATTGTTTTCTTAATGTTTTAAAGATCTATATGAAAAAGCCTCTCTACTTATAATTCCACTTATCGTTTAGTTGAGTTTATGCGACTTGGTTGGTTAAACACAACATGTATGTATTTCTTATGATTTTTTCAAATTCTGATGAATCTAAGGCTACAGGAAACATCAAAACAAATATCGTCTTATAACACATCTAAACCCAACAATTTTTAATGAAACATTATCATGGATATCCAACCGTCAAATTTCACATACAGTTGTTTGGAACCATAACTCCAGAGGCTCGTCCATGAGCATTCCTGCAATAAGAAGATGATGACCTTCTCATGTAAGTGAGTTTGATGTTGTGTAACCTAATTCCTGTGCAATGATTGCTTCCACTACAATCCAGTTTCATTCCTATAGGAGTTGTTGATGTCCCTTTTATGTTAGCAAAAGTCACTCCACTTATCTTCACACCAGAGCTCTATATGATCAATCAATCATAATCATATTCCATTAGAAAGTAACCAAAAGACTAAAGAAAATTAAGCCAGCCAAAAATCGATTAGGTTATTCACCTGACGAGGACAACCACTTCCATTAGGGCAATAGTTTTGATCGATGATCACCGGATTATTAACATTCCTCATTATCAGGTTTCGAAATTCCACATTCCTCACATACCCTCCGCTCGGCCTAGCCCAAGTCTTTATTCTTACTCCATTTTGCGTCTTTGTGAAAACAGAGCTTGTGACGGTTACATTGTCCACACCTTCCTCGTTAGCGTATTCCCCAAGACTCCCAATGCTGCATCAAATTTACAAGCTATGCCAATGTTAATCAATGCAAAATAGTCAGATTAAGTGAATTTTCTGTTAAATAGTAACCTGATTCCATGTCCGGGTCCACACTTGACACGCTCGATCCAAATGTTCCTTGATCCCTGATTAAGAGCAATGCAGTCATCACCGGTGGCAATGATTCCACCACTAATGGTAACACCAGAAGAAGACTGGACTAGTATACCGTCGGTATTAGGGCTTCCACTTGGAGCCCTAATTCTTATGTTTTGAATCCTAACATTAGTTGAACGATGAACCGCAACATGAATATTTTGGCTATGGAGCGATGTGAGAACGTTATTGCACCAGCTAAACGATATAGGTGATGATTGGTTCTCCCGCTACCACCCGCAAACGCAGCGTTTGCGGTTCGTAGCGGTTCTTAGCGTTTTATAACAATCACGACAACCGCTTTCAACCGCTCTATACCACTCTGTACCGCTCTATATCGCTGAAAATCAAAAGCTCCTTTCCGCAAGCGTTTGCGGTTGCGGGCGGTTGCGGTTTGAAAAAAAAAAAAAAAAAACATAATATCTCCAAATTTGGAATAAGGGTATATTTTTTTGAAAAATACCATAATTATGTTTAAAAATTTCGAAAATACCCTAAATTTTTTCTGTTTTGAAAAATACACTTTTAAAATGTAAAAAGTATGTTTTGACGTGATTTAAAAATAATAAATAATTACAAATTATAAACGAAAATTTAAAAAAATAATAAACTAATAAGTTTTTTTTCAAATAAATATAGTATATGTTAAACTGAAACAAATTTTAATATTTTGGATCTTTATATAAACAACTTAACCTCATACACATTCAAACCAAATGAAACTTTAAATAAATTAAAACTTTACATATATTTAAAGTTTATAAATTATTAAAAATTTAAAAGTGGAGAAATATATCTTTCATTTTTAATGTTTATCTTTTGAAAAATTTAAATATTTTTGAAACTTTGCATAAACAACTTTAATCTCACCCCATTTAAACTTTATATAAACAATCTTATATTTTTATTAAATTGTTTAAAAAAAACTAAACAGGTAATTAGGATGTTAAAATGATACAAAATTATTATCAAATATTAATATTTTATATTTCTTATTTGAATTTCGTTTTTATTAAATTAGGAATAATCATTTTACATATAAAAAGTGTATTTTTCAAAACCAAAAAAAAGGGTAGTTTTCAAATTAAAAATTCATCAAAAAATATATTTCAAAAAAAAAATTATTAATATGGTTATAAATGTTTTGAATAATTATATATTATTTTTATTTTAGTAACTTTTGGTTAAACCGCTCTTGCACCCGCTGGCTAACCAGTCAAAAATATCCCGCAAACGCAACCGCTATGAATTGCTATACCAGTCGTACAAACAGCTTTTAATCGCAAACTCCCGCTTCCGCAAACTCCCGCAGCCGCAAACTCCCGCAACCGCAACCGCAGCGGTTAAACCAGTCAGACCCATAGACTGCATGAAAAAAACATATTAAAAAGTTAGATTCAATTATATATATTATCAAAATCGCTTAGCTTACTAATAAATGGAAATTGGGTTTTGTTATACGTACCCTTGCACCTTGAGGACAATGCCCACCTTTCTTTCTACAAGACCAGTGACTAGCTCCTCTAGCATCAATGGTTCCACCGTAAACCAAGATCCGGTTTACCTTAGCGAATAGGATCCAATAACCGGAATTACCTATACTCCAGTTATCTTTAGGAGCCACGAGTTTTCCATCAATTTTGAAAATTATAATGTTCTTGCAAGGACCCCAAAAAGCAAGGTTTCTAACCAAGTATGTTCCACGGGGAATGTAGACCATGGCTCGAGCCCGTGAGCCGCAGGCTAATGACCAGGCCGTCAAAAATGGTTTCGTGGAGTCTGTTCTCCCATCACCTCTGGCTCCGTATCTTTGGACGTTAAACGATCGCATTGCGTTTGATGTGTTGATAAGAAAGACAATGGAGAATAACATGATAGCACAAGGAAAAACTATGTTATTCGCCATCTTAGAAATTTTTCCTAATAGTTTTTTTTTTTTTTTTTTTTGGCTTTGTGGGATTGTAATGATTTAAGACGAAATAATGAGAAAGGTTTTATATATAGAGAGGAAATATTCTTTTGTATTAAATCGGACCCGTGTGTTTATGACTAACAGCTGTGCCGGAAATGTTAATTGATTCTATGTACCTTTTTAGTGATAATGTACTAATTGGCTTTTGTGTGTACAACTTATATTACTCCGTATAATATTACTCTCAGTTTACATCTTGTGATAATTTACTGGAAAACAAAATAGTACTCTCAATTTCCAGGTCACGAGTTTGCAACTTGTTCACTACGTTTCCTTTTCATCGACTCAGAAAATATTTTATTTAGTAATTAACAAGGAAAGTTTAAAAGAGTGTGTTGAAAAGTTTAGCTTTTTAGTTATGTGGTATTTTTGGAAAGAAAATTAGCCACAGTAAATTTGAAATAAAATTTTGTGGCAAGTCAAATGGAGTAATGGAAGGGACGAAAATTCCTCCGAATCTTGCGGTAAACCAACAGTGAACGTAAGAACCTCAAATTAGAGGTCAACCAATGAAGGGTAGACACATCATTCTATCAACTCACATGAGATGGAACAGAGAGTATCAAAATGTGTTACCTTCGAAGTCAATTGCTCTTTTTGTTTTTGTTTTTTTTTTGGCTGACAAATATTTCTATTGCTCTTACAGGTTGACTATCGGTTATGTTTTAAAACTTTTTTTGCATCAGGGCTTTATGGAGAAGTAAAGATCCAACATTAGAAGTTTTCTTTGTAATGCCAAATTATTTTTAACTTAGTTATATTCGAGCAAAACAGAGTCGGTACAAGCGCATTGATAAGCAAACAATCAATTTGATTGCTTCTCTTTTATTTCAATCCACAGCAAAGAATCCACCACATTTAAATTCGGATGAAAACTATGTAACATCAAACATCACCTTATAGCATATATCTACACTCAACAGTCTCTAGTTGAGGTTCATATATATAAATCCCAATTATGAAACCTTGGATTCTGATCTCACATACAGTTCCTCGGAACCATAACTCCAGAGGCTCGTCCATGAGCGTTCTTGCAATAAGAAGCTGATGATCTTCTCATGTAAAGGAGCTTAATGTCTTGTAACCTAAGTCCTGTGCAATGATTGCTTCCACTACAATCCAGTTTCATTGCTATTGGTGTTGTTGATGTTCCCTTTATGTTTACAAAAGTCACTCCACTTATCTTCACACCAGAGCTCTATATGATCAATCATAATACAATTCCATTAGGAACAAAAATGAGACTATAATCTGTTACTTACATAAGAGATTAGGTTATTCACCTGACGAGGACATCCTCTCCCATTAGGGCAATAGTTTTGATCGATGATCACTGGATTTTCGACATTGTTCATTATCAGGTTTCGAAATACCACATTCCTCACAAATCCTCGACTCGGCCTAGCCCAAGTCTTTATCCTTACTCCGTTTTGCGTCTTGGTGAAAACAGAGCTCGTGACCGTCACATTCTGCACACCTTCCTCGTTAGCGTAATCCCCAAGACTCCCAATGCTGAACCACATTTTAAACCAGACCCCACGTTAATTGCCTTAACCACTACTTAAATCATGATATTAAAAGTTGATTATTATTGTTAATTTTTAGCTACCTGATCCCATGTCCGGGTCCACAGTTCACACGTTCGATCCAAATGTTCCTAGATCCTTGACTAAGAGCAACGCAGTCATCACCCGTAGCAATGGTTCCACCACTAATGGTGACTCCAGAAGAAGACTGGATATGGATACCGTCGGTGTTAGGACTTCCACTTGGAGCCCTAATTCTTATGTTTTGAATCCGAACATTGGAAGAATGATGAACCGTGACGTGCATGTTCTGACTATTAAACGACGTTAGGCCACTTAGTAGAACATTGGTGCACCAGCTAAACGATATAGACTGTAAAACAAAACAAAAATGATATATCAAAATTTTGATAATAATACAAGTAGAAAGAGGTAGCTGGCGAATAAATCGAAATAAGGTTTTGTTAAACATACCCTTGCACCTTGAGGACAATTTCCACCTTTCCTTCTACAAGACCAATAACTAGCTCCTCTAGCATCAATGGTTCCACCTTGAACCGAGATCCGGTTTACTTTAGCGAAGAGAATCCAATAACCGGAGTTCCCTATACTCCAGTAATTTGCCGGAGCCACCAGTGTTCCATCGATTTTGAACGTGATTCTGTTCTTGCAAGGACCCCAAAAGACTAGATTTGTAACCAAGTATGTTCCACGGGGAATGTAAACCATGGCTTGAACCCGTGATTTACAGGCTAATGACCAAGCCGTCAAAAATGGTTTGGTCGAGTCTGTTCTCCCATCACCTCTAGCTCCGTATCTTTGCACGTTAAATGATGGCATTGCGTTTGATGTGTTGATAAGAAAGAAGACAATGGAGAATAATTTGATGATGGCACAAGGAAAATAAATGTTATTCGCCATCTTTGATTTTTTTGTTGGTCTAATTTTTGATTGAACAAGAGATGATAAGAAAGTTTATATATAGCTTGTAAGATTATTATTTTGTATTAGATCGGACGATCCGTGTATTAATGACTAATCGCGTTATCCGCGGTGCATTATAATACAAGTGAACTAAATGTTACTTGATTCCATATGTTATTTAATTATAATGTACGTATGTGGCTTGTGTGTGTACAAACTTATTATCGTACGACTATTAGTCGATGAAATTATTGCAGCACCAAATAGTACTCTCAACTATCCACGTTATCAATATGCAAATGCTTATTGAGTTTCCTTTTCAAATTGATTCATTGATTCAAAAACATATATTGTGTTTTTTTACATCGACAGCTTGATGATTAGATCCATATTATTTCTGATTTGATCATCCTTCTTTTATATAATGATATTACATAGATCGGCTTCGCAATACGTAACTTGTATTAATCTCGATTGGGTTAAAAAAAAATCGAAGTTGATATCTTTATTTGGAAACAAGACAGCAACATTAATCAAGTGGAGAAGAAACTTAATTAGAAACAAATGTTATCTGTCACAGTTGGAATTTCTTATATGGTGTCACATACTCACATGGAGCATATACTACTATGATTTGAAATGTTACTGTTTTACAGAAAACCTCTCTTCTAATAAAAGAACAAGACAAAGTACAGAAAATATAAATCGAAGGCAACAAAAAGAACAAGACAAATAGTTCTTGACTTATCACGAGCCCATAATCAACGAAAGATTGAAAGTCTTGCTTACCTTTTAGGGACGCCCAACTTGTTTCAAAGTCTAGAAACAATAAATTTATTTTTCCTTGGCAAGCTAGAAACATGTACACTTGTTTTACATATAAAAATCCACAGTTAGATGTGTGTGGACTTATTTCTTCTCTAGTATGGTTATTCGCATGCCTATATGTAGCTATGGCGATGGCCTGGAAAACATATTCTACCAATTAAATGATAAATCCATGAAAAGTAATTAATGACAATTCGATCTGAGGAAACAAAATATTTAGATGAATAGTGAAATCAGGTTGGTTTCTCAGTTAAGTTATAAACAAATCGATTTGAATCTATTTAATTCCAAGATCACATGGCACAAGAAAGTTATAGCTAATGTGTGGAGGTCAACGACTAATATAAAACCAAATTGTCCTTCTTTTGACATGATCGAGCTTTCGTATTTAATTTGGTTTTCATTAGTAATCCGCGGTATAGCATAGTGGTTGGCTGGTTGCACAATTTCGCAGAATCGCAATAATATTCTAATATCGAGTTTTACAACAACAAAAAATGACCAGAATAATTATATAAAATTGTCAACTTTCACAAGTTTTCATCATTTTCAGTTTAAGAATTACTCCTATTTTATTGTGCATGGCCATTTTATCTTACGGCTTTTTATAATTTCCGTGATGCTATCCTTTGGAGACTTCACTATGCCTATTTATGACGACCCAAGAAAAACTATGACTATTTGTAATGATGCAAATTTTGTAACACAACGTATTTTAGTGACGTTTAAAAAATAAAAATGCATGCATTTTTGGGTGAACTAAAATGTATATAAAAGTTATAAATCTAAATCTAGACCAATTTAGTGGCGAACCAGAAGTAATGATAATGACTAAAGTGTAAACTGTAAATTGTTTCTCAAATTTCCCGTCTCTAACGTAACCTCAACTAACACTATCGAAACAACTTGATATTTGGTCAAATACTATTTCTCAGCTCGTACAAATTAAATCCCTTCTATAAATATCAGCACCTAACCACCAGTGTCAGTGTGTAGTGTGTACATACTACATATACGTGAAAATCAAAGGGAAACATGAACTCAACATGATATACATATGATAACATATCAATAAATGCGGCAAAGCATATATGCATGCGTAATAAATGTGTTACGTATTTAAACATGATATTCTGAAATCTTGCAATGCATGTGATCAGCCTTTGAAACATAGTTATGAGAATGAAAAGTTAATATTTGAAGCCATAGTGTGATGATTGGGTATGATCAAATCCTACTACATTAGATCAGATATATCACTACATACATAGAGAGCTAATGTGTGCATATGTGTTACAAATACAATGTGTGCATAATCAGATATAGGGCTTGGCAATTTGACTTTTCAGTTTAATTTCTTACGCTTTTATGGTTTTTTGGTATAGTTTTGATTTGTTTTCAAATATTAAACCCAAATATGAATTAATATAATCTTATTATTATGTTATACTAACTAAATTACAAATAACCAGCAAATTTTTTAACCAAATTTGGTTGGTTTTAGTTGACTTGATTAATTCAATCTCGTTTCTTTTTTCACTTTGGTTCATTGTGCATCTGCACTCTTATAACTTGGCATGTTTTTGGTAAAATAACTATATCAAATATCATTTATAGAATCACACATTGTATTTGTGACATTGCTTTTAACTTGTAAAGGCCACATGGGGTGGGCATCAGATCTAGGGGGTCGTAAATTATAACTGAAATTGTATTAACAACGTATATAACGTCGGATACAACCAAATCCTATACATACAACAGTTTTAAGCAAAATTTCCATGCACCGTTCTTCTAGGTTTATAAGCAAAGATGTTGTTGAGTCACAAATCAACTTTGACCCTTAGTACTTATACGGCGCATCGTGATCCTTCCATTGACCTTGATTATTCCCATCTTATCTTTCTAATATTCTCGCCATTAGCACGTTAATTCAAATGCATGAACTTGAAAAGTGTGAGTAATCAAATGTTTTCTCAAGTCAAAATTTGATGTATATTACGGCAGGGAAAACAATAATATATGGGAAGTTTAAAGAACCTTTCGGTGTGATCATTGGCTCAAATCTTCTCCGTATTATTTTCCACTTGTCACGTTCCGTAACCATGTTGCTCCACCTCCCCCAATCCGATCCGATCTATATCTACGGACTACATATCCAATCATTCAAATATTGTTTTCCCATTGATACGTGTTCCCTAATTTTCTTTGTTGTCTATTTTAACGTTTAAATAACATATTTTATAATAATTTGATTTTAATTATCATACAATTACACGATGTTTGAAAACTTAAGTGAATGGCTCATCCAAAATGATCACAATTGTCCAAGCAGCAATTTTGTTTCCTTCGCATATAGTACCTTTTTGTTTGCGATTTTATTTTACTTTAGATCTTCTAAACTCCGTTGAAATCTGTATTTAGCGTCCCCCAACGAGGGATCGTGGTTGTCAAAAAAAAACAAAAAGATCATATCGTGTAACGTTTATAAAATGGATTCATTGGCAACTAAAGCTAATCGTTTAATAAACTAATTGTCCGTATGCATTGATCTTGTGTCCCCACTTAGCATCATGCATAAGCAACAAGCATAGCCAACGTGTACTATTAGTTTTCGTTTTGTTTTATTAACCATTAATTAGTCTTCTTTTTAAAGAATAAAGCAACCTTAAAATAGTCGTTTTTTTTAAGTTTCCAATTTGAATCCACAATACTGCCGAGGACCCATAAGCAAGTGGCTTAAGCCATTTGGCTGCTACGTTAGGAATAGGAACTTATGTATATGGAATTGAACTTTTATCTATTCTTCATTGAATATGGATCATGTAATAAAAAATATATATAAACTTTCAAGATTATTTTTCTAGTAAAGTGAATATATTAATTAATAGATAATCACATTGTACAACCGATTAGTACGGCTACTTCAGCACAACTAAACAAAGACTAATCATAAGCAACTTCACGGAATCATTTTTTTCACAGGAAAATATGGTTTTTAGGTGTGACAAAAGAAATAAAACTTATAGGTCATTAAAACTCTAAAACCGATTTTGTGATAATATTGATTTATTAACACTACCTTCGCTTGATCACGTTGTTTGTGCAGCCAAAAAGTGTAACGACTTTGCGTGTTCCTCTCATAAATTAACGAACTCTTCACATTTCAACGTTCATTGGCTCGTAATAAATATATATTGACCATTGCAGTTTCACTTTTCTACCTTTGATTCTACTTCTCCTGCTTTCTATTTCACACCCAATTTTATTTTCATTTTCTTGTTTTAAAATATGTTTATTTTGCGTGCGGTGTAAAGGATATTAAGGCATACGTATGATATTTAGAGGATTAAAAGATTGATACTTTTATAATATATATAAACAGACATAATCCAAGACTATTTATATTACCCCATGGCCACTAATATAAAACCTTAAAATCTGCAAAAACTGGAGCTGAGAAATGCTTTGCAAAAACGTTATTTATGAAATTTACCTATTCTATCAAAAACATCGAAAAGTATTATATGATCGTAATATTCCATTTTAAATTTCTACCATATTTAGCTAAGTGGCAGTGGCAGAGTGGTTTCACTTTTTGTAGGATTCCTTCAGTTATTACAACAAGACATAATAAGTACACAGATTCGTTTAAACGTATACATGTTTTACGGTTTTGTTTGGTCATACGTCGATGTCTAACATAATTTCACACCTAATTTCTTATTCATTCAAAAGCTTTATGTTATGCCAAATCCAATGAACATTTCTTTATTCTGGAACCTTATTTAATTAAGTAAAAAACAAAACAAACAAACAAACAAAAAAATCCGTTCACATACAACACAAATTCTATATAAATACATACCATAACCGTTAAAACTTCCCACACCACCACCACTACTCCACTCCCTCTCTCTTTCTTTATCTCTAATCTAAGCAAGCGTAAAATAGCAATATACAATGGCTTCACTTCTTGTCCTAGTCTTCTTCTTCTTCTTCTTCATCTCCTTTTGTTCTGCTCAGTCCTACAATGTCTTGTCTTTCGGAGCTAAGCCAGACGGAAAGACAGACGCAACCAAAGCGTTCATGGCGGTTTGGGAAACCGCTTGTGCCTCGTCTCGTCCCGTTACCATTGTGGTTCCTAAAGGCCGGTTCTTGTTAAGGAGCGTTAATTTCGACGGTTCCAAGTGCAAGCCCAAACCGGTCACGTTCCGTATCGACGGTACATTGGTTGCTCCTGCTGATTATAGAGTTATCGGAAATGAGGATTACTGGATTTTCTTCCAGCATCTTGACGGCGTCACCGTTTACGGCGGAGTTCTTGACGCTCAAGGAGCTTCTCTTTGGGAATGTAAAAAGTCCGGCAAGAATTGCCCCAGCGGCGCAACGGTACGTTATGTTTTACTATCTTCAGCCGTTACGGACTACACAATGTAAATTTTGGAACGTTTAAGCCTATGCTGATAGACATCACCATTTATTTACAAGAAAAAATATTCCAAATATTTACGTGAATGCTAATGATTTAATAGCGTAGCAAAAAAAGGACTCATATCTTTTGAAAAACTGGAATTTATTATTTTTAATCAAATGACATAAATTGGCTAGATTATAGTTCCATACAAGAATTTTATAATGACACACCCTTTTCTGAATTATGAAGTTTTAATTGATTTCTTAAAAGTATTAATTACCACAAGTCCGAAATCACATGGAACCATGGATTCATATAACCAGTATTATATTCTCTGTATGATTTAATAAATGAATGAGATGGTTATTATCAATTTATCATGTGAATCAACAGACGATAGGTTTTCAGAGCTCAAGCAACGTAGTGATCTCCGGGCTAACATCACTCAACAGCCAGATGTTCCACGTCGTCATCAACGGTTGCAACAACGTGAAGCTACAAGGAGTCAAAGTATTAGCCGCCGGAAACAGCCCAAACACAGACGGTATCCACGTTCAGTCTTCCTCCACCGTCTCTATCTTCGATACTAAAATCTCTACCGGCGACGATTGTGTCTCCATCGGTCCAGGCACTAACGGTCTATGGATCGAAAATGTGGCATGTGGTCCGGGTCACGGTATCAGGTATGTGGCAATTAATATGTATAAACATAATATTTAAATAATAATCACGATATTACAAAACAATAATATTTTATTTGATATTTTACACTACCATATACTGTACATTTTTAGCATTGGGAGTTTGGGAAAAGATAGCGTGGAACCAGGTGTACAGAACGTGACAGTGAAAACGGTGACGTTTACGGGAACAGATAACGGAGTGAGGATTAAGTCATGGGCCAGGCCCAGTAGTGGATTCGCTAGGGACATCCGTTTCCAACACTGTGTAATGAACAACGTAGAGAACCCCATCTTAATTGACCAAAACTATTGTCCTAATAACGAAAATTGCCCTAACCAGGTAATTCAATTATGTTATATAGTGTACATGATAAAATATTTTATACTAGAGATTAATCGTCATTTCTTTCTTTCTTAACGATTATTTTAGGTTTCGGGAATCAAAATCAGTGATGTGTTGTTCGTAGATATACATGGAACATCGGCGACTGAAGTTGGAGTGAAACTTGACTGCAGTTCTAAGAAACCGTGTACCGGAATTCGACTTGAGGATGTGAAGTTAACGTACCGAAATAAACCGGCTGCATCGGCTTGTACTCACGCCGGGGGGATAGAAGCTGGTTTTCTCCAGCCAAACTGTCTTTGAGCACAACAACAACAAAGTATCGATCTTAAGAAAAAGATTATTATTACTTAATATGAAAAGTAGCGAAATGTAAATTATAATTCGTAGTACGTAATCCGTTCCGATACGTACCAGGAACGCGGGGAATATTTGAGATGCACGAGCCTGTGGCGATTGACGGTCCATTGAGCCTAGAGCCTGGCCTTGCTTTGTAGAATATGGCCCACAGCAACCATTGATGATTTGATATGTGTTGTATAATTTGTGTTATTTGCTAAATTTAATATTATTTTGTATTTGAATTATTGGTTAAAGTTCAAAGTAATTAGTAGTAGTACTCTAGTGAATGGAAAGAAAAAAGTATATCAAAAGACAAGCCTCCTCAATTTCGCGCCATTTTCTTCTGTTTGTATAGCAAAGTTGGTTAGTTTGTTTCGGTTGACACTTGCATTATTTTTGGTGGCTCCGTAGTTTCCTCTTCAATGTTAGCAGATTTGATTTTAAGTCACCATAGATAAACTTTTCCATTCAGAGTGAATTCAGAGTGAAATACAGTAGAAACTCTATAAATTAATAATGTCGGGACTTTGATATTTTATTAATTTATAGAGTTATTAATATATAGATTTTGACTAAAAATATTTTCAAAAAATAAAATTCAATATTAAATCAGAAGTTTCCTTTATATGTATATTTTCTTAACTTTTTTTCTAATGTTTCTATATTTACTTTATTTTTCACATTTTCTCATACTTGCCATATTATATAAAATTTTTTTTTCTTTTAATTTCCATATATGTTTGGTATGTGAGAGATTCATATTTTAGTAGTTAGATATTTTAGGTGTATATATATAAATAAAAATAATTATTAATTTATGATTTTATTGGGACCATATTTTACATAGGAGTTCAAAAAAAGTTATTATCTTATTATCTTATCGAATTGTGTCATATTTTACACCGGCCCAACTCGGGACCAGAGAAATTTATTAATTTATCGTGTTTATTAATTTATCGAGTATTAATTTATAGAGTTTCTACTGTACTTATAATTAAAATAAATTTAACTAGTACCAATATAGTTATTTACATCAAATTTAGTGGTAAGGAAATGATATATAGCCCCTTTTTTTTTCCATTTAACTAGCCCACAAAAAAAAAAATTTCCTGCCTAATCAAAAACCAAGATATGACTTGTATAAAAAAATCAAGAAACTGAATCTTACGTAATAAAGTGTGAGTTTAACGCAATTGATATACGAATCTCGCCTCACCACAAGAAAATGATACGGACATCCTTTGTTTAATGCATGTTTTCTGTATTTCACAAATATTATTTTTATTCAGTAGTTACCTTTTATGTAATGTTTTGAATGCTCATTTCCACATTTCTAGATTCTTTCTCGATTGGTAAATCCATATTCGTCTAAAAAGTATATATCAACCATTATTTCGGTATCTGTCAAAAACAATTGACTGATGATGAATGATTTTATCATGTAAATTTGTACATACTTTTCTTTTAATTATCTTAAATTGCGCCTACTAAAGAAATCTTATGCGTTATATATCTTGGTATCCAACTCGCATGACCTATGATTAATTCTTTAACAAAAAATGACCTATGATTAATTCTTTAACAAAAAATGACCTATGATTAATTAACCAACAAGTTTCTTAGGTGTTAAAATCAAAACTAAGGATATTGCTTTAGCGGCCCGAAAAAATAAAGAACATGAACATGCATTTCCTATATAGGCTATATGTTATACATTACAGAAATAATTAACTCCTTTTTTTATTTGTCATCAATAATTAACTCAATTAAGTAGTCGAGTTAGTGAATATTACCCAAAACACATCAAAGGAAAACATAATCATGAGAAATACCAAATCTTTTGTTCACAAATAATGTCGTCTATGGAAATCTATCTCGTGAATAAATTACTAGATATTCTCACATTTCCTAAATCAGTCAAATTTATACTACAGAGAAAAATACCCGGTTACAAGTTGCCACAATCATAGATTAATAATATAAAAAACTTCCATAACATTTAAAGATTACGTTACTATCGTAAAATTCCTATAAATCCCCCCTCTCACACATACCTTCTTCTCCAAATCCTTCATCTTCAAAACACTAGCCTTCACTTAAAAAAGAAAGCACAAAAATGGTTAACAAAACTTCATGTCTTCTTCTTCCTTTGGCTCTCATCTTTCTTGATTTCATCTTAGTTTTATCATTAGCCAAACCGAGTCCAACCACACTCGTCAACGTCGTATCCTACGGAGCTAAACCAGACGGCTCAACAGACTCAACCAAAGCCTTCTTAGCCGCGTGGCAGGTCGCTTGTGCCTCGTCTAAACCTACAACCATTATCGTACCAAACGGACGGTTTTTGGTCGGAAACCTTGTTTTCCAAGGCAACAAGTGTACGGCTGCTCCAAGATCTATTCGTATCGTCGGTACAATCATTGCTCCGGAAGATTATAGAGTTATCGGAAGTTCAGAACAGTGGATCTTGTTCCAGGACGTTACTGATGTTTCAATCTACGGTGGAATACTTGATGCACAAGGCACTAGTTTATGGAAATGCAAGAACAATAACGGTGAAGGAAATTGCCCTACCGGTGCCAAGGTTTGCCTGACCCATACAAGAAATTAAACAAGAAACTTTTTTTATTTACATGCGGTTTTAATTTTTTTTTTTTGTCAACTAAATTTGCAGACTTTGATGTTCACTGGGTCAAATAACATCAATATCAACGGTCTAACGTCGATCAACAGCCAGAGATTCCATATAGCTATCAATTACTGCAATAACGTACATATTGATGGCGTTAAGGTTTCCGCTGATGCGAATAGCCCTAACACCGATGGGATTCACATCCAATCATCCCACTCAGTCCATGTCACCAACTCAAAAATCGGAACCGGTGACGATTGCATCTCCATTGGTCCAGGTTCAAGTTACGTCAACATACAAAACATTCAATGCGGTCCAGGTCACGGCATCAGGTAATACGAAAGAAAAATACGTTTCTTGCTCTCCAAGTTTCATTTATACATACCTTGTTAACTAAATGGTCTTTTCATTTTATTATATTTTTGAATCGTCCTAAACAGTATTGGAAGTCTTGGGAGAGCAGCGGAAGAACTAGGAGTGGAGAACGTGACGGTGAGTAACGTGGATATCACGGGAGCGGATAATGGAGTTAGGATCAAAACATGGGGAAAAAACAGTAAGAGTTTTGCTAGAAACATCGTTTTCCAACATATTCACATGAAGATGGTCAAGAACCCGATCATTATCGACCAACACTATTGTCTTGACAAACCTTGCCCTAACAAGGTAAAAAATAATATTAATTAACTAACCATATCTTATACACATCATTCCATATATTGAGTCATATAATAATATATGTATACTGATTATAGGAATCTGGAGTTAAAGTATCAAATGTGAGATATGAAGATATACACGGGACATCGACTACGGAAGTGGCGGTTATGTTGGATTGTAGTAAGGATGAGCCATGTACTGGAATTGAGATGGCCGATGTGAATCTCGTCTTGGTTAATCAACAGGCTCAGGCATCTTGCGATAATGCACATGGATTTGCGAACGACGACGTCGTCCCTTTCACTCCTTGTCTAAAGAGAGCGGCAGTCTAATTTATATAGATGGATCCGCACTGACGTCGTCCCGGTCGCTCATTGACTAGCTAAAGATGAGTTGATGCAGTTGAATCTGCGAACGACGTAGTAGTTTGCTATTTATACTTGTTTTTCGTTTTGTTACTTGTCTTTTGATTTTTTGAAATTCTTTATGTATTCGTAGCTATCGTTTGAACTTCGAAGTAATGCTTAAATTTTTTTGGCTCAATTCATTATATTTTCCTAATGTATCATGTATGCAAGGATAAATTTCGATTTTACATAGGAGCTGTTCAAAAATCTCGTATCAAATATGTTCTTATTCTTCTAGCAGATGAAAATCATGAGGTTTGACATTACATAGGGAACCAAACCATTATAAAAGTTTCTAATAGAAAAATGTCAATTCAATTTTCTAAATTATATAAAGTTTATAATGATAGTACAGTATTATATATGTATATAGAGGGTCAAGTTTTTATAGAAATAAATAGATTTCTTAGTATTATCAATTCCACTACAACCATTTATCGTCTAAAATTTTTTCCATAGATATTACCTTTAACACACAGACAAAAAGTTTTCCATAGATATATTAAGAAATGCACCAACAAGGCAACAACTTGTTTGAAAAAAAGACATAATTGGATGTTGCCATGTTTGGCAGCGATGATTGAAAATGAAAATAGGTAATCGAAAGATGTGGATATAAATTAAAGTGAATAATTGAATATATATATTAAACTAATTGGAAAATGATAATAGTATACAGAAGAACAGAAGTGGTAATAAAGAGTAATAAATAGCCGACCCATTAACTCTTTACACTGCTACTATAGTAATAAAATATGGAGCATATCACATTTGATACTTTTACCAGATTAGTGGTCTAGCACCAGATTTGTATAGATTTAATTTTAAAAAATGGACCCCATCATCTTCTCCACTTCAGTAGAAACCAAAAGGTCAAAACCCCACTTTCTCCAGGTTGTATTCCATTAAACAAAAGTTTAGCTATTTAAATATTTTATCACTAACAAATATTTGATAATTTAATCATCTACATATTTATAGAGATTGTGTTATGATTTATGAGATTAATACTATAATTCAATGAAGGTTTAAACACCTCCAAAGGAATTTGTGAACCAACTAACTTTTGGTTAATTTCGTTTATAGATGACAAAAGTCTCATTTGATTAATTTTGTTTAGGAAAAAAAAAACAGACTAAGATCGTTTCCCTTCTTTTCAACAGTTTTGTTTGTTTCTGTGTGACTAGTCGTCTTCTTCTTCTGATTCCTCTTAACCTCCATTGACGACAACCCTCCTAGGACGCAATGTGGATTTATTCCATGTAAATAGTTTAATCTTCATAGGTTTCTGAGAATTTGTGTGAAAAAGGAAGAAGCTTTATCATCCATCAATGGAGAACATAGCAGCGCAGCTAAAACGCGGTATCTCAAGGCAATTCTCAACTGGATCGATGCGTCGAACATTGAGCCGACAGTTCACGCGTCAGTCATCGCTCGACCCTCGCCGGACAAACATGAGGTTCAGCTTCGGCCGTCAGTCCTCTCTCGATCCGATCCGGAGGAGCCCCGATTCAAGGAGCGACGACGAGCCGCACATGGCGGTGCCGGAGAATCTCGATTCGACCATGCAGCTTCTCTTCATGGCCAGCAAAGGTGACGTCAGAGGAGTCGAGGAGCTTATCGTTGAAGGGATCGATGTCAATAGCATCGATCTCGATGGCCGTACGGCGCTTCACATCGCCGCCTGCGAGGGCCATTTAGGCGTCGTCAAGGCTCTTCTCAGCCGTAGAGCTAACATTGATGCTCGTGATCGTTGGGGAAGCACGGTCTGTCTTCTTCTTCTAAACCCTATTGTCAAATTCGATTGTGTTGATTGTTTTGATTAGGATTGGTTTAAAGGTGAGATTTTTATCTCTGATTTTGATGTCTTCCGGTGAAATTAGGCGGCTGCTGATGCCAAGTATTATGGGAATTTAGATGTTTACAATCTCTTGAAGGCCCGAGGAGCTAAAGCTCCGGTACGATACTAATCAGAATCTCACTGATTTCTTGAGACGTTTGGTCCTTTTGTTTGTATGTTCATGTGTTGTTTTATGAAATCTTCACACTTTATAGAAAACCAGGAAGACGCCGATGACTGTGACGAATCCGAGAGAAGTTCCAGAGTATGAGCTGAATCCACTTGAGGTTCAAGTCCGGAAATCTGATGGCATCTCAAAGGCATGCTCTTTGCTCTCTTAAAAGTCGCATTTGATCATTAGGCATCACTGTTCTTGGAGCATTTTTGATTCAGTTGTGTTTGATTGTTTGCAGGGAGCATATCAAGTAGCTAAATGGAATGGGACGCGAGTTTCGGTCAAGATACTTGACAAAGATAGCTACTCAGATCCGGAACGCATGTAAGCCATTCTTCTTCTGTTATAATATTTGAATGATCTTAACATCGATACTCCACAAAATTCACGTTTTTATATTATATTACTCTGTTTCTCAAGTTCATGCTTTTGTCTCTCTGGTTTTTGAATCTGAACAGAAACGCATTCAAGCATGAATTGACGTTGCTAGAAAAAGTCCGGCATCCAAATGTTGTCCAATTTGTTGGAGCTGTCACTCAGAACATACCGATGATGATTGTAGTTGAGTATAATCCCAAAGTAACCATCTTTACTTCTCTTCTTCTTCTGAATTTCCTATATGAAGCATGTCAGTGTCTTTTCGTTGCTTATCAGGTTGATTATGTTGTTGCAGGGAGACTTAGGTGTGTACCTCCAAAAGAAAGGACGTTTATCTCCTTCCAAAGCCCTTAGATTCGCTCTTGATATTGCCAGGGGCATGAATTACCTCCATGAGTGTAAACCAGATCCGATCATTCACTGTGATCTAAAGCCAAAGTAAGATAACAAAAAGCAAATGTTGATTAGATATATGTTAATATACCTTTGGTTCTATGTTTCTGTTGGTTTAATATATTGAAAATTTTCGTAAGGTGCCAGAAACATTTTGCTGGATAGAGGAGGGCACTTGAAGATCTCTGGATTTGGTTTGATTAGATTGTCAAAGATATCTCCAGACAAAGCGAAAGTAGCAAACCACAAAGCACATATAGATCTCTCAAGTAAGGAGATATGCTTCTTTCACATCTTATAAAAATGTAATTTTTTGCAAGATTGACAAAATTGTTTCTTGGTTGCAGATTACTACATAGCACCAGAGGTTTATAAAGACGAAATCTTTGACAGAAAGGTCGATGCACACTCATTTGGTGTCATCTTATACGAGGTACATTTCCTCTTCTTGCTCTGTTTTTCTCTTTCTTGCATCTCTGTGTTTCTTTAATCTGTATATGTGTGTTGTCAGATAACAGAGGGAGTACAGATTTTTCACCCGAGACCACCTGAAGAAGTTGCGAAGATGATATGCTTAGAAGGAAAGAGACCCGTTTTCAAAACCAAGTCAAGAACTTACCCTCCGGATATGAAAGAGTAAGCGAGCTCTTAAAACTATTTTGGAACAAGAATGATTTTATGGCCAATGCACATTCTTGAATCCGTTGTATGGCTTAACTTGCAGTTTGATTGAGGAGTGTTGGCATCCAGAAGTCCGTATTAGGCCAACGTTTTCCGAGATTATCATTCGGCTTGACAAGATAGTTACTAGTTGCTCTAAGCAAGGATGGTGGAAAGATACGTTTAAGTTCCCTTGGTAAGATCTCATCTTCATGTAGAATCTAAAGTTAAAACAAAGATGAAAGAAAGATAGTGAGAAATAATGAGCTTTTTGTTGCAGGAAATAAAAGGGGAAGAAACAGGGAATCGACTCTGTAGCCACCGGAGAAGAAGAAAATATGGAGAAACAGTAACAGGGTGAGATTTGTGGACGAAAACCGATTCTCATGGCTTATGTAATTTTGTGTGTAGATCCAAAGACAGAATGTGCTTTCTCTTTATTTTCATTCACTTGTTTTCAGGTTACATCCATAAGTTTGTATAGTAAATGAATATTCCACAGAAGAAGAATCAGCTTAAATATCTGCATGAAAGACTGGCACAACAACATACTACAGCAGAATAATTGTTAAAACAAAAAATTACTATTGAATAGATCTTTGCTTCTTCATCTGATAACTTATTTGCTCTGAAGCTTAGCTACTTTATCATCTGAGTAGCTTATTGGATTTGAACCTTTGATACAAATGTGTTAATGTTGTTATCTGTAGAGCCACCTTCACAGAGTGACTTCACAGCCAAGTCTCTCCATTTCATTGCGTTTATCTTCATCTCTTTACTCTTCTCTCCTTCCATCACTTCTTTAATGCAAAACTCAATCTCCTCTCTCTTTGAAATCCCACTCTCTTTCTCTGCCTTCACACGAACCCCAACCTTCCATACATCTTGTATGTACTTTGCATTCATCGGCTGATCCATCCATTGAGGCATAGCAACCATGGGAACCCCTAAAGTCAATGCTTCCATGGTTGAGTTCCAGCCACAGTGAGTCATGAAACAACCAACTGCTTTGTTTGAGAGAACTTGAAGCTGAGGACTCCATTTCAAGACCAAGCCTTTGTCTTTATCCAATGTCTCAAGAAACCCTAATGGGAGCTTTGCTTCCTCAGAAGCTCCGACCACCCACAGGAAACTGAAGTTGATCACTGCTGAAGCAAGCTCTTTCATCTGCACACTGCTCAGCTGAGCAATGCTCCCAAACGCAATATATACCACTGACCCTTGTGGCTTTGTGTTAAGCCAGGTAGTGCATAAGGCAGCCTCTTTTGAGTCGAAGAGGTGCAGATCATAGTCGTTGTCTGATTTGATCTGTTGGTCTAAGTACATTGATGGAACAGTTGGGCCAGTTGTTAACACAGGACAAACTTTCGACAACAACTCCTCCTCCTATAAACCAAAAACAAAACAAAAAGTAATTAAGGGGAAAAAGAGTAACTAGGGTAAAGGAACAGAGTCGCTAGGGTCAAAACAGAGCAATTAGGACCGTGAATTAGGGCAAACAGAGTAATTGGGATATGAACTAACATGAAGGTCCAGCTCCTGGAATGTATTAACGAGTACGAAATCAGCTTTTTCGAAGTTGGTGAACTGCTGAAGCATCATCTCAGAGTAAACCGGGTGGGACACAGCAGGAGTGGTGAAAGTAGGCAAATCTTGGAGCTCAAGAAAAGTCAAATCTTGGATGGGAAGTTTCAAGCTTCCCTGGTTTTTGTAAAAAAGATAATTGATATAGTTAACAGAGCAAGAATGCGTGAAGAAAGGAGCCGCAGGTAAACCGAACTCTCTTGCAAGATCAAGCGCCCAAGGCAAGAAAGAGTCGTAGACGATACAAGTGATGGGGTCATCACTAGTCTGATGCTTGCGGATTACGTCAGCGACGGTTTTTGAGCCAAAGGTTTTAAAGTTTTGAAGGTATTCGAGGAGTGAGCCGCCTGGTGAGAACCCGCTTTGGTCGTAGCCGTCGGAGATTCTGGCTAAGGAGACGGGACTAGATGGATCGATGTGTATTGTGTTGAAGATGTAAGTGGTGAGAGTGTGAGTGGTTTTGAAACCTTTGTGGTGAAGTCGTTTGCAGAATTGGCGTAATGGTGTGATGTGACCTTGGCTTGGGAATGTCACTGCTAACACATGTCCTCTCTGCTTCTCCATCTCCATCTCCTTCTCTATCTCTATCTCTCTCAAAATCACTGTCTTTTGCTTACACCAAAATGAATGAAGCGATAGTGCGAATTTATATTACGTTGATAGGTCTGTGAGGTTGTTGGGAAAGAAAGACAACAGCTTTGTGAATAGAGCAAGAAGAAAAACCAGAGTTGTGTTTCCTAAATAAGAAAAGAAAATGTGTTAACGGTCAAGAAACTAAAGAAGGGTCACGAAAATGTTTTAAAGCTTGTTGCACAGAAATGGAAATAGGAATTAATCAAGTGTCGGTGGTGTATCCGTGTATGTAACAACTTACAAGAACATCTCAACAAAATATGTATATTTAGTTCTTCGTAGTATACCTGACAAAGCGGGAGGTGTATAATTAATGTTATTGTATTAAGCTAATATTAGTCGTTGTGGTCCAAAGTCCAAGTGATGCATATGTTTTATAGGATTGATGACTGAATGAATGTTATTAGATGAGAAGGTTACATTATATATAGTGCGTGATTTCCATAGATCTTTGCTACTTCATCTGATAACTTATTTGCTCTGAACCTTTGATATAAACGTGTCAATGTTGATATCTGTAGAGCCTCCTTCATTGAGTGACTTGACAGCCAAGTCTCTCCATTTCTTTGCGTTTTCCTTCATCTCTTTGCTCTTCATCACTTCCTTTATACTAAACTCAATCTCCTCTCTCTTGACAATCCCACTCTCCTTGTCTATCTTCACACGAACTCCACACTTCCACACATCTTGTATGTACTTTGCGTTCATCGGTTGATCGGTCCATTGAGGCATAGCCACCATGGGAACCTCTAAAGCCAAAGCCTCTAGAGTTGAGTTCCAGCCACAGTGAGTCAAGAAGCAACCGATGGCTTTGTTTGATAGAACTTCAAGCTGAGGACTCCATTTCAAGACCAAGCTCTTGTCTTTATCTACTGTCTCAAGATACCCTAATGGGAGTTTTGCCTCCTCTGAAGGTCTGACCACCCACAGGAAGCTGAAGTTGCTTATTGCTGAAGCAAGCTCCTCCATCTGCACATTATTCAGCTGAGACATGCTCCCAAATGCTACATACACCACCGACCCTTGGGGCCTTGTGTCGAGCCAGTTAGTGCATATGAGAGAATCTTTCGAATCAAAGAGAGTCAGATCATAGTCTGTATCTGATTTGATCCGTTTGTCTAAGTACATTGATGGAATACTCGGACCAATTGTCAACACAGGACAAACTTTAGACAACAACTCCTTCTCCTGTAAAACAACAGATTAATTAGGACATGAACAAGAACAAGACATGGATGAGGAAGTTGTAAGAGAGAGAGAGAGGGAGAGAGATCTAACAGGAAGGTCCAGATCTTGGAAGGTATTAACGAGTACAAAATCAGCTTTCTCGAAGTTTGTAAACTGTTGAAGCACCATCTCGAGGTAAGCAGGGTAAGATCCGGGAACAGAGACGAAGGAAGGCAAATCTTGGAGCTCAATAAACGGCAAGTCCTTTACGGGAAGCTTCAAGCTTCCATGGTTTATGTAGGAAAGATAATAAACGTAGTTCACAGCACACGACTGCGTAAAGTATGGAGCCGCAGCTAAACCAAACTCTCTGGCAAGGTCAAGTGTCCAAGGCATGAAAGCATCATAGACGATGCAAGTGATGGGGTTATCACTAGACTGGTGTTTGCGGATGATGTCTGCAATGGTTTTGGAGCCGAAGGTTTTGAAGTTTTGGAGGTATTCGCCGATGGAGCCAGCTGAGCCAAATCCGCCGTGGTCGTAGCCATCAGAGATGGTGGCTATGGAGATTGGACCAGTTGTGTCAGGTTTGATGGAGTTGAAGAGGAAAGAGGTGAGAGTGAGAGTGGTTTTGAGACCTTTGGAGTGAAGTCGTTTGCAGAATTGGCGGATTGGTGTGGTGTGTCCTTGCGCTGGATATGGCACTGCCAATACATGTCCTCTCGCCATCTCACTCTCTCTCGGATCTCTCTCTTAAAATATGTTTCTTTAACCACAATGAGGAAGCTAATATATACAGACAGCAGGTTTGTTAGGTTCTTGGTTCTTGGAAGCTAATATATAATCAGAACAAGAGATGTAGTTTTGTTTTTTTGTCAAAAAATGGAAGCAAGTAGAAAAAAGTCAAAAACCAATTTGCGTTAATCTTATCTTTCGCAAGAATAGGAAACGTGTTAAGAATCATTAAGTGTTAATTTTGCACATGTTGAAGATCTTGTTCATTTTGGATTCAAGAATGAATCATGAAGTCTGAAGAAAAGTGGTTTGGAAGTCGAGAGCAGCCTTAACGTGCCAGAGAAGGAATCCTGGGATAGCAGCCAAGATAGAGCGGATTAGACCAAAGGATCATCAAGTAAAATGGACGAACTTAGACCAAAGACTCCTTTGCTACTTTGTTGATTGAGACCTCATCATCTCATCTTATTTAGTGAAGAAAATTCTTAACAATTTGCATTTGGAACTTGGCCATTCCAAACCTAGAACACGAAATATCAAGACCAAAATTCAGATGACATTTTTTGTAGGCAGTGAATTAAGCTAATGATTAAGGTGACCGGTGAATACATAAACTGATAATATTTTGTTTGTTTATTGTCTAATTTGCAAATAGAAATTAAGCTCAAGTGATCAGTAGGACCACAGAAGTGGATTGATCTTCTTTTCTTTTCTTTTTTTTTTGTTAAAGGGCCAAGTGGATGATCTTGGTGAACTGTTCAAGATCTAGGGTTAAAAGTTAATTATAAATGTCTTTTTATGACTTCCATCTATCTCTGATTTTTCAAACTCGTATGACTTCCATCAATATGTTTCTTAAAAATGTAAATAGAGATTGAAACTTTTATGGACATCGAACTATAACTCTATAAGTATGATATCTACTTTGTGTAAATCGTTTACGCTCTTCTGATCCCCACCTAAAAAATATGCCCGTGAAAGGTTATTTAATTATAGCATGTGAATATGTGTGGCCATCGTTGAGATTTCAGTTATTAGCTAAGTTATTGACTTATTGTCTGATTAGCATACGAGTGGCGCCAAAATATGGCTGCTTCAAGATACGTGTCAGTAGCTTGATGGTTACGTTTTTGTTTTTGTTTTCGTTTTTGAATTGTTAAAAATGGGTACGTAATTACGTATAGAGGTGGACACGGAACGGTTGCAATTCGATTTTGAGATATCACTCATTATTACTCGATTCCGACCCTTAGGGACAATCTTCTTCTCCATGTTAAAAGCAACCCTCGTGAGAATTAAATTTATGCCCATAGGTGAAAACAAGTAAACAACAAATAGAGAGATTACGTATAGAAGAAACTATTTTGGACCGAAGAAAAAGTACAAATTAGGGTTGTAAATGATCCCACATCAGAAAGTTGGAAGATTTATATACTTTTTAATACTCGTGTGCCCATGTTCAAAACCACCCACATGAGAAGCATTAAATTTAAGTATAGAGGAGTTGAAAATCTAAACAAAAACTGATGTATACACAAGAAACTATTTTGGACCAACAATTATTTTTTGGCTTAAGGAGTGAAATATATGGAACAAAAAAATCCATTCACAGGGATTTTTTCTAGAAAAAAATATATCAGTTATCAAACTCACTCGCTATGTATTATTTGTGTATTGAACAAAAGACATTACAGGATTTTTTTTTTTCTTCCTTTTCACTTGCTTTCATGTGTCCATAAATTTGAATAATTTGTAACATGTACTGTACAAGAAACAAATAACTCAGGTCGTTGCCAAAAAGAGTTAAGAAAATTCAGATAGGAACGACTGTTTCTATACTTTTACGTAGGTTGGAAAAAAGAATTGTAGCATAAAAATTACTTTTGAGAAAATGCACAAGCAAAATGATGACTGAATTGTTTGGGGTTCAAATACTTGAAGACACGAACATTCAAAACACACATATTTGAAAAATTATATACAGTGAAAAAGACAGATCCAACAGTACATTATAAGCAAAAACATTTTTACTCATCATGTCATCATGTGAGTAGATTATTTGATTTGAACCTTTGATACAAATGTGTTAATGTTGTTATCTGTAGAACCTCCTTCACTGAGTGACTTCACGGCCAAGTCTCTCCATTTCATTGCGTTTATCTTCATCTCTTTACTCTTCTCTCCTTCCATCACTTCCTATGCTAAACTCAATCTCCTCTCTCTTTGCAATTCCACTCTCTTTCTCTGCCTTCACACGAACCCCAACCTTCCATACATCTTGTATGTACTTTGCATTCATCGGCTGATCCATCCATTGAGGCATAAATACCATGGGAACCCCTAAAGTCAATGCTTCAATTGTTGAGTTCCAGCCACAGTGAGTCATGAAACAACCAATTGCTCTGTTTGAGAGAACTTGAAGCTGAGGACTCCACTTCAAGACCAAGCCCTTGTCTTTATCCAATGTCTCAAGAAACCCTAATGGGAGATTTTCTTCCTCAGAAGCTCCGACCACCCACATGAAACTGAAGTTGGTTACTGCTGAAGCAAGCTCTTTCATCTGCACACTGCTCATCTGAGCCATGCTCCCAAACGCAATATATACCACTGAGCCTTGTGGCTTTGTGTTAAGCCAAGTAGTGCATAAGGCAGCCTCTTTTGAGTCGAAGAGGTTCAGATCATAGTCGTTGTCTGATTTGATCTGTTGGTCTAAGTACATTGATGGAACAGTTGGGCCAATTGTTAACACGGGACAAACTTTCGACAACAACATTTCCTCCTGCAAACCAAAAAAAAAAGTAATCAAGGGGAAAAAGAGTAACTAGGATAAAAGAAACAGTGTTGCTAAGGTAAAAACGGGGTAGGTAGTGCAAAAGGAACAAAGTAACCAAGGGGAAAATAACAGAGTTAGCTAGGAAAAAATAGTTAGGGAAAATATGTGTAACTATTACATGAAGTAGGGAAAGGCAGAGTAATTTCAGAATGAATTTGGCAAAACAGAGCAAGTAGGACCATGAATTAGGGCAAACAGAGTAATCTCGACATGAAACAGTGGATAAAAACAGAGTAATTGGGATATGAACTAACATGAAGGTCCAGCTCCTGGAATGTATTAACGAGTATGAAATCAGCTTTATCGAAGTTGGTGAACTGCTGAAGCACCATTTCAGAGTAAGCAAGGTGGGACACATCAGGAGTTACGAAAGTAGGCAAATCTTGGAGCTCAAGAAAGGTCAAATCCTGGATGGGAAGTTTCAAGCTTCCCTGGTTTTTGTAAAAAAGATAATTGATATAGTTAACAGAGCAAGAATGCGTGAAGAAAGCAGCCGCAGGTAAACCGAACTCTCTTGCAAGGTCAAGCGCCCAAGGCAAGAAAGAGTCGTAGACGATACAAGTGATGGGGTCATCACTAGTCTGATGCTTGCGGATGATGTCAGCGACGGATTTGGAGCCAAAGGTTTTGAAGTTTTGAAGGAAGTCGAGGACTGAGCCGCCTGATGAGAACCCACTGTTGTCGTAGCCGTCGGAGATTCTGGCTATGGAGACGGGACTAGATGGATCGATGTGGATTGTGTTGAAGATGGAAGTGGTGAGAGTGAGAGTGGTTTTGAAGCTTTTTTGGTAAAGTCGTTTGCAGAATTGGTGTATTGGTGTGATGTGACCTTGGCTTGGGAATGTCACTGCTAACACATGTCCTCTCTTCTTCTCCATCTCCATCTCCATCTCCTTCTCTATCTCTCTCAAATCACTATCTTTTTCGGATACCAAAATGAATAAAGCGATAATGCGAATATATATTAAGTTGATATGTCTATAAGGTTATTGGGAAAGAAAGACAACAGCTTTGTGAATAGAGCAAGAAGACAAACCAGAGTTGTGTTTCCTAAATAAAAATAAAAAAAAAAAAATGTGTTAACGGTCAAGAAACTAAAGAAGGGTCACGAAAAGGTATTAAAGCTTGTTGTACGAAAATTTTGTTTGACAACTCTTTGCTAAAGAGGCGCACAGAAATGGAATTAGGAACTAGTCAAGTGAGAAGACTCTCTACGGTTCTATTAGTTAACATCTTACAAGAACATCTCAACAAAATATGTGGATTAAAATTTTGTATTATTAATCTGATTGTATTATTAAGTTAACATTAGTCGTTGTAGTGATGCATATGTTTAACCTAAGAGCATGTCCATCGGTGTATCAGGGTGGGTTTTTAAGTGGGTATCAGGCTGATTTTGTTTTAAAAATAATGTTTTAATCGCATAATATAGCTGAGACGTATATAGACGAAGAAACGAATCAGCTCTGCCTGATACCCTGACGTGTCACCCTGTGATTGGGTGATTAATTATTTTATTTTTTTTAAAGTAAAATGGCATAACGAAAAAATCGCATCCTTTTCTAACACAAACGAATCCGACATCGATTATCACCGGATTTCTCTTCTTCATGTCGTTAGAGTTCGTCGCCGTGATGGAGATCCCCGGATTCGTCAAGCTTTGTGGGATGGCGAGTTTAATTCTCTCCATAAATTCTTTTTATCTGATTCAATTTCAAGACGCCGATGTAAATGCTCTATGAGATTCCTTCGGTGAGAGCTCCGACTTCCGACGTTCTTAAACTGCATAATCCGACCCTAACTCTTCCAATCTTCTTCGTTTATGTTCCCTAAAAGAAGAGAAATTGCATATTCCGACCCGACGGTCAAACTGCATAATCCGATCAGCATTACTGTCAATTTCTCCTTTCGCCTTAATTCGATCGGAACACCCAAAAGTACTTTTCAATTGCGAGAGAAAGCCGTCTATTCCCTTTTTTATGCATCGTTGACTCGATTGGCCTGTGAAAGAGAAGTCAAAGCTAGTTTTAATCAGAGGATTGTAGTGAAACTGTCTAAAAGCAAAGCTGAAAAGGGTTTGTTTTTCTTAACTCGAATTTGTCGCAGGAATGGCTGGCATGACATGGACCGTTTGATGCAGTCATAGACGGAGCCAACATGGGCTTGGTCAACCAGCGAAATTTCAACTTCTTCCAGGTGATCTTGAAATCCTTCTCATTTTAATTCCAATGTCAAGATACTTGCTTAAGTCTTTAACTTATGTGACTCTTTATCTCTTGCTCTAGTTTAACAATATAGTCAATCGATATCAACAAATTAGTCCATCGAAAAGATTACCACTTGTGATCCTGCACAAGAGGCGTGTACATGGAGGTCCAGCTACTTACCGTAACAGAGGCTTGTGAAAACTCTGTTTCTAGGTTGTGCATTGATCCAAATAAAAAACCATCCATCCATTGATTGTGTGAAAACTCTGTTTCCAGGTATTGGCTTTACACTGCTGTAAGTTGCAAGTGTTTATCTGTGTTGAGAGAGAATGAATTGAAACTGCATATGCTACCTCCATACTCCGTTGTTAATAGGTCGATTTCTGTCAAATTTGTTAATACTAAACATAAAACTTTATATGATTATCTGTGTAATGATGCAGGAGTCTGAAGATGGAACATGGAACATGGCACGTCCCCATGAGTGTAGAAGATGATGCATCTCATAAGAAGTTTTGTGTTGGTTTTCCTTGAAATGTATTCTCTCTTGCTTGAAATGCATTTTACCAAAATATTTTATTTTTAAAATACTAGAATATCACCATTGGAAGAGCAAAATTTATAAGCAAACCCAAGTCTCTTAAACAAAAAAACTTAACAAAAATAATAATAAAAAATGTTGTGATACCCATATGAGAGTATCACCAATGGACATGCTTTAAGGGCATCTCCAATGTATTGCCCATATTTGACTCCAAAATGAAGAAATCTCAAAATGGAGTTGAGTTTTGCTCCAATGTATTGCCTCATTTTTTACTTCAAAACTTTTTATTAATTACTAAATTTACATTGAATATTTATATATATTACAAATTGCCCCATAATTTTTTTTCTTCAAAACTTTCACAATTTATTATAATTATTTAAATTAATTATGAAAATATTAATAATACATTATTACAAGACTAAAAATAACAACACAAACTGAATTTTATTTTTAATTAGAACCATTTGAATAGTTGTTTTAATAAATTTTTTTTGATGTTATTTCTAATAAAAATATTTTTCCTTTCTTTTTAAATTTATTTAGCTTAAATAATTAAATTTTCTATTAAATATGTGTTATTTTATTTTAGGGTAAAAATAAACATCAAAATAATTAATTATATATAAACTGAAATAATTTAAAACTTCAAGGACTGTTATATAATTTAAAAACTTCAACTCCAAAATGGAAATGAAAATGGGATCAACCTCAATTTGGGAAAAAATATGGCATTTTGCCATTTTGAGATTGAAAATGGGTTGGGTTGGAGCAAAATTGACTCCAAAATGCAATAAAGGTGAAATATGGGGCTGGGTTGGAGATGCTCTAACAAAGGGAAAAGAAATGACTTCTTTATACTTATAATCATATTTTATACATCTGCTAAACATAATAAAGAAAAGCATATCTTACTTTTCAACAAATATAAAAAGAATAACAGGTCATATAAGTATCAAAAGTAGGTACAATTATTTGCATAATTGCATACAATTATTGGGGAATTAATTGCACAACTGCATGCATGCAAGTAAAAATGTTCCGGCTTGATATGAAACCAACTGACAAAAAAATCTCAACAAAAATATATTCGAAAAAGGGATTATTCAATATTTAAATTAAACATCCATAGTCGTTTATGGAAACTATGAAGAAGGAGCTGAAGGAAGATTTGGCGCAACCGAAGACTCTAACCGTTGATAAAAGGGACATGAAGGAGGAGAGCAATGCATTGTTAGAGAAAGAGTCAGACTGTCAGAGGGATATAGATCACCAAATTACGAATAGAAAATTAGCTCAATCAATGTCTTCCAAAAAGCCACAAAAACCATAATAATTATTAAACAAATTAGTTAAGATCCAAATTTGAATTTGATTAGGCTAGACTAGTGGAAGAAGTACTTGCCCAAAAACTAACGAAATTTATGGTGGGAAACTTTATAACTTGTAAGATTTGCAAGTAACCATAAGAAGAATCAACTTACAAGATTATATAGAGTGAAGAAGAAAGATCCAACAGGACATTAAAAGCAAAGACATTTTGCTTCCACATCATGTGCGTAGCTTATTTGATTTGAACCTTTGACACAAATGTGTTAATGTTGTTATCTGTAGAGCCACCTTCACTGAGTGACTTCACAGCCAAGTCTCTCCATTTCTTTGCGTTTTTTTTCATCTCTATGCTCTTCTCTCCTTCCATCACTTCCTTAATGCTGAACTCAATCTCCTCTCTCTTTGCAATCCCACTCTCTTTCTCTGCCTTCACACGAACCCCAACCTTCCATACATCTTGTATGTACTTTGCATTCATCGGCTGATCCGTCCATTGAGGCATAGCAACCATGGGAACACCTAAAGTCAATGCTTCCATGGTTGAGTTCCAGCCACAGTGAGTCATAAAACAACCAATTGCTTTGTTTGATAGGACTTGAAGCTGAGGACTCCACTTCAAGACCAAGCCTTTGTCTTTGTCCACTGTCTCAAGAAATCCTAATGGGAGTTTTGCTTCCTCAGAACCTCTGACAACCCACAGGAAACTGAAACTGAAGTTGTTTACTGCTGAAGCAATCTCTTTCATCTGCACACTGCTCAGCTGAGCCATGCTCCCGAAGGCTATATATACCACTGACCCTTGTGGCTTTGTGTTAAGCCAAGTATTGCATAAGGCAGCCTCTTTTGAGTCGAAGAGGTTCAGATCATAGTCGTTGTCTGATTTAATCTGTTGGTCTAAATACATTGATGGAACAGTTGGGCCAATTGTCAACACTGGACAAACTTTAGACAACAACTCCTCCTCCTGTATACCAAGAACAAAGTAAGTAAGGGGAAAAAGAGTAACTAGGGTAAAAGAACAGTGTCGCTAGGGTAAAAACAGGTACGTAGAGCAAAAGGAACAAAGTAAACAGAACAAAAAAACAGAGTAGTTAGGAAAAAAACTGTGAAACTAAGCAGGGAAAGGCAGAGTAATTACAGCATGGATTTGACAAAACAGAGCAATTAGGAACATGATTTAGGGCAAACAGAGTAATATCGACATGAATCAGGGGATAAAAACAGAGTAGTTAGGATATGAACTAACATGAATGTCCAGCTCCTGGAATGTATTAACGAGTATGAAATCAGCTTTATCGAAGTTGGTGAACTGTTGAAGCACCATCTCTAAGTAAGCAAGGTGGGACCCAGTAGGAGTGACGAAAGTAGGCAAGTCTTGGGGCCCAAGAAAAGTCAAGTCCTGGATGGGAAGTTTCAAGCTTCCTTGGTCTTTGTACAGAAGATAATTGATATAGTTAACAGAACAAGACTGCGTGAAGAAAGGAGCAGCAGCTAAACCGAACTCTCTTGCAAGATCAAGCAACCAAGGCATGAAAGAATCGTAGACGATACAAGTGATGGGGTCATCACTAGTCTGATGCTTGCGGATGACGTCAGCAACGGTTTTGGAGCCAAAGGTTTTGAAGTTTTGAAGGTACTCGGGGACTGAACCGGCTGATGAGAAGCCACCGTCGTCGTAGCCGTCGGAGATTGTGGCTATGGAGACGGGACTAGATGGATCGATGTGGACTGTGTTGAAGATGAAAGCGGTGAGAGTGTGAGTGGTTTTGAAACCTTTGTGGTGAAGTCGTTTGCAGAATTGGCGTATTGGTGTGATGTGACCTTGGCTTGGGAATGGCACAGCTAAGACATGTCCTCTCTTCTTCTCCATCTCCATCTTCTTCTCTATCTCTCTCGGTATGTGAGATTGTTACGAGAAAAGACAGCAGCTTGTGAATAGAGCAAGAAGACAAACCGAGTACGTGTTAACGGTCAAGAAACTGAAGAAGGGTCACGAGTTATTAAAGCTATTGGTACAAAATTTTGTTTGGGAACTAAGAAGGTAGATGAGGGCAAAGACACTTTACGAAAGATGCACACGGAAATGGAAATAGGAAGTGATCAAGTGGGAAGAGTCTCAACGGTTCTATAATTACAAGAACATCTCAACAAAATATGTGTATTAACATTTTGTATTAAATTAAATATAATTGTATTAAGTTAATATTAGTCGTTGTGGTCCAAAGTCCATGATGCATGTGTTTAACCTAACAAAGGGAAACAAAATGACTTCTTTTTAGTCATGTTTTATATACTTGCTAAACGGCTAAACCTAAGAAAGAAAGAATATCCGGCTTTTCAACAAATAAACAAAAAATAAACTGGTCATAAAAGTATCAAAAGTAGGTACAATTATTTGCATGCAAGTAAAAATACTCCGGTTTGATATTATTCTACAAATTAAACATCCATAGTGTTTTTTTTTTGTTGTTGATTAAGAAGAAATATTCATAATTGTTTTTATGGAATCGATAGAACTATGAAGAAGGAGCTAAGACCATCTCCATCCCTAAAACCATGTTTTTGGTTCTAAATTATATTTTATTAATAATTTTCACAAAAATCAATACTATGATTTTTTCTTTTTTTTTCTTCCTCCATCCCTAAAACCTTTGATTTGGTTCTTTAACAATTTTTTCTTTTTTTACAAAATTCAAATTCAATTCAAATTCTCAAGAGAGCAATATTTTTACTAAGTTTCCCGAAGAATTCAACTAACGTTTCCTGCATTGCCGCTGGGAATTGCTGAAACCCGATCCATTCACGAACAAGAGACCCATCACTCCAAAATCCTTCTCCAAATTCTAAAAACAACACATTCAAACCCCTAAATTCGATTATTAATAGTCAATAGATACAACAGAAATAAACAAGTGTGACAGATGAAAGATTTTTGATGGACACAGAAGAGTAAGAATATGAAATTCTGTTAACGGAATCAGAACTATGTTTCTCGACGGTGAAGAGACGAGAGAGAGAGGAAGAGAGAAATGAGGGATTTTTTTGTTTTTTTTTTAATGTTTTCAAAACTTCTCTTGACACGTGTGCGGTTTTTAAATTAGAAAATAAGTCTAAGATAAGATTCGGATTTACAATATTATTAGATTAAAAATTTATTTAAATCACTTATTACTCTTAAAACCTTCTTTAAATCCCTGGATGGAGATGCCCTAAAGGAAAATTTGGCGGAACCGAAGATTCCAACCGTTGATAAAAGGGACAGAGTAAATAGAACACGAACGAGGAGAGCAATGCATGGTTATAGAAAGAGACAGAGAGGGAGAGATAGATCACCAAATTACGAATATAAAATTAGCTCAATCATTGTCTTCCAAAATAGAGAAAAAAACACCAAATTAATTATTAATAAACTAGTTAAGATCCAGATTTGACTTTGAATAGGACTATTGGAATACACTGCCAAAGTGATTAAATCGAAAAGCATATAAGACATAAATGGGAAAGAAAAAGAAGAAATCAGAAATGATATATTTCTATGACATTTTATTGGGGGAGTAACAAGAAGAAGTTCTTGCCTAGAAACTAACGAAATTTTATTGTGGGAAACTTTATAACTTGTAAGATTTGCAAGTAACCAGAAGAAGAATCAACTTAAAGATTACACTGAATGTAATACTGACCCAACATGATACTGTGAACAGAGTTTTGCTTTCATGTGATTACTGATTTGATCTGAGCCTTTGATACAAACGTGTCAATGTTGATATCTGTAGAGCCTCCTTCATTGAGTGACTTGACAGCCAAGTCTCTCCATTTCTTTGCGTTTTCCTTCATCTCTTTGCTCTTCTCCTTCCATCACTTCCTTTATACTAAACTCAATCTCCTCTCTCTTGGCAATCCCACTCTCCTTGTCTTCTTCACACGAACTCCACCTTCCACACATCTTGTATGTACTTTGCATTCATCGGTTGATCGTCCATTGAGGCATAGCCACCATGGGAACCCCAAAGGTCAAGCTTCCATGGTTGAGTTCCAGCCACAGTGAGTCAAGAAACAACCGATAGCTTTGTTTGATAGAACTTCAAGCTGAGGACTCCATTTCAAGACCAAGCTCTTGTCTTTATCCACTGTCTCAAGAAACCCTAATGGGAGTTTTGCCTCCTCTGAAGGTCTGACCACCCACAGGAAGCTGAAGTTGCTTATTGCTGAAGCAAGCTCCTCCATCTGCACATTATTCAGCTCAGCATGCTCCCAAATGCTACATACACCACTGACCCTTGTGGCCTCTTGTCGAGCCAGTTAGTGCATAAGAGAGAATCTTTCGAAGTCAAAGAGAGTCATATCGTAGTAGTGTCTGATTTGATCCGTTTGGTCTAAGTACATTGATGGAACGTCGGACCAATTGTCAACACAGGACAAACTTTGACAACAACTCCTTCTCCTGTAAAAAACAGAAATTAGGATACAAAACAAAGGAACAGAAGGTTGGGAAGAGAGAGAGAGAGATCTAACATGAAGGTCCAGCTCTTGGAAGGTATTAACGAGTACGAAATCAGCTTTCTCGAAGTTTGTAAACTGTTGAAGCACCATCTCAAAGTAAGCAGGGTAAGATCCGGGAACAGAGATGAAAGAAGGCAAATCTTGGAGCTCAAGAAAGGCAATCCTTACGGGAAGCTTCAAGCTTCCATGGTTTATGTAGGAAAGATAATAAACGTAGTTCACAGCACAACGACTGCGTAAAATAAGGAGCCGCAGCTAAACCAAACTCTCTAGCAACGTCGAGTGCCCAAGGCATGAAAGCATCATAGACGATACAAGTGATGGGGTTATCACTAGTCTGGTGTTTGCGGATGATGTCTGCAATGGTTTTGGAGCCGAGGTTTTGAAGTTTTGGAGGTACTCGTCGATGGAGCCAGCTGATTGAAAGCCGTGGTCGTAGCCGTCGGAGATGGTGGCTATGGAGATTGGACCAGATGGGTCAGGTTTGATGGAGTTGAAGACGAACGTTGTTAGAGCGAGAGTGGTTTTGAGACCTTTAGAGACAAGTCGTTTGCAGAATTGGTGGATCGGAGTGATGTGTCCTTGGGTTGGATATGGCACCGCCAATACATGTCCGCTCTTCTTCTCCATCTCTCTTTCTCTATTTTTTCTCTTTAAGAGTCTTTTGCTTTGACCAAAATGAATGTGCCTTGAGAGAAAATGCGAATATGTATATATAGACAGTTTTGTCATGTTCTTGCTTTAGATAAGAGCTTTGTGATGAGAACAAGAGATTGTTTTGTTTTTCTCTTCTTTTTGTTACAAACATAATAAATATGAAAAGAAACCTATGTTTGAGGCGGAAAAAAACAACAGCTATGATTGTGTTTTGGCATTTACATTTTCTATTTTTGTTAAAATATCATTTACATATACAACGTTATAAATTATTAACTTCTTAACAAAGAAAATAAATTACATGTTAACAGAAATTTAAAAAAATAACTGCCACTTTATCGTTTTATTTTTGCTTTATGGACAATTGTGATTTTACTTGTTACTTTGTTAGAGACAATTAAGACAAACTCGAAGCGAGCAAGAACGGAAAAGGTTCTACAGTACGGTTCTATGATTACAGTAAATCAATAAGAAGTAAGAACTCGACAAAAGTAAAAGGACTTATCAAATTTAATGTCTTCTTTACTAATATCTGATATTTCTGTACGTACTTGTCTTATCGATAACGTGTGCTTTTATTGTATCTTCCACTAGATCCAATATCAAATTTTCGTTGTACTCAATTCAGATCCCTATCATAGCCTCTCCTAATTTGATACGTCTAGTGTAGTGGGTCAACATTGAAACCAAAACAACCCGCTATAACGACATTGTCTTCTAGGGATGAGCACAAAGGCGGACCTACATACAAGGGTAGGGATTCATTTGACACCCCTACAATAAAACACGTTTTTTATTTGTGAGGATTAAGAACATAAATGCAACAGCTCAATTGATAAAAGCCTTTTAACCTAGCCAAATCAAATACAAATCTTATCAACAATCGGTTTTCTAGATTAAAACCAGTCAACTATATTTGTGTTTTCAGGATGCAAATTTTATTTTAGTTTAGTGGAATTCATATAGTATTCCTTAAGTTTCATGAAATTATGTAATATATGCTTTCTTAATCAACCATTTTTTTATCATTGACTTTGTATTTTACGCCAGATTAATTAGTCTCTCTTTAAACAATAGGAACAAAACAAACTAATAAGCAGAGCACATAAAATAATACCCAAAAAAAACTCTAAATCACCTAATAATACAAGGTATAATACTATAGTAATAAATGAATATAATTATTTGTCATTTTGCATTGATTGTTTACACTAAAACTCATACCCCACAAAAGGAAACATCAAACTCAAACCCTTTATTGTAAACCAAACTCAACCTCTTTTCTTCGCGTTGTTAATTGTTAGTAAGTTGACATCAGACTATGACCAAAAGTGATGGCGTCATTAAAACATGCATGTCAGCCACCCATGTCACACTCACATGCATGGGCCATGTGTTTATTGCATCGTAAGTTATTAGGTTGCCAAGATCTGATGCTTTCACACTCATCTTTGTAAGTTTAGTTCTAATTAACTTGCTCCAAAGCTTTCTTTCTACTTCCACAGTTCCACTCCATCTTCTTTTACTCCCAATAATACAACAGATTAGATCCAAATCAAACAAACTGGATCGATCGCAGCAAGAGCTTCATGTAAGCTAATTCCCGATAATATACTAAGGGGTTCGTCAGCAATTCCAAAACCATAACTCAGTCAAATCACACAAAAGCCCATGAAAATGGTTAAACCGAACAGAGCGACGAATATATTCAAGAAAATGGTATAATCTACGAAAGGCCCAATATCCATTTTCCCGCCATCTTTTTCATTTAGCTCATTTAAGTTTCAAGAAAATGGGCTTCTAAACCCAAGCCCGTGTATTAATAATTTTTTGGCCCATTTCTTGTCCTCTGTTGCTGAAGGCACTATGAGTTTCAAATTAATCCAGTTTAGTTTAGTGTTGAGTGCATTTCTTGCATTTTGTCATTTGTTTAGTACTGTTACTATTTCCGCAGCAGTATTACACAACAATATGCAGTTCTTTGAGAGTTGTAATGTTGCTCTATAATTTTCTTGTCCTTTGCAATAGAGTGGTGTCTTCCTAGTTCCTATTGCATTTTCCTATTGGCTCCAATAAATACATTTCCACGTGACACAAATAATTAAATATAGGAGTGGCACGTAGCACAGAGCTCGATAGCAACTTGGCCAAAATCAATACAGCAGAAAACCACATATCAGCTTTTTTAAGCTTATGGAGATGACACATCATTTAAAATACTCACCCAATAGAAACATTTGAATTAATACCAGTCAGCACTTTTTTTATTTAGGTCTGCCATGTTTTTAATATGGTCTGCCAACAATTAAAGAAAGGAAGCAACAAAGACAAAGAAGATTGCAGAAGGTAGCGAGAAAGAGTAGCCAGAATTGTTTTGTATGGAGGAGGAGAAGGAGGAGCTAGAAAAATGGTTCACTCAACCTGTTATCGATTTTGCTCCGTTTGGTAAGCCTCTCAGATCTGGAATTATGGTGGAAGTTATTTATGCATTTGTTTATAGGTTTACTTAAGATTCCATTTCTGCTCTGTAATAGGTGGTCTTTGAGTTATTACTAATTATCGTGAAGCTTCTCATTGCTTTAAGTCCCTTTCTTGGTCTATGTCTCTATGATTAAGCTTCTCATTTACTTGAATTAACCAACTTTGGGCTTAAGCAGTTGAATATGAATTCAAAGAGCGAGATTCAGGATGGAATCAGCCTCAGTGACCTCGAATTTGATCTGCATGAAGGATAGGATTCTACATCTGATTTGGAGAAGAAAGGGAATCAGGAGCTTTTCATGAGATCTTCACCGATCTCACCAATGAATTTAAACATTCAATTTTGTTATGTGAAGCATATATTTTCTTTTGCCATCGATCAAACTTGATCAACAGAATCTCAGTTGAAACAAGAACAACAACTCAAGGGTTTTGGTTTATCAAGACTTTTTCTCTTTCTTTTCAAGTTTTGGTTTATGAAATTAAAAGAGAGATCAATTAAACAAGTCTCACCAAAGGCTATTAGATTAACATATGCGTTATTGGTATTGGCTGTAGTTCTTATTCTCGTATTGCAACTCCAAATAGGAGACTAAAATTAGAAAATGTAGAACTCTAACGGGTGATTTAGATAACTTGCGTCTTTCAAGGATAACATACGAGCCACACAAAAATAGGAAAATCGAAACATGTACATTGTAAAATTTATTTAACAAAAACAAAACACTGCAAGAAATTTTTACTTTTAATCAAATTAAATTTTCGTGACGAGTGAAGAAGAAAAGTAAACGGAAGTGTGAAAGAAGGAAAAATTACTTCCATATAAACTAATCTCCTAAAAACTGAGCGAAGGTGACAACTAAAAACAAGTTCTTATCTACTTCCATATAAACTGATCTCCTAATGAATAATTTGTAAAAATATCAAATTATAACTCAAGAAAAAAAGGTAAAATTATATGAAAAAAAACCATAGCGGAAATTTAACACTGTAACAATAAATAAAAGCAAAGAAGTTATCAACGCACATTTGAAAATCTGTGAAAAAGATTCAGGCATTTAGCAAATATATAAATAGCCGTGTATTCAAATGAAGTTTGGAAAAGTTAATTTGGAATTAATGGAATGAACATATTTTGAAGATAATATTTTTCCCAATATTTTCATATTCAAATTATAATTAATAATGATGATTTGTAAACATAAAATAACCATTTTTAAATGACACTATAAAGGAGATATTTAGTTTTACATTTTATATATATTGTTAACGACTCTTAATTTTAATAATGACCAAAACAAATAATATCCATAATAAAATTAAATCTATAAAATGAGTAAGAAAAGAAATATCCCGCGGCGTAGCGCGGGTTGAATTCTAGTTACTTCAAGAAATCTAATAAACCTTCCATATAAATTCTCACATATCGATATATATATATATATTAAAATTATAAATACATGTTTCTTCAATACACGAAATCAATCGTTTTCACTTTGAAAAAGCGGCGTGACGGTCTGGTTCGACGGCGCTACGGACCGGTACACTGTTCTCTCGTTCACACGACCGACTTCTTTACACACTTGATCAAGAATCGTCAGAAAGTCTCTGACCACCGCGAAAATGCGAGAAGGATGAGTTTCCGAGTTCCCATGGAAGTACTCTGTTACCTCTTTAACCATCTTCATCACATTGCTTCCATGGGACTGCATCTCCGTGATCTCTTCCTCGGCTTTGTTCAAGAACGACTCCATCGAGTCCAAGAATCTCTCCACACCTGTCTCTTGCTTCACCTCAGCAACCACCTCCTTGACTTTCGTTATCCCGTTGGCTATCTCCGATGTTTCTAAGCTGAGTGAGTCAGTATCCATTGCAGCTCCTTTCTTGACGTTTATCAGCTGAGAGCTGAGACCTGAAACAACTTGCAACCCAAGTTTCTTCAGCTCTAGCTCGTCTTGGAATGCTGACACAGGGCTTTGGTTCGGAGAAGAAGAAACCACCCGAGCTCCTTCGGATTTTATGATTTCTTGAACAACAAAATGCAAAAGGTTGGTCTTCCCATCGGCGCCTTTGATGTCTACAAGCTTCAAGAGCGTGTCAAGCTTGAAAGCGTGCGCGTCGCCTCTATTGGTTCCTATGTTCATCCTGTTCCCCGTTTTGAGCACCGCTTCGAGTAGCTTCAAGAACATCCGAGTGTTCTTTAACTCACCACAAGCAGCCTGAAAGTGTCATCAAATCCATATGAATGTTCTGTTTTTTAAGCACATATACGAGGACAAGTAGATTTTTTATTACCTCGAGTGTGTCGAATGATCTCTTAAGGTACTCGGTTTCGGATTCGAAGTTGACTATGTAGAGCATTGCATCGATCCTCTTGAAAGCGAAAGGAATGTCAAGCAATGCTTTGAGAAATTTCTCTGCAGGTCCAATCTTGGAAGGAGATGATGATTCATCATCTTCTCTAAGCTCTTTAAGCTTCTCCTCTTCTTCTTTGGTGGGTGCCATCTTGAGTAGACACTCTAGAAGCTCAGGTCCTAACGTGTCAGAGTTGCCTAATCCATGAACAAGAAAATGTTTTCACAAATCAGTCCAAGTCAAGCTTCAAGATTCTCAGACCAATTTGAGGAATCATCAAGAAAGTTTCGACATTTCGACAAGAAAGAAGCTAAATCACCTTCTACAAGAGCTTCGCATACTTCATCAGCAGTTACGTTAAGCGCCCTCAGCAAAATAGCAATGTTGTGGGACTTTCTTGGATCAAGAAACTGATTCGAAGATTGAACAACACCTGCATTTCCGCCGTCTCTTGTTCTTGAATTTGGATCGTTTGCCTTAAACAATGTCTCAATCATTTCTTCATTCAATCTGAAACAGACACAAGAATGATTCACCAGCTCTTAGTCGCGTATGCAAAGAAGGACACAAACGTTTTTGAGATTAAACGATTTGAAATTTGGTTGTATCTTACTGAAAAGAGTTTGATTTGATTTGGTCCCACACCATAGAGTGGCTCGAGCTTGCTCTGACTTTATCCCAATGTAAAGGCTTCAACTTTGGTTTCAAGGTCTCCTCTTTCTTCTCCGGATCAGAATCCCCACTTGGAGGCGAAGGTGATACGGTGGCCGGAATATCCCAGAACTGCGGCGGAGGAGGAGGAGGTGGAGGTGGTCTCGATGGACCAGGCTTCTTCAAAACGCGGTCGTTTGAGCTGCTCCGGCTGTGCACCGAGAGCGGAGGACTAATCGACTTAGGTCTCAAACTTATCGCCGGAGAACCATTCGTCGACGACGGTGCGGAATTAGTCGGCGAACACGAGCTCGAGCCGTTGATGCTACTACTCCTGCCAATCTGATCAACGCCGGAATCGTTCGTTAAGCTAGCGAAGACACGTGTCGGGCTCTGTTTACGACCGGAGGATCCTCTGGGAGAGTAAAACTCGTCGTTTTCGTTGTCGTCTCCGTCAAAGTCTTGTCTTTTAGGGTTTAACTGTTCAGTGCTTTGGTAAGTGGGAGTGAAAGATGGGATCTTTGGTAGAGGAGGAAGAGGACGGAGCTCCGGCGAGCCTAGCTTGTTGTACTGTGACTGTGAGTAAGAAGAGGAAGAGGACGAGGAAGCCGGAGCGGGTAATTCCAAAACGCCGGTGACACTGCCGGAGACGGAGATGGGAGATTTCTGCTGGTCTAATCCGTTGCTCCGGGAGTTTACTAGAGTGCCTAAGTAGAGAAACTCGGAGGAAGTGTTGGAGGAAGCGTATTTGGGTGGATGTTGGTGGTGTTGTTTGTGTTTGAGGGAGCCGTCGGAAGGAGCGGCGTTGAAGAGCTGGAGAGAGTCTGATCTGACGGATTTGGTGTCGTCTGCAGGGGAGGAGCGGCGACGGTAGCGTGTTCGGCGGAGGAAGATGATGAAGACGGCGAACAGAGAGAGGAGAACCGCGGCGGAGACGACGGAGACGGTTATGGCGACGAGTTTGGCGATGCGGCGGTTGTGGTGAGACTTGGAGGGGTTGGTGTGAGTCGGAAAGAGGAGAGAAGATATGTTGGCGGGAAAAGTCGGGAGTGAGGCCGGAGGAGGTGGTGGGTGTGGTGGGGGATGAGCGGGGGGTGAGTATGGGTCGGAGGAAGGGAAAAAAGGGTTTTGATGGGGATGAGACGGCGGAGGAGGCGGAGGGGTTGCGACGGAGGAGAAAAGGTGTTTCTCGTGAGGTGGCGGTGGCGGATGTTTCTTGTGGTGGTGATGTGTGTGTGGTGAAGGCGACGGAGGTTGGGAAGAGGAGGGTGGTTGATACGGTGGTGGAGCGGCGGTTGTGACCGGGAAAAAGGGTTGATGGAGTAAGTGGCGAGAGTGGAGAGTTTGATCGGCGGAGGAAGAGGAGGAGATGAAAAAGATGGCAGCAAATCGGAGAAAGAAGGGTAATTTAGACATTTCGGAGAGCTCTTTCTTTTTCCCCACACAGACACCTCTCTAGTTTTAGGGCTTGTTGTTGTTGTGGCATTCAAAATCTGACATTGAAGAGAAAAGAGAGAGAGAGTGAAGAAGCGTTTGGTTTGGTCGATGAAGAGAGAGAAAGATTTACAAAAAAAAAAGGTTTGGTCTTTACGAGGAGTCTTTTTGGAAAGAGAAATTGGAGGGAATTAGTAAAGTAGCTGTTATTGCTTAAATTAGTCTCTCTTATTTTGATTTGATTGAGAAATGTTGGTTCGTGTTCTATTTATTTCCACGTTTTATTTTATCCGAAGGCTTTCAATTTTTTATCGAATAATAAATTTGTTCAGAACGGAAATTCAATGATATGTTGTTGTCTTGGACCAATTGTTAGCAGATAGATCGATTTTCGATAATAATGATTGCTGTAATAATGGACATCTTTCCCAACAAGATTTCTTCTATTAGAAACAATGAATTTTAATCAGATTTTTAACGATGAAGACGGGATTAGTATCCGTTTTGTATTAAGATCTAATAAGATCTAATTATCACCCACTAGAAAGATTTAAAGATCTTGATTGTGACTTGTTCACTACCACAATTAGTTATCATTTCTTCTTCTTCTTATGTACTTTGGATTTACCTTTTTAAGTAGGGTGAAAATATAGAGACTGTGTAGAAAAGACCACTTTAATTTGCAGAAAAGTATATATAAAATAAATAATAATGGTTTCTGATAATCTTCGGGACTATATGATATAGCGAAGTCAACATTTTCTTCGAAACAACTACATTGAATCCGTAATAATGAAACCAATTTATTGAAACAAACAAACGAAAGTTATTGAATCAAACAACAAAAATAAATTTTTAACATTCATTTTCAGAAACAATAAAAATAAACAAATTTGCATGGTAAAGTGTTCTTGATTCAAAAAAAAATATACTAATACTTCCATTTTCTTATCACACATTATTTACAAATTATTAACTTAAGCACATAAAAAAAAAATCTGGCTCAAATATAGTATATACTTTTTCAGTAAACAGGAAATGAAAGCATATACAAATTCAAAACATCAAATCCTTAAACACTTAAGAAAATGGATCCAATCTATTGAACGGGACTCTTACTAACATTTCAAATCTTAAAAGACGCATATAAACACATTTTTGGTCAAGTATATATGACATGCAAGTATATCCCACAAGGAGGTATTAAGATTGTTTGACATATCATGCAACGAGACTGACATTAATCAACACAGTCAACACTACATCGACATTTCAATTCAACGAAACGACGGCTTCAATCAGTGTGCTCAATACGATTCAATAATGTTTCAGAGCCGTTACATATATATTGTGATAAGCAAAATGGGCGATGGATATTTTTGGTCGGCTGTACTAATATACATTTATTGTCGAACAACTTATATAGCATCCACACTTTACATATGGTAAAATATAATACGTCTATAGAAAACTAATGAAATTTTTGGTCGGCCATGCTAAAAAATAATCAAAGCCTCGATCGATAAGCATCAAAAGAATGTGATAGCAAAAGAATGAATGGAATAAACCAACCTAAAACATTTGGCCTAGTGTTTTGAGGTTTGAGGTTCTTATGTCCTGGACTCAAACCAAGTTATGTCATAAACTCATAGTGTGGCTGTCTAAGATGAGGTTTAATTCGCTAATCGGCTAATCGCTATCATGCTATTTTCTGAATTATCAACGATACTGAAAGGTTAATATGAGAAAATATTTCATATTTGCAAGGAAAAAAGAGGTATATACAATAACAATAGTAACTGTACTGACCTGAGTCTCTGCCAGTATATTATTACAATTTACAAGTAACAGAAAGTGTTGGGATTTGCATCATATCCCACTTCTCCAAAGATTCTCTTCCCTCTTCTTCAGAGTTTCACTTTTACCTCTTTCATTTTAAATGTTTTGAAACTTCACCTCTAACTTCTTCAAATGTATAATCAACCACATTTTGTTGTGACAAGTCCGTGTCCAAGGTTGGTCCATTCCAGTCAGCTCAATAAAGTTTGACTACATTTTAATTTAACCTCTCATTTCTACATTTATACTCTTCTTGATTAATCAATACCGAACTAATAGGAAAGGAACCAAACATTCCGTCTGTTGAAAAAGTGACCACCATACAAGTACTTGTTTAATTTTTTTATCTACTTTGCTAAGGCTATAATTAAATATACAAGATTATACAAAAGAGAGGGCAAAACGACGACGTAGGATAGAACCGTCGGTGAGGAAATAGTCCGAGCAACAAAATCTGAGTACACAAAGAGCGTACAGAGCTAGACGACGAAGCATTTTACTGTAAACCCGTGAATCACGCAGTTCCAGAAAAGTTTGAAGTGAGTCGTCCACTTTGTTTTCTTACCAACACGTGTGAGTCTTCTTTCCTCTTTGTTAACCCTCGTCTTCACCGGCTATCGCCTGTCCCGGTTTCTCAAGGACACAAACCCCACTCCCACGAATGCTATTTAACTACGATTGCACCATTTCAACTAAGATACATCCTACTATCCTAGTAATCAAATCATACGACCTAACTTGTACAAATGAAATATGACTAATCTCTATCACTATTTATTGTTGATATCATTTCAGTTGTGCATTTTGTTTTTCTTTTTCTTGCATCATTTCAAACGTGAGTTTGCGATATTCTAAAGAAAAGCTATGATTTATATATTGAACATAAAATAGTCAGGTTGACGGAACAAAATAATATAAAGTATTAACATTTTGAAACTACAGAAGAAAGTAAAAGCAAGTTATTATTATTGTCAGCGACTGAAAGCGAGAGATTTCAAAATTTTCAAGTAAGTAATGTACTCGAAAGGCATATATAGACTATAGTAAGCACCTTTTGGAGGGTATTTGTGATTTTTTTGGCTTTTAGGGTGAATCGTGCTACAAAACGACGTGAAAGGCAAAATCTTTTGCATAGGATTAGATTTTTTTTTTGTGGGAAAAAAGTAAAAGGACAATTAAATCAAAAAGGAGAAAAAGTGGCAAAAATTAGGAGAGCCAAAGCCAAGTGCTCCAATATTTGCGTCATCTAGATATTTTTTCTTTTTCTAGTTTCATTCCAATAATTCATGAAAAAATGATTAGTTCTTTTCTAAAAGAAGTATCCGAGTGGAATAAAAAGAGCCTATAATGTTTTACACAATTGTTAATGAGTACGTAAATTTGGCATTTGTTATAAGCTCATTGACAATTGTCAAGAACTGTATTAACAATTTGTTTCTCTCTGTCAAGTTATCTTTTCATCTGGCTAAGATGTTTCTTGTTTATGCTTGTTCCTCATTACTAAAACATTTCTGATGGTTCATTTCATACAACAGAGTGGCATACTGCTCGCTTGGTCAGTCTCAAGACTACACACATTGTCTTGGGAGGAATATAAGAAGCAAAAGGTAAAGCTGCTGATCGATAAAACCAATGCTTTTTTACCCGTAGCTATCCACAAATTTGGCATTTTCATGTACGATTAGGCAATCATTGATGCTCAAGTCGCTAGGAACATTTATGTCTTCAATTCAAAGCTCTTACACACAACCATTTTATTTCAATAGAACCATCACTTATTGATTCTTTTTATTGCAGATATCGCAATGAAGGCAAAGCTGATTTAAATGATCTTTTGGTATCTACGGTATAAGGTTCTTATCTACAACAGCGATCTATCATTGTGTTTATGACAGATAAGAAGTGTTTCTTATTGTATACACTTCACTTGACACTCTTCGGAATAAGAATTGATAAAAGGTGCTTATAACTAAACAAAAATGCTGAGTTTAGTTTGAACCTCTTTTGTAATGTTGTTGGCTTGTAGCTTAAGCTTTCTATTAACATTGATTCGCAGCATTCTAGAAGGTGATCATCTGACTCAAGTTCATCCTCCGAATCATCAAGTAGCGATGAAGAAGAATCTTGGAGATTAAGGTCAAGTTCTAGAAGACCAAAAAGGGAGAAGAAACACAACTCTAGAGGCAGACACTAAAGCCCAAGTAAAGATGCGGCTGATGGTTCTGTACCATTATTGAAATTCTTTGGCAGTCTCAAGAGTTGACACATTTTGCAAGACTTGAGATTCGTGTTCATCCTCATATCCTCTGCAACATTTATAGTTATTATTTGATCTTTTTTTTGCCACAATTTTTTACACTGCAATGTTGTAAAAGCAATCTGTAGAGAATTAAAGGTAGGCTATCTTACTTAACACAAGAAACCTATTTCTGAGACAAATTTAAGTCTTAAATAGCTGCAACAATAAAAATGAGGACAAATTACAAAATAGGTAGAGAAAATAAAAATTATCCAGAAGACTGAATCAAAAAAGTTTGAACAAACCCCATTGCTCCCATCCCCTTCCAAGCATCTCTCACAAGTATACACAAAAGACAAACAATGACTTTTCCTCTATTTTAGGAATCTTGTCCAAATCAAACCAAACCCAGATCCCATTCTCTCATCTCCCATATGCTCTTCTTCTTCATACTATTGCTGATACTCTGGATTGAAAGCAAGCGCCTCACGGTAGATGAGCTCCTTCATCTGTTCCTCTGAGAGTGCGTGTTGTTCGAAATCGAAGTTGAATGGTATCGTGCACTCTGGCTCGTCGCTTATGTCGTGCAGCGAATTCAGGTATGGATGTGCCAACGCGTCTAAAACTGGAACCAAGAATCAAGAAAAGTTGAGAAACTAACTATTCAAGAATCAAGAACTAATGGTATTATAGAATTGGGGACTGACCTGTGATTCTCCGTCTAGGATCAAACGTTAGCATCTTCTCGATAAGGTCTATCGCTAAAGGATGCACTGTAGGGAACTTATCAGTAATAGATTGGCGAGGATATATTGGAAGTTGTCTTATGTACCGCTTTGCGTTTTCGTTCAAGAACTCAAGCTCTTCTTCTGATGGAGTTCCTATGAGCTGCAAGAAAATAACTTCAAGTCTTTGCCTTTGTCAAAACAGAGCTACTGAATAAGCAAGGTTACTACTAATTGTACCTCCATGAGCAAACGAAGCTGATGAACATGATCTCGGCCAGGGAAGAGCGGCTTACGATCCATCAACTCCATGAAAATACAGCCAACAGACCAAACATCGATAGCTGCAGTGTAATCAGAGGAGTTCAGAAGCAGCTCCGGTGCACGGTACCACCTCGTGACAACGTACTCAGTCATGAAGTCGCTCTCGGAAGTGACTCGAGCTAGCCCGAAATCGCATATTTTCAAGTCGCAGTTTGCGTTGAGGAGGAGGTTGCTCGGTTTCAAATCACGGTGAAGCACATTTGCGGAATGAATGTATTTCAATCCTCGGAGGATCTGATAAAGAAAATACTGCAACCAAAAGAAACAACAGAAATGAGCTATTCCGGTTTATCAAGTTGGTTTAAAAAGCAATCTCAAGAACACAAACCTGGCAGTGTTCTTCGGATAAAGCTTGGTTCGACCGTATGATTTGGTGGAGATCAGTGTCCATTAGCTCATAAGCTATGTAAACGTCATTGAAAGCATTTCTTAGCGGTGGTGGTATTATGTCTCTGATTGCAACAATCTGATAATAAACAACAGTTTGGTAATTGTTATATTAGTTTGAAATTGTTTTACATTTTTGCAACTCCAAACATGCAAAGAACAAAAATGGATAAAATTTGAAATAATACACTAATATCAACATTCATGTATATTCCACTAAATCACCAGCTGCTACAAACATTCATTCACCAACGTTATTATCATATACAGTAAGAATCAAATCATGCATCTGTTTATTCTCAATTCCTTAACTGGTGTTTATCATCCTATTACGCTCTGCATTAGGCTAGAAACAGACGATTCTGAGTTATAAAGAGAAAAACTGACATTTTCATGATCCATGTGGCGAAGCAACTTGATCTCACGGAGAGTCCTCTTTGCGTCAATCTTATTGTCGAAAGCGTTTGCGATTTTCTTAATCGCAACGCTCTCGTTTGTTTCCGAGTTCATAGCAGAACTGCAAAATCAAAACAAACGAAGAGCACACAAGGATAAATATATAACCAATAACCATCAAATTACAGCTCAAATTTAAAGGAACAAACATCAAATAATCAATTTTTATAAGAATTTTCGGATCAAAGTTGGCAACTTTACCAACCCAATCAACAAAAATATTTTAAATTTTTCAATTAAAGCAAAAGCCAAAATGAAATTGAAAATAAGAACATGAGAAAAATTACCAAACGATGCCATAAGCGCCCTTGCCAATAGGCATGATCGGAGGCTTATACTTAGCGGTGACCTCGAAGATGTTCCCGAAGATGTTATACTGGATAAACCTACCGCCGTGGCTAAGAGTCGCCGGAATATTCTCAATCCCAGGCATCTGAGGAGAGGGAGCGACCGCAGAAGCACCTCCGGGAGCTTCCATCATCTCGGTATCAGCCGCCGGTTGACCTGAGCCACCGTCCATGACCGCCGGAGAAGAAGAAGAAGAAAACTAAGGGGATCGAGGGATTATCGGAGGGAAATGGAAAAAAAAAGCTTTTTAATTTGGGTGAGTGAATGAAATGAAATGAATGAAAGAAGGGAAATTGATATTCTTTGGTTTTTGAGGTCAAAACAGATCTGAGAGAGAAGAAGAGAAGAAAGTCATGTGCGTCTATGTATGTGTATGTGTATGTGTATGTGTGTGTGTGTATGCAAATGTACGGATCTTTTTAATGGGTTTTTATCGGTCTTCTCTTGACCCGTGTGTAACACTGTTGAATTTTTTTGTTTGTTTAAAGTTTTTTTTCTTAAAAAAATAAATTCACTGTTAAATTAGACTATTGTACAACAAATGTTTCATTTTGACTTTTGCGGTACTATTTTCATCCCAATTACTTTTAATTATGTAAGAATTTAGTCAATTTACTAGCATGAACCTTTTAAAAGTTATTTTTTGTTTGTAGACAAATTATTTTAACTTGTTTTGGTTGGTTGCTTCAAATTCCTCGATTTAGAATGATAATCTTATCGTTAACTAACTGTAAGTAACTAATATCATTGTTGTTATTTGCTGTTTTATTTTTTTTGTTTGGTTGTACTTTTGCAATCATCTTGACAACATGAAAGATCTTGATTCTAACGTGTAAGCAAGATGGAAAAAGGCAAAAGTTCAACCAAATAAAAAAGATGGAAAAAGGGTATATTTAACAAATTAAAACATTAATCATTCGAGAAATTTGTGGCCGTTGTGTGAAAGACGTATTAAATCAACCAGTTATGGGCTTATTATGGGGGTAGTTTAGATAGGAAAAAGTATGGTGGTTCGTTTTGAGGTTATTCCAAAACTACAAGGGTCTTATCAGTATTTAACAAAATAAAGCAATGAATATCTGTGTTTACAGTTAGGTCGAACTCGGGACGGCTTGATATTTCTGCATCTATCCATCTTTCTCCAACCATCGCAAGCTCTTTCTGGGTTTAGGGTTTCGATAGATTGGCAAGTGGCAACGAAACCAAGCGTCTGCGAACCAGTTGTCACCTAAATAAGGAACCTTTAGGCTTCTGCTGCATTTGACACAATTCTCAGTTGAAGGAAAAAGATCAGCTTTGTTTATCTCTCAAAAGTACTGCACCAGGTTCCCTTCAATTCCATTTTTACTCTTTGGTCTTTGATTGAGTATTTGTGAAACGATATATGTGAATCGACGGATTGTTAATGATGTTCTGTGCTCTGCTTTCGTTTTTGACACTTCAATCTGGTTTCGAGAAGCTTAAAGATGTTAGCTTTGGATGTATTGATGTCGAATTAGTGGTTTCGATTGCCTTTAGCTCTGTTGATAGTTTGATCGACTCGTTAAAGGGAAGCTAAAAGCATCTGATTTGGACAATTATGCTAAACTGATGCGTATGAAGCTGATCAATTTGATCATCTCTCCGTCTCCATTATATGTTGCTGGAAATGTTTTGCAATCTTTAGTTGTTTACATCATGATGTTACTCATCGTTGATCTTTGTTCTGTCACTTTTGTTCTTGGTATAGTAATTCTTAGGGAAAGCAATAGCAAATGAAAAAGTCTTTGCATTTGCTTAATTTTCAGTTTTCACTCCTATGAACACTATATCGATGTTATGCGATGCCTTGGGGGATTCTAGAGTCTCTTGTTACTCTTTAATTTCTGATGTTTGCGTCTCTTCTATAACATGTGACATTGTTACACTTTGTTGCATCTCGCAGGTTTTAAAGACTTTGAAAACAATGGCTGGATTTCCATATTTGAGTCTCCTTGGACCAAAAAGCAAGAACACGGTTGTAGCGGGAGGCTTGACAGCTTTTGTCTTTGGGGTGTACTTCTACACAATGAGAGCTGTTGGTGGCACGGACGAGCTTCAAATGGCTATTGACAAGTTTGAAGACCATAAACTGGTTGAGACCGACCCCAAGGTTCCATCCAAGGCATGATCTTCACTGGCTTGATATGTCGTCCAACGAAGCCTGTTTCTTTATATGTTTTCCAAGTTTTGTACTTTCACGAGTTTGGCTCGTTTCTGGCTGCGATTGACATATGTGTTTTGAGTCTTAGTCCAATCCTTAATAGCTAATACAGTGGTCAAAATAAGAGAATCTCTAATCAGGATGTGGTTTTTGATGTTCTTGACATTGTGTTAAGTTTTCAAATTTTATAATAATCTTGTACCTAACTGTTTTGTTATAAGGGTTTGGCTATATATGAGATTCTGTACCTCCGTCATGAATCAATCAAAAAGAGTCAGAGAACTAGAGAAGTGTATGTTAGTAAGCTCAAAATCTGAGGTGATGGGTTTATTTTGACAAACAAATATACTGTGGGGTTCATTCTGATACAACTTTACAAATAAAAGGGTCTTTTCAACAATACTTAACAAATAAATGAACCAAAATACACACTTTATTTTCTGAATCTCTCTCTCTCCCTCTTTCTCGCGAGCTTTTCTCTCTGGGTTTAGGGTTCCTGTATTTTGGCAACGACATTGAGCTTTCTGTGATTTTCTCGCCATCATCTCGCTTCGGTACGTGTTATCTTCCTCCGCGACGAGCAATTTAGGTTTCACTATGAAGCAATTTATGCTTTTTCTACTAAAATCGTGATATCTACTAAGCTGTTCTTCTTTAACTCTTCTTCGTCTTCCTTTATTGAAATTGGAGCTGAATTAGGCATGCTTGTTTCGACTTTGACTCCTAGGATGTTAGCTACTAGATTTTCTCTTAGTTTCTGGTGGAAAATCACAAGGTTTAGAGAGATCTCGAATCTGGGTTTTATTCCCTTGTAGCTTGATAATTGATGCGTGTGTTCGTATTTTCCGTGAATTAACTCTAGAAAGGAGGTAATGCTCAAAATCAAAGAGCAAATATTGCTTTTTGTAGGCTTTGATTAGGATGATGTGCAACTATATTGATACTTCTTAATGTTTTAGTATTGCTTCTCGGATTTGATTGAAACTTCATATCTGAATATCTGTAAAGCTTCACATTAGTATCAACATAATTTTTGATCAATGTGCTAATTGCTTTCCTTGACTATTCCAGGTTCCAACCAGATTCACAGCTAAACGGACGCTAAGATGGAAATCATGGCAAGAGAGAATGACAACACTTTGTCAGGTCCTAGGCCGATGGATTTGTCTTACACTACTCCACAAGGTCCTGGTTCCAATGGCAAGCAGAGGACGTCGAGCTTGGAAGCACCTATCATGCTGCTAACTGGACATCCAAGCGCTGTCTACACCATGAAATTCAACCCAGCTGGTACTCTAATCGCATCTGGATCCCATGACAGAGAGATCTTCCTCTGGAAAGTTCACGGCGACTGCAAAAACTTCATGGTTCTCAAAGGTCACAAGAACGCCATCCTCGAGCTTCACTGGACCAGCGACGGCTCTCAGATTGTATCAGCAAGCCCGGATAAAACCGTAAGAGCGTGGGACGTTGAAACTGGAAAACAAATCAAGAAGATGGCTGAACACTCGTCGTTCGTGAATTCTTGCTGTCCTACACGTAGAGGACCGCCGCTTATCATCAGTGGGTCTGATGATGGAACTGCCAAGCTTTGGGACATGCGTCAGAGAGGAGCCATACAAACATTCCCGGACAAATACCAAATCACAGCAGTCAGTTTCTCCGATGCAGCTGATAAGATCTTCACCGGTGGTGTAGACAATGTTGTGAAAGTCTGGGACTTGCGGAAAGGTGAAGCCACCATGACACTTGAAGGCCATCAAGATACGATCACAGGCATGAGCTTGAGCCCAGACGGCTCTTACCTTCTCACTAATGGAATGGACTGCAAGCTCTGTGTGTGGGACATGCGTCCTTACGCTCCACAGAACCGATGTGTGAAGATCTTTGATGGACATCAACACAACTTTGAGAAGAATCTGCTGAAATGTTCTTGGTCACCTGATGGTACTAAAGTCACTGCTGGTAGCGCAGACCGTATGGTTCACATTTGGGATACAACCACTCGTCGCATTCTGTATAAGCTTCCAGGCCACACCGGTTCCGTCAACGAGTGTGTGTTCCACCCAACCGAGCCTATCATTGGATCTTGCAGCAGCGATAAAAACATCTACTTGGGAGAGATCTGAAAACTTTATAGCTTATGAGAGCTTTTGCAAACTCGGTTGTAACTCAAAAGTCTTTAGATTCAATAACGTGCTTAAGACATTCTGTTTATTGAGAGGGAAACAAAAAACAAATATTGCTCTTTGTTACAAGTAATCAAGAAGAAGTATTGTTATCTTTATGCTCTTCATCTTCTTGCACTCTAACTTTGCTTCCACAGCAACTTCTTCTCTGTTCTTGTTTTTGCCCCAAGCTGTCTCTTTTCTCCATAAACTCAGAATTCTCCTTCCAGATCTCTCCATTAGTGTACACCTCTTTCTTCCATATCGGAACCGTTGCCTTGAGCTCGTCGATCAAGAACTTGCAAGCGTCTAAACCATCTGCGCGGTGAACAGACGAGACGGCGATGAAGACGCTGGTTTCTCCGACAGGAACTGGTCCGAGACGGTGAGCAACGGCGATCTTGTGGATGTCCCAAGTTGATCTAGCGGTGTTACAGATGGAGGTGAGGCATTTTGTGGCCATTGGTACGTATGCTTCGTACCTTAGCTCCAAGACCGTCTTGCCCTCGAACATGTTTCTTGTAGTGCCTGAGAATGTTGCTATAGCTCCGGCTTCAGGGGCACTCACGTAATCCATGTACTTAACTACATCGACTTTGTGACCTTCCTCCAAAATTTCTACAAGGTTCTTCTCCTCCGAAGTCATCTTTTTGATCCTTCTTCTCCTGACACAGTCCAATATAACACCAATATAACAGGAACCTTGTGAAGAGTAGTAACTCAAAACAATCGAGCTCAACAGATGATCCAATAGCGAATTATAACCTGCAGGTAGAGCAAATCAAAGCATGATTACTTATCATAGAAAACTAATCAAACAATTAGTCACAATTTTCGCTAAATTTGCAACATGGCTTAGTAACAGGAAACAGAGGAAATGAGCGATTTTCATTGCCCAATCTGAAGGCAAGATCACAGTTTCAGAGCTGCAGAGATATACGAATGCATTCATCTTATTCTTAGTATCCAGAAATGGAAGAGTCAAACAACAAAGAAGTAAGAATAAGGTCTTATGAACAAATTCCGATCATGTCTTCAGTCTCCAGAATCGCCAAATTGGTCAATTTTTATCGAATCAGAGAAAATAAACTTACAATTTTGAACTTTGCCAAAATCCCAAATTCAAATCTGGGCTAAGGTTTATGTATTTGGCTTGAGGATCGGATCGAATCGAATTAGGAACAGAATAATCAATCACAGAAACAAAGGAGATAACGACAAAGATTGATACTTTTCTCTCGCTTTCGAAAAGTTTGTAACTTTAACAGCTACCCAGAAGATAAAAAAAAGAAGGCAGAGCACGAAAAGGAAAATTCAGAAAGATTTTAGTTGACCTTTGGGAGTAGGTAGGGATGGATGAAGAAGAAGAAGAGCATGTGCTCCATATTCACCTCTCCATCAGACTAATAGGTTGGTGAGATTCGAGATAAGACAAATCAGAAAAATGTGATCTTTTGATCACACAAAATTTTCAAAGTCTGTTCTTTTCTCCAGATATTCTGTTTTTTTTTTTACCATTCAAGGATAAAATCCTGTAAAAAGATTCCAAAACGACTGAAACCTGAAAAGCGACGTCGTTTACGGTACTGCAGTTGCAGTACAATCCAGTAAAAAGAGAAAGAAGCATCTCTAGTCTCTCTCTCTCTACTTCTCTGTGTGTCTACAGTTTTGGGAAAGTGAAGGAGATACAGACCAAATCATGGCGGCGACATCATCCTCTGCTTTCCTCCTTAATCCGTTGACTTCTCGCAACCGACCCTTCAGATACTCGCCGGAGCTTTCTTCTCTCTCCCTAATCTCTAGAACGGCGGCTACTTCTGATTTCTCCAAGGCTTCTCTCGCGCTCAAGAGACAGAGCCTTGTGTGCAAGGCTGTCTCTGTCAAGCCTGAAGCTGGAATTGAAAATCTTAATATCGCCGATAATGCTTCTCAGGTTAGATGGGTTTTTCTCTTCTTAGGTAGTGTTTCAATTGCATCTGGAGAGTGAGAGAGAGAGAGAGAGAGGAAAGCTAAACTTCTTTGGCTAATACATACAATTCTGCTGCCATCTCATTTGACTTTGTCTAATTTTTGTTTTTCTTTCTCAAAAATGCTATGAATTGATTCAGCTTATTGGGAAAACTCCAATGGTGTACTTGAACACCATAGTGAAAGGCTGTGTTGCAAGTGTTGCTGCCAAGCTTGAGAGCATGGAGCCATGTTCAAGTGTCAAGGATAGGTGTGTAACAGGTCCTTTATTTTGGTTAATCTATCTTCACATACTTAAAAGTCTTAAACTTTTGTTCTTGTTGCGGTGATTGCAGAATTGGATACAGTATGATTACTGATGCTGAGCAGAAAGGACTTATAACACCTGGAAAGGTAATTGATCTCTAGAAATTGACCTTTCTATGGATAAACGTATAACTCCATGATTGCTTCTTTTTCTGTAGAGTGTTCTTGTGGAACCTACAAGTGGAAACACAGGCATTGGACTTGCGTTTATTGCTGCTTCCAAAGGATATAAACTGATCTTGACGATGCCAGCATCCATGAGTCTGGAAAGACGTGTTATCTTGAGGGCGTTTGGAGCTGAGCTTGTGTTAACAGATCCTGCAAAAGGCGTCATTGGAGCGATTAACAAGGCTGAAGAAATCTTGAAGAACACTCCAAACTCTTACATGCTTCAACAGTTTGACAACCCTGCCAATCCCAAGGTCTGTGTTTTGCTACATGAATTCACACGAGCTCTACTGTTTTTCTTCTAGTTATGAGTCACCATGAGCTTGTGTTAGATTCTCTGATTCCGTTTGTTTAGGCTGCAAGTATCTGTTAGTGTGTTTGATAGAAAGATGAAATGCAGATTCATTACGAGACGACTGGTCCTGAGATATGGGAAGATACAAGAGGAAAGGTGGATATATTGGTTGCAGGGATTGGCACTGGTGGAACTATCACTGGCATTAGTAGATTCATTAAAGAAAGAAAACCTGAATTGAAGGTATATAACGATTGTAGCATCTCAGCTTTGAGTACATTGTAGATCTTAAACCTCTGTAATTAGAGATGGTAAAATGTGTACCAGGTTATTGGTGTAGAACCTACCGAAAGTGCCATACTTTCTGGAGGAAAACCTGGTAAGTCAGTGGTTTTGTTTATTCTTTTGCATCTTTGACATATCATTGTATAGCTCTGCGTTTTTGATTTTGTCTTGTATTTGAAATGCAGGACCTCACAAGATTCAAGGAATTGGAGCTGGATTCATACCTAAGAATTTGGACCAGACTATTGTAGATGAATACATAGCGGTATGATCTGTTTGTTTTGTTTTTTCTAAAACGTTTCCAGAAACTTTAAACCTGTTTCCTTGCTTCTTATTAGATTTCCAGTGACGATGCTATTGAAACCGCAAAGCAACTTGCTCTTCAGGAAGGCTTGTTGGTTAGTCCTTTATTCTGTTTTGGCTTATTTCTGAATGGGAACCATCTCTAAAAGGAGAAATGAAACACGAACGTATGAGAAATCTGTGATGATTAGTGAAAGATTATATAACTTTTTCCAGGTCGGTATATCTTCTGGAGCTGCTGCTGCTGCTGCGATCCAGGTCGCAAAGAGACCTGAGAATGCCGGGAAACTCATAGCTGTAAGTCCCCAATGTTTCATCTATGTTCTTTGTCTTATTTTGTTAATGGAGGTAGGTGATAGGAGTTGATTTATTAGTCTTTTAATCAGAAAGATTCCCTGTTTTGTTTAATCACATCTCCCTCACCAACCCCAACCCCTGCTCATTTTATCTATGACCAATCAATGGATATTTAAAAAACAGATTCATGTGTTTGATGGAGTTTTGATCAGTGAGTTTATGAATCTTGTTTTTCAGGTTGTGTTCCCGAGCTTTGGGGAACGTTACCTATCGACACAGCTTTTCCAGACGATTCGAGAAGAGTGCGAGAAAATGCAGCCTGAGCTTTGAGTTTCTTGACCAACAAGGAACCTCTTCTTTGCTTTTTTCTATCTGCTTGTTTGTCTCTGCAAAAATCTCTACGATATATTGTATATTTGCAGTGTGCGATTTTTGGATAATGTATGAGCTGTGCTATTTGGCTTGCTCCTCAAATCAATAACCGAAATGGGAATAACGTTTACTAGCGAGTTTGAAATAGATTATATCGTTTGCATAGAAATGTGACCTTTAGACGAAAACCAGATTGGTAAAAGAATGGGGCTCCAGTGCTGTCCACACAGTATGGGTTCCTCTGAGGGATGCATGCAGCTTTCATGTTGTAAGTTTTATATAAACATTTTTGTAAGCTCCTGTCAAATATGTATGAGTATGACTCTGATGAAGTTTAAACCAAGATGAATATGTGACTGGTTTAAGTGGAGTACTAACAAGACCGAGAAGTGAAGCAATCAGAAGTTTGATATTTCACACTAACCGTGGGAAGCACGGACCGTTTGGATAATTGGATGTCCTAACGACGGTTATAAGATGGAAATTGATCCGAAAATAAGTGATCGACGTGAGTTTGGTGGTTTCTTTGGGTCTTACGCTATAAACTCTCTTTCGTCGATTGGTATCTACCTGAATCCGATTGCAAGTTCAGAGTCTTCAGCCATGGTCGTCGTTGATCGTGAAAACAACTTGGTCGTTGTTAAACGTGAAAACATGTGACCAAGCAGCGTTCATCAGAAGTTTCTTATCTGAAATAAAGTAGCTCTAGTGGAGTAATGTCTTTTGGTGTCATCTTTATATTTCTCAAACTCTCAAGTAATAAAATTTTCTCATTTCTTCTTTCTATGGTTTGTCATATCTTTATGTGTCAAAGAGTCTTTATTTATTGTACATGTAAACTTGTATAGCTTGCTCCCAGTGAAATCCATAAATAAAAATGCATGACGACGACTCTTTGGGTCTAGTCTATCTTATAAAGGTTTGGTGTCAAACTATGCAAAAGTAAAAAGGAAATTATACTAATTAATACAATTGTCTTAGTACAAAGGAAGAGTCATCTTAAGCACATTTTGTTTATTTTTCCTGATGGCTATTGGACTACGTACTTAGAAAAATTCAAAATTTAAAACGGGTTTTGGTTAAACCAAGAGTCTTCTTAGACACAATTTTCAAAGGTTTTCTTGAATGAACCTGGGAACTTTGTCTAGCTTGCTCCAAAAGGATTCTCTTCAAGTCTTAATGAACGCCATAAATGAAAGGTATGACAATTCTTAGGGTTTTGGACAAGACATAGTATCTTATATAATTGTCCTTAGTCTATCTCTTTCACTCTATCCTCCTAAATCTACTGTATCTGCTTCTTACATAGAGATGATAAGAGCTGGGCAAGTGGGAAAACGAGCGACATGTGACCTCCCTGAATTGGCCAAGCTGTGTCTTAATTGTGATGCTCCAGATGACACTGAATGGGACGAGAAGGGGCGCACCATGATCAATTACATCTTCGTTAATTTCGACAGAATCATAAGATCTATTCAGTTTGGCTACTTGGAAGATGGCGCTCTAGTCATGTCTGAAATGTTTGGTCCCCCTAAGGAAGAGGGACCATACTCTTCAAATCAGTTTGTGTCGGTAATTTTTCTTTTACATATATTTGGCCCTTTTAGTAAGCTTAAGTTAAGTCTCTGATGAAGTTAACCGCAGGTGATACTGGGTCAAGATGATTATGTGACTGGATTGAGTGGAGAACTAGGAGTTTCTGAAGGAATCAGAAATTTGACATTTCATACTAACCGTGGAAACCACGGACCGATTGGAGTGTGGGAGGAGAGTTATACACGTGGTTCCAAGATAAATATTGTTACTGGAATAAGTGATCGACGTGAGTTTGGTGGTTTCTTTGGGTCTCACAACACGAACTGTCTTTCATCGATTGGTATCTATGCGAGTCCCATTGCAAGTTCCAACACGGACGGGGTTCAACGTGAAAATATTTGACTAAGCATTCGTAACGCCTTGTACCCAGCCTTCAATAGTAGCCTGGTTCTATTTGTTGTTGAGTTTTCTTTGAAATAATGCATGTAGCTTTAACGGAGAAGTGTCTGATCAGTTTCATCTTTCTTTTTCTCGATTCTCAAGTAATAAACTTTCATATTTCCTCTTTTAATGGTTTCTTCTTGCCAATTTATGGTTACTTTTGCTGTGATTTAAAAACCAAATATGGAACGACAAAATTAAAGATCGAGAGATTAGGAAACTATTAGTTAGAAGAGGCAAGCAAAAATAAAATAAAATGAACAAGAGAGATTAGGAAAATATTTAGTTTTACATTTTTTGGTTTAAATCTTGAATTTTGTCAACTTACTGTTTTTTTTTTTTTTTTTTTTTTTCTTTTTTTACTGTTTTCAAGTTTATTTACATTTTCATTTAGGGTTTTTTCTTAGGGAAGTTATGTAAACTTTTTTCGACCTATAAGTAAGTAAATATGTATCCTCACAAGAACAAACTATTTTAAGATTATCAACAAATAAAAAAGAGTATTCAGAGATCGATGTTCAAAGTGGGACCAATTGGGTCAACTTTTAGTAGCGACAAGAGTTGGGACGAGAAGGGACACACCACGATCTCTGGTATTTATGTTACTTTCAACGACTATGGCATAAAATCTCTTCAGTTTAGCTATGTTCAGAACGGAGCTCATGTCATGTCTAAAACATACGGTTCCTCCGAAGGTCCTTCAAAAGGGTAAAATTTTTGATAGAATCTTCAGTTATTCTTTCTTTCATAGTTATTAAAACCAAGTATTTTTTCCACTTAACATGAAAGCATAGTAGCAAATAGCAATCTTCATGTTTTGTTTCGGTGAAATTCTTGTTTACAAAGCTATATAGCTAATAGTTGTATTTGGGTACTTTCTGATGAAGTTAAGGCAAATATGTACATGTGAAACTGGAAAAAGATGAATATTTGACAGCGTTGAGTGGAGTGCATTATAATCAAACAAGGATCACGTATTTGACATTTCACACTAACAAGAGGAAACACGGACCGTTTTGTAAGGGTGAGTATGTAGAAAGCTGGAAGAGGGAAATCGATGTAAGGATATGTGATCGTAATGAGCTTGGTGGTTTATTTGGGTCATTCTATGACTTTTATGGTGGTAGCTATCTGCAGTCCATTGGCATGTATGTCTTGCTCCCCAAGTTATCTCCAATACATACAACTACAATCACTCGTAATCAAACACTTGATTATCGAAGCCTGAAGATCGTCGATGGTTTTCCTGTCAAGCCCATCCGTCCTTATAAGCCCAAACTCAAAGACCGGATACTCTCCGAATTGAATAAAGCTATTCAGTTCCTTAAAGATCTTTGATTATCAGATTTTTCGTTTGCATTCATGCAAGAGGTATGGTATACTCTTTTGAGTTTTATTTTTTGTTTCTTTTGTACCTTGAACTGGAAGCTACTTTAATGGAGAAATACCACAATTTGTCATCTTTTGGCTTTGATATTTAACATTTAGTCATTTGCACACCAAGAAAAAACCTCTTCATAGAATAATATAAGCATCATTTCCTTTATTGATAGTATTAATTTTGTGTTTTCTTAAGGCTATAGACATGTAAACTGGGTCTCAAACAAAGAGTCAATGTCTCATATTTAGCACATAACTCAGTTTTACTACATCATCTGCTTAACTATGTGTTTTGTTTTTTGTTCTTTGCTTTGCTTGATTCTCATGAACAGAACACCATAATTAAACAAGTCAAAGAAGACTCCTCCGTTTCTTGCACATTCCTTCTCAAAGCCCCTAAATATATACTCGTTCGTTACTATACATGCTCCCACAATTCTTGTAGCGCACGCTTCATCTTACCGCACGATAGTAAATTCGATAAATTACATCCATTCAGTTTGAATATGTCGAAAACGGACCCATGGTTACCATAGTAATCAAATTTGAAGTGTCACTCTTTCTTGAACGGAATGTAGAACCTTATCGGGCCATTACCGAACATTTTTAGCTTTTTTTTCGTGGTTGAAGTTTGAAATTAGGGTTTTCTTGACATGATCATGATCCATGCGTTCTATATGCTTATTTTTATGGTTGGATTGGGTGGGTGGAGATTTTGAGATAGTCTTTTGCTCATGAATGTAAAATTCAGTTCTCATTTGGTTCCTACGAAGTGAGCTTCAATAATGTAACTCTCACAAATGAGATAACTTCATTTATGAAGTGAGCTTCAATAGTGTCCCTTTCATTGTGTTTCATAGCTAACTCATTAATCTGTCATCATAAGCTAAGCTTCAACTAGAACTCAAACCGGTAAGTGGTCTCTTGCTGCCAAGCTAGAAACCAATAGACAAACACACTGCAAAAAAAAAATATATTCGTTCAAACATTGATCACAATAACTTCCAAAACTCGGAATCTTGACTTGTTTGAAAAGTTTTCCGGCAGAAAAACAAAAAGGAAGTTAAGATTATAAAATAATTAAGTTTTACATTTTTGGTTCAACAGTAATTTTACTTACTTTTTAAGTTAATTTATGTTTTAGTTTAGGAAGTTTTCTTAGAGAAGTTATGTAAACCTTTTTTAACCTATAGAGTTCATAAGAACAACTTATTTTTTAGATTATCAACCCAAAAAAAAAGTATTCAGAGATGTTCAAAGTGGGACCAATTGGGTCAAAAAAATATAATTCCGACAAGAGTTGGGACGAGAAGGGACACAGCAAGATCTCTAATATATATGTTTCTTTCGACGATAACCGCATAAAATCTATTCAGTTTAGCTACTTTCATAAAGGAGCTCATCTTGTGTCTCAAAAGCACGGGTCCGGAGGAAAAGACTTCAAAATTGTAAGTTTTGGTAGAATCTTCAGAGTTTACGTACAATCTATAATTTGTATTTTGTGATGAAGTTATATAGAAAATATATGCAGGTGAGGCTGGAACACGATGAGTACGTGACTGGTTTGAGTGGAGTAGATTGTTCGGGGATCAAGTACTTGATATTTCATACTAATAAGAGGAAACACGGAACGCTTTGTGCTACAGGACATACAAACTTACCTTCCTTTTTTATACCTTTCAAGAGGGAAATTGATGTGGAGATACGTGACGGTCGTGAGTTTGGTGGTTTCTTTGGGTCTTTCTGCGGTATTGCAGGCCATTTGATAACTATTGGTATTTATGTGAGTCCCATTACAGACGATCACCGGCTCAGTGGCTACCAATCACTGGATCATATAGGTACAATCACCCATAATCCGTCACTTGATTATTATAATCAAATCCCGAAGATGGTCGATGGTTTTCCTGTCAAGACCATCAGTCGTAATCCCACACTCAAAGACCGTTTATTGTCCAAGTTGAATTTCAAAAAAGCTTTCCGGCTCTTTTTCAGAAATCTCTTGGATTAGGGTTTTGTTTTTTCCTTTGCATTCGTGCAAGAGGTATAATGAAGACTACGGATATCTAGTTCTTGTCGTTTAAGAAGTAGACTATAAGTCTTGAGTTTTTATTTGTTTTATTTATATTGTTCTTTTGAATTTAAAGGTGATTTAGTGGAGGAATAATGCCACTTTTTGTGTCAACTTTTCTAAGCATCATTTGTGTTTTTTTTTTTTAATTGATAGTAGTATTTGTTAGATCGAATGATTGTTCACTATGGCAGCTGCTTAGGTTGTTTTTGTTTTTGTTTTAACTTTTAACAAGTGCAGAAAATTGAAAACTGTGTTTTCACTCCAATTTAAAAGAGCCAATGAGTAATCTTTAGCACATTATCGTAAATGTAATAGTGACTATTGGCTTGTTTCTTCACACAAACCCTTTATGTTTATAAGACTTGCATCGGAAATTGTACCATCTAAGCATGAAAATCTCAAGGTAAATCTTAAATGTACATGGACTTGTTCTTGCTTACTCCCTATGAATTTCATATATAAATGACACGACGACTCTTAGGGTACTGGAATAGGTTGTATCCTATATAAAGCATACCAAGCCCCTGTCTCTGTAAAATATTGTGGAGATGATTAAAGCAGGGCCAATCGGAGATACAGTGTCAAAGACTGACACTCATTGGGACGAAAAGGGCAATACAATGGTCTCTCATATATTCGTTTCTTTAAACTCACCAGAGATAATATCGATTCAGTTTGGCTACACTGACAAGGGAGCTCTAGTCCTGTCACAAAAGTACGGTGGTCCCTCCGAGGGACAAAACTTCCGAGTTGTAAGTGTTGATGTTGAAAAAAAATCGTATTTATATTCTTTTTTCGTCTGCTTAAACTAGTGAAGTATGCAGGTGAAACTGAAGCACAGTGAGTATGTGACTGGGTTGAGTGGAAAAATCAATTGGTGTCACGATTTCAAAGAAGGAATAATAATAAAAGTGCCTGGCGGAATAAAATCATTGAAATTTTCTACTAACCTGGGGGAACACATTTGTGAGCCAGTTACAACTGTCTCAAGTAGCACGGAAGAAATTGATCTTGGGATATGGGATAGTCGTGAGTTTGGTGGTTTCTTTGGGTCTTGCGACACTACCTGTCTGAAATCAATCGGTATCTATGTGAGTCCCATTCCAAGCTCCAACACAGCGGTTAAACGTGAAAAGGTTTAACCAAGCAACTTCTCGCACCGTTCAACATTAGCCTGGTTCAGTTTGTTGTTTGGTATTTTGTCTCTAAAATAAAACACATTTTTAACTTATCCAGTTTCAATTTCAGTACTCTTGTTTCGTTTTATTATTTGAATAAAGAATTCTCCGGTGATGTTATGCCGATTAAAACTTTAATCTTTCATGTCATCTCCCTCTAGAGCTTCTTTAAAGAATATAATTTTTTTTTTTCTTTTGTGTTTTTGCAGTCAATTTTTGTTCTTTGCTAGTTCTCTGATGTATTGCGTTTGAAGATAAAAATATTAGAGTAAATATATATACAAATCAGAGAATGCTAGTTTTCTTCATTTTTTGTGGAGAAATCAATTAGGCTTTGTTGTTTCAACACTGAAAACTGGCATTGAATCTGATGTTCAGATGATTATCGAGTAAAATGAATGTAAATGTTTGGTACTTTAGCTGATCCATAACTCATTAACTTTCTGGATCAACATATGGATTTGTGTAATCTCTAGAACTAAAAATAAAAGAATTAGAACGAGTCGTCATTACATTGTTGCATGGCATCAGTCAATGATTGACAAAGCTTTCTTCATTCTTGCGACGAGATTAGGCAATGTCTTGACAGCCTCATCAACAGTTTGGTTCACACACTGCTCCAAATCACTTACCGCTTCATTTCTCGTCTTCTGGAGCTTAGCTGCCTCAAACTTGTCTTGACAAACCACAAGAGACCTATTCAACCTCTCCTGCATTCATTCCATCAGTTTAAAGATAATCAAAATACAGAACTGAATCGTTAAAGAGTGAATCAAACTAAACAGATTTTCCAAGAGACAACAATACACACTTCCTAATTAAACACATTGACAACCAAAAGTCTCAAACTTTAAATCACTAGTCTTCAAACGTTCCATGTACAAATTGTAAATCCTCAATCAATCTCTATCTGGAAAAAGAGTTGAGAGAAAGAATAGACTCACTTGGAAGACAGACATCTCATTACCCAAATGGTTCTGCGCATTTGTGATTGGAACACTGCAAGTCTCTGCGCATCTGCTAATCTCAGCGTGTGTTCTTGTCCTGTCAAAGCACTCGTACGCGCATTTGAAATAAGCTTTCTGCATCAACCCCAAAAGCACAAAACAATCCCTTTAAGATAATCTTAGAGGAAGTATACACAAAGATGCTAACTTTACTCTGATTCGACACAATTTCAGCAAGAACACATCAAAAATTTCAAACGAACCTGAAGAGTGAAACTGATGTGATCTTGAATTGGAGAGAGAAGAGACTGCGAAACAGAACTGACTTGGTTAACTTTCTTTCTGATTCTCTCTCTCACCTGCTTCTCCTCCGCCGTTTGATCCATTTTTCCGGCGATTTGGGTTTACTTTATTTTTGTTTCTCTCCTCTTTCGTTTCAAAGACAATGATTCACACGGAAATTTGGGAATCTTTAGTTGCAGAAATTGGAAAAAAATTGAATGTATAAACACTTTACTCCTTCCCCAAGTTCATAGGTGGTTTCTACCGCCTCCCATGGCGGAATCTCTGAACATTACCTTATTGGGCCAAGCCTCTTTATATTTGGGCCTATTGGCCCGTTAATGGACACTAAGCTTACTTCTTTTGGTGTCTGAAGCAAGAAATTAGGTTTGTTTTGTTTTCCCTCAACAGCCGTCTAATTTGTTCTATATAAACGGTAAAGGCGTCGCCTTTAAACTAGCATCATCATCTCTCGATTCTCTTCCATCGTTTCGTCTTTTAGGATCTCTGTTTACGAATTCGTTAGAGTTTGATTTGCTTTTTCTTTCCAAAACATTTTACGACTTTTAGAAACTTCCTTTATTTTGCGTTTACAAAAGAAATTGGATTTTAGTTTTTACAGAAAAAAAAAAAAAAAAAAAGCCAATTTGCAGAGCAAGGGCGTCAATTTATAAAAATGGCGTGAATTGCCTTGAAGGTTGGCGATAACAAAACCAGTCTGCGATTCTCCGTGCCTATCGAACTTCTTTAGTATTGATAATGGCCTCGAACAAGTCGCTACATTCCCTTCATTTCTTTCTTTCAAAAATCATCTTTTTGGTTTCCTCTCTTTTTCCGATTTCCATTCATCTTTCCGTAGGTTAAATAATGTGGAAATATATCGGGAGCTTGAATTTGATCTGAAAATATAAGTTTTCCGTTAGTCTTTCCAGTATATAAAGATAAATATGCCCTTGAAGATGCAGCAAATTACTTTGTTTGAGACTGTGAGTGATGAAATGAGATAAGTTTCAGATACAAAGAAGTTTCAATTGAATTTGGTTTGACTAATGCTGGTGAAAATTGGTAATCATATGCTAATAATGTCACTGGTACAAGAAAATTGGTATTCATAAGCTAGTATGTCGAAATGCATTCGTTTTGGGTTTGAAGTACATCAAATTAGAAGACCATGATACAGAAATGAACTAAAGAATGAGGACCATTGGAAGTTTTTGCGTCAAATTTAAATGATCTGAAGAATGACTTTACTGTTAAATATTAGATTAGATGAAATCACTGACATTGGTGGCCCTTTTGATTTTAAAAAGTCAAAATGAATCAAAATGTAACAAATTCATCTAATTTCCATTGAAACTGAGATCGGTCTGTAGATGAGAATGATAAAAAGGTTTTGTCTTGTATGTGATAAACGCTGAGAATAATAAAAAGGGTTTCTCTGTTTGTTTGGAAAATCTGTTATATGAGGAGTTAACAATCTTGTATATCAAGGTTTCAGATATGCATTTTTGTAATGAATCAATGGAACTTTGTTCTGCATTTTTGTTCAAAGATATTCTTGCATTTTCTCCAAATTTAACACGTTTGAAATCTTGGGGAAGCTACTGCCTAACCTAACCTTGCATGTATAAACTTGTTGTTCTGTGTTCTGTGTTTTCAAACTTGAAATGTATGAAGCTACGGCCTAGTTTTCAATTTTGAAATGGAGGGTTCTGTGTTTTTGTTCAAAGATAATCTTTGCATATTCTCAAAACTGAACACATCTGAAATCTCTGGGAAGCTTTGGGTTTGCCTAACAATAAAAAACATAAAAGTACCCACAATGCAAAGATACCCATTGTAACTTGATATGGGAAGATGTTCATCCAACAAAATTGTAAAAGCCACATGAGTTCTCTCTCATATCCAGAAACAGAGGAAGAAGATGAAAGACGAAACAAAAACTAACCTGAAACTGAAACAAAACTCCACAGTGAAAACTGAGTACAGACCAGACTTTAACTGTTTTAACTACTAAAAGTGTACTAAAGGATGATCAAACACAAAACATATAATGACTGGGAAAAACCAAAGCTACTAACTCAATGCTTCTCAACTTTGTAACTAGACCCACGAACATAAGGATAAACCATAGTAATCTACACCAATTTCAAGAGCAAGACAGGTAAACTGAGGAACCGAGAGAAGGAAGCTTGGGTTTTGATGTCTTTGTCCTTTTTTCAGAGCTGCACTTCTCTGTCATGTATCCAACTGAAAGGAATCTTTGGTCCTTTCTTGGCTCTTGCTTGAGCTCTCTCATCCAATCTCCTGATTCTTGGAGACAAGCCACATAAATAGTCCTGTGCTTTGTTCCCTTCACCTGAAAGCCCGCTCAAGTCACTGATCTTCCACCTACCAACCAAAAACTCAAGAATGTCTGCGTAGTCTTTGGCGGTGTACACACCGAGCCTCTGAGCCACGGAAGAGAAGTTGTCAAAGAGGTTGTCGTTGCGTCCATCGTACATCAAGTGAGCCGGCATTGAGATTTTCTTTCTCATCATGTCTGCAAAAGCCATCACAGTGCCATCAGGATCAATCTCAAAGAGCTTCTCAACTATCTTGGTGTAAGCGGTTTCGTGACGCTTCTCGTCTGCAGCTATTGTGCCACATATCTGAGCCAGTTTCAAGTCCCCATGCTCTTTGGCTTGACGAGCTGTGTTTCCGTGAGAGATAAAGGTCGCTCTTTCTTGGAATGAAGTATAGATGAAGCCAAGGTAAGGATTGTTCTCTGTCCTCGGATCCTATAAAAGAAAAGTCAAAGCTATTAGAAACTTATACTACATTAACCGAGAAATAACGACAATTGCCTGAAACTATCTCTCTCACCATTCCGGATCCAATCAAGTACTGGATCGTCTTCTCAATTTGCCTCATGTCAACACGACCAGACAAGTAAAGGTATTTGTTGAGGAGATCGCCATGTCGGTTCTCTTCTGCAGTCCAAGCTCTAGTCCAAATGGCCCATGAAGTGGGGCTAGCACCGGTTTCATCCCTAACTCCATCCAAAGTGTTCAACATGGTTTGGTAGGTGGGAAGCGCTTCTTCTGTGATCATGTCTCCCACAAGAACAACAAAGTAATCATCAGGGAGCTCTCTAGCTCTCGCTCTCAACTCTCTTACTTGATCCTCAAACCCGTCGGACGCAGGGTCGGGTAAGAAGTCCTGGGGTTGCCAAGACTTCTCCACATCCTTGAGATGGATAAGAAGGTTGTTCTCGGCCCAGTCTTCCATAGATTTGAAGATCTCTAGCTTTTGGGGAGGCATGGAGTGCAACACTTGAACATGCACTTCCTTAGGTGGCGTAAATGGCTTCTTCAAACTCTCAACCTCCCTGCATCAATCCAAAAACCAAAAAAGAGTCATCACCATTTAGTCCACTAAAACTATCAGGAAAGGTCCCATTTCTGATGCACACAGAAGAAACAAGAACACGTGTGATTGCGTTGGAACACTATACGCATTGAAGAGAACAATTCGAAAACTCAGTGACCAAAGAACATTTTTACAGCTGTTAAATGTAAGATAAGATGTTGCATATGCATTAACGAATCGATCTTGCATTGGCCACGTGAAGTAAACAGAGAGCTTGCAGGGAGTGAAAGAAAGAAATGTAGTCACTAGTGATCAGATAAAGTCAAGAGAAAAAGCCAGATGTCGTTAAAACAGAGAAATGAGATACTAATTTAGAGAAAAGTGTAAATTTTCTGGACGCAAACAATAAAGAGGCCACGAAATACGCATGCATAGACGCTAGATGTCTCTACTCAGAGAAGACCTGTAAGAGGCGTGTGATATCCAACGTAATGTCTTTGCAGAATGAAAACAGACGTAAAGTGATACGTTCAAAGAATCTCATCTCAATAAGAATTAACCAAAACGCAAATATAAACATCAAAAACAAATTCCCTTAAGAAAAATATTAATCTTGAGTGTAGGATTTGACTAAGAAGCTAGTTGCAGTCACATTCTCGAATGTCAATCTAAAGATGATAGCAAATACTATAAATCTTAACTCAGACAACCTATCAGAGGTTTGATTACTCTAATCGAATTGGAAATCTAATTAATCTGATGCTGAATAATTACATAACCTTAGAGCAAAGTGAATGAATCTAGAATATGACGATGTGTGATTTTAATCGTAAACAAATCGGATCAAATGAGCATTTATGAATCGCCTCCTGATGCAGAGGATATCAGAGGATGGCCCCATCTACTTTGACCCACAGATTAAAGCATATCAATCTGAAATCGCAGCCGAGAATAAGCAAATGGGTACTGAAGAACACTAAACCCAGATTAAGAAAAGGTAGATCCGTAATCGAAAAACAAGCAAAAACCCAGAAAAAAATGAACCAAATCTCTCTACTTCACAGAGAGAATCAAAAGTAGTCGATATAAGCAAATGATAGACGAGGATGGATAAAGAGACTGACTTGGCGCCGGAGCTGAGAGCAGGAGAGGAAGAAGCGAGGCAGAGGAACTTGGGAGATCTGAAAGTAGAAATCGGCGGACGAGCCGAGGAAGGGAATTTGTAGGGCTGCGATGCCAAAGGGTTAAGCTTCAAAGCCATTTTGGATATGGGTTTAGTGTTTCTTCAGAGACGAGCTCTCTCTCTCTGTCAAGCTAATGCTCTCTCAATCTCTATCTCTCGCTCTCTGGTTTTAGCTTGGGCTTATATCTCAGGTTTAGTTTCATCCACAGAAAGCGAATGCTTATGAAAAACAGCGGAGAGGGAAGAGACAGAGAGAGAGAGGACAAAATTAAAATAATAATTAAAACGAAAAATAGCGTCATATTTGTCAAAAAAATAAATTCATTTTTTTGAAATTAGGCATCAGTTCTAAAATGCCCTCGAGATTCTTCTATATCACATTCACATCATTGTCTAGATATTTTTGGTAGCATCGATGTCGGTATAATTATGGTATCAAATTATTAAGTCAACAAAGAACAATGAATGAGACATTGAGACTCCTAATAATTTTTTGTGTGGAAAATATATGACTTGCTTTGGTATTAAAGATGATCCTCCGTTTATTTAGTCATGATTTGTGAAAGCTTTATGTATTGGCATTAGATCTAACAAAATTGATGAGAAGGGGCAAAAAAGTCAAAAAAAGTACATGTGTTGGATTTTTTTACTATTTTATTTCGTTGTATTCACATCGGGCGTGAGAAACCACGAAAAAGCCAAATAAGTTTTTGAGGGGCATGAGAGAAGAGAGAGAAAGAGGGGGACAAGTGGCATAGGGTCTCCACGTGGATGTCCCACTTGGCAACTAAAAACTCTATTGACCGTACTTTGCTTCTGCATTTCTGCCCATCATTCAATGCTTTCTATGCTCTGCCATTTTCGGCACAACGTTTTTCGATTCAAGAGCACTCCGTTTTCAATTGACACACCGTGACAATATTTGAGAAATATTTTTTTAATACTAATTTATGATAAATCATTTGATTTTTTCTTCCTGTTGGCGATTCATGTAATTAGCCCAAAAACGGAAAAATTAAAGCATACAGAGAAAGAAAATAAAATGAAAGTTTGTTTGGTCCATTGTTTTCAAAAGTTCCGCAAATCCTAAATCCAAAAGGTAAGGTTCAAACAATTTTTATTTTTCTCAAAGCTCTTTTAAATGCAAAATCGCACATAGATAGATTACAAGGATTAAAGAAAAGAAACGAATAATATCTTTCTAATGAACTTCGTATTCCACACCAACCAAATGGACAAATGGGCACTTGAAACATGGCTAATATTTCTTGCTAACAACGTGACAATTGGTTAGATTAGATATAATATTCTTGTTGAAACAACAATAATTGTTAGAACTACGGTTACTTCAATAAAAGTTATTGGATATTATATCAGCAACACTAGTCCAACTGTCCACGAAATGAATAAACATTAGCTAAACAAAAAAAACAATTGTTCCAATTAGGTTGCACACAAAAGAGATATTCAGAATTTTCATAACTGAATACACAAGTACACACATAAGAGTGAAAGACAAACACATAATACTTCTCCGGTCATGTGTGATTAAATACACCGCCGATTTGAGTACAAACATAAAAATAAAAACGATACATTCATTATTCAATAGTAAAACGGAAAAAAAAAAAAAATGAAGCAAACACATGTGATATGTATCACATGAAACCTGGACAATCACTTTTTACCGTCCGACAGAAGTCATCGGTTCCGTGACTATCAAGTTACCTGCAGACTCCATTGTTATCTCCGTATCAAGCACGTCTTCGTACGCCTCGTACCATTTTCCCAGCTTCTCGGTTCTAACAATATCGAGCAGATTATCCGGAAGCTCAGAAACTCCGCTCAAGATCTTAACCACCGTAGACATATCAGGCCTTACCTCTTCAGCCTGGTGCGAACACAAAACTCCTAGCTTAAGAACAAGCTCAAGCTGTCCCTTGTCATGGTCTTGTCGGATTCTTTCATTTGCCGCCTCTACAATATCACCGTTTTCCCAACGATTAATCGCCCAATCAGCAAGAACCACCTCTTCGGGCTCTGCTTGCGGCTCAAACAGTTTTCTTCCGCAAGAAACTTCAAGCATAAACACACCAAAGGCATAGACATCTGTTCCCGTGGTTGGTCTTCCGGTTCTCATCAGCTCTGGTGCCATATAACCGAACGTTCCAGCTACTCTTGAGGTCTGAGCTTCATATCCTTGCTCATATAGCTTAGCCAAACCGAAATCTCCAAGACTTGCATTCATCTTGTCGTCGATTAGGACATTTGCTGGCTTGATGTCTCTATGAATCACTACTTGTAGCCACTCGTGATGGAGATAGGAGAGTGCAGAGGCAACGTCTTTGATGATCTTGAAACGTTGATTCCATGAGAGCTGTTCTTGATCGGATCCGCCGTAGAGGTACCTGTCAAGACTTCCATTGGGCATAAAGTCATAGACCAAGTAGAGCTCTTCTTTGTACCGACAATAACCAAGAAGCCTGACTAGATTAGGGTGTCTAAGCCGACCAATAGTTGCTATCTCGGCCAAGAATTCACGCATTCCTTGACTTGAGTCGTGAGAGACACGTTTAACAGCAATCTCTGCCTCGGAACCTGGAAGTGTGCCTTTAAAGACCTGACCAAAACCTCCTTTACCTAGAAGTTGTTTGAAACCGTTTGTGGCTTTAAAGAGCTCTTTGTAAGCAAACCTATGAGGCCCACACTCAATCTCCCATTCCTCTAAAACCTCCTGAACCTTTTTGTGTCTCCTATAGTAGAAAAGACTTAAAGCTGATGCAGCCATTGCAACAAAGAGAGCCAACGCCAAGCCGGTCGCCAAGAGAATTCGATTTACCATTGAGTTTGGCTTGGGATATGGAGGAAACGTCGGTATCCCGAAGTCCAGCTTTGGAACAAAAACTGAGCCATAGATAGACCACATCAACATGTAATGCATTGCTCCAACCGACCCAGTGGAGGCTGAGAATCCCACATACATTTTCTCCAAGAAATAGGGTGACAGATCTTGGTTGACCGAAAGAAGCGGCTTCTCCGGGTAATAAGCCTCCTCTGGTGATGATAAGGTGACATTAATCTGTTTCTCCTTGTGGCTATACAAGATCGTGATGCGGAGTGTATTTCCACTGATCAAAGAAATATTTTTGAAATGACCCTCTTGATCATAATAACCAGCAGGTGCAGATACAATAGACCTCATTCCGTTTATGTTGATACCAACATGGTTACCATCAATGTCGCCAAACTCATCATCTTTGTTGATATCGAGCTCCACAGCGAAGATATGATTAGAGGTGTTCCCATTGTTTTTCTCGTTGAAGATTCCAAGGTACTGATCGGCGGATGCATCGGTGATGCCTCTAGTGGGAGAGATCACGAAGGCCATACCGTGAGAGCCTTTGTGCTTTTCCTCAGGAGCAATAGCAAAGATGAAACTAACCGAGAAAGAAGTCATTAATGTACCGTTGGGATTCTTGAAACGAAGTATCTCGTCGTAGTAGGCTTGACCATAGGCGTGCTTCTTGGTGCTCGTCAACGTCTTGAAACCTTTGAAGATTCCGGCGGATCCCTGCATTATCAGCTTCCCATGGGAGTTTTCAGCACAACAGAACAAAGTAAGGATCAAGAAAACGGCATGTGAGATGATCTTGATCATTTTTAATTGATGGGTTTAAAAGGTATTAGCTTAGTTAGTTTGTGTCGATCGTTTATATACATCAACACGACAGAAGTAAACTAAACACATGATCTAGTCAAGACCTGCTGAGATTAAAAACAGAGAGTTAGCTACATGTTGCAGAGTATATGCTTGAAATCAATTAGTTAAGTAATGACTTCAGACACAAGAAAGGTATGAAACAGTAGATTTAGAACAGATAGATACATGTTGCAGAGACAATGTCTGATATTCAGTTAATTAATCGGTTCATGGTGTTCAAGTCCTCCATGGATTATGAAAGAACTAAAGAGCTAGTCAAACAAAGCTACTTAAATAAGGCTTGGCCAGAATCAATAACATCACTAACGGAATTTATTTGTACTTGTTTAGGATTGGACTAATTCTCTTAATTGTATAATAGAATAAAAATACCACAATAAACACATGAACTAGTCAGGCAGGACTTGGTGAGACTAAAAAAATCAGAGAGCTATATTGCAGAGTCAATGTCTTAAGTCAATTGGTGAAGGAGTTAATGGTGTCCATATTCTCCATGGATCATGGAAGAAACAAAGAGTTTGTCAAAAAGAAGTACTTCATTACGGTTATATTTTAGAAGATAATATTATACATCAATATTGAGAAACAGTCGAGCCTGCTTATACAATTATGAGCCTGCTTAAGGAAAATAGTCGAGCCTGATTATACAGTTATAACATCGATCTTATGTGACAAACCTGGCAATCTTGCACAATATTTACTTAGTTTGTTCAGGCGCTTGATGGTAGCAGCGCACATTAGAGTAGTTCCTAGTTCTGTTTCATGCTAAGATAAGCCGAGATAAATTGTGGGCATCATCAACACATATACAGATATTATCATTGTTAAAGGCCATGTAAGGTAAGTAGAACACAAACAAGAAGATACACTCAATACGGTGAAGAAAAAAAAAATTATATAGCAACAGATAAAGAATTTCACGGCAGACTTCGACAGCACGTTTTAGCGTCCATCAGAACTGAAAGGTTCCGTAAATGTCAAGGTACCGACGGTATCCTGTGAAGGAACACCATTAGATGTTGTCTCAGACCACATTCTGACCCTCTCGGCCTCGACTATCTCCAGCAGATTATCCGGAAGCCTTGATTCACCGTTCAAGATCCGGACCACATTACTCATGTCCGGTCTAACTGCTGCGACAGGGTGTGAACATAGCACTCCAAGTTTCAGGACAAGCTCGAGTTGCTCTCAATTGTGTTCTTGGCGGAATCTTTCATTGGCTGTCTCGAGAATATCTCCGTTTTCCCAGCATTCTAATGCCCATTCCACGAGTACGACCTCATTGGCGACTGCTCGTGGATCTATCAGCCTTCTACCGCAAGAGACTTCAAGCATAAACAGCCCAAAGGCGTAGACATCTGTGCATGTGGTTGCTCTTCCGCTTCTGATGAGCTCCGGTGCAATATACCCAAACGTTCCAGCTACTTTAGTTGGTTGAGGATCAAAACCTTGATCATACAACTTAGCCAACCCAAAATCTCCAAGCCTTGCATTCATCTGGTGGTCAATCAAAACATTTGCCGGCTTGATGTCTCGATGAATTACAACTTGTACCCACTCGTGGTGAAGATAGAAGAGTGCAGAGGCTACATCTTTGATGATCTTGAAACTCTGATCCCAAGTGAGTTGATCTTGCTTCGCTCTGCGGTAGAGGTACTTGTCAAGACTTCCATTAGGCATATAGTCATAAACCAAGTAGAGTTCCTTCTTGTACCGACAATAACCTTGAAGCCTCACCAGGTTTGGATGTCTAAGCCGACCAATTGTCGTTATCTCAGCCAAGAACTCTTGCATTCCTTGTCTTGAACCTTGAGAAATCTGCTTAACGGCAATCTCAGCGTTGGAACCCGGAAGTGTGCCTTTAAAGACTTGACCAAAACCTCCTTTGCCTAGAAGTTGTTTGAAACCTTTGGTGGCTTTAAAGAGTTCTTTGTAAGCAAACCTATGAGGTCCACACTGAATCTCCCATTCCTCTAGAATCTCCTTAACCATTTCATGTCTCCTATAAAAGAAAATACTTAAAGCTGACGCAACCATCGCAACAAAGAGAGCCAATGCCAAACCGGTCGCCCAAACAATCCGGTTTACTAGAGATTTTGCCTTGGGATATGGAGGAAACGTTGGTATCCCTAAGTCTATGTTTGGAACAGTAATGTAGCCATAGATATACCAAATCCACATGTAATGCATTGCTCCAAACGATCCCGTCGAGGCTGAGAATCCCACGTACATTTTCTCCAAGAGATAAGGTGACAGATCTTGGTTTAGAGAAAGAAGCGGCTTCTCCGGATAATAATCCTCCTCTGGAGATGATAAGGTGACATTAATCCGTTTCTCCTTGTGGCTATACAAGATCGTGATGCGGAGTAGATTTCCACTTTTCAAAGAAATGTTTCTGAATTGACCCTCTTGATCATAATAACCAGCAGGAGCTGATATAACTGACCTCATTCCATTTATGTTGATACCAACATGGTTATCATCAATGTCACCAAACTCATCATCTTTATGTATATCCAGCTCCACAGCGAAGATATGATTCGAGCTGTTCCCGTTGTTTGTCTCGTTGAAGATTCCAAGGTACTGATCGGCGGATGCATCAGTGATGCCTCGCGTAGGAGAGATCACGAAGGCCATACCGTGAGAGCCTTTGTGCTTATCCTCAGGGGCAATAGCAAATAAGAAGGTGACGGAGAAAGAAGCCATTGTACCATTGGAATTCTTGAAATGGAGTATCTTGTCGTGGAAGGCTTGACCGTAGGCGTGCTTCTTGGTGCTCGTCAACGTCCTGAAACCTTTGAAAATTCCGGCGGATCCCTGCATAATCAGCTTCCCATGAGAGTTTTCAGTACAACAGAATAGAGTAAGGATCAAGAAAACTAGTTTGCGAGACATAATCATTGATTCGATTGATGGGGTTGGAAAATTAAGAGTTTAGTTAGTTTTTGTTGTTGTTGATTTCTTGGAGAGCACGATGAAAGTCAACTCATAAGCCATAAAAGAAAAACGCATGAATTAGTCAAGACCTGCAAAGACTTAATAACAGAGAGTTAACTACATGTTGCAGAGTCAATGCTTAAAAATCAATTAGTAAACTAATGACTTCAGACACAAGAAAGATATGAAATAGTCAGGACATGTAAAGACTTAAAACAAAGAGATACATGTTGCAGAGCAGAGTCAATGTCTGATTTTCACACCCAAGTCTGAAATCGGCCGAGCACATGTCCTAACATTCGATCAAGGTAGACCCTTTTTCATTTGATGGCCCTTGCCCTCCTCTCTCTCTCTTCTCATGTGAATATATCATTGTTGATTGTCTTGTATCGGAGGTGCAAGCATTTTTTAATCGGTGCAGAGAAGGGAAAAGGAACATCTCTGTTCTAAGCGCATTTGTCACTTAACCTGTTTTTGCAGTTGTTGGAATCTGAATCTAGTCTTTAAGATACCTTTTGCTTTGTTCTAGTTTCTGCTCAAATGTAAAACCTTTTCATCAAATATCATTTACCAGCTCTCTTGGTCACATGCCTTCAAAATATCTAATCCAAACCAAATCATGTCACTGTTTTTCGGTTTATTATGTTACATCCTTAAATTCATAATCAAGATCACAATAGCACTCAAAATCAACACCAACCACAAAGTGAAACAAAAGTAACAAAAGAAAAAAGAAAAAAAAAAAAGGTTCCATCAAAAGAAATCATCACACATATCTGTTAAACGCTTTCCTACTACCAACTGTGGCCGGCATAGAGACGGTGGAATCAATGCTCATATTTCCTACTGATTTAAGTGTCTTGCGCTTCTCAAGAACCACACCTCCAGGTGAACCAGGGCCTCTCTGGCTGCTGCTGTTGCTCATGAGCAACGACCCTTTGTTGTTCCATCTGAACACATCAAGACCTTGTTGTGCTGGAGGAAACGACATTCTCCTCGTCTCGCTACTCACCGATGACGGTGTACCCATCACTCTCTCCTTCGGATTGCTGGTTGGTCTAACTTTGGCCTTGGCAGAGACCGTTGGAGCCATGTAGCTAGGGAACGGAGGGCAGCTTGTGAGGCTGTCATCATCCTTGAAAGGAGAATCTTGTCCTCTTAGTCTTCCTCTTGAGTATCTTGATGTGCTTGTGCGGAAAGGTCTGGATGGAGTGAGAAGTGTAGACCTTGACGATTTGGGTGTGGAAGTGTCAAAGTTGTCGTCATGCCTGAAATGGCGTTGGTTGCTTGACTGAGACAGAGGGCTTGGACTCAGTCTTGTTGGTGTTAGCCTGTAATCTCTTAGTGGTTGGCTATAGCTCGGTACAGGACTTGCAAGAGGAAGCTGCCGGTCCACCCAGCTCCACCATAGAGGGAGCCCACTTGAAGTATGAATGTCCTGAGAAGACTTGGGACTGTTCTTCCACAACTGCACACACAGAGAGACAGAGAGAGATGTTGGATATATGCATCAACATCATGGTGATGGAAATAAGGAAAGATTTGAGTGTTGTTACCTTGTGAGAATATGCATAAGCCATGGAACGTTCTCTCTTGATGATGGCATCAATCTTCCTCTGTGATCTGGCGTCTCTTTCTTCTTTTGTCAGCACACTGTCGTCCCAGTTATCGTTACCAGCTTCAGATGCAGCCAATCTTGCTTCATCTTTCTCAACCTGGGCTTTGTTTTCCAACATTTTGATGCGACGTGACTGAATCTGGGACTGAACACGGACCAGTTGCTGCATGTACTTCATTGCATTTACCGTCTGACGCTTCACGCTGTATCCTCTCACCACACCTTGAAGCCTGACTAGACCTTTGAGAGCTCTGAAACTCCTCCTTGCCTGTTTTACACACCCAAAGTCAACAACAACTTCCATTTCTTGGATATGGAGGCTAGTGTAAATGTGTAATGGAAGAAAATCTTGAAGCCGAAACAAAGAATGTGTATACGTACCGTGTAACCTCTGAAAGCTCCTTGAATCTTTGTTGCAGAAGCATGTTGGACCAGAAGAGTTGGCTCCGGTCTGTAAACAATCTCACGTCGCTGCACAGCCCTAGGTGAAACAGCTCTTGGAGAAGGGGGCTTAGGTGTAGTGGGTCTTGGAGCATCCAATCTTGGTGGGTCTGCTCTTGGAGAAGGAGGTCTTGGACTATCCAACCTTGGTGGGTCTGCTCTTGGAGAAGCCGGTCTTGGAGAAGGAGGACTTGGAGCATCCAACCTTGGTAGGTCTGCTCTTGGAGAAGCCGGTCTTGGAGAAGGAGGCTTTGGAGATGGAGGTCTTGGAGTGTCCAATGTTGGTGGGTCAGTTCTTGGAGAAGGCGGCTTTGGAGTGACTTGTGGGGAAGCAACTCTTGGTGGAGTTTGTCTTGAAGAAGGAGTCTTTACAGAGACGGCTTGTGGGGAGGCAACTCTTGCAGAAGGAACAATGGAAGGGGCATTTCTCTGAGAAGGAACTCGAGTAGAAGCAGGTCTCAGAGGAGGAGGAGCATTGGCAGAGGCAGATGATGATGGCTTTGATCGATCAGGGGGCTTTGGAGAAAGAGATCTTGGAAGGTCTGCTCTTGGAGAAGCAGCTCGTGGTGAGGCAACTCTTGGAGAAGTTGGTCTTGGAGAAGCAGGCCTTAGAGGAGGAGGAGAGGCTGAGAATGGACTTGATCGATCAGGAGGAGGAGTAGGAGGCCTGAAGACAAGATTGTGATCTCTCTCAGCCTCGCCCAAGATCTTCTCGATGCTACTAGGCTCTCTGAAGATTGGAAGAAATGAATTGGTCTTCCCAAACCTTTTCTTCTTCTTTTCTTTTGTACTCTTTCTCTCTGCTTCTTGCTGCAAAAAAAAATACTCACCAGGAGCCAAAGTATATCATCAATTAGTATCAGTATCACAACATTTTTGTAAGCTAAGAGAATCCAGTAAACGTTTCTTTGAGAGTAACCAGCTTACATTGCCTAGCTTCTCTGAATGTGGAGTAAAAACCCTTTTGATTGCAGAAAACCAACTTCCTTTCTTCCCCATTTTTTGAACATTACTCTCTTTACCTGTCACAATAAAACAGAACAGAGCACACAACGTTTGTTGAAGCATTTTCCTTTCACTAAATCTCAAAGGATGAAACTTTATGGTATTTCTAAGATCTATGCAAGAAATTTTTAAGACCCCTACAAAAACTGCAACATCCAATTTTTTCTTACTGAGATTGATGGATAAGATTTTGGGAGAAGGCGTAAGTTAGCATGGTTGCTATCACCGGCGATGAAGACTTACCTGCATGTTCCAAGTGAAACTGAAATCAATGAGAAAGGAAGAAACAGCAAAAGAAGATCCAAGATACAGAAACTGCCAAAGTGTGAAAGAGAGATTTTAAGTTTGTTGAGCTTCCATGAAAAGGAAGTTTTAACTTTTTGGACAAATCTTAGCCCAACTTCTTTTTATCTACTCTCCAGATTAGATGAACTGATTAAATCATCAGAAAAATTTACTTGTTGGATGCCAAAGACAGAGACATAGTCACATAGACGACAGTCTTCAGGTGTAAAAGCTCTGAACTTTAATATGCAGACAATAAAAAAAAATGGAAACTTCTCAATTTTGCTTAAATAATTAAACAACAACACACACAAGTGAGCTCTCTATTCCTTTCTTTATCTATCTATCTCTCCTCGAAAATCATGTGTTTCGCATCCCAACAAGAGGAGAGAGATCAAATAGAAACAAGAAAAAGACAGATCTTTTGAAACAACCCAGAAAACCAGAAAGTGAAACTGAATATTAAATCAAAGAGAACTAAAGAGAACCATAATCACAAGCAACAAGAATTGTAGGAGTATTACATACCTCGATTCTGAGATTTTTGGTAGCTTTCCCTTCTCCTAGATTTTCTCAAAAAGAAATGAAAGAGAGAGAGAGAGAGGGAAAAGAAGCAGCCAGAAAAGAAAAACTCTTGTCTGGTAATTTTCCCTTTTGTCTATCCTCCTCTGCTTCCCTTCTCAACTCTCACTAAAAAAACTATTTAATTAATGTTTTGTTTATCATAATTGGTTTGGTATTAAGAAAAGTATTAGTCTTCTAATCCTTTTTCTTGTGTGGGTAAAATTACTTTGAAAATTGTTGAAAAGTCTGCAACTTTGGATCTGGGTCTAGTTGGTATGGGGTGAAATTTGAAACCTTTTTTCTTTCTCTTCTTTATTTTTTTCTCTTACTTCCTTTTGAGTCTTTATTTATCAGCTTGATTTATCATCATGAAGAGAGAGAAAGAGTTGGCCACTTTATCACTCAACCTTGGCCTACTTTATTTGTTTTTTTTTACCTCACTGTAAAGCCAAATTGTAACCACAAACTCAAAAACCAATCCCTACATATACCAAACGGTAACATAAAATCTGGTGGACTGTGTAAGACTGGTAGATTCTATTAGATAATGAGAGTTATTGATAAGAAAATGAGTTCGTCATAATTACATCCTTAATCAATCATAATACTTTCTAATATTGTCAAGACAAAATAAAATGCAAACGCAGGTCTTAAAGAAGAACTATGCCATAATGATCCTTTGTTAAGTAATATAAATGTTCTTGTCCCCGCCAAAAAAGTATATGTTATATAAATTTTAAAATAGTAATACTTTGGACAACGAAGAATTAGGTTTAGTGGAGAGATTCTGATTTGTCTATCAGGTTTGTATATACAAATCATAATTTACGACAGTGGTACTGTCCCTTTTGACGTTTTGCAACTACCACCCAAAAAAATGAAATTATATATATTCATATTCTTTTTGTGTTGGGGTGTCGATGAGAACAGAATCTGAAGAAATTTTCATAGACGAGGTTGAATCTTTTTTGTTTGGCTGATGATGTTTTATACGCGCGTGGTTCTCACTTTCTTGCCTTCATGAATTTGTGCAATACTGTATTTGACAACTTGGAGATGTCGAGGTAAAGATTAAAATCAATCTTTTTAAAACGCTTCACATGTTTGAAGATTTACTAATTTTTTTACAATCCGTAACTGTTCCATTTTGCTGATATGATCAAATCCAATCAAAATACATTTCTCTTTACATCATTGAAAAAAAATACTTTTAATTTGTTATTCCTATTACAAATGCTAATCTTATCATAACAGGCAAATGAAAACATAACCAACATGGCAACATCTTCACGTGCGATCCACAACATAATTATAGAAAGACGACGAACGGCTCTACATTAACCATGCTAGAAAATTTCAATTGATTTGACTATATTAATTTGTAAAATTCACATCCAAAAAGATACCGAACAGAACAGTTTACATATGCATGTATCACATGAAAAAACAACAGTAAATCAGATGATATTAAATGTATACAGTATACATGTAGATATTAAATGATAATGAATCAGATGTATTTATAATAGCTGAAATAAATTATTTTATTGCTCTCAGTTCTGATAATGACAACGATAAAATGATAGTAGAAAAAAGTAGAAAATTCTTAAACCAATCTTAAGATTATAACTATGAAAATTCCAGAATTAGAGTTCTCCACTTTTTTTTTGTTCTAACAAAGTCGAAGCTTATATATTGCCCTTAAGATATTGATATTTGCAATTTCCAATGCCTGAAAATAAGAGATAGATAAAATATTAATTGGTAAGTGAGCAAGAGAAGAATGAGAAGTGTTTATAAAATAAAATCAAAGAGAGAAAAAAAACAAAGAACTCACTCGGATCAGTGACAGCAATTACACCAGTACCATTGAAATCACAATCCGAAAAGTGTCTTCCTCGAGCTTGGTAATAAAGATTCATGACGACAGAAGCCCAACTACGAAGCTTCATAGGATAATAACATGAACCTCCATATTCTGTAATCCCATTACAATTCATTTTATTACACACAAACTCTTGGTAATCTAGAAGCTTTTCCATATCTGCCCCAGGTTTTGCCACACACCAAGCCCCTTGCCCTTGGCTCTGCAACAAAGAGCATAAAGATATATGTGAGATTGGTTTTTGTTTACTTTTAGATTTTTGTTTTCACTATTGAGAGTAAGGTTAAACATGTACCTGTGCATTGACACTCATGAAATTATCTCCTGCTGAAAAAAAAAACTTGAGATTGGAACAAAAAATTGAAAAACCATACGACCAATCTCAAACTTTCATATTATATATAATCAGTAAATCACAATAATTTTAACCAGAAAATTATATGAACCCATATTAGATTACCTGACCAAATATATAAGAAAATGATGAAACAGAAACATATTTGTGCTTTAGCCATATTGAATTTTGTTTGCAGGCTGAAACCTTTGCTATAGATTGCATTAGATTTAGCCTGTCTCTTATATATACAAAAATAGATTTAACAATATATATTTTTTAAATATTGCTTTTTATGCTAGTAACAGCTAATAAATAATTTAATTGATTAATTCTATGATTTTTCAAAAAGGAAATATATTTTTGTTGAAATATTGCTTTTTCTGCTAGTAACAGCTAATAAATAATTTAATTTATTATTTATATGATTTTGAAAAAGGAAACTATTTCTACTTATTTTCTTATTATATAAACTTGATGTTTCTAATTTTGTAATTAATATGATTGTGACATGTGTATGTTAGTTGATCAGATTTTAACACATACAAAAAAAAATCAATTAGAAAAATTCAAATATGGTATAAAAATTTGACATGAAATAAGAGATAGATATAGAGAGAATATAGAGAAGATGGACATGTATAGTATAGCAATATATAGAAGAAAATGAGATTTCTTTCTACATAAAACCCAATATTTTAGCATTACATATCTATTTTTATAGAAATACACGTTTGTTTAAAATCCAAAACACATCAGATCCAGAAAGTAAAAATTTAAATTTAGATTATTATATTTTAAATGAAATGAGAAAACATATTTACCAATAAACATTAAAAAATGAAAAAACCTCTTAGCGTGAAAGAAAACGATACTAGCAAATATTACATAAAAATATAGAGAATATCATGTTGCTTAATTCTATATTCTATATTGGTCATTTCATCTAATTTTTCATGGATCATAAAATATCAGTCTATAAATCCGCGTCTATGCATATTCTAATTTATTACTTATATTTGCTAGATTATAATTCATAAAAAAAATTAATAACAACATATAGATTTATTTAGAACATCGAAAATCTTAATATTTAGATTATTTTTTTGTACTAGAATTCTAACTTATTTATCATTTAATTTACATATTTTGCTTTTACTTGTTGAGAAAAATATTCACTTTTCTTTCTGTGTTATTTACTTTTTGGAACAGAAATTATTTTGGATCTTGAAATATTAGTCTATAACTGATGGTATAATGTTACTTTGTTTCTACCTAGAAGTTTTCGGTCCTTTGGCTTGTGCTCCCATAGAACGACTACATAAAAAACAAAAATCACACAGAACATATGGAGTTCCTCATAATCAGCTAATCACCATAAATGTCTTAGATTTTACTACATTTGATTTATAAATATAAACAAAGCAATTTTTTTTATAATTAATATATAGCGTTATAACAATTTGCACCGAATCACAGTGTAAAAAAAACAGAGACCAAACCAAATACAGTAAAACCTCTTTAAAATAATAATGTTGGGACTTTGAAAATTTATTATTTTATAGAGTTATTATTTTATCGATAAAACAATAATTATTATTTTATAGAAATATTCAATCAAAAACAAACCTCTTTAAAGTTGAATTTTCCTTATACTTTGTTGTTTACATATTTCATATTATGTAATTTTCCTTTTTTCTTTTCACATTTTTACTCTTTTTTTGTCCAACACGTTATTTTGTTTATATTGGAGAAATATTTTACTAAATTCGAGATGAGTTCAAACGAGAATTCAACTTTCAGAAAAGACAAACTACATTGGAGTCATATTTTACTAAAATGCCTTAGATATATATGTCTAAACTTTATAATTATTATTTTAGTTTATTGTTGGGACTATCTTTTTGCATATGAGTTTCAAAAATATTATTATCTTATAATCTTATTGCACTTTGCTATTTTTTACATTGGCCCGAGTTGGAACCGAAGAAATTTATTATCTTATAGTGTTTATTATTTGATCGAGTATTATTTTATAGAGGTTCTACTGTAATTCACGTATGTATCACACGAAAAAACAACAACAATCATATATAATCAATTTGTGTAAATGCAGATATTAAATGATATTGTGATAAATGAAAAAAAAAATTATTTATTGCTTTGAGTTCTCACAATGATAGGATGATATAAAATGAAACATTAAAAAGCTAAATTGAACAACTCAAACTTTAGATATTAAATATGAAATTCCAGAACTAGAGTTCTCTGGTTCTCTTTTGTAGTTCTACAAAAGCCAAAGTTTATGAACTCTTTTTATATTCATATGTGCAATTTTTATCGCCTGAAAATAAGAGAGAAATAAAATATGAATTGGAAAGTGACAGAGAAGTATAATAATTATTTTTGACAAAAAAAAGTATAATAATTATTTAGAGAGACAGAAAAAGAAGGAATTACTTACTAGGATCAGTTACGATAATGATACCAGAACCGTTAAAATTGCAATCTGTATATTGTCTTCCTTGAGCTTGATAATAAAGATTCATGACGACAGAAGCGTGATTAAAAACATCATCATACTCATAAAAACACGAACTTCCTTGAGCTATAATTTCACAACTGATTTTAGAACACACCAAATCTGTGTTTTTTTTAAGTTGTTCATTTGACGTCCCAGGTTTAGCCACACACCAAAAACTTTGCCCTTGGCTCTACAACAAAGAGCATACAAATATATATGTGAGAATGGTTTGTGTTTGTTTAATTATTTTGTTTAATATATTGAGTAAACTTAAACGTGTACCTGTCCGTTGATACTTATGATATTGCCTTCAGTTAAAAGAAAAAAAAAACATTAATTGTTACAGAAAAATTGGAAAATCATACAACCAATTTTTTTGATATTTTTATTATACATAAGTAGTTAAACATGATAATTTACCTGACAAAAGATGTAAGAAAATGATGAAACACAGACATATTTGTGCTTTAGCCATGTTGAATTTAGTTTGACGACTGAAACCTCTGGTATAGCTTTTCTATACACTAGATTTAGCCTATATCTTATATATACTAAAATAATATTCAATTTTGTTTTCTCAAAATAGATAATAAATTTGTAATTTCGATTTTTATGCTAATAACAGCTAATTTTATGCTGATAGCAGCTAATAAATAATTTAATTTATTAACTGTATGATTTTAAAATAGATAAATATTTGTACAGATTATCTTACTATATAAAACTTGATTGTGACATTAGCCTGTCAAGTTGATCAGATTTTAACAGGTATACAAACTATTCAATTAGAAGAAAAAAAAATGGTACAAAAAAATTACCATGAAATAAGAGATAGAAAGAGAGAAAATATAGAAAAGTTGGACATATAAAGAATAACAATATTTAGAAGAAAATGAGATTTCTTTCTACATAAACCACAGTATTTTAGCAGTACATACTCAGGCCTTGATTGGCAAAGCAGTTAGAAGAGCATTAGGCTTAAGGAGCATAAGCAGGGTGAGTATTTAGAAGAGCATTAAGCTCTTGAAACTGCATGTTCTTAATTTATATGATTGGTAGAGCTGTGAGCCTTTTTATTATTTTTTTTTGTGAAATTATTTAATATGTATATTGATATTTATTTTAATACATCATATATATTTTCATTAATAACATAAGATTGTTTTTTATTTTTTAAAAAATATTTAGTAACTATTTCATATTTAAATTATATTTATTTAATTTTTATGTCATTAAATATTTATTTTATGAATAATACATTATTGTTAATGTTAATTTACGAAATTATAAAATTGTAAATTTGATATAAATATAGTTTCATTTTTTTACCAAAATAAATAAATTAAATATAATTTATTATAATTTATTTAAGATTTTTTAAATATTTTTGAGCTCAATGCTTTGGAAATGCTCCTTTCAGAGCAGGGAGGGAAGAGCAGTTTGGGAGCAGTAGCAGTTTCTAAATGCTCTCCTAAATGCTCTTTTAAAAAAAGTTGATTGGATGAAAAAGAGCTTAATGCTCTTCTAAAAGCTCTACCAATCAAGGTCTCATTTACATATTTTTCCTACTCACTTCGAAAATAACATGTTTATTTACTTTTCTTAATCTTTTACTCCTAACTAGGGGATTACCCACACCTAATGCGTGGGATAAACTTAACTTTAATTTTTTTAATATTTAAAATAAATTATTATTGAATGTATATGTCATTTTCTATATTATTTTAATCTATATTATTAATCTATATTATCTGTTTTGTTTCTTTATCAATCTATATAAATATTTTATAAATAATAATAATCATATTGTATCAATTACTAATATTGTAATATTGTAGTTTATGACCCGAATTCCATCATGATCATAAATATTGTAGCTGAATTTGACCCGAATTCCATCATGACCATAAATTTTTGTTTAAAATATGATTGAAAAAAACAAATAAACCATTTCACAAATTTCACGCCAAATAAAATCCGATTCCATCTACGCAATATTTGAGAGTTTTATTTTGTTTATATTTTTAATAATGTTATATAACATACCTCTTCATGTTTTATACAGTTTATTGTTGGGGAACAAACAAAGTTTCTCAAAATTTAATATTCCATCTGTTTCACAATATAAAGGGTTTTAGAGTTTTTTTTTGTTTCATATTATAAGTTGTTTTGAGGTTTTTAAGCAAAATTAAATATATTTTTTGTTGCTATTTACTCTTTTAATGATGCAGATTGTTTTATCATTGGTTGAATTGTATTGGAACTAATGATAAAATATACTTTATTTTGAAAGCTTAAAAAATTAAATGACTTCTTAATCTTTAATCTTTGTGCCAAACCCTAAAACCCCCTATAAAATGAAACAGAGGGAGTAACAAATATTTTAAGACTGGCATATTTGTTAAAGTATCTTGATGTTATGGGCTTAAAAAGGATCCATGTTAAGCCATTATTTTACTATGACCGAGAATATATAACCATAAACTTCGTTTGAATTGGTGAAATATATATACGCGTAGGAAATCTAATCAAAAGGGAGAGGCCAAAGCAATGGAGTCAAGAGAGGGTAAAATGTATTTATATAATATGCTAAATGTATACAAAAGTACATACAAACCAGTCACAACGAATGTTTTGCTTTAATTCTCAGATTTTTTCGTAGTCAACAGGACAGACAAAAAAAGAAAACTTTGCATGTTTGTTTCAGCCATGGATCAAGTAACTCGAATTCGTCTTGCTTAAGATGTATGAAGAATTTGACCAGACCGTGACCTTTCATCTCTTTCATCTCTTTCACCAACTATACATAAGCATAGTTAAACCACGGAAACAGCAACACATTACTCAACAACAGCCTGCAACTATTTGAAAAAAAAAAAATATATAATTCCATGTGTACTCGAAACAAAAATAATTTTCCCAAAGATCAAGAAAATTTACCTTTGTAACTTTAAGAGTGTATTGAACACGCAGCTTCTTTTCTTTAACCTATGTCACAGTTTGCGAGTTAATTTACCTGAACAACAGCAACAATAAACAAATAATTTTCATATAAATCAGATAAGAGTATATTTACTTGAATAATAGCAAATCCACCAGAATGCTTCAAAACCGTAAAGTTCAACATAACAAAGAAAAATGATCTGATGATATTAAAAAAAAAAAAAATGGTTCTGATCGATCCTAATTAAGAACATGATTAACAGTATGATCGTTTTTTAAAAGTATCACCTGGATAAGAAAAGGCAAATGTCATATGGATCCTGTCTTTGGATATTGCATGTTCATGGGCAAATAATCATGCGTTGTTTCTGAATCAACAGTTACATTGAAACTGACATCGAGAAGAAGATATTTCAAATAAGTATTATTCAAATAGAAATTAAGAGCTTAAGAGGAATTTGACTTACATGTAACTCGAGAGATTCAAAATCGCCGACAAAGCTCTGTACGGAAGATGGAACTGAGATACCATAACGACGATCTCTGTCTCTGATTCTCCGTTTTTCTTTTTCTGCCGTTTTCACGTTTTTTTTGCCGAGAAAATCTACATCACTCTTAGTTTCGAGAGCACTCGCGCCACGCTGCAGCTTCAGCAAATCAACAGCAAAAAAATAATAATATCAAAATCCAAACAAATCAATTCAATCTTCCTTAAAACTCGAAATAGGAGGGAATATATGAGTACGAAAACTCACCAGTGATTATCGATTTGGTATTGCTGTGAAGGATATTGTGGTGCAAGTGTAACTCGGTAGAAGTCAGTTATATAGAGACATACTGAAGATGGTGTTGCTTTAGGTTAAACAAACTTCGAATATTCAAAGTATTTACGGCTAGAGAGACGATATAGTAACTAATAATACTCATAGAATTTGGTTTTAATTTGATGAATATTTGCTATAAGTTTTTGGCAATAGCAAATCTTTCTAAAGAGGAAATTTATTTCAAAAGGGTTTGGTGGCGGCACCCAAAATTTTTAAATATAGAGGCCTAAAAGTTTGACCAACACAGAGGCCCAACATTCTTTAATTCGAAAATGATTTTGTGGTACTACTAACCCAATTTCACTAACGAACCGAACAAATCAGAGTTAAAATGTCCCGGTTTATTTTAAGTATATAGGTCCGCGTGTTGATCCAGCCGAAATTGGGTCAAACTCTAAAAATATTAATTTATTAAATAAATCAAAAAGAAGTCCAAAAAATCTGTGAGCTTGCCACAACAGCAAAAATGCATGGTAATGGTCTTTAATATATTGTAGGATGTTATTTTGTTTCTAGATAGAAGGCTACTTTCAATCCTCAAGTTGTGCTTGCAGATAACGTCTACATATAAATTAAAAAACACAGAACATATGATGTTCTCATAATCAGTTAATCACCACAAAAGTCTTTATAGTTTACTAAATTGGATATATATAATCAAAACGAGCAAGGAAGCCCGAATGATGCTTTCATAATACGAAATGTGATCGGCTAAACAGATTAAGGCAAAAACATCAAAAAAAAAAAAAAAACTGCAAAACAAAGGTTTTGCTCAAGTGTATTGAAGAAGAGTGAAATGTCAAGTAGCAGAATTTAAATAAAGATGAATAAACAACAACAACAACAAAAAAGTAAGCAAGCAAATAAAGAAATTTGGTGACATAGGAAGAAGAAGAGACTAGTTTTAGAATCGGACGCTCCCGCTTCTTGAGTCATTGACACCAGTAGCTTCTCCTCCATATGGGCCCGTAGGTTTTCTGACGGATCTGACTTGTCCTTCGCGAGCTTTTTTCTTTTTCTCGTACTTTTTCTGCAAACATAGTCAAAGATCCCAAAACATGAGTCGAGGCAAAGTAACAAGGGCAACGAAAAAAAAAAAAAAACAATCAAAAGATGCAGAAACTTGCAATCGAAGAATGTTTACCCGGTTATTCTTTCTCGGGTTCTTTTTGTCCTTGTTGCGCACTGGAGTCATTCCTCTGTTACTCAGAATCTATGTTTTGGTGGCGATTAAAGAAGAAGAAAAAAAGAAACGTTTAGAAGATGGTTGCATGGTTGCAAGAAACAGAATATATTTTGCGTTTCAGAAACATTCTAACCTGTTTTGATATCAGTCGTTTTCCATCAACGGTTTCTGGTTCTGACGGCATCGCTGCTGGTTCCCTGAACCAACACAAATCGTGCCAATGAGATGAATCATCACATTGTGACCGTTTGCGAAGAAAAAGGATCAAGTAATGTATGAGATTCTTACCATGAATAGATCCCTGCTTTGGCAGCTCGTTTAGCTTCTCGTTTCCGTTTCACTTGTTTGTACAATTCATCTTCTGGTTCGCCATCATTATCATCATCCATGTCATTATCATCATCGTTAGCAATGTCTTCATCTGATGCAAACACACCGCTTTCATTCTTGCCTCCTTCCTCTGACTTCACACCAGCTCCAGCCAAAACTCTGAGCTCAAACTTTCTACGCCGTTCTCCAATGTCATCTCTTTGCGGTACATCATCATCTCCAGAAACAGTCTTCCAAAAACAAAGAGGCATGGATAGATTAGCAAAAGAAGTGACAAAGACATATCTAATCTTCATATAATGCTATGTCACCTTGGGCTTCCGTTTGGCGGACACAATCTTAGAGATCTTACTAGCTGTTCCATTATGTGTGCTATTGTCTGCATCATCTACATAGTCATCGAATGTCTCTAGCTTCCTGTTTAAACCCAGAGTTGAAAAACAATAATCCATCACCATCATCAGAAAGAAAAGACAGAAATCATCATAGTAATGATTATGAAAAGAAAAACAGAAATCAGAAAGAAGATATTATTACCTATTTGCTAATTTCTGACGTTTCCGAGATTTATCCGACTTTAAAACAGTTGAGTCAATAACTTTATTGCTTCTTAGCTTTCCCTCCAAAGAAGCTCGGAGTTTTAACATTTCCGCACTCTGCATATCAACCTGATCACTCTGCTACAAAGAAAGCGGATTTGTTCAAATTAAACAAAACAAAGGAATTGTGCCAGTAAGAAAAGAGTTTGGGCGATGGTATTCACCTGGTGTTTACGTTTCTCTCCTTTTTTCTTCTTGTCTTCTTTTGTTTTGCTGATTTTGACCGGCTGCATTAAACGATATATCAGCAAGTGGATGCAAAGAAACTGTCAAATAAGAGATTAACTCAAGTGGCAGCGAGCAAGATCCAACTTCTACCTCAACTGTGTAACAGTCCTGTGTGATCCTAACTGCTGAAGGAGAAACTGGTGAAGAGAGCGCATCTTCTTTGTCAACCTTTTGCACCGTTCCATTAGCAATACTTTTTGCTAGAGACTCCTCAAATCCAGGAGGAAGCTTTCCATCAACTTCTCTTACCTACTTATATGCAAAAGTGATATGATAAATAAACAAACACCATACATGATACATGTAAATAGCATCACACGAGATTAAAGACTAAAAATGGTACTACATAACCTTATCCAATAAAGCTTTGATGTCTACAAGACGGGCAAGAACCGGATGATCACGGATGGGCTGCCCTTCAGACTTGAGTAGAAGATAAAATGTTATAGATTGGCAATAGGCCAGTAGCAGAGTCTGCTTCACCTCCAAGTACCTTGCTCCGCCATTCAACGGAAGTCCTGATTCCTTCAACTGCAAGGAGAGGTAATTGCATAAATTCTCTGGAGGAGTCACAGTGATTTCTTTCAAAATGTAAGTAATTTAAAGTGGCAATGTAAAGAGGTTTACCTTACTCATAACAGGATTTATCTTACTTTCAAGCTCTTCGACTGCATCATTCAACTCAGACAAAAGACCAACAATCTCCGGAGCAGAACTACACAACAGACATAATCACATGAATATTATTATACAGAATACGTAACATGATCTCATACAAATATATATTAAGCTGATGAAAAACTTTATAACAGAAGAAATCAGTGTTACCGATATACTACATCCATTTGCTCTTCTTTTGACAAAGAGTTGATGTCTTTCTTGATCTCTTCAACATGTGTGTCCATGTCATCCTTCTCTTTCTTATCTTTGCTGGATTTTGAACCCTTCTTGCCTTTAACAGAAATTTCCTGCAAAAATATAACCAGAATGATACGCCAATTATCTAAGCAACAAGATATAGTCCAAATACACGATGGTTCTTAGTTAAACACCCATGACACACCTCCATGGTTAATTCTCTGTCGCTCTCTTCTTCACTATCATCTTCTAATCCAGCATCAGCTTCTGTAATGGAACTATACTGTTCTGCCCTTAGTCTTTTCACTTCCTTTTCTTCCTCTTTAAGGTCCTCATCATCACTTGATCGGAGCTTCAAAATCACATCAAACAAAATTAAAAACGAATCTGAAGTTGGTTTCAGAGAAAATAGAGTATATACAACAACAAAAAAAAAGAATCAGAGAAGAATAATCACAACACTCGTTACCTCAATATCTACTTCATCAGTATTATAGTAGGAGCTCTTGTATTTGCCCCATGTGTTCGTTTTTTTTCCCTCTTCTACATTTTCATCATCAGCCATTTCATCATCAACATCACCAAACTTACCCCGTAGAAACTTCGCTTGACTTTCCACTGCACAATGATCAAGGCACCAACGGCAAAATGATTAGGAAAATCAGAAAAAGGAGTGATTTTTAGGCATTCAGATGCGACGACAAACTACATTTAATAAGAATAACATAAGAAGACATATCCTTACTTTTTCCAATAATTCCACCCTCGGGTTCGTCTTCTGAATCTTCATCCTCTTCATCATCCACACCCTATAAGCCAAAACCAACCGATATCAAAAGGGACTCATTGCACAGACTTTGAGTTTACAAAGGCAAATCCTTTTTCTAGAAACATTAGCAGATTATAAACAACAGACCTTTAAACTCATAACTGGTTGCACATCATCTTCATCACTTTCATCAGTATCATCGTTAACATCCAAGGGAACAATATTCCTCTGTTTATGAACTGCAGAGAAAAATCCAAAGCATCAAATGAGAAATCAACCACACACATCTCTCAAATTCGCATAATTTCACTACTCATCAACCTCGTATAGAGCGAATTAAGCACTTAACAATGGAGACCTAATCATTCCAATAGTCAATTAAGCTACGGGGAGATAAATAAATTAAAAAGGGAAAAACTTTCAGGTGGGCAGAAACTTACATGCGTCCACGTCGTCATCGTATAAGTCTTCGACGATTGCTCTGCGAGGTTTCGTGCTTTTGCTACCTCTCTTCAGACTTCCTCCTTTCTTCCCCATTGTTGCGTTGCAGAGAGCTGGTTCCGAGAGGGTTAAAACTGTGCGTATGTATGTATACACAACGCACTAGAGAGATCGACGCAGCAATTAGATCCCGATCAATCTAGGTAGCGAGAACGATTAAGATTATCAATGGTCTACGAAGAGAATCGAAGAAGCTCACGAGTGTGTGAGAGAGAGAGAACGCATCTACTAAACCTTTGCTAGGGTTTTACAATTAGTTGGGCCGTAAAAGGCCCATTAGTCTGAACTTGAGCCCAATTGTAACCGAGTCCTTCGTATTTTTAAGTGCAGCGACTTCCTTTTACCGAAGAAATTTTCCTCCGGACGGTATTGGAAGCTGAAGAAGATCATCAGTTTTTTTTTTTCTAGTCTCTGGTCAGTTGATAGTTTCTCTAGTTCGAATTTTGATTCTTAAACCTCGTAGGGTTTTGAGCTGGGTTTCGTTATTGTGCTTTAAGCCTACAAATTATTATCACAAATTGAATTCTATTGTTTCCGTATTTTTGATCCTCGTTTAGATTTGTTCAGAGGTTTTGACGATCTAGGGTTGCATTAATCTGAATTTGATCGTTTTCTTAGCGTCGAATCGATTAGAATCCGATTGGTTTAATTAGCAATTGTTTCAATTGTGCTTATATATCAAGTTGATATTGGCAAAGTCAGATCTCAATTTCACCTTCACTTGCATTGTTTTTTTCTCAGAGATAAGAAGTGTTTCCAGTGCTTGAGGATCTGCGAAAAGTATCAATCGGAGGTTTTAACAATGGTAATTCTCGATCCATCCCAAGAATTTTGAACAGTGTGTGTTTCCGGTTTTAGCTAATAATGTTAAAGACTATTGTGAGATTTTCAATGTTCTTCGTTTTGGTAATTAGCTCGTATTCGATTCAGCATTGACGCTAGACTCTAATATTCACTGATTGATGGAGGAAAAAGCTTTTTTTTTTCCACATGCAATTACTCTTTTTGATGGCATCTTTTTTGGTTTTGTTCACAGGTTCTATTACAGTTGGATCCATTCCTCAATGAGCTCACGAGCATGTTCGAGAAGAGCAAAGAGAAGGGTTCTGTGTGGGTTACTTTGAAAAGATGTAACTTTACTTATTTCATCATGACCTTTCTCTACTTTTGTTATCTGGTGATACTTGAAATTTATCTTTTGGAAGATGTCTAATGTGATTTATATTACTTGTGGCAGCATCTCTGAAGTCTAAGCTGCAGAAGAGAAAACTGAGCTCGTCTGGAGAATCCATTGAATACAGATGCCTAATTCGAGCAACTGATGCAAAGAAAACGATTTCTACTTCGGTATGTTTGTACACATGATCCCAAGATTACATTCTAGAACCATCTTTGCTTCCAAACCATCACATCCATTATTTAAGAGATTGTCTTAGACTAGAGATTGACACTAACTATTAAGAATGTGGATAATGGTTTATGATCTTTATGTTTACACTGAAGCTAACTGGTTGCAATGCTTTTTCTTGTTTAAGGTTGGGGCTAAGGATCACCAGAGATTTCAAGCGTCATACGCCACCATACTTAAGGCCCACATGACTGCTTTGAAGAAGAGGGAGAGGAAAGACCGGAAGAAATCCACAGAGGCAAAGAAGAAAGAAACTTCAACGTCTAAGCCCAAGAAACTTTGATTTGTCCTTTTGTGTTCTTACTGATTTTGCACAATTGCTGCTTAGATATTTAATTTTTGAAAGATATTGGAAAGTCTCAAAAGATTTTGATATGTCATGATAGATTTTGGCTTGCTTTTTCATTTTCCCTCTTCACAACAACACTAATAAACCAAGCATACACAACTAAATTCAAGAACCTGATTCTTAATTTCAAAAAATGAAACTGAACATAAGAAAAAACCTCAATTGTTATTTGAATCTCTCCCAGTACCTAAGCTAGTAAGATAATCTTACATTGTTGGACAACATAGCCAGATTTTAACCGAACTAATATTCATCAGAGTTTGAGTCGGCATAAGAGGCTTCATCAGAATTTGAGTCGACATAAGCCCTGAGGACACGTTTGTACTTCTCTGGGCTATCATACCAGGTTGGTGTGTTGATGATGGCCTTCTCAAGCCAGTACTCATCATAAACTCTTTTCCTTGACATCGACTCCATGAATCCATTCCAAGCATCCAAGGTCCTGGTCAATCGAACAGTCTTAGGTCTTCCCATTAGAAACCTAATGTAATCCCTCGCAAGCTTGATCAGCTCCTCCCCAGTAATAATGTAGGTGTACTGCGAGAGAACAAAAACAAACAAACATTCGATCAAAGCAAGATAACAATATTCAAAAAGTATCAAATCTTTTAGAAAGTAATGTCTTTTACCAACAAGATGAAGCCTAAAGTTGCCAAAACCACTTGCAAGGTTTCATCAGCGATCCCAGCAAGACCACCATCTTCTCCTCCTGCGCCTTCACCGTTTCCACCACTGCCTCCACCTCCTCCTCCTCCTCCTCCGCGTGGAGGATTGTTGCCGCCACTATCAGGATCATAAAAATCCTTCTTTTGCATCTGCTCCTTCAACAAATCTTCAACCGATTTCTTCCCCATAGCTTTCTCGATTGCTTTCCATGGTGATATCTGATCACAAAAGCCATTACAACAATCAAAGTGAAGTCATTTACACACAGAAGAACTTGGAAGATGAAGAAAAAGCAACTGACCTCGTCACCGCCATTGGACTTATCCTTCCCACCAAACACGCACACAGCAGAACTTTGCTTCCATTTCCGAGTAGGAGTACGAAGCCGATGATTCAACAGAGGAGAAAACTGAGTAGACACTGAAGCAGTAGCTCTAAGAGCAAGCGAGGCACGCGGGCGATAGTTAAACCGCAATGACGTCCTAATAGGTACACTGGAGACGCAATTTGGTCGAGTGATCCTTGCAGGACAGATGGATGGTCGAAAACAATTAGCCTGCGTGATGCTCATTTTCCCCCCGATGCTTCTCTTAATGAATTCACTGCACGAATCAACACAACACAATCAATGAGAAAGCAACATTAGCCTGGGGAATGATCAGAGCATATCATAAGACGCTATTCTGATTTGAATTGGGTGAAAAGATAAGGAACCGATCAAATCTATGGGATGATTGTATTGCGGTCAGATAACAGTGAGCAATAGTATAGGCGATACAGCGAAAGGCAGTGGTTTTGGATAATAAGCTCGCGAGAAATCGGAATATCGTAGCAAAATGGAGAATTCGAAAGCATGATTGTACCTTGTGGAAGCCTTGACGGGACAGAGAATTCGAAAACCTAGTTGTTTCCTTCGAGAAGAAGGGATTTGATTCTTCCCCTTTGCGTTCGGAAACGGAACAAACGACGGAGAAGCGGAGATTTGTGGGAGTGAGAACGGGGAAGCGATCGGCAATTTTATCTATCCTGAAAGAGGCGTTTAACGGTGTCGTTTTCACTTGAACCTCGCGATGTTTCTAGACTCTGGGATTGGTAGACTGAACCGGTTCAATTGATTAGTTGGTTTAATTGCGTCTGCTTGCAATTGTAAATTTGTAATCGATGTGTTCGGTTTGGTTACTGGTAGAGTGTTTTTGGTGATTCAATACTTGAATATATTATTCGATAAAAAACATGATTTTTGAAGAACTGATCCAAACTTGTTGATTTGTGTAATCTTGAAAATGGTTTTAATGGAATTAACTTGATTGTTTTAAACTGCTTATACTTTTTAAATTAAATTAATGACCGACATGAAATTTCTCGTGACGACAAGGACAAAAGAATGCATCATTGACTGTGTAAAAAAAACAAAAGATGGGTCATTGACTTACTTTCTGTGGTACAAATGGCCATTGACTTTAGACTAAGAAAAATGCCAAACAATAATCGAGAAATACCTAAACTTAAGATCGAAATATCAACTCTATCGAGAAATTTTGACACTATAAATACATCCACACACACATTCATTTCTTCACACAGCTCTCTCTCCCACTCACTCCTTCAAAACAAAGAAAAAATGGCTAATCAAAGAGCGATTCTCAAAAACGCTCTCATCCTTTTCCTCTTCACCTTAACCATCATAACAAAAACCGCGTTCTCTCAAAACTGCGGTACCAACGGCTGTGCAGGCAACTTATGCTGCAGTAGATATGGATATTGTGGCACCACAGCCGCATACTGTGGCACCGGGTGCAGAAGTGGACCTTGCTCTTCCGGACCCTCACCTGTCACACCAACTCCTAGCGGCGGTGGAGGCGGTCTAAACGCTGATCCTCGTGATACCATTGAAAACGTTGTTACACCAGCGTTTTTTGATGGTATCATGAGTAAAGTCGGAAACGGCTGTCCAGCAAAAGGGTTCTACACTCGCCAAGCTTTCATCTCCGCCGCACAATCTTTCCCGGCCTATCAAGGAACCGTCGCTAAGCGTGAAATCGCCGCCATGATGGCTCAGTTCTCTCACGAGTCTGGAAGTAAGTCTTCACCCTAAACCCTTCTAGTTCCACTATACTTGCCTTGCACGCATTATCTAGTTAAATAAACAATAGTACTTTCGAATTATTGCAATAAGCACCGTCATGTTTTTTTTTTGGTTTAACCTAACATTTCTTCCATTTCATTATCAAACTACTGGTGGATATTTAATTTAAGACCCTAATACATACAAACGGATATCAATATTTATGAAATTTCGTGGGTGAATAAGTGGTATTTCTTTATCAATGTTTTTTTTCAGGTTTAATTTTTTTTGTTATACATTATTTACTTGTCGAGTTATAGTTTGGTTCATCTAATAAAAATTTTGGAAATAAAAACCGAATCTTTTGCGTTATGTAAAGGTTTTTGTTACAAAGAAGAAATAGCGAGAGGAAAGTACTGCCAAGCGAGCACAGCCTACCCTTGTCAACCGGGAAAGGACTACTACGGTCGCGGTCCGATCCAAATCACGTGGAACTACAACTACGGCGCAGCCGGAAAGTTCCTTGGACTTCCTCTCTTGACTGATCCAGATATGGTGGCCCGTAGCCCTGAAGTAGCCTTTAAGTGTGCCATGTGGTTCTGGAACCTTAATGTTCGTCCGGTTTTGGACCAAGGCTTTGGAGCCACAACGAGGAGGATCAACGGTGGAGAATGCAACGGTAATCGTCCTGCAGCGGTGCAGAGCAGAGTTAACCGTTACGTGGAGTTCTGTCAGATGCTTGGAATCACTACTGGAACAAATCTTAGTTGTTAAACATGCTAAAAAATGTGGTTAATATATATGGCACGGTTTCATGTTATGAATGTGGTCTTGAGCTAATAAGTTAAGGTGTCAATAAAAGATTATGAGGTGTATCCTAATGTACCAATGTGTTTGTATCGATTGTCATAAAATTAAGTATATCAGTCAATCCATAATAAACGCAATACTAGATTTTCACTTTTTGGCATTGGTTAATCTTATCGCAAAATTTAAACTTTACAGATGGGATTGCTTCTATTTTAGTCTGGAAATAAAATAAGCTGAAACTTAAGAGAAATTTCTATAAGAGCGATACCTAAGTACATAACTAACTAATCAAAAGTGTGAATGTAAGGTAAATTATGGTTCTGCAAATGTTGATTGGAAGTTTTTTTTGTTTTTATTCAAGAAGTTAATTGGAAGTTTATGAATCAAATGGTGACGAATCGGTAGAAGAAAGTATACTTGTATGATGAAAAATCTTTCTCCCATCATATGCATGTGAAAAATATATTCATACATCACATGCATAAAGTAGAAAAAATTCCTTGAAACCAAATTCCAGCTTAATATCTGGCTTACATGTTTGAACTTTTTTTTTTTGTAATTTAAAGCGTTCCACATTAATTTAAGTATTATTAAAAGTTTAAAACTATAATGGGATGAGAACAACCCTAGTCTTCCAACTCCGGAATAAATTATTTTGTAGAATAGGTTTTTTGTAAAATTTTCCATAACAAGGACCAATCGATATATAGGTCTAAAAAGTATGTATGCAATTTCGAATCAAAGAAGATGCTGAACTAAATAGTTTTTTTTTGTTCAACTTGTTTTTTAACGTATACGGATTATTAAGGATAGACATATGCAGTACTTTGAACTAGGGAAAAGATCTCAAAAATAACAAAATAGTGGCGGAGAAGATGGTCCACACGCACGTAAAATGAGCGTAGACTTACACATGAGAGGGTTCGCACGTCCACGCATCATAACCGACATGAAGAGGGCTTCTTTCGATGACTTCTTATTTGTCTTGTTTGCTGAATGACCGTTTAGGTTGTCAAACTCTTACTCTCTTAGATCATGGAAGACGATTTGAAATCTATTGTTGCTCTGACAACATTTTTTTTTTTTTTTTTTTTACCTTTTGGAGTTGAGTAAAAGTACAAATATTAACTATCTCGTTTTCTGGAATATAAAAGGCTATATTATTTTGAAGATAAATAAAAATTAATTTATTTCACATGATCAAATCTATAAGGTTTTAACAAAAATATATATGTATAATATATTGTAGGATAAAAACAATAATATATCTTGAAATGATGTAACTAGATTAAAAGTATTTGTTGAGTTTTGGGTCGACGACTAAGCACTACACAATTTTTAATTAAAATAAAAAGATATATAAAACTTGGAATACAATTTTTTTTTACACTGTCACATAATTGACGACTTTACATAGTGTAAAGACTACGTGAACGGTGAACTATACCTTTTGTCGGACGATACAACTTTTTTAGTCGAATGACTTGGAAATGATAAGATACTTGACATTGTTCGGTGTCATTATAGAGCACTTGTATTCTTTCTTCTTGTTTTGCTGTTTTCATTTTCATGATCATGATTTATGACTAACAGGAATACTGAATAATACAATAGTCCAAACATACGATTAAACTGTGGATTTGTTTTTGTTGGTTTAAGTACGATTATTTTGTGGATATCATTAGAAACCATCAATCCTTCTTCTTCATGCATGAAAAACAATGTGTTGAACAATGACTTTGAAATTACTAGAAAAACGATGAAGTAGTAATAAGTTCTGAAATCTTTGACCAAAAAAACAGAAGGGGATTCTTTCATGTGAGCATGTGACATGCTTGATGAGTTGACTTTGAATGGATAGAGCCACGTCAGCGCTTTCCAATGACCCTTAATTAGCGCTGAAGTCAACCTCTTTATTGTCGTGACTCGCCAAGTAAACGCAGCATTTCATTAATTATAACTTTACTATTTTTCATTACATGATTTTATACGTGGACTGTAAGTAATTAGCAATATATGTATGTATAAATTCTTCTTCATGCTATAAAAATAGTTTGGTCATATTGAACTGAACTATCTTTAGGCTAATTAGTTTTCCAAATTAACTATGGAGAATTCGATGTTTTAAATTTTGATCTTCAGTAGATAACAGTTTTCAATATTCGGGGGTTAAATTATAACTATTTTATAAATATACAATGGCGAGTTCTTAATAAGTTGACCATCGATCATATCTCACGATAAGAAAAGTTTCACGCGTATGCTGCTACCCGTCGAAGAAAAATTATTTTACACAAACTTTGAGATTTTGGATTTATCATGTGTATAAAATTAAATTGATTAATTTAGATAAAGATTACACGACATCATCAACCTTAAGAAAAATATATTACATGGTCAAGTCATATACGGAAGACTCTCATGGATCCAATAACCTGAAAGGGTTGCTTAACGATGTAGTACTACAATATAAATATATAATGTGATAATTACATCGTTAACGTTAAGCAACATTTTATATATAATATTGTCAATCATGTTAATCACGTACAATTTACAGTTTATAGTTTTTTCATCAGAATTGATTGATAGATTGATAATACGAAGACTTGGATTTCAGTTAATTAAAGAATACCGAACGCGCGAAAATATATGGAACGAGCTAGTCAGTTTAGTGGTATATTACCGCATGCACATATTTACTAGTATATGTTTTTGGTTTTAATTTTTTTTATCATATTTACTTGTTTATTTGTAAAAATAAAAAGTTATCTTAATGTTTTAGTTATGACTTATGAGTTATGACCAAGTCCAAATTCAAATATCACATAACTTATACTTAATCACAAATGTAAGAAAGGGAATGGATCATGACTTAATCGAAAAAAACATATTTAAAATTGACCAAACATAATGTAATATTCCCAAGTTTACACTATAAATAAGTCCACAAACCGTCCTCAATTCTTCACACAACTCCCCTTCAAAAAACACTACATAACAAAAACCCAAAAAATGGCGACCCAAAACGCGCTTCTGAAACACGCTCTCATCATTTTCCTCTTCACCTTGACCATCATGGCAGAAACCGCGTTTTCACAAAACTGCGGTAAAAATGGGTGTAAAGGCAACATGTGCTGCAGCAGGTGGGGATACTGTGGCACCACAAATGCCTACTGTGGCACGGGATGCCAGAGTGGACCTTGCAAAGCAAAACCTACTCCGACTCCAAGCGGTGGCGGCGGTCTAGACGCTGGTCCTCGGGGTACAATAGCAAGCGTCGTCACACCAGCTTTCTTCAACAGTATCATGAGCAAAGTCGGAAATGGTTGCCCAGCGAAAGGGTTCTACACTCGCCAGTCTTTCATCGCAGCCGCTGAATCTTTCGCGGCATACAAAGGAACCGTTGCTAAGCGTGAGATTGCTGCCATGTTGGCTCAATTTTCTCATGAATCTGGAAGTAAGTAGTGCACCGTTTACTAAATAATTTAAATATAAATTAATATAAATTATTATCAGAAAATATCTAAAAACATAGTAAGTATGTGACAAAAAAGTATATATTTATCAAATATAACAATTTCATGCATTCTCATCATGAAATATAAAAAATATTTTTTAAAAAGAAATCTTAATCTCTTTGGTTATGCAAAAGGTTTTTGCTACAAAGAAGAGATAGCTAGAGGAAGGTACTGCTCACCGAGCACAACGTACCCTTGTCAACCTGGCAAGAACTACTACGGCCGCGGTCCGATCCAAATCACATGGAACTACAACTACGGCGCAGCCGGAAAGTTTCTTGGACTTCCTCTGTTGACGGATCCAGATATGGTGGCTCGTAGCCCAACCGTGGCTTTCAAGTGTGCCATGTGGTTCTGGAACAAGAATGTGCGTCCGGTTTTGAGCAGAGGGTTTGGAGCCACCACGAGAAGGATCAACGGCGGTGAGTGTGACGGTAGGCGTCCAGCCGCGGTGCAGAGTAGGATTAACCATTACTTGGATTTCTGTAAGAAGCTTGATGTCTCTCCTGGAACCAACCTCAGCTGCTGAATTTACTACTAGTTATATAAACTATCCAATAATAAAGAGAAGTCAGAATTAAACAAAATAAAATAAGAAAGTAGAAATCATACTATGCCGTGTGTCTTAAGGTAGCTAATATTGTGTTGTTTGTATCCGATGCCATGTAAGTGATAAAAATGGAACTATACCCATTATATTATAAACATGTTTCCCAGTTTTTTCACACTAGAGAAGACAGTACGAACTGTGTGTTACACAACGAATAATATTTTTATTATATCATAACTATTAAGAATATGCAAAAGACTAATGAAGTGTGTTTAAATAAAATGGGTAAATTAATTAGCCGTGAATATCATATTGTAAGTGACCACATGAATTTGAAGCCGACCAATGAGCTACAAATACATCTCTCTTCACACAGATCTATATCTCAAAACACTCCCTTGCTATAAGTCAACTCCCAAAAAGCTAAAAATGGCGATCCTAAAACACACGTTCATTTTTTTCCTCTACATTTTAGCAATCTTGGCCGAGACAGCGTTCTCACAGAATTGCCAAGATATTAGTTGTCCTGGCCTTAAGGAATGTTGCAGCAGATGGGGCTTTTGTGGCACCGAAGACGATTACTGCGGCTTTTTCTGTTTCAGTGGCCCTTGCAATATCAAAGGCAAATCCTACGGATATGACTACAACGTCGATGCCGGTCCACGTGGTAAAATAGAGAGTATCATCACACCAGCGTTGTTTGACAGCATCATGAGCAAAGTCGAAAGCAACTGCTCGGCAAAAGGTTTCTACACTTACAAGGCTTTCATTACCGCTTTCAAATCGTTTGGAGCTTACAAAGGAAAAGTGGCTAAACGCGAGATCGCTGCTATATTGGCTCATTTTTCATTTGGATCTAAAAGTAAGTTCATTATGTACTATAGTCTATAGCCACCCATGCTTTTTCTTCCGCCTTTTCGTTTACACTTGGTAAAATAATTGGATTGCCTTGCAAAATAGCAATCAAGCTCTTCCTAACATAGTAACATTTATAACCTTCGATGTTTGCTAATCATAATTACATGCAACATTCACGTTTGAAAAAAATCTATATCATGATCAATGTTTACTTAAAAAAAAAGGGTCCATATATATGAAAACCTCTTATGTATTAGATTTTTTGTGAAGGCTTTTGTTTGAAAGAAGATATATCGAGTGAGAGGTACTGTTCAAAGAGCAAGAAATACCCTTGTGAACCGGGCAAAAACTACTATGGTCGCGGTCTGCTCCAATCAATCACATGGAACGAGTACTATGGTGCAGCGGGCAAGCACCTTGGGATACCTCTATTGAAGGATCCAGATCTGGTGGCTCGTAGTCCGGAAGTGGCTTTCAAATTCGCAATGTGGTTCTGGAACAGGAATGTGCGTCCTGCTTTGTACTTAGGGTTTGGGGAAATCACAAAGAGGATCGATGGACGAGAATGTAGCAACTGGCGTCGTGATGGCACGAAGAACAAGGTCAATCAATACATAGAGTTTTGCAAGATGCTTGGGGTCACTCCTGATCAAGGTCTCGATTGTTAAAGTTCATTAATGTAATACATCAAGTGTTGCACACAGCACACTAATAATTATATAGGCATGCATCCTTCTCTTATTCTACGCACTTAAACAATAGGGTTTAGCCTATTTTACTAAAGTCTAGATTTATTGATGATGATTATGTAAACTTTCGCACAAAAAAATGATTATGTAAACTATGATGGTTTTAAATTACCTTAAGGTAACAAAATTACCTTAAAGGGCCTTTAAATTCGCAATGTGGTTTTGGAACAAAGAACGTGCCTCCGGCAATAAGTCTAGGGTGTGGAGCCACCACGAGGAATCAACGGTCTAGAATGCGACGGGTAGAATCGCAAGTGAAGAGTTATCCAATACTATTAGAGAATACAAAAATATAATATAATTTTATGATGAGTTTTTCCTCAAAAATTTTAATTAAGCATATATATCTGGTTCCTTCTTCGCATATAAAAAGGTTCTTTGCAAGTGGTCGACGAATAACGGAAGACTTTGACTTTCTATTCCACTAGTACCGGTGAGGAGACCATCCTGGATGGGAAATACTGGAAAGATTATATAAACTATCGTCAGTAACGTATGTAGATCTGTTGACGAAAATAACAAATTGATGTACATAGAGTAGAAGAATCAGTCAAAGTATCTACTCTGTGAGACTATAAATTATTTTATAATTACGATACACCTACGAGTACTCTATTCGGATGGAAGAATGATCCCCAAAAAGAATAATGAATTAATAATACACAGGGAATACTGTAAATGGTTTATATATTTGAGCTAAGATTCCTTTAAAGAAAAAGAGACTGCGTTTTTAAAGTTGAATAATAATAGCAAGTTAGCAACGACTTAGCAAAAGATTTTCAAATTTCAAGTTTTCAACATATATCATTGTTCGATAGTTGGTTTGAACACGGAACAAAATTATGTAAGAAAAGAATGAATAATTTATCTTTCTCCTTTTCTTTGACAAAATATAAATGAATCATTTATTATTCAGTGGTACGATATGATTTTGTTAACAATCGAAATAACTTACAGTTAGTTAATATTAAATTTTCATGGAACTGTATATAACTATATATGATAGATTTCAGCACCCCAAAAAACTGCATATATGATAGAAAAGAGTTCTGTATAGATGCTAGAGTTTCCCTTAAATGAATACCATCGACAAAAAGAAACAATCGTATCCTAGGATTTATCTTTCAAATCAATCTGCTAAACACATAAGAAAAAAATGATGTTAAAAAAATACATAAAAAAAATTACGTCAAGAGAAAACTATTGAACAACATTTGGTATTTGTTGCTAACGAGGAATGAGAGAAAACTATCATAAGGACTAGTTTTTAACTAAAAATCAAGTTAAAAGAAAACAAAAGGCCAGCAAGGTCAGTCTAACACACTGAAGGTCTCCGGTTCGAACCCGGGCGAAGCCAACAATAGATTTTCTTCAAAAAAAAATTTTACCGAAGAAAACCAAAAGAGGCAGTGATGCATGTAAATATGTAATCATACGATCCTGAAAGTTCGGTCCAGCGATCGAACCGGAACTTACAACATTCGGTACAGTTGTCACCTGTCAGTCACACCAGAAAAATCGAAACCGAGAGCTTTGAATAGTCAAAAATGACTACTGTCGACTCTTCAACGTTGTGATGTAAATGGTATACGACTGTGTATTTATCATTTTATCATCTACAATTTAGTGAGTTGTTTTCATTTTGATTTCATTTTACAAATACAAGCAGTTGTAAATCCCAGTGAAAAAACAAACAAACAAATTAAACCCCCAAGAAACAAACAAACAATCTTACGTCTAAATAAAAAGGGCTTTATCCTTCGTTCCTTAGTTAACAAACAAGAAAGTCTTCAAAATATGAAACAAGTATCATAGCAAATAAGATCATGATTCCTCATATATTCCATTTCAAAAATTACTTCAATTTAAGATTAATGAAAACAAAGTCCACATCATTGGTTTTGAAAACTAATTATCAATTTAACATAGATATAAAGTAATAAAACTAAAATAGAAAATTCACTGGTTTATTATTAATTTTAAGATGAAGGTCTGTCTCACCGCACATACGACTTTTCTTAGAGTCGGCTCGTATGTTTGTTGAACGGAGGAGATTTTGTCATATGGTTATCATCCAAAAAACATTTTTGGAACGTTTAGTAACGAGTGGTCCATTTTCGTTGTAAATGTCTCAGATTCGATGCTAGCAGTTACGTAGAGGTAGCAGCCTAGCAGAGTAGCAGCCATAATGATTTTCTGATTTGACGTATAAAAATTACACCTTAATTTTGAAGCCATGTAATGTAAATTTTTATCGAAAATGAACATAATTTGTCTATAATCAAAGTTTAGAAAAATATATGAAATAAATATGATTCAAGAATCGCTTATAGTTTCGCAGTGGATCTAAATTGTTTTTTTCAATATGTAGTATATCGAAATTTTTCATTCATTCACGTGAGAAATAAAAAGACAACATGAAGGTTGATTGTGGTTTGTCACAAGTTCCCATAAGTTACAGATTAAGCCGAAGGCATTGTAACTGAGTTTGATCTGGTTTCATTTTTTACTAGTTTGATTTTTTCTTCTTTTACTGAAAATTTAGAAATCCATTTGAAACTAAAAATATCTAGTTTCCAAAAAAAACATTATAATAAATCTTTTGGTTTGTTCAATCATTTGGGAAATTAAGAAACAGTACTACACATAATTGCTTGTTTGAAAAAGATAAATGAATTCTTAGACAAAGTCCACATTATTAATCTTGGGCAAGAGGAACACTAAAATTCAAACTCGTATACAAATACATGATTTTTTTTATTGATATATTTTTCTTTTAATATTTCAAACCCATCCCAAAAAGCAAATGACCAAACCACCCAACATCTATCCATCCCTATATATACCTCACAAGCTCTTTCCTTCTTCTCATCATCCACAAACAATATAAGCAAAACATGGCTCTCACAAAAATCTCCTTAGTCCTTTTCCTTTGCCTCTTAGGCTTATACTCTGAAACCGTCAAGTCTCAAAACTGCGGCTGCGCTTCAAACTTCTGTTGCAGTCAGTACGGTTACTGCGGTACCACCGATGAATATTGCGGTGCTGGGTGCCGATCAGGCCCTTGCAGAGGCAGCGGAACCCCTCCCGCTGGTGGTGGTTCGGTTGGTAGCATTGTGACACAAGGTTTCTTTAACGGTATTATCAACCAAGCCGGTGGTGGTTGCGCCGGAAAGAATTTCTACACCCGTGATTCTTTCGTTAACGCCGCTAATACTTTCCCCAACTTTGCTAACTCCGTTACTAGGCGTGAGATTGCTACCATGTTTGCTCATTTCACCCACGAGACTGGACGTAAGAATCCCTTTCTCTCTTCTCTTCCTTTTTGATATATTATACAAAGAAAATATAACTAAATTTGTTGTCTGTACTTATACTCTGTTTATGAATTATGACCGATTCTATTATTAGTAAACTATAACGTAAAAATGACTAAACTTTCCTCATGGCGTTGATATTTTTAGACGTCTTTCTTTTAAGTTGATTTATAAATGATGATTATAATAATAATATCAACACGTTAAGTGTCTAATGCAATCATTGTATAAGAGACGTATAAGATTAACTAAAATAATGAACATTTAACTTGACCTTAGTTATGGGATGATGATCTGATCCTAAAGCACTTTGTTTCATGTGCATCTCTTTACCGTATAGATTTCTGCTACATAGAAGAGATTAACGGAGCGTCACGTGACTACTGCGACGAGAACAACAGGCAATACCCATGTGCAGCGGGTAAAGGCTACTTCGGTCGTGGTCCGATCCAACTATCATGGAACTACAACTACGGAGCGTGTGGTCAGAGTCTCAACCTTGACCTTCTACGGCAACCAGAGCTAGTGGGTAGCAACCCAACTGTCGCTTTCAGGACTGGTCTGTGGTTTTGGATGAACAGCGTAAGGCCGGTACTGAACCAAGGATTTGGAGCCACCATTAGAGCCATCAACGGTATGGAGTGTAACGGTGGGAATTCAGGTGCCGTGAATGCAAGGATTAGGTACTACAGAGACTATTGTGGACAGCTTGGTGTTGACCCTGGTGCTAACCTTAGCTGCTAGAAGGCTCTTCTAACACAAACATGCACACACGTGACGTGGCACTTGATGTGTTACGTTGGTAATTAAGGTTAAAATAAGAAGTGAGATAATAAAGTTAAATCTCACGTTTGTACTTTGTGTTGGGTCTCAGTGTTCCCTGCGTCACAAGCAAAAAAATGTTGTAATAATCTTGTGAAAGTGATTTTCTTCTTTCTTTTGTCACGTCTCGTGAAAGTGAAATTTAAGATTAATAAATGTCTGAGTTTGACACGTACAGTACATTTGCTTTTGGGATACTATTACATAATGTTATACTATTTATTTAGCAAAATAATATCTCAATTATCACCTTTATTTCCTGTGCTCTCTGGAGTTGCCATGTGTCCATTATTTTTCTCTGAAATTGTTCACAAAAAATAGCTTTTACTCGGGCGTTTAGAGACACCCCATGCCGATTCTATTCCAATCCCGATCGCTCAAGGGAACGATGAGGCTCCGGCGGCGGGATATCAGTTTGCTTAATTCGGCGGTGGATAGTTATGGGGAGATGAGCTTCCGTTTCAGAGCGATAGGGCCGCAAATCAGCCCGAGGTTCGATACACTTAATGGATCATAGAACACTCCACAGGCCACTCCGACGTTCTTGGGGTTCGGTATGATCCCAAATACTGCAGCTACGAGTATTTCCTTGCTTTCTTATGCTTTAGGCATGATCCAACTACCTTGATTCGCCCGGTAAGGATACTACTGTTTCGGTTTCTCCTAACTCAGCCTTAGATCTAAAGTTATAAATTTGAGATTGAGAAAGTTATAAAGTCTTACACTTTTGCTTATAGTGATGTTCTATACTCAAAATTACGTGTCACAGATTTTGTTTGCTTTAGGCCTTTAGCATTGCTTGATTTTCCCAAATTACGTGGCTGACACTTGGTCGGCTTTTGAGTTTGCTTTGATGTGCATAATTGATGTTGAATTTATAGTTTTGTTGCGTTAGGATGCTTAAAGTAGAGGAATTTACTTGCGGATTCTCGGCATTGACTCTGTTCTCTGTACTCTGTTACTATCCTTTTCAATAAGGGAAAGTTGAACATTAGCCACGAATAGGACCTAGGTTAAACATTAGCTCTTCTCATGCACATTTGGTCCTAGGATGACACATTTGATCTCCTTGCTGTTTGTTTTCTCTTCGTAAGTGTTACTACTTTAACCTTCTTTCGTTGAACCACTGTGTTGTTAGGATGTTTTCTACAAAGAATAAGACTGGAAGCTCATGACTGAGATCTTGCCGGCCAATTAACGAAACAGAGCTGAGGAATATCGTAACCAGCAGTATATGTCATAGAGTTGGCGTCCCAGTTACAGGCAATACGCTGGCAACGGCCTTTCTGACAGTCCAAAATGCTCTATTTTCGTCTCTTGATCCATTGCAAATTACGCCCATGTTTCCTTGCTTTCTTCTGTTTTAGGCATGATCCAACTACCTTGAACCGCCAGGTACGGTTACCATTTTTCCTATTTCTCCTAACTCGCCCTTAAATCTAAAGTTTTAGATTTGAGATTGGGAAAGTTATAAAGTCTTACACTTTTAGTTATTGTGATGTATTTTGTTCAAAAATATGTGTCCCGGACTTCGTATGCTTTATGTATTGGTTCGTTTTTCCAGATTTCGTGGCTGAGACTTGCTTTGCGTTACAGATTGCTTGCTTGAAATGCCTTTCTGGTTTTATCTGAATAACTGATGTTGAATTTTTATTTTTCTTTAATTTTGATGCTTAAAGTGGGGAAATTTACTTGGTCAATCTCTGCATATGCATCTTCGTTGGCTCTCTTCTATGTACTCATCTTCTCGGATAAAGGGAAAGTTAAAGATTAGCCATTCTCATGCACATTTGGTCCTAGAATATATATCGTATACGAGATTGTGCTTATTGTCATGTTTTTTTGCAAAAACAACATTTTCCAGACTTCCTATGCTTTATCTATTGCTTGGTTGTTCCTAATTACGTCGCTGAGACTTGCTTTGCTTTAAAGATTGCTTGCTTCTTCTCAAATTGAAATGCCTTTCTGGTTTGATCGGCATAACTGATGTTGATTTTATACTTTTCTTTCACTATAATGCTTAAAGTAGGGAAATTTAGTTGCTCAATCTCTGCATATCCATCTTCGTTGGCTCTGTTCTCGGTACTCATGTTGTTGGATTAAGGGAAAGTTAAAGATTGGCCCTTCTCATGCACATTTGGTCATAGGTGATATATTGTATGCTAAATTATTCTCCCTGATGTTTGTATTCTCTTTGTAAGTCTTGCTACAATAACGTTCTTTGGTTTAACCAGTCTTTTTTTAAGGAGTTCTCTACAAACAAAAGGATTGGAAGCTCATGACTGTGATCTTGCCGGCCAAAAAAATTAAGAGGTGAGAAATATCGTCACCAGCAGCATCTCTCACAAGATGTGTGGGCATATCCCTAGATCTATCAAGGGAAACTCTTTAATAGATTAGAGATTGATTCTTTAAGAGTAGAAGCCACAACACTGGCGATGGGATTCTCTCTTTTATGTGGATGTAAAAAGTCTTTCAACGGCCTTATAAGGTCTAATTCGACGTCTGCCTTTTAAATAGCAAAGTTTGGTAAATTTTGGTGATGGTACTGTGTTTGGATTACAGTAACAACCTATGAAGATGAGTTAAAGTGTATCTTCGCTAGAATTAGAATAAACGAATGTACACAGGTTTCTGCAAATCTACTAAGTTTATATAATCTATTGATACCCTTCAGTTTTCTTGGTGTTTTTGTATAGGAGAAACGATGATAGATATTGTGGTATATAAGAACGAGGCGGATGGAGGGGTTGGAAACAATTTATTGATATGTTTTATGGAAAAGCGCCAAACATAACCAATCATACAAGGAAGATGTGATATTAACGTTGAGAAATGACAACGGAAGTGTGGTTCCCCGTGTTTGTCTCAGTCAAAAGGCTTCTTTTCTATCAAAGCTGCAAGCACAAACTATCTTCGTGAAAAGGTCCAATATCTCATTTCTTCTGATTTATGTTTTTGCCTGCATACTGGAATCATCTAATAAAGCACCCTCAATGTTGGTTCCTTATAGTGATTTATTGTCTACCATGTTTGCATCGCTTTATTGCTTGGATCTACAAGTAAATGGTGGATTTGGGTATCAATATTATTTTGTGGATTTGAAGTTTAGGAATTTAGGTAAGTGATTTGATATGCTAAATTTGATATATGGATGGAACACAAAGTTTAGGAATTTAGGTAGTGTAAATGGATTCCATGGAGATCACAAAGCTTTCTCTTTTCCTGTAACTATAAGTCTATAACTGCATTGCTAAACAATAAATAGTGTTCTTGAAAACAGGCAAAGGCAATACAGTACGTATAGTCACGAGGAGTTGAAGATTTTAATAAGGAGCATTAGTTAAAAAGAGTGATAGTGAGAAGAATATGAAGTAGAGGTGGTACTAAAACACCCTAAACCAAGTCAAGAGGACGGTTCTTTTATTCAGATGATGCTGCGGCAAGGAGTGATAAGACAGAGTCATGCCAGTTATCCAAAATAGAATTCCAATGTCGTTTACTTCCTTATCAAGCATGGAGGAGGTATGGAAACAGAGTTGTGGCGTCTCAAATTCATCTGTAGCCTATTTTCCCTAAATTAGTGCAGGTATGAGCAGTTACATGATGGTGATTTGTTTGTTCTGAAATGTTGAAATAGACCAAAGGAAGACAATGTTTTAGGCGGTTTGAGGTGAAAATAACTTGTGCAGTAAAGAGTGAGTCGAGAGATCAGAGTTTCATGCACAGACTATGCAGAAGCAGTCTTTCTCATGGACCTTTTAAATGAGGCACATCTCTTTACCATGTGATCTCAGCCTTTGGATACACAAAAACCTGTGTAGAACCGATCTTATGTTGGTATATCATTGTGTTTCTATTTTGTCGTTATGGTAGAAGAAGATGTGAACTTATAAAATTTTGTTATAAATTTAAAAACAAATTTCGATTGGTTTTAACTTTTAAGCCATGATCTGTTTAAAACACATTTCAATTGGTTTAAAGCCATGAGTTGTTTAAAAAATTATTATAGATTTAAAACAAAATTCGGGGTTGTTTGCAGCATCAAGAATGAATAGGAAGCTCTCAAGGATAATAATAGTTTAGATTGAGGCTTTGAGCAAATAAGTTAGCAGTTTAAACAAAAATATTAATATTAAGATGTTGGTAAAGACACCTTCATCTTACAAATAATAAAGAATCCACTGAAAAGAGAAAAGAGAATTATCAGCATAGCATAAAAAGACACTAAAAAGATCTAGGATAGAAGAGATGAAATCAGTTGCTTCTATTATTGTCTCTTATTCCTGAAAGAGTAGTCGTAATTAAGCCGCGTGGCAATACCTGCCAAAAAGATTTGAAGTAGAAAATTATTATCTATTTTTTTTTATGATTTTGGAATAGTGTTATATAGAATTACACTGTTTCAGTTTTGCCACTTTCATAAGCTGCAAAGCATTTAGCACAAATATGAATAATCATTTCTTTAACGACTTCGATATTGTTCATTTCCTACAATTAGGTCAATTTTACTTGAGTTTTAAGTTTGTTTTTCTCTCGAGAAAAAATAACCACCTTTTCAAACAACTTCTACTACTCCAATCTTTTTATACAACAATTCTCTTTTTAATCTGCAAGACATTATATTGTCTTTTCCCAACAAAATTTGTGACATTATATATATATATATGATAAGGGTATTTAGGTTAAAATTCTTAGACCTTCCATAAACATTTTACGAAATTTGATTTTAGAGGAAATAAAGATGAATATAATTATGTGTTAATATATATATGAAAAAATATAAGAGGTAGAAAATTTACAAATTCAAATGATAATTAAAATATAAATAACAAAACTTCGTAATAATCATAACTCGCGCATTGCGCGGGCTCAACTCTAGTAATAGTAATAATTAAGTATCCGAATGATAAACAGTGTCGTTGTCACCTTAGTAGTTTCATGGTTGAATAGTCTTAAAAGTGATTTTCACGATTAAATTTTTTTTTGTGGTGTCTATATCCATGTAACAAACAAAAAAAAACTGACGTCGTTGGTGAAGATTGAGTCAAGCACGGTTAAAAAAACTGACGTCGTTTGGTTTGAATGTTGAGTAGTTAATTTTATCGACACAAATACATATCTATGTTAATACATTTGACTTATGGAGAAAATGGAGGTGCTTTAAGATAATATGTAGAAAGGACGAGAACTACGTGGTTATATACACCAATTGCTTGACTAGTCTTGCTGAATGCTGATTCAATTAATTATGATTTTCTTATGTGAAAGTCTTATTAAGAAAACAAAACAATATAGAAGATATTCATTTAATAATTGGTACTAAAAGAGCCATGTGCATTGTTAGGTGTAAAATATGCAGCCTAGGCTCTACTATTTTCATGCCACTAATCTTAAAGGAGAAATGGTAATTTAGTACTTATGTAAAAATGTCGAAAAGGTACTTGTGTACAAAAAGATCATGTGTTCTTACTACTTTCACAATTTCCTCATATTCGAGTTTTATTATGACTTTATTGGGTATATAGTAGAGGTTAGTGATAAAGTGAACGAACATATAACATTATTGCCTATTGGTACCTGTTGTAGAGGTGAGTTTTATTGATGAGACTAATTATCCTAGACCGAGTCATCACTTGGTTCGACTCATTACTTAACATAGAGATAAACTTTAAGATATGCATTTTTAGAAAACAAAACCAAAATGCGAAAAATAATATCAAGAATTCATTCTTTTTCATTACTATTTTATTTTCAAATTTCAAAATTTGAGATCTTCAAATGAGATCGTAGTCACATATACTAGGTTTGAAAACGGAATAAAAAGAAGAAAAAAGCCAAATAATATAAGATAACTACTTTAGTTTTATGGCAATTAAATTTAAGTTTCAACGTTGAAAGGTCATCAAAATTTATATTGTACAAAGATTGTGATGAAATATGCGACGACAACATCTTCTTAGGGTCGGCTTTTAGGAAATGCATATATATCCGATGGCCAACTATTGAGGACTCGGTTTGTATGATTGTGATTAGTTAAGGAACACTCCAATATTTTTGGATCGTTTAGTAACGAGTGGTCAATGTTTCAACAAATGTATCCGTTTCGATGCTCTTAGCCGTCGACAAGTTTCAAATGTTCACTTCAAATTTTATATTTTAAAACTGACTTGGGTTTTCGTCGACTATCTATAAACACATTCTCAACATCATTCCAAAATCTAACTAAGATCAAAAACAAAAACAAATTGATACCAATCACTATACAATAAGCTCTAGTTGACAAAACTTAATTTGTTTTTTTCTAGTCAAAGCCAATGTGAATAATTGACGAAAATAAAGCTATCACATTGATTGCCCATGAAATGACCAATATATACCTCTCACTATATTATAAACCCCCCGAACACTACCTCCTCTTCACACAACAAGAACAACTCAAAATGGCTCTCACAAAAAACTCTTTAATCATTCTCCTCTCCCTCGTATGTCTCTACTCTGAAACCGTTATGTCTCAGAACTGCGGTTGTGCTCCAGGCCTCTGTTGCAGCCAGTTCGGTTACTGCGGTTCCACCGATCCTTATTGCGGTGCTGGGTGCCGATCAGGCCCTTGCAAAAGCAGTGGAACCCCTCCCGCTGGTGGTGGTTCGGTTGGTAGCATTGTGACACAAGGTTTCTTTAATGGTATTATCAACCAAGCCGGTGGTGGTTGCGCCGGAAAAAGATTCTACACCCGTGATTCTTTCGTTAACGCCGCTAATACTTTCCCCAACTTTGCTAATTCCGTTACTAGGCGTGAGATTGCTACCATGTTTGCTCATTTTACTCACGAGACCGGACGTAAGAATCCCTTTCTCTCTTCTCTTCCTTTTCGATAGATTATAAAAATGATGATTATAATAATTAACACGTCAAGTATCTAACAACAATCATTGTATAAGACGTATATGACTGAACCTTCGATATAATAAAAAATTGAACGTTGATGATTATATATTCTAAAGTACTTTGTTTACTGTATAGATTTCTGCTACATAGAAGAGATTAACGGAGCGTCACGTGACTACTGCGACGAGAACAACAGGCAATACCCATGTGCAGCGGGTAAAGGCTACTTCGGTCGTGGTCCGATCCAACTATCATGGAACTACAACTACGGAGCGTGTGGTCAGAGTCTCAACCTTGACCTTCTACGGCAACCCGAGCTAGTGGGTAGCAACCCAACTGTCGCTTTCAGGACTGGTCTGTGGTTTTGGATGAACAGCGTAAGGCCGGTACTGAACCAAGGATTTGGAGCCACCATTAGAGCCATCAACGGTATGGAGTGTAACGGTGGGAATTCAGGTGCCGTGAATGCAAGGATTAGGTACTACAGAGACTATTGTGGACAGCTTGGTGTTGACCCTGGTGCTAACCTTAGCTGCTAGAAGGCTCTTCTAACACAAACATGCACACACGTGACGTGGCACTTGATGTGTTACGTTGGTAATTAAGGTTAAAATAAGAAGTGAGATAATAAAGTTAAATCTCACGTTTGTACTTTGTGTTGGGTCTCAGTGTTCCCTGCGTCACAAGCAAAAAAATGTTGTAATAATCTTGTGAAAGTGATTTTCTTCTTTCTTTTGTCACGTCTCGTGAAAGTGAAATTTAAGATTAATAAATGTCTGAGTTTGACACGTACAGTACATTTGCTTTTGGGATACTATTACATAATGTTATACTATTTATTTAGCAAAATAATATCTCAATAATTAAGTCTCCCAAGGATAAACGGTGTCGTTCTCACCTTTAGTATAATTTCATGGTTGAATAGTCTTGAAAGATTTTACGATTTGATTGTGGTGTTCATATCCATATAACCAAAAGTAACTGACGTCGATGGTGAAAATTAAACCCAGCACGGTGTGATTTTTTTTTTTTGACCAAAAGGCTTTCAAATGTTGATTTTATCGACACATAAATAAAAGAAATAGGTAGAGGTGACGTTTATTAAAGGAATTATTGAAATATAATCATATTTAGTTTATGAAAAATTGTAATCATTAACTATTTCCTTGTTTTTGACCCCCCACCCCCCCCAAAAAAAAAAAAACTATTTCCTTGTTAATACATGTGACTCATGTTTGCCATTGCCATTCACATATATGCACATGGAACCAATGGAGGAGGTACTATAAGTCTATAAGATAATGTGTAGGACAGCAGGGAAGAACGAGACTTCATAGCCCAAGCCATGTGGTTATTCTATTCATCTCCAATTGCTTGACTAGTCTTGCTGAATGCCGACTCAGTTATTATATGGAATTTTCATTAAAAAAAAATCAGTATAAGTTATTAATAGAATTGGTACTAGGAGAGCCATATGCATTGTTTTTTTTTTTTTTTTTTTTTTGGAAAACAGCCATATGCATTGTTAAGCCAATGATCGAGGGTAAACGGTAAAAGATGCAGCTACTCTCAATATGTAAGACAAATTCTGATATTAGGTTTAAAAATGATAAAAAGAAAAATCAAATATATAAGACAACTACTCTAATTATGGCAACTAATTTTAAGTTTCAACGTTGAAAGGTCATCAAAACTTATCTTGTACAAAGCTGATAATGAAATACGCAACGAGGACTTTCTTCTTAGGGTCGGCTTTTAGGAAATGCATATTCGAAGGCCAACTATTAAGGACTCGGTTTGTATTATTGTGATCAGTTACGGAACACTCCAATATAGTGTTTTGGATCGTTTAACAAAGAGTGGTCAATTTTCAATAAATTTCTCCGGTTCGATGCTCCCAGCCGTCGACAAGTTTCAAATGTTCACTTCAAAAGACCAATTTCTATTCCAAAAACTGCTTCTTTTTTTTTCGTCGACAATTAATTCTACCAGATTTAAACTCCAATGGTAGAACAACACATCGTTCCAAAATCAAACTCAGATTGAAAACAATAACATTTATACGACTCACTATATTATAAGCCTTATTTGACCAAAATGTATTTGTTTTTCCTAGCCAAAGCTTACGTTTAATAATTGACGGGGGGAAAAAAACACAAGAAATCACATTGATTGCCCATGAAATGACCAGTCTACACAATATCTCCCACTATATGAACCTCTCGAGGCCTCATCTTCTCACAACAAGAACAACTCAAAATGGCTCTCACACAAATCTCCTTAATCATTCTCCTCTCCCTCTTAGGTTTCTACTCTGAAACCATCATGTCTCAAAATTGCAATTGCGCCCCGAACCTCTGTTGCAGCCAGTTCGGTTATTGCGGTACCTCTATGGATCACTGTGGTGCCTCACAGTGCCGATCAGGTCCGTGTAGAGGCAGTGAAACCCCAACCGGTGCTGATTTGGTTGGTAGCATTGTGACACAAGGTTTCTTTAATGGCATTATCAACCAAGCCGGTAATGGCTGCGCCGGAAAAAGTTTCTACTCTCGTGACTCTTTCATTAACGCCACCAATACTTTTCCCAACTTTGCTAATACCGTTACTAGGCGTGAAATTGCTACCATGTTTGCTCATTTCACATTCGAGACCGGACGTAAGAATCTTTTCTCCGTTATTTTTCTTTTGGTTTAAATATTTATACATCTTTCTCGGTTAAGACTTGGTATATATATAATTAGTAGATTTTGACATGAAAGAAAACTAGTAGAATATTCTAAAGAGGCAACCGTTATTTCTTTACGTTTGCATTTACAATGGCATTTGAAATTTACAAATGATACTAAGATATTATATTATAAAACGTGTGTAACAAATAACAACCAATTCAGTAACAAAAATGAAAAAAAATAAATTCATAATCTAAGACGAACATATTAATTTAATCTTGAACCTTGAACATAATCTAAGAATTGAACATTTGGTTTTATCTCAAACTTTATATAGTCAGTTTTATCATCAACTAATCACTCTGATTCGTATGCATCTATATACGTGTAGATTTCTGCTACATAGAAGAGTTAAGAGCGACAAGCAACTTCTGTTCCCTTACGAGCAGCCAATATCCATGCGCACCCGGCAAGAGTTACTATGGTCGTGGTCCGTTCCTACTATCATGGAACTTTAACTACGGACCGTGTGGCCAAAGTCTCGGCCTCGACCTTCTACGCCAGCCAGAGCTGGTCAGTAGTAACCCTATCGTGGCTTTCAGGGCAGCTCTATGGTTTTGGATGAAGAGCATGAGGCCTGTACTGAACCAGGGATTCGGAGCCACCATAAGAGCCATCAACAGTTTGGAGTGTAACGGTGGGAACTTAGGTGCGGTCAATGCAAGGATTGGATACTATAGAGACTATTGTAGACAGCTTGGTGTGGACCCTGGAGCCAACATCACTTGTTAGCTAGAAAGCTCTTAGAACATACACGCACGTGACGTGGTACGTAAGTGTTAAAGGTGAAATAAGAAGTGATGTAAACAAATTGAAATAGTCTTGTGGAAATGAATAAAGAAGATCAATAAAACGATTATGGAAAAAAATGTATGAGTGTTACACTCCCAGTATTTGTTTCGGTATATCCGGAAGAGTTAGTAACTTGAAAGTATATATAGTTAACTCGAGAGCTGATTAAACATTTTAATTACTAATTACAAAATCTATCATTCCTTAGTAAACGGTAAACATCTCAAATCATACGTGTATATGATTACGATAAGACATATTGGAGCGTTCTGGAATTATTAGGCCATCCCAATTGCTATCAGCCTATCGCCATTCATATTGTATAGTGGTAGATTTGTCTAGTTTCATTTGAAGCAAACCAACAAAAAAGAAAAATATTCGTGTTTCTAATAGTAATAGACGAAATTCTCTATGTTTCCTTTAAATTTCTTTGTTTTTCTATAGACCTATAAAGATGTAGAGAAATACATTTTAATACCACTAAAATAATTTTTTTTATTCCAAAAGGTATATCTCTTAGGGTTTTGGACATTCAGTTCATCAAAAATCAATTCATTTGATTTTTTTTTTCTGGATAATATCTTAGTTAAATCTATTAAGATAACTATACTAGATTTCAGTTAATTTCGATTTAACTGGTTTTAAATAATAATACTAAAGTTGATCAGATTAAGTTCTTCGTTTAAAAAATATGCATGGTTCAGTTTAAATGTCCACTATTAGGATTCAGTTTTTGTAACTATTTGGTTATATACCATGTTGCAGTCATGTGCTACATTGAGGAAATCGATGGACCAGCCAAGGCCGAGAACTACTTCGACACAGGGAACACAGACTTCCCATGTGCACAAGGAAAGGGATACTATGGTCGTGGTCCGATCCAGCTCTCTTGGAACTTCAACTATGGTCTCTGTGGCAGAGAGTTGAACGAGAACCTATTAGCTTCCCCAGAGAAAGTGGCTCAAGACCCGGTTCTTGCCTTCAAGACCGCTTTCTGGTTCTGGACCACCAATGTTCGCGGGAACTTTAACCAGGGCTTTGGGGCGACCATCAGGGCTATAAATGGTATGGAGTGCAGCGGAGGAGATACTACAACCGTCAACAAGAGGATTGGATACTTCCGAGACTATTGTGGCAGGCTTGGAGTCGAACCTGGAGATAACCTCTCTTGTTAAAGTTTTCCTGGCGAGCTATCCATCTCAAACAAACAATGTTTGAAATATAACAATAAAGGAGATCAAATAAGAGAAATTAAAGTACTTCTTTATCTATACACCATATATAATAAAGTACTTTTTTTATCTATGCACCATATATATTTGTAAGAGCATCTCCAACCCAGCCTCATATTTCACTTTTATTGTCATTTTGGAGTCAATTTTGCTCCAACCCAATCTCATTTTCAATCTCAAAATGGCAAAATGCCATATTTTTTCCCAAATTGAGGTTGATCCCATTTTCATCTCCATTTTGGAGTTGAAGTTTTTAAATTATATAACAGTCCTTGAAGTTTTAAATTATTTTAGTTTATATATAATTAATTATTTTGATGTTTATTTTTACTCTAAAATACAAATAACACATATTTAATAGGAAATTAATTATTTAAGGTAATAATAAATTTAAATAGAAAGGAAATTTTGTTTATTAGAAATAACATCAAAAATAAATTTATTAAAACAACTATTATTGATCAAGTTTGTGTTGTTATTTTTAGTCTTGTAATAATGTATTATTAATATTTTCATAATTAATTTAAATAATTATAATAAATTGTGAAATTTTTGAAGAAAAAAAAATTATGGGGCAATTTGTAATATATAAATATACAATGTAAATTTAGTAATTAATAAAAAGTTTTGAAGTAAAAAATGAGGCAATACATTGGAGCAAAACCCAACTCCATTTTGAGATTTCTTCATTTTGGAGTTAAATATGGGGCAATACATTGGAGATGGCCTAAGCAGATTCAAAATGAGAAAGATTCAAACTCATTAGAGCTTCATTTATAATACAAATTAAAAAAGGAGGGAAACGGAAACCCTATTTACACAAAATACGATAATCCATTCTTTGATTTGTATGAAATGGATAAGAATGAGAGTTGCACAAAATGGCAACCCTCAAAGATGTTTTAATATATAAATAAATCTAGGATTGCTAAAAACACCTTAATTACATGGGCTTATGGGCTTGTTTTATGTTTCATTGTTAGGCTTCACGATGGCGCAGTGCAACTTGCATGTAATAGGCTTTTTGCAGACCATCTAGAGCGTCCAAATGTGAGCATGTAATCAGGCAACTCGAAGAGAACATTGCACCCTCTGAGTTTCAAACCTTCAACAACCATGTCGCAGATCGGGTCTGTGAAGGGTTCAGAGATTACCAGAAAATTTGGTGGTCTCCAAAGCCCCCTTCTCCAGCAAATCATGTCCAACAACATAGTTGTAACTTTTCCAAGTCTATCCTCTTCAGAGATGATTTTGTCATGCACTCCGGCCTTGTTAAAGACATCTCTCATTTCATCGGAATACTTTCTCTTATCAATATATACCGTAAATGTAGAGATTATACTTCTATAACCCTTCTTCTCCAGAGCTGATTTGATATTATACCAAATCTTCCCAGAATTGGTTGGGCAATTGTCGGCCAACCAGAACACGACTACGTCATTCCCTGAAAGGTTTCACAAGACAATTAATTTCAGTAAATCTACTCGAGATATAGACAGTCAGACAAACAATTTCACGAGAGAGATCTTACATGCAAGTTCTCGGCTGAGGTCTGTGAGAATCCGACTTTGGTTGATAAGCTTTTCTGCTCCAACTGGTGGGCTTTTACAGAGGGACTCAAATCTGCTAATGGTAGACTGATCTACTGATGCCACCTGATCAGAGGGTCTAAAGATAATGTTAATACCTCTGCGTTCCAAAGCTTGAATAACGGCGTCACACTTGGTGGTGTCTTCACAGGGCTTAGAGATGAGCATCAAGTTCTGTGGCATGCCATCATTGTTCATTGCCCAGAAAACAATGTCCAGCAACATCCTAGTCACTTTCGCATATTTAGCATCGCCTGGGAAAATAAAATATACATATATCAGTTTGCAGATCAAAATAAACAAACATTTACAAGATATAAAAACGACAAGGTTTAGTGTGTACCTTGGGATCGGACTCTGATTATGGACTTGAACCGACCGAATTTTTTTTTATCCAACGAAGCATCCTCGTGTTGATATGGAACGTAAGGCCTAATAATCACACTGCCATCATAACCCTTGTTGTGAAGAACCTGCTTTACAATCGAAAAATCGGCTGGGCAACCGTGGACATCCCAGAAGATCATTGTTTCAGCCTTTGCAATCGAATCACAAAATCCTTCGCAATCCAAAGAAGCTAGTCCATTAGAAAAACCACTAACAACCCTCTCTGGCCTTCGACTTCGCCTAGCCAAATATAACTGAGCACAATCCATATCCAAAGATTTAATGGTCATAGGAGATGAGAGATCTTCAGGGTCAGGCATTCCTAAGATGACATTGTAATGTCTACTATCCAAAGCTTCAAGTGCATTGAGGAAATCCGTTCCTTGTTTGATGTTTTTTGAGATTACCATCAAGGTTTTTGGTTCAAAATATGTCGCAGGATTTTCCATTGCCCACAAAACAATGTCCACTAAGATAGCATGAAATCTCGCTTCTTCATCCCCTGAAAGTTATGTACATATATATCAAATCAAGGTAACGTACTAATAGACATATAGATACAAGTAACAAAAAAAACCATTATTAGAGAATATGTGAATTCACCTTGACAGGGAATGATGGTGATTCTATCCGTCTCCGTTACACCGCAGAAGTCTGCATGGTGAACATAAGCCGCGAGTGACAACTCACCAGGAAGACCATGCGCTTGAAGAGAGGTTTGCAAAACCATATACGCATCATTATAAGGTAGCGGGAAATCAACACCGTCCCAGAAGACATGTGTGGAACATTCTGCAAGAAAGTTTTTAAGAAATCAAGAAACGCATAAACAATCAGATCGATCGTATAAAGTATTACATGCATGGTCCTTGAGAGAGAGAGAGAAGATTCTTACTCTCGGACGTAGATTCGGCGGTAGAATCAGGAATAATGGGACAACTAGGCATGGTTTCGTGGGAATAATTATAAATAGACTCCTCCTCTCTCTTCCGCTTACAGTCAGAGCTGCTAAGTGAGGTTTCACTTTGGTCGATATGATCTAATAGGAGATCGAAGCGTATCTGCTCTAGCCAACTATTTGGTGGGGGATCATGATCAATCGTTACGAAAACATGGTGACATGGTGTTGCCATCGATTCAAGAAAAGTGGAGAAAAGCGATTCTTTTTCTATTTCTTTCGAGAGCACCATCAAAGTTTTTGCATGAAAATCGTAGTCACACATATCCACTTCCCACATTGCAATGTCCAAACTCGTAGAACGATACCTCGTATGTTTATCCGCTGAGAGAGTATATATCAAAGATTATTAGAGACTTGTAAATAAGACCAAAAAAAACAAAAAAGTTTAAAAGAAAGAAAGACATAAAATAACAGGAGAACTCATTCACCTAGTCGGGGAACGATGTCGATTCCGGCATCTTCATAGACACCGACCAATTTATCATCGAACTGTTCCATGTCAACATAAGCTATGATTAACATATCACCACAACAACCCAACGAATGAAGAAACAATCTCGTCGTGTGATAAATCATATGAGGGCTAAGACCCTCAGGGAACGGGAAATCCACCACGTCCCAGAAGACACCTATGCACTCTGCGACAGACCAAGGTTTATTAAAACACAGAAATTAACAATCGCAGACAGAGAGAGAGAGAGAGAGAGAGAGAGAGAGAGAGAGAGAGAGAGAGAGAGAGACATAGAGAGATAGAGATATCTTACCGGGAAAATTCGGACGTTTCACAGGACAGTTGGGCATGACGGGACAGTCAGGGTTGACGGTTTCAAGGGGAGAAGAGGACATGGTTCGTTCTCTTTGAAAATCCGGCCGTTCCACTGGACAGTTGGGCATGACGGTTTCGACGGGAGAAGAGGACATGGTTTTTTTCTCTTCGAAAATCGATTTGGGGACTTTGAAAAAGGAAATTATTTTATAGTTGGATATTATTTTATTCACCGACATCGTTTATTAAAAGGAAATTTGAAAAAGTACTTGCCGTTTCCGCTTCCAGATGATACACTCTTTAGAGTTTTTTATTTCCTATTCTCTCGACTTAAAAAAAAAAAGAAGTAAATTACGAGCCAAATCAGCATGAAGAACCGAACACACAAAACAAAACTGAGAGATTTCGTTATCCACTAAGCTATTTTACCTTTATCAATTTATTTGCCATCATGTTTACTAAATCTTGGTGCAGCATTGCCCTCGAACCAAAGCTATAAGGAACTACACGATCAAGCTATGAAATGACCTCATTTTGTCATGTTTTCGTAATTCGTATATTACTAACTGGTTACTAATTTTCTTTTTTTTTTTTTTTTATCTTATTGCTCCTGACAAATTGCCAAATCCCACAGTAGAAGCTTATTAATCAATAAAAAATGAAATTCTGTTGTGTAGATTGTAAAAGAAAGCTTAGCTAGTGGAAGTCTAAAGAAGAAAAGGATCTCGGTAATAGAAATAAAACTAACAATGGTAACTTTGGAAAAAAACTAATCTTGTGGTATATGTGGAAAACATATTTTGTGGTAAAAAAACTAGCGATTCTAACTCTACGAATTGCACAGATAAGTATTTGTACTTCTCTTTAATTTCTTACTCGCCATATAGGAAGTTTTGATGGTTATTGTGTGGAAATTTCCCTACGTAACGACTGGGCTATATAGAAGATAAAAGTCTAGATGCATTGACGTTGACTTGGAAATTACGAAACAATTGCTTGTCTTGTTCACGGATCCAACAATAGTCTTCACATTCCCTCATTGTCCCAACAAGCTTCATCTCTACTATAAAACACCAACCTAATATACCTCTCTCAGCCTCACACACTCATAAACAACAACAGCAATATCAAGAAAACAATGGCGAATTACGCCAAATCCACCACAACAAAGTACCCATTTTTCCTTCTTCTCACAAGTCTTTTTGTCTTGATCCTAATCGTTTCCAAACCAGTATCCTCCCAGAACTGCGGTTGTGGCTCTGACTTCTGCTGTAGCCAATATGGTTACTGTGGTCAGACCAACGAATACTGTGGATACGGCTGCCGTGAAGGCCCTTGCCAAGGCGAGGAACCCCTCGGCAGAAAAACTGGAGGCGGAGTCGGAGATGCAGTATCGCTTGAAGGAACGGTGACACCTGAGTTCTTTAACTCAATACTAAGCCAAGCAAGAGATGATTGTGCAGGTAAAGGATTCTACTCTCATGATGCCTTCATTGCCGCAGCCAATTCCTACTCTGTCTTTGGTTCTTCCATCTCCAAACGCGAGATTGCTGCGTTCTTCGCTCACGTCACCCTAGAAACAGACTGTAAGTAAATCTATCAAGGTTTTTGGACATTCTGTTATATCGGTTACTTTCAATTTTTGTGCGTGTGTTCGATTTAGATAATTCATGAGCGAATTATAAGTTTGCAACCACATTTCTTTTTTAGTTCACGTCGGTAAAAATTAATTAATTTTGATCTATTTAAAAATAATATATTAGTTAATTTAATCTTAAGATATATGATTTTAAAATTAATTTAGGTTTACAAGGTTTTAAATACTAAAACTGATCGGATTTATTTCTTGGTTTAAAAAATATGCATGGTTTCAGTTTAATTGTCCACTATAGGATTCAGTTTTTGTAACTAATTGGTTATATACCATGTTGCAGTCATGTGCTACATTGAGGAAATCAATGGACCAGCCAAGGCCGAGAACTACTGCGACAGAGAGAAAACAGACTTCCCATGTGCACAAGGAAAGGGTTACTATGGTCGTGGTCCGATCCAGTTCTCTTGGAACTACAACTATGGTCTTTGTGGCAGAGACTTTAACGAGAACCTATTGGATTTCCCAGAGAAAGTGGCTCAAGACCCGGTTCTTGCCTTCAAGACCGCTTTCTGGTTCTGGACCACCTATGTTCGCGGGAACTTTAACCAGGGCTTTGGGGCGACCATCAGAGCTATAAATAGTAGGGAGTGCAGCGGAGGAGATACTGCAGCCGTCAACAAGAGGATTGGATACTTCCGAGACTATTGTGTCAAGCTTGGAGTCGAAACTGAAGATAACCTCTCTTGTTAAGTTTTCCTCGCGAGCTATCCATCTCAAACAAACAATGTTTGAAATATATCAATAGAAGAGATCACATAAGAGAAAGTACTTCTTTATCTATAAACCATATATTATAAAGTACTTTTTTTTTATCTATACATACACCATATATAATTGTAAACAAACAATTCATATCTTGCATAGTTTCAATTAGAATTGTCACTTAAAGTGGATATGAGCTGCAACTTGCATCCAATAGGCTTATGCAGACCATCGTGAGCGTCCAAACGTGAGCAGATACTCAGGCTGTTCGAAGAGAACATTGAAGCCTCTGTGTTTCAAACCTTCAACCACACAGTCACAAATGAAGTCTTCGAAGGGTTCTGAGATCACTACGAAATTTGCTGGCTGCATTAGCGACTTTGCCCAAGAAATCATATCCAGAAACATACTTGTAACTTTCACAAATTGATCCTCTTCAGATACGGGTTTGACAATCACTCCGGTATTCATATATACCTTTCTCATTTCATCAGAAAACTTACTCTTACCAATGAATACCGTTATTGTAGGCTCAACCCCACCATAACCCTTCTTCTCCAGAGCTGCTTCGAAATCAGACCACATCTTCCAAGGATTGGATGGGAGATTCTTGACCAGCCAGAAAACGACCACCGGTTCCGATGCAAGTTTCAAGCTCTGCTGTGTGAGACTCCGACCTGTTGACGTTAGGCTGTGGTTGATATGCCTTTCTGCTCCAGCTGCTAGTCTTTTACAAAGGGACTCAAAGCTCCTAGCGGTAGACTGATCTACTGATACGACCTGATCAGAGGGTCTGAAGATGATGTTGAAGCCTCTGCATTCCAACGCTCGGATAACTGCGTCACACCTGGTGTCTTCAAAAGGTTTAGAGATGAGCATCAAGTTCTGTGGCATGTCATCGTTGTTCATTCAGAAAATGATGTCCAGCAACATCCTCGTCACTTTCTCATATTTATCATCCTCTGGAAAATTAAAAGAATATATATATTAACGCATATCGAGATAAACTGCCATATACAAAGACACAAAAAGACAAGGATTAGTGTGTACCTTCGGATACGACTCTGATGCTAGACTTAAACCGAAAACGATTGGGTGTCGTATCAAACGAATCATCCCTGTACTCCGCATCAACGTAAGGCCTAACAATCACATTGCCACGATAACTCTTTGTGCGAAGAACCTGGTCCACAGTCGAAAAATCGGTTGGACAACCGAGGACATCCCAGAAGATGAATATATCAGACCCTGAGAGGTTGAAACCAAACAGTGAATATAATTTTTAGTTAGTCAATTCAGATATATAGGCAGACAAGCAATTTTCGAGGAAGAGATAGAGGGATCTTACAAGAGAATCTTTGGCGTTTCACAAGCCAACAACCTTCTTTCGAAGACCATAATAATTTTGACCACAGTTCAAAGATTTAATGGCCATCGGAGATGAGACATCTTGAGGGCTGGGCAGTCCTAAGAGGACATTGTAATGTCTATTACCCAAAGCTTCAAGTGCATTGAGGAAACACGTTCCTTGTTTGATGTTTTTTGAGATTACCATCAAAGTTATTGGTTCAAAATAGGTGGCAGGATTTTCCATTGCCCACAAAACAATGTCCATCAACATACCATGAGATCTCGCTTCTTCATCCCCTGAAAGTATATATACATATGAAACGTATTAATAGAGACATAATATACAAGTAACAAAAAAAGGATAACATTATTAGAGAATATGAGAATTCACCTTGACAGGGAATGACGGTGATTCCATCCGTCTCCGTTTCACCGCAGAAGTCTGCATGGTCAACATAAGCCGCGAGTGACAACTCACCAGGAGCACCAAACTCGTTAAGAGACGAATGTGAAACCATATACGCATAATGAGGATCATTATAAGGTAGCGGGAAATCCACGCCGTCCCAGAAGACATGTGCTGCGCAAGGCTCTGCAAGGAAGTTTTTTAAACATTAAAAAACACATAAACAATGAGAAATTTTAAGAAATAAACCTATTAATAGTCTTTATTTTCATATATAAGTTTGGTTTCAATAAATCAGTGATGGTTCTTAAGAGACAGACAAACAGCTAGGGAGAGAGATTCTTACCGTAGGACGAAGATTCGACGGGAGAATCAGGAGCGATGAGACAATCAGGCATGGTTTCGCGGGAGCTGCCAAGTAAGTTTCCACTTTGATCGACAGGCTCTAAGGGGAGACTGAAGCTTATCCGCTCTAGCCGACGAACGCGTGATGGTGGAGGATCATGATCAAGTGTTAAGAAAACATGGTGACATGGACATGCCATGGAATCGAGAAATTTGAAGAGAAACGAGTCTTTTTCTATTTCCTTGGACAGTACCATCAAATTTTTTGCATGAAAATCGTAGTTACACGTATCCACTTCCCACATTGCAATGTCCACACACGTAGAACGATACCTGGAGAGCTTATCCGCTGAGAGAGTATATAACAAAGATTGATTATTAGAGACTGTAAATAAAAAAGTATCAAGAAAGACATAAAACAGTAGAATTCATTCACCTAGTCGGGGAACAATGATGATTTTGGCATCTTCATAGACACCCACCAATTTATCATCGAACTGTCCTTCATTAGCATAAGCTATGATTGACAATTCACCACAACAACCCAACGACTCAAGAAATAACTTCGTCTTGTCATAAATCATATCAGGGCTAAGACCCTTAGGGAACGGGAAATCCACCACGTCCCAGAAGACACCTATGCACTCTGCGACAGGCGAAGATTTATTAAAACACAGAAAACGCATAAATTAACAATCAGTTCGATCGTATGTGAGAGATAGAGAGAGAGAGGGCTCTTACCGGGATCAACGGGACAGTCAGGCATGACGGTTTCGACGGGAGAAGAGGACATGGTTCGTTCTCTTTGAAAATCGATTTGGGGACTTTTTTATTTTTTTATCTTATAGTTGGATTTTATTCTTTTCCGTTTTATAAAAAGAAATTTTGAAGAAATACTTGCCGTTTCCGCTTCCAGATGATACACTTTTTAAAGGTTTTTTTATTTCCTATTCTCTCTTGACGAAAAAAGAAAAAAGGTAAATTACGAGCCAAAATGCCAAATCAGCAAAAAGAACCGAACGCACAAAACAAAACTAGAGATTTCGTAGTTACCAAAAAAAAAAAAAACTAGAGATTTTGTTATCCAGCCAACTTTTGCCAAATCTTTATTTTTTTCTTCTCGGGCTTAAAAAAATGGTAGCTTCTTGTGCAAGTTACATCTAATACTCTTTTGATTTGATTTGATTTGATTTGATTTGATTTGATTTTGTTTTGTTTTTGTGTGACTTTAAATCTTGCTGATTCCTAATGGTTGATTCTTTACACTTTTTTTTCAATACTTAGTGTTTCAGGTGAGATGTTGAATCCAGTAGATCACTCACTAGAAATTGTCGCTTGATGGAGCATTTTGTTCTTAAAACTTAGAAGAACAATTATTTTGGACCACGTAAAATTGTTTCCATTATTGTTTTTTTCTTTCTTTCGTCAACTTAAGTACACTAGTCCGTGATTAATGGCTGGAGTTAGTGGTTGATTTGTGTCGTTTGAGTAAATGTTGACGATGATATCACTAAGTGATCTTTGGAGGCAATAGAGCTTTTGAGCCAAAGTAAGTGATCGATTTGCCAGATTTTCCAGAGTATTCTTTTTAGAAATTTCAATGCCACCACCACCATACATGATATTACATTGTTTTGTGTTGTAGATCTCCTATCGAGGAGCTGATCAAGAAACAAAGATTATGGCACTTTTGACGTTCTTGTCAAGTGGAAACGCAACCATGGCCAGAGATGAGAGTACGTAGAAAGAGATAACAAGAAAAGAAGAATTAGCAAAGAAGGAAAACTGAAGGAAACTTATACAGGCGCGAGGGTTTGACAGAATAATTAGACCGTTAGGGTTTCTAAATTTGACTCCCTTGTTTGATTAGGGGTTTCATGTACTTTTACTGGTGGTGGATGTCACTAAATTTATAACGTGCTTTTTGATAAGAATGTTGAGCATTATCATTTGAATAAATTACAGAGTTTACCAAAAGGAACACAAAGGCAATACATGTTTTTCATACATAACAAAAGAAAAAGGGAAAGCATGCATCAAGGGAAACTGTCCCCTAATAGCTGATCTGCAGACCATCGTGAACTTCCAAATGTGAGCATATAATCAGGTAGTTCGAAGAGAACATTGCACCCCCTGAGTTTAAAACCTTCAACAACTCTGTCACAAATTGGGTCTATGAAAGGTTCTGAGATTACCACAAAATTTGCTGGCCTTAGAAAGAACCTTCTCCAAGAAATCATCTCCCTCAGCATCCTTGTCACTTTTCCACATTTGTCCTCTTCAGATACGGCTATGTCATACACTCCAGCCTTGTCATAGACTTCCTTCATTACATCATCTAAATAACGTCCCTTATCAATTAACATTGTAAATGTAGACTCAACCCCTTTATAACCTTTCTTCTTCAGAGCTAACCGGACATTAGACCAAATCTTGCGAGGATTGCATGGGCAATAATCGGCCAACCAGAAAACAGCTACCCCTTTCGCTGAAAGGTTTCACAAGTACAGTTAATTAGTTACATCACTAAACCAGTGTATTATAATATGAAATAACACGAGAGAAAGATCTTACATCCAAGTTTTTCGCTCTGCTCTGTCAGAATCCGACCTTGTGACTTTATGCTTTCGTTGAAATGCATCTCTGCATCAACTGGTAGTCTTTTACAAAGCGACGCGAAGATGTCGACGGTAGATTGATCTATCGATGCGACCTGATCAGAGGGTCTAAAGATGATGTTGACACCTCTGCGTTCCAACGCTTGAATAACAACGTCACACTTGGTGGTGTTTTCAAAGGGTTTTGAGATCAGCATGAAGTTTTGTGGCGCATCATCATTGTTCATTGCCCAGAAAACAATGTCCAGCAACATCCTAGTCACTTTCGCATATTTATCCCCTGAAATTTTAAAAAAAAATATATATATATATATCAACGCATATAACAAGATAAACAGACATATACAAAGATATAGAGTTAGTGTATACCTTCAGATCCGACTCTGATTCTGGACTTAAACCGAACACGCTCGGGTGCTGTTTCGTCAAACGAATCATCCATGTAGTCCATATCAACGTAAGGCCTAATAATCACGTTGCTGTGATAGCCCTTGTTTTGAAGAACCCGCTCCACACTCGAAAAATCGGTTGGGATACCGTGGAATCCCAGAAGATGAGTACATCACACCCTGAGAGGTTGCAACCAAACAATGAATTTTTAGTTAGTCAATTCAGATTTATATCCAGACAAGCAATTTCGAGGAAGAGATAGAAAGATCTTACAGCGAAATTCTGGGTGATACAAAGAAGCTAGTCCGTTAGAGAAACCAACAACCTCCTCTCGCACAAAAAGATTTGGAGCACATGTAAACAATCTAGTGTACATAGGAGATGAGAGATCTTGAGGGTTAGGCTCTCCTAAGATGACATTGTAATGTCTCTCATGCAGAGCTTTAAGTGCATTGAAAAAATCCGTTCCTTGTTTGATGTTTTTTGAGATAACCATCAAAGATTTTTTTTCAAAGTAGGTGGCCGGATTTTCCATTGCCCACAAAACAATGTCCACCAACGTAGCATGACACCTCGCTTCTTCATCCCCTGAAAGTTATGTACATATATATCAAATCAAGGTAACGTACTAATAGAGACATAAATATACAAGTAACAAAAAACACCATTATTAGAGAATATGTGAATTTACCTTGACAGGGAATGATGGTGATTCCATCCGTTTCCGTTTCACCGCACAAGTCTGACTCGTTAATATAGGCCACGAGTGATGACGCTGCAGGAAGATCCAATTCCTTAAGAGTGGATTGCGAAACCCTAAACGCATAATGAGGATCATTATAAGGTAGCGGGAAATCAACACCGTCCCAGAAGACATGTGTGGAACATTCTGCAAGTAAGTTTTAAAAAAAAAATTAAGAAACGCATTGACAATCAGATCGATCATATAAAGTATTACATGCATGGTCCTTTAGAGACAGACAGACAGCTAGAGAGAGAGAGAGAGAGAGAGAGAGAGAGAGAGATTCTTACCGTAGGACGTAGATTGGACGGGAGAAGCAGGAATGGTTTCGTGGGAAGAATAAAGAGACTCCTCTCTGCTCTTCGGTTTACGGTCAGAGCTGCCGAGTAAGGTAGGCTCTAATGGGAGACTGAAGCATATCCGCTCTAGCGGACTATCGAGTGATGGTGGGAGATCATGATCAAGTAGTGTTAAGAAAATATGGAGACATAGACTTGACATCGACTGAAGAAAAGCGATTCTTTTCCTATTTCTTTCGAGAGCACCATCAAACTTTTCAGATAAATATCCTGGGAACACATATCCACTTCCCACATTGCAATGTCCAGACTCATAGAACGATACCTCGAATGCTTATCCGCTGAGATATTATATATCAAAGATTATTAGAGACTCTAGATAAAACAAAACAAAAAAAAAAGTATCAAGAACATTATTAGAGACATAATTCATTCACCTTCTCGGGGAATGATGGTGATTCCGGCATCTTTATAGGCACCGACCAATTTACTGCCGAACTGTTCCTTATCAACATAAGCTATGATTGACATATCATCAAAACGACCCAACGACTGAAGAAACAATTTCGTCTTGTGATAAATCATATCAGGGCCAAGACCCTCAGGGAACGGGAAATCCATCACGTCCCAGAAGACACCTATATACTCTGCGACCGACCAAGGTTTATTAAAACACAGAAAACGCATAAATTAACAATCAGTTCGATCTTATGAAATCATATATCTTACCGGAACAGTCAGGCATGACGGTTTCTTCGGGAGAAGAGGACAATGGTTCGTTCTCTTTGAAAATCGATTTTGGGTGACTTTTTTTATTTTATTTTATAGTTGGATTTTTTTTTTTTTGCTGTTTTATAAAAAGGAAATTTTGAAGAAAAACTTGCCGTTTCCGTTTCCGTTTCCAGATGACACACTTTTAAGGTTGTTTATTTCCTATTCTCTCTTGACGAAAAAAGAAAAAAAAAAGTAAATTACGAGCCAAAATGCCAAATCAGCAAGAAGAACAGAACGCACAAAACAAAACTAGAGATTTCGTTATCCACTAAGCTCGTTTACTCGTTAGCTCCAGTCAACTTTTGGCAAATCGTCATTTTTTTCTTCTCGGGCTTAAAAAAGTGGCAGCTTCTTGTGCAAGTTACATCTAATACTCTTTTTATTTTATTTTGTTTTGTGTGACTTCAAATCTTGCTGATTCCTAATGGTTGATTCTTACAGTTTTTTTGCAATAATTAGTGTTTCAGGTGAGATGTGGATCCAGTAGATCCACCATACATATGATATTACATTGTTTTGTGTTGTAGATCTCCTATCGGGGATCTGAAGAAACAAAGATTGTGGCAATTTTGACGGTCTTGTCAAGTGGAAACGCCTCCATGGCCAGAGATGAGAGTGGTAGAAACTAGAAATAGATACCAAGAAAAGAAGAATTAGCGGAGAAGGAAAAGTGAAGGAAACTTTTATACAGGCGGCGAGGGTTTAGCAGAATAATTAGACCGTTAGGGTTTTTCAAAGATTAGGGGTTTTTCAATAATTTGACTCCCTTGTTTGATTAGGGGTTTCATGTTGGAGCATTATCATTTGAATAAATTACAGAGTTTACCAAAAGGAATATAAAGGCAATACATGTTTTTCATACATAACAAAAGAAAAAGGGAAAGCATCAAAAGAAAAGCGACAATGGAGCCAATTCCCTATTAGTTCCCTAATCGGCACGTAATAGGCATTTTGCAGACCATCGTGAGTGTCCAAATGTGAGCATGTAATCAGGGAGCTCGAAGAGAACATTGCACCCCCTGATTTTCAAGCTTTCAACGACTTTGTCGCAGATTGGGTCTTTGAAGGGCTCTGAGATTACCAGAAAATTGGCTGGTTCCCTAAGACCCCTTCCCCAAGAAATCATCTCCATCAACAAACTTGTAACTTTGCCACATTCATCCTCTTTAGGAAACGGTTTGATATACACTCCAGCCGTGTCATAGGCTTCTGAAAACTCTCTCGTATCAGTGAATACTGTGCATGTAGACATAATCCCTTCATAACCCTTCTTCTCGAGAACTGACATGAAATTATACCAAATCTCGGTAAGTTGGTATGGGCAATTCTGGACCAACAAGAAGACGACTATTCGTTGCGCTGAAAGGTTTCACAAGACAGTTAATTAGTTACATCACTAAACCAGTGTAATATAATATGACATATCACAAGAGAGAGAGAGAGAGATCTTACATGCAAGTTTTATGCTCTGGTCTGTGAGAATCCGACCTTGCGACTTTATGCTTGGGTTGAAATACACTTCTGCTCCAACTGGTAGTCTTTTACAAAGCGACGAAAAGCTGCCAACATTAGACTTGTCTATTGATGTGACCTGATCAGATGGTCTAAAGATGATGTTGTAGCCTCTGCTTTCCAACGCTTGAATAACAGCGCTACACCTGGTGTCGTCTTCAAAAGGTTCTGAAATCAGCATAAAGTTTTGTGGCGAATTATCATAGTTCATTGCCCAGAAAATGATGTTCAGCAACATCCTAGTCAATTTGGCATATTTATGCTCTGAAAAAGAAGAGAAAAAAATATATATATATATATATATATATATATATATATATATATATATATCAATTTGCAGATCAAGAAAAAGAAAAACACAGACATATACAAAGATATAAAAACGACAAGGGTTAGTGTGTACCTTTGGATGTGACTCTGATTATGGGCTTAAACAGAACACGCCGGGGTGTTGTTTTTTCGTCAAACGGATTATCCCCATAGTCCCCATAGTCCTCATCAACGTAAGGTTCAACAATCACTTTGCCATCATAACCCTTGTCGTGAAGAACCCGCTCCACACTCGAAAAATCGGTTGGGCAACCGAGGACATCCCAGAAGATGAATACATCAGATGCTGAAAGGTTGCAACCAAACAGTGATTTTTTAGTTAGTCAATTCAGATATATAGCCGTACAAGCGATTTCGAGGAAGGGATAAAGAGATCTTACACATAAATTTTGTGCGATACAAAGTAGCTAGTCCATTAGAGAAACCAACGACCTCCTCTCGCACAAAACGACCCTCCAGGTCCAAACGAGATGAGAGAATTTGAGGGTTAGGTGGCTCTCCTAAGACGACAGTGTAATGTCTCTCACTCAGAGCTTCAAGTACTTCGAGGTAATCCGTCTTTGCTAGCATGTCTTTTGAGACTACCATCAACGTTTTTGGTTCAAAGTAGGTGGCATGATTTTCCATCGCCCACAAAACGATGTCCACCAACATAGCATGAGATCTCGCTTCTTCATCCCCTGAAAGTATATATATCAAACGTATTAATATAAAGACATAAATACAAGTACCAAAAAAACCATTATTAGAGAATAGGTGAATTTAATTACCTTGACAGGGAATGATGGTGATTCCATCCGTTTCCCTTTCACCGCACAAGTCTGCCTCGTCAACATAAGCCACGAGTGACGACGCTGCATGAAGATCCAATTCCTTAAGAGTGGATTGTGAAAGCCTAAACGCATAATGAGGATCATTATAAGGTAGCGGGAAATCAACACCGTCCCAGAAGACATGTGTGGAACATTCTGCAAGGAAGAAACGCATAAACAATCAGATCGATCATATAAAGTATAACATGCATGGTCTTTTAGAGAAAGAGAAAGAGATTCTTACTCTCGGACGTAGACTGGACGGGAGAATCAGGAATACTGAGAGACCTAGGCAGGGATTCGTGGGAATAATAAAGAGAGTTGTTTGTCCTCTTCCGTTTACCGTCAGAGCTACCGAGTAAGGTTCCACTTTGACCGATAGTCTCTAATGGGGGGATACTGAAGCATATTCGCTGTAGCCGACCAGTTCCGCTTGGTGGGGGATCATGATCAAGTGTTAACAAAACATGCTGACATAGACATGTCATACTCTGAAGGAAAGTGAAGAAAGGCGATTTCTTTTCTATTTCTTTTGAGACCACCATCAACGTTATCAGTAAAAGACCCTCGAAATGCATATCCGCATTCCACAAGTCAATGTCCAGACTCACAGAACGATACCTCGTATGCTTATCCGCTGAGAGAGTATAATATCAATGATTATTATTAGAGACTGTAAATAAAACCAAAACAAAAAAACAAAAAAAAGGTATCAAGAAAGACATAAAATAGGAGAACTCATTCACCTTGTCGGGGAATGATGGTGAATCCGGCATCTTTATAGGCACCGACCAATTTCTCATCGAACTGTTCCTCATCAACATAAGCTATGATTGCCATGTCACCAAAACAACCCAACGACTCAACAAACAATTTCGTCTTGTCATAAATCATATGAGGGCTAAGACCCTCAGGGAACGGGAAATCCACCACGTCCCAGAAGACTCCTATGCACCCTGCGACCGACCAAGGTTTATTAAAACACAGAAAACGCATAAATTAAAAATCAGTTCGATCGTATGAAATAAATCATATAAAGTGATATATGGTTCTTACCGTGATTTCTAGGTTCAACGGAACAGTCAGGCATGACTGTTTCGACGGGAGAAGAGGACATGGTTCGTTCTCTTTGAAAATCAATTTGGGGAATTTTTTTGATTTTATAGTTGGATTTTATTATATTTTACTCACCGACGTCGTTTATTAAAAGGAAATTTGAAGAAATACTTGCCGTTTCCGCTTCCAGATGATACACTCTTTAACGTTTATTTCCTTTTCTCTCTTGACGAAAAAAAAAAAGTAAATTACGAACCAAAATGCCAAATCAGCAAGAAGAACAGAACACACAAAACCAAACGCGAGATTTCGTTATCCACTAAGCTCGTTAAGCTTCTTCTGCCAAATCGTCATTTCTTCTCGAGCTTACGAAAAAAAATGGCAGCTTCTTCTCCATCTCTCCTTCTTCTACCACTAGGTAAGAGCCTGAAACTACTGAATCTTCTTTTCTGACTTGTTTATCTCCAAGGACGATATATTTTCGTCTCTTTCTTTATCTCGACTCCACTTGGAACTCTGGGTTTCTCATTTCGTTTTATATTTTTTGCTTGAATCTCTTTTCGTAGAGCCTCTTAACCAGTACGGTTTAGATTTAACCGGCTTCATTACATATCTTGCATAGTTTCAATTAGAACTGTAGAATGAGATTCAACCAGTTCCTTGTCAAATTGGGTTTTTGGGAATCTGACATTCTGGTTTATGAATTTTAGTTTCAGCAACTAGAAATGATCTAACCATCAAGAATCCAAATACGTCAAGATATATAGCTACAAGAGTCATAGCTTCAGAAACAAGAGTCAGAATCTGTAAAACCAGTGATCTTTGTAGCCGTAGAGACGCAATGGTGTTGCTACTCGGAGTGTCAGGCTTCTCAATGAACTCGCTTGCTGCTTACGCAGCCGGTTTGCCTCCAGAGGATAAACCGAGACTCTGTGAAGCCGAATGCGAGAAAGAGCTTGAAAATGTATGGTGAGATCATCACTCTGATATGAACCTTTGTTCACACACAAATTAAGAGAAAGATATGAAAGCTTAGCTCCCTTTTAACCCTAATTCTCTCTTAGAGATTAAGGTTAATTCTTGGGGCTTGGTTTATTATTAATCAATAGAGACCCTTATATAGGTCTTGATACAACTTTAAGCATAACCCTAATGTAAAAAGGAAATCATGAAAACCTAATTAATAAATTAAAACACCAAAACCATTAACTAAAAACCTTCTAACGACACTACAAGCTCTTTAACCATAGTCTTGTATCATTACTCCCCTCCTCCACTCGGAGCTTGTCCTCAAGCTCCAATTCTGGATATGCATCTCGGAGCTTTCACGTAGTTTAGTAGTCGTCCTCTCTTTATAGAACCTTAACAAATCATTGACAAAGACATGCTTCAAACCCACCAACAAGACATCATCAAATATATCAAGATTGGTGTAAATTTCTGCTTGTTGTTGGTTTCTGATTTGTGGCTCCAACATCAGATTATGTTGGGACTGTTTCTCCTCCACCATGTAGTTTGGTTTCTCTGGAACCATCACCAAGCTCTCCCTTAGCTCCACATAGTCCGTACAAAGCTCCTCGACCGTCACGGCATCTTCGGTCATCTTGTATATGTCTTCCTTTGTTGCCCTTGGTGCATCATCGGTTGACTTCGGTTGCTTCTCAGGTACGTCGAACAGCTCTTCTATGGTGAATTTGATCGCTGGCCCTAGAGTTTTATTGACCCTTGCAGGGTTTCCCTTTAGAGCTTCCTGAATAGAGTCGAGCTTCTCGTCGAGCTTATCGAACCTTGTCTCATCTTGTCAAACAGTTTCTCCACCTTCTCCAAAAAGAGATTGAGCTGCGCCTGAATAGTTGTCATGTCCGTCATCGTTCCGCTCTGATACCAAATTGATATGAACCTTTGTTCACACACAAATTAAGAGAAAGATATGAAAGCTTAGCTCCCTTTTAACCCTAATTCTCTCTTAGAGATTAAGGTTAATTCTTGGGGCTTGGTTTATTATTAATCAATAGAGACCCTTATATAGGTCTTGATACAACTTTAAGCATAACCCTAATGTAAAAAGGAAATCATGAAAACCTAATTAATAAATTAAAACACCAAAACCATTAACTAAAAACCTTCTAACGACACTACAAGCTCTTTAACCATAGTCTTGTATCACACTCACACAAACAACCTTTTGATTCATGACATTGTGGATTGGTTCTGCCTTTTTGTAACCAACGTTACTGTTTTCTTGATTTAAAGGTTCCAGTGGTAACCACAGAGTCAGGGCTTCAGTATAAAGATATCAAAGTCGGTAGAGGCCCGAGTCCTCCGGTTGGTTATCAGGTAAGGGTTGATGAATCAAACCAATTCTTGTAATACATAGGAGGGATACGGTTTCAAAACGTTTGAAAGTGTTGTAGGTTGCTGCTAATTATGTGGCTATGGTTCCTTCAGGGCAAATTTTCGACAGGTGATCCTTTCTCACTCCATACAAATTTACTGATTTATTTTTCATATTTAGCTGAATGAATGAATCTACTATCAAAATGGTGACATTCACTCAAATATGCAGTTCTCTGGAGAAAGGTCTTCCATATCTGTTTCGTGTTGGGTCTGGCCAGGTAATCTTCATATTCATCTGAGCTGTTTCTATCTACACTGTGTCCACACAAAAAAGTAGTTTTGTGATACTTTGTTAACAGGTGATCAAGGGGCTTGATGAAGGAATCTTGAGCATGAAAGCTGGTGGCAAACGCAGACTCTACATTCCAGGGCCTGTAAGTTTCTCATTTTCAAGATTATATAGTAAATCTTAAGATGAATACCTTAAAATACCACTAGAATACCTATAGCAGTTTTCTGTGGTACTTTTGGAAAAAAAAAAAAAAAAAAAAAAAAGAGATTGTAATTTTGGAACATGAACTTATTTTGTGGTATTTTTGAGAGTTTCCCATTTATTATTAGTGTAAACAGAGCTTCTAACTTTACTTTATGCAATCTTTTTTGGTTATGTGAATGGTACAACATAAGTTGGCGTTTCCAAAAGGTCTAGTCTCAGCTCCAGGGAGGCCTAGAGTTGCACCAAACAGTCCAGTGGTGTTTGATGTGAGCTTAGAGTACATACCAGGCCTCGAGTTTGACGAAGAAGAGTGAATCAATTCTTTTTTTCAATAATCTGGAATACACCAACCATTACAGGCTTTCTCTATGATGATATCTCATTTGTATACTTTCATTTCATTGTAGAGAGACCTCAGCTTTATATTTTATCTTTATGACTAAAAAGGCCACTTGGCTTCTCATTTACGTTCATAGCAAGTTGCTACCCAAATAAACCAACCCCACTTTCTTTTTCTGTTTATAGAAGAGAGTGCAATATCAGAACGAGTGGACTGTGTCTTGAGTAGAAACGGTCCACCATCTTAAATAATATCGATATTGGCCCCATAATATATTATCAAAATAATGAATTGCTGATTAGAATCATAGATATTCAGTATCTGGAAATGAAATCGAACACCTTGGAAGAGGTAAAGAACTGATAACATACCAAAAGGCATTATTACATCAAAGCACAAACATTTTATAAATTTAAACGAAAGTACAATACGCTTATGGAAAAGGGGGTCTCTTTGGTTGCTTTTCTTGTAGTCTACTCGTCTTTGCAGTAGTCACAGAAACATTTGATATGTTTGTGTTTGGGACTCTTGACGCACTTACCGCCTTTGGCACCTTTGAAAGTCCGGCAGTTTTGACGGCACAGCGTCGGGAAGAATTTAGGGTTACAGAATGTGGGACCCACGTCTCCACCGTACTCAACCACGCATTTGAACTTGTCCTCGGCTTCTATCTTCGCCGGCGACTCTGCATATTGTAATGACGGTATTAATCTTATGTGTTGTGGTAATAATCTTAAATGAGTTGAGTTGTGTGTGACTTGTGAGAGCGGTAATTTCATAATAATGGAATACTATTTAGGTACTTACCAAGAACGACCAGGAAGAAAACGAACAACACAAGGAAGATGGAAACAGGCTTCATTTTCTTTTGCTTATTTTGCCACTCTGTGTATGCTTCGGTGGTATTTTATAGAGATGTCAAATATTAAGCATATTCGGAGCCAAAAAGGAAGAAAACAAATATCGAGACACGAACGGTCCCGTTTAGATTTGATAAGCTTTTACACAGGTAAAGACGCTTTCCACGTTTTTCCTTTTCAAGCTTCACTGGTTCTCTCTTTTAACCACTTTGGTTTACAGTTTGCTTAATGTTTTTAATCTCACTCTCATCCAATATTTTTAGATAGTTTGAGAGTTAAACCAACGAATAAGCTGAGAAAGATGATTGTTAAAAGTTAAAACTAAGAGCGCAGATATATAAAAGATTTTCTTAACCCAACATCTCGAAGAAGCTAAAAAGATCCTTAAACATGTTCTAAAAAAGATGAACAGAGTAGTACTTTTCAGTTAGAGAGGCTAAGAAAAACAGAAGCAGCAACTCCAATCGCGTACACACCGATCGCCGCTCCGATAAGGTTTTGACCCGACCGAGTTACCGCGCCGATCCCAGCGATCCCGGCGATTCCTAATGGAATCCTACTCGCCACCGCCTTCCTCGCGTTTCCCACAGCGGTTTCCTTGAACACCTCGACGGCCCATTCCTTGAACTCCTCCGGCCCGAGCACATCCTCCTCCTCCTCCTTTACCGTGACTCGGAGAGCTGAGTCGACTTGGGATTGACTCGGAGGAGAAGGGACCCACCTGACGACTAGAGGAAACCGGAGAGAGGAGAGATTCCGGTGGATGTGGGTGGCGGCGGGGAGGAGTTGGTACGGAAGAACTCCGGCGAAAGCATGCTGTGCGAGAGAGAGAGACTCCTCGTATGCTGAGTCACAAGCCGAGTCGAACTCGCGCGAGTTGGATAGTGTCGTTTTGACTCGCTTTGATCCCGATATCCCCATTTCTCTCTCTTCTCTCTGTCCTTGCGAGTTTTACGGTTTATTTATTTATCTTATAAATCACCTTTTTCTAATTAATAATTAAATCGACATTACTCTGCTGTTCACACGTGACATCTGAAGTTCATTTATAATCGGACATCAGTCAGACAAAGCAGAACTACGGAAACATATGTCGCAGTTATAGATTCTCATACGTCATAATTACGGAGTACTACTACTAATTAAGTGAAAGGATGCCAAATTTTTTTCAATTTGTACGTTCGTGTATATTTTTTATTTTCATTTACTTGAAACCATTAACGTTTATTCTTATTACTACATCACATTAATAAACATACGAGATTTAACATACAGGAGGAGGGCGGCTGCGTCTGCGTTTGCGGCCAAACCGTGTAACGATCACTTATAGAATCTGATTCAAGGTTTGTCGCTGCAGAAGTCGCATAAACACTTCATATCACCAGCGCCGGCCTTTCCCGAACGGCATCTCCCACCTTTCGCGCCTTTGTTCATACGGCAGTTCCGATAACAGAACGACGGGTATATCAGAGGCGCACAGTAGCTGAAACCCACGTTGCCGCCATATTCTTTCAGGCACTTGCTATCCTGCGCCTTTATCTCCGGCACTTCTGCTCATTTAGATGATGAGATTTAAGTATATATATTAATCACACATGACATAAAATGAAAATGAAACTTGCTGCGATCCCTGAGGAAAAGAAAATACACTCTCGATCCTATAAATCACAACTTTTAACAAATATGTGAGAAATACAAGTTAGTTGATTTACCAAAGATAACCAAAAAGAGGAAGAAAAAGATGGCCAAAGTAGAAACTGACTTCGTTGCCATCGCTATCTCTCTGACGCTCTCTTTTGTACTGTACTCTCTAGTCTTTAATCTCTAATCTCTCTGTTTCACTTTGGAGTTAACGTATCTATATAAATGGTGTTCATCAACAGTCAACATGGTGCTATGCTTATCTTTATCTTTGGGACACAAAGTTATCATGAAAGCCACGAGTCAAATTAGATGTCCTCACTATATATCTAAACAATGATGCCGTTTGATGACTGTGATGACTGACAAGAAAAGTAAACACTCAATCATAAACAAGAAAGTGACCTATCTTTTATATTCCTTATACAATAGTGGCATAGAATAGTAAAATCATGAAAAACAAAACAAAGCGTTAACGTACAACATTTTCTTTTTAAGTTATATTATTGAACGGACGAATAATTATTGTGTTTTGAATTTCTCTAATGGCAAAATTTGATCGTACCAATATTTGACCATCCTGGCGAAATGTGTGATATGTGTATTTCTGTATATGTTAGTATGTTACGTTACCTATGTGGTTCATATGCGTATATGACTCATTTTCAAAAAAAATGTAAATAGAGAAGGTTACGTTAAAACATACTAATGCAATACATAATATTTGTTTGGATATAAGTAAGTGTAACTGTATACAAAACCACATTATATATTCTTACTAATTCTTTTCAATTAGTCGTAGTTTAATCGGAGACAGAAGTCGCACTTATAATCATTAGATATGTAGAGTGTAGACCATCCTACCGACTAGTTGAAAAGAAAAAACTAAGTTAATGCTCTCAGTATCTCACCATCCCTTCTCTTATGTTCCAATCCCTGACATGATTCATGTTTTTCTCTACTTTGCCAGTAGAACCAATTTGTTCATATATTTCAATTGGTTAATAGGGTTGAGGATGTCTCAATCTATATATTGCAAAAGTTCAATCAAGTTCAAACTTAGAATTGCAAACCATGGGATTTAATTATTTTAACTCTCATATACCAAATTATCAAACTAGGCAACGGTGATCAACTACTTGGACCATTAACCTTTATTACTACATACACAAACCATGACACATACGAGATTCAAACACAGGGCAGCTACGTTTGCGACCAAACCATGTAACGATTGGTTAGAATCTGATTTATGGTTTGTCGCTGCAATAGTCGCATAAACACGTCATACCACCAGCGCCGGCCTTTCCTGAACGGCATGTTCCACCTTTCGCGCCTTTGTTCTTACGGCAGTTCCGGTAACAGAAGGACGGAAATATTCTAGGCGCACAGTAGCTGAAACCCACGTTACCGCCATATTCTTCAAGGCACTTTCTACCCTGCGCTTTTATCTCCGGCACTTCTGCTCATTTATATAGAAAATTTAGGATGATTATATAAATCCCATAGGACATATAATGAAACTTGCTGCCATCACCGAGAGAAATACTCTATTGATCCTACGAATCACAATGTTCAACAAATATATGAGAGATACCAAATCGATTTAGTTGATTAATTTACCAAAGACAACCAAAAAGAGGATGAAAAAGATGGCGAAGGTTGAAACTGACTTCGTTGCCATGGCGATCTCTCTGACTCTCTCTTTTACTTTAGTACTCTTTGCTCTCTAATATCTGTGTCTCGCTTTAAGGTTAACTTATCTGTAAATGGTCTATATATGTTCAATGCTTGTTGTGGACCTTGCATGTGGTGCTATGCTGTTTCTCTTTATCGTTGGGACTAAAAATTATATGAAAGCCACGAGTCACATTAGTCATTAGCTGTCATCAGTATATATCTACGTACAACATAATTATAATAGATACCAAAAAAAAAAAAAACATAATTATAAAATGTTGATATAGATAATGGTTATAAAATTAATAAATAATAACATACTACATATCATTTACGTTGTCAAATATACAAAATATCATGACTTTGTTCTAATATATATCTTGTTATATTAACCACATCACTGACGACGGGTCTATACCGGTAAGCATATATGAACACGTGAACGCCACAAAATAATAACTACACAAGCAAAAGTCGCACGTTTCTTTTCCCTTAGTCAAAGTATACCAAAACATTTTAGACTTTTCTTTATTCTTTATTTCACATTTTTAACTAATCAAATATTATGTGGACCATTCACAATAATTATTACACCTAAATCTTGTGCAAGGACATACCAAAATATTTAAACATACATGATACAATACATCGACTGCGTTTGCGTGGCCCTAACAATAACTAGTTGGCGTAGTTGCTTAAAATTTGATTAAGGCGTATCGCTACAAAAGTCGCATAAGATTAAGGCGTACGTTTCTTTATTTAGTATTTCACTTACTCATTAGTACATGGAACATTAACCTTATTACTATCATTACACATCACATATGCAAGATTCTAGTACAGGGTGACTGAGCGTATAGCGATCGCTTAGAATATAATTTAAGGCTTGTCGCTGCAGAAGTCGCATAAACATTTAACACTAACACCACCAGGGACTGCCTCTCCCCAAAGGCATCTTCCACCTTTTGCGCCTTTGTGTGCACGGCAGTTCCGATGACAGAATGTTGGACGTATTCGAGGCGCACAATAGCTGAAGCCCACATCGCCACCGTATTCTTTGAGGCACTTTCTATCCTGCGCTTTTGTCTCCGGCAACTCTGCTCATTTACATATATAAAGAGTTGAGAAAATAGAAATCATTCATAATGAAACTTGCTCTGCTGGATCACCGAGAGAAATACTCTCTCAATCATATGAATCACAAAAATTGAGAAATATAGAGTAAGTTAAATTACCACAAACAACCAAAAAAAGGATGAAAAAGATGGCGAAGGTAGAGACTGACTTCGTTGCCATGGCCATGATCTCTTCTCTCTCTTGTTCCCTCTCTCTCCGTGGCCTCGAAATCTCTTTGTTTCACTTTGGATTTACGTATATATGTGTAATAGGACTTGTCGCGGTGCTATGCTATTTATCTTTATCTTTATCGTTGGGGCAAAAATCATGAAAGCCACGAGTCACTAGTTGTCAACTTGTCAGCAGCACATATGACTGATAAGAAAATAACAATTACTCTTTTATACTCCTGAAATTTTAGTTTAAAAAAAAAAAATTTAACCATTGTTTATTTTAAAAAATAATACGAAGAAATTTACTAAAATGAAATTATATAAAACAATTGTATTTAGAATAAATCAAATCTCTTGTTCACATGTGAGCATATTACCCATGTCACATTCAAGATTCAACTGTTGTTACAAAAGTCAAAATGTCACTTGTTCACATGCCGCATTCATAATTCACAATAATTCATCTTTGACCAGTAGATTAGCCGCAAAACAATCGGACCGCCGTCCACACATAGTGAAAATATATTGTGATCAGTCAACCGAAAGTCCCACGTTTTATATTCTCTTGGTCGTACCAAAAGTCGAAAACATAACAAAGTCGTACTTTTTATTATTCTTTATTTCACGTACATTATTTTTTTTTTGGTAAGGTATTTCACGTACATTATTGTATTATTACATGGACCATTCACATTCATTATTACACAAACCACACGACTAAAGCTTGTACAAGAGCATACCAAAATATTCAAAACATACGGCGGTATAGTGTCTGCGTTTGCGGCCATAGTGTCTACGGATTAGGCCGGCGTATCGTCGCAGTAGTCGCATAAGCATTTAACCGCACCGCCCTGTCCCCAAAGGCATCTTCCGCCTTTAGCCCCCTTGTTCTCACGGCAGCGTGTGTAACAAATGGTCGGAAATATCCGAGGCGCACAAAAGCCGAAACCAACATCACCGCCGTATTCTTTCAAACACTTGCTATCCTGCGCTTCTATCTCCCGCACGTCTGTTACAATACAAGAACAGAGAATTTGTAAAACGTAACTTTATTAAGTTGTTAACAAATAGATGCAAGAACGGAGAGTAAGTTTTGCTTACCGGAGATAACCAAGAAGAAGATGAAGAGAACGGCAAAGATGGAAACAGATTTGATAGCCTTCACCATTCTTCTCTCTTAGTGTAAACTCACTTTGGGTTCGTTGATATGTGTTTAGCACTTGGTGTGGGTGGTGTTATTTATCTTTGTTTTTAGGACCAAACCGCTTAGCTTTTCGTTCTGTTATGATATAGAACCGAACCATACCAACATTAAACCAGCCGGGTTTTTATAATAAATTAATTATTAATTTGGTTATTTGACCTTTGACTTTCAGCCTAAACACAAAATTAAAGCAATTACTTTACAGTTTCAATTTAACGAGATGTGATCTGAATGATAAACCCCTAATTGGCTAATTCCTAAACCTCTCGCATTCGTCCGGTCACCGGATTGCTCGAAGAAGATTGCGATGGATAATAGCTCAGTTTTCTTCCAGACGGACTGTGGTTCGATACTTTCGCAGATTAAAGATGAAGATGAGCAGATTCGGCTCAAGAGAAGGTTTCTTCTTCCCCTTTCCCTAAATTCACATTAGAAACCTCGAGAAATTTGAGATTTTGGTTATGTCTCTTGTGATTATTAATCGTGGGTTCTCAAGAAAGCATACATGATTCTAGAATCTGGACTATATTGCTTTAATCTCGAATCAACCTCTCTGCTTATTAGGCCTTGAAAAGTTTCAACTTTCAACCTTTCCAAAAAAAATTCAGACTTTATTTTCTCTTTTGATGTCTTTGGTACAGTACTCATTGAATCTTTAAAACCTTGTAGGTGGCTGTTGGGTTGTGATATGTCTGAATCCGAGAACCATTCTCAGGGAAAGACTGACTTTCTCAAATCCGAGTGAGTTGTTTACTGGATCTCTATCTGTTATGCTGCTTGGTTTAGCTGTGATTAACTAACTTTTGAGCTCTTGTTTTATTCGTTTGACAGATTCCTCCCTGAATCTTTCCTCAGGGAAGATGACGTAAGTCTCTCTCTTTATAGTTCACAGTTTTTTTTTTCAGTGAGATCTTATCTCTCTTTGTTGCTAATTGCTATTACAGATATTCTACGAGACCATAAAGTCGCATGTAGAAGAAGCTTTTGGATTCGGCAAGAACGAAGAATTAAGCAATACTGTTCAACAGCAAAAGGAGACGAGTTTCTGCAGCAGCGACGTTGTTAGAAAGCTTGACATGAATCTTGATTCTTTGACGAATAAAGGTCTCTACCTCATTGCAATGTTAGTCACAGGAGGCTCTACTACAACGTTTGACAAGACTCGGTGGAAAATGAAAGAGGCTATCAGGGAATCAATCAAAAGAGACTTCAGAAAGTTAGAGGACGGTGACACTGGAAAGATTGACATTGTTAAGCAGCTGCATCAAGTTCTTAGCGATCCTGGAAACTTCCGGAAAGATTGCAAGATGGCAACAGCCACTTTCCAGTCCCATCGTGATGCTGCGATCAAGGTACTTAACGAGCTTGATGGTTTGTCGACTCAGACACTACTTGCAATGAAAAGGAAACTTAAAGGTTCAAGAATGATGATGCCTCGGTTGAAGACAAGTAGACATGGTCAGAGTCGAAGCAGTCTGATAAACCAAGTGAGGCAAGCTAGCGAGAAGATGCTCTCAGAGCTTTCACCAGGGGATAAACTGCAGGAGCGGTTGGCTAAAGCGATGTCATTAGTAGATTTATCACTTAAGGTAAGTCCTGGAGACAAGACTAGAGCTGCTGCCACAGAGTTTCTCCAGTTCTCACCAGAGACAAAGAATCTACAGAAGGAGATATTGAAGGCTGTCTGGTTACTCCGTAAGAAGGTCAGGTTCCATGATCTGAAGAGACTGCATCTTTTGTTAGACCCGGAAGCAGAAGTATCAAACGACAGCTTGAGATCAGCGGTCAGGAAGATGTTGATTGAGTATCTGTTTGAGTGCAGTGATATGGACACCGTTCCAAAGTCTTTGATGAAGGCTCTTTCATTTGTCAACAGGAGTACACGGAATGTAGAGCATAAGGTATGTCCAAAGGAAGCAATTGAGGAAGAGACAGAGTGTATATTAAATGTTAGTGCACAAGTGAAGCAGATATTTTGGCAATGTGTTCCAGATTATGAGCTTGATCAGGACTTTGGTGATGCTTATATGGAGCAGCGAGAAGACAGTGATGATGATGATGATGATGAGAATTGTGGTGTATTTGGTAACGAGAAATTTGATAATAGAGATGGTACATGCCGAGGCATAAAGCTTGAAGCCAAAGACATTGAAGACGATGCAATTGATTCGTCTGATTCAGATCATGAAGAAGGTGGTGCAGAATGCTCGGTTATGGATGAGACTGACGAGCATTGTTTCAGCTCTGCTGTCAATAGCGTCGTTATAAGAGACCTGACAGAGAGTGTTACAAGAGTTCGTCGTAGGTCTCTCTTTGCCACTCCCACGTCCCAGAGATCAACACTTGTCAGTGATAGACACGACATAGGTACGAGCAAAGTCGGAGGTTTGGCTGAGATGGATATTGAAATGGAAGAAGATATCCAGTTTAGCTCTCAGTCATTGTTTTCTGTTCAAAACATAAAAACTGATGATCATGGTGGTGAGAAGAAGCCAAGCAAAAGAAACAAAAACCAGTACCTCGCAGTCCAAGAAATTTGTGATGAGACGAGCTTGGTTGCGCATAAACTTATTGGCCGCTTGCTAGAGAAATTTGCAGACCGAAAAGGGCTAGACTTAGAAGCTGATGAACGTTCATATCTTGGAGGCGAATCCAGGCTTCAAGAAGATATAGAAGGTGAGGATATAAAAATACACGCATCGCCTTGTTTATCCCTAAAGTCATCTTCTTACTGAAATTTCGCTTGTCTGTTGCAGGGAGCGAAGAAAAGCAAACTTCATCGCAAAAGCAGTCAGATGAGTCAATCACTGTTTCTGTTGTTCAGGAGCTAATGCCCTCTCTTGAAAAGAGGTATACATTTCTTTCCCTTTCTTTCCGTTTTCTGGTATGGAAGCTTTCATGTTGCCTTGAATCTCTAAATTCTTGATATCCGATTTTAACAGTGTCTTGCTGAGACTAAAAGAGTTGATGGAGAGATAAGCTATAGTCACCAAAGTGAAGTAGCAATGGAATGAAGAGGAAACCACCAAAGGATATTGACTTTCAACACAACATAGACTAAGTTTTTGCATCACATTGTATTGATTTTTGCTTAATCCTCAAACTCCTGGCTTATGTAATTTTTGTTCTTTATATGAAAGATGAGTAAACAGAAGTTCATAAGCACATATAACTATTTATTCTCTGATTCATACATACATATAAAACGATAAACATATATATACAGTAATCCTGACTCAACTATACCAAAACTGTCTCTCTCCCTCATGCCTATTGTATAAGCAAAGCTAATTAATATGTGGAGAAATAAACAACATTCTTTCACAGGTGTTATAAACTTCTTCCTAGGTAACAGTTGCTGCCACCAGAACTACCTATAAGCGCAGGCAAATCACGAACGAGAAACTTCACAGTGCATTTTCCCATACCATATAATATCTCCAAGCACTCTTGGAGATCAGAATCTGTAACCAGCATCACCCATTCTTCTTCATCATCCAAGTACTTCAGCTGAAACGACCCGTCTTGCAGTTTAAACCGCTTCCCAACTTCTTCGTAGAGCTGAGAGCATCCAACCGATGGCTCGAACTTGAAACGTATTGTGTCTTCTCTATAAGTGGCCTTTACAGTGAGCGTTGTTGATCCACTCTCGCCACCGCTATTGCTTTTCTGGCTTCTCATTTGGTTCCAGTCGTCCATGGAAGTAGATGAGCTTCCAAGCATAACTGCGCCTGAACCATTAGATGAGTCTGACATGCTGCATGACATGGACCGGTTAGGTTCGATCATATTGCCATTTCCATCTGCAACTGCCTGAGAGCTTAAGTTCCCATTGTTATTTACTCCTTCACTGCCATTGAAGCCAGACTGTTCGGCCATCCAGGCCCATTGCTGACCACTAGCATTAAACTCCATGAATGAATCTGCACAAACAGAGAGTGGCATTTCAGATTTTTAGTTGCTCCATCTAAGGTTTACAGAATAAAAAATACTATAACCTTCTTAGAGATGTTCGTACCGTTTGTGATAATATCATCCTCTAACTTAACTGTATTGTCGACTGATTTAGCATCCAAGAGCTCGAAGGAGCTATCTTCAGGCATATCCTCCTTGCCTCTTACATTAGAAGATAGACCCTTTTGGGTATCAACTTTTTGGATAAAAGGGCCAACTGCAACGAATTCGCCCGTGGCTGAGTCAAACTTGAGTCCTCCGTCTACACCCTGGACCGAGTCAAGCACAGTCTGTATTTTCCTTAAGGACCTGTTCACTTTGTTAATCTTACGAGATGGCCACCTCATGATCCCATGTTGTCTGCATATCCGTTTTAGTGTAGTGGGACAAACTGCAAGCCAAAACGTTAGATCCAAAGTCAAGCGTTAGATAGTTTGTCTGGTATTAGAAATGCATCCATGCTCTGAGAAAATATGGAAATCTCACCACCAAGGCTTTTTGCAGCATCCTTTAGACTCCCAGAAAAATGCTGTTGGAGAACGCTTAAGCTCACATTTTTCTCCGTTGTGCTTTTCTTCTTCTCTTGTGTTCTAGCCTTGCTCATATCCTTTGAGGCAGAACATAAACAAATCAGTACTCAATCTATTAAGACAGAATATAACCAAATTGCATTACATCACATACCTGCTCAAAAGTGCCGTGAGATCCTGTGCTTTCTTTATCAGAGGACATATCCAAAAATATGCTTCTAGTGGAGTAAAGCTCGGAATCCAACAATATCGTCTGAAAGTTTCCATCTTTAGTCGCATCTTTCTTAGTTGCTCCAGCATCAGATACAGTTCTCAGAGTTCGACAAATTCTCTGCATAGTACCCGAAAGGCTGTCTAAAAGAAGCTGTTGTTCCAAGCTTCCTTTCATACTCAGAGGCAAGAAGAGTTCAAGTATGTAATCATCTTCACCAGTGTAAGTGCTCCTCAGCTTGATAGCAACAGCAGCATTCAGACCGTACTTTCGAGCATGCTGAACAAGAGGGTACTCACTGATGTCATACGCCTTCACATCAGAAGAGAAGAAGGGCTGGTTTGATACGAAAGCTTTGCCAACAATTCCTTCCTTTACTCTAAGACAATGCTCCAAACACGCGTGCACAAAGCCTTCCATCTCCATATCATTCACATAACAAGCCGTCTCCTCTATGCAAAGCACACAATTATCACCTGATTTCGGTCCATAAACCCTTGAAGATTGATCTTTCCCTCTCATACAAGGAATCCAGGCTAGAGCTAAAGGCAACTTGTGTGCATGACATACTGCTCGCAGAACATCTTGTATTTCAGCTAAGGCATCTCTTTGATTACTTGAAAGGTACTGCAAAACAGAAATATCATTCAGCTAAGGCATAAAACAACAATAGGTAATGGTTTTTGTTTGCTTCAGATGTTACCTGAGGACGAGGGATCACTGACGTACGTAAGTTCACAGCCTCAAGAGCACGACAGACAGAGTCCATCTCCATATCGAAATTCGGTTTTTCCTTGGATGTGACGAGTTCCATAACAGCACAACAAGAAGTCCCAGAAGCTTCCAAGATAGGTATAGCAATGGAGCCACGGACTTCATTGTCAACTGCATGCTTCATACGGAGATACTCATCCGTCCTGTAATACGTCACATTTGACGTCCATTCAGGTACTCCGGAGATGAAAACTCTGCCAGGAAGACCAGGGAAAGAACACTGGTTTGCTTCTGTAGCAAACGTGAACTTCCTTGACTCCTCACGGTACTGAGAAAGCCTCGGGTCAAGCAAATAGGCCTGATCACAAGTACTGAGCAAGTACTGGTCTCCTGTCTTGACAGGAGTCCAAACTTGTGCTAAAATGCCTTCTCCAGAGCCTGATGACTCTATAAACAAGCTTAATGCCTTAAGCATCTTCTCATCTAAGGAGTGACTCAAAGATCTTGGAATGGTACAGCTCAGCACGTTAGGAAAACCACTCACCCTGCGTCGTTTACCACTTAACTGAGAGCTCGTCTCTTGTTCCGATGATCTTTCTTCACCATAGTAAGAGCTTTCGAAATCATCGAATGAACGAGTGAGACCCGAGAAAGTGGCAGCTTTTGGCTCAGCTGCGTGGAGTGAAGTGATGGCTCCAAAAGGCGTAGGTTGAGAGGTCGATAGACCATACTGAGCAAACAAGATATCAGCAGCGGAAGGGCTATTACACCACGTGGCAAAAGAGTCGAAATTTGTAAGCTCTGAGGAGTTAAACATATCGTCAGAGATCAAATTCCTGCCAAAGCTTAAACCATCCATTTGCTCCGTTGGAAAATCTGAATAACCAAACCCTTTTTCTCTTGATGCAAACGGATTCTCCATTTCGTTCATCAGAGATTGGCCACCAAAAACACCTCAACAACAACAACAATTATGGATTTTGATTCAAACTTCTAGAGTATGACAATCAGGAGAGGATCATTCCATTTGAATCTTGCATACCAAAAAAGATCCTTGAAAATTCCGATGAAGCAAATTTAATGAATCAAACCTCCACCGGTACCCTACAAGAAGACGTCACACGATATCAATCCACAAACTGTTCCCAATAAGTGCAAGAGAATAAATTAGCTCTGAAATTGAAGAGGAACCACAAACTTAAAAAAAAGGAGAAAACTTCAAAGAGGACAAATATCACCGCAGAGAAAGAAATTAAAAGAGACAAAAAAAACCCAAAATTCCACAAATGCGAAATCAGCACCACATTTACTCAGGAAACAACACGCCCATCTCACCCAAAATTGCAAAACTCCAAGAAAATTCAAGAACATTGCAGTCTTTAGTAAGAGACCAAAATTCAGAGTTTCCAGACCTTGTAAATCGAAATCAAATGACGGCCACAAATTTCAAAAAACTACACGAGTGGTCTTCCCACAGAGAAATTGCGGCGAGCAAAGAACAAATACAAACAAAGAAGAGAGTAAAGTAAAAATCTGAGCTTTTCTTTTTGGATGCAAATTTGAAGAGTAAAAATCTGAGCTTTAAGCTAAAGGTGGAAACTTATTCTAGTTTCCATTAACGGGTATTGCGGGAAAGAAGCTTACATTTGAGCTGGCGGAAGCTACATCAGCAGAGTGAAATATGGCCGCTTCCATTAATGAATGAAACACTCGTAAGCTTTTGCAACGAAAGATGTTTCTGGAATCGAATCGGTTTTCTTCTTTTTTCTCTCTCACATAAGAGCTTTTGTGCGTGCGTAAGCAACAGAACGATGCGTTTTGATTCGAGTCATCCACGTGTGACGACGTGATGGGAACTTGGAGTGATATTTTATCATTTTGTTATCCAATTATATCATTTTTTTATTTCAGAATCTTTGGACACGGTATCATCATTTGTCACTGTAATAATGTTTTACATAACCGACATTACTGTTGATTAATTACCAAAAAGGCAAAAACTATTACAGGAATCATTATAATCGAATAAATTATCATTTTCTTAATCTTGTTTTAGTTAAGGAGATCAACAAGAGATGCATGGGGACCCACAATTATATCATTTGCTTGGCCTTAAACCATCATTGCACGTTAATATCCGTGTTTAAGAATATTATATTCTTCTGCTGATGTCACGAATGACCCACTTCCTCTCCTGTCTCACATATTCTCCATATATTAAAAACGAAGAAAAGCTTGATATTATACGATGAATCTTGACCGTCCGATAAAGATTCTCCTTTCGAGATTCGAATTCTCTTTCAAGATTCTTCAAGCGTGGAATCTTCAACAATAAACAGCTAGTCTATGTGTGTATCTTGTAGGACTTTGCCTGTCTCCCTATTTGCTGTAATTTGATCATTTACAACTTTTTATCAAGTACGTGACGTATGCTTAATAAATATCTACTTATTTAAAAATGATTTGTAATCAAATGCAAGATACGAAGGTCGGAAGGTGACAACACAATCAACTCTAGAACTGCACAAGACGACTAGAAACATCCATAATACACGAATCTGATATGTGATTACTAATTAATGTCAGTGATGCATATTTTTAATACACTAGGATTCACAAATCACAGATTTAATTAGACAACTCATTAATTGAAATTATCATTTGTACTACCATTTTTGTAGTCCAATTTATGCCCCACGTTAACCGAAGGTGAAAAGCCTCACTTCCGTGAAAAATAACTACGTACCTTTTCAAACTTCATGCAACTTGTTTGCAAGTAACTAAATATATGTAAATCGTTACGGTGAAAATGAAAAGAAGAAAACTAAATAAATATAAGAGGTCACTATGATTATATAAGTCATTTGTGAAAGGATAATTATATTGTTTTTTTTTTTACTTTGAAGGTTTGCATGACTACTACTGGAGCAAGTATGAAAATACAATCCCTGGCATCACGAGATCCACAGAGCAAAAGAAAGCATGAAAACATGTAGAAATCACGGATGCTTGATTTGCATGCACGGTGATTTTTTTTCCGGTAACATATTTGGTTTCTGAATCCCCAACCCCAGCAAGAAAAATGAAAATTATCACAATATAGAATTAAAACAAATTGTCACAATGATCATAAACTATTGATTTATAAAAATACGAGCATAAACAACATTTTCTCCTCGTTATACATACGATCTATGCCAACAAAAAAAGAAAGTTGAGCTGTGGTGAATCAGTGAGTGGTATGTGATCAATACTTAAAGAGTTTTTGGTTGAGCTTCAAACCCAACGATCCTTTAGTAATGTACATAGAAGAACAAATTTGTTAAAATATTAAATGATATTTTTTTTGTCAACCAAAGAATAAAGTGTAAGTGTTTAGGTCGTAAATGAGAAGATTTCAAAGGTTACTGTTTTCGCAAGTAATGTCAAAGCTGTGACGTTTGGTCGCTTTTATATCATCAAAATATCTCAAAATCTAATCGATGAATCAACCTTTTTGGTTAATTCAAGTCTCATAAACAAAACATCTTTTCTGTAAAGTTTTATTCTTGATGAAACTTATCTAACTATCCAGGCCCAATAAATATCAACGGAAACCCAAAAAGGATCTGAAAGTGCTCCATTGCAAACTTTACGATCAACCTTTGTTTTGGTGTGACATCTGATCTAATAATATCATATCTTCGTTTATATTTTGATCACTGGTCTAATCACATTGCCACATATGTTGTTCAACTATGATTGTATATGATGATCTCAATTACTTGGATGTATTATGGCACCGACTTTTCGATTGGTCCTATAAGGCTATGTAACAATTATTAACACACACATCAGTTTGGTTTTGAGAGATTCATATTGATTTTTCGCAATTTGACTTTAAACGTCAGCCTAATTAAAAGGAAAGGAAAAAAAAACAATAAAAAACATTTCATCAGAAAAAGGAGAGAGAAAGAAGAGAAAGAAGAGAAAGAACAAAAAAAAAAGGAAAAAACTTTTCGTCGATGAAAAAATGGAGATCGGAGAGGAACACCCTCCATGACCATTGACGTTCAGGTTCTTCTCTTATCTTTCTGCATCGATGTATATTGTTAAACTACATTAACATATGTATTTCAGCGCAAAATGTATGTAATGCTCGAGGAAAGTTTCTGTTTTTTGCGCATATTATGATTGATTGGCAATTCAATCTGATCGATGGTTTCTGATTCGTATTGTTTCTGTGTAAATCTGAATCATGATTTGTGGATTAGATATGATCGCAAGTTTGATACTTTCGAAATCTCTGTATCTAGATTTTATAAAATGTGAAATTTTGTCACAGTAAGAGATCTGTGATTCTTCTATTGGATGATCGTAATGGTGAATTTTGATCTGGACCCATAAGTTTCTGCATGATTTCGGTTATTGGGTTATGTTAAAGGATCGTGATTGATGTAGTTTTTTTTTTTTTTGCGTGTTGCTGTAAAAGAAGAGCTGGGAAGTGAGGACTGATGTGTTCTGGTGGAGAAAGAAAACAATGGAGTTGTGGAAACGCGGGAGTAGTGAGTTTGCAAAAAGTTGGATCTTTGGTTCGAGATTTGAGCGAGCCTTGTCTTTCACAGTCACCGATACAGGTTGTTATAACTGTAAGAAGATCTTCTCTTTTACCCCTCTTTGATTCTCTTTTTGTTCATCTTCTCTCTACAACAATGTAACTTCAAGACCTCTGTGCTGAAAGTTTGTTTTTTTATTTAATGCTCACAGATAGGCAAAATGCTTAAGCCAGAGAAGTGGCAGGCGTCTTTTGATAGCGACGGAAGAGTTAATGGTTTCCAAAAGGCGCTCAAGTTAATTATTTTGGGGGTATGTTTTTTCTTTTTCTTTTGCAGAAGAATTTGAATGTTCTTTTCAATACAATGCTTTGGTGTATGTGTATGATGTTGTTTGTTTCTTCCTTATTAGGGAATCGATCCGTCTATTAGAGCTGAAGTTTGGGAGTTTCTTCTTGGATGTTATGCATTGAGCAGCACCTCTGAGCACCGTAAGCAACTCAGGGTAGCTCGAAGGTAAGACTGTTTGATTGAGTTAGTGTTTGTATCATTCCTTAGAGAGAATGCTAATTGAAAATTGGATTTTTCATGCAGGAAGCGGTACAATGAATTGCTCAAGCAATGCCAGACGATGCATTCAAGCGTGGGAACAGGTTCACTTGCTTATGTTGTGGGGTCTAAGGTCATGGATATGAGGAAATCATATAGAGATGAGTCGGCAAAAGCTGCTACTACAGATGAAAACGGAGAAGAAGCTTGTACAGATGATAATGCTAATACTGAAAATCATCACAGTGATTGTAGTAATAACGGTACTGATACATCTCATGCACACAGAAGGGGGAGTTCTAGTGAGTCTGTTGATTTAGTAAGCGGAAGAGAGAGTCCGGAGAGCGTAGTGTACAACACTTCCTCTTTTGTATCTGCTTCTAGTCCATGTCCATATGGCTATGCTTCCCCTGACGGTTATTTCGACTTTCCCTCGCTGCCGGTTACGGATTTGTTTGGGAGGAATAGTTTAGATCAGATAGAGGTTTCTACGCCAGATAAGGAAGCTTCATTGCGGAGTGAGTTGAGATCTGACGAGGAGGGAATGCACAACTTTCGAGTTGATAAGAATGCTGAGTTAGTTAGAGAGCAACATAGGTCCGCTTCCGAGATTGAAGTGATGCATCCGGATTCTGTTGGACCGTCGTCTTCTTCCGGCCATAATGCAGAGATAGTTAGTGGCTTGAGAATATCAGATGTCCCTGAAATGGCATCAGTGAAGGAGACTTCCTCTCGTGTTGGGAAGGTCACAGAAGAACGAGTGTCTGAATGGCTTTGGACATTGCATCGAATAGGTAGGAACTATTCCTTTTCTCTTTGGTTTTGAGAACTTGCAGTTATCTTCTTGCATCTTGTTATAGTTAACTTTCTCGTTTCCTCAGTCGTTGATGTGGTAAGGACGGATAGCCACCTTGAGTTCTACGAGGATCCAGGAAATCTAGGAAGAATGTCGGATATCCTTGCGGTTTATGCTTGGGTTGATCCTGCAACTGGTTATTGCCAAGGTTCCATATATCTCTTAAGTTTTCTTTTTTAGTGAAGGTTTTAATGTTTTAGGATTCTAACTCTCTGGTTGCAAATCTGTTGATAGGAATGAGTGATTTAGTCTCTCCCTTCGTGGTTCTGTTTGAAGATAATGCTGATGCCTTTTGGTGCTTTGAAATGCTAATAAGAAGAACGGTATAAATCCAATGCTTAGTATATCATGTGTTTTTGTTTCTGGCCTTAGTTTGAATCATGCATTATGCTTTTGCTATGTGTAGCGTGCGAATTTCCAAATGGAGGGACCAACTGGGGTGATGGATCAGTTGCAATCACTGTGGCACATATTGCAACTCACAGATAAAGATATCTTTTCTCACTTATCACGTATTGGTGCTGAAAGTCTTCATTTTGCCTTCCGGATGCTTTTAGTTCTGTTCCGGAGGGAATTGTCTTTTAATGAAGCTCTCAGGATGTGGGAGGTTTGTTGTTCTTCTTTTTGCTTCAAATACTGAATCTTTTGTTCAGTCTCTGTTTCCTTAGCTACATTGTCCTAATGGGTATTATCTTTTTGATTGTAGATGATGTGGGCAGCTGATTTTGATGAATCTGTTGCTGAAACTTTGGAGAATGATTGCTTGGAGCCTCTGGTGATTCAGCTTCCAAGGAAACCTGAAGCTGAGGTCAAAGAAGAAACGATAGATAATGGAAATGGTAATAGTGCAAAGAGGGAGCCAACAACTACCAAGAGCGGGCCGATTGCAAAGAGCAGCGGTTTGTTGTCGAGGAGCGGTTTGCTGCCGAAGAGTGGTCCGTTGCCAAAGACAGGTGGTCCATTCTCTGATGAGAGTGGGATGAAGTCGTCGTCACCAACCTCCTCCACATATCACTTCTGTGGTTTGACAAGAAGTCTTTGGTCAAGGAATGAAAGAACAACACATGTCCCTTGTGTTGTAGTGTCATCGATCAAGAAAGGGGATGATGCTCTTCCTGTCTTTTGCGTGGCGGCAATTTTAATCATGAATCGGCATAAGATCATTAAAGAAACTCGCTCGATCGATGATATGATACAGGTAGAAAGTGGTTTCATTTGTGTTTGGTTCTTAATTGATGAGATGCATCTATTCTGATTCAAGAAGATGTTTTGCAGATCTTCAATGATAAGGTTCTTGTGTTTCGGGTGAGAAGATGCATACGTACAGCCATGAAACTTCGTAGGAAATACATGTACAAGGTACTTAGATATGCTCAACAAAGAAAGCTTATGGTGCTGGATTGTTCTGTTTTCGTCATTTAACTTTTGAAGGCTTGTTAGAGTCAGGTAATCAAGACCAAGAGCAACACTCAGGTTCAAATCCAGCATCAAACCCATATGGAGAGCCAGAAGTCGGAGGAGACTCAAAGCCATGCTGAGAAACAGAGCCAAACACCAAGTGTACATCATAGTCCTGCTACTCAGAATGGTGACTAGTCAGATTCCACCTATAACATTATAATAAGATAAAACAAAGAGAAGAAGAAGAAGCTTACACAAGTAGGTCATCTTTGAGGAAGGGTTTCTGTTTGAAAGATTTATGAGTTGACATGTTTGACAACTTTTTTGAGGTAACCATTTTCTTTTTCATCTGAAGAACATGTTCATTCATAATGAAAATCTTGGAATAATCAAAAAAATATTCTGGTTTGTTGCACAATACCAGTAAGTGTTTGCAACAATCTTACATAATTGTTTGGTTCTCTTCTTGAAGCTACAGGAAGGAACTTGGAAGAGGTTGAGAAGCTTGTGACATTCATTTGCTTGGTACTTCGCAAACTGAGAGTCTAAGACTCATAACTAAAGAGGTTAGAACAAATAAAATCTTATTTTCTCTTTTTCGCGCGGGAACAATTTTGATTGCATACCCTTTATACTTATGTGAATATCAGAAACACGAAAAGAATCATATCTCCTTTTAGCTTATAGAGAAGCCTTTTTCACGGCGATTACAATGTAATAAATCACAACAAAAGTTTTATATCTTAAAACACAAATTTTATCAATCTTTTTTTTTTCTGTTTATACCATCTGTTTGTTCTTCTTGCAACCACAGAGATCATAGAGAGATTGTGGTTTTTGTGTTTAGTTTATACGCCTGCAATCTCGTCGTATCTCACCTTCGTTTCTAGTTAACACATTAATCGATCCCATCTTGCTCACGGAAAGAGCAAATGATTTCCGAAAATCCTCAAAACTCTGTGAGAATTCCTCAGAGATCTGCTTGGTGTCATCATTGTAAAGTAGCTGTTGATCTACTTCAAGAACAGATTCGTTTGATAGAATCCTGGAGTAGAATGAGCTCGTGAAGCTGTGGTTTGAGCCTGAGTCCGGGTTCAGGTACACGAGCGGATCGGTCTGGCCTTTCTTGGTACGAGGTGGACATTGCTTTGTCATTTCAGAGAGGAAAGACTTGTTCATAGTCGTGCTTGGTTCACCGGTTAAGTTGAAATTGTAGAGACGATCAACGACGTAGCTGCAATGTGTTCTCCCCATTGAGTGTGATCCTGATTTTAACTATAAATCTTTAGAACTAGAATTTAGTAAAGACTATATGTTTCGGTTTAAAGATAACTGACCAAGAAGTGTAGCCATGTCAAGAACGTTCAAGCCTCTGGATTTGAAGTAAGCCATGGCTTGGTTCCATGAGATGGACGGTAATGGAAGGTCCACGGTTTGCTTGTCCGATGTAAAGCCATCTCTCCTGCCGGTGAACACAGGATAAGATGGTGCACCCGCCTGTAGGCAATCATTTCACAGTAGTGATGCATTTGTGTTAGTGATCGATGCTTATAGGTGAAAGAGAAAGAGAGATTGTAATATTATACCAAATGAAGAGCATCACGAGCTGCGAGGTTAAGAATGTCGGCGCAAGAAACAACACCGGGACATCTTTGTTCCAAGACTATTTTGATTTTGTCTATGATCACGAATCCTCCAAGTCCTCTGTTTTGTGGCGCCATTCTCTCCGAGTTTGGACCTTCTAGAAGAACCGATGCATCGCAACCCTATCATTTATATAGTGTCACGCACACACAAACACAAACACAAACACGATGTAAGAAGACTAAATTAATTCCTAAATGGTCTAAAAACAAAAAAAAAAAAGAATAAGAAAAAACGTACGGAGACAAAGCAATCTGAGTAGAGGAGACGAAGGAGCTTAGGAGCAATGCTTTTATCATTCTCGTAGAACTTGCCAACTTGGTGCCTCACAAAATTCTCGGCGTTCTCGCAAGTGTTGTAAACTTTGTAGTAATGCCACGTCAGCTTCTGCATCGACGGCCCCATCAAGGTTGCCTCCACCGTCACCGGGCAGAGGCTGACGGCTCCAACCACCACCGCAGTGATGAAGATTTGGATCATAAAAATCTCACGGTGAAGCTCTCTGAGTGTCGAATGGAGAAGACAAGAGGTGCGATGTTGAGTACTAGTGAGGGTTTATGTAAGGAGAGTAGACTGATAGATGATAGATTGTGAAGGTACTCAAGGTTTTTTTTTCCACGTGGCATATCTGACTAGTTTTGCAAGCATAATAATCGGATCTCTGTTGAGTTTGTTTAGGTACCGTGTAAGGTAAGTAGCCAGCCCGTAGTGTCGTCTAGGCATTTAATTGCCGTGTCTAGTTTTTTGAATACTTTTGAGAAATAAATTTCCTGAAAATAAATGATCAGTTAAAAAATGGGATTTTCATAAAGATCATGATTTATTATATGGAAATATGTTTTTTAAGATATGTTTTTATGATAACGATGAAATAAGAAATGGTATGCAAAATCATGAGGAAAGTAAATGAAGAAAAATCAGATCGGTTGGGTTTAAACTTTTCATGTGTATGAATATGATAAGAATCAAAGGTCAAAGAAAAAGTACTATATATTAAGACTTTTAACACGATATGGAGTTTGGGATTTTAAAATATGAATTTCTTATTATACGTGTGATATCTCAAAATATTACTCAAGTGTACGACTGTGCGTACATATGATATGCATATAGTTTACGTTTTGATCATCAGATAGTGAAGCAACGTGTTATCATGTGATCTTAACTCGGATTCTGCGCGTCGTTTGATTTCCCATGCAGAACTATGAGATCATAAAATAAAAATATGAGATCGCATTTCTCTTTTATTCATATATATATATATGTAAATTACTATGTATTAAGTATTAGACAATTTCTAAAATGTACAAGGAATGAGTTAAATTTAGTTGCTCACTAAACACGTGATTATAATGTAGCAAAACGACTACGGATGTTTTCATTTGTCATAGTTCGTACAATGATTTGATCGATGGCGACAGGAAATAATTAGTAATGGTCACATAGTGATAGATTAAACAATTGAGCCCATTCTTAATTCACGTTAGCGAATTACCGTGCGCTTGAATTTATACCATTGTCTTGAGATATTGCCATTACAGCTTGGTCTGGATATCTTTATAAAATTAAGACGTGCACAAATGACAATCTTATTTCGATTCAAATTCATGATGTGTAATATATTATAGTTTGTGGTTTTGACTTTTGGTTACACTCCATTTTCTGAATGCACACAGTAACCATTGGACCAAGGTCGGTGATCATTGTCTTATTGTGACTTGTGAGGCATATATTTATTTCTTTCTCCTTTTTTGTTAAAGAACTGCATGAGGCTTGCAAATATTTCGCTACCGTCAAATTACGTAACAGCTTGTTAGGTGTGAATTTTGTTTTTGACATATAATTTGAAGTGAGATAGAAACACAAACAAACATTAAGACATGAGAGGATGTCATATTAATATGCATTGAAACAGCTGGAAACTGCCGATTAATGAATAGTACAATGTATATGCAGCCTGTACTATTTCTCCTTTTCCCCAATTTCGAAATAATTCGATTAAACGTTGAGAACTAAAAGTATACATTATATACTAAAGTTTTGTTTCTTAATGATCCAAGAAAATGTTTTATGTACTTGTCCTTCAATCAGTACAAAGTATTGCGCGTGTGACGCACCCTTATGAAGTTAATCCGGTTATTGTTGAACTTGTTGTATATACGTTAGAACTTAATTAGGAGGAGTCAAGATATAGTGAGAGGCAAGGAAATATTGAGTTTTGATGTTGGATCGATCTTAGGAACTATATATGTTTCAGTGAAGCACCAAAAGAGAGCATTAAGATCTAATGAACCACCAAAGGAAGTTAGCCGGCAGCTCGATGGTCATGTTCGATCGATCATACATGCGTATTATATTTGTTTATGGTCTACGATAATAGTGCACGATAATTTGGTAAGTTTTAAATATAGTTCTTGTTTGTTTGTTAGACCTTTATTGTTGTCTTTGTAATCATAGAGAATTAACTAATTGACAAAATATGTGTCAAAATATAATTAAATCATAGAGCTTATCTGTCTAATATAATTAATTTTGTTGTTAGCTTCAAAATATAATTTATTACTAACTAATTAATAGAAAATGAACTTTTTAGAAAGAAAAAAAAAACAAAACATCTGTTACCCAATAAAAAAGATTCCGTACATCTCACTGTTTTGTCCGACATTTGTTTTTCTTTTATAATAAAAAATCTATCCTTAATATAATACATCACACATATATATGATTATCACATATCAAATTATCTGGTGTTTAGGGTTTTTTTTAAAATCATTTCTTTGGGAGGTTTTGGTGTGTGGTCTATGACGTATTACGACAATTCGACGACACCACGGGAGAGCTCAGAAATGAGACACCAAGCAGGAACCGCCATGAATTGGACTAGTGAAGAACAAGCAATTCTTAGTGATGGTCTTGCTAGGTTAGTGAATCTGATCATAAATTGCTTCTCAATTCTATCAAGATTCGTTGTTTTTCTGTTGTTGTGATTATTTTTTTTTCTTTCACGAAGATATTCTTTGGAACCAACTATATCACGTTATGCAAAAATCGCGTCAAGGCTTCAAAACAAAACCATTAGGGACGTTGCTCTTCGTTGCAAATGGATATATGTATGTACATTCTTTTCTCTTTCCTTCTTCTTCAAGTTTTGTACTTTCTCTCTGTTTCTCAATTTAGTTTCTTCCGTTTTTTTGTTTGTTTTTGTTTGGTTGCTGCAGAAGAAGGAAAGTAACAAGAGAAGAAAAGAAGATCACAATGGATCTAGAAAAGCAAGAGTTGATAATAAGGTTTAAAGATAAGATCTCTACGTGTTCTGTTTTTATCTACAAGAATTTTTTGTTGTTATCTGAATATTCAGGGTTTATAAGTTTGAAACATCTTATTGACCTAAAAAATACATGTTTCTTGTTTGATTTTTTGTTCAGGAGATTATTGATATGGTGGTGGCTTCAAACTTAGCTCCACATCTATTACCTAGAGAAGAAGATGGTAAGAATATCTCTTTAATCCAAATTACTGTTAAAGATTTCAGACGATGAGATGGAAACATGATGAAAACATTCGTTTAATGAGATGCAGGAATCACCTATGAGCTTCTTAAACAGAATGAGCAATTGTTCAATCAGATTTCTGCAAATCTCACATCATCAAGGGTAAACTATAGATTCCTTTCAAATCATAAATTTAGATATCTTGAAGGAAAAGTTATTTTACTTCTTTAATTTCATTACAGTTAACAGAAAACTCGATATTATTCTATAAAATCCGTGGAAACATCAGAGAACTTCTCAAAAAGTAAGTAAAATTTCATCAACTCTGCAAAATAGCATGTCTATATATGTTGTTGTCTCTTTCATTTGTTAAGTGTATTATCATAACTTTTTTGTGTGTTTGTTGATCTTTAAAGTTTGAATGAGAATGTGCCGGAGACGATGAAGCATATGCCACAGTTGCCGGAGAAATTGAACGATGATCTTCTTGATTCATTCCTTCCTCCCACAGATCTACCAATGCTACTATGAATGAACCTTTGTTTTTTGTTCTCTCTGTTTTTCTTCTTTGCAATTCAATATCTTCAAGACCTTATTCTAATTGTTTTCAGTTTACTAGGTTTTCTAGCCCTAGCTTAAAGCACAAGTTTAGATATTTGTAATTAGTTGATGTATCAATCAAGTAACATTTGATAGAGAAATTCACTCGGTTCATACCCAAAATTCGTAATATCAAACATAAAATCCATTATTTATACACAAGAAATCAGAAAAGAAGCATTACACTTTGTGGTATTAATGCTTCCATGCCATGGAGTGACCATCTTCAGTGTAAGGCTCAAGAAATCCAATGAACTGCAAACAGAACAAAAGCCACAAACAGAACACGTTGAATCAAAATCCAATTAACTGGTAAAACGATTGTTGATCAAACATAATATAATGTCTAGAACATATCCTGTATAGTCTCAAAGCTATATACTTTGGTTCCATCACGAGACCAACGTGCTCCATAGCCTTGAGCTACTCTTATCTCGAACACTTCCCCGTGTGGTCGAACGATATGGATGTTCATCCAGCAACATTGGCTAATGAAGCGATTGAAAATGTCCATCGCAAGCCTGTTTTTCTCTGAATCTGAACAAAAAAAAGTAGACAGAGAGCGAGATTCAAATACGGAAATGCACCAGTGTCTTGCGCAAATTTGGTTTACTACTTACTAACTCACTTACCAGTTCCATGAAGAACACCCCAAAATCTATCGCTACTTCGATCTACATGTTTGGCTAACGCTCTAGCTCCATGGCTCAATGTAGAACCTTTTATCTCAACGAAAACAACAAAATATAATTATGTCAAAAACCTCCAATATTGCCAAAAGATTTACCATGATGAGTTTTTGTGGTACCTTTGGTCTATACGGAAGCATGAATGAAGAGTGTAGAATCGATCTTGGAGGAGGCAGAGCATGAGAAATGGATCCAGTAGTGTGAGAAAGACCCAAAAGACTTTGCACGCCTGTGTAACTCAAGCCCTGCAAATTTCAGTATAGTTTTTGGAAGAAATGTAAGATTAAAACGAATGTTAAATTACAAAAATTAGACATGTAAATCCTCGAAGCTCACAGAGAGTATGTGAGACAAAGCGACACAAGGCTGAACAACTGATTTAGTAAGATGGATTGCGACAACACCATTGATTTTCTCTTGATCAAACTTTCTAAACATTTTCATACCTAAGAATGTGTAAACTTTGAAACAGAACTCACACAGAAGCTAATGGGAGAGGATCAAGATAAAAATCAAAGCTTTACCTTCTTCCACTGTTTCAACGCCAGGAAACACTTTCTCTGTACTCTCGGCTTTCAACAACTCGTAAAAGGACGGATATTTGTGGAATTCCTATATATATCAACATTTAAGACGATCTCTATCACAAGTTGCAGAGAAACATGAAAGCAGAAGAAAAATGATGTAAGCGATATATATCTCACCAGAACTTCAAACATGAGACATTTATTAATCATAATCATAGAACCTCTTTGTTGAAGTCTGAAAAAAAAATTCAAACAACATTTTGTAAACACAAGAAACACAAAATTAGAGGATGCAACAACTTTTTCACTTCCTATACCTATCATACTCGGCTTCAAAACACCTTGCTTCAATTGTTTTGATGCCATCTAATGTATCCATTTAATATAAGTCAAAATCTGATCAAGAACTCTTGACGGTGGACATTGACAAACGGTTAAAAAAAACACAAAATTTCAAGCATATAAAATGGAAATTAGTACCTTTCATGAAGGAAAACAAGGGCTCTTGAACTTGAAGCTCGCAAACTATTTCCTTCAAGACCTGTCAGGATATTGCAAAAGTAACAATAATTGAAATTTTTCTGTAACATTCAAAAGCAAACAAAAAATCTAAGCATTGACGACTCTTATTACCCCAATACTACCAATCAAATTCACAACGAGAAATTATGCCTTGTGAAGTATAATCGACGATGACTCACATTGACTAACTCGGAACCTTTTAGGATAATGAGTTCGCCCCATTCAGCTTCTCTCTCCTTCAACCAGATTACTTCCTTCGCTAATGAAATCTTCTCAAAGGTTCCACAGAAGGAGCCAGAATCAATTGACTTCAGCAGACTTAAGGCAAGACGCTTGTACAATGGATAAACAGAAACACCTCCAAAAGCATCTACAGTATCTGCATAAACAACAAAAGAAGAAGCAGATTTACTCAAAGTGATAAAAGCGGGCAACGAATTGGTTTATAGCAAAGCGATTGGATTTGATCAATCACCGGCGTGAATAATTGGTTCGCCGGAGAGAAGGCCGGAGCAGAAATCATCGGAAAGCAGTACATCGAGATCTGAAGGGTTTTGGAGTGTGAATTTCATCATTTCCTCCATGTAATCTCTCAATCTATCCATTTTCACTCAATCCGAACAATGTTCAAACTTCAAACGTACTTCCCATTTGTATCTGAAAACATTTGGGATCTAAATGTAAATAACGCCGTAAACAAGGACTAAATTGAAAAATGAAATTAAGTTTGAGAAAGTTTTAGTTTTATAATTGGGCTTTAAGCCCAATATGAAATTGAATCCATAAGAGTTCTAGGGTTTACAGAGATCCCTCTATAAATTTGTCGACGGCGGTTTCTCGGTATTCTTCTTGCTCTCTGTGCGGCTAATTTCATCAAGAGATTCGACAATGGTACTTTCTTCTTCTTCCTCTGGCTTTCGATTTCGATTTCGTTTCATCTTCGACGTTCCTATTGATGTGTACTGATTTGGTTTTCGTAGCTCGTTTTACTGTGTATATTATCAAATAGCGTTTGCAATCGATTCTCCTGTCTCTTAATCTCGAAATGACTAGCATGTATCCATTTCAGCTTGATTGTAGCTTGTTTCTTTGATTAGGGATCTAGTAAAACTTGTAGGGTTTCAGTTAAATTGAGTTTTGGTGTACTGTGCTTTTGTCTGATGTGAATCATTATCCTGTGGATTTTCTTAAGATGAATTTGAATTGTATATGTTCTCCTGAACGCTGATTATTATGAATGGTAAATGTGCAGCCGAAGCAAATCCACGAGATCAAGGACTTCCTTCTGACAGCGAGAAGGAAGGATGCTCGATCTGTGAAGATCAAGAGAAGCAAGGACAATGTCAAGTTCAAGGTCAGGTGCTCTAGGTACCTCTACACGCTCTGCGTCTTCGACCAAGAGAAAGCCGACAAGCTTAAGCAGTCTCTTCCTCCAGGTTTGTAGTCTTGTCTCTGCTTCTTCTGTTCTTGTCCGCGATCATTTGAAAACCTAAGCAATATTGGAGTTTGTCAAATTTTGTCCTAGACCTAGTTTTTGTGAATAACAATTCTCACACTTGCAATCACATTTTGATCGACCTTTGCTTATTGTAATACAAAGTAAACTATGTTCATGAAAGCGTCTTGATTCTCTTTATATGCTGTGTTGATTCTGGAATTCTAAGTTGTGGACTCTGTTACAATTTTTTCAGGTTTGAGCGTTCAAGACCTTTGAAGATGAAGCCAAGTCTCCGTTGTGATGAATCATCTGCGCCGATTTATGATTTTCTTTAGGAGAATATGTTTTGCGACGTTAAGTTATGTTCAGACTTTTCCAGTTCGAGTGTGTTTTTTGGATTGAATTCAGTTTTATAATCAAAATACAGTCTTGCTCTTCTATTCAGTGTTTATCTACTTAACCTCATATCTCTACTATTAATTAATATCAAGTTCCTCGAAGGCATAACCGTAACTTAAATTCAATTTATACCTAATGATTGTTACCTTCAGAAAAATTCATTATATCTGCAAAAATTGAAAATTTGAAAATATCATTTCTTGATGATCAATTGTTCCGTTTTAGTTTTATTTGTGTCAAAATGTAAACGAAGAATCTTTCGTTGGAGCTTGGGCTTTTTGTGGGTACTTGTTGGCCTTTGGTCCCAAAACAATTTTCTCTAATTATTTTTCTTTATTGTTCATGAAGTCTACTGTAGCTTGGGGTCAAGTGTAAAGTCTAAACTAATCAATTTCCACCTACAATTTATTGGTGGGAGTTTTCAAAACAGACCCGAAATCTATCAGAACATCAAGACTACACTCTTCGGTTCGGAACTATACTAGACTGGTCCGATTACGACTAGCAAATGAGAGATTTAAAATCGGTTGAGCGCGTGTAAAAAGGATTGAGAGAAAGCACATGTGTCGGTCACAATTATGACTGTAACATTCACTTGTTCATGCGTACTAATTTCTTTAATCAAAACAAAGGTTATTTTAATCATTAATGTCGACATTAGAATTGTGCTTTACACTTAATCCAAAGGGACGGCAGCAAACTTGACATCTTCCTCTATAGCAGACATTTCTATCCAAAATACAAATTCTTTGTTGGGTAAAAAAACATACGTCTTGTCATGAAAAATACTCAAGAAAAAGTCCCTCATTTCAACAAAGTAAGAAAGCAATGTAATAGCTTGGTTAAAGACTTGAAGGCAGGAGCAGGTATGGTTTAAACTTTGAAGCATATATGAATTGTCAAACGAAACGAATTAAATGTAAACCAATTAGGCCAATCATATGTTTGAAAAATGTGTATGGAGTTATGGACTATGAAGTGAGGTCAGAGGTCCTATACAATAATACAAGTGGCAAGTTTCAAGAAGATAGGCACAACTCTTACTGGGCTGTTTTGGTGTTGTTGAGACACATACTATGGTCTTAATTTATAGGAATAAATCAAAGATTAGCTTTTATTTTGTAATCTAAAATTGTCTCGTCACACCTTTTCCTACATTTAACTGTTTTATTTAAGGTTTCAACTGAAATCATAAAGAAAATAAAACAGCTAAATAGTTTTGATATGGTCTATATACATGTGACAACCAGACATAATCACATACAAAACCAAGACGATATGTCCTAGTAATACCATGTAACGACTGAATCTTGACCAAAGGGAATCTTTTTTTTGCTTCTTCTTTTGTTGTGTTCGACCCAAAAGGAAATGTTTTTTTCTTGCCTTCTAAAAGGGAATCTAATCTTTAGCAAAATAGGTAGAAAACTACAAATCATATTTTTTTTTGGTCGTGTAAAACTACAAATCATATTGTGAAACCGTTAAAGAAACAAAATGTCAAAAACCATTAGTAGTAAATATTTACTACTGTTTCTGAAAATGAAAAAAAAAAAAGAAATTATTAACCCCGTGGTCGAATATTTATAACCAAGTTTGTGAATTATGTGATGGCACGGAACAATTTAATTTGGGGGTATTTAGTAGTTGAGCTATATTAATTTGACTTAAAAGCGAAAACAAAATAAAATAAAATAAAAAACGAGTAAAAGCTGTCTCTAGCTCTCTGACGTCTTTCCTGTCGAAGTCGCAGACTCGTCATCACAGCTCAGGCCAAATTCTGGCTTTGTACGCGCTAAATCTCTCAAACAGGCCTCGAAGGTAATCGATCGTCTCTCTCTCTCTCTCGTTTCTATCTGAGGAATCTATCGGAGAGAGGTCGAGAGAGAGAGAAAAAAATAAAAGGGGAGAGAGAGATAGAGGATGCCAATCATCTCCAAAGCTTCATCTACCACCAATTCATCGATTCCTTCGTGTTCTAGGGTTTATCTCTCTCCCCACCTTTTTTTACTCTTCTTTTTGATTCAGTATTCGCTCGAAACTTTTGAAAAAAAAAAAAACGATGATTCCGAATTTCCGATCCGGTTTTATGATGGTTGGTACGAGATTTTGAGTCCTCTGTTACTGGAAAATTTCTTAGCTCAGATGTTTGTTAACTTACCGATCTTCGTTTGTGTATACTGGAAATTTTCTATAGATTCCTTTGATTGGGTTAGTGTTGCGTGTATTGAACTTGTCTTAGTAGAGTCGATTTCATTTGTATGCTTTTGTGGATACCAAGTCTTGGTTTTTACCCTAAGGATCGGCTGAATAGTCAGCTACTATATCATGTGTTTTGGTGAAACTTGCAGTTGAATTATCTAAAGCTTCTATGGTCTGCTTTTTGTAGTAGTCCTATCAGATTGTGATTTGTTGATCTATCCATGAAACAGATTGGAGGTCAGCTTTGCGTGTGGCCCGGTTTGAGACAGCTTTGCCTCAGAAAAAGCTTATTATACGGAGTGATGTGGTTACTATCGATGCCTTTGAAAACACTGCGTGGAGCCAGGAAAACCCTTAAAATCACACATTTTTGTAGCATTTCCAACATGCCGTCTTCGTTAAAAATCGAACTGGTTAGTACGCTTCTGTATCTTATGCCAGTGCACTTACTTATCCTGAAGATATGAAAATATGATGTATTTGTTGGGGATGATGTATCAGGTGCCATGTAGTAAAGACAATTATGCTTATCTATTGCACGATGAAGACACCGGCACCGTTGGAGTGGTTGATCCTTCTGAGGCTGCACCGGTTATAGAAGCATTGAGCAGGAAAAACTGGAACTTGACTTACATATTGAATACTCATCATCATGATGATCACGTAGGGGGGAATGCTGAACTGAAAGAAAGGTATGGCGCAAAGGTAAGAGGATACTGCTTTTTGCTACTTTGCTTAGGTGTTCTTTTGCTTTGATGCTTCTGCGATATATTCTGAAGTGGTTTTATGTTACCGACAGGTGATTGGATCTGCTGTGGATAAGGATCGGATTCCTGGGATTGACATACTTCTGAAGGATAGTGATAAGTGGATGTTTGCAGGGCACGAGGTTCGGATAATTGACACTCCTGGCCACACACAAGGTTTGTATCTCTACTTCTCTACAGTCAAGTATTGTAACATTGCAAACGTTTGGTGGATCATATCTTAGTAACTTGATTTGTCATTCTCGATACATTGTATTTGTGTAACTGTTTTCTCTTTTCATCATTTTAGTCTAGAAAAGCTAGTAATTTATGAATACTTGGTGCTTTGTTATAGTCTCTTAAAAGTTCTTATTCTTAAGCAGGCCATATTAGCTTCTACTTTCCCGGGTCAGCCACAATATTCACAGGAGACCTGATATACAGCTTATCCTGTGGAACGCTCTCAGAAGGTACCCCAGAGCAGGTAACACTTTCTCGTGACAATGCTCTAAGTTCTTTTGTGGGTTTTGCAACTTAAGAGTTAAATGTCATGGAGTTGTGAGAGAGGAGTGGAGTGCTCGAATAGCCTGACTTCATCACTTTTGTTCTCTGTACTCTTTTGACAATAATACTGTCTTTTTTTCTTGCCTGTGTCTCAGATGCTTTCATCACTCCAAAAGATCGTCTCTTTACCGGATGATACAAATATCTACTGCGGTCGTGAAAACACAGCAGTAAGTTTTTTTGCTCACTTGTAAATGCTGTCATATCTTACATAGTTCTGGACTCATTAAATTAAATTTATAAATGTTTCTTGAAACAGAGCAATCTCAAGTTTGCACTATCCGTAGAACCAAAGAACGAAACTCTTCAGTCCTATGCAACCCGAGTGGCCCATCTTCGTAGCCAGGGACTCCCATCGGTGAAAACTCTTCTCTTTTCTCTTTTACCTCTCTCTCTCTCTCTCGCTTTCTAAATCTCTTTCTTGATTATATTTACTGGTTTTTTCTCTGTAGATTCCAACAACTGTCAAGGTCGAGAAGGCGTGTAATCCGTTCCTCAGAACATCAAACAAGGAAATCCGAAGATCTTTAAGCATTCCAGACTCGGCAAACGAAGCCGATGCATTGCGTCGTATATACAGAGCCAGAGATCGTTTCTGAAAAACTTTGGTATCGTTCTTTAATTGTATAGGAAAAATTGGAAGTCATCATCAGCAGCTGCAAAGATTGATATTTTTATATGTTTTGGGGTTTTTTTCAGCTATCATTTGAACTTTGTATTTAAACAAAAAACCATCCAAATATCTAGCTTGGTCAGTTTATTAAGTGTAATATATGCTTTTTCGATTTGATAATTGATAGTGATATATACATTTTCTAGTTCCCCACTTCATAATTCGTTTGGTGTGGGTTGATGGATTTGGCTCACCAAACCGTATAAGTGAAGTGACAAGTGACAACTAAAGCGTGCGTCTATAATTTGTTTTTGACTGCAATCAGCCAATAGTTTATGCTATTATCTTACAAGGAATATAATTCATATAATTAAGATCTACAAATCCTTAAGTTTTACGTTAATTACAAAAACGTCAGTAAATTATTATTATCACAGAATGACAAACGCTTTAGCCCAAACAAAACAAAACAAAAAAGAATGAAAACGCTAAAATTTCCGCGAGTGGAGAGGTTTGCAAGCATAATGCGATCTGCCCGCCAAACAACGCCTTACGCATTCGGCATTCTATTCAGCTTTTTGCACCGACTCGGGCCTTTTTCCCCTGAGTTGACTCGCGAGGCGATATAGCTTGAGGGGTTTATTCGAGAGACGATAGCAATGGAGGACGATGCCTTTCATGACGATTCTCGACTCAATACCTGTGTCGTCCTCGGCGGCCGAGGGTTCATTGGCCGATCTCTCGTCTCCAGATTGCTTCGACTCGGAAACTGGACAGTCCGAGTCGCTGATTCCGCTCCGACTCTCCATCTCGACGAGTACGATTCCGACCTCGAGGATGCTCTCTCCTCCGGCCGCGCTTCTTATCACTCCGTCGATGTTCGTGATAAACCTCAGATCGTCAAAGGTTCCTTTTCCTTATTCCCTGTGTACTACTTATCCTTTCGATTCTGGATGCAAATGGGACTTTGATAAAATGCAGTGGGATATGAGATTTTGGGTTCTGATTGAGTAAAATGCATTTGAGCTTTTGATGTTTTGGATTTTGGGCTGTGATTGTAAACAACGTTTCGTTCATTGCAGTTACTGAGGGTTCCTATGTGGTATTTCACATGGGAGCTGGTGATTTACGTTCTCATGAGTACTATCACTGCTACAAGGTTATAGTTCAAGGTAAAGTTCTTACTCATTCTAGACCAATATAGCAGTGGAAATGGGTGTTTAATCGATTTCTCATATAATTCATTGACTCCAACAGGCACGAGAAATGTGATTTCTGCTTGTCGTGAGTCTGGAGTCAGAAAACTTATCTATAATAGTACTGCGGATGTCGTCTTTAATGGTTCCGAATCTATACGTGATGGTGATGAATCTTTGAGACGTCCTTTGAAGGTAAGCACGGAGCATAATTGTTGAATTATTTCCTTGCTTTTGTTCAGGAATGATATGTGGTTTGCTATGGCTCTGTTGCAGTTCCAATCAATGTTGACAGACTTCAAAGCTCAAGCGGAATCGTTGGTCAAATTTGCTAACAACCGTGATGGTCTCTTAACTTGTGTACTTCGCCCTAGCATTGTGTTTGGACCTGGTGACACTGAGTTTGTACCTTTTCTCGTGAATCTAGCCAAATCCGGATATGCAAAGGTCTGACCATTATTTCATCCCATTATTACGTTGATGTTTCTATTGTTGGATCATGTTATCATAGAACCTGTTCGTTATGATTTGCACCAATAACCAAAGAATATTATACTACGTTGGGCAAAAGGTCTGACATAACAGACACTTCGTCAGCTAGATACTGATAAGAGCCAACTCCTATAATCCAAAATATTTCCTTCTTTTGTATGAGATACCAAAGCGTGTATCAGATACATAACCATTCTATCATCTTATGATGCCAGCTAGTTTTCCCTTTGGATGGCTTTTAAGCTTCGGGATTCTCTTTCTTTTTGGGGAATGACTGTCTTCTTATTAACATTTCAGTTTAGAGTCGGGAACGGTGAAAATATGTCTGATTTCACTTACTCTGACAACGTTGCTCATGCACATATTTGTGCCGTAGAAGCATTAGATTCACATATGGAATCTGTGGCTGGAAAGGTAACCACGATGCCCACTTATTTGCCAAATCACTCCCGACAGCATAACCTTTATATATGATTAAGTTTTTCTGTGCCGATTGTTTGTAGGAATTTTTTATCACTAACCTCAAGCCTGTCAAATTTTGGAACTTTGTCAGCCAGATAGTTCAAGGTTTGGGATACCCAAGGTAAATGAGCATTTAAACAGTTATTGAAAAAACGAAACTTGTTTTGAATTCTTTAATTGTTTCGTTTCCTGAAGCATTTGCATTCTTATTATCTTTCTGTTGGTAGAAGTCATGAACTACCTTATCTAGTGCTGTTTTGAGTAGGGCCACATTTATTATGATTTTAGTGGGGATTCTCTATGTGATATTTACTATCTTAATGGGTGTACATGTTTCCTTCTCCTATTTCCTAGGGTATTTGATAATTTCTAAAAGTTTCAGATCCCTAAAGCCAAGTTTCTGGTTTACCTGATTTGATACTTTTTCTTGTATTTTATTGCAGACCATCCACTAAACTTCCTGTTCGGCTGGTTTCATCTGTTTTGTCACTTCTTAAATGGACACAAGAAAAGGAAGGCGTCGGAGGTTATTATGACACAGCTCATCAGTTTGCTCTGTTAGCTTCCTCAACGAGAACTTTTAATTGCAATGCAGCTAAGAAGCATCTTGGTTACACACCTGTTGTGACACTTGAAGTAAGTTTAATTTGGATAAGATTTTGTTTCATCATACTCAGCAGCTTGATAGCACCCATGGATACTTATGCTCTTGTTCGACTCGTAGGATGGTATTGCATCAACGCTTCAGTGGTTCTCTCGCGATCTTGAGAAATCTGATGATACAATCATTCAATCTAAAGCAGATCAGCTTCTTGGTTGTGGAAAAGGTTAGATACATCTCACTCTTAGCAATTATATTATCTATTGAAGTGTTCTTGAGTAAGTATTTAACCATATTGATATTGGTTTAAGTCCGTTTGCTGATAAGAATCTAATCTCTTTAAATTGACCAAACTTTTATTTTATGTTCATGCAGTTGCAGACATCTTGCTGTGGAGAAACGAGAAGAATACATTTATATCTTTCCTTTTCCTCAACCTGTTATATTACTGGTTCTTCTTTTCTGGAAACACATTTACTTCCTCTGCAGCGCAACTTCTGTTTCTGTGTGCTGTTGCTCTCTATGGACTCGCTTTTGTGCCGTCAAACATGTAAGTATTGGTTTTTTAAAAAGTGGGTTTCTCTTTACCAATGCATTGAACTTATTTTGGGATAGTACAAAACTTTGATGCATCCATGTACAAATGTTTCTCTTTTGAAAGTGACCTTTTTTTTTCAGCTTTGGGTTTCAAGTCAGGAAAATACCCCCGTGGAGGTTTGAAATCTCGGAGTCCACAGTGAGAGATCTTAGCAGAGATATCGTAGTTGCATGGAACCACGGAGTTCGCAGTTTTAAATCCTTAAGCAGAGGAGGAGACTGGATCAAGTTCTTCAAGGTACAATTTCTAGTACACACTTCTCTTTTGCTCACCAAACATGAAAAAAAGAACTCATTTCTCTTTGTTTCCTTGAACCAAAACAAAAACAGATCGCAGGATCACTATATCTCCTCAAACTGATCATATCCCATTCCTTGGCAACATTTCTTTTCACAGGTACTCATACAAAGCTTTTGTTTATATACTTTGATACAAACACAAAACCGTTCTGGTCATAACATCTTTACACTTTTTCTGAACAGCGATGTCCTTCTCGTTCACCGCTTTTTTCGTCTATGAGCAATACGAGCTTGAGCTCTATCACCTAGCCAGGGTCTTCATAGAATGCTTAACAGTTGTGAAAGGGACGGTGCTGAAGAATCTGCCTCTTCCTGATGCTTCATCTAAACCAATGTTCATGTGAAAGCTGCCAAACACAATTATCTCTGAGACTAACCGCAATTGTTAGATGCCTATGTACTGATCGATAGAGATGCTATGTTTCTTTTTGTCTTCCTTTTGAACATCGATAGATATACTCTTAAAAATCAACTGAGTGATGAAAAAACGCGGTATTTACAGTTTTGCCATACTTCTTATTAAACGTAGCGTTTCGGTCTTAAACTTGTAGAGAATCCAAAAAGACAAGTAAAAGAGAAAATAAAATAAATGGCAATTATCCTTTTTAATTTAGTCGGCATCTATTTATACTTTCAAGAGCCGCCGATTCGTATAGCTCTTTTTCTGTGGCTTCTCTCTTTTCTATCTTCTCGTCTTCCAAACTCTTTCTAGGGTTCTCTATTCTCCTCTCTGTAGTTAGGATCTAAACAGTTAAGAACGCATCTTTCTCTCAGTTTTTCGTGTTCATCGTTTGCTGAATCATCGCACAATTCGTCCATCGTTCGTGCCCGCCTCGTGGATATCGAAATCTCATCGACCTCAAGGTAAAAAAACCAATCCGGCGATTCGAGTTTCGCGCCGTGGGATTGCCGATTGACCAATCCGCAACTCTGAAGATGGCGTCAGTGATGAAGCCTTTCCGAGCACGGGAAGCCGAAGATTTCAAATCGAACAATCTCTGGGTCGGTAGCCTTACGACGGATACGACGGAGTCAGATCTGACCGAATTGTTCGGTAGATTCGGCGATGTCGATAGAATCACGGCATACTCTACCCGTGGCTTCGCGTTTATTTACTACAGACGCGTAGAGGAAGCGGTGGCGGCGAAGGAAGCGCTTCAAGGGGCGAATGTGAACGGCAGTCCGCTGAAGATCGAATACGCGCGACCGGTTTGTTCTTATCTCTTTGATTCGTTAGGTTTATTATATAATCGTTTGTCCCCTAACTTTGATGGTCTTTTGTCAACGATAATACTGCTTTTGCGAATTCGTAAATTAGGTTCAGATATCTTAATCGTGTTTGATGCTTGTTTTAGTCAAATTTTGGTCGAATCTGAGTTTTTCCCTCCTCGTACAAATCAAATACCGGTATTGAAAAAAAGAAACGCATGTCTCAAATTGTTTTTTTCTCAACGCATGTCTCAAACAATCTCGCGCCAATCAAACCACAGAGAGCTTATCCTCAAGTGTTGTGCAGAATCTGATTTCAAAGTATAGTATATAACTCTTTGCGAATGAGGTGCTAAAGAATGCATCAAAGACATGTTTTCTCTCGTTTACGATTTTGCGTTTGCAGCGAATATTGAGCAATAGTCGTTTCTTTGGTCTGCAATATCAGTGGCATATCTTCAGACTTATATCCGCGTTCAGGTTCGCTCCAGATGGGCCCTGCATAGCTTAATACAACAAGATTGAAATGAATTGCGTACAACACCCGAGATTCGCAAGGTTTATCCGATCATCGGCCAAAAAATATCAGAAATTGAGAGTTAAAAGTTCAATTTCCTGCTAAAACAAACCGTGCGGAGAAAATTTGACTAACGGAGATGAGACATTCGCTACTCCATATCAAGAGATACACCTGCGGGGATAGTCTTTACTGAAAAGTCTGGGAAAGTTAGTCCAGATTCCTCAAATCAGTGTGGGAGAGCTTTTTGCTCGAAGCTGCAGTAAGAAAATTAGCGTCGTGGTTGTTCAGCGGCTACTCTCTTTCCTCAACCAGACAGAGACGTCTTAGATTATATACTCAAACAGCGAAAATTGAAACGGCCCATTTGGAGAATTCGTACGTAAAACCTCGTCTTTCACAGCTGACTCCTGAAGGAGTTGAATTCTTTCTGGGTTTAGTCTGTTTGGTCCGAGCCAATCTGCAGTGATCAAGACAAATATTCCTTCCCAGACACTGTTAATGTCCTGTCGGCTTAGAGTTTTTGAGCGAGCGTCCAGGGATTGGTTTCATTGGGACTCAGGCAATGATAAAGACAAGAATGCTTAGCAGAAATTGTTAAATGTCGTGCCAGATTTTGGGACGCCTGCAGACAGAAATGTGTGTTGGAGAAAGAGGATATGTTTTCCTTGCCAGGAATTGTGTGTGTTTAGGATAGCAATTTATATGAATTGGTGACATGATTGCTTGAAATTCTTGTTTGATTTGCGTGTTTTAAATTCCCTTGATGTTTGATGCTTCATATGTTCGATTCTGTGATATTACTGTACGGCCTTCTTATGGACCTTTTGGTTTTTTTGCAGGCAAAACCTTGTAGGAGTCTTTGGGTGGGAGGAATCAGCCCAAGTGTGTCAAAGGATGAGCTGGAAGCAGAATTCAGCAAATTCGGAAAAATCGAGGACTTCAGGTTCCTTAGGGAACGCAAGACAGCTTTCATTGATTATTACGACATGGACGATGCCTTGCAGGCAAGAAGCATGAACGGCAAGCGAATCGGTGGTAGCTACCTGCGCGTTGACTATCTCCGGTCACAAGCACCAAGAAAAGTAAGCATCCTTGCTTTATGTCCATTGTAGAGTCTCTACTCAACTTCTCTCTTCTGAAAAATCAACTTACATGTTCATTTATTTCATTAGGAACAATGGACCGGAGGCTCTTACGATAACAGGAATGGCAATGTGAATCAGAAACCGTATCCTCACTCAAATGAAGATGCTAAAGGAGATGGCCAGCAGCTAAGTAAGGTTCTGTGGATTGGGTACCCTCCTTCTGTTCAGATAGAAGAGCAGATGCTACACAACTCGATGATACTCTACGGTGAGATCGTGCGGATCAAAAGCTACCCGTCCAAGTATTTTTCACTCGTGGAGTTTAGGAGCGTGGAGGAAGCTCGCCACGTCAAGGAAGAGCTACAGGGGAGGTTGTTCCAGGATCCAAGAATCACAATCATGTACTCAAACAGTGAGCTGCCTCCTGAGCAAGATGATACTGGTTTTTATTCTGGCGTGAAACGGTCAAGGCCTGATATGTTCGTGAACGATGCTTCGTTTGTATCTTCTCCTCATTCTGCTGGGGGTTATGGGTCTGTGAGGCCCTTCGGAGGTAGCAATGAGCGTTCGTATAATGGTTCGGAGTACAACGAGGTTGTAGGTAAGGAGCCAAACTGGAGTAGGCCATCTCCAAATGGAACTGGTATCCTCCCATCTCCAACGGGACCTGGTATCCTCCCATCTCCTGCACAAGGTATGAGGCCACATGCGAGGTCAAACCCTGGTGCTTGGGAAGGATATGACCCTGCTCAGTTGGGCAGAGAAAGCAAACGAACGAGAAGAGATGGATCGGCGGACGGTTTTACACCGATGGGTGTAGATGAGAGGTCATTTGGGCGTGGTGGTGCAGTTGCTCCTAGGCCTGACTACATGTGGAGAGGGATTATTGCCAAGGGTGGAACTCCTGTCTGTCTTGCTCGTTGCTTGCCTCTTGGAAAGGGGATTGAAATTAAACTGTGAGTACCACTTACCCGCATCTTAAGTTTACCTATTTTGTTTGTGCTTATGCATTTAACTGATGATATTGCTCTCTCTATTGCTGACTTTGATATTTCTTTTTCTTTTTCAAATTGATTTATAGGCCTGAGGTCGTCAACTGTTCAGCAAGAACTGGTTTGGATATGCTCGCCAAACATTACACCGAAGCCATTGGATTTGAGATTGTTTATTTTGTACCAGACAGTGAAGAAGATTTTGCATCTTACACTGAATTTCTCCGCTACCTTGGGTCTAAAGACCGAGCGGGTGTTGCTAAACTAGATGATGGAACAACTTTATTCTTGGTGCCTCCATCAGATTTCTTAACTGTTGTACTCAAAGTTTCCGGTCCAGAACGGCTATATGGTGTTGTTCTTAAGTTGCCCCCACCAGCCGTCCCTGTTGCAGCATCATACAGGCAAGAATCTCAGTCCAACCCTCTGCCTTATATGGATCAAGCCCGGGACTCACCTGCCAATGGCAGTCACAGTTTATATCCTCCTAGGGAAAACTACAATAGGGTTGCACCAGAACACTTGACAGCTCCTTCAAAACCACCGGTTAGTTTAACTCCGGAGCTTTTAGCCTCTCTTGCGTCTTATCTCCCTGCAACCACTCAACCTGCTGGCCACGAGAGTCAACAGCCTATGTCAGGCTCTACAACAGTCGTTTCTACATTAACTCAACCCAATGGAATGTACAATGGAGAAGCACCGTCTCAGGCGTGGCAAAGAGATCCGCAAACAGTCCATGATGGATCAAATCAGTCGTACCAACAATATGGAAACCAGTACACTCCAGCCGGTCAACTACCTCCTCCTCCTGCTCCTTCGCGTTACCCTCCGGCTTCGAATAACCCCAACTACTCCAGGGGAATGGTCCATGGCAACATGCAATACCAAAGCCAATCTGTTAACATGCCTCAGCTGCCTCATAATAATTATCCCATGTACTCTCAGGCTTCTTCACATCATCCTGTCTCTCAGCCCATGACACAGCAATACCAACCAGAAGCTTCCGTGCCAAACCAAAACTATGGTCCGAATCCAGGTTATCAGCAACCTAATTATCATGGTGTTGCAACAAACCAAGCGCATAATTTAAATCTCTCCCAATTCCAAGCTGCAATGCAACCACCAGCTGACAAGACGAACTTAGAGGCGCAAAGCCAAGCACCACAGCTGCAGCCTGTGCACTCTGGGGCTGGTCAGGGTACAACAGAAGCGGAGGTCGATAAGGACCAGGTATACCAGTCGACACTACAGTTGGCAGCTAACCTTCTTCTCCAGATACAGCAGAAGCAGCAACAGCCAGGTACTGCGGCTGGACAGGGGCCTGGAAACTAACTCCATGCGCAACCATGACCGTTAAGGTATTAATATCTATCATCTACGTGTTGCTGCTTGATGGTTGAGTTAAATGAGCATAAGTTTCACTGAAATGCTTTTTTGATCTTTGTTAGTTGGCATATGATGAAACTGAAGCGTATTAGTTGGCATGTTTATATAGGATTAGGGAACATCAAACTTAGTGAATAGACATAGGACTGCTTTGTTGAATATATACATTTTTTCTGTGTTGATGTCTACTTTGGTACTTGTTTACTTGATTCTTCCGTGAATCGATTGTAGAATTATACGCATAACATCAAATCTGAGCATTATTCTTAACAGATACAAATTTTGATTGCTCTTGAATCCCCTTTGTTTTCTTGGATATATGTTGGTTTCTATGTACGAACGGTTGCTTATTAGCACACATTAGTTTTGTAAATTTGATAAACATACGTTTTGTGAGTAGGATTTCTAATTGCTTGTATATAATATATAACAACCGTTGCTTCAGCTTTTCAAAACTCTATTTAGTGACAAAAGATAAGAGGCAAAGAATCTTTGATATTATATACGAAATAGCAAATTGCTCTGCTTCTGTAGTTGTTGCAACATCACTGTGACTGCGATGGTTTAAAAAGCATACGAAGAAGATAATTTGAACGAGGGAAACCCGTTTTATATAAAAACTCAGATGAAAAAATTGACGATATATACACACTAAGCTCGAAAACACTAAGAAAAACATGATAGATTCGCGCTTTTGATTCGTCTGCTTTATGAGTTTTGGAGAAAAGTGAATTGAAATGAAGCCGCGTCGCTAACTCATACTTCCTGTGAAACTGTGTAGGTGGTGATAATCCCGTTAAGTAGGCTTGAACTTGCCTGGCCAAGAGAGAAGCTTTGTAAGATGACGCAAGTGTCCGAACCAGACTGGATCCTCCTGACGCAGCCAAAGGCTCTTAGCTCATCTCTTGTTTTGTGTTTTTTTTTTTTTTTTTTTTTTTTTTTCATAAGTGTTAGGTTCTTTCTTGTGGTATTTAGATAAAACAAGGCTGTATAAAATGAATGTGATTCTGGAATTTACTTTGTTTCTTTTTTTTCTAGTCAGTCGTCTTTTCCATTTTATAAAACAAATCCTCCGCTATGATGTTACAATTGTTGTTGATACTTGAGTTGAGTCTATAAATCGAAGTTTTATCTTGGTTTTGAATTAAATTTCGAATCCAGTTTCTATAAATGAAAGTTTACATAACAGCAAACGAATCATTCAGGCTTACATACAGGCTCATTGAGATAATGGAGATTTGAGTTACCACTCACTGGCTTTAAGTTTAATCTTAAAGCTGTGAATATCGGACAAGTTACAAGGAAACCTGACAGATTTAGATAAACTCGCTCCATATTTTCCCTCTTGTGTGCTCTTCTTATGTTCCAAGCTTAGTTCAACTGCAAATGAAAGAAGAAGAGATTATTAATTAGTTCAATTTTCATAATGTTTTAGCTCCTAAACCCCCAAATCAATAAAGTCGCATGTACACACATATTTGTTTAAAACAAGTACATCAATGGTGCGTACCTTGCAGTGCAAACAGTGTCTGATGTTGATCTGCAGTTTCGGCTTTGCCTCTTCAATTTCGATCCCTCAAGCGCAGATTTGATGGTTGATCATGATTTGAGGTTGATGGTCTTCTAACCTTTGAGAGACTCTCATGGAATCACCAAAAATCACTACATGAGCATTCACCGTCTTGAAAATGATGAAACCTGTTCGAATCTCTTAGGATTATCTGTCTTCCTTCGATCTTTGATATATACTTGAAGGCAGAGTGGCAATCACCGCAAACCCTAAGGTTCTTCATTATTCTGATTGGCAACGTTGAGCTCTTCTGAGCAGCGAGAACGAAAGCTACAGCTAGCTTCTCGCTGTGATAGCTCAGAATCTCTTCCTTGTTCTCTTGCTCTAAATCATACAACGCAAATCCTGTCTGTGGCACATAACCTGCGTCTCTCATCTTCCTATTGAGCTCCTTGAGCTTCTTGTATATCAAATCAGCGTCTGGGTGTGACTTATCCCCAGCAACAAACATATGGACTCCATCTTTCATCGTGACCCAACTATAACCAGCTTCTTTCTTCACTTCTGCATCTTTCATCTTCTTCCTCGCCTTACTCAAATCTTCCCACCTTCCTCCAGCAGCGTACATGTTACCAAGTAGCACATAGTTCACAGCGTTTTCTGGCTCCAATTGAAAAAGCATTTCTGCTGTTCTCCTCCCTAATTCTGCTTTTCGACCATTTGCTCTGCAACAAGCTCCAAGAACAGTCCTCCAAATCAAAACATTAGGCTTCATTGGCATATTATTGATGAAATGTTCCAACTTATCGAGTTCACCTGCACGGCCTAGCAAGTCAGCCATACATGAGAAGTGTTCAATCCTAGGAGCTAGGCCATAAGAATCACTCATGGACTCGAAATGTTTAAACCCTTCTTCAACCAAACCCGCGTGGCTACAAGCTGACAAGACTCCCACAAATGTAACATGGTCAGGTGGTGTTTGGCCATCGAGCTTCATATCTGCAAAAAGCTTCAAAGCTTCTTCTCCTTGCCCATGCCGTGCGTATCCCGAAATCATCGAGTTCCAAGAATATGAATTCTTCACAGGCATTGTGTTGAAAAACCTCAGAGCATAATCTAGCCTTCCGCATTTGGAGTACATGTCAACGAGTGCACTCCCAACTACCACATCAGATTCTAAACAAGCTCTCACCGAACAAGCATGCACTTCCATGCCACGCTCTAGCGTTGCAACCGAAGCAAACGCGCTAAGAACCGTCGCATACATGAAATTATCCAGCCTCTTACCCGTCTGCAACATAAAACATACCAAGTCCAAGGCCTTGGGAAGTAGCTCGTTATGTATATACCCCGAGATCATCGAGTTCCAAGTCACATCATCTCTTCTCTCTGACATTCTAGAAAATATCTTCTCACACTCTTCCATCTCCTCACACTTCCCATAACAAGCTATAAGAGCATTTTCAATGGTTGCTTCATCTGCTATACTGTACTTCAAAGCTATCGCGTGTATCTGCTTGCCCAGTTCACCAAATGAAAGGGATGACACAGCTGAAAGAACGCTTGAAAAGGTTATTCCGTTAAGTCTTTGTCCCGCTCGTAGCGCATTCAAGAAACATGTCACGGCTTCAGGTCCTGACCCTTCTGAATTAGCTAAAGCTCCAATCATGGAATTCCAAGACACCTGATCATGCTCTGGCATGGAGGAGAATATTTTACAGCCTTCGTTGAGGTAGCCGGTCTCTGAATACAGTGTGATAAACGCATTTGAAACCGAAACATTCGAATCAAGCCCCAGTTTGAGGCTTTCTCCATGAATCTGTTGTCCTACTTTCGCCCATTTCAAGCTGGCGCATGAGCTTAATGAACTAATCAGTGTGAAACTCGAAGGCAAGATTTGATGCCGTCTCATACTTTGGTAGCGCTCCAAAGCTTCTACAAAGCGACCGTTTTGGTCAAGACCAGTGATCATGGAGTTCCAGGAGACAGAATCTTTCTCCGTCATGAGACTGAAAACACGTCTAGCATCATCTATTGAACGGCACTTAGCATACATATTAACAAGGCCATTTCCAATACCAACCATGGAGTGAACTAAGCCAGTTGTTACAACATGTCCATGAACCTCTCTGCCTTTTCTCAAACCAACTTCCTCAGCTAGAGAATACTCAGGAAATGAGCTCAGTAGACTTACGTATGACTCAGGACTAACATCAATCATGCCCTTCATATCCATAAACAGCTTAGTTGCTTCTTCTCCTCGTTTCTGTCGCACCAGACCAACCATTAGACCGTTTAAAGTGACCGCGTTTCTTGTCTCCATCTGATTAAAAACCTTCCTCGCAAAACTCAATGAGCCAGCCTTCGCAAATGCACTCACCAATCCGCTGCCAACAAAAAGATCAGAGAGGAAACCAGATTTCTGGATAGTGCACATGAGCTGCTTGAGCAAACTAACATCTGGTTCAGTCAAAGAAGAAGCAGCAGTTACGAGACTACCGAAAGTGTACTCGGTTGGTCTAGAATGATCATCACATTGCATGCTGAAGAACATCTCAAACGCAGACCTCATATTCCCACTCTGTGAATATACAGATATGATTGAGTTCCATGATACAGAATTTCTAACTTCTATATCATCGAAAGCACGAAGAGCACAACCAAGAGACCCTATGCATTTCCAGTACATTGATATGAGGACATTCGAAACCACCGGATCCACTGAATACGAAAGCTTGAACATGAGGCCATGGATTTGTCTCCCTAAAAGATTCCCTACAGAATCTAGCTCCTGACAAGCTCTAAGCGCACTAGCAAAAGCGTATTGATTTGAGAATACCCTTTGTTTGATCATATCTCTCAAGAAGAACAAAGCTTCCGTATGTTCTCCGTTCCGGCTGTACCCTGAAACAAGACACGCCCATGTAACACAGTTCCTCTGAGGCATTTCGTCAAACACCTTACGTGCAGATACTGAATCGCCCGTTTCAAGGTAAGCGTTGATGAGGTTGTTGCAAAAGTAGACATCTTCCTCGAGCCCATTCTTATACAGTCTTGAATGAATTAGTTTCCCTCCTCTGTGTCCATGTCCAACGCAGCTCTAAACAAAAAAAAAGTAGATTTACAATCAATACAGAAACAGAGACATTTTGTTTGTTCTTAACACAGAGAATACAGAAACAGAGGGAGAGAGAGAGAGACGAACCTGTTCTTTTCTCCAATGTGGGAGAAGTTCATCTGGTGACACAGTTTGAATTACATTTCCAGAGACAATGTGTGCTCCTACAAATTGAAAATTCGAGAGTTGATGACTAAATGTATATGAATATACAGAGACCAGATAATTTGAAGATTAAAACATCTGACCTACTTCTGCTCCTTTCTCGATGAGAACATCGTACTCTCTCGACTCTCTTCTCGCTTCACTGCTGACACATCTGCTCCCATTTACTCCTAAATTACTCGAATTTGCGCATAAAGTTCGAGAATTTCGAAACAACTCCGCGGGATGAGGATACCCAAATCGAGGAACGAATCTATGCATGGTCACTGAGTATAGCTCTTAGCAGAGCCGTGCCTGGTGAAGAAAATTAGAAGCATCAGAGGCATATATATATTCGTATAAAACTTTAGAGGCATATATATATATTATTTTAATGTGGTTCATCCGTAGAAACATTTTCTTGACATGTTTATTAACTTGAACATAGATGAATCACTATCAATATCATTAGAATTTGTTTTTATTTTCCCACAGTAACAACTTACGTTTTAAGATCAACTAGATGGCAACATGACTCCACTGTTTCTATATATATCAACTGAACTTAAAATAAGAAAAACAAATTATTTGGTGTAATTTTTTCTATCCAATTTTAAATTTACAAAATAATTAATTATTTTATAGTAAAAAAAATTAATAAGAAATATTAATTTTATTTGGTCTATGGCATCGAAAAGTCTAGGCACGGTTCTGACTGTTAGACCAATCGAAGGTGCTCTGCTCCGGTGTGTCAACGAAAAAGTCCCTTTAGTTATACGAGCTGCGCCATATAGACTTTTGTAATTTTAAAATTATTTACCAAAAAAGATATGTAACCATGATAGATAAAGCAAGAAATATTGATAAAAGGGTGGGTGAATGTAAGTTTGTTTTTTTAACAATCTTATTATATACCGTGGTGTGAAACTGTGAATTATTTTAATCTAATTACTTACTTGACTTTTGATCTTTTGCAATCTTGATTTTGATAGTTGTTAGGTAAAATGGCATTTATACAAACATAGGAGGATTTAGGACTTATGAGTTAGGAGGTAATATTGTTTGTGATTTTGTGTAATTAGGAATAAGAGTATTTCAAATCGAGTAAACTTTATGTTGATCTGAAATTTGAAAGGTCTCCACATTCTTCAAGTGTTTCCTTTGAAGTTGAATCATTTTATTTCACTTGTTAACTTTCATTGCTATGTTTCTTGATCATGTTTTATATGATTTTTCTTTTCGTTCTTATTTTCTTGAATTTTATGTTCTACTTTTTATTTTTCTTAAACTTTATGGATTTTAATAAATTCACTATTACTTGAAAAGGTTCGATAAATTGGTTATCGTATATTTTTATGTCTAGTACCATATTTTGAAAATTCATCTATCATTTGACTGCACAAATTATGCTCAATCAAACGCATATCAAAACGAAAGAAAACAGATTAACAAGCATTGTGGAAATCACATAGTAAAAAGTTTGTTTTCTATCCCATTAGGATCATATGTGCTAAATTTTTATTTTTGTTTCAGACTAATGCCTGAAATGAAAATCTACTATGTAGATGATGATTGTACCAATCTTGAATGCGTGATGGTGTGGGAAAATCAAATTCAAATAGTTGCTGCGTAAATCATCTGATATGACAAAGTCTATTTTGACTTGACTCGTATGTTTGCATTAGTTTAAACTTTAAACATGTGATTGTTTTCCCTTTATTCTATCATTTTTGTATTTGCCAAATTACTTTGATTTCTATACTCATTACTGAATAGGAAAATAAAGTGTACACATATCTTTATTGCATCATCTTTTTCTTTGATCCAATGTGTGCTTGCATTAATCATTTTTGATATCCAAAACATTTTTCGAATATACCTATGTTTCTTTATAGAAAGAAAAAAAAACTGAAAACCATGCAAAAATAAATAAACATGGGATCATAAGGTTGCCATTTTTTCTAAAAATTGTCTAAAACCTTGACTTGGATTTCAGTCTAACGCTTGGCTTGCAGTTTGTCCGCCATCTCGTTACTCGTAAGATTAACAACGTGACCATGATGTGTCTACGATCATATAACTTTCTTTAAGCAGCAATGTAGAATGATTTTGCTCCCATGTATGGATGTCTATCAGCGAGCTCTCCATTATTAAGACCACAAACTAGGGAACAGTGAGTCAATTGAAGAGGCATTGACCACTAGACTAACATAGACTTCCGAGGAAGTTGGTGCCGATACAATATATATTTAAGTAGGTTTTGGCCGGCTTGATTTATTTGACTTCAACAAAGAGAGACCTAGGATGAGCTCTTGTAGTATTTGATTACATAACTGGTTTCATATCCATGGCTGCATTCCTATCTTCCGTTCGTAACGTGTTAAGTAAACAAAATGCAATTTTTTCTGGATCTCTTAAATTTCTTCCGAATTTACTTTCGTGTACCCATTAATTTCAAATGAAAGTTTACATACAACAAACGAAACACTAATGCTTACATACATGTTCTACTAAAAAGAAACTCAGACAAATATGGTTTTGGTGAGTCTCATTTTATTTATGGGATGCGAGAGCTTTGGACTACATGAGGGAATAAGCAGGGCCTCCACCACCTTCAGGCACTGTCCACTCTATGTTCTGCTTTGGGTCTTTGATGTCACATGCCTTTCAAGATTAAAACACCAAAACAAGGATTTAAGCTTCTCTCAACAATCAATTCATTCACTCACATGATTAATAGTACATAAAAGTGATGCCTAGTACCTTGCAGTGCAAACAGTTTTGAGCGTTGATCTGCAGTTTCGGCTTACCCTCTTCATCTTCCACATATCTTTTTGTTTTGAATCAATACACAAACGTGGATGAGTATCTTATTCCAGGAAGTTAATCTTTATATCAGATTGCATATGGAGAGAGAGAGAGAGAGAGAAAGGAAAGTTCTTACTCGTATACACGGGCCGGGCAGTAACGTGACTCTGGTGCAGCATACTCTGGAAAGTTTATCTTTTCTGGAATCTTGGGGTCCCTCAAACGTAAATGAGATGGTTGATCATGATCATGATTGGTATTACTCCTGTTCTCATCATCATCATCATTCAAGAAACAAGATGCAACCCCTCGTTAATACCATAGGAGGAATACTTTTCCACTGTAAAGATATTGGAGTTTGTGTCATGGTACACAACCTGTATAAAGAAGTTGGCACATCAAACGACAAAACACCATCTGGCTTTGGATACTCAATCGGCTTGCAGTTCCGAGAAAGCTGCATAAAGATGTAGCCCAACTTTAGTTAGTGTTTTCATCAGTATCAGTGCGTTCAGTGGACGGTTTTTTATCTGATTATAGTTGAAAATAACATCTGTTGATTATATTTACTTACATCTGTTGCTTCGTGGTCTGCTTTACCGTGCTTGAGCGTGTAAGGGACCCTTCCTTTCAGTACATAGCTGCATAATGAAACATAAGCAGTTCACTCGTTAAAATAAAAACAGAGAGAAATGGTCATATAGAACACCGGTAAAAAGAATAAAATCATGCCGGATCTTACTGTTCCATAGCACTTACGGCCAAGCCAGGGATTAGACCATGCTCGAATGCCTGCAATTTTATATGAGATTAATATCTTATCTTTCAGGAAAGATCATTCAGATAGAAAACTATAAATATGCACTGATATATAGGCTCATGATTTTACGAACAGGTCGGTAGTTTCGAGAAGCATAGAGCTCCTTCCACACCCATGAATCCCTCAGGTTGTCCCAGTATGTGTTCATGTTTAAACCTTCATGAAGTGCACCAAATGCAGCCTCTGCTGCTAACATTCCTGTAATATTATGTAAGAGTTGAGATGAGAATTCGATGATGGGACGGATGAAAAACCTACTTTTAGCAAAGATATATTGTGACCTGATTTCATTGCGGTGTGTGTTCCCTTAATCTTGGGCACATTGAGAAAACCAGCTGAACATCCAATTATTGCTCCTCCAGGAAAAACTGGATAGGGAATGGACTGAAATTTTACTAGCATCAAGTTCAGATATGTCATAACATGCCAAACAAATTATATCAAACTAGCTTAAATATCAAAAATATCAGAAGTGTAGTTACATGCTTTAGAAAAATGGCTCTACAATAAATGGCAAAATCTTCTACTTTCAAAGAATCAACGCACCAGATGTATCTAAGGGGTTGAATTTGAACTCACCTGAAAACCACCTTCATTTAGAGTACGAGCTCCATACTGAAGCACAGTACCACCTTCCAAGATGCGTTTAATGGCAGGATGGTGTTTGAGTTTCTATTTGTGAAAAACAAAATGAAATTATCCATCGAATTCCTTAACTTCGAATTGGCTTATGAGAAATGTATTTGTAGTAACCGGTGTAAAGTCTTATCGTTATCAGAGAGATTGGCATACCTGAAATTCCTCATAAGGATTCAAGAAAGGGTTTTGGTAATTCAAGGCAACAACCAAGCCAAGCGCCACCTGTCTATCGTTCATGTGGTACAGGAAAGAGCCTCCATATGTCTTGTTATCCAAGGGCCAACCCAATGTGTGAACAACTTCCCCGGGGTTATGCTTACTTTCGTCTATCTCCCACACCTGTTGAGCTCACAGCATCAGATACTAATAAGATGAGATCGTTACTAAACAGAGAAACAAATCTGTGAATAGAATGTGTGATGAACATGAATTTGGGAATTAGTTACCTCCTTAATTCCCAAAGCATATGTCTGATGTTGTGCATTAACCTCTTCTCTTAATTTATACTTTCCGATTATTTTCTGCCCAGAATAAAGTACAAAGATGGTTAGCATTCAGAAGTAAATACAAATTAATAACATGAATCTTGTGACCAGAAAGTTTCTGCTGACCTCAGACAATGATCCTCTGCATCCTTCTGCAAATAGTGTCACTCGTCCTGTGTATTGCAAACACATATCTTAGTAACAAGAGAATACTAATAGAAGACGAGACAGAGAGAGTGTGAGAAGAAGGAGAAAAAGCGACCTTTTATGTCTACGCCTGGCTGGAAAGTCTCCTTCTTGGAACCATCTTTGGATATTCCCATATCTTTGGTTGCAATCCCAACAACTTTATCGCTTGCATCGTACAACACCTGATATCATAACATTTGCTATGCAAAACATCAAATGTTTTATAAGAAGAATAAAAATTAACAGTTAGAAGCATGAGACTACTACCTCACTAGCAGAGAATCCAGGATATATCTCTGTTCCAAGCTCCTCAGCTTTGCCTCCTAACCAACGGACCACTTGGCTCAAACTGTAATTTACAAATACTAAACATCTCAAAAGAAACATTAACAATGGACATAAACAGTGTTAAAACGTCAAGTCTACACCTACCTAATCACATAGTTCCCCTTGTTATCAAACGGAGAAGGAAGTGAAATGGCACGGTCTTTCGTCAAAAACCAGAATTTATCAGAAGAAGCAGCGATCTCAATGGGTGCCTAGAAACAGAGAGATCAGTAAAACAACAAACAAAAGAAACATTTGGTTTTGCTTTGTTATGAACACACACAAACCTGTTCTTGTCTCCAATGTGGAAGAAGTTCATCTAGTGCTCTAGGTTCAAAAACATTTCCAGAAATTATGTGTGCTCCTACAAATTGATTACAGCACACCAATTGATTTCAAGTATCCAAGAGATAGATACAGAGACTAAATAACCGCAAAGATTGATACTTTGAGAAAGAGGAAGACAAGAAATAAAAAAACTGACCAACTTCTGCTCCTTTCTCAACGACACACACTGATAGATCGGCGTTCTTCTCCTGGCAGAGCTGTTTCAATCGAATAGCAGCAGATAAACCGGCCGGTCCAGCTCCGACGATCAAAACATCGTACTCAATCGACTCTCTTCCCGCTTCACTGCTGATACATCTACTCCCATTATTAGCTCCTAAATTCGAGCTGAAATGTCGCGAATTCCGAAACAACTCGGCGGAATAAGGATGCCCAGATCGGAAAAGGAATCGATTAGTAGGAATCGGTGGGCTTGGAGTAACAGGATTTGACGTAATTGATGAAGGCAATAGATGGGAACTCAGACGCTGATTCTTCGAGTTTCTCAGTGAATTATAAGAATAAGAAGAAGATGATAGCTTCACAAGGAATCTATGCATGATCACTGAGAGAATTTAGGATGATCGAAGGAGAAGGATTAGAAAGAAACAATTCATTTGATTTCGTCGTATAGAAAAGAGGAAGCTGCGTCTACATTCAAAATGATTAGGCAAATGATTGACGTGGCAGCTTCATTAATCTCTTAAGTCTTATCTTAAATCTTCAAAACATTTTGAATGTGTAATTTTGAATTTCTCTCTTATGTGTAAGCTTCTTTGCGGTAATTTTTTTGGGTCATGTTCCAGTTCCAAAACCTTTACTATTTATTTACCACTTTCATTTTTCACTCAGGAGACAACACTCTTTATCTAAGTACTGTTTTGGGCCCAAATAATGGACTAATATCGAGCCCAGTAAAGACAATTATTTTTCAGAAAACAAAAGAGTCGTTGTTAAATAAGCATTGTTCGTTTAATGCGTCCAAAGAAAACCCTAATACGTGATGCTTGTAATAAGCCGAAAGGTGGCAAAATATGCAATTATCGTTGTACAAGAACATCAGCTTACATTTCTGGAAAATGTTTAAGGAATGTAAAGACAGGAGAACAACGTTGCTTCTGTTATAAATATAATCATAATGAAATGTGCCGACAAGAGTGTTCTAATATATGAAAAAGAGAAGTAGTAAGCATCAATTAAACAATAAGTTTCAAGCACGAGAGATCAAACTATCAAAGTACTAAGCGTAGAAACAAGTTCGAGTAATATTGTATTGTTAACAAGGTCTTATTATTGTAATATGGTGGCGATATATCATATATGCAGTACCAATTGTAAGAAACCATCATTATTTTTAGAAAATGTTTAAAGTCCACAAAGAAAGAAAAACGGTATGTTGCGGGAGCTTCTCAATATGTGGGAGCTTTTATATGGCGTTCCAATTTTAAAAGAATAATATTAATATATGTGTATAAAATAATCAAGTCATAAGAAGAGTTTCCTATTTTGTATTGTCCTATTTTTCCATAATCCGAAATAAAATACCATATCACACCCCATCATTATATTATCAGAATTCGATAGGATTTTCAGAATTCCCAATAGCTTTAGACTTTATTCGAAGATATATATTCTCGTATGAAAGAAGAGTTTGGAACCGGGAATCAGACAGAACGTGACACGAAAGATACTCCATAATCAAAACGCGAAACAGATCGCAATCACCTAAATAATGGGGGATAAAGAAAACCCTAATACGATCGATATTCCTACGGATCTACTGATAGAGATACTTTTGAGACTTGCCCTGAAATCTCTTGTTAAACTTAAAACTGTGTCAAAGGAATGGAGATCAATACTCGATTCAAAGAGTTTCGGGGACATGTATCTGAGTTTCCAAAAATCTGGGAAGAATTGCCGGAAAATCCTAGCCGCTTGCCACTGCGATTGCGGCGGCCCGCCGAGTCTCCTCCCCGGGTCAGGATTCAAAGGAAACGAAGAGATTGTCAGTTTGCACTGCGACGTCACACGACCGTCGATGAGTTGCGACGGTTTGGTCTGCTTGCCGGAACCAGGTTGGGTCAACGTCGTGAACCCCGCGACTGGACAACTCCGGAGATTCGCGTCCGGACCAGATCCCGTGTCCTCTCTCTTGATACCACCTCACAAGGACATATTTTTGACCGGTATGTTTTTTCACAGATACGATTCAATATTTTTTTTTTATAAAAGAAACTAAAAGACTTGAAATCAATCGCAGGCCACTGGTCGACATATTTTCCGGGATACTGGGCGATGGGATTCGGCAGAGACAAAGTTAGAGGGAGCTACAAAGTGGTGAGGATGTTCTTTGATCCAAGCCATAGTGAGATTCTTGATGTTAACATTGGGGAATGGCGGAAACTGAGTCCACCTCCTTACCCGGTTCACGTCGGAAGGAAATCGGTTTGTGTGAATGGATCAATCTATTGGTTTGAAATTGGGTCTAGGTGCAAGATACTAGCCTTGGATCTCCACACACAAGAGTTCCATAATGTCGCAATGCCAGCTCCTTTTAGATATAAGATGGACACTCAGATAGTGAACCTTGAGGACAGTCTAGCTTTAGTCACATCCGGAGTGAACAAAAACCTTGAATGGCAGCTAGAGATTTTGAGCATGGATGCACAAAAGGAAAGTTGGAGCCTGATGTATTTAATAAGCTTAGCGGATCTACATATTAGGCTGTTGGAGGCTAGATGGTTCACGCCGGTGACAGTTTCTAAGCAGGGGAATCTTTTGATCTATGACAACAAGAGGAGGCTGTACAAATATTATCCTCGTACAAATATAGTCCGTCGGATCTCGCCACATACTTGCATTGTATTATCTCCTTATCTCGAAACTCTGTTCCAGCTTCAGACTGATCAACTCGATTTAAGGACTGGACGAACAATATGCATCTCCAAGGTATATTTACAGTTTGCAGCTCTTACGTATTTGCAATGATAAATGTTTGCGTGTTTCCCATTTGTGTGCTGATAAATGTTTGTGTGTAGGTTTGGATTGCTTCAGCTCAAGTTATATCATCACTTCGATCAAGAGTTGACAAGTTTCTTTGTAGGGGAAAAGGTTAGAATCTTGTTAAACTCATCGGTGTGATTTTTTATTTACTGGCCATGTTTTTTCTTTACTGATTGACCTTACAGAATTAGGCATGACGCTATGGAGGAACCGAATGAAAATGCTTGCGACATATTTTTTTGTCCATATGCTGCTGTGCTGTTCTTTTACTGGTTATATATCATCTTCAACTGAGCTGGTCTTTCTCAATTCACTAGCTCCTCCTTTTGAAGTTTTGGCTGACATCAAGGTATTTAAAGTGTTTTAATTTGGTTATTGGTCCAAAAACTCAATCCCATGTTAATGTGAAATTCGCCTAATATTATTGCCTGTTTGAACCTTTACAGCTTACAGTCAGGACTATACTCTTCAAATTTGTGATTTCGATGTTATTATCGCTCCTGATTGTTGGAGGTAGCTTCTATGCCTTAATTTGGTTAATTTGCAGTATCTTTTCATTATTGATGGTATTGTCATGTATATTAATATATATAGTCTTGTCATCTGTTTTCACCGCAGTTTTAATACTCGTGGGCGTGGCGATGGGAGCCTTCAGTCGTCGCCTACTCCCTATGGTGTGAATCGTCCTCTTCAGGATTTGACAGTGAATGCATTTCTCTTCTTCTATCCCACATAAGCTGTGTCTTTATTGGAAATCGACTCTATTTATATGATAATAATGATAATATTGTGGCGTTTGTGTTACTTGCTGATGCTAATTAATTATTTATTGCTCTTCCCACTAGCATTTTGTGTATTTATAATTGTATACTATATACTCCATTGGAAAAATATTTACAAAAAAGCTCATAAAATAAATTTAAAGTCCCCCCATAGTAGTATTGATTTTCAGTCCCCCATAAAAGACTCACCTTTGTCCACAAGGTGAAATAATAGAGAAAGGTGTAACCTGGAGTTGTGTTGTTAAAGCTTCATAATTCCTCCATCTAATCATACTCGCCCACTGTTCTAACTCGATGAAGTGAATTTTCATATGTATATTCACCTGCAACTAGAACAGCACAAGGCCCAACTGTATTTTGCGATGCTCATAACATAAGTATCCTCTAATGAAATCCAGGAAGCGTTTGAATTGCCACCCATAACGTAAGCACTAGGAACCTTGGTTCTGTCACTAATTGTGATTTTGAAGGCTTGTTGTTTCTCTCTAGTGTCAACAGACTCTCCACAAGATTTCCACTTGCTATTCCTTTCTATACAAGGTATCATCAGATTTCCAAACGCTAGGCACAACTTATCATTTATACGAAGCACCGCTAAACATTAACCAACTCCATGGCGTTTGCAAAAGCAACAATCCACCTGACTTCCAACTGAAACATTGCTCTTCATTACCATTTTTTACCCGAAATAGGCAGAACCGGATAATTTTGAGAGGATTTGATCAACGTTGTTGAGGCCTTGATCCTGAATCTTCTTGGTAGTGACGTTGAATCTTCAGGAGTCTCTGAAGCCACCCGAATCATAATAAACCTTCTGCTCACCACATGTTCGACAGTTTCCCTCAGAGAGATGTCGATGTCTCTGTTTGTTTCACGGTCAGTCAAGGGCGTGAGACAGTGTTTGCTGTTTTGGATTTCTCATCGCTCCCATCTGCTGACTCCGGTTTTCTACGAGCTCAACACGATCTGGAATCTCATTGAGCACATCAGAATCGTCACCTTCCCTCTGAAGATTCCACCGCCAAAACTTCATCTTGTTTCTGGCCCACCACTTGCTTGACGAAATTCCCAAGAGAAATCTCTGGGCCCATTAGTACGCTAAAGCCCAACTCAACTCAGTCCGTTATTATCAGAGACATATAAAATAGGTGAGAGCGAAATTCAATTTCACAAAATCTAATTAAACGACTCTAACGTTCCGATTCCGCCATCATCATCAGACATCAGAGACGACGAAGAGTTATCGGAGACGACGAAGAGGCTTCTGAAGACTGCATCTCCCGCTCATCTGTTCTTAGCCTTTTCATCATGGTATGTTACATGTCGAAAAGTTTCCAGATTTCTGTTTCTTTGTTCATCACTTCTTGTTACCGTTAGATACAAGAAATCAAGAATCATCGTCTTCCACTTTCTGTTCTCTGCTTCTTCTAATCGATAGATATACCCGAATCGTTTTCGTTTTCTTTAATTTGTTTGTAATCTATAGACACAAGAACGATTTCAAGTTTCCGCTTCTCGTTTCTTGTTTATTTGTTCATGTCCTCTGCTTCTTGTTTCTATTCCGTTAAAAGCTGAATTAAATTATCCGCAGACTCGTAGATTTACGCTTCTTACGAAATTGGCTCACCAAGAAGGATTGTGCGTTTCGTTTCTTCTCTGTTTCTGATTCTGCATCTAGTTCTAATTCGTAAAATCTTAGTCTCCCGAGAGTTGAATTTTCGAATTCGCAGAAGATAATGGTTATTTTCTCTGCAGGAAACTTGTGTGAGTAGGTTGAGTAAACGAACTGGTTTATCTAAGGACGATGCAACCACTCTGTTGCTTAAATATAAATGGTATTGATTATATCTCATTAATCATTATTCACTGTTTGCTCATGATATCTCAAATTGCTGATCTGTTGCTTGTTCTTTTCATTTCATTAAACAGGGATGAGGATCTAATTGTTCAGAAATGGAACACCGCAGGCAACGATGTGATCTCACGAACAGGGATTATCTTCCCTTCTCTGTTTGCGCCTTTGGAGGAGGAGGTGAGTTTTTTTACTTTCTGTATTGAAGCGAAGCCACATTATTGATCTAACTATCAAACGTCTTAACTTCTTCTTTAAGGTACCTTGTGCTCAGTGTCAATCTCCCTCAGTTTGCAAAAACTTTGGATGCGATCACTTGATCTGCAATCGTTGCACCAAAGGCATATATCTCTGTTTCCCGCTTTTGTCCTTCTTCTTTCGTTCTGATTTGGCAGAAAAGTTATATATGTATTTGGTTTTGTTCTCATTATGTGGTATCTTTGTTTGTGCTTATTTTTTGTAGTGTATGTGGAAGAAAAGATCAGCGAAGGAGAGTTGAATATTAAATGTCCCTTGTTCTACTGCAACAAAGTGATGGCTTCATCTAGGTTCCTAGATGAAGTTTCTGCTGATCACAAGAATCTCTTTAGAGAAGGTTTAACTGGAAATTACAATGCTTCCAAGATCAAAAAGGTATAACTACTAAAACTAAAACTTATTCATTAATTTTTGCTATATGTTTCCATGCTGATTCCATTAATTCTTGTTATAGGACGTGGTTAATTCCTTCGATGGCTTTGCTGCTGCTTTCCACTCTGGATTAGGCCTTGTCACAGGTAAATGTTTTGCTTGATTTTTACGGTAAATGTAAAAAGCTTCCCATCTCTTGATTAACTGCTTATTTATGCCTTGTTTTTGTTTTTGTTTTAAGGATTTGTTGCTAGAATCTGGAGCAATAAGTGGAGAGCTGTTTCTACTCTACTGCTACTGTTCGTATTTTGTAGACTATTTTATGGCTGCACTGGAGCCACACTTCAATGTGTTGCTGAGCTTTCCATATTAAACATTTTGGCGATGACGGCTAAGATAGGAAGCATTTTAAAAGTAAGTCATCTTATAATTTTTGGTTTTTTAAACTCTTTTCAATATCTGGACTTTTGATTCTAATTTTTTTTGTGAAAATTTGTGCAGTTGTTTTTCCTATACTTGCTGCTCAAGATAGCACTAAACAATCATGTCTTCACTGTTGCTGGTAAATTTCTAATCCTTTTTTTTTAATTCTGATTATTCTTTTTATTACATGTAAATGATAAAGATTTTTTTGTGCATGGCAGTGTTATCTTCGGTGGCAACATGTATTTTCATATTTTTAGTCATTGCAAAAGTTATCAGCAGCTGCGTACGTGTTGTGGCAAGGACTTTCACTTAGCAACAACTTGGAGGGAGAAATAATTATGGCTTTATTTAGCAAAAAAAAAAATATTATGGCTTTGAATGTTTGAGTGCTTGTTAGACTTTAGATTTGTACTTTTTTTTATTTTGAGGAAGATTTCAGTGTAAAAAAACTTGAATGGTGATTTATCTAGTTTTGGTTTTTGGATAATATATTATAGTGAATGGTGATATATCTGTTTATTCTTTATAAAACTAATTTGTTAGTATATAAAAAACTATTGGTTATATATTTTGTTTAACAATTAATTTTCTTGATAAGGTTAATAAGTTTAATATCTTTTGTTAAGATGAGTTATTTTAGAATTTGTATACTATTATATTTTAGATGCTCAACAAATTATGTCTATTAACCCTTAGTCCCTTCGTAAACTGGAGTAGTTATTTATTTTATTCATTTGTGTTTCACTATACTAAAATCTAAAAGTAGAAAAACAACTCGAACAAGAAATAAATTTAAAGACTAAATTAAACTACAAGAAACCTACTTTTTAGTGTCATTTTTTAAAGAAATTGATGCAAAAATTATGCCATCACTGTAAGAGTGATGCACAAAATGAGATTAAGGTCATTTGTAAAACTGATGCAAAAAAAAAAAGAGATTAAGATCATTTGTAAAGTGATACTAAAAGTAAGATTAAGATCATTTATATATATAAGTGATGCAAAAATTGATATTAAGATCTTTTTGTAAAAATGATTCAAAAATAGAATTAATATCATTTGTAAAAGTGATGCAAGAATGATTTTAAGATCATTTGTAAAAATAATACTAAAAATAAGGTTAAAATTAGAAAAGAAAATTGACATTTTTAATTTCATATTCCCACGCTTTGTGTAGTTTTTTTGTTTTCTTTTGTAAAAAGGCATTACACAAAAAAACTTAGTCGTCAAATATTCTATTTCCACACGTTTATAATTAGGAATAAGATTCACTCAAATACAAATACCGTCCACAAGAATCATTAAACAAGTTATCTAAATTAGAAGTTACTATATTAAGAAGCTTGACTTAACATATAAATACATTGATAGCAAAACACATAATCACCAGTCAGTTTGAAAAAACAGAAAAAAAACTAAGAAATAAAAAACAAATGGTGTTTCAAAGGAAAACAGCGGTTGTCTCAATCGCCATATTTTTAATGATAGTATTAGTGGCAATGAGAGCGACCGAAGTTGATGGCCGAATTCATGTCCGACGGAGCTTATCTGATTTTGGTAAAGGTTGCTGCAACGTGTTCATTCATAGTTGTTGTTTTCCTAATCATGGGACTTAATTATTGTGTAATATATTGCCTCGTAGTTCCTTGTGATCTTTTTCTTTTCTCTGAGGAGGATTGATTAACTATCTAATATTAACGTAACTGGACCACTGAACATAATACTGATTATCACAATATATTTGAATCAAATGTGTCTTCCTTAGAGGATCGTTGATGTAATATAAATTGTATGTATAAGTATAATTGTGGATAGATACTGTCCACACATATATACCTTTGTGATACATTGATTTTTTTTCCTTTTTATGATATATGAAAGTAGATTTTCTTTAAATGTCATGTAAAAGTTAGCATTTTTGCTAAAAAAACATTCATTAAAAAAAATATATATATATATATATATATTTAGGAAATTTTTATGGTTGTGTCAATTCTCGACGAAAGTTCAAGGCTTCAAGCTAAGTGTGAAAATATTCAATGGTTATTTAAGTTTTGTGAGCATCAACCAATGAAATAACAATATATACATAGTTATAAAATTTCAACTCCATTCATGATTCTAAATATATATATATATATACACACAGACAAGAGAATGTAAGATAATCCAGACCTCAAATCAATGAAGTATCCAAGTTCGACCTCAATGCGGGATATTTACGTATTCACACGACACTTTACCATGAAAACACACACACACACGACATATAATCAAATTATAAATTTACATGTCTAGATGTATGTAAAGCAACATATGTTGATAGATAATTTATGATTTACTTACTTACTTCATGAATTGATCTCTATGGCCCAAACAAGAAGTAAAACGTCCTATACGACGAAGAAAGCAAGAATAGAAACCAAGTTTTGTCCTCAAAACTCTTATGGCGAAACGTCTTTTGGTCGCACCTTGCCGCACTTCCAAAACCCACCGCTCGGCCGCCTCGTTTATTCCTTTCACCGACTTACTAAGTTTCTCTTTGAAACTGAAACTCTCTGATCCCATCAAGTCATAGTTTGCCAACACCACCCGTCTTCCCTCCCGATAACATTTCCGAGAGTACCACTCGCTCTGGTCATGGTGAGTTAGTGTTACGTATGCGGGTGTATACGTTTGTTCCGACATTATCTATATATAAATGTAAGAAAAAAATGATTTCAGTGTGTTCGAGTTGCTTATAGCATATGTCAGAATGTGTATTTATATGTACGAGATGAATAGTTGGGTGAGATTTCGGTTGAACAATTATGAATTTTGGTTTGATAGTAGTTGGTGACTGTGTTGCACCAAATATGGAATCTCATAAGAGTCATACATGATATTTTTATTCTAGGGTCATACCAATGTAACCATATTTTGTAGCATATCGTAAGCCTCCATGTGTAATCTGTTAAATGGTTAAAAGCAAAATGAATGTTCAAAGATGAATAGACCCATTACAAAGAAACGATAAGTAAAGCTGAAAACATAATTATTATAAATGATTTAACGATACCAAAAATTATGTAATTACGCAGAAATAAAAGACTAAAAAACTGAAAAGAGATTCATCACGCTTCATCGTTATTGCGTAGGCAGATTAGTTATGGTGACTTGTGGAGGAAGAAACTGTTTTCATAATATAACACCAATAATCTGTGAGTAATAAAAGTATTTAAAATTAGATTGATTGTAATGCATATGTTGGGGCCCAACATAATGGGCTTGTATTGGCCCAACACATCTCTAGGGTTTTTTTTTACTCTCTGTACTATAAATAAACCATTCTCTCTCTATCTCCGTTTCAATCATCTCTTTTCTTGCTTAGTTTCTCTGTTACAGATCTATTCGTTTTCATGTTTTTTGGTGTTTGAAAAAGAAAGGCTCCATTTTTAAACGAGTCAACAGCAGGCGCCACTTTGATGGTGATCTGACTGCCGCTTGGAGCCAATATCAAATTGCCAGAGGAAGACCCATGGAAACTCACTCTGTTTCCATGATTCAATACTCTTGGCTACAATTACAATTTGATTTTTCTTACAAAAAAATCTTTTTGAGTTTTCGTTTTTTGTGGGATTGGTGTGTGTTTATTATGAGTTTTTGATTGGCATTAAGTCAGACACGGGTGCTTGTTGGTTTTATAAGAAACAGCAGAGCTACCTTTTGCATGGTGCCTAAATCAGAAAGCTTTTCATCACGATTGGATGTAGTCTTGATCTGATGTCTTCGTATGGCTTCCTCCAAATTTATAGCAGCTACATATCTCTCAAAGTCTCTATTTTGGTCTAGTAATTCGGTAGATTCTTAGATTGGAACCATAGGGGTTAATGTTGCTATGTGCATTTTCAAATGATGAGATTTGATCTAAAATTCTCACGACGGTCGACTGAGACATATGTCGCTTGATGTACCGATCGCTCTTCTCTGATGAAAAACTTTCTTCAATTCCCCAGTCTCCTTCATTGTTTTTAAACTAAATCATATCGAATTTATTTTACTTTATTTTTCGCGCATTCTCTATGTATTATAGGTTTTGATTTGCATTTATCTCCATACGAAATACTAAAACGGATCTGGCAATTTCATTATCATCTGTTAGGGAGATGAGAATTTCACCGTACTTAATTGGATCTCGATGATCATTGGTTAGAAGAATGTGAGAAAAATGCTAAAGCAAACAAAGATCGAACAAATAAGTTGAACAGAAGATAAAAATTGATCAATTGAGGATTTACTATCCACAGTACTTTTACCACCGGACCAAAACAAAACATAATGGAAGCTGCAACAGATCAATAAAATTAAGCAATTCATCGTTGTAAAAGTCGAGCCTCCTCCTCAAATTTAGCACCTCTTTGTCATCTTATGTGCTTTGTACTGTGAACTCTTCGCTTGATATGATCGATTTCTGATGTAATCGGTAACATTTGAGAAAGCAAACATGCATGAAGACTTTTATTGACAAACATTAAGCCAAACTGATTGCAATTTTGAGAAACTAGGCTGCTTAGCTTAAAGTAGGCACAAGAACGTTGTTGGAGATTGATTGACTGAAACAAATTGATAGCAAAGTATTTTGTTGTACTTAACTAAGCCTAAGCATGCGTCTTGGTGATATTACTCATTGTGGGCTTGGGCTGATACAATCTTTTCATTTCTAAACTGTTTGGTTACAATTACAGAGCTCACATCTGTATTTTTCTCCCTTCCCGCCAAAAAAAAAAACTTAACTTCAATATTGTTTATGACGTTTGTGAGAGTGTCGTTCTTCTTCTGCGCCATGTGATCTTCTACTGCCAAAATCTTCTTCCTTATAATCGTCACCATAACGATCAGACTTCCCTCGTGATCTCTCTTTTCTATCAGACCGAGACTCTTTCTCCTCTCTGTCTTTGCTGCGTCTTCTTCTATGGGAGGAGCTTTTTCTGTGTGAGTTCCTACGGCTGCTGCTTTGCTCTTTAATCTCTTCTTCCCTTTCCACAGAGCTCCTTTCTCGATAATAACCTTCCTCTCTATCCGATACACTTCCTCTTCTCCTTGGAGGTGACGGAATCTGCATCCACACAAACAAGTTATGCATAGTACAAGAGACAAGGATAACATTTGAAAGTAGCAGACCTGAGTACGCGACATATATCTTCCTTCAGGCGGAAGTTGAATGCCAAGCTTTTTCAAATCTTCATGAGGGATTGGTCGTCTGATCATTCACAAACAGAGTTAATAAATCTCCTCTAAGAAAGTTCATGACCTGACCACTATCTTTCTACTTGTAAAAGGAAGAGCCAAGGCAATAACCGTACAAGGGAGCACGGAATGGTCTGTCTCGTCCTCCAAAACGAAGCTGACCTGATTCTTTCTTACCACCAAGTCCACCTCCTGCTTACAAAGAACAAGGCTTAAGATCAAACTCCTATGGAAAATGTATTATTAGACCAAAAGAGTCAAATAAAGAATTGGCAAACCTAATCTTCTTGGTATCCATCCAGGCATCAGCTGCTGCCTATTATAATCAACAATAATCTCTCTATCTTCTATAAACGAATGATGAGCATCCTGTTTAAACAACAATCAAACTCTCACTAGTTTCTTGGAAACAGCAATGTATCTACTATCTAGAGATGCTAACGAAAAACAATAAACTGTAAGTTTCACCTCATAAGCTCGACGCATCTCCTTTTCAGTCTCATACTCCACAAACGCATACCCTCGTGAAGCACCTGTCACTACAAGAAGAATACAAACAGAATCTATTGTAATCAGAGAAATCTCCACAATGCGGAAATCAAAGCGAAATATAGCATCAACAGTCACAAATTCTGCTAACATAATAGATTGGTAGAAGCAACAAATCATGATCATAAATTGCATAAAGAAAAATTGCAAAATTTTACCAATGTGCCTCACCAAGCGCAAGCTCTTGATCCTGCCATACTTACTCATCGCCTGGAAAGAAGAAACACTTAGTTACGATAACATCATACTTAGTGAAATTCCAAAGCTTTGTTTTTTTTTTTGCCATACGAACGAATCGAATACCTCTCGAAGAGTATCCTCCGTAGTGAGATGAGAGAGACGACCGACGAAGAGAGTACAGTAAGGATCTCCGACTGCTTTCGAATCGCCAGAAGGATCATCTTCCAAAAACACATCCGAATCAATTAATTTAGCAATTCAGAAGCAAAGCAATGAAATTGGAAAGAGCAATAGAGAGAAAGGGAGTTTTTACTTACATAGACCGGCGTTATAACAGAGGAGAGCTCGACGGACGCCGTTATCATGCGCCGCAACGTCGGTTCCGTCGATACTTCCGGATTGAATCGGATGATACGACGTCGCGTAGAACACTTTGCTCACGACGTTGTTTCCCCCGCCGCTCATTTCTCCCACCACCCCTCTTCTCTCTCACGGCGGCTCCGGCTACTCTGTTAAAGCAATAGGAGATAAATGAAACGCCGTCGTTTGAAATAATTACTATTTCCGGCCCAACAGTGTTTTCACGAGGCCCATTTAGTGATCTTTCGTAGGGACCACCCACCGGCGGAAATTCCAACGGTGGCTTCTTTTTTTGTTAGGTGACTGACTCATTGGATGTGACTGAAGTGGAAGATTACCGCAAAAACACCAAATCTCATTTCGAGGAAGACAATGATGCTTGCTCGATTTGTATTTCGATCTCAGTCGAGACCTTTTGTCTCTGCTCGGCAATCTGCTTCGTGCTGCTCTTACAGCTCTTCTTCTTCGTCGGCAGCTTCAGCTGAAGCTGAAAGGACGATTCGAGATGGTCCCAGAAATGATTGGAGTAAAGATGAAATCAAGGCCGTTTATGATTCTCCTGTTCTTGATCTCCTCTTCCATGGAGTAATTTCTCACTCACTTACTCATTCCTCTCTTTGTTGTTCTAGCTCATATAGTTCACACATTGGAGTAGAAAGCTTTTCTCTTTCTGTAAAATTACACTGAAATCGGAAGAAAGAATTGATGTTTAGTCTTAGTTTAACCTAATTAAGTAGAGAACTTTTAGTGTATTCCAAAAAATATTGTCTTTTTGATGTTTGCTATTAGCTCGGTATTGTTCATTTGGTTGCTCGTGTGATGATCTCATTATACGTTTGGTTGTTACTTGAATGACGATGGCGTGTGGGCTTTTTTGGGATTCAGGCTCAGGTTCATAGAAATGTTCATAACTTCAGGGAGGTACAGCAATGTACTCTCCTCTCCATAAAGACTGGTGGCTGCAGTGAAGACTGCTCATATTGTCCTCAGTCCTCAAGATACAGCACTGGAGTCAAGGCACAAAGACTCATGTCCAAGGACGCTGTCATTGATGCAGCTCAAAAGGTTAGCACTTTCCTTGTCAATTCCTTAGCTAAATGCATGTTCTGTATCACAATGTGTCAATAAGAAACATGAGGAATGCTAAAGTTGGCAGGGAGTTTCATATTTTGATCCCAATATTTCCTTTACTTAGTTTATCAATTTGAGCTCTATTGGAAAGAGTCTAAGATGCATTGTGTATTTGTACTTTTTTCTAGAAATATTCAAGTTTGAGTGTGACTGTGATGATGACAACTGTTAATGTAGGATCCTGGGACTGTCTTAATGAAGCGTTTTGAGAATGTTATGAGATCTTAACAAATTTTCATTGTGTTGTTAGGCAAAAGAAGCTGGTAGTACACGTTTTTGCATGGGTGCTGCGTGGCGAGATACAATAGGACGGAAGACCAACTTCAACCAAATACTTGAATACATCAAAGAAATAAGGTATCCAATTACCATATTGTTTAATACTGTGAGCAATATCTGAGAACAGCAAAATGCAGAGTTTTTACATAATGTTGAATGTGGTCTCTTGGCTTTTATGCTTATTTTTCCCTGTTACTTTCACTTTTACAACAGAGGCATGGGGATGGAGGTTTGCTGCACACTGGGCATGATTGAGAAGCAACAAGCTTTAGACCTAAAGAAGGCTGGTCTCACTGCTTATAACCACAATCTTGATACTTCAAGAGAGTACTACCCAAACGTCATCACCACTAGAAGTTATGACGACCGCCTTGAAACTCTTGAGCATGTTCGTGATGCTGGAATCAACGTCTGCTCAGGTAACAAAGAAAATTTGAATTCATGGATTTGATAGATCCATAGATAAGAATAGCAGACTCAAGTGTTTTTTTCTGTTTACAGGAGGTATAATAGGGCTTGGAGAGGCAGAGGAGGACAGAGTAGGTCTATTACACACACTGGCGACACTTCCTTCTCACCCTGAGAGTGTTCCCATTAATGCTCTCCTTGCAGTGAAAGGCACTCCTCTTGAAGACCAGAAGGTATCTATCTCCACATTCTAAAAACACTAAATGCAAGTCATAGCTACTTTAGTGGTAAAAGGGCTTTGGAAACTCAATTGTTTTTTGTTCTTGTGCAGCCGGTTGAGATATGGGAGATGATCAGGATGATTGGAACAGCAAGAATCGTAATGCCAAAAGCAATGGTGAGGTTATCCGCTGGTAGAGTCAGGTTCTCGATGCCGGAGCAAGCTCTGTGTTTCCTTGCTGGTGCAAACTCAATCTTCACCGGAGAGAAGCTGTTAACGACACCAAACAATGATTATGACGCTGACCAGCTCATGTTCAAGACGTTAGGACTCATTCCTAAACCCCCAAGTTTCTCTGAGGATGATTCCGAATCAGAAAACTGCGAGGAAGTTGCTTCTGCTTCTCACTAAAGTCTTAAACACTATGAAGTTGCCATCTTTTTACTATGTAGTACGATTTTGGTGAAACCACTGTTCGTTTATCGTTTATTCATAGATGTCTAGATTTTTAATCAACCCTGAAAATTCTCAATCAATCAATAAATCTGTTGTTGAAGCGATGAACGTAGCCCATTTAAGCCCATTAAAGATGTGTTATCCATTTTCCAAGTCAACGAGCTTGTTGAGTTGTGTTCTGTTGGAACTTGGAACTGTTTGTTCTAGGCCTGGGCATAAAAACCGACTCGAAGGACCCGATCCGGAACCGACCCGAAAAAAATGGATCCGAACCGAACTGGAATAGACATAAATATCCGAACGGATCCTAATTCCTTATACCCCAAAGAACCGGATCCGACCCGAGAACCGAGTGGGTACCCGAAATATCCAAAATGTAATTATATTCTAAAAATGTTTAGTTATGTTTAGTCTTAAAATAACTAAAATATTTAAAATTACAATTATTAACCAAATATATTGGTTATATTTAGCACAAAATAACCAAAATATAATATATCAGAATATATTTGATTATATTTTGTAATATTTAATATGTTTTATAAAATTTAACTCAATTTTATTTAAATTAAATTATTATTTTTTATTTTTATTTTATCTTTTATTGCTAAAGTTTGGGTACCCAGAACCGACCCGGACCCGAGAGGAACCGATCCGGATCCGAACCGACTATGACACGGTTCTATATGGATAAAAAAAAATTATATCCGTAAGACCCGGAACCGAAAGAACCGACCTGAAACCGAACCTAGTACCCATTATGCCCAGGCCTAGTTTGTTCGCCCTCTTCCCTCATTCACCATAGAGAAGATTAACAAGAATTTGTGTCGATGCCTAGATCAAGCACTTGGGTCTCTATTCTTTTCTTGCCTGTAGCCATCCTCTTCTGCTTTTACAAGTACCCTTACTCTCCAGCCATTGTGGAACAATCGTCCAGCTCCATCTACCACATCTCCGTCAAGGTATGTATAATCAACTTAAACGACACAATTAAATTAGCTAATTGTTCGCTTTCTTTGTTTATTCCGCCGTTTGATTCTGAAAACTCTATCTTCTTGATTAAATTTCTTTGTGGGTTTTGTTTCTAATCTGTTGTTCTTTAAGAGTAAATCAAAGGGAATGTTGCTAATTTCTTATAATCCAGAGGAATGTATTAATCTTGACAACTAGTAACTATTGCAAATGTTTACTGTTAGATGAGGAAATGGCCGTTTTTCTGTGTGTTTATGTTCATCTTTATAGTTAGCAAGTTTATTCATAAAATTCTGTGACTGAAAATGCAGGACATCGAAGGGAATGATGTGAGTTTGAGCCAGTTCACTGGAAAGGTGCTTCTTATTGTGAATGTAGCCTCTAAGTGGTACGTTATCAAGAAGTATTTAGTTCTCTCTTCACAGTTCACACCAACTTTTCTTATTCAGAAATGCTTTTTCCAACTCCTAAATCCTCACAAATAGCATTCTTCTGCTTCATTTATAGTTTGATGCTAGGATTAGAAGAATCCATCAGTGATGCTAAGTTGCTAACTCTACAATGTTAAGTGGTTTCGATACAATGACAAATACAAGCTTTGCGTATAATGTGTCTTTAATATTTATTGGGCAGTGGTCTGACACATGGAAACTACAAAGAGCTGAACATTTTGTATGCCAAGTACAAAACCAAAGGTACGTCTCTTAATCTCTCAGTGGCTTTAATAACTAATGGAACATATGTAAGTACTGAAGGAAGCAACGTTTCACAACAGGGTTTGAGATCTTAGCGTTTCCCTGCAACCAATTTGGAAGTCAAGAGCCAGGTACCAACACGGAGATCAAAGAAACCGTTTGCTCAACGTTCAAAGCAGAATTCCCAATCTTTGACAAGGTCTGATAAACTTGTCTCAACATCTATCACACAGTGCCATATATCCTCGTAGTTGCTACTTATTCTTCTATCTCTGATTCAAGATTGAAGTAAATGGGGAGAATACTGCTCCTCTTTACAAGTTCTTGAAAGAACAACAAGGCGGATTGTTCGGTGATTCGATCAAGTGGAACTTCGCAAAGTTTCTGGTAGACAAACAAGGAAACGTGGTTGATCGATATGCTCCAACAACATCACCTCTTGGAATTGAGGTTAGAACAAGTTTCCCCTCCCAACACATTGATATTCATTTCTCTAACCACCAAAGTATCTTACTGTGTAATTTTCTCTTACTTCTTTTTGCAGAAAGACATAGAGAAGCTATTGGCATCTGCTTGATCACAAAAGCTGAAGGTGAGCCCCCAAAAGGTACCTATCTATGTCAGATAATCTCATTTTCCTTGTCTGGAGTAAGACAAAAAACTAATGTATAGGTTGAAAGTAATAGAGATCTGTAGTTAGAACTTTGAATGCAGCTTTTGCCAAACTCTTAGGAGCAGTTAGGTTGTAAATTTGTAATAACTCCTTCAAGCTCATTGGTGAAAACATAGAAGCAACAGAATCTTGTGAAATTGGTTTTCCACTTTTAAGGCCAAGAAACAAATAGTTTCTCTGAGAAATGCTCATGGAGATTGCAAGGAATATAAATGTGGACCTATTTGGTGCAGGACAGAAGAGCAGAAGCATCGAACATGTCCGAGACTGAGAAAAAGAGAGCTACTTTCTGTACTGATTCTTTACATGTATGTTTATCTTAAAACATCATTCGTGTCTGAATTCTGTGTATTTGATTGTATCATTATCTTGTAAACAATGTCTTCTTGATCCAATGTTGATCAAAAATTCAAAAGATAAATTTTTATTTATTTGCTCTTTCTTGATCATCAGTTACAGTAAACTTCCTAGCAAAATCTTCGTTGGTCATTAACCTTTTTTTACAAATCTGAGCAAAGCTCTACAACAATGTGTGTTTCAAGCAGGTCAGTCTCAAAAGCTGAACATAACAGCAAAAGAGACATCACTCCTGCTTTTTACTTGTTCATCGTCTTCTTCTCCACCATTGATTCCTCAAATCCAAATCTTCCGCTTCTCAACTACATAATCTCACAGTGCATGCCACAGCTTGTGCCCAGAATTTCAACCTTGCTTTCACATCATCAGGATTGTCCCCTGTTTTCACACATTCCAACCAAAACATAATCAGAAAAATCTGAAAACTAAAAGCTAAAATGCAAGAAACGAAATCAAAAGATCGAAACTTGAGCTTACCAGGACTAGAGATCTTCCAGCTAGCTATCGGACTAACGGGAGACTCAAGCACCAGAGATTTCTTCTCCGGCGAAGTATGATGATGATCTTGATCCATAAACTTCTGACTCATCGAGTAACAAAGCTCGAGAGCTGGTAAAGTGTTACAAAGCTCAGGAATCTCCTCGTAGTTGAAACCGAAGCCTAGATCTACACAACCTTTAAGCTCCTCGAGATCATCGTCCGTCAAACTCTTGGCCCTCTTCAAATCACTCCGATCTCCGTCATTCGCCGCCGCCGCCGCATCTACCACGTAACCTTCCAGCAACACATTGCTCTTCTTCTTCTCCAGTTTCTTCGTCGGCCTCGTCACACCACCACGAAAGCCATTGTCGATCTCTTCCTCCTCAGATTCAGTGTACGTGGAGCAAGAGGTTGAGCTCGAGACGTCGGAGTCGGAATCTAAGTCTGCCTCGTATGAGGAACAACGAGAGAGAAAATCTGAGTCGCACATTTTTGCAGAGAGAAAACTGAAAAAGGTTAAAAGGGAGAGAAAGTGAAGAAAGAAAGAAGGTGAAGAGGTGTTTATAAAGCAGGCGGCAATTATTTTTTCGTCTCTTTCTAATCATGTGATCATTAGTCCATGTGGTTATTATTTACCATGTATGTATGTGGTTATGATGCTCAAATATTTTATCATGAATGTGTATATAAGAATCAATGCCGGAGAAATGGGGCCCGCCATGTGCGCCGAGAATCTAGATCATCGAATCGTTCGTCAGAGATCACCTTTTCGCCTATTATTCCCACCGCTTTTTAGGCCGTTAATAACCAGTAAACTAACATTTTTACAAATATGTAATGCTTGTGTGTATAAATTATAGTATACATATGTTGTTGGTCATAGTAATAATATACACATACGATTTGATATCTAACTTACTTAACGCGGCCGCAACAAGAAGTCGTTGCTCCAAACTCGTTAGGTTGCTGCAATTATTTTACTCTATTGTACTAAGCTTAAACAAAACATAATAATGGAGATTTGTGTAGGTGTGAAAGACTAAATTGATGATTATAAATCTAATTATAAACAATTCACCATCGGCCTGCCAATAAGTCGTTGGCCTCGAGATGCGCCACGTCAGTTTTACATTTCCCTACGACTTATAGAAACAATATTTTAGTACGCCAAGTAACTTTAGATTCCACGCCAACATTTTGATTCCATTATTTGTTTTTTAAGATATTGGTGAAGAAAGTGTGATTCTTTGATTAGTTTGATCGACAACTGTTAGTGAGATGAAGCGAATCCAATGGAGTAACTATTAGGGTCGGTTACCAAAGGGAGACAAAACCATTTGTTGTTGTGGTAAAATAGTTAATGGATTAGCTGATGTGTTTGATGAGCAAAAATAGCAAATATTCAAAGCTAAATTTGGGATAATTAAGTTTTAATTATATGAAAACCAACATCCATAACATCAAAGTGTTTTTTTTCTTTTCGAAAACTCCTTGCTGTGAACAGCTAAATTTAAAAATATAAAATCATGAGGAAGAAGAAAATTATAGAAGCCAGAACAAGATTGCTTCTCGAAATTTCTAATGGAAAAGCTAAATACGAACAAAATGATCGTGGTCCAGCTTTTGATGAGCTAATTGGCTTCATTGACAAACTAACATGACTTTGATATATAGTGCGCCGGCGTCAAATGGAGACAAAACGTGTCATGATCATATACATGATATTCATGTCATGATGGTATTGGTGATGGTAACATGACATGGTATCTTATATATACCATTAAGCTATGTTCTTGAATGGATGTGAATTATATAGTCAATATAAAAGCACGAGAATACGACATGGTTTAGTTTCCCATATTATTGTCCATATAGAACGAAAGGCTCCAAATGATTGTGGTAGTTATGGGCTGCGTACAGTGTAGCATAAATGCGATTATCGATCATTGAATAAACGATGTTGATATAATTTGGTAGAAAATACTAGTGAAACGAGTAGATGTTGTTGAAATTAATCATAATTCTACACAATTTGTTTCCATTACGCAATCATCAAATTGTTAAAACACAAATGTTCTGGACGGCAGGACCGTCTTAGACGTTTGTTAACAAATACTTGACTCGTTTAATATATTTAGACCGTCCGAACAAAATGAACGTCAAGTCGTCAACCATTGAAAACTAAAATTATCAATCAATTTGAATGTTTTATATATTCGTCTGGCTAAATTAAAAGCTTTGTTGAATTTCAGGACCATGCTCTCGTTTATTTAAATATAACGAACCGTTTGTGTTTTAGCTATTATAAACTTGTGAAAGTAATTTTCGTAAAAACGCAGACATGCATGTACTGATGTACACACATTTATATTAGTATATCACATGTATATTAGTATAATACATCTTCTTACATACACACACACACGTTTATGTCCACTAATTCAAAGTGCATGTAACTCAGTATCCAAAAGGAAAAGGGATCACGAGAATACGAGATACGAACCAAATAAGTTACTTTTCTGATAGATTAGCCATCGAATAAAGTTTGTTAAGATCAACAACCATCAGATAAGTCTTGCTTGTAAATGATTAAATAGACTTTTCTCATAGTTGTATTGTTACTTACAAAATAGTTTATTCAATTATTGTGTGATGGGAACAATTAACAAACGCATGTGGGAGGGTAGGGATTATAAATGCTGAAATGGAAGAGAATCACATGTGAACGAGAGAGAAGAAGACAAAAGGCAGGGGAGGTGCCACGTATCTCTTTTCGATAAGAAATTAGAGGGCCCACTAAAAAAATGAAAGACAAGAAGAGGCCCAACAACTCACGTGTCCACATTTTCCTTTCTTTCTTCTTCTTCAGCTCAACTAATCAGCACCACATTTCAGTATTTCACGCCCTCTCTCTCTCTCTCTCTGGTCTTCACGACATTCATGTTCACTCTGGTCCCATTTCCAATTTTCCATCATTTTCATTTGTCCATTTACCACATATACTACTATTCTTTTACCTTTTTTTACAAAAGATTTTACTTTTATTTATGATTCACGAGGGTGATATTGTAGCTATAAAAAGAACTGATAGCTGTGAATTTGTGATTTATTTGGTACGTAATGTATATATAAATATCATAGGTTTGATCCAAACTTTTGGACCAAACAGTAACACATGATATTTCTGTAAATTTAAAAGTGTCTATAAAGTTGTTTTCTGATATATTCGACGGGAAAAGATGATTGACATTCAACTTTTTATCTGTAAAAAAATCTATTTATATCATAGAAACTTTTTGACAACAAAAGAAATATAATGTAACCCGTTAAAAAGACGATAGTGTATTTTCACTTTTCAGATAACTACAAAAAAATTGAAGACAGATAGTTAAAGTATTGAATGAACCAAAACACAAACCTACATTGTATAGTGATATAAGACAACACAAAGGATACGTTACACAATATCCAATCATACATTTTGGTGGCCCTTTTCATGTCCCTAATTTAATTGCCGTGTCCAATTCAGTTAATGTTTCTTTTTCATCTGATTCTGATCCCTTTGTTTTCATTTCCTCAAATCAATTAATGTTGTGACAAAAGGACAAAATATACCTGTTAAATTTAACAGAAAAATAAGTTAACTGGAACACAGTTCAAAAGACAAGTCTTATGTTTGCGAATCAACACATTCATATTCAATGCTCTTGTCTGACTTTTCTCTGCCCATCTTTAATGAGAAAACGCACCGTTTTCAATCTTTTGATCATTACACATGCACCATAGAGAGAAATGCAAGACAAGAAATCTCTACAACAGTTACACAAGACATAAAAGTTTGGAATCCAAAGTGGACCCTAAATGTATTATTTATTTACAAACACAGCTCCTACATCAACATACGTAGCTTAACCGGAACCAATCCCGGTTTGACTCAGTGATCATACAATACAACAATGTATGTATAGTGTGTGACACAGCCAAGATCCTTAAGACCGAGGAGACCCCTGCTCGATCAACCCCTCAGCCTCAAGGTTGTTGTTGCTATCGCTGCTACTTCCCCAACCACTGTTACTCCCCCAAGCCCTCTCTTTCCAAATCTGTTCAACTTCCGAAAACGTGAGCCCCTGCGTCTCAGGGACAAACACAACCACAAAGATAGCCGCAAGAACCGCAATCCCCGCGAAAATCAAGAACGTCATTCCTGTACCAGCAGATTCCACAACCGACAAGAACGTCTGCGCCACAATCAAATTACTAATCCAGTTAACCGTCGCAGACATACCACCGCATATCCCTCGGTACTGTTGCGGATATATCTCCGAGTTAACCGTCCACGGAACCGGTCCCATTCCCGGCGCAAAGAAAGCAATGTACAAAGCTAAACCAAGCACTGCAAGCCAACCGTATAGCCCCCCACCATCATCAGATGATTGTTTAAAGAACGAAACCGAGAGGATAATAAGAGACACAATGACACCGCATAGACTCGAGAGAGCAAGCTTCTTCCTCCCACAGTGATCAATGAAGTAAATCCCGACAACCGTTCCAGCAGCGTTCATGGCAGCAACGATGAGAGACAGGAACAGAGCGAGCTGGTTCGAATGAAACCCCGCCATTTGCACTATCGTAGGGCTATAGTACATAACCGTATTGATCCCAGTGAACTGCTGAAACGCCTGAAGCCCAGCTCCGGCGAAAAACGCGAGCCTCATCTCTTTCGATCTAAAAACATCCAAGTATCCAACAGTTCGTTTCCGTAGCCGCTCTTCCTCTTCAGCCGCAGAAAGATCATCAATCTCGTCCTCTAACCTAGACACGTCGTACATCTTCGTGAGCACTTGGATTGCTTCCGACTTACGGTTCTTCATGAACAGCCACCGAGGAGATTCCGGCATGAAAAGCATCAGCACGAACTGAACAACAGCGGGAACACCTGAGACGCCGAGCATCCATCTCCACGTTCCCGGAACCTGAGTGAAAGCAGAGTTGACGAGGTACGAAAGAAACTGTCCACCGGTGATCATCAACACGTTGGTGCTCACGAGTCCGCCTCTCACTTCCGACGGAGACGCTTCCGCTATGTAAACCGGCGCGGTCACGGAAGCAACACCGACTCCTAAACCAACCAAGAGACGACCTGATATCAAGACGTACGGATCAGGAGCAGCCGCCATGACGATTGCTCCAGCTGCGAAGACCACATCGGCGAAGAGAGTCGCTTTTTTACGACCGTAGTAGTCATTTATCCAACCTCCTGATGCTGCACCGATTATTGCACCAACTAAAGCCATACTTACAATAGTCTCCTACAAGATTCACATTCTTCAACGGATCAGTTACTAAAACTGAAAGTTACTTACCAGCTTGGTAAAAAGGTAAAGCAGTACCTGTAAGAAACTGCTCTGTTTAACGACCTCGAAATCATCCTTAATGTACAAAAGTGCACCGGAAATTACACCTGTAAAGTAATAATTTCTCAGAATTTGATAACACTATACAGATCCAATGAGACAATCAATGCAGATTTAGAAGAGTTCAGTTTCAATTTCAATTTACAACATTTCTACGGATGTGTCAGTGAAGAATCAAATCTAACGATTTAAAGCATCTTAATTTATTGACTGTTTCATTGTCGGGAGTGAAGAGAGACCTGTGTCATAACCGAAGAGAAGACCACCGATTCCGGCAGTGACAGTCAAACCGAGAATGTAAGAATTGCCAAAATACGACATCCTTCGCTCCGGGAACATATCCAAGTACCCGGAGCTCCCAGGTGCGGATGGGATCGTCAATGCCATCTTCTCGCTACCGGTTTGACCTCAATTTTCGAATGCACCGCACTTTGACGGAAAAAATTACTGATTCGCCGGAAGTTGAACAAGAATTAGGTGAAGGAAGGAGAATTTAAATCCCCGGCCAAACAAATTGCGATTGGTTGAATTGCCGATAATCGAGGAGGAAAAAATTAAAAATGGGAAGGAATTTGTTTCCAAATTTTGCAAAATTAACGAGATATGGATTTCTCTTCAGAATCCGGGTAATATTTCCAAACTGGGATAATAAGATAAGCGCAGGTGATTTGGATTCAGAATCGCGGAGGTAAATGTGGCGGCACAAACGCAGCCGTGAAAAATAGAAACTTTTCAAAGACGAGAAAACGTAAAAGAGGAAGGAGATAGGGAGAATTGTCTAGAGTTACAGGACGGTGATTAACAGACAAATAATGCAACTATTTACCCATGTTTTTTTCTTTCTTAATTGACGTGGCGAGACACTCTGGATAGTGTTGTCTTTATTACCAACGAACATATCAAACATCCCACTCGCGCGGATAAAAACTGTTATACTACGCGCTTTTTGCACCTCGATTCATTCTTGTCGGACTGTGGTGGAAGTTACGCGCGTAGGTACACGTGTAAGATGACTCGGATGATAAGTACAACAACCCACCCATTCTAGATCTAACGGTTTATTACGTGTAAATCTTTATTACAACAGTTATAGTAAGTCAGTGTCCGTACCTATATCACTCTATCAGCATAGAAATAATATAAGCATGCAAAATTAGATACTCCTCAATAGAGCAAGTCAATTAATACTTTTTTTCCAACGTTGCGCTCTAATCTGAGTTTTTGAAATCTTCAAATAATAATAGGAAAATTATCCCAAATATTGGAAATTTAACCATCCAAACATATCACTGATAGTAACTTTGGTTAGCCCATGTGATTGAGGCCTTTTAAGGCCCATATATTTGGTGTTGATAAATTGTACGTAAGGAGACAAATGTCAAAAATCAAACAATGAGGTCAATTGGTCAACGGGGACTACGACCATAAGAACAAAAGAAAGTGGTCAGCTCCTAAATTGTCAAAGAATAAAAGGGACTAGAAATATAAATAATTTGGACAGATATACAAAAGCAGACCAGCGGGTCTGAACAGAAGCTTCGATTAGTTGGCCAAACTGCCTCTTTCCTTTTTAGATTTTTCAAAAATTAAAAAAATGTTTTTTTTTACATTAAACGTGTGAGAGAGAGAGAGAAAAATCTCTTTGCTCTGAAATTTCAACCTTACTGCTGGTTGATCCCTAGATTTTCGCCGTGTTAGAGAAGAATCTCATTTCTTTGCTTCTTAAATCGAATTTCGTGTCGAAAACTCCTCCGCGAATCGCTTTCATCTCTCTAATTTTTTTTCCCTCTGTTACCAACTAATCTGTAAGTAATCTTCAGTGCCTTTGTTGTCTTGTCTCTTGGAAGTTGGAACTCCATTGATCCCGTAATCGGTCGTTTAGATTTCATACTTCTTGCTATAAGAACTCATGTCCATTAATTTCTGGTTTTGATTTTGATCTTTCCTTGTTGGTTTAGTTTGTAGGAATGTGGAACTGAATATCCGTGTGGATCTCGTAATTGGGCTTAGTTTTGAATCGTAAAGTTCTTATTTTGACTTTTGGTTGTCCCTTCCGCTTCGCTCTGCTAGTTTCTGTTTGGTTCGCCTAAGTTAAATCCGTGCATTTGGGGTTTTGGATTTAGAGTTGAAAATGTTTACAGTGGCAATTCCCATTACTAAAGATCTGATCTTTCTGATATTTTTAGACTATTATAATTGAAGTGTTATTGAGAGAGTCTGAAGATAAAGAATGCGTGCACCATCTCTGCTTGCGCAATGCTTGCCTGGTTTGCTGCCTCAGGACCGTGGCGGTGTGGCTGCAATATCAGAGAAGGATTTGCAGATTCCAACACCAGCTGTTGAGATCATACCTTCTAAGGTTGTTTGCTCTTTCTCGATTATACCACCAGTTACTCATAACTTCTTCATTTCCAGGGCTTTTTCGGATTCACCATGTAATTTTACCACTACATCTTATGTTGAAAAACTTTTGAATCTCGGACAAATCAAGATTAATACAGCAGACTTGCGATTCTAAGTTTTGTTTTTCTTTCTTCGTTTCTTTCTTGTGTAGTCAGCAGCTAATCAGAGGTATTCAGGAGAGAATCTAGATGTGCTCGGTTTACAAGTTTTCAAGGTACTATAAATGGAATTTTGAAGATAGTTTAACCACTTCTAAGGTTTAAGGCAACAAGAAACTTTGCTTAGAACTAGTATGTCACCAAGTGCACCGTTTGCTTTTATATATGTTCATTGAAAACTAAAGAAGATTAAGAAGATTAATCATTGTTGTTGCTTTTGCGATATTTTAAAACCTTGTTTCACTGCAACCATTAATTTCTTGCAGGGAAAAGTAAGTGTTGCTGATATCATTGGGCTCTCTGGTTCAGAAACTGCTCCTTTAAAATATGAAGGTATGTGCTTCACATGTACTTTCATCTGATATTTTCAGCTCTTTATGTAAACTTTTTCTAAGTTAAAAGAAAAAAACATTGTGCAGGTTCTCTGAAAAGTTGGGAAAGTGCTATTGTTCTTGTTGCTGTCCTTAAAAACGAGATCCGCGATGGACAGCTTAGCTTCAGGGGCAAAAGGGTCCTCGAGGTACTCTTCCTCCCAATTTATATCATCTCTTTGTCAAAGCAATGCTAAACAAACTCACCAGTTCACTTGTGTTCTGACTTGAGCAGCTAGGTTGCAATTATGGAGTTCCTGGGATATTTGCCTGCTTGAAAGTAAGTAAACCAACATGACTGCAAAGAAAGCTACTACTGTCACATTTTCTCATCATGTAAGCTTCTTTGTTTCTTTTTAAAGGGTGCTTCATCAGTCCACTTTCAAGACCTAAGCGCAGAGACAATAAGATGCACAACCATCCCAAACGTTCTTGCAAACCTCGATCAAGCTCGAGACAGGCAAATGCGTCAGCCAGAAAGCCCGCTCACACCATCAAGACAAGCCGTAGCTCCATCTGTGCGTTTCTATGCAGGAGAATGGGAAGAGCTACCGACCGTTCTGTCCATCATAAGAACCGACGTTTTCGTCGAGCCAGCTAACCAGGGAATGAGCTTGAGTTTCTCAGAGGAAGATTTCATGGACGGATGTAGCAGCCAAGACGGGAGCATCACAGGGCAACCAGATTTCTCCTCGAGACGATCAAGGAAGCTCTCGGGAAGCAGAGCTTGGGAGAGAGCGAACGAGACTGATCAAGGAGGAGAATGTGGGTATGATGTCATACTAATGACTGAGATCCCTTACTCTGTTACATCTCTGAAGAAACTATACTCTCTCATTAAGAAGGTTGGTTTCTGAATTCTGATCCTTCTCTCTCTCTAGTTCTTGACTCGGTGGTTGTCTTGTCTGTTTCCGGTTATAGTGATGGTTGTTGTGTTGGTTACAGTGCCTGAGACCGCCTTATGGCGTGGTGTATTTGGCGGCGAAGAAGCAGTATGTGGGATTCAACAGTGGAGCGAGGCATTTGAGGAATTTGGTTGATGAGGAAACTATCTTAGGAGCTCATCTTGTTAAGGAAACTACGGACAGAGATATTTGGAAGTTCTTCCTCAAGTAAGGTGTACAAGAACTCACTCTTGCAGCAAAACATAAGTTGGAAAGAAGTCAAGTACAAAACATTTTTCTTGTTGTATAATGTATTGCAACATCATTGAAGTTTTCATCATCATTTCGCTCTTCTTTATAGTCTTTTGATGGTTCCTTCATTTTTTGTTTTACTACGGAGTCAAAAGTTGGCCAGTGATCTACTTGACTCTTCTGTTTTGTCCATTAATCAACAGGAATTCATTTGTATAATGTAGTGAAGATTGATACTAGCATATTATAATGGAAATACAAAAATCTTAAGTTTTCTTCTTTTCTGTTTTCTTTGAGCAAAATCCCAATTTCCTGAGTTTTTGATCAATTGAACATTGGTTTGCATATGACGTATGCATACACAAAGTGACAAAACAACTTTGATTTGACAATTTCCAATTTTCATTACAGAAGCAAACTGATGGAGTATTAGTTATGCATAAAAACCAGACCAAATGTTATGTCAAAATAATCGAAACTCTGTTCCTGCAAAATCTCTCACTGATAAAAGAAACTGTACGGAAAAGCAAAAACAAATCCGAATTTCGCAAACCTAATCTCTGGGGACGGATGAGCCGATATCGGTCAACGGCTCAGTTCCGTCGACTCTGATTCCGGTGCGACGGACGGAGTCAAACAACGGAAGAACCCTTTTGCGGTGGTGCATGGGTCGAGAGATCTCCTCGTCCGCATCAATTGAGACTGTTTCGACACCGAGCTCCCTCAGACGAAGCCCAAGCTTCTCGCCGACGCGCGACGCCGTCTTCGAGTCCCAGAAATTGTTAGAACGAGGGTATCGGTAGAGATTGGCGCGGCTCTGCGCTAGAAACTCCTGCTCGGAGGATGAGGCCATGGCTACGATCGTGGAGGTTCCTGGTTGAGTCACTTGCGCCGTGATCTTACGGCACGATAACACCAGCTGAAGGAGATGGTGACGGTGGGTCCCATTCATTGCTCACCGTATTGCTTTTTTCTCGATGATTCTAAAGAGTAAAGATCTCTCCTTGTTGCTCACGGAGGAGGAGATTGAGATTTTGCTTCTTTAAATTGGAATAAAATGTGTTTTTTTTTTTACTTCCTTTCCAAGCTCGTCTTTCCCATTTATTTCCCTTTTATTTTATCATAACTTAAATACTAATTTTTTTATGTTCAATTGGAATTGGAGCCTAGAGAGTAGAGACTTTGGTCGGAAATATTTTGTTTGTGTGTTATGCAATCAGGTTTTCTCATCAATCTTTGCAGTGGATGCAAATGCAATTCAACCTCATGCCTTGTTTTTTACCTTCCAGTGATAACGTCATTGCATCAAACACGAATCCTGAAACATTTTTTAGTCTAAAAAGTATTTGAAAGTATTATTAGCATTGTTTTAAGTGTCACACTCACATTTACAGTTATGAAAACTCGTATTATTAGCACTTCTTATCTCACAATTTTATCAAAATTCCCAACTCAGAAAAATGCCATACCCAACATTAGTCCTTTGAAGTGAGAACATTTATTAATAAATAGAGTAATTTGATATTTAAAAACAAATCGCCCGTATAGCTCAGTGGTAGAGCGTCAGTCTTGTAAACTGAAGGTCCGTAGTTCGATCCTGCGTGTGGGCACTTTTTGGTATTTTGTTTATTAACTATTTTATCTTTTTTTTGTGGAAATGAAAAACCCTGAAAATGATTAACGTGAAACGTTTTATCGAAGAGAAGCGCGAAATTTCGAAAATCGAATGTGGGACTCCACTCAATTCAAAAGTCAGCGACGAAGAACCTTCTTCTTTTCTATGCAGTGGCATTGATTGATTCTTCATTTCTTCTGCTTATCTTCTTCTTCGATCGAATCTCTGGAATCTGGAGAGGAAACCAATGGATCTACCTGAAGCATGCTGGGAATCGATCTGTAAACTCATCGACAAAGACGATTATCGATTCCTGGAATCTGTCTCACTCGTATCAACCTCATTCCTCTCAATCACCAATCACGTTCGCTCCACTTTCACCATCACCGACCGGACCGTTCCCTTACTCCACCGCCACCTCCGCCGTTTCCGTAATCTGAAGCGTGTCAGATTCTATGATTTCACTAAGAATCCCGTTTCGACTCTCTTGCAAGTTTCGCGTTCCGGTCTGCATCTAGAATCCCTTGATGTCTGGGCAATGCCGTATTTCCCAGATTCGGAGAAATCGGGGATGAAGATGATGAGTCATCTCAAGGAATTTAACGTCGGTGGAATTGACGAACTGCGAGAAATCGATCTGGTTTCGATCGGATTGTGTTTCCCATTTCTCCAGAAGCTGCACATAGGCTACATCGACTCTCTTCCAGGTCCCGTCTTAGACTCTGCGATTATCAGTCTTTCCTCAAATCTCCCAGGATTGTTGAAGATTGACGTTACTGGTAATTCCCTAATGACAGATAAGTCTCTGATTTCTCTCTCGGAGAATTGTGTCCTCATGAGAGAAGTGATCATTTGTGACTGCCAGGGAATTTCATCTGATGGCATCGAGTTCCTCCTCCGAAACTCTAAGAACTTAGAGTCTCTTGCGGTCAACTTCATCGGATTTGCGCTGGAGGAATCTTTCTCCAGCGATGCTTTCGTATACGCTCGTCGTTTGTCTGAGCTTGATCTCTCCGGTTCGATTATATCCGTTGAGTTTCTGCGTTCCATCGCCGATGCAGAGCTTCCTCTGAAGAAGTTAAATCTCTCCTGTTGTAAAGGTCTCGATTTTGATGGGATCTTGTATTTGGTTTCCAAGTGCCAAACACTTGTTGAGTTGAATCTTAGAGGATCAAATTTCCTCACTGATGAGATGGTGGCGAAGCTGGTGGTGTTCCTCCGGTGTTTGACCTCTGTAAACCTCAGCTGGTGCTCCAAGTTAACTGGTGTATCGTTCTTCAACATCGTTGAAACGTGTGTTGCCATCAAGTATGTGAAAATGAAAATGACGAGTTTTGGAGTGGAAGAAACTTCAAAGGAAGTGGATATCATCAAGTCAGGGCTCAAGTCTTTGCACATATCTGGAAACCAGAGTTTGAGAGATGAGTGCATCGAGAAGATATCACGGCATTGCCCTTTTTTAGAAACTCTTGAGTTGGAAGGTTGTACTGCCATCACTGGAGATGGGATGCTTCAAGTTTTGAGGAATTGTGGGAAGCTAACATATTTGAATATAGAAGAATGCAAGGGGATAAAGTGTATTGGGGTGATAGACTTTGAGCTTCCAAAGTTGGAGACTTTGCGGACGTGTGGGAGTTGGATCAACGACCAAGAACGAGATACGATCAGGAAAATGTGTGGAGGATTGTTGATTCTTGATCTGAGAGGAAGCTTCAACGTGAGATCAAGAGGGGTGAAGGAAATTGTGCGGCGATGCACACGTTTAAGAGCGATATACCTTGATAAGTGTGAAGCTGATGATGAGATTTTCACTTGGTTGGTTTGTGAAATTCCATCTCTTAAGAAAATCGTGTCGCCGTCTGGTTTTTCTCTAAGTTTAGAACTCAAGAACTTGTTGCTGCGTCATGGATGTGTTATCTACTAACAACATTGACGGTCGGTTTGAGCCGAGTAACTTAAGGATTGGTTTGTGAAACATACCAAAAAAGAATGAATGTTTCTCACTTTTCGTGTTCATGTCATATTTCTCACTTTCCACTTTTCTACTTTGTATTTTTATTTTGTTGTTGTTCAAAGTACCTTGCACCTTTCTTCTGTTTAAAAAATAAAAACCAATGAAAAAAAAGAGAAAAAAAAGAGGTAGCCTTTCTTTAACTACCCAAAATACTGTAAAGTCTTCTCTTGTTATGTTTTCTCTAGCTTTAACCGGGTTTAAAGCTTATATTATTGACTGTGAACTCGGCTTAATCGGGTTTAAGTTGTGAAATTACGTGGGGTGATTACAAAAATAGTACAAGAGTGGAGTGTCGATAAGTGTTTGTCGAGTAAAAGAGGAAGCACTTTAAAATTCATTTTTCTTGAACATGAAATTAAGTGAAATAATATAATAAGAAAATACAGTTAGTAATAAGTAATAACAGATGATGACAATTGTAAGTATGAATTATGAGTGGAGCTGGCTTGGGTGAGCTGGATCAGGAAGACAACCATGAAGTCCATAGCATTTCTCACAAGTCAAATGTCCTTGGATCCCGTTACACACTTACACTACACCCCGTGATAATCTTTAATATTTATTTATATTATAAACCATAACAACACTGAATTCAAAAGTTTATAGTCTACAGTACTAATTTTCATGTTTTTTTGTTGTTGTTCAAATTAGGCCTGGGCATTCGGGTTTCGGTTCGGGTTCGGGTCGGTTCTATTCGGGTTCGGGTCTTTTCGGGTTGCTAAATTTTAGACCCGTTCGAGTTTAGGAAAATTTCGGTTCGGTTTCGATTCGGTTCCTGTCGGGTTCGGGTCGGTTCGGGGCTAAATTTTTATGGACCCGTTCGGATTTATACAAATTTTGGTTCTTATTGGGATCTCATTCGGTTCTGATTCGGGTCGGTTTTTATCGGTTTTTTTAACCAAATATCCAAAATCCTACAAAATAACCGATAAAATCTTGTTATAATCCATCTTCTACTAAATATTTTTGGACTTTTCGAATATTTTGATTATTTTGTTCTAAATATAACTATTATATTAGATTTATAATTGTAACTTTAGTTATTTTTTAGTATTATAAGCTATTATAAGTCTAAAATATAACTAATATTTTGGATATATAATTATATTTTGAATATTTTTTTTTTTTTGATAACTTTGGTATTCGGGCAGGCACATTCCCGACTATCCCCATAAGTGGGGTCCAGCGCCCCAATGGAAGGGATGTTAAATCCGTTGTGGCCGGGACTCGCGCCCCAACGGAAGGGATGTTAAATCCGTTGTGGCCGGGACTCGAACCCAGATAGCGGATACCTCAACTGAAGATCCTTTACCACTGGACCACAAGTCCCGGTTTCTCTGATTCACTTTCCAACCTACTTCTACTAATTCATTTCTTACTAAACTCTAGGGACTCTATTTGGTAAAAATGTTATAAGAATCAATAATAACTCTAGTGACTCCCTTTACTATTTCAATATATGATTCTTTTTGTTGATCCAAAACATTTCAATCTGAATAAATAGGTGATAGTCGTTGTTGGTTGCTGAGCAAGTGGGTCCACGCGGAATAAGCAAAAACCAATGGAAGGGAGACAACGCTCGAAAGATGAGGAGATCCAACGGTCATAATCTAACGGGCGTCATTCTTGGCGCGTTTTTTGGTCCCAAGTGTCTTCCTTTGATTCTTAGACCCGCCGTTACGTTTTTTACCATTAAAATGTTTCTTAAGAAATAGTTGGGTTTTTTTTTTACAGTTGGATTACTGATTCTACAAATACTACGTCGAGATTGCAAAATTACTCACTTACTTACAATATGAGATTGTGAATCATTTTTTGTTACCACAACATATTAGTTTATTGGGCCTATATTGAGCCATAACAAGCCCAACGGATCTTAAAGAGAAGCGTTTCGAAGTTTAAATGTTGTGGTGGGGATCCCACGTTCGATCGAAAAAGTCAACAAAGAAGAAATTTGTATTTTTTTATGCATTGCCGCCATTAATTGCTTCTTCTGCTTATCTTCTTCTTCTTCGATCGAATCTGGACTCTAGAGAGTAAACCAATGGATCTACCTGAAGCATGCTGGGAATTGATCTGCAAACTCATCGAGAAGGACGATTATCGATTCCTGGAATCTGTCTCACTCGTATCGACCTCATTCCTCTCCATCACCAATCGCGTTCGCTCTACTTTCACCATCACCGACCGGACTGTTCCCTTACTCCACCGTCATCTCCGCCGTTTCCGTAACCTGAAGCGCGTCAGCTTCCATCATTTCACTAAGAATCCCGTTTCGACTCTCTTGCAGGTTTCCCGTTCCGGTCTAGATCTGGAATCGCTCGATGTCTGGGGAATGCCGTATTTTCCAGATTCCGAGAAATCGGGGATGAAGATGATGAGCAATCTCAAGGAATTTAACGTCGGTGCAATCAAGGAACTGCGAGAAATCGATCTGGTTTCGATCGGATTGTGTTTCCCATCTCTCGAGAAGCTGCACATTGGCTATATCGACTTTCTTCCAGGTCCCGTCTTGGATTCTGCGATTATCAGTCTTTCCCAAAATCTCCCAGGATTGTTGAAGATTGACGTCACTGGTAATACCTTAATGACAGATAAATCTCTGATTTCTCTATCGAGGAATTGTGTCCTTCTGAGAGAAGTGATCTTACGTGACTGCGATCTCATTTCATCTGATGGCATCGAATTTCTTCTGCGAAACTCTAAGAAGTTAGAGTCTCTTGCGGTCAGCGGAATCGGATGGCCGCCGAAGGAATCTTTCTCCACTGATGCTTTCGTATACGCTCGTTGTTTGTCTGAGCTTGATCTCTCCGGCTCGTCGATATCCGTTGAGTTTCTCCGTTCGATCGCCGATGCAAAGCTTCCTCTGAAGAAGCTTCTTCTCTCGTATTGTGAAGGTATCGATTTTGATGGGTTATTGTATTTGGTTTCCAAGTACCAAACACTTGTTGAATTGAGTCTTAAAGGATCAAGTTTCCTCACTGATGAGATGGTGACGAAGCTGGTGGTGTTCCTCCGGTGTTTAACCTCTGTAAACCTCAGCTGGTGCTCCAAGTTAACTGGTGTAACGTTTTTCAACATCGTTGAAACGTGTGTTTCCATCAAGCGTGTGAAAATGAGAGTGACGAGTTTTGGAGTGGAAGAAACTTCAAAGGAAGTGGATATCAACATCAAGTCAGGGCTCAAGTCTTTGTACATATCTGGACACCAGAGTTTGGGAGATGAGTGTATCGAGAAGATATCACGGCATTGCCCTTTTTTAGAAACTCTTGACTTTGGAGGTTGTAATGCCATCACGAGAGATGGGATGCTTCAAGTCTTGAGGAATTGTGGGAACCTAACATCTTTGAATATAGAAGAATGCATTGACATAAAGTGTATTGGCGTGGTAGATTTTGAGCTACCAAAGTTGGAGACTTTGCGGACGTGTGGAAATTGGATCAACGAGCAAGAACCATATACGATCAGGAAAATGTGTGGAGGATTGTTGACTCTTGATCTGAGAGGAAGCTTCAACGTGAGATCAAGAGGGGTGAAGGAAATTGTGCGGCGATGCACGCGTTTAAGAGCGATATTCCTTGATAAGTGTGAAGCTGATGATGAAGTTTTCACTTGGTTGGTTTGTGAAATCCCATCTCTTAAGAAAATCGTGGGGCCGTCTGGTTTTTCTCCAAGTTTAGAACTCAAGAACTTGGCTCTGCGTCATGGGTGTGTTATTTACTAACAACATTGGCGAGACTGGTCGGTTTGAGACGAGTAACTTAAGGATGAATGAATGAGAAAAAGGCTTCATGTTTCTCACTTTCTGTGTTTATGTCATATTTCTCTCAATTTCCACTTTCCTTTGTATTTGTATTTTTATTTTTATTTTGTTTTGTTTTTGTTCAAAGTACTTTGTACCTTTCTTCTATTTAAAAACCATTGAAAAAAAGAAAAAGGAGGTAGTCTTTCTTTAACTACCCAAAATAAAGTCTTCTCTTGTTCTGTTTTCTCTAGCTTTAACCGGGTTTAAGTTGAGACCACTATCATATGACAGCATTGACGAGAGTGATCGTTTGAGCCATGTTTTGACATAGAAAGTTTACCTTTTCCTTATGTAGAAGAGAGGATAGATGCTTGATCTTACTACAAGGAAAGACCATAGAGATCACTAACCAATAATGTAACAAAATGAAATTATCTGTGATTAACCGATTCGAATAGCCTTGTATAATGTAAAAGTCATGGTTAACATTGATCAGGACAGATGTTCCTTTCGCAGGATTCAGTTTACCTTTCACACGTGCAGAACCACAATCCGATTTCGATATGTTAGTCATGTCAACTTTTAATCTTGACCCACGCTATGCAAAAGGCCCGTATAGCTCAGTGGTAGAGCGTCAGTCTTGTAAACTGAAGGTCTGTAGTTCGATCCTGCGTGTGGGCACTTTTTTTACCACCTATTTTAATATATTATTTATTACCTGTAGTCTGTAGAAAATTTCATATCTGATATGATAATGATAAGTGCACTAGTATATTAGCAATTCACTGGATATATCGTATGCACCCTATGCAGGGCATCAAATGGTACAGCTGCACATCGATACAAACCGTTTCGGACATTTGACGCATTCTCCATCTTCCGGAATGTACCGTATGTTCATCATTGTGTAACCACAATGTGTGTGATAGATAGATGATAGGTCAGTAACTAATTAATTATTGCTACTAATTGTTTGCTTACCCTTGTAGAAAAAGGTTCTTACTTCTTTATGACATACTATAGGCCACTAGGCGTTATATATTGTTATTTGAAAAAGTAAAACGCGTAGTCTTGTTTGGATATGTCTTTGTGTTTAGCTTTAGTGGATTAGTAAGGAATTTTAATTTTCCTACCAGTAGATTACGTGCTGATTAGACAATAAATGTACGCTATAGGTTAAAAGACCTTCCGTGATAGATGGTTTTTATATGTGTTTTCGTACCAATAAAAGTTACCCCAATTTCCACCTGCTATATATTGGAAACTCTTTAGGGCATGCACAATGCTAACATTAGGTGCTTAAGATGATGCTTAGAGAATCTTGGAATTAAATTAAATCAAAAACACCCATAAAATGAAGGTCTGATGCTTAAGTAGGATCAATTAAGAACCAATGTGTAATGCGGAGTGGAGTGGCCACTACCAAGAATCGTTGACAAAGATCTTAAAATAAGTGTTTGTCGAGTAAAAGAGGAAGCACTCTAAAATTCATTTTTCTTGAACATGAAATTAAGTGAAATACTGTAATAAAAAATACAGCAAGTACTACTAATAAAGTAATAAATAATAACAGATTATGACAATTGTAACTTTGTAAGTATGACTGTATGAATCATGAGTGGAGCTGGCTTGGGTGAGCTGGAACAGGAAGTCAAGTAGACAACCATGATTCATGAAGTCCATAACAGTTCTCATAAGTCAAATGTCCTTGGATCCCGTTACACTGCACCCCGTGAGAATCTTTAATATTTCTTGATTAAACTATATAAATTAATAACAATACTGAATTCAAAAGTTTATTGTTTATAGTCTATGGTCTGTAGTCTATAGTACTGTTTTTTTTGTTGTTGTTGAAATGCTAAAGTATAATTTTTATCTTCTTGTTTTACTGTTAAGAAACAAACGTATGGTCAACATAATCTACGAACATGATAATCATGAAACAGTGATGAAAAATGTGAAGTTGTTAGTGATATACATGAAAACCTATTGGAAATTAGAACACTTCTAAAAGAAGATCTATGGACTATGGCAAAGCAAAAAAGAGAGAGAGTTATCCGAACGTATAAATTCATACACTGTCTTTGAACGCGAGGCTCGGCCATGTTTTCCTCATTAGGATTTAGGATGTATAGTGTTTATACTTTGGCTTGAAACCGATAATTGTATGAGTTACATATAGTGTTTATTAGTTCACCTAATTAGCATTGGCCATGCTAGTTGCTAGGGTTCTAGTTTGATACCATATTTGCTTCCATTTTGATGGAAAATTTCATTAAAAAAAATTATGAAACATATTTGTAGACTATCTTATCCCAACAACTACCTACTCTACTGATTCATTTCCTACTAAGCTCTAGTAACTCTTAAAATGTTATAAGAACATATCAATAATTTAATATTTCAATCTGATTCTTTTTGTTGATCCAAAATATCTCCATCTTGAATAAAAAGTGATAATCGTTGGTTGCTGAGCAAGTGGGTCCACGCGGAAGAAGCAAAAACCAATGGAAGGGAGACAACATTCGAAAGTTGAGGAGATCCAACGGTCATAATGTAACGGGCGTCATTCTTGGCGCGTTTTTTGGTCCCAACTGTTTTCCTTTGATTCTTAGACCCGTTACGTTTTTTTTATCATTAAACTGTTTTTTAAATATTCGATTCTAGAAATATTACAGGTCGAGATTGCAGAATTCTTTACTTTCTCAGGGGCATTACTTATTGTCAAGCCTTGGTAAAAAAATAAAATAATAATCTACTGTTAACTATAGATGATTTTTAAAAAATCCCATTCGAATATACCATATGAGTTTGTGAATCATTTTTTGAGAAAATTTAAAATTCAGCGTTATTCAATTCTTGCCTTGTCTTAAGTCTTAACAGTTTGCCTGTTTTTTGTTCCCCTTTAAGTCTCATGTTTAACTTGTACGATACTAACAAAAAGATAATCTCTACAATACAATGAAGACCGGCACACTTAGGTGAGATAATTAAAGAAATGCCAAATGGGGACAAGAACCAAACATCAACAATTATAACAACGCGTTTTTGACATTACTTCCTTTTCAATTTAACAATAAAGCGATGTCTATGTTTATGTTTAACTACACCCCTACCTTCTTCACGCGTTTTCTGCATTTTCTTTTATTTTTTTTTTATTTTTTTTTTAATACAAAAAGGTTGAGTGATCTTTTTTTCACTAAATCAGTCTCTTTTTCTTTTTATAATGAAATATTTATCATACACTTGTTAAGATTCTGTAAATCACGGCTTTATCTAGTTGTAGACTTTAACTTATATCAGGTAAGTAGTTCTTCTTCGGATCTTCGTTATGCCAATGTATAATGTAATTATCAGAATTCAGAAATTTTAACAAAATAGACTAAAACATTAGTATATAGTATATACCCATCAAAAGATTAAACAAATTCCATATCATTAGTGAAAATGATCTATCAAATCTTTTTGCTTCTTGTAACAATTTTAAAGTTGTTGATCTATATATCATAAAAAAAATCCATGACTAATGTTTTAAACCGTGACTAACGTTTGAATTGAATAGATAAAGAATTAAAGACTACATGAGTCTCTAGAGTTTCAAACATTTTCTTACAAAACATATGTTTGAGAAGTCATGTTCAGACTAATTTCTCATTCACTTTGTTTGATTAATCCGTCTTTTCCACTTTGAATCGTCCCTAATTCTATTGACTTCCTCAAAACAAGAAAAGAAGTAAAAATAAAGGAGTAGTAACGTCCATGTTTGATTCATTATAAAAAACAAAAAAAAACGTTATGTTAATTCAACGGTAATATAAAGAGGAAAAACAAATTCCCTGAAATTATACTATTTAATGGTCTAAAAAAGTATTTAATGAAACTCTCTCTTTCTCTCCTCTATAAAGAACAACAATTTCCAAGTTTTCCTCTATCACCACAAAACTCTGTTTTCAAGCTCTCTGTTTCTCAGATCTTCTCTCTGTTTTTTCGGAAAAAGAAGAGTTTGATTTCAACAGTTATGGTGAGAATATTCCTTCTCTACAATCTCTTAAACTCTTTTCTTCTCTCTTTAGTACCAAAGAAGCTCCGAAGTCTCTTACCTCTCTCTTGGTTCGACACAACTCTCCCCAAGAACCCATCACCGTCGCCGTCGATGTTACCTTCACCGTCACCGTCATCTGCCCCGGCACCGACAAAAAGAACAGATCCTGCGGAGCTCAAACGGGTTTTCCAGATGTTCGACAAGAACGGAGACGGTCGAATCACAAAGGAAGAGCTCAACGACTCACTCGAGAATCTCGGAATCTACATACCAGACAAAGATCTTACCCAGATGATCCACAAAATCGACGCAAACGGCGACGGATGCGTCGACATAGACGAGTTCGAGTCTCTGTACAGCTCGATCGTCGAGGAGCATAACAACGATGGAGAAACAGAGGAAGAAGACATGAAAGACGCGTTTAACGTGTTTGACCAAGACGGAGATGGTTTCATCACTGTGGAGGAGCTTAAATCGGTCATGGCTTCCTTGGGACTCAATCAGGGGCAAACCCTAGAAGGTTGCAAGAAGATGATCTCGCAAGTTGATGCAGATGGTGATGGTAGAGTCAATTACACAGAGTTTCTTCAGATGATGAAAGGCAGTGGCTTTACCAGCAGTAATTGATCTTTTAATTAGAGAGGAGAGTTTGTGTTCATTCGATTGATTTGTTTGTTTTTCCTTTTTCTGTGTAAATAATTTTCTGATGATTAATCAAACACATCATAATCTGGACTTATGTTTGTTTAGTGTTCTTTAATTATGTGTAATGTGTGTGGGAGTGTATATATATTAGCTTAATGTTCTCTTATAATCTATGGTTAATACAGTTTCTCACATTACATCCCCATAAACTAAGATTCAACAACATTCCCATAGCAGTTTCACAAAATTATTAACATGTGACTTAAACTAACTCCCTGACCATTTCTAAGACTAATTGCGAGGTCTGCCACTTCTACCGAACGTGCCAGAATATTGTATGTATGCATTATTTCTGCAGGCAATGTTTTGGAGGTACATCGTCTCCCTTTAGTTTTGTTTCGATTTAGCATATAATATGATTTTTATATCTTTTACTTTGTGTTATGTTTTGCAGGATTAATTGAGTCTAATCATATGCTGTCCGTTCTACGCCTGTGATAAAATTGTATCACACGACCTCATTTACAAAAAGATACATGAAGAAGCAAAAATGAGCTACACATTATCTTTGAAGAATAGTTACTAACAAGTAAAGTACATACATTATTTATTAATTGTCTATCATTAATTGACATTTTGCTTCACTACTAAAATGGACATTTACTAACTTGTACAAGTATAGTGCCTTTCAAGAAATCGCCTCTATTACAAACACAGTTGTCGAAATAGGTAGAGGTTAGTTTATCTATTCAAATGTTTTTTTTTCTCTATTTTTAAGGTTTTTTATTTATTTTATAATCAATTTTATTATAAATAAATCTAATCAGGGTTAGGAGCTCCAGTTTGGGATGCAATTTGGGAAAGAAAGACATTTTTCTAATGGCTCTTATCATCATCACATGTGATGTGTTCCGTAAATTGACGGGAACAAGATAAGAATGAGAAATTTGGAGAATGAAATATAGTTTCCGAAGTATTCCCTTATTATAATAGGACGAGAAATGACGGGAATGATAATGAGAAGGAAACATGAAATTTGGGAATAAAAAATTAATACTGAAGTTTTAATAAACCGGGAAAATTGAAAATACTTCGAGAAATTACAGGAATATACAGGAAATTTTGGGAAAATATTGAAAAATACAAAGAATCTCAGAAAAATATGAAACATTCGGGATATTTAAATAAAAAATATCTAAGTTTCAATTCTTTTTTAAACGGGAAAATTGGGAAGTACCATACGACCATACCCTTCCCGAACCCTTTACTTACCCATTTGAATAAAATACATGTTCCCAAACAGAAAAATGCAATTTGCCATTCCCAAAAAATTCGTGAAATTTTAAATGGGTAAAGGTGAGAAGCGCATGGCTAAACCATGAAATTCTTTTCCTTTTTTGTGATTTTTTTTGTATATAAAGCAACAAGCATTCATTATTCATAGTTGATTTATTAGAGAGCATCTTGTTTACTTTGCAATAACTCACAATCTATAGTCTCAAACTCCTTTTCCATATCTTGTTAGTAGATTCTCGGAGTTTGAAAAAAGGAAAGTCAACCTTTGAGTTTCCATCGTATATAATTTGGGAATTTGTCAGAATTACACACAAAGAAAGGGAAACTAAGCAGCAAGGCAAACAAAAAATGGGGGAAGAAGAGCAAAACCCTAACTCGATCTACATTCCTCATGAGCTGCTGGAACAAATGGTAATTCGACTGCCCTTGAAATCGATCCAAAAATGGAGAACAGTCTCAAAAGAATGGAGATCAATCCTGGAGTCGAGGAGGTTCGGTGATAAGCACATGAGTCTTCGAAAGAGCCGGAAACTCTTGGCTGCTTACAACTGCGACTGCGGCGGGCGGCTTCGTCGCCTCCCCGACTCCGAGTCACGGTTCAAAGGAGACGAAGAGATCGTCTATATCCACTGCGACGCCCCAAGACTCTCGTTGACATGCGACGGCTTGGTCTGCTTCCTTGAACACGATTGGGTCATCGTTTTAAACCCGTCGACAAGACAACTCCGACGATTCCCTTCCGGCTTAACGCCCCACCATACGTTCAGATATGTCTTCGGTAATAATTTATCAATGATTTTTTTTCTTTTTCTTTTTAGAGTCGAATTTTGGCACTAGAAAAAGTTAAAAACTCAAAAACTTTCTTTCAGGACGTTGGCCCCTTTTCCCTCGAGGATATTGGGCAATGGGATTCGGTAGAGACAGAGTTACAGGAAGGTATAAAGTGGTGAGGATGTGTTTTACTTTCCGAAAGATTAACCAAAAATATCCTGACGTGGAATGTGGTGTTGCTGATGTTGTAACTGGTGAATGGAAGAAACTGCTGAGCTCACCTTCTAATGTGGTCAAAGTGGAAAAGAAATCGGCCACTGTGAATGGATTAGTGTATTGGTTAGGCCTTAAGAAAGGACAGATGGAGATGGATTACAAAATAATAGCCTTGGATCTTCACAAAGAAGAGTTCATAGACGTATCTGTTCCGGCTCAATGGGTCTCGCGGGAAACGCAGATAGTGAACCTTGAGGACCACCTAGCCATAGCCAACACGATAGCTAAGCCTTATTGGGTTCTAGAGATCTGCATCATGGGTAGAGAAGATAAAAGGTGGAGAAAGGTTTACACCATTACTTTACATAGGTTTACACCATCAGTTTATTTCACGCCTGTGGCGGTTTCTAAGCGAGGGAATCTTGTCTTCTATGACAATGAGAAGAGACTGTTCAAATATTATCCACGGCCAGATGAGTTTCGTTGTCTATCGTTAGACACTTGTGTCATATCTCGTTACGTGGAGAATTTGGTTCCGTTTCCTTTAAAGCCAAGCCATACGTATCCTAATCAGGTAAATTCGGATTCTAAGAAGAGGACTTCCATCTGCCGCTTGTTTTCGAGAAGTTGTTGGATAACCAAAGTTTTGCAATGGAATGGATATAGGATCCTGGATATTCTGTTTACCTCTCTAGTAATAGTTGGTTATGTTTGGTGTCCTCTCTAAGAGTTATTTATCTGTCAAACTATTATATAGTTCCGCTTTACTTATTTAAGTATTTAAATATTATAATATACTTATTATTTTGGTACCTACCTCTTTCGATTAACATTCAAATCGATATAAGTGTACATAATCCCATTGACTACATATAAACGCTTGCCCTTTCTCTTTGCTCTTCTATGCACGCACATCCGATGTGGTATTATCCAAAATTATGGTTTAGCATAAGGGAATATTTACTTTGTTCCCTCCCAAGATGTCTTCTGCGTAGATGTTTCATTTACTTTGTTTTCCAAAGGTTGCTGGTACAATGTTCTTAATTTCTTTATCTCAACCATGGCATGCGAAAGTATGATGTAAAAACCACGTGCACTGCCTTCACCAAATTGCGTATTTAAACTTTATACACATGACACATATGTATGTCATGTACTCGACAACAAGGTCGAACAGACTCGAGCTAAAATAAAGCCAAATGAAAGAAGTACAATAATTTCCCTAATTTTAGAAATAATTTACACATTCTTAAGAATGATTTACACATACTTGATGAGATTGATTTACATATTTTTAGGATATTGGACATCTCATATATCATCCGTGTATGAAGTATGATAAGGATCCTAAAAATGTTTAATATATTTCAAAATAAAAGAATCCGGAAAGTTCTTTATCGAACAAAGTTTGATATTTGAAACTTAGTTTGTTTTTTATATTTTTTTAAATATTGGTTTACTTGTTTTTGTTCATAAAAAAATAAATCAGCGTATTTTAATAATTTATTTAGTGCTACTATTGAAAATGAAAAAATACTATACGTTTTCCAATAACTAGCGTGCTTATTACATTTTATATATGCTTCAAAACCAAATTGACAAGAAACCCCAGCCCATTTCAAGCAATAATACATAAGCTGGTAATGGGCTATTGATTCTCCAATTTAGGGTCCATCAAGAATTCGAATTCAAAAAACATAAACAGATCATACGTCTTACGGTTGTGGCGCCATTAGCAGAAACGAAGAGAAGTTGCTTCTTCTCTTCTTCTTCTTCTTCTTCAAGGTGATATGTCGAAATTTTTCAATTCGGATTCCATATCTATGCTTATCTGTTTCTGATGATGGAGTGTACCTTCCCTGTTTTGTAGCATTTGAAACTGACTTCATTGACAAGTTCCTCGTCGTTTCTCCTTTTGGATCTCTGTGATTTCGTCTACTGAAAAACATGATGGAAAATATCGACATTGATGAGGAAGAACCGAATGTAAGAACCGATTCTCTCGCTCGTCCTTTTCATCTGCTTCTAGTTTGAATTTCCGATCAAATTTTCTCTGCCTACGATCATTTCCGTGGAGGATGATATTAGCGCTTTTTCTGACGAATTCAAATTTCGGGAAAATTTTGACTGACAATACAATATCAGGAGCCTATTAATGGAGTTCCTGAAGTAATTCAGGAAGAAGCGAATGTAAGAACCGATTCTCTCTAGAGGTGTCAATCGGGCCAGCTCGCGTCCGCCTGGACCTGTCCATCGGGCTTTATGTTTTTGAGATGTCTGTGCGGGTCGGCCCGCCGCGGGTTGCGGACAAAATTTCTAGGCCCAAGCCCGCCCCGCATGTTTTGGCGGGCTTTGCGGGTTGGCCCGCAAGCATCATGACTGGTGTAGAATCTGTTACTGTTACAATCAAAATGCAAGAACAAATCAACAAATACTTCACATTATTCGTCAAAAAAGAAACTATTAGGTTTATTCACTGTTACACAAAATTAAAAGATGAAATATCACTTGAGAAGAATGATACAATCAAACCAACCTCCAAATGTTCATAAATCTGGCCTAATAATCATGTGTTCAAGAAGCACAATATAGCAAATTTCAGGTTTTAATCTACTCATTGTCATAGAGTTTCATTGCGAGTACTGTGTTAAGTTACCGTTAGATGTTGCCACAATGTAACCATCAGCTACATGTCAAAAAAACTTTTTATTAGCATCTGCCATTGTCCATTTTTTACTATGACATTCACATTCATGTTTTGTACTCTGTTCCTTCTCTTTGCAGGAACGCCAAAACATAGTCAGTTCCAACGAAACAACGATCTTCCTTACTTCCCCTTAAGCCATAAAGGAAAAAGAAACTGTTCCAATCATTTTTCAAGAAACAGACATATACTTACTTTAATTACTTGGCCAGGACCAGCACCGTATTCACCATCAGAGCCCTGAGAAGCAATGTGTGAAAGCAAACTAAGTACCAAATGAAAAACTTCATGTAACAATAATAAGAACAAAAAAAAAAACATAAACTTTGAGGCAGCAAATCAAAATCAAAAAGAATGGATGAGAAAATCAGTAGAGTTTCCACAATTGGTTTAGATAGCTAACAAACCAAATGAATTTGAAACTCCTAACCTGGCAGCGTAGATGGCGTTGTTTTCTAATTCATCATCCACAGACTCTCCAAGCCAAGCAATTGAATGAAGAATCCAGTAGCACAGCCAAGGTCGGCTGTCCAAAATCCAATTTCCAAGTTAATCTATTTGGCATCATAAAATCCAAACAAACTCTTGAACATGTGAATTTCTAACCAAATTTGTGCGAATTTTAAAGGAAAATCTGAATTCTCTCAAGTGATTGTCTAAACAAAGAGACTCCATTAAGAAAGAAACAAGTTTCGAACTTCTGATTGTCGCCACAGACCAATCACGCATGTCCTCCTTATTAAACATCACAAAGAAATTGTAAGCTTCCATGGAGCTTCAGGAAACACTACAAAATTGAAGAACTTCGGAAACAAGAAATTCTATTTGGAAAGAGAGATGATTTCTATTTCAAAGAAGAAATTCGAAAACAAGAAGATCCCATTCATTCACGTTAAATCTCTGAATTTTTTCTTTTGTTAGAAACTCCAGTTCTCCATCGTTGCCTCGTTGATATCAAAGTGAAAAAGTGTCGGAAAGTAGATCTATGGTCGGGTTGCCCGCCTGCCCGCAAACCCGATGCGGGTTGACCCGCCCAGAACCGACGCCCATATGGGTCACGCCCGCTAGACCCGCTATTTTGCGAACATATTTTATTGGGCCCGAGCCCGCCCCGCAATTGTTCATATGGGCTTGGCCTGCGGGCTTCGGGATGGACTGACACCTCTAATTCTCTCACTCGTCGTCCTTTTGATCTGCTTCTAGTTTGCATTTCCGATCAATTTTTCTCTGCCTACGATCATTTATGTGGAGGATGATATTAGCGCCTTTTCTGACGAATTCGAATTTCGGGAAAATTTGACCGATGATACAGTATCAGGAGCCTATTAATAGAGTTCCTGACGAATTTGATGAGGAAGAAGCGAATGTAAGAACCGATTCTCTGCTTCTAGTTTGAATTTCCGATCAATTTTTCTCTGCCTATGATCATTTCTGACGAATTCGAATTTCGGGAAACTTTGACTGACAATACAATATCATGAGCCTATTAATGGAGTTCCTGAAATTGAGGAGGAGGAGGTATGGATATGAAGATTTTTTGCTCTAATTCGTCCTTATAATCTGATTATTGTTTGTATTTCATTCCAGTTCCGATCAATGCTTAGCTTCTTACAAATCGATTGCTATGGAGGTTGATTTTAGCACTCAAATTTTGGGAAACTTTGACAAATCAGGGAGTTATGATTGAAGGCGGTATTGAGGAAAATGATGAGGATGAGGATCCACTCCGAAAACTATTTCGCAACATTCGCATTGGTGAGTCTTACAACACTTATTGGTTTATTCTTTTTGGCTTCGTTTTGATGGAACAGAGTCTGATATTTGTTTGTAAATACAGGTGCTACAAACCTTGTTTTCGTGAATCTGGTCTGTTAAATTAGGAAAGTCAATGATACTCGATAAATCAGGAATGTGTATAATCCTCAATTATGTAGATTGATCTCTTGTACTCTTTATAAGTCAATACAATATCACAGGGAAAGGGCATCGATTGTGCTTCGGACCATTCAACATGGTATCAGAGCTTTCTTCCTAAAAACCTAAAATTCTTTTTCTTTTCTCCGCCACCAAAGCTCTTTCTCTGTCCTCTTTCTCACTCTGTTTTTCTTTCTTTTCTTCTCTGTTTTCTTTGCTCTCTTCTAGTCTTTCTCTTCACCTCACTAATGGCTACTGCTACGCCTACTGCTGCTAGTCTCACCCAGATCCGTGTGCATATTCCTGTCATCCTTAACATGAGTAAGATGAACTACGACGGCTGGCGTATCCTCTTTGAAACCCACTGTCGTAGCTTCTCCGTAACCGGTCATCTGGACGGAACTTCTCTACCCACCGATGATGCTGACACCAATTGGCAACAACTCGATAACACTGTCAAGATGTGGATCTACGGCACTATCTCTGAATCTCTCCTCAACTCTGTTTTGAAGGCTCAATGCTCTGCTCGTGAACTTTGGCAAACCCTCGAAAATCTTTTCCGAGACAACAAAGAGGCACGTGCGATTCAGCTCGAAAATGAGCTCCGTAATCTCACGATTGGTGATCTTCCGGTGCACGATTACTGTCAAAAGCTGAAGAAGATCTCGGATACGCTCGCCAATGTTGACTCTCCGGTGACGGAGCGTGTGCTGGTTATACATCTTCTAAACGGTCTAAGTTCAAAGTTTGATAACATAATCAACGTTATCAAACATCGCACTCCACCGTGTACGTTCAGCGATGCTCGATCGTTTCTTATCGATGAAGAAACTCGCCTCAAAACAAAACGTCACCACGATTCACCTCACGTTGACAATGCCTCAGCACCCCAGCTCCTTGTTGCAACCACTCTCAACGAGAGCAACAATCAGACTTCGACAATCAACGCAACTACAATAACAACTACAGAGGCAATCGTAACCATCGAGGCAATCGTGGTCGTCAAGGCAGAGGACGTAACAACTACAATCAGAACTGGAACCCTCGGCAATCATGGTCTTGGCCACAACAACAGCAGAATTGGCCACAACAGCAGCCACACTACAATCGGAATTGGCCGATGCAGCCTCAATTCCCACCTCCATACAATCGACCACCATATCCACATCAACAATACACTCCACCTCCAGCGGCGGGACTTCTCGGGCCGTCTCCTCAACGCCAAAATACGGCGTACGTTGCTCAGACTGTGCAACCTTCACAATCTGAAGCCATCCCCACTGCTCTTGCCTCTGCATTCAATAGCATGACTTACCAAGATCCTGCTGATCATGGATGGTACATGGATACCGGTGCCACGGCTCACCTTACCTCTCAACCAGGTGCACTCTCTCTTACCCAAAACTCTTCTTCTTCTTCTCTTCCTATTGTCACAGTTGGTAATGGCTCATCTCTTCCTGAAAAGGTTTCACCTCGTTCCCCACTTCCTCTCGTCCTTTATATCTCCAAAATGTTTTACTATGCCCTGGAATTTTAAAGAATCTAGTCTCTGTTCGTCAATTTACTAAAGATAACTCTTGCTCTGTTGAATTTGACCCTCTTGGTTTTCTTATTAAGGACCTTCGCACCCGAGTGCCTATAATCCGATGTGACAGCAAAGGTCCGCTGTACTCCATCAAATCTCCTTCCTCTCATCAAGCGCTCATCACCAACACTATCGGAGCCAAAGTGTGGCATTGTCGTTTAGGCCACCCTGGCAACTCCACTCTTCGTTCTTTATCATCTTCTGGTTTTTTAAATTGTAGCAAACCGGATGCTTTTCCATTGTGCCATGCTTGCCAATTGGGAAAACATACTCGGCTTCCTTTTTCAAGCTCTTCTTCTCATGCGATTTCTCCTTTTGACATTATTCATTCCGACATATGGACCTCTCCGGTTCCCAGTGTTAGCGGAATAAAATATTATGTTATTTTTTTGGATCAATTTAGTCATTTTCTTTGGGTTTATCCGTTACGTCAAAAGAGCGAAGTGTTTTCCAAATTCATCGATTTTCATACTTTTGTCAAAACGCAATTTCAAAAATCTATTAAAGCTTTACAATGTGACAACGGGGGTGAATACACCAGCCGTGATTTTCAATCTTTTCTTTCTTCTCAAGGCATTCAATCTAGGTTTTCTTGTCCTCACACTTCCCAACAAAACGGAAGACCTGAGCGTACTCTCCGAACATTAAACAATCTCATTCGGTCTCTTCTTTTTCACGCTCACATGCCTTCCACGTATTGGGTCGAAGCTCTCCACATGGCTTGCCATTTGTTTAACATTCTTCCCTCCTCCACAATCGACAATGACACTCCTTTTTCAAAACTTTTTCAAAAACCTGTCTCTTATGATCACCTCCGTGTTTTTGGCTGCCTCTGCTACCCAAATCTTTTACCCACTTCAGCTCACAAACTAGCTCCTCGTTCTGCTAAATGTGTCTTTTTAGGCTATCCTTCTAACCACCGTGGTTACCGCTGTCTTGACTTGAGCACAAACAAAAACATTTTATCACGCCATGTCGTCTTTGATGAATCCTCTTTTCCATTTAACGAAGATCCTCCCAGTCCATCCTCATCTCCACCAACATCTTATTCTTTTCCATTTCCCATTCTTCAAAATCTTCAACCTGATCCAATCATGGAGACTCCGGCTTCTGACCATTCAACATGGTCGTCATTGCTCTATTTGGGACAGTTTGCGGCGAGGTTGACATGTCGTGGCTTGCTCGTAGGTTCAAAATATTTCGCAGGTAAAATCCATAACGCAGCTGTGAAACTCTAGAGATCACTCTCTCGCTTTGATAACACTCGTACTTGGATAGAGAAGTATAGAAGAAGAAAGAAGCATAGGTTTGTAAATAAGCTCTTTCTTGTGGGAAAAACAAAACAATCTTGTGTGTTGGATTCCTTTTCCCGGTATCTCTAGCCAGTTTCTTGATACTCTGAGAAACTTCACCTTTACTCCAAGTTTTCTCACTGGTAACGCTTTGGTAAAGAGTGTTGGCTAAGCTCCACCATAGCTGAAATCTTGGTCATCATCTGAAAACCGCTTGCAAAAATGTCTCAAATATATGTGTTTTCGATCGTCTGTGATGCACAACATAGCTCTTTGACAGTGTGTGTTGCAAAACAATTCTACTGTCTCTTGATCAAGCTCCAATTCATTCACCAAATCCTTTTAGCCAACCTGTTTCTTTTATGGCCTCTGTTTCTACACCAAAAAGAACATTATGTTCTGCTTTGTCCCAAGCTTTCTTTATGTCCAAAACTTTCCCCCAGTACACGACTCTGCATATCTCCTTGGTTGACTGGTTTCTCTGTCTCTCTCAACACCTTGTTCATCTGTAAGCGCATTTTAGGCTCTTGATCCTGAATCTGGGCTGTCTTTGGAAATGTTTCCCCTGTGAATTACAGATGAATCATTTCTCTCAGCTGTTGTCTTCACTTCTTTCCACAGGCTGTTTCTTGAAATGTCCTTTTATCACCACCAATCCAGTAAGTGCCTCTTCTTTCTTTTGACTTTGATCTGCCCTTTTCTTTCCCCTCTTGTCTGATCTTCCTCTTTCCTCGTCTTTTGTTTGATTACCAATCTGACCAAACTCAAACTCTTTGATGTGTACTGCACTCACACAGCTTTCCCTACGGTTAAGGGTTCCTCGCAATAATTCAGTGTGTTTTTGAGTTTTTCAAACCCTTTGGGAAGGGACATACGCAACAAAACTTTATTGTCTTCATCTGACACAAATACACAATAACCAACCTTTAATTACCTTTTCTGGGTCAAGAACTCGTTTAAATTCTCCTATACAGACATGCTTTGTTTCATCTTAAACTCGTATAGACTATTACTGAGATCTATACGGCTTGATAGAGCATAAATTTTGTACAGAACATGTATCATACCTGCACCTGTCTTCTCTCCCATGGTTTCCCTTAAACATGGTCTGCAACACTGAGTATGATAACAGATCTGGGCTTCCTCTCCTTCTATTCCAGAGATGGGTACTTATTGTGTTCTTCTCTTCTTCCTTCTGAGCTTGAAGATACGACCTCCACAGCTTCTGTTCCAGTTTCTTCCTCCTCTCTGTCTCTTCCTTCTCCTTCAAAAAAGCACCGATGAAATCCATGACGTTTGAGATCAGCAAGAAGATTTTCTTTCCACTGTGTTTAGTTTCCTCTACCTTCAAAATTTTCCAGAAATTTCACAGAAGAAGACATGGATCTGGGTTCTTGAGTGAGAGGTTTGCTCCTGAAACTTGTCCCCTGTTTTTCCTGAATTGTTCCAACACTCGAACACAGGACAAAACATTACAGTACCCTTTTGGGCAAAAAGACATGTGACGTCTGCGTGCTTTACTTAAGGCTTGGGATTGGGCTTTAGAGATCAATTCTTCTCTTCATTCGAACCCTCTGGTCTCCCTGGAGACTTTCTTAGGATTAGTATTTTTCTTCTTTGATTGTCCACAACTTGAACAACTCCACATCAATCTTTATAGGCAACGATGTGAGGCAACTCCAAAACTTGTTTGATTTCAAATTTTGATTAAAGAGTAGGCACAAATTAGAGCTTTGGTCATACAAATTAATAACCATGCTGAAGAAGATATAAGAACAACAACAGTATTAGATTACTAAAGCAAAGAGAATTATAACAATAATGTTTCCTAATCATTTGACAAATACACACCAGACTGGTCATACTTAACATGAATCAAGGCCTTGCAACCTTCTCTTGTGCTTGGTCTTCAATTCCTGACTAATCCCAACTTACTACCACCACGGAGACTAACACAATGGGCCTTCTTTGTTACATCCGAATCTCCGGGCGAGGATTCTTCCGTCTTTTTCGGATCTCCGGCAAGACATTCAAATTGATTGATAAATGTAGTTTTCAAGGGAAACCCCTTAGCCTAGTGGTTAAAGGGATTTAATGCTTCTACATCAGGAGGTATGGGTTTCGAATCTTGGCGGATGCGATTTGCTAATGATTTATGCAGATTATTGGAGACAAGCTTACAGGAGGTCTACAGAATGGTGCACGTGGAGCCGTAGGCCGGGGAGCCTTTGAAGATGGTAGAATCGTCCGTTGTAGAATTATCTTGTAACAATTCTCATATTTGTCTAATAGATTAGTCAATCCAGTGTTAAAAAAAAAAATGTAGTTTTCAACGGTTGACGTTCATTTTGTTCGAATGGTCTAAATATATTGACTCTTGTTAACAAACGTGTAAGACGGTTTCTGCCGTCAAGAACATTTGTGTGTTTTAACAATTTGATGAATCCGTACTGGAAACAAAATGTGTAGATGTAATTATGATTAATCTCAACAACCTCTACTCGTTTCACTAGTATTTTCTACCAAATTATATCAACATCGTTTATTTAATGATCGATATAATCAAATTTATGCTACACTGTACCCACTACGCAGCCCATAACTACCACAATCATTTGGAGCCTTTCGTTCTATATGGACAATAATATGGGAAACTAAACCATGTTGTATTCTCGTGCTTTAATTTTATAGTGACTATATAACCCACATGCATTAAAGAACATAGCTTAATGGTATACATATGTGACCATGTCATGTTACCGATCTTCGATAAATTTTGTTTACTAGAGATCTGCATCATGAGTAGAGAAGATAGAAGGTGGAGGAAAGTTTACACCATTACTTTACATAGGTTTACTCCATCAGTTTATTTCACGCCTGTGGCGGTTTCTAAGCGAGGGAATCTTGTCTTCTATGACAATGAGAAGAGACTGTTCAAATATTATCCACGGCCAGATGAGTTTCGTTGTCTCTCGTTAGACACTTGTGTCATATCTCGTTACGTGGAGAATTTGGTTCCGTTTCCTTTAAAGCCAAGCCATGCGTATCCTAATCAGGTAAAATCGGATTCTAAGAAGAGGATTTCCATCTGCCGCGTGTTTTCGAGAAGTTGTTGGATAACCAAAGTTTTGCAATGGAATGGATTTAGGATCTTGGATATTCTGTTTACCTCTCTAGTAATAGTTGGTTATGTTTGGTGTCCTCTCTGAGAGTTATTTATCTAGTGTCAAACTATTATTTAGTTCCGCTAACTGCTTACTCTTAAATCTTATGATACTTATATTGGTAACTCGTTTCTCTTCTTTTTCGATTAACATTCAAATCGATATAAGTGTACCTATATAATTTGCTCTAAGGAGAGAATCCAAAGATACTTTAAATCTCACAACTCACAAGAATTAATGTAGATTTGTTCAAAAATTATTTTCTACTAGACGGTGAAAGCTAGAAGGAAGTCGGCGTTTGTGAATGGGTCCATCGACTCGTTAGAAATTGTGGACGAGTCTCGTTGCTTTTCCTCGTACACTTTTCTTATATCAACTAATCTTTACAAATAGTTTTGAATGATCACCACTAATGTTGTAAATTTTGATTTTGAAAATTCAATGAAATATGGGAAAAAAAAAATTTCATATACGACTAGACATAAAACAATAACTGGCCATGAATGTTTGGTTGTTTTTTAGATTTTGGATTCTGGTTTTTGGATTTTAGCTTTTGATTTTAGATTTTGGTTTTTGATTTTGATTTTGAATGTAAATTTAATTTTTGTTTTTTAAATGAAAAATGCATGAAAAAAATCTGTCGTTGGTAGTATTTAGGAAAAACCCAAAAAATAAGGAATCAATTACACCAAAATCTTGATTGGATAAAAAATGGTTTTTTTCAAAAACAAAAACCAAAATCTAAAGTAAAATCTGCAAACAATCAAGGCCATTAATTTTGTTTTTAGCTTATTATATAGTATGTCAATAAATGTTTGTCTTTTGACTATAAATTTATATGGAAGTAAAGGAAATTTATGTCCTTTTTAATCTTTGACCAAGATAATACTTACTTTGGGGGTACATTTGTGGGTATATAATAAAATAAAATAAAATAAGAACATAGCTAGTTATCACTATGAAGACTTTAATCGCATTCTTTTTCACTATCTTCTTCATCACATCTTTTGTTGATTGTCGTATTGCAACTGCTGGTCCTTTAAGTAATAATTTATTTTCTATACCTTCACTTTTTGATTACGAGCATGATTTTGTCTTTTTAACATACATATAATTGATTTAACGATTTTTCTTTATACAGGTTATCGAATATTAGATGGCGGCGTTTATTGTATCGAAAAACCAGGGCCAGGCCCAGGACCATGCGGTAAAGATGTCGGCGAGTGCCAAAGACTTTGTACTAGCAGAGGATATTTCATAGGTAATTGTTATTTCGGTCTCGGATGCTGTTGTGAAAAATAAGTATGTGTCCAACATAAAAGCATCTAACAAAATGTAACAATATATACTTAAAAAAGAATATCATTAGCTTCCATGCTTTTAAATAGTTTATTACAAAAGATTTTGAGTGGAATAAATAAAAAAATTCTAAATCAAAGTTAATTTAACTGAATTCACAAAATATTTCCTTTCGCAATTTAAAGAAGATTTGAAACTAAATTGAAATACCATTTAATGAATCTATACTAAAATATAAAAAATAAGAAGTTTGTTCAAAAGAAATTAAAATGAGACGTTTGTTCAAAACGTTTTTCACTTGCGATGCGCGGTTGCATTTGGTTCATCTTATTTTAAATTTGTCACTCGAAGCTGGTCATAACAAAACATCCTCACCCTCTTATGCGTTCCAGTCTCTTTCCAAATAACGGACCTCGAATCCAGATTAATATTTCTCTTTCTAATTGCAGTAATTAAGTTGTCTCTGACTATGGATTTAAGTTGAGATAATTTTTCTCATGTTCCATATTCATAAGACTTTAGATGACTAGGACGATATCTCGAGTATGTCAATATATGTTTATCTTTTGACTATAAGTTTAAAAGATATATAATTAAAAGAAACTAATAAGTTTAGTTATGGCTTTCTCAACAAAGCTTAAAATTAAAAGAAATAAGTCTTTAAAAATCAACAGTCTTAAGCCTAATGAAACATTCAAATGGAAATAGTACACCGTCTGCTTCCACGTTTGGTTGGCGTGTGTGAATGGGTCCATCTACTAGTTAGAAATTGTGGACGAGTCTCGTTGTTTTTCCTCGTACACTTGTCTTATATCAACTCATCTTTACAAATAATATATATAAAAAGAGATCAATTCTCTCCATAATTTGGACATATGGACATACTATCAATTGACATGTGTTATGACTTTTCATTTTTCTCTCAATTAATTAATTTAAATCTACATAACTAATAAGGCTTGGACACTCTCAAGTCTTTGACACGTGGCACTCTCTTTTTTTTTTTTTTTCGCCTAACACCAAAACGACGTCGTTTTGCGCTTTTTTTTTTTTTCGTCTTACACCAAAACGACGTCGTTTTCGTAAAAAAAAAAAAAATCTAAATCAAAATTATGTGTAATGTTGTTCGTTTTGATAGGCTTGATTATTTATCGGACCTCTTCGTTTCCATGGTAGCTTTAAATGGGCTTACTGGCTAATTAGCTCATTTCATTTCCTTTTAAAAAGGATTGCAATTATTATTATCTATGAGTCTGTAGGATAATAATCAATCTATAATGATTGTTAGTATAAGGAAAATTAGAAGAACTCAACTCCAGTCGATAAATTATTGTATAAAAGAACAAAAAACATATGAAACTATTCACTATGAGTCTATATAAGATTTCACGTAAATAACAACTAAATTTTAAAACTATATGAAAAAAAACAAAATGCAAAACTTACAGAATCTAATATATTCGAGTAAAAAACAAATGATATATTCGAATCTAATGTTCTGAATAATTAAATTAAAAATATTTGGTTTAATAAACCCGCGCATTGCGCGGGTTCTCTCCTAGTATAGATTAATAACTTTTCATTTTCCTATCAATTAACAATTTTAAATATTTCAATCATTCTATTTAAAACCATTATATTACTTTAAAACTATTATCTTTTCACTTCCATTTTTAATCACTAATAAATATCTAAAATTTTCTAATATATGGAGAAACGGATCTAGCGAAGAACAATTGCGGGGAAACATAGTTGGTTCCATGTAACAGTAAGAAAAAAAAGAAAATTGATGGCATAAAACCGTGTGATATAATGCAAAATACCTATTTAAAAGTACTCATTCATTATATAAGTTAGAATTAGAATGCCGGTATTATTTGGGTAAGATTTTATAATATTAATCACAAATTATAGTTGTTTTCCAATATTTTCAAAAGATTATAATAAGAATGCCGGTATTATTAAGATTTTATAATATTAATCACAAATTATAGTTGTTTTCCAATATTTTCAAAAGACTATAATAATAGAAAAAACTGCGCGTACGCGCGGGCATTAGTCTAGTAGTTTTGAATGATCACCACTAATGTTGTAAAATTTGATTTTGAAAATTCAATGAAATATGGGGAAAAACAGTTACATATACGACTAGACATAAAAACAGTAAATATCATTTGACCTATATTCAAACGTTACAAATCGGATAAAAATATATTAACCAAGACAATATTTTGTTTTTACGTATATATATGTTTTTAGCTTACTATATTCGTTAATATGTGTTTGTCTTTTGACTATAAATTTATGTGGAACTAAAGGAAATATTATGTTCCTTTTTTTTTATCTTTGACCAAGATAATACTTATTTTGGGGGTATATTTGTGTTATATATGACGAGTCTAGACAAAGAAATACTTACAATAAAATAAAATAAGTACATAGCTAGCTATCATTATGAAGACTTTAATCGCATTCTTTTTCACTATCTTCTTCATCACATCTTTTGTTGATTGTCGTATTGCAACTGCTGGTCCTTTAAGTAATAATTTATTTCTATACCTTCACTTTTTTATTATGAGCATGATTTTGTCTTTTTTACATACATATAACTGATTTAGCAGTTTTTCTTTATATAGGTTATCGAATATTAGATGGCGGCGTTTATTGTATCGGAAAACCAGGACCAGGCCCAGGGCCATGCGGTAAAGATATCGGCGAGTGCCAAAGACTTTGTACTAGCAGAGGATATTTCATAGGTAATTGTTATCAAGGTCTCGGATGCTGTTGTGAAAAATAAGTATGTGTCCAACATAAAAGCATCTAACAAAATGTAACAATATCTGCTTAAAAAATAATATCATTAGCTTCCATGCTTTTAAATAGTTTATACAAAAGATTTTGAGTGGAATAAATAAAAAATTTATAAATCAAAGTTAATTTAACTGAATTCACGTAATATTTCCTTTCGTAATTTATACACCTGGACTACAAGATCAAACTATGGATCCCAAATATTTTTGTTTATGACTGCTCTAGACTCTAGTGTCGTCTCCATTGATTTTGTATATGTCATCTGAAGACTCGCCAACGAAACATCCTCGCCTCTAGTGCGTTTCGGTCTCTTTCCATATATATATATATATATATATATATATATATATATATCGAAACTGGAATCAATATCAATGTTTCTCTTTTTAACTACACACAGTAGTCAGTTGTTTCTGATCATGGATTTGAGTTGAGATAGATTTTCTCATAGGACTCTGGGTTTGGGTGAGTAGTTTATTGACTGTAATACAGTATACGCCTATACGGACAATATGAAAGAGACTAATAAGTTTAGTTATGGCTTTCTCAACAAAACTTAAAATTAAAAAGAAATAAGTCTTTAAAAATCAACAGTCTTCTAAAGCCTCTAATGAAACATTCAAATGGAAATAGTACACCGTCTGCTTTCCTCGTTTGGTTGGCGTGTGTGAATGGGTCCATCTACTAGTTCGAAATTGTGGACTAGTCTCGTTGTTTTTCCTCGTACACTTGTCTTATATCAACTAATCTTCACAAATAGTTTTGAATGATCACCACTAATTTTGTAAATTTGATTTTGAAAATTCAATGAAATATGGGGAAACAGATATTACATATACGACTAGACATAAAAAACAGTAAATATCATTTCACCTATATTCAAACGTACAAATTGGATAAAAATATATTGACCAAGACAATATTTTGTTTTTACGTATATATGTGTTTTTAGCTTACTATATTTGTCGTCAAAATGTATTTGTCTTTTGACTATAAATTTATATATATGGAACTAAACGAAATATTATGTTCTTTTTTTATCTGTGACCAAAATAATACTAAAATTGGGGGTATATTTGTGTTATATATAACGAATCTAGAGAAAGAAATACTTACAAACAAAAAAAGAAGCATAGCTAGCTATCACTATGAAGACTTTAATTGCATTCTTTTTCACTATCTTTTTTATCACATCTTCTGTTCATTGTCGTATTGCAACTGCTGGTCCTTTAAGTAATAATTTATTTTTATACATTCACGTTTTGATCATGAACATGCATGGCTTTATCTTTTTAATATATATATAATTAATTTAGCGATTTTTCTTTATACAGGTTATCGAATATTAGACGGCAGTGACGTTGTATGTTTCAAATTGCCAGGGATATGCGGTAAAGATATCGGCGAGTGCCAAAGACTTTGTACTAGCAAAGGATTTTTCATCGGTAATTGTTATAAAGATGTCGGATGCTGTTGTGAAAAATAAGTATGTGTCCAACATAAACACATCTAATAACAAATAAAATGAATTTATTTGTTATAATTTACAAATAAAATGAATTTATTTGGTATAAATTTACAAAAAAAATTACGAGCATAATTTATCTTCAGAATCTAACCGAAATTCTAAAACGAATAAATTAATTGTAATTCGATATTTGACTACTCGCAGACTCGCAGTCAGAATCTAGATTCCAGATCAGTTTTCCTTTTTTACAAGGAATATTCGAATCGAAGATCTTCCCAAAGATATTCTTATATAATCTAAAGAGCACTTGCAATAAAATTTGTCATTACATGGATTTTTCTCATAGGTGTATGTTATAATAAGGGTAACAACAGACGTTGTTGTGAAAAATAAGTATGTGTCCAACATGAAAAAAAATAATAAAATGTAACAGCATATCTGCTTAAAAAATAATATCAACAGCTTTCATGCTTTTAAATATTTTATACAAAAGATCTTGAGTGGAATCAATAAAACTTTACTAAAATCAAAGTTAATATGATAAAATTCGCATAATATTTTCTTCCTCCATTTTTCTTTTTCAGTCATCATCATGTTCTAACTTCTAGTCAAACAAGAACTGAGAACAAGAAACATGTACACAACACAGAATATCTACACTTCCTATAAGAAATAAATAGATATTATCTCCTCTTCATTGAAGCGTGAATTTCTTCAGCCTTTGTCTAAGGGTGTGCTGAGACATCTGCGAGAGGTGTGCTGTAAAGATATCTGCGAGTGCCAAAGACTTTGTACTAGCAAAGGATTTTTCATAGGTAATTGTTATCAAGGTGCCGGATGCTGTTGTGAAAAATAAGTATGTGTCCAACATAAAAGCATCTAACAGAATGTAACAATATATGCTTAAACAAGAATATCATTAGCTTCCATGCTTTTAAATAGTTTATACAAAAGATCTTGAGTGGAATAAATAAAAAAATTCTAAATCAAAGTTAATAAATTTGTCTTTTGACTATAAATTTATATGGAACGTAACTAAAGGAAATATTATGTCCCTTTTTTAATCTTTGACCGAGATAATACTAATTTTGGGGGTATATTTGTGTTATATATAACGAGTCTAGACAAATACTTACAACAAAATAAAATAAGAACATAGCTAGCTATCAGTATGAAGACTTTAATCGCATTTTTTTTCACTATCTTCTTCATCATATCTTCTGTTCACTGTCGTATTGCAACTGCTGGTCCTTCCAGTAATAATTTATTTTTATACATTCACTTTTTGATTATGAGCATGATTTTGTCTTTTTAATATATATATAACTGATTTACCGATTTTTCTTTATACAGGTTATGGAATATTAAGTAGTGGCGACGACATTGTATGTTTCAAATTGCTAGGGTTGTGCGGTGTGGATATCAGCGCTTGCAATGAAATTTGTCATAACAGTGGATTTCTTAAAGGTGCATGTGATTATGACAACAGATGTTGTTGTGAAAAATAACATCAAGAAAATGTAACAGTATTCTGCTTAAAATTTTTTATCAACAGCTTTCATGCTTTGGAATATTTTATACAAATGATCTTGAGTGGAATCAATAAAACGTAAGTAAATCAAAGTTAGTATGATAAAATTCTCATAATATTTTTCTTCCTCCATTTTTTTTTTCAGTCATCATCATGTTCTAACTTCTAATCAAACAAGAACTGAGAACAAGAAACATGTACACAACACAGAATAATATCTACAGTTCCTATAAGAAATAAATAGATACTTATCCTCTTCATCGAAGCGTGAATTTCTTCAGCCTTTGTCTAAGAGTCTCTATTGCGTTATGTATCCTGTTGCTCTCTGTTCTTCTCACTTCCAGAGACGCCTCATGCAAGTTTTGAATCCCTCGACCCAATTTTGCAATCGAAGGAGCTGAAGGAAGAGACACAGCAGCACATTCGATCCCGTCTTCATAAACGAGCAGTCCCGCACAAGTCGCAAGACTGGCTCCAAACGCTGCCAATGGTAAGGTACCAATAGGTTTCGCTCGTCTCTTCCGCATTATCTCATAGAACGCAGCTCTCATGGCAGATAAGCTCGTCTTTTCAGCAGAAGCTATAATACTCTGTGTCACTGCTCTGATTTTCTCGGCGGATAAAGATGCTTTCATCAAAGATGTCGATTTCGCTCCAGAGCTAGCCAAACCAGGGGCCATCACTTTCGATGGATACGCCACTTTGGTAAATGCAAACGTCATCACCTTGTGGGTATGCGTCAAGAAAAGGTTCAATGAAGCTGGAGCTTTGAAAGTTAAGAGCTTGAAGAACGGAGAAGCAGAAATGGCCTTGGATAGTGATGAAGCACCCCATATAGCAGTTGCTCCTGCACCAACTGCTACCACCGGTTTGTCAGATAACAGCCGTTTAAGCTTCGAATCATTACCACTCTCGTCGCTGTCAAAATCCTGTACCATATGCTCCGACATGTCTCTCACTTCTTGAGGAACGTAAGTGTTCCAGTGCTTCCTAAGACCTGCGAGGTTACTTGCATCCACTACTGCTACTATGTTCTTAAACTTCTGAGCCTGGCTACGGAGAAGATCTGCCATAAGTGCATAAGATTTCTCCTCAGAAGAGAGCTGCGAAAACTGAACTTCTCTTCTTCTTGAACTCGCTTTCCGACCAGCATTGTTCAACGCAATTCTTAGACCTTCAACTGCAATCTGGAAAAGGTAAACTTCAGAGATAACTCCAGTATCCATGGATTCACCTTTATTTACATCAGACAACATCTTTCTAGCATTGTTCAGAGACTTCCTAATAGATGGGAGATCAATAAAAATGTCGTGGAGATCAACAAGCAAGGAGTAAATGGATTGAGCAAACGGTGGAACCTCATGACTATCAAACTGTATCTCATTACTGTCAACAACACAACTTGATGGTCTAAGCTGATGGTCTAAGCTCTTTACCGAGCTGAGTGATATGACAAAAGGAGATTCCAGTAACATAAACGACGAACCAACCTCCTTAGCCACACGTTTGGCAGCCAATAAATGACCGTTAAAACTCGTCCCGAAAATCTCCTTCAAAACCAAGATCCCTGCAACACTCTCGTACTTTTCTTTGTTAACCTTGTCTACAAAACACTGCTTAAGAACTCTAAAAGCTGATGTGGGAATCGAATCACTCGAGCCACCTTCTAAAACACTCTCCTCGACTTGAGCTTCTCCAAAAGCTGACTTGTCCACTTGAGCCACTACAGCGCCAGGCCGTATCTCCCGTATAAGACACTCGGCGTCACTAGCGGATCTCTGAGATAGATTCTGAGCAGAGAGTATGTAAATAGTCGAATCATGCTCAGGGACTCTGACTGCAAACACAAAATTCTTTGTACTCTCAGGCACTGAGAGTCTCTGAACAAGCTTGTTCGATTCCCTCAGGTCACTGCCTTCGAGTATTGAGAAAGGCCATATATTTCGCAGACCATTCGCAAAATCAGATACCACCATTATCGAATTCGTCTCCAAAGCAAAATGATTTCAAACCCAGTAAAAAGGAGAGAACCCGAACAAACACCGAGTCTTCTATCGAATTGAATTGAGCAGCGCATAGATAAGAGATTGGAGTCTACTGAGTCAAACAGGCGATTTCGTAAAACCTACTCAAATCGAATTGGGGGGGAAGAAACATCTCATCCGTACAAATCCAGAATTTTGACGATCGAAACAAAGCTCAGATGAATTGACGAAGAGAACAAAAAGACAGATTGAGAATCACAGCAGATGGTGAAGCGGTGATGGCGGAGAAGAACCTGGTTGGTTAAAAGGGGGAAAGCTGTGGCGAAGGATCGAGCATCGATTTTCCAGATTTAGGGGTTCGATAGTGTCAAGCTCGATGGTTCGAATCCACTGCACCGGTTTATGGATTCTGTAACTCTGCCTCTCTCGCTCGACTCGTCTTCTCTTCTATGGATTGACGGATTCTGCAGAACTTAATCGCAGAGAGACACAGTCCTTCGTGTTTCTTATTTCCTTTTTCTTTTGAAATTCTAAAAATGCGGACTGGTTCAATTATTCGGTCTGGTTCAGTTTGGTTATGCTCGAATCTGAATTTTAGTTTGCTTGGTTCCATTTTGATTTTTTGGGTCAAAGGTTCCATCTTGATTATATTAAACTAAAAAATTTCCTATCTCCGACCAAAAGAGAAAACAAGAACAAGTTTATATTGAGAATCAGTTTAATTAAAAAATGTATTAATGGAAATATTGATCTACTTTGAACCCAATTTGGTTTTGAAATTTGAATGAAGTTAAAATATACTCTTTTCTTCATTGAAATAGCATGAAGTTCTTCAACCTTACTCTAAGGGCCTCGATTGCGTTTTGTATCTTGTTGTTTTCAGAAACGCATCATGCGAGTATTGAATCCTAAATCATATATAGAGAGTTGAAATTGAATGAAGTTAAAATATACTCTTTTCTTCATTGAAATAGCATGAAGTTCTTCAACCTTACTCTAAGGGCCTCGATTGCGTTTTGTATCTTGTTGTTTTCAGAAACGCATCATGCGAGTATTGAATCCTAAATCATATATAGAGAGTTGAAAATATTATCCATTTAAATTTGGTTTTACTTTAGATACGTTTGCTTTGGTTTATAAATCCATAGCTAATTTGTCACTAAAGATGTTTGTGATCGAACAGAAAATTGTGAGACCAACATTGTAACATTGTAACGCTCTCGCGAATCTTCTTCATTTACAATTTTAACAAACGAAAAAACTTCATTTACAATTTTATCCGCATCATATATAAAGTGTGAAGAGTGAAAACCTTCGTGGTGTATTTGCTTTGAATTGTGTCTACACAAGCTACAAAGAAATGCATGCAAATTGTGTGGAACTTGTTTATAGGGAAACGAATATACATGTAGCCATAGATGTCACACATTTGTAGGCTATTCTCATGCATCGCAGAGGAATAAACTTCAACAATCAGGTAAATTAGTTAAGGCTTAATGGTGATCAAGGCATGTTTCTCGAACTAAGCTTTATTTATTTATCTTGCTCCAAGTTAAGCATGATCGAACCTTAATTTTGTTATTTTTTTGTTAGTTTAGTTTTTCTCAATCTCACAGGCACCAGCCCATGTTATTTTTCAAATGCAGCATAATTGCGAAGCTATAACATGAATGCGTTAACCTTCAAGTGCTTAATTAATTAAGAACTCCCATAATTAGGTAGTTCATACAACAACAACAAAATCAATTAATGTTCGGGTTTACGTTAATGTAAGCTTAACAAAATACTAAAACGATGTTACGGTTACGAACCACCATTAAATAAAGATATACAAACAAAAACAAGTTTTTCATTTTTTTTTTTAAATACTACTCCAAAAAAAAAATAATAAGTCCAAGCGACAGAAACATTTGACCAAAAAGCCAAAACTTGGATACAATAGTTACGGGAACTCTCACCACCCCCACCGATTCAAAGCCTCCATCACCCGTATGACACGTCACCATCACCAAAGCTTCATTGCCACTCATACTAAAATCTTATTGGTCTGTCACAGTCACCAAGTGTCAGCCTAAGAAAGAGACGGAAATAAATTTATCTTTCTGTTATTTAATTTTTCGTCTGTTTTATAATTCGAAAGAAACGCAATAAAACGGTGTTGTGAAATCAAAGCAAAAAAAAAGGGTCGTGCGGGAGAATAAGAGCGCACTTCAATCGACCGACGGATTCGTCTTCTTCCTCTTCCCCTTCCTCATCACTCTCTCCCTCTCTCTCTCTCTGCATATTCGTCGCATCTCTTCTGGAGCTGAAGGAAGAGTTATAGTCTTACAGATCCTGTTGAATATCTGTAATTTAGATCTCACAGAGACAACAAGGAAGAAGAGAGTATCGAATTCCTCCTGGATCTTACGCGGTTTTGGCGGGAGGAGGTTTTGGCTGGGGAATGCGCTTTTGAGCTTATCTTATTGGTCGATTGAGGTTAGTCTGATCGATCTGATTCCTATTCATCGTTTCCCGGAGTTTGATTTCTGTGCATAAAAAATGTCATTTTACAATTTCGCTTGATTCTGCTCCCAGCTTACATTCTTCTTTGTTTTCATCATTTCTGGGTTTTGAGATCTAAATTCTCTCTTTGTCTTTCTAAATTGTGATTTTACGGCTACTGAGATCTGATCGTGAGATTTCACTTGGTTATACAGAAATGAGTGTTTAAATATGGAGTTTCTTAACTTTACCTTGAATGCTTCTGTTGCTTTCCAGGTTGAGCTCAGTGTGGAATTGTGAGGTTGGGAAAGGCCATGAAGAACGGGATGGCTGAGTGCAGCGTGTGTCGTTCAAGGTTGGTTTCTCCAAGTAGCAAAGCGATAGCGAGGGCTTATGAGTATGACAACCACAAGATTAGAGTATCCTCAAAACAACGAGCCCTCAATGTCTTTTTGGTAGTTGGTGACTGCATGCTTGTTGGTTTACAGGTAAAATTTACTATTACCATGCATTTGTGATCACCGTTATATATTTCCCATCATATCACTGTTGAATCATGTTACAATCTTAAAAGTTGTTTTTTTCTGCTACCAATTCTTAATTTTGCTGTTGAAATTTTCTTTTAAAGTTACGTTTTTTATGTTCTTACAGCCTGTGTTAGTGTACATGTCTAAAGTGGATGGAAAGTTCAACTTTAGTCCTATTAGCGTCAACTTTTTGACCGAGATCGCAAAAGTTCTTTTTGCGGTTGTCATGCTTCTGATCCAGGTACGTTTCTGATTGACTTCAGTTCTTGTGAAAAATCAGTCTTGTTTGTGGGTCATTTAAATATCTCTCTCTCTCCCTAGAATATAAAGCAATTGCTAGGGATGTTGTAGAGATATAAAGTCCTATTCCTTTGCTCTCATGTATTTATATGGTAGGTGTGCTGTGGTTGATTAACTGGTTACGGAATGAGATGGTTCATATTCATTTTTTGTGTGGATACAAAGAGTTTCTTGGTTTTGGCTTATTGCTTCCTTCACGTGTGTCTTTCTTTTCCGGAGGAAAAGTGACTGACCTTTTAATACCCAAGTTTTTGTGGTAATATTGTAGGCCAGGCAACAAAAAGTTGGAGAGAAGCCTCTACTATCCTTTTCCACATTTGTCCAGGTACTTTTTCGTGGCAATTAAGAGATTGGGAAGTAATGTAAAGATTCTGTACTAGGATTGTGGTATGGCATTGTCTCAAAGTTAGTTTCTTGGGCTCTCAATGTCTAATAAGCTTGGTGTATGTTATACATCTGGTTGTCAAAACATAGACTTTATGTGAATTTGACCACTAGCTCTATCTAATACTATACTTATTTTTTCTCGTAGATTGTTTCCTGCTGATAAACTCAAAACTTGAGAGTTCCATTTTTTTGTACTAATTATAGTGCAAGTTGCAGTAACACGAGCCTTTATTTTGCAGGCAGCTCGGAACAATGTGCTTCTCGCTGTTCCAGCAGGGTTGTATGCCATCAATAACTATCTTAAGTTCACAATGCAGGTACATGTGCTTCTTATTTTAAAATATGTGCATCCTTTGATTTAATTAAGCTGCAGAAATGGAATTTTGTTGAATAATTGTCTGAGTTGTTTTAGTCTCACCCAGCAATTTTACTTTTCTTCTGTGCCAGTTATATTTCAATCCTGCTACTGTGAAGATGCTCAGCAATCTAAAGGTCCTGGTGATTGCTGTTCTACTAAAGATGATAATGAAGCGACGGTTTTCCATCATACAGGTCAGGTTCAGTTATTCTTGGTTACTATATGTGTGGTTGGTATCAGACATTATGATGGACGTTTCGGTTTGACCTTCTTTACGGGATTAAAGATGTTTGATTTTTGCTGTTATAGTGGGAAGCACTTGCTCTGTTGCTGATAGGGATTAGTGTAAATCAGCTGCGTTCTCTTCCTGAAGGTTCTACTACTATAGCTGTCCCAATTGCTACTGGTGCATACATCTGTACCTTTATCTTTGTAAGTTACATTTTCTTGGAAATTTACTAAGGAAGTGATTCCATTCACATAATCTGTTGTAGTTCATACAATTGCTCACCCGTTGCTCCATCAAATAAAAGTTGTGATTTCGAATTAGAGGCTTATTCAGCACTTCATCTTGCAGGTTACTGTCCCATCTTTGGCATCTGTTTACAACGAGTATGCTCTAAAGAGCCAGTATGACACAAGCATTTATCTGCAGGTTAGCTAATCCTGATACATAGTTTTTTTCAGTACATCATCAGAGGAATGAGAGACCTGTACTACTAACATTGGAGGGTTTGTGGTGACCCCGTTGCTTGTAACTGTTGTTGATTTGTTTGTGTTATTATTTGTGTGCAGAACTTATTTCTCTATGGTTATGGTGCAATATTCAACTTCCTCGGAATCCTAGGAACTGTTATATATAAAGGTTTGTGTTTTTTTTTAACATGTCAGAGAAGAATATGATAAATGCCGAAGCAAATGAAATGCCATAAAAGCTTCTTAAAATCTTGTTAGGCGCATTGCTAATAGTTTTGCCACTGTGTCGACAGGTCCTGGCAGTTTTGACATCCTACAAGGACACTCTAGGGCTACCGTGTTCCTGATATTGAACAACGCAGCTCAAGGGATTCTCTCCTCCTTTTTCTTCAAATATGCAGGTTAAATATAACATTGTTTTGTTGAAATTTTTGATTTTGCATGAGCAAAAACCTTTGCAGTAAGATTAAGTTGTCTACATTTTTGTGTGTTTTCAGATACAATTCTGAAGAAATATTCATCCACGGTTGCCACAATTTTTACTGGCATAGCATCTGCAGCACTGTTTGGGCATGTATTAACCATGAATTTTCTTCTGGGGATTTCAATAGTTTTCATTTCAATGCACCAGGTAAATGCTTACAAACCACTTCCTGGTGTTTCAGTCAAATCATTGGAAGGGTTTCAATCTCTAATGTAATTCTGACTCCTATTTTTACGCAGTTCTTCTCACCCCTTTCAAAAGCCAAAGATGAGGCACAGAATGGGAACGTAGAATTAGTTAACACTAAGGACGACCATAGGTGTGTCTTCATGGATCATTATTCTTTCTCTGATTTCATTGTCGTCGTTCTATAAACTCTTACCCGTGTATGAATCATCTTCCTCTGTGATTTCCTTCAGGGCTAAAGACGCATTCATTAACATGGCAGCTGGAGCAAATGCAGAGGTGAAGAACACACACACACACACACAGAGACTTCCATTTTCTGTGAAATTCAGTTCTTGTAAATTCCGAACTGAAACTAATGTTATGTTTTTGTCTTTCTTCCCTGTCTCTGCAGGCTACTCACCGTGTTGAATCAAACGAGAGAGAGCTGCTTCTTCCCAGATAAAACTTTCTCAGCGTAACTCCTCCGACTTCATCAAATCTATATAGTCATTTTCTATGATTCAAGTCACAGAAAATGCGGAATTCTCAGTGATTATAGTTCTCATCTGCGTCACTGTGTCTCTGTTACAGGATTTTGTTTTTGAAGAATTCTTTTGGCCAAAAAATATTATTTTAGACATCATGGGGGGGAATTCAGACCCGGATTCAGATGCAATAAGATTGACTCCTTCCCGGCAAATCTCTCAAATAGAGTCGGTTAAGTTCGTTGAGAACATCTTTAAAGTCTACTAAACATGTAATTCTTTTTCATACACAACAAACCAACACAACTCTTCTTCACACACAGTTATATGTATTTTTTAAATAAAAATCTTCCTTCCTTTGTATTCTCTATCGCTCTCTTCTCTCTATGACTATTATTTACGTTTAGAGAGTTTTAGTCCGAGCCGACATAACCGGTTGGTTCGACCAAACCGGAGTTCCTCAACTAACTCCTTCCTCTGTCCACAAGGGAAACAGAGAAACAACATCACAGTAATGAACATGAACACCTCGTGTTCTTCTTCTTCTTCTTCCCCGCGACTCTTCGCGACCAAGTGTCAAACCTACAAGTCTCCTCTCTTATCCTTCTCGACTCCAAACCGCCGTCGCTCTCGAGCTCGCCGTAACCGGAAATCCAATGGCTCAACCTACGACCACACCGACGGCAATCTTCTCACCATCTCTACTTCGTCTCCCGCCGGAGCCGAAGACCAGAGTCTCAGCTTAACCCTAGACATTCACCGGATTTCATATCTAGCTAATTCTCGCTTCCAATTGTTCATCGATTCCGGGAAAGACGCTTTCTCCGACTTGCAGACACTAATCGCACTCGACGATAACCGGCGAGTCGTCGTCTCTTGCAGGAAATCGACCATGCAGTTCGTCGGAGGTGTGGTTTTGCTTGGGTTCGTATTCGGTATTGCAATTAGAGTTGTGGTGAAGTTAGGATCGGCTTTCAAGGGTAATTTCCAGGCGAGACCCAAATTAGTAGTTAGGAGAGACAGAAGTCTTGGAGGGAAGGAAGTGGTTGTAGCTGTTGACAGCATTCGTTCATCTCCAAGCTCCATAGCTTCTGGTCAGGTTTCTCCAAGTAACTCTGTACCTAGAAATGTCAAGCTCAGAGCTCATAATAATTTGCCGAAATGGTGGCCTACTTCATTGCCTAGCCAGAGCTTGGAAGTAGACAAAGAAGACTATCAGAGAGAAGCCAACAGCATCGTTCGAGGTCTCTTCTAAACTCCTGCAAATTCTGTATTTTTTTGTTCTTTAGCTTAGAAAGGCCTTAAAAAAACTGAAAGGTTTCATTTTTCAATGGTGTTAGTATTTGCTTTTATGTGTTCATGGTTTCATTCTACAAATGTAACTCAATCAGTTTAGTTTCCAGCGATCGTTGATAACAGAACCAGTGGAAAGGACATCACGGATAATGATATCATTCAAGTTAGTATTTGTTTCCTTTCTTTTTCCACACTTGATTGTGTAGCTATCTTGGACGAACTTGAATTAACTAGATTACTCTCTTCTTATGTTGCTATGGAATTACATACAGCTGCGTAGAGTATGTAGGATATCTGGAGTGCAAGTCTCTATTGAGCCAACAAATACTCGAGATTCCTTTTACAGAACATCTATTGATTTTGTTCTAAATGCTTGCAGCAGGTAAGGTGTCTCTCTCTCTGTTGACACCTTTTCCTATTTAAATTACTCGTTTTGTGTTTTGGTATGGTTCTGGACTTTGTTTGATTACTCTCTCTCTCTCTCTGTAGAGCTCCTTGGGAGTCTTCTTCTGTTGAGATTTGTGGTGAAGATGCCAGAGAATTCATTGCCGGTCTTGCAGAGAACATTCGGCTTGCAAAGATAGATGCTGCGAGAATGGTTTCTGCAGCGGTTGCTGCACGGACACGTTCATGGTTTCTACAAGCTTGGGTAGCTTACTATCCTTACTTCTCTACTGTCTTTTTATTACTATTGATACTTTGTCTGAGCAAAATCTATGTGACTGCAGGCTCTGGAAATACAAGGTAAACAGTCGGAATCGGTGGCCGAACTATCAAAGATATGCCTCATTCATCGCATATTTCCTCCTGCAGAGTACTCTGTATGTGCTTCTTCTTTTTCAAGCTTACACTATTAAGTCTCTGCTTCACTTTATTCCATGTTTTCACAGAAACTTGTTTTTACTGATCACTCAGGCTGAGATGGAAATGGTTGCAAGAGGGTTGGAGAAACTCATGAAGCTCGAAGAGCGTCAGTCTCTATTGAAAACGTTCGTTGGAATGTGTTGCAGTGAAGATAGCCAGAGAAGCGCTGCTGAGGCTCTCGGTTTGGTTAACTAAGTAACTAAATTGCTTCTTCACCGATTTTTACAACTTCTACTGAGAATATAAACAATTTTAAACACTGTGTCATAATCAACTTAACACAATGATTTTTAGTCAAATGACAAACGTTATTGAAAATATTTTCAGTATAGTGTTAAAGACATAATGTTATACAGTGAATCATTTTGTTATAAGTTTGTGTACATTTGATTTATCATCCATGAATCAGCTTATATGGTAAAAGAACAAACAAATTGTAGAAGATTACCCATCAAAAACGTTTTAACACCAACAAATCCAGTTATCTATTCGCCATCCTCTTCCTTAATAAACCCATTTTACATTCCATTTTGTAAGTAGAAACAGGAAAACAAACAAATATAAACTTTGAAGCCATGAATGAATTAGTTTGCAAGAACCACAAAGAAGAATATATCAAACTTGAGGGTTTGGATGAGCAGCAGCTGTTCCTGAAGACCTCAAGAGCGGTTGAAGAGCTTTTACTACGATGCTCATGTTTGGCCTAAACTCTGCTTCGTATTGCACACACAATGCTGCAACCGCCGCAAGCTGCGTTTACCATCAAAACGCAAGTTTTAGCTTCATGTAGCGTTCATTTGTTTATATAAACGATTGGGAAGTTTCTAGTTTTCAGTACCTTTGCAACAGCTTTAGGAGGATACTCTCCTTGGAGTTTTGGATCAACACATTGCTTCACTTTGTCTTCACTCAACCTTGGAGTAGCCTGAATATTTGATTTACATATACAGAGAAAGTTGTATATTACCAAGAAATGATTTGGTTATTTCATAAAGCAAAAGATCAGATTAAGTGTGTTTATTATTACCCAAGTGACAAGACTTTGTTGACCACGAGGCATTGTATGATCAACCGGTTTTCTCCCGGTTAGAAGCTCCAAAAGCACAACTCCAAAACTGTAAACATCACTCTTCTGTGTCAGCTGTCCTGTCATTGCGTATCTGCAAACACCAAGAAAATGTACAAAGTTTACAATCTTCCAGTCACAAAGAATCAAGAAAAAACTTTTTGAGGCATATTTATTTACTCTGGTGCATGATAACCGAATGTCCCCAACACTCTGGTGGAATGAAGACGAGCAGCCATATCAGGAGCTTGATTGGAGAGATTAAAATCAGCGATCTTGGCTTTGAAGTCTTCGAAAAGAAGCACATTGCTAGATCGAATGTCTCTGTGTATAACCGGAGGTTGAACTTTCTCGTGTAAGTATTCTAATCCTTTAGCAGCATCAACCGCAATTCGGACTCGTTGCATCCACTTAAGTGTTGGACCAGGTTGTGCTCCTTGCACTCCTTTTCTCCCTGTTTATAACATCAAACTTTTTTTATACTTTCTCTAATTTAAGTTAGATTGATGTTGAGGAAGAAAGTGTTCGTACCCTGTAAAATGTCGTGCAAAGATCCCATTGTGGCAAACTCATAGGCGAGGACACGAATGTTTCCATCGACACAGTAACCAAGAAGCTCAACAAAATTGTCATTCTTGAGCCTTGAGACCTTGGAGACCTGAGTCAAGAACTCGACATTTGTCTCTGGTTCAGATGAGTTGTCGAGCTTTTTCACAGCCATGGCCTTGCCATCAATCAAGTTTGCATAGTACACTCTTCCGTAGGATCCTTCCCCAATTAAGGCCTTTGATCCGAAATTCTCAGTCTTTTCTCTGAGCTCCTCTAATGACATTGCAGACACTTCAATAGGAGGAGGCTCCTTTAATACGGTAGCCTTCACAGGAGTAGCTGGTGCTTTCTTGTTGTTACGTCCTACACAAGCCAAGAATATTAATAGAAGCTATAACATGTTGTAAAAGATGGTCAAGAATCTATTTTTATAGGTTTCCGTGGATTACAAGGTAGGTTAAGAAAGAGAGAGATACCATAGTCGTGGTGGCGAGTAGGAGGGCTTTTCATACGATTATGTTCAGCTGAAGGGTAAGATTCTTGGACATGACAAGAACAGCACAACCACCTACGCATCTTCCCTCTCTTGCCTATATCAAGATCGTCTGAAGCTCTCGGTTTATCCAATCGAACAAAGTACGGTGAACGTTCATTCGCCTGCAAAGTTACATCAACATCATTCAATCAATGTGGTGCTGTGGCCTAAAATGTTAAAAGGAAAACAAAACAAAGGACTCTGCACATCAAATCAATAAGGCTAATAACAACATTGTCCGTCTTTATATATTATCATCCGCAAAACAACAAAGCATTGAGATTCCATCGTCTATAAAGTTTACATATTTCAAGAATGTAAGAGATTTCTTGATGGATTACGAAATGGCCACCAAGATATTAAGCATTCTCTCAATTTTGTATGCTTACCACTTGACCACGACGATGAAAATCACGATCCATCACAAAAATGCAAGCGCAACGACGAGCAATAAACGAGAGAGACGAATCAAAAAGAGACAAATGAGAGGCAGAGACGAAAGGTGACGAGCTACTCGAGAAATTTAGGAAGAAAAAAAATATGGAATCCAAAATAACTAAGAAAGAAACAGAAAAAGGAGAGAAACACAAAAGATAAATGGAAGATCGAGAGAGAAGGGAAAAGAAAACAGCTAAGAAAAGAAAGAAAACGTCAAAAGGAAGCGACAGAGAGGCATATGATCAAGAATAGAGAACAAACATCCCAATTTTGGCCAATTATATATTTTGTATGAGGGAATAAAGGGTGTCAAGAATTACCTTCAAATTTACGTCTCTCTCTTTTTGTTATATATATATTCTTCTGATTTGGGCAGAGACAGACGTGTAGAAATTAAATGATTTTTATCGAGTGAAAAAGCTCTGCCAAACAATAGATACTAAGGAATATAAAAGTGGCAAAAACAATCAAATACAACATTTTTTTTTTTTTTTGAAAAAGCTGTTCAAATTGATTCTTGAACATGTAATATTTGGGTAAGAGTATCTACAGTAAATGGTTTCTGACTTCTGACTTAATGTGATCTTCAAAAATGTTTAATTACATAGAAGTTTTACTAATTCTGATTTTGAATGTTTTGACGTACGCAAGTATTAGAAAATTACTATTAAGCCGAGAATTTAACGTATGTATGCGATTTTATGTTAACACAACAAATAGGTCACCCTCTCATCGTCAAATAGTTATTGGAAGCGTACACACACCGTAGACCAGCCACAGAACTAAACACAACATTACAAAGTGAACCAAGAACGTATTAAGTGAACAAAAAACATAGAACAACAAGAAATATAACAAAGAAAGCAATGCATGTCGTAACGTTTCGTTTTTCGTTTTGTTTTAGACCCTATTTATATATGTTTCTATGCCCTAAGAAGACGCTCTTCAGTTTCGATTAAGAGACATTCTATTGAGCAATGGAAGACCTCATAGGTGTTGATAGAACCGTTGTAGACCATAGGAAACTTACAACGAGACCCACAACTTGAGCACAATGGTCTGGAATTGGTATCGTTGAGAACCGCTTCTATCTTCAACCCCTGGACCTCGTCCATGTATGTGAAACCTGGCTTTATATTCAACGAGTCTCCTATCACACAATCAACATGGCACACGATCCCACAATCATGGCATGTATAGAACCATTTCTCAGGATTTGTTTCCGCTTCACATACCGTACACCAATATTTATAGGCCGCCTTCTCACCACGGGACAACACTAAAAAATGGTCATCACACCTGTGCTTGACCACTTCTGGTAGTGTAGCGCATTTGAAACACAAAGAGTACTTACAGTCAACGCAATTCAGCACGTAGACTTCAGTATCGTCGCAAGCCACACAAGTGCCATGGTCTATTGTGGTAAGATACAATGCGTGGGGATGAAGTTTAGGGTTCCGAAACGTTGAGAGAAACGCACAATGTACGTCTAACACTATTTCCTCACCATCCTCGTATCTAAACCCACTTACTACTCTTCCACAAGCTCGACAACCATATAACTCATCGTGGTTCTTCTTACCGGAGTGAAGAGAGAGCATACGTGTTGAAAGCCCATGCCGTTTTCTAAGAGGAAGGTTACCACATTTTTGGTGAAGAAAGAAATCACATTCCATACATTTGTAATGCTTCTCAGACGAAATTGGATGGGCACAACCTTCACAATGTATTATCATTCCTTGGCCGCCGGCGCCATCAATAAGTAACAAGTTGTGTTCTTCATGGAAGATATGATTGATCACCCCTTCTTCGATCACTTTGAATGGCGTAGTGTCCACGTCTTCCTCATGTACCCCTTCGAGCTCTACCCCGTCCCACACGTCGCTTCTTGTTGCACATAAGGAGTGAACAGAAAAATCCGGACATTTATTGCATGAGTAAGCTCCGTACCTCCACGTGATATCTTGACGACAAACCTCACATACCCGATCACGAGGAGTGAGCGGGTATGAATGAGATATGCGGTGGTCATGACGGTTGATGTTTATGACGTGTGGTAGATCAATACAATCATAATGAAACATGAGAGAGCATGGAAGGCACACGTAAGGGTTTCGTTCACCATGCGTACCACAAGCGTTGCACGTGAAGGATACGTCCCTCCCCATGAGGGTGAGTGCATGCTCGTGACACTTCGGATGATCCACTATGACCGGCGGTGGGTTCTTTGCGCAGTTCACATCTACGCTAAAATCGCAGAGCTTGCAATGGTAAATGAAGCTGGAGAGTTTTTCTTGACAGAGGCTGCATTTCCCGTCAGCGTAGCTAGGTGTTCCTTGGAGACGAAGCTCGAGGGGATGGTTCGAGTGGCACGGGTGGTTGATATCCTCCGGTGAGCTTGGAACGCAAGAGCGATGCCATTTCATTTTGCATACGGAGCATTCATATATAGGCTTCCAAGCATAAGGGTTTCCAATAGACTTATGGCACTCCTCGCAGCCATTAGAAATGAAACCAACTTTGTAACATAAACGATGTTCATGCCAAAATAAGTCCACATACTCCATTTTTGTGTGTGGAGACGATGATGAAGATAACTAGATAAGGAAGGGAATGGTAATAAATATGAAAAAAGGTTTCGTTTGAAATTTATAATTGATTCTCCAATATTGTATTGGAGCCATATTATCTATATAAACTATTAAAAAAAGAACATATTTGAAGTCAAGTTGATCATTGTTGGGTGCTCACGTTAATGAAAATTTTATATTCCATGGAGACAAGGTGATCCACGTGTGTATTATTATTACTATATGGCAGAGAGGACCAATAAACCTGAATAGTCTTCAGTTCACAATATTATTAAAATAATCGAACCTTGACGAAATAAATATTCCTCTTAAATATCTACCAAACTCACAATGCATTTCTCTGAGTTGTCACTATCAAAGGTTTAATTGTGAGAAAACCTACTAGGCTACAAAAATGCAACTATCTCGAGACTCGAGCAAATTCATACCAAAAACAGCTGTAGACTGTCGTGCACATGTGTGAGTCATTTCCAAGTAATCTCTGGTTGCAATCCACATGTAATTTCTGTGCAGTGCACATGTGAGTCAAACTGACGAAAAAGAAATATAGGAAATGAGTTCAGATAAGACCGTCACAATTAAGATAATGAAACATGAGAAGCATGGACGACCACGATCATGACAATCTTGCATATTTAGTATTTTCTCTGAAGGCTCAATGAAATTTTATATTCCACGGAGAGACACACTTGGTGTTTATTATATGGCAAGGAGGTTTGAGAGTGGGCAAGACTAATCTTTCACCGGATTATTAAAACGAATGGTAACAATGGATTCATCTATATACATTGTTTGGTGATGTCAGAAAACAAAATATTTTTGTCCAAGTTGACCATACTTTTTTTATTTATGATTAGTCTTTTCTTTATTTCGTTGCATGAAGAAATTATGAACAAAATATTTGTGTCCAAGCAAAATGTTCCAAATCGTCAATTTTCTAAAAACTTGTTTTGATCAAAACGTACATCAAAGAAATTATGAGTCAAAAGATATTAGAAACTAACATAAAACATTAGGACATTGTCATTTGATTGATACCAAGACATCTTGACAATATTATTTGTTCGGTTGTAACTTCGGTTTACATATGATTCATATAGAGACTGAAGTATATGAAAAGTATAAACTGGAAGAGTTCAATAAACTCGTGGATGTCTCTACTGCTAGATGATCCAAACAGATTTAAACTCCTCTCATTTCATCGCCTATCATCACCGTCTCCTCCGCTTCCACCACCATACTGTGTGGAGTTTCCGTTCCAAAACGCGTTTCCATCACCAAACGGAGCGTCTTCTTCATCGTGATTTAGAGTATGGATGTTACTTCCGATCCGAGAAGTGGTTGGTCTCCTGTTCCGAACATTGCTCCTACCTTCCGATGGATCTTGAAACGACGACAAGCCAGCTTGCGCCAGATTGTTTCTCACCTCCGGATTCGCTCCTAAACACAGAAAAAGAAAGAATCAGAGCTTAGAAATTTACATGACTTTGTGCATTAGAAAATGGTTTTATAACATATTGCCTTGACGTTCTGGTCCAGAGCTTGATGGATTTGCAGTTCCACCGCCAAAATATGAAAAAGGATTTACATAAGACATCAGTCTTCTAACATACGCAAAGTAACCGCCATTGTTAAGGTTTTCAGCGTCTGTGTTGTTGTTAGACTCAGAGGAAGATGGTTCTCTTTGATAGACACTTGCTCTTTTATGCGGAACCACTACAAGTGCTTGTCTATCAAACAAACCCAACTCGGATAGAGACTTATCCAAATCTGCAGATATAGGGTAACAGAGTCACAAATCTACAACAACCTAACCTTATCATAAGAAACTACTAAATGACAGAAAGTATCATATATTCCATCAAGAAGAAGCTAGCATTAAATCTAGATATTCATCAGTAACGTACCTTGGTCACTATATACCTTACGAGGGTAAGGAACGGCAAGATCATAAGCACCAAGTCCGATTGTTTGGTTACTGTTCACAAAATCCTTGACCATTCTCAATATGCTTGTCACAGAAAACTTCTCCTGAAGGCTACCACCATCAGGTAAACGAATGTTTAAATGTACATCAGATGACTTTTTGGAACTTTCTCCATCTTCTTCCTCTCCTCCTTCTTCCTTAGGCTTTGTGTCCTCTTTTGTGCCAACAGATTTTGCTAAACTAATGTCCCTTCCACTAACACCTGAACCACTATCAGCTTTGTTGACCAATATTCCCTGTTTCCTTTTTCTATCGGTAGAAGATTGAACGCTGGATGCATTATCATCTGGTCTTAAGGCTGCAGGACGAACTGGCTCCTTCTTTGCCTGAACACGCGAGGAAGTCTCTGTTGCTCCATGTTCAACATTGGCCTTTGTTCCATCAGTAGAAGAAGCTGGCTGATTACTGCTAGTATCACACACATTACTCGGCTCAGCAGATTCTTTCCCCTGTTTTGGAACAATGTAAGCACCACATCAAAGTAATGTAAAAAATGCATTCAGCTACAAGGATAGTAGAGTCAGCAACGACCTTAACTGCAACTGTGCCATCATTGGTTTCTTCTGATGTCACCGTTGACTGAGATGAAACAGCTGCATCTAAAGAACCACCTTGAGAAGGCAAGACAGCATTAGTAGCACAAGAGGCAGGTTGCTCTGAGTTCTTTGATGCAAGTGCTGCTGAAAGGATTGTTTCCTGAAAACAAGAAACATCCAAAGGCATTAGTAAGCTAAACCAAAACCCCATAAGTGAATTAGAAGAAGCTACTACTGCCACGTACCTGGATATGAAGTCCCACCCACGCCTTGTCTAAACTGGATGCAAGTTCTTCAGCAGCAATAAATCCTTCTGAAAGATAGAAAAAAAAACAACTTGGAGCATTTTTCGCTTGACTATAATGTGTTAATTTGATACTCTCTATCTAAAACTACTTACCATTTTTCCAAACTTGTGCACCACTGAATCCAATGGCAGCTATACAAGGCACATATGAATATGGGTCTACAAACTCATGTAAGGATCCAAATTATTGCGTTACAAAACAAACGCAAATCTATAGTCCAAGATCAGATTTTGAGCTTCTCTAAGGATACATATTGCGGAGAAGTTTGTGGCGTCAACACTTGCAGCTTCAATATGCAACAATATACAGTACTTGGACAGCGACTCTGCCACCTGCTCTAGGGAAACATATGATACAACAGTATCACGAATGAGCAATGGAATCGACTTGATTTCAGCTTTTTTTCAATGTATCTGAGAATGCAAGAAGAAACCTACCGATGCATCGGGCCATGTCAATTTGTTCAACTTATCTGACTCTTCGTCGTCTCCTAAAAGTTTGGAAGCAAATCCATTTCAAGTATTAAAGATCATGTTTTTTAATATCGAGATCGCAGTATGATTACGAAGTATAAGCGATTACTTACCAGAGATGTAGACAACAAAAAGCTTCTTCTGCCTTTTAGCTTCAAAGATGGCTTCTGGAACAGAGCCCTTGAATGTAAGTGACGATAGAGCTTCTTCCATCTGTCAATCAAAAGAATCCAAATGAACACACTCTCATAAGGATAAGGTTTATCGACGATCAATCAGAAACCCTGAACCCTTAATTCACACAACGAATTCCAAAATCCTTACCTGTATTCGATCAACAATTTCCCCAATTAAATTCGAACTCTCTCCACTTCCAGAAAAAAACTTAAACAGGAAAATTCGCAGCTTTAGCACAGCGACGAATACAAGAGAGCAGAGGACAAAACGAAGCTACGAATCGTTGACGTGAGATCAGACACCGTTAAGACAAACGGCACCGTTACGCGTTTATTATTAAATATTTTCTCATGGTCCGTTAATTCTTCAGAAGATCTAAATTTTCCAATTTAACTTTTAAATTCCCTATTTAAACCCAAACCAACAAATTTCTCCCAAAGTTTTCAAAATTTGATAGGACAGTATAGTACCTGAAATGGTTTTATACTTTTATTTAACTGAATTATCCACACTTGTGGTCTCTTCCTCATTTGTTAAGTTTTCCATGTACTTCACACCAGCTATGTCTCGTGCCTTAAAACCACATTCCCTACTGTTGCGTTCGAATGAGTGATCCTCCATAATAAGAGCTTCCATATGATATAGTCAAAGATCATCTTGTAACAAAAATGTTCATGAAAATATATTAGTAACGAAAATGCAACGACTAGGATAGACATTTTTTTCAAAAAATTTGGAGTAGCAAGAGTATTTACCTGTCCATTTTTGTCTAAGGTTCATGTTTTGTCAACAATGATATTAAAATTCATCTTGGTTACACTCTGAACCATGTCTTCTATACACATCCCTTCCCCAAACAAGGGCGTGAAAGAATTTCTGGACAGCAACTCATAGTGACGAGAGCCATCGCGTGGGAAAACCCTTGAATAGTTGTTGTATTATGTGAAAATTGTGAAGCGCTCCTAGCCTTTGTGCTATTAACGGTCATCATGAATGACTCACAACCCCAAAGTTAACTCAGAAATGAGTCAATATCTTCTACCATTGCAACCTGTAACAAGAGCAAAATCTTCAATACTAAACCGTATTGGTTTTCCACCAAATAACCACCACAATTCGCATTTCTTGTTAGTCACCAACTGCCTCGATAAAAGGTAATGCACAAAATTAAGTTGTCGAAATTGTGATTCTTCCAATAACTTAATTTGCTCTTCTTCTAATGCAGGCTTAATGTTGTCAATCCATTTGAGTTTGAAGTAGCTGTCAATCTTCTTTGGTCCACTTGGTTTGTGACCAATAGGAAACAATTTTCCACATTCTCTATACTTACGACATAGAAAATAATATCATGTCCTCATGAATTCACAATTCTATAATTCACGGTGACAGTCATTAACAATAATAATACATGTCACGATGTTGAGTAAAAATAATTTACTTGTCGTGATCATTTCATGCACAGAGAGGATACAAATGTATCAAGGTAGGGGTAGTTAGATCATGCCTAAACATATTCAAACTTTAATGTCCTTCCCATATCACTTAATCTATAACAAGTTCCTTTGGTTTCAAATTTTATTTCTAAGAGGTTTGTTTTTTGTTAAATTTTGGGTTACAAATTTTCTTGTAATCTAAAATATTTGAGTAAACAAATGAAATATCTTTAAACTGATAACTTATGCCCTTACTATCGAGTTGAGCGTGTCGTTAAACACATACTAAACACATAATAAGGAGACATTAACATCTTTAGCAAATAAATATACTAAATTGCTGAACGTTTTGAAGTTGATAATAGTCATAATACATGTTTTACACTTATTGAACCCAAACGAACTAAGATCACTAAGTAACAGCGATATAGGTCTCGAACTTAGTTCAGAATTTTCAAGATTAATGACGAACCAAAATGCGTTGTAACTAATTTAAAAATAGTGTTACTTGCGACAACTCACATCACATGGAGTGTGTGTGTTGTGTTGTACTGGATCATTCGAATTTTTAGAACTTGACTGCTCGACTTGTTTAGTATCTTTCTTGTAGATTCACCAGCCTCACAAGAATTCGAGAAACTAGGTTGGGTATATGACTACACATATTCGTAGCGTAAAACAAAATAAACAGAGTCATAGAACAGAGGTTGCTTCTTGTGCACGCTTCCTTGGAAACCCTAATAGAATTTGAAAACCAATAGATTGGTAAACAGTCAACAAGATTGAATTGCATAAGAGCTATGTACTTGTAATTCCACTCGGAACCAAGGTCCACTTCAGCATTAGAGCAAAAAAAACAACACCTTCCTCCATTAATTGCCTTCATTGCCTTAAGCTCCAAGCTATCTTCTTCTTTAAGCCGCTTCCTCTGTTCCCGGGACTGAATAATAAATTTGCTCAAAGAACCACTAGTGAAAAAAACAAATCACACGTGAAAATGACGATAAAATGAAAGTTTTGTTTTTAATTTTTTTCTAAAAGATTCTTCTAAAAAACATAATACGTAATTGGATATATTGGACTAAATCCTTTATAAAAAAAAAAGATATATTGGACTGCATAAATCAAAATAATAGTATAAATTGTCGATCTCGACGACAAACATCAAAAGGAAACGCCTGAGGAAAACGTCGAACAGTAGACAAAGGAAGGATGACGAAACTTACTGATCTTTCAGGGGATATGGTCAGTGAGATTTTGTCTAGGGTTTCATTGACATCTCTAACCGCAGTGCGATCTACTTGTAAAACCTGGAACGATTCATCAAAAAATCAGGTTTTAGGTGAAAAAGGAGCAAGGAAGAAGCAGTTTGTGGAGTTCATGATTCAAGGTTCTATTGTTTATTCACTGAGGTTCAATCTCCAAGGAGTTCGCAACGACAAAGATGAAAACGACTTCATTTATCCATCTATGAAGGAAATACGTATACCTAATAATCAAGGAGTCAAGTTTTATGAAATCTATCACTGCGACGGCTTACTGCTATGCGTTCCCAAAGGCTGCCCCTCGAGGATATTGGTATGGAATCCGTATTTAGGTCAAACCAGGTGGATCCGCGTAAAAGTATCCCACTTATCTACGTATGCTCTCGGATATGGACACGACGGCAACAACAACAACCGTAACCACAAAATCTTGAGGATGTTTTATGATTACCGCAACAAGAAAAGTATTGAAGTCTACGATTTTCACTCTGATTCATGGAGGTTTATTGATTTCAATCAAGAACTGTTTCATCGTGTTAATGATGGCGTGTCTTTGAAGGGAAATGCATACCTACTCGGTAATGAGTTTTTAGTCTGCTTTGATTTTACAAGAGAGAGATGCGGACCGCGTCTGCCTCTGCCCGTTCCGAGTGTTGAGCATCATGTGATTCTATCTTGGGTTAGAGATGAGAAGCTCCTAGTTTTATTTACACAGTACGACAAGCCCGAGATGATAGAGGTTTGGATTTCGGTTAAGGTTGAGCCCAATGCAATCTCATGGAGCAGTTTCTTGAGGCTAGATATGAGAGTAGTCAATGGTTTACATGGTACTTTTTTCACTCACTTTTATCCTAAGAGCTTTGTCATTGATGAGGAGAAGAAAGTCGTTGTGCTTTTTGATTTAGAAAGATGTGAGTCACGTGTCCACTCCGAGACCAATGGCTACCAAATGGCTTACATTGTTGGAGAAGATGGATACTTGAGATCTTTCAACATGGGAGTTTCTAATTCCTGGATTTGGGGGCCTTCTGCTAGACTCGTGTGTTCTTCTTATGTTCCAAGTTTAGTTCAACTGCACATCAACCGACCGAAACGAAAGAAATAAACCATCAAGACGAAAGCAAAAACCAAATCAACCAACCGGACGAAAGAAAATAAATAAACCAAAGGGGCAAAATGAAAGAAAGAGATGATGCATTACTTATTTATTCCTTCTTTTTTATTTGTAGTATCTATTCATTTGTTGTTTCTACTATCAAAGAAGTAACATTATGAGTTTTGACATTGTTGACAGATGAAACTTTATCTTGAAGTTATCATTGATTGCCTTTCTACACTGTATGAAATATAGTTTTCAAGGTCTATAGTTTAAATTTGTTTAACACATGTGACTCTTGAATTCCTTTGCTTGATGCAACTCTGACTCATATTGGGAATAATTAATCAAGGATGTGATCTTTTTTGGGTAAAGTTTACTCTTTTCCGGCATGGCTGTTAGTTGAGCCTAATATAGGGATTCTGGTTGTCATTTACCTTCCTTACATCTGTGATTTAATTTTTTTCTTCTAATGCTCCTAAAACTTTGTTCCTCACGTTTCCCTCTTATAGCAATATTTGTATCGTTGACTATTTCTTTTGGTTAGGATTTAGGAATTGTTCTGAAGAACGTTTAGATTCTGTTCTTCACATTGCTGCCGTTTGTTGCTAGCTCCGCCACTGGTCATCTTGTAGTAGTGAAAAAGAGCATAATCTTCAACTGCCAAAAAAGTGTATTACACCAAAATTTTGATTTTTGATATAATCTTCGTTTTAATTTCTCCCTTTGTTGAGATTTGAATTGCTTGTCTCTCTGACTTGCACCTTACTCATAGAGCTAAAAGCGTTTGGGGGGTTTTTTTTTTTTTGGACCATTCTTTGAGTTATCTTATGACTTGCTCGTTATTTTTTAAAGAGTACCTCAAATCAAGATGCTTGCCTTGAATGGGGTTCGGTTTCGGGCATGAGATAACCTTTTTCATCTTAAACACTAGCGAGCCTGGCCGCATGCACGAGCCGTAACGAGCAACACCGGTTTCATATAGAATTGACTTTCTTGCACTCCTAAAAAATGGAGGTGGGTAACGTACGTCTATATACATTGTTTAGGAGACAATAAAGTCGATCGAATAACCGTATTAATCTTCTTCGGATTTTGATAAAACTAATGGAGACTACTTTGTTCAAACTATACTAATGTTGTATGTGTGGGTTCTCTTGTGGTGAAATTTAACGAGGACATGCGTTGAATGTTATCTATTTGGTTCTAGTTTGTGTAACACAAACACCGAGCAAGTGTTGTATATAGTTTGATGCTAAACAACATCAACTTGAAAGAGAAGCATTCCACGGTAGATAAGAAGGCCGACTCATGACAATAGATCAAAGTCGATATAAATATCGGGGTTATTTTGCAGGTAATCAGATTCTTCACATCTTTCACCTTTGCACTCCCATTGTCTATATCAAGTGAAAATTAGAGATATGCTTAGTTGTGAGAAATAACAATAATTATGAAACAATTGAGGCTGGTCTACACTGTTTAGGAGTACTATAATAATTTCGTACTTGAAGAAACCATATATAATAATACTTTTAAAATGTATTGCATTTGCAAATGCCTTGTTTGAGCAGCATATATTATGAAGAGATATAGAACTGACATGGTTTAAACTTGACCATGCGCGCATTTTCGAACTTAAACAACCAAATCTTGCAAATTCTTGCAAATCAAACATTTATCTTTACCATCATCATGACATGTAAGTAAAGATCTTAGTCAATATCTGGTTTTTTAAACCATTACCATCTAAAACAACGAGAAAACTAATTTAATAACAGCAACTTAAAACTCATGCTCAACCAAATTATCAACAAATGAACAGAGTTACAGAGGAGAGTATTTAGAAACAAGGAATTTTTAGAAATTTTACATGGAATCTAAACTCTGTATGGAGTAGAACATCTACATGAAACATGGCTTAAAAGACCCCCAAAAAAAGAAAAGCAAGCATCTCGTGAAAGCTAAAGAGAAAAAACAAACGTAACTCATGGTTTTGACGTCTTGAAAGCAAATGGATTCAAGAAGAAGAAGACATCTCTTGTAGTTTGATCAGGCACAGAAACTTGTCTCCATCATCCTTCTTCATTCGGTACTCGTCCATAGTGAAAATGGCCTCGCTTTCTTCACCTTCAACAAACTCGAAAGTACTCTTGAGACCAATAAATTTACCTGATTGGTCCTTGATCATCTTCGTTGCGCCTTTGATCCTCCATGAGCCACCGGTTCTACGCGTATCCCCTCTCTCGTTAACATAGAAGCAAATCCCGTATTCTATAAACTTTCGATCCTCAGGATCCAGAAGATCGCTTGGATGGACAGCAAACACATCCGTAGTCACGTACTCAGGCCACTTGATCTCGCCAGACTGTGCTATTATCGCAATATAGTATTCGTCATCCTCTTCTTGATTTCCAGAGTAGATTCCATATTCCGGCAGCAATATCTCCGCAGGAATCGCAACCAATGAGTTAGTCTTGACACGCGAGTGATGCTTGGCGAGCAAGGTAGCGATTTCTGAACGGAAAAGAAGACGAATCTTGCACAAGACGTGATCTTGCTTCGAGTTCCATTTACTCTTGAGCCTATACTATTCCATGACCCACGTCCTCTTGTATCCTCTCCGTTTCGTCTGCTCGCAGAACTTTAGAATCCTCTTAAACCCCAGAAAGTTCTTAGACGCCTCCGATTTGATCATTTTAGCACCACCGATGATCCTCCAGCAGCCCGATTCACATCCATCGGTTTTACCACAAGCCTCTGTTCGGGATTTGTTAGCCACGAAGATTGGTCCCTCACGTTCGTATTCCTCCCTTGGATTCTTGTTGAACACCGTGTCGTCTTCGATGACGTTGCCTTCCCAGGATTGATGATGATCAATCATATCCTTGAGATAGAAGAGTGCGATTTCTTCGTCGCTTGCCCTAACAAGGTCCGCTCTGATTTCTTCTTCGGTCGACATTTCTCTGGAGGAGTGAGGTTTCTTGGAGAAGAAGCAAAACAATAAGAATGTTAATGGAGGTGTTTTCGTATATCTCCCGCTAAAACTGTATATAAAAAGCTTTTGGAATTTGTAAATATATCTTTTTGATATTTATTAAACATCACTTATCAACATTTTAATTTTTAACCTAAACTCTCTCACTCTTATTTTTTCCCCCAAAATCTGAATTTCCGATTTTCTCTAATTCTCTGTTCGTTGTGAGAGGAGGAGACGTGATTGTACTGAAGGAGAAGAGAGAGGGTTAATTCGTTTCAGACTTTCTCGATTTTGCGATCAAGTGTTTCGAACGCAGTGGGAAGAACGATTTCGCGAAGCATAAATTTGCAATCGACGGAAATTGCGTCTGAAATCGAGTTGCGTATGAGTGGTTTCGAAGGCGAATTCGTTGTGGGTTTCTCAATTTCAGAATTCCGCGATTTCGGGTAACAATTTCGAACTGGTTTCTTCGATTTAGGTCATCTTCAACAAGAGAAATTGTTAGTCTTAGGCTTTGTGTTCTTATCGGAGGAGATAGAGACGATATAAATGATTTCTAGTTATTGTTTGCTGCATTTCTGGATTCAGCTCTGATGAAATCAATATTCAGATTCGTCTTCAGTGAAGCTATGTGTAGGATTTGATTTCTGCCAATCCGAGAAATCATTTTGAATAAAACTCATTTTTATCCAATTTTCTACACCTATGAAAACGGAAATCTCCAAAAATCCTATCGCCATTTGCTTCGATGCTAACATGTATTTTCAATCTTAGCCACCAACTGAGTTATACCCTGGTGTATGAGCTCTTACTTTATGTTTTTGTATCGCAGATCATGGAGGAGGGTCAATCACCTGGCTCCGCGAGAAACCGTGAAGAAAGTTGAGCAGGCAGCTAAAAGGATGGCTAAGAGTGTTAACTGTGTTAGAGCTGCTACTGTGTAGTATCTCTATAGCATGGACACTGGCGAGTATTACTTCTTAGAGCTTAACCATAAGTTACAGGTTTGGTTTCACGCTATTGAAAGGTTATATTGTTTTGAATTTCTATTGAAAGGTTTGGTTTTGAAAGTTTTAGACTAGGTGTTTGAGGTCAGGTGGAGCACCTTGTAACTGGGGATGGGAATTTCTGCCCTTTTTACTCTATAAGGCCAAAAGATCATTGTGTGGCTGGTGAGGATCCTGATGGCAAAATTCAGGTAATATGATAACTGTGGAATGCAAAGCTAAAAAGTCTCTATGCATTGAGAACTTTGTGGTATAACACTCATTTGAACTTGCAACAGGAGTTGAGTTTCAAGAGCAAGCCATGTGTGGGGGCCTACTTCTCTGTCAAGGTAGACATATTGATAGATACTCTGCTACATTGTGTGCATTTGGCTATGTCGTAAATCTTACCACCTTTTTTTTTTCACAGTCTGGTGGAGGTGAGCTCTCAGATTTCCAGTTTGGTTAGTGAAATGAAATATTTGGGATGCTTGGTCAGTTCTTTTCTTGAGTTTTTATACAAATTGAAACTTCTTTAATCTTCTACTCAGGACATGTTTTTTTGCATTTGGGGAATCAAGAGCCCTGGCAATAGCAAATACGGCTCTTGGGCTGCAAGAAATTCTAATTCGTGGAGAAATTAGGACTCATGTTGAATTGGCCTTCTACATGTAACCTTCCTTCTTCCTACACAAAAACTTGCACTTTGTGTTTGCTATATACTCTGACAAGAGAGTTTCAATTCTTGGTCAGGCTTCTGATTACCAAGTAAACAAAATTCACACTGGTTGGTTAGATAGTAGAATTGCTATGCGGGTTAGGCAGAGGCCTCCATGGTATCTCTTTGTTCTGTTGTTGGTGGGGCTCTCTATGTAAGTGCATTTTTCTCAGAAATCTATCTGTCTTGAAAAGTTTTTCTCTGTGACCAGATGTCTTACTTGTTCAGAGAGCATCAGCGACCAGTGCTGCCGTGGTCTCGGATTATGTTGGCTATCTTGAGAAGTGGAAAATTCCCCATTCCCCCAAAAGGTATTCCAATATCAACTCTCTTTTTTTGTCTTCCTCGTAATGATCTTGTTGCTTACTTTTCTCTCTCTTCAATTGCAGAATATATCTCTTGTGCATTCTAAAGTGTCGCTGAACATTGAAGGAAGTATATACGGGATGCGTCTGGTGTCAGTTCTCCACTTGTCTGCATTTCTTTTTTTTCCTCGGCCAGGTTATTATTTTGTGGTGAATATGTAGTTACCGAGACTAACTAAAGTGAATATAACTGTTTTTAGATTGAATGATTGATGTGATCGAGGTGTGAAGCTACAAGCTAAGAATGAACAACTCAGAAGTTGTTGCAGAAATACACACTCTACGCGATGGAGGTCTGTTGATGCAGGAAAGTGTTCTACCTTTTTGTCCTATTACAAAGCAGATACTTGCACGTGTTACACATAGTAATTGCATTTGAGATTTGAGAATCTCACCTCCTTGGTTGGTAGTATTCACTGTCATTGCAAATGGATGGTAAAAGCATTTAGTTGTCTGTCATTTTTGGCTTATTCAGAGTGATCATGATCCTTCGAAATTGATGGCTGAGACATCGTGAAAGCTGCTGAGGTATCTGGTTTCAGATAATAATAGCAATACGCCTTATGCGGAAGTTGAGGTCATGAAGATGTGCATGCCACATATTCCACTTTGGTCAGGAGTTATACATTTTAAAATGTCTGAAGGACAAGCCATACAGGTGAAAAACCATTCGTAAACCAGAGTTAGTTTCCTACAATTTTGTAGAACTCCATTAACTCATCCATTATAATTGACATTCGTCAACTAATGATCAGTTTGTGTGTAGTTGGCACTCAAGGCGAGTCAATTGCTTGAACAGACCAAACTAAGTGAACTGCGTTCAAACATTGCTAGAAGCCTGTCAGAATTACAAATGTTAATTTACAGAGGATGGGGAAAATATGGATACTCCCAAGATGAAGATGGGCATTAATGAAAGCATGGAAAGTCTTGTGAGTGCATCTTTAGCTGTTGAAGATGCTCTCGTGGGACTATTTGACCACAGGTCACACACTTCAAAGACGGGTTGTTGAAAGTTAGAACCTTGTGATCAGCCCTACATCGTTGAAGAAAGCGCAAGGATGCAGTGGCACCAGTCTGGTCTTATTGCAGAGGATGGTAAAAAACCGTCAAGGGAACGCTTTATTCAAAAGTAGTTTCTGTCCACTAGTTTTGGTTGTGTAATCTGAGAATAAATTTGCAATCTCTTAATGATTTTGGATATTTGATATTATATCATCATCTCTTTTTTTCTTTCTTTTATGAGCTATCTCGTAGATTCGTAAACAAGTAAAGTGAGGAGATAACAACCTAACTTACCCAAAAGTGTTCAGAATTTTCAAGATTAATGACGAAGTCACGAACCAAAATGTTTTGTAAGTTTGTAACTATTTTTAAAATAGTTAAATTACTTGCGATAACTCACATCACATGGAGTGTGTGTGTTGTACATGGATCATTCGAATTTTTAGAACTTGACTGCTCGACTTGTTTAGTATCTTTCTTCTTTCATCTTAAACACTAGCGAGCCTGGCCGCATCCGCATGCACGAGCCCTAACGAGCAACACCGGTTTCATATAGAATTGACTTTCTTGCACTCCTAAAAAATGTAGACCAACCTCGAGTATTCTAGCCCAAACGAGGTGGGTAACGTACGTTTACATTGTTTAGGAGTACAATAAAGTCAATCGAATAGCCGTATTTATCTTTCTTCAGATTTTGATAAAGCTAATAGAGACTACTTTGTTCAAACTAGCTATATTAATGTTGTATGTGTGGGTTCTCTTGTGGTGAGATTTTACGAGGACATGCGTTGAATGTTATCTATTTGGTTCTAGTTTGTGTAACACAAACACCGAGCAAGTGTTATATGGTTTGATGCTAAACAACATCAACTTGAATGAGAAGCATTGCACGGTAGATAAGAAGGCCGACTCATGACAATAGATCAAAGTCGATATAACTATCGGGGTTATTTTTTTTTGAAGTAATCAAATTCTTCACATCTCTCACCTTTGCACTGCCATTGTCTATATCAAGTGAAAATTAGTGATATGCTTAGTTGTGAGAAATAACAATAATTATGAAACAATTGAGGTTGGTCCACATTGTTTAGGAGTATAGTAATGTCGTTAGAAAAGACTGTCGTACTTGAAGAAATTACCATATATAATAATTTTGAAATGCTATTATTTGCAAATGCCTTGTTTGAGAAGCATATATGAAGAGATATAGAAGATAGCGATTTTGTTCAAAAGTAGTCAAAACACACCTCAAGCTTGTCAACATATTTTCAAAGATAATATTCGCAACACATTAATGAGGTTCGATTTCGATTGGATTTGGATCGGTGAACGATTAGTCAGATAATACCAACTGACTCTAACAAACAAAAATTATTTTATTTTCTTGGTTCGGTTTGGCTTTAATTGGTATGATTTTGATTGGATCGGTTAACGAATTTAAGTTTTTTCCACTCGGTTCGGTTCGGTTCTCGAAACCAAATACAAAGCGATCTGTTTGGTTTAAGACTTAAATAAACCCTTTTCTTCTTCATCTTCGTCTTCGTCTTCTCTCTTCACTTCAGCGAACATAGCGATTTTCTTCTCTGGTCTCGACTTCTCTGTTCTCCAGATCTCACATTTTCGCCTAATCCCTGTCTTCATCACCGACGCCGTTTCTTCATCTCCAAAGACAAATGAGGACCAGGTAACAGTTAATATGACTGATAGTATATGTATATATTCACCAGAGAATGTGATTGGAGAAAAAAGCTGATTCCGCATCCAATCTTGCTTAGTTTTGTGTGTGAGAAGACAAAATTGATCAACTTTTAGACTTAATCGCTAGCAAAGCTTGAAAAGTTTCAATTTTTATCTTTATGTTTCCCTTCACACTGTTAATTAACTTTTACCCAGATGGATAAACTCGTTAATTTGTATGATTGGGGATCGAAATGTGATGTTATTGGATCGTCTTCTCTGTGCTTTTTTCCCAATTCCTTTGCGTGGCTGTGTTTTCATTCGTTACTTACAGAGACTTTCGTGTTTAATTTGTTAGGAAGTTAACTAAAATCCAAGCTATGGACAGAATCAGTGAATTGCCTGATGAAGTGCTGATAAAGATATTAAATTTGGTTGAGACAAAAGTTGCTGTGTCCACTAGTGCTTTGTCTAAGCGATGGGAGTTTCTCTGGATGTTGCTGCCTAAACTCACGTACAGTACTAAAGACTATTCAGAGTCAGATTGCGAGAGTTTACGGTCTTTTCTTCACAGAAATCTGCCATTACACAGAGCTCCGGTTCTTGAAAGGTTCTGTCTAAAGTTTCATCATTCACATTTAGAACCTCTCGATGTCAAGCTGTGGGTTCTAGCAGTAGTCTCTCGCTGTCTACGTGAACTGAAGATTAACTATTCTTCTCATCCAGACAAGCAGGACATCTTGCCGAGCAGCTTGTATGCCTGCAAGTTTCTCGTGACGTTGAAACTCAAAGGATCGATCCTCGTTGATGTTCCTCGCATGGTTTCTCTTAGTTGTCTGAAAACCTTGCAGCTTATAGAGGTGACATACTTGAGTGAGGATTCTCTGGAACGGCTTCTCTCTATCTGCCCTGTTCTTGAAGATCTAATGGTGAATGGACATTCAGATGATAATCTGGAAGATGTTGTTGTTCTGGTCCCATCTTTGGAGCGCTTAACATTGGATATATGTAGTGATATAGATGAGTTTGTGATAAAGACACCTTCTCTGAAGTACTTGAAGCTCAAGTATTATAACTCCTGGAGTCACTACTTCTCGATTAAGAAGATGTCTAAGCTGAGGGAGGCACACATAAATGTTAGCTTTCCTTACATGAAGAAGCTTATCAAATCGATCACATGTGTCAAGGAGCTTACATTCTGCGCAGTACTCAACAGTTTAGAGGTATCAGTTTTTTTTTTTCATATTCTTTTTATCAATTGCAAGACTTCACTGTTAGTGATAAATTTAACATTGTGGTGCAGGATGATGTGTATGGTGATGGTTTTGTCTTCAACCAGCTTGAACATCTAAAGCTATGTATATGTGAAGAACATGTGTCGAGATTGCTTGTCCGGTTGCTCAAAGATTCGCCTAAGTTACAAGTACTTGAACTCTTTGGAATGGAAGTAAGTTTCTATCACATAGTTTGTCGAATGCACGCTATAGCTCTCAAACTAATTCTTCTTATTGATCTCAGAATCATAGCCCTGATGGTGTATATTTCTGGAATCAACCAAGTACTGTTCCTGAGTGTATGTTGTCGAGTCTGAAAACTTTCAAGTGGTCAGGAGGATACTTAGGAAGACCAGAAGAGAGAGATCTAGCGACTTTCATCTTACAAAACGCTCATTGCTTACAGACTGCAACAATCTTGTCTGAATCAAGTTTGGTTCCGAAGCTTGACATGTTAAAGGAGTTGGCACTTTCTCCCCGAGCTTCAACCGCATGCCGACTTGTGTTTAAGGATCTTTAGTTCTTGTCTATTTTACTACTCTAGCTTTGTTTTGATACTGTTGTAGTGTTGTAGTTAGTTCATTAGCTTAATCTTGTAAAATTCATCACTGAATAGGTATGTATTTCCCTTTAAAGACACGATGAAACAGTTCTTGATTGACATTGATAAACCTCCATGAATCAGAGCTAATAATCGTAGACTTAAATACTTTTCTTGTTGCGGTAGTCATAAAACATCCTCAAGATGTTGTGGTTACGGTTCTTGTTGTTGCCGTCGTATCCATATCCGAGAGCATAAGTAGATAAGTGGGATACTGTTATGCGGATCCACCTGGTTTGACCCAAGTACGGATTCCATACCAATAGCCTCGAGGAGCAGCCTTTGGGAACGCAGGAGCAGCCTTTAGGATTCCATAAAACTCGACTCCTATTCAGTCCCGGGAACAGAGGAAGCGGCTTAAATAAGAAGATAGCTTGGAAGGTGTTGTTTTTTTGGCTCTAATGCTGAAGTGGACCTCGATTCCGAGTGGAATTACAAGTATAGACTATAGCCTATAGCTATTATGCAGTTCAATCTTGTTGACTGTTTACCATCTACTGGTTTTCGAATTATATTAGGGTTTCTAAGGAAGCGTGCACAAGAAGCAACCTCTGTTTCATAACTCTGTTTATTTTGTTTTACGCCACGAATACCTAGTTTACTCGAACTCTTGTGAGGCTGCTGAATCTACAAGAAAGATACTAAACAAGTCGAGCAGTCAAAGTTCTAAAACTTCGAATGATCCATGTACAACAACACACACACACTCCATGTGATGTGAGGTATCGCAAGTAATTTAACTATTTTTAAAATAGTTACAAAGCATTTTTCGTTCGTCATTAAGATAAGTAATTTTCGTCATCCTTCCTTTGTCTACTGTTCCACGTTTTCCTCTCCGCTTTAATGTTTGTGGTTAATGTCGAAAATCTAATTATATTTCATACTTTGGTTAGGCTTCTCTAGTAACCTTTTGCTTAGGCACAGGTTGTTTAATTAAATGAGCCTATTATTAATTTTGGAAAAAAAAAGAAAGAAAACAGTAAAATTAACGTACCGGTTGAATAACAGTAACATCAACTATATGCTCATACAAATATACAATGGAAGAAAATGATATAAACTAAGTCATGTGTTAATTAGTTTAGTGTGCAAGCATTTGAGCATTATCCTAAGTGGTTTTGTCATTGTGTTGTTGACTGCTCAAAAACTATAGATGAGTCGTTGAGCAATAGAGATGTTGAATGAAAATTAGACATAGATGTTTGAGATTATAAAGAAGTTTCTAGATTGGTCAAATGAACAATGGGGCACAATATTCCATCAACCAACAAAAGTAAAGCAAGTCTAAAACTCACAAAAAATGTACAAACTCTCTTCTCCAACCAATGGTCCTACAAAATCTGCCAAAAAGGGTCAAGTTAGCAATTGGTTATCTAACTCACACTAGAGACAAGCATTCTATGTCGTTGACTTCATTCAGGATCTCATCTTCTTTAAGGACAAGGACGCTATTTCCTTCATCAACTCAGATCTTTGGTTTGCTAACCCAAGGTCGATATGAGTTTTTAAGCTCAAAGAATAATCATCCATGAAACCCAGCCTTGGCCACTCTCTTTGCAAAGTAAAGACCTCACGGTAGCATGTATCGAAAGATGAGTTTAAATTATTCAGTAAAACCAATGTGTATACCATCACATAATCAATTCAAAATCATAGAAAAAGTCAAATGTTTCATTTGCTTCCACTTTCCACAATTCAGTCATGTTACAAGAGCAAATTATTCAATCATACCAAAAATCCACCATAGCTCAAAACTTTTTATCCGTCACTAGTTGCCTGGACAAAAGATAGTGCACAAAGTTCACAGGGAAAGTGTGATTCCCCATGTGCATCAGCCTCCCAAACTGTGATTTCGCTAACATGGCGAGGTACTCATCTTCCAAAGCAGGTTTGATATACTCAACCCACCGTAGGTTGAAGTAGTTATTGACTCGTATTTTGCATGGTTCATGCCCTCTCTAAAACATCATTTGAGTAAACCATTCATCTTGCAAATGAACAAATTGGCACAACCATCAACCAACAAAAGTTAAGCAAGTCTAAAACGCGCAAAGAATGTAGAACCAAAGGTCTTAAAAACCTGGCAACAATGTCACATATACAGCAAAAAAAAACAAAAAGTAAAGACGGTATAAGAGAGAGAGATCAAAAAAGGAATTTATTTTACTGAATTATCTACAATTAGTATAGTTCCACTATCAAAACCACTATTCTCTTCGTCTGGATAAATTGTCCCATTCCATCTCATTTGATTGGCTATATGATTCACTTTGATAAGAACCTCAAAATGGTCACGTATTATAACAGCCCCTTCTGGTCTAAGAATCCTTTGCATCTCTAAGAGTATATCAACAATGTCACATCTATCATAAGAAACAAAACCAAAACACAAACCATTACACATTTATTACAAAAATTAAAATCAAAGTTTTTCAAGTAAGAGACATAGATCTTACTTGTCCAAATACAAACTGAAAACGCCATTAGCATGAATCAGATCATAGGTTCTAGGATATGTAGAGAAAGCTTCACACCTAAATACAAAACCCAAAAGACAGTATATACAAATATAAGACAGACAAATTTAGATGATATCAGAAACGTTTTGAGTGATTTACCAGTTCATGTACGTTCCAATGAGTCCACGATCATACACTACACCGAGTGTGTTGGGTTTGAGATCAAATGGAACCACATTCATAACCCACATCGGATATTTGAATAATGCTGCTGCAAAACCGCCTAAACCAGCGTTCATATCCATTATGTTTCTGTATTTACCATTCCTCAGAAACTTTAACTTAGTGTCATAGTACACAACTATTCTCTGCCACAGGTTAGTGTCAGATTTGAAGCTTGAAATGGTCACTCCATGTATTGATCCTGTTTTGATTCGCTGAGGCGTGTGGTTTAGTCTCTCAGGCCACTTTCTGAGAATGGTCTTGGGTGTGTCATTGACATCTTGAAGAGGAGTGATGCACGGCTCCATCTCTGTGTACCTAATGTTGAAAAAGATGTAACGTAGGCGTCAAGCTTCAGAGGAAATTTAAGATTTGGAGAAAGTAAAGTCACCAGGCAGCGTCAGGGTCACTACAAGAGCAGAAACCAGGAAACTTGAGAGCTTTTTGAAGTCTTTGTCTACATAGAAAATGATTAGAAGGCTTTCTCCAGATGACAACTGGATATCTTTCAGCAATCTTCTCCCAACAAAGTCTTGTGAAAACATCATTTAGTTTCTCCATCTCTTTCTGCAAATCTTTGGAACCTCTCTTCTGGTTCTTGGATTTAACAGTTGATGTCACAGGTGGTCCGGACAACACCCAGTATCCATCAGGACGTAGAACACGATCCAACTCCATCAAGTAAAGACCATCTGGATAAAATGTTATCAGAAGCAAAATGATACAAAACAGAGTGATCTAAATAAGATAAACTTGTACCATATGCAGTCCAATTGACAAGGCATCTTGAACAATGGACCATGTCGAAAGACTTGGACGGGTAAGGCAGTTTATAAGTGCTTAGTACACCGAGCATAGCAGGGAGTCCACGTTCTAATGCAAACTGAACTTGAGCCTCGTGTATGTCCCTTGGTGCTATTGACATTGTCAAGATGTTATAGTTCAGCAAAAAGGCTCCAAAACTTGCTACCTACAATTCAGTTTTCACCAAAAACACAAAAATCAGAGTAGGCAGATATCAAGATTAATCAAGTTCTTGTGTCCATTCTTGTTACTAAACTCACTCCACATCCAACATCAAGAACAGTCCTGATACTCCCAGAAGCCAAAGGCAAAACACTCATGATCACATCAACATAGTCCTTCACGCCACCGGGGAAGGAAGTTCCTCCTCCGGGGAAAACAAAGCGGTCTCCTCCTTCAAGCCTAACCCAATTCTGACTCTTTTTAAACTCAGCCAACTTCTTGAACGGAACGTTTCTGAACCAAGCGTAGCTTCTACTATCAGGCCAAGGGAAAGGCGTTTTGTAACCAGAGGGCTTTGGGACCAAACACCTGATTTTCTCGTGTGCTGAGTTAGGACAGTGCCTCTCTCTCCGGTAGTGTCTCTCAATGCTGTATTGTCGTGCCGTTGATGGATCATGGCAGGGCAAGTAGTTGGTGAAGTTCTTGGGACAGAGTGGAAAGTAAGATGATGATGATTTGTTTTCTGAAGGAGAGGACTGATGGGATATGGATGGTTCTGGAAGAGAGGATCGATGGGATATAGAAGGTTGTGGAAGAGATGAGTGATGGGATATGGAAGGTTCTTGAAGCTGTGGTGGAGATTGGTGAGGAAATTGGGGAGAAGAGATGGTGATGGTTTGTATAGTGGTGAGGATGTAATAGAGAGAAAAGAGTAAGACTGGAGTGAAGAAGAATAGACGCTTAGGACAGGGTTTTGGTAAGTGTTGTTGTGATGGATTCATACTTTTCTTCTGCAATTAGGTTTCAAGATCTTTTCAATGCCATAGAGAAGAGAGAAAATGTTTAGTAAAGAAGTCAAGAAAGACTGCCTCGTTTTGTGAAATGGAATCTTCAACTGTGCTTTTGTCGCCATTAGTGGTCATCCATATCGATTTTTTTATTGTTCTTGCACTCATTTTCTCTTATTATAATAAAGAAGTTTGTATATTCACAGTGGAGTATTCTGTATTCTAACAAAAATCAAAAGATCAAGAAATACATTAAACTGTAGCCAAATTAAGGAAAGCTTTGCTGCAAAATTTTGTGAGACTAATGCTTCAGTGGTCATTGCTTTCTACTACGAGCAGAAAATGAAAAGACATGAGCTCTGTATTAGCATCAACGCAGAAGATTAGTGTCTCTTGAAGTAAACTTGTCTCCATGTAATGTAATTTTCCAGCAGTCGAGTTGGACGATGAAGACAGAGCCCTTCTTGGGTACAACTGCATGTGGTTTATAAGCAATAAACTTAGTTAATACTTTTGAGGACACACGAATCATGACTATTTATAGTTGAAAAGCTAGCCTGTGGTGGGTTGGTACCTCTAAACTTATCGTCTCTTGTGATTATTCCAAATGTCTCGGATGTCTCGCGCACCATTATGCCTTGTACACCAGTGAATGATGCTATTTTGCACTCAGCAACTGTTCAAAAAGGTAAAATAGGTTTGCTCTGATTACTTTATGGACTAGTTTTAAATTGTGATCAAAGTGTAAAGAGAGCCAAAAAGATCGATTCCAATACTACAGATTTGTAAACAGAACATAAGATTACCAAACATGTAAGCTCCGTGAAGATCTGTTGAGAGAAGATTTTGGGGTAATTGCATCTTCCTGCAAATAGTACATTGTCCAAGAATGGTTACCAAGCTTAAAATGATCAAATTTCAATTAGTATTACGATAATCAGATAAGAATCTGTAGCTTACCCGGTCACCTTGATGAGTTGCATCATGTAACTTTCCCACATACCATGCATTGGCTTAACTAGATCAAACCTGCACTCCCAAACACAAGTGAACCGGTAAAAATTCAATCAACCAGTAAAAAATACCAAAACACCACAGCAAGAAAAGAAAAAAAAAAAGCAAGAACTCACTTTTGGAGATGTTGAGGAAAATCCAAAGCACCAGATTTCTTGAGTCGCTTCATAGACATACGGATTTTGGAACGTTTTGAGTTGTTCTGTGACGATGCCTTTTTAGAACCAGAGGCTGAAGAATGTGACTGCACAAAGTTATCAAGGAGGATATACGTGTTCTCTCCCACGTTCTTGCTTTTAGCACCTTGCAAGTACTTCTGAGCAGAGTCACCGTTTCGAAGGAGGCTATGCAAAACCTTGTTTGCAACACTTCCCTTTCCACTAGAAAGCTAAATCACACATACATTTAAGCAATCTTATCTCAAATCAGACAGAAGAAGATAGTGGTTTGGTCTCTTGAATATTACCTTAACAGTGGTTGCCAGTAAATTCTCATCAACAGGATGGGACAATTTTGTATATGCAAGAAAATTATCATCCTCCGGATCTACATTACCAAATTTCCATCACAATCACAGTTCTATCAAAGGGTTTTAAAATGAGAATCAATCCGTTGTTTTTAACACAACCATAAGAAGAAAAAAGAACCTTTTGCAATTGATCTCTTTGAAGGAGTAGGCAGTGACTCAGCTTTTTGTTGTTCTTTCGAAGAGATAACCACATGAGAAGCTTCCTTCTTCTCTTTCACATTCTTTTGTTGTTGTTGTTGTTGTTGTTGAAGACGTTGAGCTTCTGCAGCAAGCCTTTGTTTCATCGCATCCATTGCTCGTCTTTTCGGATCATGAACAACCGTCTCTGTAGCCATTGCTGCCAGATTGAAACTAGCCTAGTCTCTGTAGCTGATTACTGATACGCATTAAACAAGAAATGGAAAAAGATTAGAAATTTTCACTCTTTTGGATTAGCAGCAAAATCAGGGACAGGAAAAGCACAAATCTTGCTGCAAAATCCATCGATTTGTATCTAATTTGAACTTGACCTAAGCAACTAAGTTATGTGTTCTACAGAATCAGGAACTTGGGATACTGAAAAAAGTGCTAATAATTAGGAAAGGTCAGTTTTTTTTATGCCATTACTAATTCAATCAGCCAAAAACTAAGAATCCAGGAAGCTCACTTTTTTGGATCCCAATCATCTATCAGCTAAACGTTATACAGAAACTGATCCAACACAGGTTTAGGTCGTACACTCAACACCGTAAGACCTTTAAATCAAAAATTTACAGCCAGTAAACTGGAATTAACGCTTACTGATTGATTGAAGAGATGGACGGAGAAACTGAGACCGACGATGTTCGGCGAGCTATCCTGCCGTGAGTTGAAATCGGCCGAGAGAGAGAGAACAAAAGTTTCGTAATAGAAGATGATCACGTGAGCCCCAGTAAAACTCACGTGACTGTCTATAAGAATATATCGCAAACCGAATCGAATTGGAAAATATCTGGTTCGGTCTGGTTATTAACTGTAACTAGTTTGGTTTATTCAAATTCTCTCTTCTTTTCGATCATTTTACTGAATAGAAAGTGAAATCCTTCAATGGCGGCACTCAGCTTTTGCATCTCTTCTCCTCCTCAAATTCAACGCAAACAATTCAAACCGAGCCTTTTCCCTCCGGAATTTACCCCTTACACCGGAGAATTCCATGCCAAACCCATCTCTCTCTCCAGACGATTCCGTGGCGCCATTAACGCCACATCAGCAGTTTCCGATTCATCGGAATACGCAAAGCAGCCATCTTCACCGGCGAAGAAGCTAAGGGAGATTATGCAATCCCCTGGTCTTCTTCAGGGTCCCTGTTGTTTCGATGCTCTTAGTGCCAAACTCGTCGAGCGAGCTGGGTTTCCTTACTGCATCACCTCTGGTACTGATATGATAAACCGGAATCGATCTTTCACTGATTGTTGATTGTGTTCTTATTCAATTTCTGATATTTGTTTCTGCTGCAAACAGGATTCTCAATTTCAGCGGCTCGGATTGGTTTACCTGATAAAGGACTCATTTCTTATGGAGAAATGCTCGATCAAGGCCTACAAATCACACAATCCGTATCAATCCCAGTGATTGGAGACGGAGGCAATGGATTCGGCGATGCGATGAATGTTAAGAGAACTGTCAAGGGATACATCAGAGCTGGATTTGCAGGAATCATCATCAACGATCAGGTTTGTAGTGGCGATGATAAGAGAAGAGTGGTTTCTAGAGATGAAGCAGTGACGCGTGTTAAAGCTGCGGTTGATGCACGTAGAGAGTGTGGTTCGGAGATTGTCATCGTAGCTCAAACTGATTCTAGAGAAGGAATATCTCTGGAGGAATCTCTAATTAGAGCGAGAGCTTTTACTGATGCTGGAGCTGATGTTCTCTCTGTTAATTCTCTTGTTTCTAGAGAAGAGATGAGATCATTCTGCAGTGTGTATCCGCTTGTTCCTAAACTGGCTAATATGCTTGAAAGTGGTGGGAAAGTTCCGATACTAAACCCGCTTGAGGTAGAAGAGGTTGGATATAAGTTAGTGGCGTATCCTATCTCCTTGATTGGAGTATCTATTCGAGCAATGCAGGTGATGTAATCTTTTAGGTAACAATTGTGTTACCTCATTGTGCTTGGCTCAAGAGACTGAAACTATGTTGAATAAATGCAGGACGCGTTATCGGCGATTAAAGGTGGTCGGATTCCTCCACCTGGAAGCTTGCCGTCGTTACAAGAAATCGAAGAGATTCTTGGTTCTGAGACATACAATGAGGAAGAGAAGCAGTACCGTTACACTACCTGGTCATCAGATAGAGGTGAGAGATATGAAGGATCGAGCAGTGGTAGCGTCTATGTTGATGAACGAGTGGCTCAAGATGATTCAGAACAGAGAGAGGAACCGATTGTTGAAGTGATGACACCTGAGGTGGTGTATAGTGAATCAAGAAATCCCTTTTCAACAATCTGGTCACGGTCTCTGAGGATCAAAATCATTGGACGTGATGGGTCTGAGAAACTCGATGTCAAAATTCCGGTAAGTCTTTTTACTTTTGCAATCTGTTGTTCTTTCATTTGTCTTGAAGAACTGATGCAAAAACTTGTCTTCATGGATGGAGCAGGCCGGATTCTTGGAAGGTGTCACCAACATTGTTCCAGGTATTTGGAAACTCAGTCCCATTTTGTTCTCTTCTTGTTCCTCTGTTTCAGAGTTATTGACAGGCCCTGAGATTTTTGCAGCTTTAGGAGGTGTGAACCTGAGACAATTGATGGACGATGCAACCGATGAAGTGGGAGGGAAGCTTTTGTTAGATTTTAAAGACACTGGAGGTGATAGAATCCAAGTATTTCTAGAGTGACACATAGTGAAGAAAAAAGTAATTACAGTCAAGAAAACATGTAAAAACAGAGAGAAAACATATTTTATTTGTTCCGTGAGTGGAAAATGTTATACACATTCAATACATGAAACCCAAAAAAGGAAGAAAATGTTTATATATCAAATTTATATGCAATATAACAAAAAGGGCAAAACCCGAGGGAAGTTTGCCACAGCTCACCGGTACAAATTTCACAACAATCTCTCAGTTTGGTCCCATACTAAGAAACAGAAAAAAAAGAATGATGAATGGACATTAAGGCAAGAACAGTGAAGAATAATGTATTACTTCCGTGAGGTGGCTGGCCAATCCGACTACTTTTATCGACTGATATTACATATCCGAGGTAATAAAAGAAAAAGCACAGGGCGGGAACGGAGCGAGAGTGTTCCGTGTGTTGATTTTACAAGTGGAGTCGTCTGGTGTGTAAGAAAATGTTACCGGTATCCACCACCATATGATTGTTGTTGAGGGTTGTAACCGCCTTGACCCATCATCGGATTATAGTTGTTGCCTGGAGGCATGTTTGGACCAGGGTTTTGCGGTTGTTGCATCGGATAGCCTTGGCCTTGGGCGTATCCTCCCATATTCATGTTCATGTTCATGCCCGGTCTCATTCCCATACCCATGGGTTGGTTTTGGCTCATACCTCCATAGCCACCAACATTGATTCCTCCCATGGGCATGCCTGAGGCTTGCATAGGATTTGGTGGAGGTCTCATAGCGTTTGCACCAGCACGCCCTAAGCCAGTGCCTGATCCCATGGCTCTACCCATGTTGATAGTCGATGTTGCCGGTGGTGTGTTTGTCGGTTTCTCAAACCGTTTCTCTCGTCTATTGATCGCCTCGAAGTCAACTCCTATGTCTGCCAATGGATTTGTTTTGGCTGCACGCAAGTAAAAAAGAGACAAATGGTGTTAGAAACTTTCTTGTGAAAACAAGGCTTCTTCGTTTGTTTTCTAAAAATGTTGAGGAAGGAATTTTTCTTACGTCCAGATATGTTGAAGTTAACGAGTCCTCTGCTCAATGTGTCTGCCCAGACTGATGATTTAGGCTCAAACTTTTTCTGAGGCTGAGGAACAATCTCAATCGCTCCTGTTAAAGGTGTGAGATCTGGCTGAGATGAAGATGACGTCAAGGAGTTTGTTGGTCCACCTTGTGAAAACATGTCTCCCATGAAATTGTTGTTCCCTTGCAGAGTAACAGGCCCGGATTGGGTTCGTTGTGGACCGTGGGAAGGTGGCATTCCATGACCCTGCTGTGCCATGAACTGGCTGGAGGTAGAGTGTGTAATTGGTCGTGGAAGGAAGCTTTCGCTTGTTGGGTGTGAACTGACTGAGCCTGGCTGGTGCATGAAGCCTCCACCGTGAAACGGCATGGCTCCAGTCATGTTTTGCGAATGAGGAACCATGTTATATGGTTGAGCAGCTTGCCCAAATGGAGTTTGTCCAGGCATGTTGTTTCCATTGGGATGAAACTGAGATGTTGGTACTGAGGCATCTGATTGTTGAGGGAGTGAGACTGGTGGTCCAGACTGTGGGAGAATGCCAGCAAGAATATCAATATCACTCTGAGATGTAGCAAACTGCTCTTGAGGAAAGCCTAGTGAGTTTGATGGAGGTTGCACATTCTGAAGCGGAGGTTCAGGATTGGCACCAGCGGAGAATGAGTCCCCAAAGCCAAAGTTTTGAGCAGTATCAGGATGTGAGACCTCTGATTTGAAGGCTGGTGGCGTTGGCTGGAAAGGAGCTCCAAAGCTCTGCTGTGGGTTTGAGTCAGTGTCCGTGGAAGTGAAGGCTTTGAAAGGAGAGTCACCAAATGGGTCATCAAATGACTGTACAATGGGGAAAAAAGTTTATCCAAAATGTTAAGAATAAAAATCAAGATCTTCGAGTAGAACTGCTTAGACCCTGTGTCAATACCTGAGCTGGTGACTGAGATGTAGAAAACGATGGAGCATTTGCTTGTCCATTGGTTTCAACAGAGGGAGAATCAGCTGGGACAATGGCCAATGCATTTGACGAAAATACGTCTGCAAGGGAGCCAAGCAAGTCCATCTCAGCACTGTTTGAGGTGGGAGGAGCAGACGTGGAAGCCACTGTTGGTGGAGCTGAAACACCATTCGTAGATGCATATGCTGGAGGGCCAGCTGGAAAAGAAACGAAACACAACGCTAACACTTAATACAAGCAGAGTTTGATGGGATAACAATATAACAAACCGAAGTAACTATGAAAAATTAGTCTCTATGCAGCAGAAAATTCAAAACTAGGAACTAAAGAATCGCAAACTTCGAGAACTCTGTACCTGAAAATGCACCGCGTGGATCAAATTCATCAAAAGTCTCAAATTTCTGAGAAAATGTTTCATTGACAAAACCAGCAGCTTTGTTGTCTGCGTTGGTTGCAGCAGGAGGAGAAGCTGCACCTGGAGCAGCAACTTGTGGGGGAGGAGGAGAAGCAGCTCCTGGAGCAGCAACTTGTGGCGTCTCCCCACCATCCCTGGCGTGAAAATATTCATCAGAACCAATAAAAGCAAAGTAGATCACAATCTGTATAGCAGAATATTATTACCTTTCACTATATACAGGGCTCCGTGAGTCGCTGACGGCCTCTTCATAACTAGGTGGAGCACCAATATTTTGTTCAGAAAACTTCCTCTGGAGCTGCCCTCTATCATATAATCCCGCAAGAACGTGATATGAGTTGACATGAAGTCCACAGAACTTAATACATTAAGAAAAAGCCCACAATTTTAGCAGAAAACATATCAGAAATTACCTCCCATCCTGAGAATTATCATCACCTCGAGCACCACTGCCCCTACATGATTAAGAGGAATGTGTCATTTATAATTCTAAACGATGGGTTCCGATGATAGGAACTTGCCTAAGAAGATGCTCTAGACATAACTTTTGACATCTTAGCTACTATCAAAATCAAATTTCCCATCCAAATGGTGTGATTAATCCTCAAATTTGTTCCCTTCTTTCTTATTTCAAGCATAAAGGCAAGCTAAAACGTAACATCAACATACCGTGATGAAGCATGACCATCATCCTCAAACCCCCGTTCTCTGTCCGAACTCATACCGCGTGACCCATGTTGGTAGTTATCAACACTTCTACTCCTTCCTCTGTAATCATCCTCCCTGTTACCATCTCTTCCATACCGGTCTTCAGAGTCTCTAGAATGACGATCTCCATCACGACTATTTCTATCATCATCCCTGTAACCATACTCTTTTTCTCTTCCATAACTACTTCGCTCTTCATCCCGGGATCCGTAATCATACTTATCCCCATATCCTCCTGATGGCTTATACATCCCACCTGGCGCTGAGCTGCGATACCTGTTGTAAAAATAATGTCAGGCTGATATGCGCAGATCCTGAAGCATATATTGAATGAAATGACAGACCACTAGAAGGCATAATGACAGTCGTATAGCCCCTATCAACCAGAAATCAAACAAGTGTCCAGAAAGACTAACACAGAGGAAACTTTCCAGCAATTTGAAACAGATAAAATGACGAGCAAACTTACTTATCTCTGTTAGCAGCAGCCTTCTGTCTGACTTCAGCAATTCTTTCTTTGTCATTAACCAACGCCACCAGGCTCTGTGATTTCTTCCTAACATTGCTTCCTTGATCTCTACCACCGGAATCAATATACTGAAAATCGGACAATGTCTGCGACATGGAAAATGGACATAATGTGAGACAGTCAACTGCTGAGATATGGCACAAAAGAATTCTCTTGATGCTGAATACTTCCAAAATAATTTACTCCGCGTGGTCATTACCGAAATTTGATATGCACGTTCTTTGATCTCGTCTATAACACGTTCTGACCCATTGCCTACCATGTACTCCAAAACTGTCAAAGCCTGAATTTGGATAGAAGAGGTAAACCAACAGGAAATATTTTCATTCACAGCTACAGCAATATAAACAGGAAAAAGCCACCAAGGCATTTATGTTCTTTACCTTATAGACATGCCGCCAGTTTTTTCCAGTGTCGCTAAGGCGTTTCCATATGACCCCCATGATCAGCTGGTATTCATGGCTGCAAGACAAGTAACATTTCTGTCATTCCTATGCAATGTCATAATTACAGCAAAATAGAGCAGTTGAAAAAGGAGGTTGTACTTACTAATTTCTCGAAGCTTGCGCAAGATCAGCAAGAAGTGATCCATGTGGACCCCATGGCTCATTGCTGGTAGCATCTAGAACCTGAAGAGGAAACAGCAGAGGTCAGAAACAATGTAAAAATGTGTTGGACATCTTGCTTAAAATCCCATAACCATATTAGCAAGCCGAGGAATGCAACCAAGATAAGCCTATTTACTTTTTTAAACTTTAGGAAGAACATTAATGAAACTGATCAGCTCAAACATAAGATACAGAAAGCAGCATTCTAATCTCGGCTTCAGCAGAATTTCAATAAAAGCAAAAACACAGAAGAAGCTAAGAGCATCCTTTACCTTCTGTTCTATTCCAGGCACTTTAAGCACTTTCTTGTTGACCTCTCTCTTGCTAAACAAACATAAAAGCAAGCATCGTTAATGGAAAGTAAACAAACCACACACTGATTGACACTGAAAAAAATCATTTAACTTCAGGCACTGTAATTCTTACAGGTCTCTGACAGTTTGACCGAAGACCTTCTTCATCTTCGAATGTTCGAATGTGCTCCAGGAATAACTGACTCTTAGCCAAATATGTTAATGTGCCCTCTATGAAGTCTGTTGCAAAACCAGTATAAGCACCTTTGCTATCAACTGTTTCAAACAAGACATATATCACCATCAAAGGATAAAACAATAGAAAGAGAAAGCATTCACAATGAATCGTTCTTCAGCATAATCTCACATTTCAACGTATGACAATCAAGGTAAGAGTACAAATCATGACAAATATCATCCAGGAAGTGAAAAGCGAATTTCCAATTGCAAACAATCAAACGAATGGAAGAAGAAGTCGAATCCAATTCCGGGTCCTAAGCAAACTCAATTTCAAACGGTAACAATAAAAATCGATCAATTAGGAAGATTGACATTCAAAATCCAGCTTGTAAAGATACTAAGAGAACTTATCTGCAGAAATTAACAGCTCTAAATCAATGGCGAGCAAAGTAGCTCGTCGGGAGAATCATATCGAACAACCAAAAGCTAGATGAAAAATTCAAACCCGGAAATTCAAAAATGAAACATAGATCTAACGAAATCCAACCAAAACCTGAAATCAATAGACGGAAACAGGAATCTATTCTTAGAACAGCTAGATCGTACCAAAGGAAATGTAAACTTGACCAGAATCTGATCGCGGATCTGTGAGGCACAGAGAAGAGGAAGAAGAAGAAGAATAAACGCCGATATAGAGAAGGATTGAGCAAAGTCGAGGAATCTCTGGAAGATTGTGATCTCTGTCTCTCTCTCTTTAGAAGGTGGAGATGGTCTCCGAGAACCTGCGTTTTTTAGCTTTAGCACTTTCGATCCTCTCTCTCTATAGAATTTTGGGTTTAGAGAGAGAAGAAACAGCAGCCAGAAGGAGAAAATTCAATAGATAAATAAATAAACAAAATCAAAGTAAAAAAAAGTGAATAAACAAAATAATAAGACAGCGCATCTAACGCGCAGAATATTAAGGACTCTCCGAATCATATATATACTGTATGTTCGTCGTTCTCTTTTGTCATTTGAAAATCACAGCTGTTTCTTCTTCATTTTCGTATTACTTAATTGTGAAAACATAATTATTACTTTGGTCTGTCGCTCTGTGCACGTTTGTATAAGTGAATTTTCAAGCAGAAGAAAGTATTTTGCCAAAACACAAAATGTACATTTCCGTAGAAAAAAATATGCTCTTTTGTCTAATACAAAAGCTAAACATATTTCATTACTGTTGAGATTAAGATGAAAGGGGATAGCTTCATTTAAATTAACAGAGATAAACAATTGACGGTGTTGCCATTTGCCAAAACAACACAAAATTGACGGTGGCAAAAAGCAAATATATGTTCAGTTAATGGGCCTTAGCTCGGCTATTTGCTATCCTAAAGCCCAAAGCCTAAACACCAACTTCAAGTATTCGACAATGACCTTCAACACCTGTCTCTCGTTTTCTTAGTGATTTTCTTCTTTCTGTTAACGAAGTATATAACAAAAATTAAGTGAATTTTAATTCGGATATTTTAATATCACATTTCAAAACTTAGCTTATTTTTGTATTGAAATGTATTTTGATTTGAATTATTTTTTGTGAACAAGATTAAAATGTAATCCAGTCTTTTTCACAAATTGTAGTTGATCAATAGATAGGTGGAAATTAGTTGAATGAAAGTGATTTTCTGACTACTACGTAATAAACTTAAGTAATAAGCCAGTAAGATCGAAAAGTTGTTACTTCCACTTTCCAGCGTTTTAAGCAACGACTATAATTGGTAACTTTCTGTCTCGTGTCCAGCTCAAAAGAATGTCTTGTCTTTCGAACTATGGTTTCAAAATAGAAAAATATCATTTTATCGAAGAATCTTGCGAAAGAAGCAACTGAACATTTTTTTTTATTGCTAACAACTCTCTCGTTACATTACAGGAAATAAAAATATAGAAAATGTATGCACAACAAATAAATTACGAAACCCATTTTTTCACTAAACAACAAAAGGGAATAAAGAAGAGTATGATACGATCTAAAGGGTTCTTGGAAACAATTTGACTTGATGAAGACACGGAGATGATGATGCAGAAGTGGAAGATGAGCGACATTGAAGAAGAGGAAGTGATGTGGATCATTGTTAGGGATGTATTGTTCCTGATTTTTACGCGACGATCCTTATTTGGTTCACTTCTTCTCCTCTTTGACTTTGACCCTTCCTTTATTTCATTTTTTAAAAGAAAACCTGTGATGAAGAAATTGAGATTTTAGGAAACAATTATTGAAACGGGTAATGGAGTAAAATGAAAGTGTTCGAGCATTGGTACTTACTTGAATTATGGAGAAATTTTGTTGAATTTGATGAGCCTAGTAGTGAGTGGGAGGTGGAGGAGAAGCGTAGATGTAGACGGGAGGTGGGGGAGATTTTACAGGTGGTGGAGGAGAGTTGTAATAGTATGGTGGTGGTGGGGATTTCACCGGAGGTGGTGGTGAATGGTAGTAGTATGGTGGGGGAGGAGACTTTACTGGAGGGGGTGGTGAATGGTAATAGTATGGAGGAGGAGGAGATTTTACTGGAGGGGGTGGTGAATGGTAGTAGTATGGTGGAGGAGGAGACTTTACTGGAGGGGGTGGTGAATGGTAATAGTATGGAGGAGGTGGAGATTTCACTGGGGGAGGTGGTGAGTGATAGTAGTATGGTGGAGGTGGAGATTTCACTGGTGGGGGTGGTGAGTGATAGTAGTATGGTGGAGGTGGAGATTTCACTGGTGGGGGTGGTGAGTGATAGTAGTATGGTGGAGGTGGAGATTTCACTGGTGGGGGTGGTGAGTGATAGTAGTATGGTGGAGGTGGAGATTTCACCGGTGGAGGTGGTGAGTGATAGTAGTATGGAGGAGGAGGAGATTTCACCGGTGGAGGCGGTGAGTGATAGTAGTATGGTGGTGGTGGAGATTTCACGGGAGGAGGTGGTGAGTGGTAGTAGTATGGTGGTGGTGGAGATTTCACCGGAGGAGGTGGTGAATGGTAGTAGTATGGTGGTGGTGGAGACTTGACGGGAGGTGGTGGTGAATGGTAGTAGTATGGTGGTGGTGGAGATTTCACGGGAGGAGGTGGTGAGTGGTAGTAGTATGGTGGTGGTGGAGATTTCACCGGAGGAGGTGGTGAATGGTAGTAGTATGGTGGAGGAGGAGATTTCACGGGTGGGGGTGGTGAGTGGTAATAGTATGGAGGAGGAGGAGATTTCACCGGAGGAGGTGGAGAGTGGTAATAGTAAGGTGGAGGTGGAGATTTGACCGGTGGTGGTGGTGAGTGATAGTAATATGGAGGTGGTGGAGATTTTACGGGTGGTGGTGGAGAATGGTAATAGTATGGTGTAGGAGTGTGAGTTGGGGGTGGTGGTGACTTGTAAACATAAGTTGGAGTGGGCGGTGGTGGAGACTTGTAGACGTAGGTTGGAGTAGGCGGAGGAGGTGATTTGTAAACATAGGTTGGAGTAGGCGGTGGTGGAGACTTGTAAACATAGGTTGGAGTAGGCGGTGGTGGAGACTTGTAAACATATGTTGGGGTTGGAGGAGGTGGCGACTTGTAGACATAAGTCGGGGTTGGCGGTGGTGGAGATTTGTAGACATAAGTTGGGGTTGGTGGTGGTGGCGACTTGTAGACATAAGTTGGGGTAGGTGGTGGTGGAGATTTGTAGACATAAGTCGGGGTTGGGGGTGGTGGAGACTTGTAGACATATGTTGGAGTAGGAGGAGGTGGCGACTTGTAGACATAAGTCGGGGTAGGAGGAGGCGGTGACTTGTATACATATGTTGGAGTTGGCGGCGGTGGAGACTTGTAGACATAAGTTGGGGTTGGTGGAGGCGGAGACTTGTAGACATATGTTGGAGTCGGCGGTGGTGGTGACTTATAGACGTAAGTCGGAGTTGGTGGAGGAGGAGATTTGTAGACGTATGTTGGGGTAGGAGGAGGAGGGGATTTGTAAACATATGTTGGGGTAGGAGGAGGTGGTGACTTGTAGACGTATGTCGGAGTTGGCGGTGGTGGAGATTTGTAGACGTAAGTCGGAGTCGGTGGTGGTGGTGACTTGTAGTAATAAACCGGAGATGGAGGTGGTGGGGATTTGTAGTAGTAAGGAGGATGGTAAGGAGCCGGTTTGTGACATTCTCCGTAAGGTTTCTTAGGTGCGTAAGCAAAGGACTTAGCATAAAGCACAACCTCGTACTTAGTCTTTGATTTCACATGAAGTTTAGCACCTTTGTTACCCAAATGGTAATTCGTAGGAATGTTACAAGGCGATCCCTTAGGTGGCGCGTGAAGCCTGGCCGTGCAGACTTCGCCACCGTATTTAAGGTAGTTGTATCCCTTAACGGTAATTGCGTACTTACCGTTGATCTTAGTTGTTCCGTATGCTTTCACTGTCTTGTCACCGGCCTTACAAGTCACTTCCACAACAGCACCTACAAGACAAAACGAATGAAATAAATTAAAAATGTTATCTTATGTCGTTTTAGTTGGTATCTACTAAATCGATTTTGCTTGTTCGATCTCTTTGGATTGTTTAAGTCAATAACAGATTCTTGTCTTTTTCTTGACTTCATCGTTTTCTTTTTTCCACTAACTAAATAATTTAGACTACAATCAACCACCACTTTACAATACATGTATGCTAGTTATTTAAATCCTATTAAGCCTATCCTATAATCACCAAGATGACATTTATTTGTAAATAATGAATGAATTCGCTAAAGATATAAAAATAATTAATAAACACGTGGAAGACTTAATTACCTTTGAGATGCTTCTTGTCATGAGACTTTTTGGGGTAAGTCCAGTCATAACATCTGTAACAATAGACTTTACCAACTACTTTGAAGACAAGTGGATGTGGGTGTGGGTGAGGATGAGGGTATGACACCGGAGGTGGTGGTGATGAGTAGTAGTACGGTGGCGAGTATGATTTTGCTGGTGGTGGTGGTGATGAGTAGTAGTATGGTGGTGGGTAAGATTTTGGTGGTGGTGGGGATGAGTAATAATACGGTGGTGGTGGAGACTTCACTGGAGGAGGTGGAGAGTTGTAGTAATATGGTGGTGGTGGGGACTTCACCGGAGGTGGTGGAGAATGGTAGTAGTAAGGAGGAGGAGGAGACTTCACCGGAGGAGGTGGTGAGTGATAATAGTATGGTGGTGGTGGAGATTTAACCGGAGGAGGAGGAGAGTGGTAGTAGTAAGGAGGAGGTGGAGACTTCACCGGAGGAGGAGGAGAGTGGTAGTAATATGGTGGTGGTGGAGACTTGACTGGAGGAGGTGGAGAGTGGTAGTAGTACGGTGGTGGTGGAGACTTGACTGGAGGAGGTGGAGAGTGGTAGTAGTATGGTGGTGGTGGAGACTTCACGGGAGGAGGAGGAGAGTGATAATAGTACGGTGGTGGAGGTGACTTCACCGGAGGAGGTGGAGAATGATAGTAGTAAGGTGGTGGTGGAGATTTAACTGGTGGTGGTGGAGAATGATAATAGTATGGTGGAGGTGGAGATTTCACCGGAGGAGGAGGAGAATGATAATAGTAAGGAGGAGGTGGAGACTTCACTGGAGGAGGAGGAGAATGGTACACATAAGGTGGGGGAGGAGATTTCACCGGAGGAGGTGGAGAATGGTAGTAGTACGGTGGTGGAGGAGACTTCACCGGAGGAGGAGGAGAGTTGTACACATAAGGTGGGGGAGGGGATTTCACCGGAGGAGGTGGAGAATGGTAGTAGTACGGTGGTGGAGGAGACTTAACCGGAGGAGGAGGAGAGTGGTAAACATAAGGAGGGGGAGGGGATTTCACCGGTGGCGGTGGTGAATGATAGTAATACGGTGGTGGAGGAGATTTAACCGGAGGTGGTGGAGAGCTATATTCATAAGGAGGTGGAGGAGATTTGACCGGAGGAGGTGGGGATTTATACTCATATGGTGGTGGTGGAGAGCTATAATAGTAAGGTTCGGTAGCCATAGCCGAGCCAACGAGTAACACCAAAATGGCAACTACCCATTGAGCTTTGGCATGACTCCATGCCGGAGTCGCCATTGTTTCACCGGACAATTTTCAGTCTCGATTAAGACTCCTATTCTCCAAATTATTGATGGAGAAAAATTTGGAGAAAATGTTTATTGTTTGAAGAGGAAGGAGAAGAAGTGATTGATTGTGCTTCTGCATGGAAAAGAGTTGTTTTTATAGCGGAAAAAAAAGTAGTCGTTTGAGGTGGCCTTTGTTCGTAAGGGACCAATTCAATATCTACGTTGTTTTTTTAATTTTTATGTTTCTAATGTTTCGTTATTTTAGTTTAGCTATTAGCTGGCAATTATTGGTTTTGTTAGTTTTATAATTAAAAAAAATAGAAGAAAGAACATGAAATTTTCCACTGTGTTAGAAAACTAATCTCCAACCACCCGGTTTGAAATAAGCCAAAACTAATTCCATTTTATAACTACTAATTTTAATCATACATATTAAAAATAAATGGTACTATTGGATGCTTGTTAAGCTATGTTAATCACTATGACATCTACCACAGTCATTTTCAAGATATTATTTGTTAATATTTACCGACATTCTGTAAATGTTATAAATGTGTATAAAATTGTATACATCAACAGAAACCTTTAAAATAATACAAAATAAATGATTACATGAAATAAAGATTGAACCGGTTGTTGCGTGAATATTATGGGAAGAGGACCACAATTTTTCTGATCATGCATATTACAATGTGGGTGCCAGAACGTTCCTAATTTTTTCATAATAAATTTGAATGCTTCTGAAAACCATATCATATACAGAAATGTAATTAAAACCTTACCAAGGAAAAAATGTATAGAAATGGGTGATTATAAGTAAAGTCAGATGTCTTAAATGGCTGACATAAGAAACCTTCGTGATCAATAGGAAGACAGCTGTATTTGAAGATGAAACCGAGTTATATATGATACCAAATTCAATTAAACTAAACTACGATAGGCCAAATTAACAACAACGACTTTGATTTGTGACATAAAAGAAAAGTGATTTTAATATATGCGAGGTCGCTTGCTGTGAGTCTTGTGACTCGGTGCAAAATACCGCGTCGACTCGCTTCACACACATATATATATATATATATATACAACATAAGTTACATATCCATATAGCTAAATTTTAGTTCCATTTTAAACACTAGTTTTTTTTTTTTTTTGATAAAGATTTTTTTTTTTAAACACTAGTTATGTCACAAAATTGAGTTCACGTTTCAATTTTTTTACTGCATAACGTTTTTCGTATCGATCGTAGCAAATACCAAATGATAAAGCAACGACTTGTTGCTCCAAATAAAAAAACTACCCAATTCCGGATATCTATAACAATACACCTTTGAATTACTTAACCAATTATCTACACCGTATAGATGTCTGTTTTCTTATCCTTCTTAAAACACGGACGACAATTATAGATAGTTTTCCACTGTATACATGTAAGTATAGTGTGCATGTGAAATCTCAATTATCAGATATATAGCATGTGGAATGAAACTTAGTGGCATTGCAGCTTTTTACCTGGTCGTACGTATTGGAGAGCTAATATGATGGCAAAACATAGTAACAAACCAAAGAAAAAAAGTTTTAATTTGTAAGAAAAAAAAAAAGAAGTGTTTATGATACATTAAACTACAACTAAATTAATGGCATTATGTCACCTCACAAGGCACAATTATACTACACGAACGACCGCCAGTAAAACCAAGTTATACAACAAATTAACAAACATACACATTTATGTGTTTATAAGACAAGAAAAGACAGAAGATAAGACGAACCAAAAGGCGGGAGTTATTACAAATTGCAAACAGAATTCTAGGTTTAAACTATAATTGCAAACATTATAATCGTGCAAAGAAATAATAATTTATGTCGGGAAAAAGTATAATAAGTTATGTTTCCCAAAGAAGGTGCAGAAGATTTGTACTTCGGTTTTTCGCTCCCACCTCTTAGAGTATTTCTCAAATTTTCCCATATTGTGAGTCGCCACATCAATTATTGTATATTTTTCCTTTCAAATATCAGGTATATTTTTACAGAGATCTTCAGATACATACATTTGTGAATTGTGATGAAATAACTTATAAATTTTATTTTCGACTTATTATGTTTATATTTAAAATAGATTTTGTAAACAACATCTTTTATCTGTAAAACTATGATATTTTCAGAATTTAAACAATATCAATTATTAAAGTTAAAGGGTGGTTACAACTTAAGAAGAATTAGCAAGAAAGCACATGGGCAGATAAATACTTTCTTGCCAAAAAAAAAAAAAAAGTTGTGATACACCCAATTATTCCCCTAATTTAGTCTAGACTCTAGACCAAAATATTACTATAACATTTTATTGATAATTTTTTTAATTAAATCCCAGGAATTTTATTGGGCACTTGTATCAGTCAATTTATGTCCATGTAAAATACAGCACTCCATTATCAGTGAGAACAAACTTTCACAGTAATGTCCATTATGAATATCTAGTAAAAATAGTTTCTCAAGTAGCAGAGTCGTCGTTTGGTAAGTTGGGTCACATCAGAGAAAAAGAATGTTGGACATTTTAACAATGATAATATCATTAATTAACTTCTATGCTTGTTTAAAAAATTATTTACTAATCAGATTTTAGTTTTTTTTTATATAGTGATAATTAGGCTTTTTTTGCTAATGAGTTACCCTACTATAGGGCCAAACTCCCGAACGTTGTCGGATTTCGCATCGAAAGATGAATATAAATGTGGAGTTCCTTTTACCAAAAGTATATATGAATTCTTTACCTGTACCCATAGTAGTTGGAGTACTAATCAGGACCAAATAACAATCTAAATTATTTAAGATTCCCTAGTCATTAGTCAATGGCGTGCAGCGAAAGAACTCTACAAGGAAGTTTTGAATTTAATATATTTGGGTTTGGGCGTTTGGTAATTATCTAGAATTTTCATGTAACAAGTAACAAGCCTATATTGTATAGTGTCATTTAATTTATTTGTTTTATGTACATGTATATAATAACACAAGTAGGTCTTAATGAAATTAAAATGCAATCCGTACCCAAATAAAATTTCGTGACTACAGTAATGTCAAAATTCTGGAATTCAAGTATATTACCTTTTTTTGTTCATAACATACCAAGTATGTTACCAAAATGGGTAAACTATGAGGAATATTATGTGGTAGTTGCCTTGAATTGTATCGTTTAATATTCAAATATGACACAATTCAAAGTTTATCTTGGATTACACTGTTTGTTTTATACTGTAATTATTGACACGTGCTCCTGGTTTGCAAATCACATATACAACAAGTAAATTAATGTTGATTATTTAACCCGATGTTACCGTTACATAGCATGGTTTACCTGATGAATGAAAAACGGGTAACAGAAAACTATTCCTTTTCTTATATATTCAGAAACTTTAGACAATGTACAAAGAACAGTGATCTGACACAAGTACAGGGATCATGTGCAGGGCAAGCGAAGTACTTTGTGGGAGACAAATTAGATTCATAGGTTTTTTTTTTTTTTTTTTTTTTTGTCGACAGCCTCTATTTCTAAAGCAGCTCGGAAATCCAAGCTGGTGAAACAGAGTTTACATAGGTAGAGCTCGAGCACTCCGTGCTAACTTGTCCGCCTTCGTGTTTTCTTTTCTTGATATTTGCATAATGGAGAAGGAGATAAACTTCCTCTTACACCTGTCAACCTCGTCAAGCAGTGTTGAAAACGCCGGCCACTCCTCTGGTTTAGACACCATCTTCACCACATCGGAATAGTCCGTTTAAAAAACTATTAAAAACTTGTTATGTTGTAATATACACTACATCGTCCAAAGAAGAGCCTCCAATTCTGTCTGAAGTGGTGATATACCTCGCCTCAAATTACATATTCCCATAATTTTATCTCCAGATTCAAGGTTACAGAAATACCATCCTAACCCAGCTCTGTGTTCTGGGTTTAAAACCATTTTTGCTTTGTTCTTTTAGGATTTGACAATATCTATTTATTAATACGTCATTTGAGATGTTATTAGATTTTTTTTTTTTTTAGTTAAAGGGTTTAAGATGTTATTAGATTTAAGAAACCAAACATTTTAACAAAAAAAAGAAAAGGACCAAACTTATGAATTTCGTTTTCACTACCCTTCTCGCTTCTCCCATCACCATGCTATTTCGTTTTCACCATGAGTATTTTTTTTCCCCCTGATTTTAGCGTAGAGTTTTTTTCTTTTTCTTATACCACCAAATATGAAGTTAGCTCACAAAAATTAGTAATTTTGTTAACCGGAGTTTCAACAAAAAGAAATTAAAACTAACTTATTCATATGTCAAATAGTGTCTCGTAATGACTCGTATACTTTTCAAAAGCAATGATTAGCTCTAGGAGTAAACGTATATGAGCTCGAGACGTCTCTATGTTAAATTAAAGTTTCAATTGTTTTTTGTTTTTCTTTTTGTGCACATATCGTAGCTGTCTTTGTTGGAAACTACACAGTATATTTATTTTCGCATAATTTGAAAATTAGTCTCCCTAACGGCATTTTTATATATACGTCTGTACGATTTCTGAAGCTGCCTCGTGTATTCATCAGCGGCGGACACTTGACAATATTCTAGCTATTCTTTCGTAATTAAATAAATTAATTGTCATTCTTAATTGTCAGTATAACAATTCTATTATAGCAGGTTTATTTATCAATCGTCGATTAGGAGTAATTGGATCTCTATATGTTTTCCCCCGTTTTTTGTTCTTTTATAATCGGGAAATTATCCCAAACTATCTGCGTGGCCGTACACGTAATCAATTCCAGAGCATGAATGATTCGACTTCCTATGTATAAGTATGCCACTCGCTAGTTAATTAAACCAAGTGTTACTTAGTTACGTAACATGCTAATTTGACTAGTTGAAAAAAGTTAGACGATTTGATTATCCAAAGAGAGAGCAGCGAAGAGTAGACAACAAATAGATCATACTATAAGCTAGTTAATTCCACCGACACTAAGTTAAAATAAAATAAAT